GTCCTGGATTGGAACAAGCTGGGATCCCTTTTCTTGAAGTCGGAGAAAGGCCGCCTGGCGTTGCGGACTTGCATGGATATACACAGCAAGATAACGGACCTTGTTTAAGGTGTATGAGATCCTCTGTGTCTGGTGCTGAGCATTTGCCTTTGCTGCAGATGACTTCTGGTCAGTCCACTTTGTTTCTGCATTCTCATTTAGAGGGATGGCCTTTAAACGATCAAGGAGCTGGTTCAAACAAAGCTGGATAACATGGGCAAGACAGGGTATTCGGATTACTGTCACATCGCTAGAGAGCGCCTGCTGAATAGCCTCAACCATTGTCTTGTTGTTGGTTGCATTATCAGTTGTGACTCCAAATACCCGATCCTGGATCTTGTGCTCAACTAGAGTTTCAAGGAGTACACCACTTAAATTTAAACCGGTATGGGAGCCATAAAGTGGTTTAAATCCAAGTAGAACCTCTTGGTATACCCAGTTACTGTCAACAAAATAGCCAGTGATAGCCATGAACGCCTGGTTATATGGAGAAGTCCAGCAATCTAATGCGATCGAGATTTTTGCGTCGTTGGGTAGTGTTTGGAGGATAGATTTCTGTCGTTCTATGATCATATCACGTAAACGACGACGTATTGTGGTAGCAGAGGGTATCGGAGGGAGAGATGGTGCAGAGCGGGCTAATCGGAATAGCTTGTGAAATGTTGGATGTTCGATGAGGTGGAATGGAAGTCGATTGAGGGTGAGAAATTGGAGAAGATGCTCTTCCCATGCCGATTGTGAAAAAGGAGCCTCTGGTAAGCCGTGATCCTATGTATCCAGGAGTGTTAGGGAAATCGGATAACTAAATAAAGAGGTAAGGAGATACTACTTTTTGAAGGAACTGGGTAATTTCTCCTTTACCTCCCTGTTGAGCTTTGCGACAGCCTGCTGTCTTTAAATGCTTCAACATTGTTGATGTACCATGATAGCCCTTTCCGCTAGGTGATGGAGAATGGGGATGCTCTAGGATCTTTGAGCAGCGCTTACACATCACCTTTGGCGCACCATCTTTGGTATAGGCAACTTGGTCGAAGTTGCTCCATATGTTTGAATTGCGATTTGAATCCCAGGAAATCTTGCTTTTCTGCCCATAGTCGGTTTGTAGCCACCACTCAACCCATTCTTCATATGCCATATTGTCATAAAGCACATATGCCTTTCTCCGATCGGGGCCAACGCGAGTAAGAGAGTGTGGAATTGGTAGAAGGTTGGAGGGCCGAAGGAAGTCAGTATCAATAGCATCAAAAGGCTCAATTGTGAGCTGGCTACCAGATGGGGTTGGAACTCGAGAAGAGGGTATAAGATAGCTAAGGTTATCTGTATCCGCATCGTAAAGAGTAGGTAAAAAGTCAGAATGCTGGCTTTGGGACATTGCGACCGAAAAGGGGAATACTATAGAGGTAAGGGGGAAAGGCAGAGAGAGTATATACTTACAAGAGAAGGGTATATGAACAGTAAACACCTTAGTCCTATAGTAAAGTAGATAGATCAAAAGGTATAAGCTATAATGTTGTTTGATTGGCTATATAAGCTCTATTTAAATGGGTCTAACCCAAGAGAACCCAACAGGACCCAACAGGACCCATCAAAACCCAAGAGAACCCATTCATAACCCATCGAAACCCAAGAGAACCCATTCATAACCCATTAAAACCCAAGAGGACCCATTCATAACCCACTCCCCCAGAAGATCCCTCAAAAATGTTTCATTTACCCTCCCAGAAGAACTTTTCTAACCGCGGTCAGAGATAATAATATATACACCTACACCCCCCCTAGAAGGGCTTTTCTGACCGCGGTCAGAAATAATGACATATACACCTACCTCCCAGAAGTGATTTTCTGACCGCGGTCAGAAAATATAATTCGGAGCACATATAATAAGTTAAATATAAGAGAAGAGAAATATAGCTTTAATATAATATCAATTGTATATAAAATCAAATAAGAATAAGATATTTCTATTTACATTCATAGTTATCCTATAATATATACATACTCCCCTCTACCACAAATATATATTTTCAACAGTCCACAGTCAATAAATGCTTAAATTAATAGAACACCACTATACTACGATTAATGTGAATTTTTATCAGTAATCAATATAATACAAAGCCTATTAGCTTCAAATTCAGGGTAATTACATAAATTTTCCAACTTAATATTGTGATAATGTAGCAATATTTGATGAACAAACCAGAACAGCTGTAAAAAACAGTAATTTATTTGAATGACTTAGCATTGTTATGAACGCCAAGACCTATCTTTTATGCAAAAATGGGTTCAAATGGGTTATTATTGGGTTATTGGGTTTAACCCATTGGGTTTTGGGTTGGGTTGGGTTATAGAGGGCGGAACCCAAAACCCAATGGGTTGGGTTTTGGGTCGGAGACTCCGACCCAAAATGGGTTCTGCCGAAGTCTAGATATTAGGAATGGTAGATAGCTTGGTAGTCATGAATTTAATGGCTTTTTTATCATTAACTAACTTTATTCTTTTTAGCTGATGACTAATGGGATATTAAATCGGAACTCACACACAGTATATGCCCACTCGTCATTTCTCACTTTAAAACTCTCTGGAATCCGTCCCCCTCATCGCACCATTTAGTGCGATCTGCCATATCCTCTCCTCGGATCTGTTATTTCTATGATTCTGGGATAAGACGCTTTATATGATTCTCTCTAGAGCATCTGATATTTCTCTCTTATATTTTAGATCTAGGGACGTTTAGAATAGAGATTGAAAAAGAAAGTGAGGTCGCTCCTCTACCTGGTTCTTCGGGGCTGGCCGGTCCGCGCGGGTGTTGTTTTGGGTGACTGGAGGACTTGGCAGGTAACGAAAAAGAAGCCAAATGAATATGACAAAAATGCATGTCGTTATGTGTGAAGGGAACAAAGCCCAGCCTCTTATAGTTCTCGCAGGCATATGGAGTTGTTAAAAAGAATATCGAAGGGCGGTTGATCTACGATATACCAAGCAATCAAAACGTCGAAATCATAAGACAACTGCGGGAGCAGGAAGAGGCAATATACCAAAGGTACGAGAAAAATAAATCAAAGCAGTCAACCGCGAAAAAGAAAGATGAGAAGAGTAGCAAACAAAATGCAGACCCACGGGGGTACCGCAGTGCGATTAGAGAACAAGGCATGACTCAGGTTTACTAGGATCTCAAAGGTTCGGTGGAAATAAAATGAAAGAAACTGGGAAGATGGGGGAAAGTGATCCAAAAGGTGCTTTTTATGTCGTCGAAAATGAATATTTGCTATGGTTCTTTGTTTACCTGCCCCACTTGGTCGGGAAGCACTAGACAGGGCAGCCCTATATGGACAGTCAATAGTCTGTACTTATCTCTTAGTCTATCTTGAAATGAAACCTTGGTGAATTTGGCCCGTTTTTGAGCGATCCCGTCAAATAAAAAATACGAAAAAGTAAGAGATAGAAGAACAGAGGGTAAAACACGCTATTGGTGACAAGTTAAAGGGAACCCCTTCAAATTGAGTCCATTTTCAGAGTGATTTGGAGCAATTGCAATGACCTGAGGTTTCTAGCAGTGAAGAAGAACAAACGCCACAGCGTCCGAGCTCTCACCTCACCGACACAGGCATGGAGCAGCCAAGTTTCCTGGAACTCGGCGCGTAACTCCCTGGCCAATCAATTTACTCCGTCACTCTGGTAACTATGCAGATCGGAGCACCGGCTCAGATGAGCCGACTGAATCTATGTATCATCTGCATCCAACTGCTGCCTATTGTGATTGCTGGGAATTTGCTGGGATTTCAGACCCTGTATATGCCCCATTATCTGTGATGATGTTTTTTTTCTGGAGCCCGTATGTTGATGCAGTTAGGTGAAATGGCGGATGTAACCATGACGGAACGGCCGGTGTGGGGTGTTTGGGTTGCGCCTCGGAGAGCGGCGATGGGGCCCCCAGGCGCGCCTGCCTGCGACCCCCGGGATGTTAAAATGTATGTTGATGCACTCAGAAATACGCAGAAGACGGCTCGGAACTTGACGAGAGCAAGATGAAGAGAGAAAACGCGCACTGTATTGACTACCTGCAGTGCGGGAGGAAGAGACCGAGCGAGAGTGAGAGAAGCAGAAAGGGCTGGTGCTGAGCGGTCAGGTGACCCTCTGGATGATAGTGTCGATAAATCCCTTTCTCTCTCTCTCTCTGTGTGTGTGTGTGTGTGTGTGTGTTTTCTCTCTTTTGTTCTTTTTCTCCTCCGGTCCCATTTTTCTGATAGATCACGCAATACAGTCGCTCCTATGGTGTACATATCCCTGCTGCTCTCACGTAGCCTCCTGATTACTCGGTCTCCCCTCAGCTGGTTTTATCCAAGGGGGGCGACCCAACATCTACTTCCAAGGTTCATCACGAAGCTGAGAGAAGAGTTGTTTCGCAAAAGCTTTGATAAAGGGGACTTCGAATGTCGAATGGTGTTTCACTGTGGTCTTAGATTCGCAAATGTGGACCGGAGACAGCGAACCTAGAATGACGGTCTCCCCCATCTATTGTACGCGTAGTCGCGAAACCTACAGCATAAGAAGAAGCGAGCGGGAAAACTCTCGATTCTCGGTTCTGGTCTTAGGGGGAAGGATGTAAGAACTTATCTACGCCGAGACTGTGGTGAACCCCCACAACAGTACGCGATTTGACTGAGCCACCCGAGCTCTACTCTTTTGGCGCTCTAACGAGTAATGAAAATCTTAAATGTGAATACTGATACAAACCTCGAGCGAGATCCGTCGCATTGAAGACCCAAAAAGAAACTTCTCAAGCCGCAGTAGAGGATTACTATCTAATCTCCTTAAAGCCGCATTAGACTATATGAGAACCTTGGAACTTATAAACTAGCTCGATAGTATCTACTCCATGTTAGGCACATTTTAGGTGCAAGAAGTGTTCTTATAAATGAGTGAATTTCCAAAAGAACGCTTAGAAATTTGACGTTACTTCACCGATAGAAATAGGCGACTAATTCATCATATACCTCTTGAGAATCGCTTTCCTGCGGAAGATTCCCTGTTAACTGGAGCCTCAGATCTTGAGCCTCAGCCTTGAGCTGATCACTTTCCTGAAACTCCCCAACGAGATGAAGTACCTGGGAGAGCTGGTATTTCGTTCGTGCGATTTCAGGCCGAGTGTCCACTCCAAGCTTTCTCATATGAACTTTCAACGATAACCGGAGATATGCACTATGTGAGCAAGAAGAATTAGAGATGAATATCAAGGAGATGGCGATGTTTGTGTATGCGTGGAGAACATACATTGCCCTGTCGTTCTGATCCTGCTTCTGCAAAAACCAGGCAAGCTTGTTGTAACATGCTGCGGTTTTATGGTGAGTTGGTCCAAGGACCTCCAGATGAACTTTCATGCCCCTGGTATAGAGTTCAAATGCGGCCTCAAACTTTCCTTGGTCGATGAGAACATTCCCAAGCGCTGTCATAGTCCATGCGGTCCTGTGTATTTATGTTAATCCTCGCTCATGAAACCCACTTTATTAAACATACTGGGCAAAAGGTTGCTCCCGCAACATCCTCCAACCTTTTGATAATTTCCAGACTTTTCTGATAGGCGACAATAGCCTTGTCAAGATCCTTAATCATCCACCAGCATCGACCGATGTTCATGTAGTTCAAAGACAGCAATTGCATCTGTTGATGCGCATACTTTCGCGATCTTTCTCTAATCCCAATTGCCTTTTCATGTAATCGAATTGCTCCACGCGGATTTGTACCCCCTATAAAAACACCGATATCCATGTATGAGTTTGCAATCTGCGGGTGATGCTTGTCAAGCACCTTGGCTTTCACTGCTGCTTTCTTGATCTTCAATGACTGTCTGGCAAGGTCAACTGCCTTATCGGCTTGGGTCATCTCATTGTACATGTCGGCTTGTAGGCTGTATAAATCAGCCAGAAGTAGGCCGTGATCCTGGAGATCCATGCGATTACAAGCTGACTCTGCTGACCGAGCAACAGAGAAACTTAGATCAAACCGACCCCTTTCAAAGAGATACCTGAGAAAAGATCAACATTCGAAGTTCAATCCCCTGGTGGGATATTGTTGCTGTAGAAATTATCGGCTCACCATGCGGAGCAGTAAAGAAGCTCGACGAAGTCATGAGATATTGTCAACGAGATCTCTTCTGATAGCTTGCGATACCGCTCGTTGAAATTGAGGACATGGGGTATGTACTTTTCACACTCCGTCCATTTTTCATTCATATGACTTCGTGATTCACTTTGTAGAGGAAAGTATTGATGGAGAAGAATGACAGCACTCTCGAAAGCCGCTTGGGCTTTGGATTGACTCGAGTCAATCCCTTCAGATACTGTGTAAGCAACCACTCTATGGAGCCGCAGGCTTGCCTCATCCTCGAATTTATCGACAAGAGAGTAACGGCCCAGGTCTCGCATGATAGTGTGGCGGCTCATGATGTCTGCCAAGAAGGGTATTCGATTTTCCGTGTCTTCAAGTAACGTCTCTGGAATCCTGTCGGGATCAAGAAATGACAATATGCCCAAAGTATGTAAGGCATCGCTGCTCAGCTTCGAAAATGTAACCTCGAATGCCGTCACGGTAGTGTGGGGACATCCCGGGGCTGAGAGCTCATTTGGAGTCGCCAGGAGTTGTCGCCGCTTTGAAGAGTCAGCGCATGCTTCCTGGAATTGTAATATACTGCATCGAGACTCTCTGATATACGATGCCATCTGTTTGATGGTCAAAGTATGGTACCCGAAAAATTTTGTAATTTGCCTGGCTTCGTTATCTCGCACTCGGTTTCCACCAAGCTGGTCTCGAAAGAAAGTTGCGCTTTCTGTTGGAGAGAAATTCTTCACCTCCATTCCAGTATGAGCTAATTGATGTGCGGACTCGGGATTCTGGCTGGTGACAAGCACTGCACCACGCTCGGAAGTGGGCCAGAATGGGGGAATGATCGATAGGTCATCTGCGTTGTCTAGTACCAATAGCCAATTCTCAACTATGACGTTGTCAGTAATCAAACTTCCTGACTTGTACTCCGCACGTGTGGTACTCTATTTAAAACTTGCCTGTGCTTCTGAGCCATTCATTGACAATTTGAACAATCACTCGCTGGTCGTTGACTGCCGTCCCAGATGAGATATTCAATTCTTTGGCAATATCAGTGAACCCCTGAAACAGCTTTTCCGTATTGCTCGCCGATATCCAAAAGATTGCTTTAAAATTTCGCATATTCTGATATACGAACTCGGTTGCGATCTGAGACTTTCCAATTCCTGTAATTCCGTATAAGGCGAAAGAACGCAGTCTTGCTTTGTCTTCGGTTGTTGGACAAAGGCGCTCTGAAATGGCCTGTAAGACATCGTTTCGCCCAAAAAATCGGTTATTTCGAGGGTATAAGTTGACGTATGTGTTGCGATCAAGTCGACCCTGACCGTTGGATATTGTTGATGCCTTTGCGATTTGAAGTCCATAATCGGCGGCATAAAGCATTCTGCGTTTATCCGCTGGCACCAAACTTGAAGATGTGTGAAGGGCAACGTTGGAAAATTGAAAGTTTTTGTCTGAAAAAATATCGTCTAGTAAAGTTTTCGGAAGGTCCTGAAGTCAGCATAGCTTGAAAACATATCGAGATTCCCGAGTGAAGAGCTCACAGTTCGATGAAAGGCTAGAGACTCTCTTTGGGCTCTGAATCGGAAGAGAACAGACCAATTCCTTTGCATATCCGGCGGCCACGGCTGCTGCGTAGGGCTGCCAGCGTTTGTTTTTATGTGAATCCGAATAATCACAGATCCCACGAATGACCAGGCAGTCCAGGCCGTTCATCAGACCGCCAGCCTCCATCTCGAAGCATAGAATGCCATGTTGCTGCTGTAATCTATCTCGCTGGACAGCATCCTTCATTACAATGTCTGAAGATGCGACAAGACCGTAATGTATCACTGGATTTTGGCTTCGTCGGGATGGTCGATCTTTGCTTTTTGATTCGTCGCAGTTGTCGCAACTCCCATTTCCACCACAATGGGCATAATCGGCAAGAAACAGCCGATCATTCTTCTCTCCTTGGTACTCAAAGCTTCCCTGGAGCCTATTGTGACGCTGGATCATCTCGGCCAAATAATGGGGTAAAGCGGGACCATAAAGCCGATGCTTCGATTTGAGATATGCCACAGCGTTCAGCAACGCTTGTGGCGGTTTGGTTAAGAAACCCGTATGTTGGAATTCGTTTCCGCTGAGAGATTTTCCGAAAGCATAGTTGATAACACCGCCATGGCCGTTGGTAGGCTGGCTAACAACAACGTCACCGAGTCTGATATCGTTGTCGTCACTCGGGGCTCCTCCCCCAATTCCAACCATGAGCGTAAACCTAAGGGCCACAAATGTGGACTGCATTTGTTCAGCCACTCTTGTTGCTGACGTTGTGCCATACAAACCGGCAGGTAAACAGGCAATAGTGATATTATGCGCTGCAATTCGACCCACTGTATATCGATTATGATCGCTGGGTGGTTGCGGAGGAGAAGTGTAACACTCATCCAGCATTCCTTCCGCTGCTACCAGCTCATCGGGCAATGCGCATATCCAACCTATGCTATACTCACTCGCATCTGGGGAATAATTTGAATTCATCTTAGACAGGCACCGTTGCTATCCGGCGCACCCCTCGGCAGTCGTGGCTAATGAAGAGCAGGACTTTCGGTGGTTTCGCAGAAATAGAAGGCTGCCAGCTTGATTAATCCTACTTTAATGCAAGTAACACAGTATAAATACAAATCAAGTAACCGCTGAAAATGAGGGGAAGGAGGCGATCGGTTATATTTGGAATTTTAAAATAGCATCATGGATGTTTATATAGCAACTTACTAGGGATTGAATCGAGAAATTTCAAGGCGGTTATTGATAGGCTATCGGATTTTCCACTCAAACTGGGAGGTGCATTGCTGAGCGGGGTGATTATGTATCGACGTGGATGGTAGGGTGTAAACGAAACTGCCCCGGAACCCAAGGGGATTGGAGGGCACAGGATACAAATCCTACAGGCCATGTGAATACTAGCTGTGAGGTCATTTTGAACTCCGTACGAAATGGGTTTTTTTTAGCGCTCGTGATATATTTAGAGTCCCTTGAATATCAATGTAGTCCGTACACTCGCCCTCCTCGCGCGAAATTTCTCCGCTCACCTACAAAACCAGCAAGACTTATGCAGAGTGTGAGTTCTTAAATAATCTTACCATTCGAGATCCATTACAGTCTTTCGAGCTCTAGTTTGAGGCTCAGCGCGTTACAGGTCCATGTTGAGCACGCTTGGTACCTGTCATAGCAAGCCACTAATATGATCTAAACTGCCCAGGTGGTCTATGTGTGTCTTGGCAGCCTTGCAATTAATTACGATGAAGTCTTTTTTTTAAAAAAAAAAGAATACCCCCGAAGGTGGTCCGGTAGGAGTTAGTTGATTTCGACTCACTTTCAAAAACGTATAGTACCTAGTAGGTACCTTCTGATTTTCTCGTAGGCCTTGCCGTAACCCCGCGTACCACCTGGCTTTGCGTTGTCGACCTAGACAACGACATTAGCTACCTATTGTTCGCCACATAGATTTATTTGAATCACCGAGCAAGTATCGTCTGTGTAATCTTTTTGTAGGCTGTCCGATAAGTTCAGTGGTACTAATCTGCAATAGCATTGCTCGTGCCCCGGTGGGAGGGTTATTGAGCTTTTTGGTGTGTAGAGCGGCTACCTAACATCCAACTACCTATTCTGTGGAGGCTTTTTGTACTAAATGCATGGGGAAACGCACCTGGGTGTCATTCTTACTGCAGTTCCTGCTTTGGGCGTCTTGCAGGATGTCGCCTGGGCAGTGTGTCATCAACGATTGGATATTGGATATTGGATACCCACTATCGACAGCGCATGTTTTACTGCTATCTCAGCTCACGTCGTGGCTCTGTTACTCACCCACCAGCTTCTAAGTTGAAGACAGCCACGGTTAGGGCGCAAACTACCCCGCTTGTCACTGACTTGGAAACTGCACCTTTGTATCCGGTCTAAGACCATTAGAATCCAGCAAGGCACATTTAGTGTTCTCTGCTTGCCCCAAGCTCTAGTCTTGCAAATTATTTCTTTCTGTTAATCAATCTTTTAGCAATGAGTAGTGTTGCCAAATCTCAATCAAGCGACCAGGCAGAAATTGCCGAAATCGACCAGTTCAGTCCTGAGAAACTTGTTTCGCTTATATTTTACATTGAGAAATCTCCACTCTACGAAAAAGAAAAGCCATTCTTTCTCAACTTTCCCGTATCTGGTCCTGGGGAAAGACAATCAAACGTCACCCATAGTCGGCACGAAACTACCATTACGGATATTCGGGGTCATGAAAATCTCTTCTCTCTTGATACCACCGGATTTCAGTACAATCACTTCAAAACGAGGGTGCAATATGAGGATTTTGCCTCGCCTCAAGTGATTGAGAACACTTTTCTCAAAGAAGTAGAAACATTTTTGATTACGAAATTGAAAGCAGACTACGTCCTGGCCTGGGACTATCAGGTATAGCCCCTATTCAAAATTTGAAACAATCAACTTGACCTACGTTCTAATCAACTGCCCAAAGGTTCGGCGAAGAGATCCAACTTTGCCAGTCAACCATCGGGGTGAACCAGGGAAAGCGCAGCCTTTCAGGTCTGTTCATTGTGGTACGATATATCCTCTCTTGATTTCAACTATTTTCACTAATCTGAGACATTTGCAGACGAAAGTGCCAGAGGAGCAATGCGAAGATTGGGTCATTTCTATCCCGAGCTAGCCGAGAGGTATCGAGGCTGTCGGGTTCAGATATTGAAGTAAGTTCACGTCACATATCTTCCAAATCTTAGTTTCTAACAAAAGCTACTCACCATGTCCAGTTTTTGGAAACCACTCGTCGGCCCCGTCCAGGATGCACCCCTTGCTTTATGTGACTATCGCACTGTATCGCCGAGGGATAGAGTGCCGACAGATATCGTATTTCCTGATTACCTTGGAGAGACTTACAACTTTTGGGCAAATCCAAGACACAGATGGTATTACCTGGAAGGCCAGCTTGAAACCGAGGCGTTGATATTCAAATGCTTTGATTCTGAGAACTTCAAAGATAAGCGTATTGCTCAGTGTAGGTATAAGATTTCCACCTGAAACGATAAGAGCTGACGATGAGAAGTCAGCCCGCATGTCTCATTCATGTATCCAAACAGAGATCCCACGAACACTTCCTTCCGAGAAAGTATTGAAGTCAGAACATATGTGTTCTACAAATAAGATTGATGAGCGGCCAGGATGAATGGTTATAACCTTGACTGTATTCAACCTAAGTAGAAACCTCGAGTGATTATGTCGGTTACATATTTGTATTTTCTGATTTCATTCCAATGCTTGTTGAACTACCACTAGAGCAGAGATGTAGTCATTCACACCTCTAGTCGTAAGGTATCAGACCTCGGGGTCCTGGAGAAGATAAACATCTGACTTGACGCTTCAATAATCGTTGACCTCCAGGGCTTGCAATGTTTATTTGTCGAGGTCTGGGCCATTTGAATGATTCCAGTTTCAAGCACCTTCGGCACCCGTCGAATATGGGCCCTATGATTGATATTAGGAACTCGGTCAATACACCCAAGAATGTTTCAACAAAGTGAGCTTGATTGAGAGAAAAGAGATCTTACACAGCCTGCTCCCTGACAGGACGAGCAGTCAGTGGGGCAATATCCATCCGATGGTGCTGGTTCCAGCTCCGGATGAACCCAGTCATACCAAGGTTTATTGTTCATCTTTGTAGGGTCATTTTTCCATGTGAGCCAAGGCTTCGCGCACATTTCGCCGTCGGTAACCTTGGTAAGATCTGGCGGCCAGTATGCCCTCCAAGGTTGATGGAAGGCCCCCAACTCAGGTCTGCCATCCAAATCCCAAGGATCAACATTATCACTCAGGCTGGTCAGAGCCGAGAAGGTCATATCGAAAGGAGGAGAGGTGGACATTATGTTGTTCGGAGCAAAGCGATCAGGGGTATGTTATTGAAGTTATTTGTGATCACTACTAAAGAAAAATATTATGGATAGAAGACAATCGGCTAGAGAAAGAAATAGGGGACATATTTTATTTTCACTCACCGTGGAAGGGTGCCAAGGGCCAAAGCACACATGCATATGCAACGGGCCCGCCTAGGGATGAATGACATAAGCCGAGTTTGGGCCCCCGCCCGCACGGTTGATTGGCAACCTTCAACCTCGAAATATTGGAACCTAACCATCATCTTGCTCCACTATATCTACATAGGCCTCGGGCCCGAGATAAATTTCATAGTTGAACAATGGCACGTTTACACTGCTCGTTTTATGCCAAACTTCTCGTTGCTTTTGCTTTATTCTGTGCTATTTGCGCCGGCTTCATCGTATTGGGAAAGTCAGACACGGTAAACGTGTCTACCCAACAGCCCCCGTCAACATTCACGCTCTCCGATGCGACTTACCTAGTATCTCCATCCCCCAAGGTACATGACTCCTCTTTTTACGCATGGATGGGAACCATTAATGACTTTTTGATTCTCTTAGCACAAGAACCGACTCTCTCAAGGCGAGTTAATTTCAGTGCCATGCACCGTCATTCGTGTCTCCAATCCTCAGATTACAGAGCAGGACCTTCTTGCTATCCACAAAAAGCTTTCCCAGGACGATGTATGGATACAGAGTTTTCTCTCCTCCCTCATTCTCATATCCGATCAACCCCACCAAGCCGTCCAGCTCAGCAAAGCTGTCCAACAGATACTCGAAAATTGGAGCAGTCAAGTTTTACTTTCGGATAGCTCAGGACTTCTGGACCTCCCGTCTGGGCCTTACTATTTCAATAATGGCAATCTGCATGAAGTTTATCGGTTATATCCCGATACTGCAGAGGCGTTCATCAGCGCGACAATTCAGTCGCCCCATGATCCATATCTGTGAGACACATTGCCAGTGTTCACCAATGTTGACTGACCCTCGATAGCTACACATCCCTTAATGTTTCGGTATTCACAGAAGAATATCCTTCGGCCTTAACTCTCGGTGTTCCCTCCCGCTTATATTTTACGCCCACCGAAGAAAAGCCGCTGGCTGGGCTGCGCATTGCAATTAAAGATACACAAGATGTGCGCGGGGTAAAAACAACAGGTTCATCTCGCTCTTATGCTCGACTCTATGGGCCAAGAGAGAAAAGTGCCACCGGAGTGCAACGCCTTCTAGACCATGGCGCAATCGTGATCGGCAAATTGAAATCGACACAGTTTGGTGAGAGCGAATGGGCCACCTCTGACTGGGTGGACTACCATGCGCCGTGGAACCCACGTGCAGATGGATATCAAACCCCTAGCGCGAGTAGTTCAGGCAGTGGCGCAGCTGCCGCTGCCTATGACTGGCTTGATCTGTCTACAGGAACAGATTGTACGTGCATCTCTCACTCATATTTTAATCAAGCTCGAATGACTGATATGGAAACATAGGCAGTGGGAGTGTCCGGGCTCCCGCCGCCATTCATGGCGTATTCGGGATTCGGCCATCCACTGGTGCGATAGACAATGGAGGTGTTATCCCATTTTCAAAGAATTTCGATACCTTCGGACTTTTCACAAGAGATATTGATACTCTTTCAAGAGCATCATCGGTTCTTTATAACCAGGACGCGGAAATAACTACCTGCTTCAAGGTAAGAAAGTCCATGGGCCCTCTCATATGTACCCATGCTTACACTGCAGCAGAAACCCACGCGTATCGTATACCTTACAGAATACTGGCCGGTTGAAGATGAGGCTAGCTCAGTGGTCTTTGAACGCAACATTCAACAGCTTGAGAAAACTCTTGGCACAAAGCGAACCGAACTCAGCCTTGGCAAACTTTGGTCAGAAACGAACCCAGTCGGAACCAATCTCTCGATTGATGACTTTTTCAACAATACCTTTGTCACTGCATCTTCCCCAGATCAATGGGACATGCTTAAGAATTTTCATGCAGAGTACCACGATGCCTTTGGCCATGCTCCTCCGCTCAACCCCCAACTCCAATGGAAAATGTGAGTTTTTCTACTGATTTGCAGTGGAAATTGAATAATTACGCGTACTGACAACCCTGAAGGGAGTTCCTGCCCTCTCAAACAGTGGAAATGCAGAAACAAGGAGAAAAGGAGATTGAAATATTCCGTACTTGGTTTGAAAAGCATGTCATGCTGACCGACCAAGACGGTTGCTCTGAAACTATCTTGGTGTTGCCATGGACGCAAGGCCAACCTAGCTACAGGGACGAATACCGGGAGTAAGTATTCTGCTGTTAGTTATATGCTGATCTCGCTAATAAATCACAGACGTCCATCTTGGATTGGTGATGGCTGGTTCTTCTATTTCATTTCCGTCTACGCCGGAGCCCCTGAAGTCATTGTGCCCAGTATGTCACCTTTTACTTCTACCTTTGTTGCTCTGCATAAGGACTGACTCAAAATAGTTGGCCAAACGCCATATGAATCTCGTTTAACGAAGCGGCAGGAATGGCTACCCGTTGCAATTGGGCTGGTAGGTGCAAGAGGTACGGATGCGGCCTTTGCCTCCTTCGTCAAAGAAACCATGGAGAATGCAGAACTCCCGACGACAGTGGATGCTGGGCGAAACGCCTTTAGCCCTAACACATCCATGGGCAACAATGCTGTCAATGTTTCCCCAGAAAGAAAAGCCGCACATCCAGAGCTCAAATGAAGGGGATGGCTGCTCCTTGCTCGGCGTCTCAGCCCCGGATTAGGTTCTCATTAAAGGGCTTTTTGACATGCAGTATGCACTGGAAAGGGTAGATCATGGATAGTTGCGGACTTTCTGGGTGTGGTACTGTCTGGGCTGGGGTTTATCTTCTTCCGGTTTCCACTATCTAAGCTTAACCACACCAGTTATTACCTGGGCACATTCCCTCGGCCCTAAGCATTCCCATCCATTGTTTTGATTCCTTTGGCGATAACTCCTCTGGAGTTGTCAATCCACCCCTCTTTTAATGCTAACACGGGAATATCCGCTTCTGAACACCTTCTTAGGCTCAGATTGAGCAAGGTATTGTCCTTGAAAAAATACACATTCTCTATCCGTTATGGAGAAGTAATCAACAATTAGCTTCTGGCTACTCAGGTTTTATCGCTCGGCTGCCTCTTTCCTTCCCCAGGAGTGACATCAACTCATCTTGATTGGCAATCACATTCTTCTTTGCCGCTTGAATAAGCGAATCGGAAATCACAACCTCGGATTGATCTTTCAAGAAGTACTCGACAGCGAATAGGTCACACCTTTCCAAAAAGACCTCTGCGACTCCCTGGGGATCAGAGAATAGCAATTGTGCGCGTGAGTTCTCTAAAAAGAAGCCCCTCGAGAAACCCTCAACGACACCGTCCAAGCCGTAATTATTCTCATGTTCAGAATCATAAGGGTACTTGGCTAAATTTGAAGGAGTGATTTTGGGCTCTTCGTCATCACAGGGGGGTGCAAGATACACAAGCGCACTTATCTTCCCCCTGTACGAGGCTTCAGGATCCTGGAAGATGGCGTCGCATATACCTTCCAAAGTGACGCTGAGGTCTGACCGCTGATCAAAAAGCCATCGGAACGCGTCTAGACGGCCGTTGCATACTGTTGCTCGCAACACTCTTTCTGTAATAGGAATTGAGTCTATGTAATCGATGAGAAGCTTGATGATCTCTTGGAGTTCTTCCGATGTAGCCTCCTCCGTAGCAACGATGAGGATTTCTTCCATAGAGGGGATATGAATGATTTGCCGTTGATTGTAGAGCCACTTGAAACCCTCTCGTAGGTCGTCGTCGTATAGAACTCCAAGAAGAACATTTTCTGTAACAGGAGCGGAGCCTGTGCGATCGATCATAGCTTCCACAACCCATTGAGGCAGTTTCAAATCATATTTTTCCATAACAGCGAGGAGGACATCTTCCGTAAAAGGCTCATCGCTGCTTCGCGGCTGATCCAAGAGCCACGGGAACAATTCAACTAATTTTTCGTTGGACAATACCTCTTCAAGCACATTTCCTATGATAGGAGCTGAGCCTGTGCGGTTGACAATAGATTTGACAACATACTGGAATAGGTCTGGATCACGGTGACCCGTTACAGCGATGAGAATTTCGATGCGAAGAGAATGGTTGTTTCAGGAGGCAGCAGTTCGTCCAATCATATCATTGTAGCTCAGCTGGGAGGATCAGTGCGGCAGTCGCGCGACTTGGGTGATTCTCACACCGACTGTCACCCTGTCTATAGCGCACTCACCCTTGTCACCCCCGGTCGCGCGACCGTAAAGCGGCGCTCAGCCATTTCTCACCCGGGCTACACCCACCGAACTATTGACTGCACATAAGCCACACGCCGGTGAGTTAGTAGTTGGGTGGGTGACCACCAGCGAATCCTCACTGTTGTATGTTTTTATTTTTGTTCTCGAGAGTATGTATGTATACTTGGCTGTCTTTTTATTCGAAATAATTATCGAGTAATGGTGATCGGTCGAGTAAAGAATGTCTTGGCTAAGCCGGGAACAAAGAATTAGGGATTGGGGGTAAAGTGCTCCTTTAGGTATGGCCTAGGCGTGGACTATGTAAGCGCTCATAGATATCTCTAATCCCGAGGTCAATCTAAGCAATCATTGAGCAAACAAGTCTCCTCGCACGTATTTCAAGCCAGTATCACAGGCAACTGTGACCAAATTCTTTCCAGGGCCAAGTTCTTTTGCTAGCTCAATTGCAGCAACCACATTCAGGCCAGTAGACGTTCCCGCAAGAATACCCTCCTCCTTAGCCAATCTTCGTGCCATAGAGCGACCTTCGGCTTCTTCGACCGCAAGGGCATTATCGTAGAGTTCTTTGTTCAGCATTGGGGGCAGAAAGCCAATGCCAATACCCTCGACGGAGTGTTGACCTCCATGCCCTTTGGTGATAACAGGGGCAGAGGCTGGCTCGATAACAGTGACTTGGCAGCTCGGGTTATGAGACTTCAAGATCTTAGAGACCCCCATGACCATCCCCGCGCAACCAACAGCACCGCAAAAAGCATCAATGCCATCGGGTATCTGCTTCAGTAGTTCACGGCCGAGACCTTGGTAGCCGACGACAACATCATGGTTGCTGAATTGATCTGCATAGTAGTGATCACTGGCCCGAGAAAGCTCCTTAGCCCTCTCACGCATTTCAGGAATGAGCTGCGGTGTAATCTTTCCCGTCGGCCTGTGGAGGACTTCGACGTTTGCTCCAAATGCAGCCATTGTCTTCAACTTTTCCTCCGCGAAAGCATCTGACGATACCACTGTAAAGGAGTATCCTTTGACGGCGCAGACTAAAGCAAGAGATGATCCAGTGCTGCCACCAGTTGCTTCGACGACCGTCATTCCCGGCTTCAGATCGCCACGTCGCTCTGCTTCTTCGATGACAGAACACGCCATGCGGTCTTTGTAGGAACCGGTCGGGTTCAAGCCTTCGAGCTTGATGAAGACACGGGCACAATTTTTTGGAACCACATGTTTGAGCTCAACACAAGGTGTATTGCCAATTGCCCCCAGGACATTCTGCGCATATGACACAGTCGACATGGTAGGGCTACTTGATCGGACCTCCGGCGTTCGTGTGAAGATAATGAGATAGCACCAGGACCATCAAAGAACTTTGGGGCAGCACGTGGAGTGCTGTTCTTTTAAACCTGTAATCCGAAATTAGCAAATTTGAATAGTAGCGTGTACAACTGTATGGAGTTTTGGAGGTCAAAAAAAGGCCCAATGGATGACCATGGGAATGCCCCACTACCGGCCTTCTCATTGGTTCATCCAGCGTCTCGGGAGCGTTCTAAGGTTATCACCATTTCTTGGCATTTTGGGGAAATGGGGAAGGCGCGACAGCAGGAGTTCCGTGTATCAGATCTTGGGGACATTTGGAGACAATCAAGGCTGCAAGTTCTACAATTATCTTGTATGAGACAGTCACATCCAAGGATCGCCTTTCATTGAGATTGTAAGTCAAATTCCCGTGGGAAGCCGGACATGATCCGATTCCTAAATATAGTTACTCAGGGCTTGCAGAAGGCGGGACCTGGAAAGGAGCTATTCTGTCTCATAACTCAAACATCGATCATCTTACTGATGCTACCTATGTATGGCGAAAAAAGGAGCTGGGTATGTTCCCGGCCGATAAAGCTTGGCTTTGCGTACTGGATATACGCTGAATATAGACATAGTATGCGACACGTCCAATGCCCTCAAGGCAGAGACAAGAACAATTTCTTAAGCTTAGGGTAGTTTGGTGTGCCCAAACCGGTGGCTGGATCCCACCTGTACATTTTGTCAGCAAGATTCTATTATGATCGACTCGATCAAAACTCACCCTCGGATAGCACTGAAGCCATCTGAACCACACCCAACATTTGTACCATTGGTGATATCGTTAAGCACCTCCGGGTGGGCATAGAGCACCGGGTTCACAAAGCCGACAGGGCTCTTACCCTTAGCAAGGCGCTCCTCGTTGATCTATACAAGTCAATCAGCATGTGCTCATAATAGACCTAAGCCTCAACTTACCAGACTCAGAACAGATGCGAACAAGGGCGAAGACAGACTGGCACCATAATAGTGATGAATTGATCCCCCAGTGTAGGCAGGGAACAACGCGCCATTCGCCGAGACATCGGGATAAGCACGCCCAACACGGTTGTAAAGTCCCTTTGTCGTGTTTAGGTCGACATTCAATTCAGAATAATGCGGGTATGTCAACTTGGCCCTTTTGAAGTACTTCTCAACGGCAGACTTTTGGTACGACGGCTGTGGGAAGTAGTTCGAGAACCCGCCAGAACTGCTGAAGTTGGCTGCTGTGCCACCCAAGTCGGCATGCATCACACTCTCTGCGTCCTTGACCGTCTGGTCTTTGTACAGCATTGTGCCTCCGACAGAGGTGACGTAGGGACAGTTCGATGGGTATTGGGGGTTGAAGATCTTGCCTTCAGGTCCTAGACATCCGTTCTCGGAGCCATCACCGTGGAATGAGGCAACTCCGTAGTCACCGGAGGCAAAAAGGATGGAATGACCTTGTAGACCAAGCTTCAGGAACTCGTTGCATTGGCGCTTTGTGTAGGCGACTGGGAGGTCGGCTTCAGCCTGGCCATAGGAAGCACTGATGACGTTTGTGGGCTTGTATACACCACATTGAAGTTTGCCTGTCCGGTGTCAGCGACTGGCGTATTTTACTATAGCTCAACCTGGAAAAACAATTACCTTTGTAGCCATCGGGATGGGGGTTGGGATAGACTGGGTCAATGTCTGGGTTGTCGCCGGTTTCCCCAAACGCGCTGTACGTGCAGTACGACTAAGTTTATTAGCAAGGAGCTTGATTTAGATGGAGTTGACTCACCCCATCGAGTGCATCGAGGAATGTGTTGAACAGGTTAGTGCTTGCGACCTCGATTGGCTCGTATATTTGGTCGTCGACCTGATACAAGGTCACAGATTGTGGATAGATCAGAGCATAGCTTGATCCCAGTTAGCAAAAATCACGAACCGATGATCAATTCTTTCACTCACGCCATGTCAATATCAATGTCTGATTCTCCGGTGTTCAGTGGGCTATAATCAGGCACGGAGAAATGGGCACCATCGATCAAAGCCGGAATGGGATATGTACCCTGCGGGATATGAGGAGCATAATCTCTCCAATAGAGATCAAGGTCCGACTTGGCAAAATAGTCACCCTGTTCGTAAAGACCAAGCGAGTTATCCTTATGGGCTTTAGTAGCATCGGGGATGTGGTACAAGGCCTTGATACAGGCCGGGGTCATGTCAGATCCACAAGACTGAAGCTCTGCAGGAAGGGACAGTGCCTCAGCGGGTATCACCTTAGCTTCGGCGATGGAACCGGATTCCACGCCTTTCTGGGAATGAGCCAAGTGGGATGCCCGCTTTGCCATTGAGCTTTTCTTGACAATGGGGCTGAGCTTGACTCCAGGGGTGATGTAGTCAATGTGATGTTGAATATGCTCTGGAACATGATACCTAGGCGACATGTCAATTTAATAGCCCGTGTGATCATGGTGCGGTAGCTCTTACTCTTCACAGCCAATCTTCAAACTGGATGTGCTGGCATGTTGATGCTCATAAAACTCGGTCATGAATAATCTTTCGACTTCATGGGCGTGAGCATCGAATGCAAGCCACCCTTTGTTATCTGAGTGCACAACGCGGGACTCGTGGATCCCGGAGGACTCGAGCCAGCGACGAACAGACTCAACAGCATCTTTTGAGGGCGCGAAGAGATCATGCACTTCCTCTGCCGACCAGTACTGACCGTATTTTGGAGAATTGGGATCAGACCTGTTTGTGGTTTAGTGACATTGTATGGGCAATTACTTCGACAACCTGATACTTACACTTCCATCAGATACTCATCACCCTTATCTAGATTAGCCTGAGTAAGGCCTATCCGCACCGGCAGCACAGAATCACGCTTGACCCGGTCACCCTTCACCCAGTCGGCATGTAGGCTCCGCTTTTCGTGCAAGACATGCTTCACCGGGGCCGGGACGGCGGTTGAGACTGTGGCGACCACCAAAGCAACGCAAATTTGGCGGAGCAACATTGTGAAGAATCAAAACACAATCCTCATTGTATCCAGAGCGGGGGGGGCCTTGATATACATGCACTCCAATGTTGTGATTGCAACCCTAACTTTCATCCGTGATAACAGACAGGAACCAATATAATCGGTGATTGTGATTGGGCGAAGAAGTTTAGTGCCTGCATGATTGAGACACTCGGGGCAGGGACCCGAACAAGATCTAAGACTTAGCATCCCTGGCGGGAGGATGAGCTTCGGCGTTCAATGCCTGAAACATCCGGAAGAGGCGTTTGTGCGTCGCCCATAGCTGTGTGTCGAAACGATATCTGCACTCCTGATGTGCGACTTTTTGGATCTCTGAAATGTCCACGGGTTTTTTCAGGCTGGGGCTTGCGAAATTGATAGGAGGTCCGGTGTTAGCCCGGGGAGCACCCCTCACGACATCGGAGCTCCGGCGGAGAAAGACATTAAGCTAACGGCGTGATTGCGTCGCATGATCACATCTAGCCAATAGGCCAATGATTGAAATGAGAGAGAAAGGTGCCTGGGTTAGCCCCGACGGCCCCGGGTAAACCTTGGAAGTAAGCTTTATTTAACTCGAGGAAAATGCCTTGGAACCCCAAACCTTGGAAGTACGTCTCGGCACAAATAACATCGATATTGCGCCATAAAAAAACTTCATAATCGGGAATATGTGTGTATTTCTAAATCATAAACAAGAAAAAAGCTATCATCATCATATCGAATATCCATCAATGGAAACCACCTTGTAGATGGCATCGTTTTTTACGAACAAGGAAAAGGGAAGAAGACACCGAAAGACGACAACCAACTAGTCAATCTAGTGGTGGAACAGACGGATACCCTGCTCGACAAAGGTGATACCCAGCTTCTCAGCAGTCTCGAAGACAGGGGTGTCGTTCTGGCTACCGGTGGGGGCGGCAATGTACTTGACACCTGAGCGGGCAGCGCGGAAGACGTTGTCAATGAAGGGGAAGAAGGCATCGGAAGAGACAGCGACTTCGCTGAGCTTCTGGAGCCAAGCCTCGCGCTCCTCGGCAGTGAAGGGAGCGGGAACTTCCTCGAAGACGCGCTCGTACTCGACGGTCTCGGCCTCGCTGCGAGGAGTCTGACCAGAGCAGAGCAGGTCGATGGCGTTGGACTTGTCGGCACGCTTGGTGCCAGCCTTCCACTTGATGCCGATGACGCGCTCGTGGAAGCGCATCCACCAGTTGTCGGCCTTGTCACCGGCCAGACGGGTGCAGTGGATACGGCTCTGCTGGCCGGCTCCGAGACCGATGACCTGGCCGTTCAGCGCGTAGCAGACGGAGTTGGACTGAGTGTACTTGAGGGCAATGGTGGCGACGGTCAAGTCACGGAGAGCGGCCTCGGGGAGAGAGGCGGAGTTCTTGGGGGTGATAACGGTGTTGAAGGTCTTGCTGGGGGAGATGACAACGTCGTTACGGTGCTGGGTGAGCTGCACACCGTAGAGAGTGCGGGTCTCCTCGGGGGCGGGAGTGTACTCCTCGTCCATCTGGAGGACGAGGTACTTGCCGCCCTTCTTCTTGGAGAGGATGGCAAGAGCCTCGGGTTCGTAGCCGGCGGCGATGACACCGTCGGACACCTCGCGAGAGATGATCTTGGCGGTGGGCACATCGACGATGTCGCTCAGAGCGAGGATGTCACCGAAGCTGGACATGCGGTCGGCACCACGGGCACGAGCGTAGGCCTGGGCCAGGGCAGAGGTCTCGATGTCCTTGATGTCGTCCACCATGTAGACCTTGCGCTCCTTCTCGTTGAGGGGCACACCGATGGCAGCACCGGCGGGGGAAACGTGCTTGAAGCTGGCAGCGGCAGGGAAGCCGAGAGCCTGCTTGAGCTCCTTAACCAACGGCCAAGCGTTCAGGGCATCGAGCAGGTTAACGTAACCAGGAGAGCCGTTGAGGACCTTGAAAGGCAGCTTGCCCTGGACGGCGTAGGCAGAAGCGGGCTTCTGGTGGGGGTTGGTACCGTAGCGCAGAGACAGCTGCTGGTCACCGTTGCCGGCGTACTCCTTGCGGAAGAAGCCAGAGATAGCAGAGTCATAGTCGGCGGTCTGCTCGAACGCCTTGAGGGCGTACTGCTTGCGGCTAGCCTCGTTGATCTCGCCAGCCTCGAGCTCCTTGAGGAACTCGGGGTAGTCGTTGGGGTCTGACAGAATAGTCACACGCTTGTGGTTCTTGGCCGCAGCGCGGAGCAGAGTCACACCACCGATATCGATCTCCTCCACGGCCTCGTCGATAGTGACGTTGACCTTGGCGACGGTCTCCTTGAAGGGGTACAGGTTGCAGACGACGTAGTCGACCTTAGAGATCTTCTGCTCGGCGAGGTCCTTCTGGTCGGACTCAATGTCACGGGCAAGGATACCACCGTGGACAGCGGGGTGGAGGGTCTTGACACGGCCGCCAAGCATCTCGGGGGCGTGGGTGATGGCGGAGACATCCCTGTCAGGGTCAGAGACTGTGTTTGGCGGGCCAATGCCAATCGTAGAGCATTGTTTGGTCCAGGAGAAGATAGGTTACTTACTCAACGGGGAATCCAGCCTCACGGATCATCTTAGCGGTACCGCCAGACGCGAGAAGACGGACCTCCTGCTTGACGAGGCCCTTGGCCAGGTCAAGGAGACCAGTCTTGTCATAGACGGAGATGATAGCTATTCCACGTCCAAGAGGAGCATGTCAGCATTGACCGTGAATCACTTCAGACAAGCACTATCGCAGTCCGGGGAATGCCCGATCTATGGAGCCCAAGAACCTACCGGACTTTTGAGACATGATGGATCCGACAATCGGCACTGACAGACACTGTTAGCAAGGTTGAGAATTGAAGATTAACGGCCTCAATGCGGGACATACCTAAATCCAGTGACAGAGTATAGATGACGAAAAGTAAAAAAAACGCAGATTCGAACTTGTCCCGCGGGGTCACCGCAATCGGCGAGGGGCTGGTATGATAATGGTTATATTACGTATCTTACCATTGGCAATTACGAAAATCGACTCCGCTGTATTGACCAATCAGAGCTCCCTATTTGACAGCAGTGCTTAGCGCCGCACGTGACCAGCGGCGCATAAAAGAAAATTTCGATTTGCGCCATCTCTCCTTCTTTTTTCTTCTTCATGAACAACGCAAAATCACATTCTACTCAAAAAGCGTTCCTACGAAGACTTGTCTGATGAAGTACGGAAATCGTATAGAGAATGGAGAACAAGTACCAAATGGTAAAGGTATCGATCTTGGGTGCAGTGCCTGCTTGACCTCTGGTCATGTAGTAGGGATTGCAATGATTGGTTCCACAAACCCATCAGTATCATTGTTTCAATTTGAAAAAATCAATTACATTTCTACAAGTCTCAATTTCCAGTCAGATTCGCTGTAGCCCTAATGTGCGGGAGGCACTTATATATTTGAATAGTTAGATCAACTAGACGTCGACGTCTCATAGGTTCTCAATTGAGGGTATAGCATAACCTCAATACATGAAGATGTCAGGGCCCCTTCAGCGGCTTGGACGTGAGCAGCTGTCACCCGGACAAATTCTGGAATCTATGTTCGTAGATCCTTGACAGGGAACTTGCTCTATTTGGTCAAGCTCATAATACCTTACCAGCCTAGCTCCAAATTGTTGCCAGTCGGTCTCGCTTCCATCTAGATCTACAACTGACGTAGTTAGGTAGTTATCAAGATCTGGGCAAACGGTCTGTCAATAAGATACTTCCAAGGTTGGTAGTCGTCGGAGCGGAGCCTTTCAATTACTATTCTCTACAGAGATATAAATTATCTGTACACATAACTATACGCCCTCACAAGGCGTTTCTCAGCTCTGACCGAAAGTTCAAGTTGGACAAAACGTCGAGCGAATCATGGCTTCATGGTATCTCTGTTCCCGGCACCGATAGCAAGTTGTCGGCCAACATTTCCAAAGCAAACGCAAGCGCAGAAAATCACACTGGCGACCCACACGCGCACAGCCAAGCTCTCTTGCGTAATGCCAGCGCCCAGCGTGGTTTCGAGTCCTGTTCCGTTCAGAACACCAGTACCGAATGACGGACCGGTTGACGCGGGCACAAGCTCTGGCTTGAGTCCGAGGATCACACCCATTCCGGTCAAGCCAACGGTGGTGGAGAGCACGAAGCCAGTCTTCGTGCGATCGATCAGGTACCACAGGACGGGATTGGCGAGGGCAAGAGTAAGTGACGCTTGGGTGGTAGATTGCCAGGGAAGTTTTCGCTGAAACAAGGAAAGATACAAGGTTAGCATGGATAAATTAGACCACAGCTCAATCTCACTTACCATAGCAAAGGCAATTCCAACAAAAGCTCCAACGCTGCGAGCAACAGTCACCCAAGACGGAGTGCGGTCTTCGCTCTCCTCATCATTGGAGCCACCATCCTTCTCAGCTGTCGCCTCACGCCACCCATCCAACCAAGGAAGTAGATTGCCGAGCGCAATACCGACCAATCCCCAGAAGCCCAGGTAATGCCATGAATCATAATAATGGATGTTCTCCAGCTTGACAGGCGTGATCCAATGGTTCTCGTGGAGATTCACTGTAATGACACCGTAAGCAATACCAAAGCCAAATAGCAGCGCCGAGCTCAGCATCTGAGGCAAGATGACACCCCTGAACAGCCCTTGGCTCAAACGGGAGCGTGTGCGCCGCAGTGCCATCCGCCGCGGCATGATGGCTGATTTCTCGGCTGCGCGTTGCGATGGCTCGGGCGGGTACTCTGCGGCTGGGGAGTTGGCTTCAGTGCCCCAGGGGCTGGACTCATCGCGGAACCCATCAAAGGCAGTGGGTGAGTAAATGCCGTACAGCGTGGAGGAGGTGAGGTTCATCACGGAACCGGTACGGCTGACGCTCGTCGAGTTGGATGCTGTGTCGGGCTGCAGGCTGTGGGAATCTGTCATGGACTCAGCGGGTGTTGGGGGGCCGGACGATTCGGTGGATGCGGGGGTCACATCGAAGACTCGTCTGGGGCGAGGCCGGAGGATGCGAGATTGTTCGGCCATGGCGTTGATGGGTTGGCGCGCAGTGAGGATGGAGCTCGGCGAGTGCTTAGGAGAAAATTGATTCTCCGATGGTCGGCGCGGCTGAACCAAGCTGGAATTTGAGCTTCGCGGTTCGCGCGTCTGACGGATTGTCTTAGGTAATTCGAAGGTTGCTGGTCACACGCGAGGTATGCACTCCGGTCAAAAGTTATAGACGCAGGTGGAAAGGAGTAGCTTGGCGGGGAGGGCAAAAAATTCGGGGAGAATGCAACCTCGGATCAATTGGCTATAGGAGAATTTGTTGGGACAGGCCGAATACGTCAAAACGACAGTAAGGGGGCTCAATAATTCGCTGAGGGCCGTTAGGAATCCGCTCCGTGCTGTTGGCTGCAGGTGTTATCCACTTTGCCGCTGTTCTGGTGCTCGTATGATGTTGATCAGCTGAACCTGGAAGGTCTCAATCCGGTAAGAAAACGAGTACGAAGTAGATTGGAAATGGAGAATTGAACTGAAGTACAGAAGTCAGAAGTCCCACGTCTTTAAAAGAGTCGAAGTATACGAAAAGAGGAGAAAAGAGGGGGAATATATTATCACATGCAGTTGATCTGTTGCATTGCATACGGGACTTTTTTGAGGCGATATTTTTCCTACAAAAGCGAGATACAATTCCGAAAAGTATACATGACGCCCTCCAAGAAAATAAAAGTAGATCATGAGGTATGAAACACATGAAAAAGAGAAAAGAAAAGAGAACAAAAGGGAATCAATCGCCAGTATTAATCTTCCATCGCATCGTCTGCATAACCTTCCCCGCGTTGATCGGCTGGCCCCCTCGGAGGGGGGACGAAGCCTCATGTCGTGCGTAACCATTGACACCTTCGTATGACGAATTATCATCGTCTTCTTCGTCCTCGTCAGAAAAGTCGTCGGGTCGAGGGGCGTCATCTTCGTCGCCGGAGCCCTCCCCGAGAAGCTCACGGTCCAGATCGTCAAGCTCGCCTTCCATGTAGTCGTCAGGTCCGTGCTCTGGATCCCAGTTCGGGGTACCCAGTGCCGACGCACCAAGGCCGTCAGCCTTGGCACGAGACACGGGCTTCTTCCCTGTGCCTGGGGTCCCCGTCACACCGGACTTGCGTTTGGCCGCACTGGGACGGGCCCGTGGACGAGAGCGATTATGAGCGTTGCGCAGATCAGCCTCGAGAACGGCCTTGGCGTGGTATCGCTCCTCGCGTTCCCTCTTACGATCTTTCTTGGGGCCGTTCGCCTCTTCGTAGTCCCAGCGGTCAAGTCGGCGCGCCGCTTTGCGTACCACGGAGAGGAAGACGCTGGCACATTCACCAAAGTCATCCTCTTCGTCTGGGTTGGGGAAGAGGCCACCCTTCCCCCAGGAAACTTCGTCGTCGTCTGTATCGTAGCCTTCGGGCAGGCCTTGAAGGAGGCGACCGTAGCGCCCGAAAGGAATTTCATGCTCCCGCTTCGCACGCAGAACACGGTACGCATTAGATTTGCGTTTGGCAAGCAGATAGTCAATTCGCTGTCGTCGATTTTGCTCAACGGCAATCTGATGTTGTGTGAGCGGCCGTGGTCGACGACCAGGGACCGTTGAAAGTGATGGCTCGGTGATGAAGCGGTTGAGTACTTGGTGAGAATGGCCCTGGGGTGCGGGAGACGCATCGGGAGTATGTTCCATCCTAGTTTTCAAGACGAGCCGCTGCTGGCCCATGGCTCGATTGAGGGAGGATTCCCGCTTAGCCTGCTTAGGACGCGGACGTGAATATCCAGGGGTCATTTCGTCTTCGTCGTCATCCAAACTCCGTTTGACAGAGGGGTGGAGAGGGGTAGACATGGCGGAGCCGCGGCCTCCCATGCCAGAGTAATCCCCCGCAAACGAGTCTTCGTCAAAGCCGAATTCTGCAGGAAACGGGTCAGCGCTCGCTTCATGTGTTGAAGGAACATCAAGATACAATACCTTTTTTGGGGCGCTTGGGAATGCGCGGCAGTGGCTCCTCTTCTTCCAGAATACCTGCATAAATGTTAGTCACTGACGAGGAAGTTCATTATCGCCGCACGTACGCTTGCGTTCCAGACGCTTAGATTCACCATATTCCTGCTCTTCGGGCGTGTCTTGATTCTCTTCATTGGCTTGTTCCTCCGTCAAGATATCAAAGGGAGGCACTTTCAGTGGCAATCCCTCAGAGCCCTCACCCTCCAAGCCCGCACCGAAAGGATTGTTCAGAGCAGCCTCGCGGCTGAAATCGCTCTCTAAGTACCACCACATCAACCACAGGAATGCCCGAGCACGACTTTGACTACTGAGAGTCGATCTCATAACAAGATCAAAGAAATCCCGCGGGGGAAGAAATGTGTTTCCGACACTTTGGGAGCATATTGCGCCAGAACAAATATCAAATTCACCGGGTTGGTGCGAGGTACGTTCTGTCGCTTGATCTTTTCGAGAGTATTGGGCTGTTCATAGTCTTCGGAGGCGCCCTTCAGGATGGACTTAAGGCGCGGTGCATCCTGTAGCTGCTTGTACGCATTGGAGTCCTGGTGCGCTTGTAGTGAGGGGATCGAGTGGTAGGTTCGCAATTGAGCGCGCATCTCAGGGAAGACTAGAAAACGGAAACGAACACAGTTAGCATTTTCGAGATCAGATATACTGGCAGATATGACATACAATTCAGGGTTGTGTTCATGCGACCGAAATTGACTAGCAAGCAGACCATCGCCATGCTGACAGCCGCGGGCTTGTCGCTCTGTAGCTTGTCCTTCAGAATCTTGCTGGTCTTGCTGCTCCTGGCCATTGCATCGATGTAGACATCCGCAAAGTCCAGTCCCTTTTGTCCATCAGGCCACCGCGTGAACACGGGGGACTTGTCTTCAAAGACCAGCTTCAGGAAGTCATATTGAATATCTTTGCGCCAGAGAGGAATACCATCCTCCTTCTTCAAATGCCGAATCTTGTTGCCCGAGTAGACAGAGCCAATTGTACCATTCGCTTGCCGCCGTGTACCGACCGTCGCGCTGGCGGTCAGGTTGGCGTCGTCTGCGACTTCGGAGACCGCAAAGGACTCGTCCATCATGCTGTTTTCGATATCGGCCATCTCGGATGGCTGTGGGCGATGACTTCGTTCGCGATCAAATCCAGAGAGATCGGAGGTTGGGGTAGAGCTGCCCCCTAGGAGGCGCGGATGAATGATTGCAGCCGAAGTACAAAGTACGATGGGACGAAAAAGAGAGAAAGGATGAATGGAAACAGGCCAAAAACACACAAAACAAGAAGGAGTGCCAAGGGTCAAAAGGAAAAAAGGCAGAGAGTTTCGGGAAAAATGAGGAATAAAGCAGTGCCGAGAGTGAGGTCTAATAGCTGTGATATCTACCCGTGAGATTCTTTGCGGCATAATGCCACGCACTATAACCATGCATTCTTGTACGTGCTTCGGTTAGATGGCCTATTTGCCTTTTTATTTAGTGGGAGGCATTCTTTTTTTATTCCTCGATCGTGACATTGTTGATACCAAAATACACTATATACGTAAATTGTAATAGTTAGACTTCATATTCCTAATCGTTGTATATAAAACGCATCATATAACATAACGACTTGATACTCCATGTTCCATGCTCACTACTATAAGATGAACCTCAGTACCTACTCAACTACAAGACGAATATGAAGAGGATTGTTCGAAATTGCATTGGATAAGAGAACTTTCCTTCTCGCGGCCATAATCCTTTTGTGTGTTCCCAGTCGAGAGAACCCATAACACATACTAAAGCGGCGGTGACAATCCTCGGTCCGAGAAAAATGATAGGAAATAAAAGCAAAGTGCTCCCGCTCGGAAACAATCAGCCTCCACGGACCCCGGACATCAAGCCAACGCCATACAGAATGCAAAGAATACCATGTTTTCGTTTTGATGGTCACACCATGAAACCCGGAGAAGTCATTCGAAAAGCAGAACGCAGGCAACAAAGTCCGCCATGAGATACCGACGCTGTAAAAAGTCTATGCCGCACAATCAATGCAGCTACAACAACACCGAGATAGATGCGAATAGAAAAACGAGAACTTTTCGGGATGATGAAAAGTCATCATTCTCCGCTCGGCGCACGCGCGTCACTCGAACGTGTCCCGGTAGGAACGCTCGAACATAAGGGGTATCTGACGAGAGCGGACGTAGGGGCAAAAAACAAAAAGCAAAGAAAGAGGAAAGACAACGCATTCTATGATGTTCATGCAATGTGGATCACAACCTGCTCAAGAAGAAACGTCCTCTCAGAGCATTATCGTAAGACCGCATTGCGCGTATGCCTCCTGTCCATGCAGGGCAGCCGAAGCCCATAGAACAGCGAGGAGGCACGGGTGGAACAGCAAAGTGAAGAAAACATTAAAACATGCGCACTGGAAGGAGAACAAGAATCTAAACAAGCTAAGAAAAGTCGTGGCAGTCATGACAAAGCCGTCCCTGGGAGGAATAACAGGGGGAAGAGAGGAAACCCAAGGACTCGTTCTGATCGTATCCGTCAAGGAAACACAAGGAAAAATAGCGATGGAGCAAATCAGACTCAGCGGCCTCGTCAAAGGACCACGACGAGTTTACCACCAGGAAGAGGGGCCGGATGAGCCAGAGGGGTTGCCGTAGCTACCGCCGCCGCCGTAACCACCGCCGTAGGAGGGAGCAGCAGCACCGCCGTAGCCACCGCCACCGCCGTAGGAAGGAGCACCACCGCCAGCGCCGTAACCGCCGCCGCCGAAGGAGCCACCCATACCCATGCCGCCAGGAGTGCGACGAACATCACGAGTAGCAGCAGCACCACGGCCACGGCCACCACCACCACGGCCACGGCCGCCGAATCCGCTGCCCTCACGAGCAATGCTCTCGAGGAAAGAGGGGACCTCCTGGTGGGCTTCCTTGAGGAGCTCAAGCAGATCACGAACAACACCGCGGTTGCCACGGTTGAAGAAAGCAGTGGCGATACCAGTGTTACCGGCACGACCGGTACGACCAATACGGTGAACGTAGTCATCGATGTCGGTGGGAAGATCGTAGTTGATGACGTGGGTCACGTTAGGGATATCGAGACCACGGGCAGCAACGGCGGTGGCCACGAGGATGGGGCAGCGACCGTTACGGAAGAGCTCGAGAGCACGCTCACGCTCGCGCTGGGTGCGGTCACCGTGAATGGCAGTAGCAGGGAAACGCTGGTTGATGAGGAAGTCGGAGAGCGAGTCGGCCATACGCTTGGTCTCGACGAAGATCAGGGTCAGACCAGTGCTGCCGTGGGTGTGGAGAATATCGAGCAGAACGGAACGCTTGTCAGCATCCTCAACGTACTCAACCTTCTGGGTGATGTTCTCGGAGGTAGAACCAACACGACCGACGGACAAGAAAATGTAGTCCTTCAGGAAATCACGTGCAAGCATCTGGATGTCGCGGGGGAAGGTGGCGGAGAACATGAGGGTCTGACGGTCCTGGACAGCGGGCATGTCCTCGCCCTCGACAATGCGGCGAATCTGGGGCTCGAAACCCATGTCAAGCATGCGATCAGCCTCGTCGAGAACAAGGTACTTGATGTTAGCGAGGGAGATACGGCCACGCTCGATCAGATCGACGAGACGACCGGGGGTGGCAACGAGGAGATCACAACCACGCTCGATCTGGCGCAGCTGAGAACCAATGTCGGCACCACCGTACACAACACAAGGACGGACCCAAGAGCGGTAAGCGAACTTGCGGGCCTCGTCGAAGATCTGAGAAACCAGCTCACGGGTGGGAGCAAGGATGAGGGAAGTGGGGTAGGCCTTGCGCTGACGGCCGTAGAATTGACCACCACCGCCGCCCTGGACAGGGGTAGCGGAAGGTCCGTTCTGGAAAGCCTGGGAAAGAATGGGGAAAAGGAAACCACCGGTCTTTCCGGAACCGGTCTGGGCACAAGCCATCAGATCACGGCCGTTCATGACAATGGGCACAGAGTACTTTTGGACTGGAGTGGGAATAACGTAGCTGGCGAGCTTGATGTTGGCAATCAAGTGGTCGTCCAGAGGGGGGTTGGTGAACTGAGTAACGGGCTCGGGGACATCGTTACCGGAAGCCTCGACGGGGATATCATCGTAGTTGGCGAAGTTGATACCGGTCTGCTGCTTGGAGGGGTCGTTGGGAACACCGAAAAGTTCACGCTCCACGCGAGCATTGGCGGGGCCAGGAATGTGCTTGCCGTCGCGCCACTGGCCATCACCAGAGCCGCGGCCTTGCTGAGCACCGCCGCCACCACTGAAGTTACCGCCGCCGCCGCTGTAAGATGATCCTGGGTGTCCGTAAGCATGGGGATTGAAAGGTCGGGTGCGTCCATCAGGGGTCCAGTTGGTCATACCGTTAGGGCGAGGGTTAAAGTTAGGAGCGTTGGCGTTGGCCCAGTTGCCGCCACCGGGACCGTTTCTGGAGAATCAATTCGGAATTAGTCGAGAGACACCAAAATGAGAGTTTTGGATACTGTACCGAGGACCGTCAAAGGAACCACCGGGAGTAGGGCCGTCAGCAGCAGGGCCAGGGCCGGGGGCGGGACCGCCGCGACCACGGAGGTGAGGAGGAATGTAGGCGGCACGTCCTTGACCAGGAGCGTTGCCCTGGGGGGCGTGCTGAGACTCGTTGAGGGAAAGATTTCCCATTTGCAAACCGTCGGCCATTTTTGCGGTTGGATTTCTATAACGGAGGGCGAAAAAAACGTGTCAGATGCTTGCGCGGAGGGTGAACACAGGGATGATGAATGCGAACAGTTTTTTTTTTTTGCTTCACCGAAGAGTTTCGTGGGGGATAGATAAGGCGCACGTAGTTTTCAAAACAGGATAACACGCAAAAGACAAGGAAATATTTAAGATACCTTCAGAAAAAAGAGAGAGACGTTGAGAAGATCAAGTAGCTTTTCTGTTTCACTCAATAAAAAAAAAAGATTGAGTGGCAAACACGAAAGCTCAGAGAAACCACAGAGAAGATGGAAAATGCAAATCTCCCAGATCTAAAAAACTCTATGGCACACAGAGAAAAAAAAAGAGAGGTGAAAAAGAAAAAGGGATAGAGAGGTTCGAGTCAAGAAGAAGAGTGGAGGAAGACGTTGTGGGAAGGAGGCAAATCATGCAAAAGTTGGAGTACTTCCTGGGTACAGGGTTGTGGTGCTGTGTGGCCTGTGTGTTGGCAGGTAGAGTGGCCGTACCCTCGTACTGAGAGGTATGGATGTGATACGGGGGGCGTCAATACTTACAAGAGACTTGGAAGTAAGGTGTGTATCAGTGTATGATTGAGGTACTGAACAGGTACTGACCGCCACGAAGAAATTTCTTATTAGGTACTTGCCAGTTGGCTGACGTTGGTGACTAAGACCAGTGTACGATGATTTGATTGGTCGATGACAGCATGGATCGCTCCAGGGTTGACTGTGCACCGAAAGTCAGATTTCCCTCGGACATGTGTCGTCACTTACTGCTAAGATCAAGTGACTAGAACTATATATCACACATTGGTCATGAGAAGGTGCTCAGACGACGATGAGATCACTGCAAGGGGTCAGATAAGCCCAGCAAATAATGCATTTCTCATGTATCAATTCTATCACACTCAATTTAGGCATCATACTGCTCCTTCTCTAGTGGCTGCTGGCCACGTCGGCGGGCAGCCCAGACACCTACAACAGCAACCAAGATGAAGAAGATCACAAATGGCTGCAAAGGATAGGACGTTGTAGCAGCCTCGGGGGCCTTATCGGCAGCAACCGGTTCTTGGTCAAGTTCTTGAGAGATCCAGCATCATCAGCCACTTCCGACCAGCAGCAGAGGAGTATAGCGCACAGGTGGTCACCTGTCTAGAGTTCATCGCGGCTACCTTTGTCCTCGGTTTCGGCTTCCACCTCGAGCTCACCGCTCTTCACGATCTTGACCGCCTCCTTGGGCTTGTCACCAGAAGCCTTGGGCACATTCTGGATCTTGTCAACGATGTCGTAACCCTCGAGGACCTCACCGAACACGACGTGGCGACCATCGAGCCACCTACGCAGAGTCAGTCGAAGTTCAAACCAGCCGATTTAGAGAGAATACGTACGAGGTGATGGCGGTGGTGATGAAGAACTGGGAGCCGTTGGTGTCCTTGCCAGCGTTGGCCATGCCTGCTGATTGTCAGAATATGCTGACACTCAACCAGATGAATCGTATGCTTACTCAGTTGGCCCTTCTTGGTGTGGCGAAGCTTGAAGTTCTCATCCTTGAACTTGTTGCCGTAGATAGACTTGCCGCCAGTACCTATCTGCTGTTAAGAACGGGTAATTGAATATGGCTGGAAGTCGACATACCATCGCCCCTGGTGAAGTCACCACCCTGGATCATGAAGTCCTTGATCACACGGTGGAAGGTAGAGTCCTGGTAGCCGAAGCCCTTCTCGCCGGTAGCCAGAGCGCTGGAAGTGGGTCAGTATATGGAGGACGAAGGTTGAGGGCCAGCATAGAGCAATCAGCCATACCGGAAGTTCTCAGCAGTCTTTTGAAACCTCAAATGTCAGCAACATGCATCAATTGATGTTTCATTGGGGACATGACTGTACGAACCTCAGGAACGGTCTTGCCGTACAAGCCCATCACAATGCGGCCAAGAGATTCGTCTCCATGCTGAATATCAAAGTAGACCTATGGCTGCCAGTTAGCAATTGCTCGCAGCAATACCAGAAGATAACAAAATGTCCAGAGAAGATATCCATGATGCTCACCTTGTTAGTGATCTTGGGGCCGCGAGGCTCCTTAGACTCGGCCTGGACCAAGGCAAAGCCAAGGACAAAGACCAAGAAGAGAGACAGGAAAATGTTGCGGAAATACATGCTTGCTGATTGTCACTGATCTAAACAGATACAATGAAAGGAGAAGGCGAAGCAATTGAGAGGGGAAGAAGGCCAGCTTGCAATTGGCGTGCGGAGAGCGGACAGGGACTCCACTTCTGGAAACGTAATTTTCAATATGCAGATCAAAAATAAGGTTGGGCCCTGGCATTTGTTACGATAATTACGGTAATCCAAAGTGTAAATACGGTGATTTTGCAAATGCACACCGGAAAATTGTTAATGCCATAATTTCCTTCCGGAGTTCACAAGCAACAAGTGACGAACCCTATCGTTAGGACATACGCCCGTCAATACATTTCAAGATGGTATGTTGATATATTGTACAGACTTGGAATTTCCCAGATTTCTAACAGCATTGAAGGTTTTCATTCTAGGAGTCAACTTCCCCGAGCGGAACCTGCTCAAGGCAAGCCAACCCTCAATGCGCCGCAATCTCACTCTACGCTCTCAACAGATCGACTAACGCGAATGGTCGGAACAGAAATCTCTCCAAGGCTTCTTCGGAGTTGGCCCAGACACTTCCAGCCGTCTCCTCGCCCGCTTCAACATCCACCCAACATGCCGTGTTGGTGAGCTCGCCAACAAGCAGGTCCTCGACCTCACTGCCGTGCTTTCGGAAATGAAGATTGAGAACGACCTGCGCCGAGATATCCTTAACAACATCAAGCGTCTGAAAGAGACTGGTACCTACCGTGGTCGACGTCATGCGCTCGGTTTGCCCGTGAGAGGACAGCGCACTCGCACCCAGGTAAGTCCAATTGCTTTCTACACTACATTGCCGAAGTCCAATCATCTTGGTGCAATGAATCCATCATGCGAGACTTGACTGACAACATCGCAGATCAAAACTCCTATCCGGCTGAACCGTATGGAGCGCCGGCTGTAAAGTCGAATTGTGCTCTGTCTTTGCTCTTATGGGATTGTCTCACATATTTTTTGCGTGAGAGGCATGGAACGGCGTTTTGATTCCTGGCAACATTCAAGTTGCCAGTTTGTATGTGAATGGAATTCCTCTATGTATGTATTATAGGCTAGATAAACTTGGGGTAACGAAAGTTTTGACTTGATATGTGGGCATCACTATCGTAGCTACTACCGGACCACCTGTGCATGTTCTGGCATGGATGATCCTAGAGGCAGGAATCTACGTGAAGATGGATTATAGGTAGAATAAATATATGATAGTCTAAACTTTTGCCCTCAATCAAGTGTTAAAACGCCAGGTCCATATGTGCACTCATTCCTTTGAAGACAGAACGCCTTCGCCGCGGTTGATTTGAATCCGCTTATCCTCACCCGCGCTGACAATGCCAACAGTCTTGTCCCAGCATACGCTGAAGACCTTGACACCTTCACCGCCAACGCGCTTGCTGTCGGACTTGCCCTCCTCCTCGAGACTCTTGCGGGTGATCGAATACACGCTCTCACCAACAACACCTTCCTTGTCAGTCTTGGTGGACCGAATGTCCCAAATGCGACATGTGCCGTCGTGGCTACCGCTAATCAGACCGTATGTGCTGTGCGGGTCACGAGCCAGGCTCACAACAGCATTGGTGTGGCCTCGAAGGGTCATGGCAGCCACAGTGGTGGCAGACGCACGGGGGTCAATCAGAGTGATGTGGCGGGCGGCAGTACCGGCAGCCAAAAGGCTAAGTTCGGGGAGGTGCTCGAGGGAAAGAAGCGAGTGTGATGTAGTGCGAGTGTCGACAAGAGAACCCGTGACCAGATCCCAGGTTCGCACGGAGTGATCCCAAGACGCAGAGTAACCGACAGTGGCGTCCTTTCCATCAAAGATAGCAGCAGAGACGGGCGCGGTGTGGCCCGACATCAGGGACAAGGGGCCGCGCTGGGGGGTGGTGACAGATGTGTTCAGCTTGCGACGCTTAGTGTTGCGGGCGTTGCTAGATGGAAGCAAGTTCTCGGGGGCAGGTGTGCCGTCGGCCTTCTTGGTTGACCAGAAACCAACATTGTGGTCTGAAGAACCAGTCAACAGACGGTTAGACTTGGCGTGGACAGCCAGTGACTCGATTCCAGACTTGTGGCCGTACAACTCCAATTGGGGGGAGATCTTTCCAGCAAAACCGCCTTCTTCCTCGGTATACTTCCATAGTCGTACGGTGCGATCGAGACCTGCGGATGCGATCTGGTTCGGAGAAACGAACTTGGCTGCTCTGATAGAGGCAGTGTGACCTCCGTCGGCAGCGGCTGGAGATGTCGCGATGGTTTCAGAAGACATATTCCAGATGCGAAGCAAGCCATCATAACTTCCGGACAGGATTCGCTCTTGACCCGGGGTGAAAGTGGCACCTGAGGCCCATGATGCAGCAGGCGAGGTCTTGGAAAGCACATCCGTGGCACCAACCCAGTCGTCGTGTTGGAAAGAAGCGATGTGCAGAGGAGGAATCAAAGCCCGGACGTATTCGATCTCGAGAGTTGTCTCAGCGGAGATACCATTGTCAACCAGATATTCATCGATAGAAGTTCGCAAAAATTGTCCATTGATCAAAAACTCAAAAGGAATGGGCTTCTCGCTGGAGAGAAGGTTGTTGACCAATGTCGACAGCGCATATCGGCGAAGACCTTTTCAATCCTGAATTAGTACTCAAAGCATGGCAAATGAGATCGGCGATTGGTTTCTTACCAGTGGGAACCAGAATTGGGCCGGTGCTTTCAGGCAGAGCAATATCCTCCTGCTGGCTGACGAGCTGCACTCGAACCTGCCTCTGCGCAGGCTCAGCTGCAGCTGTGTTGAAATCTTCACTCATTGTAAAATCGAGATCAAATTGCTGCCGATGTTACAGATGGAATCTTTTTTCGGTGGCTGTCGCATTTTCGGCGGGTGAGGAAAAATACGGTGACCGATGCGGCACACTCGCGCAGAGCGCGGAGATACCTCCACTTTATACTCTGCATGCTGCGATTTGGCTTCACAAATAGCAGGGTGAATTGCAGCCAACGGAATGCATGGTTCATTTTCTCCAATTCTCAACCCCGTGGAGCAAGATATGCACGACGGAATCCCGAGGAAGGTTATCTATACGACTACAGGCATTTGCACAATCATCTTAGGAAAAGTCCAACGAATGGTAAATGAGGGGTTGAATTTCATATAATTTACACACGAATGGGAAGATGCCAGCCTAGATATGCTCAGCCTCTTGGTGCTCTGCGAATTTCTGAAATAGCACGCCGACGGTAGTCAGACTCCGCAAACAATGCCTCAATCAGGTCAATCACTTCCTCAACAGAGAACTCCAAGCCCAACTCCCCTTCAAGCCAAAGGAACTTGATATCAGCAAGGGAGCTTTCCAAGATGTTGACCAAGTATTGGAAGCGAAGCCAGCTCGGGACATAGATAGCAGTGACAGGTAGTGCTCCGGAGTCGCCGTTCTCTGGCAGGAAGAGGTCTTCCAACTTGGAGATCTGGTTACAGAAAGAAACCAGTTGTTTGGATTGATCTTCCGAGATATCGCCCAAGTCCTCGACATCAATGATAACCTTGTTGATAACCGTGGACAGAAGAGATCCCACAGATTGCAGCAGTGCAGAGTGAGACAAAACGGGTTGCCATTCCTTGTAAACATCGCGGATTCTGGCAACAGTCACGCTGACAGAGTTCTCACAGTCTGATTGGAAAGGTTGCTCAGAGCACTGTCCAAATCCTTGGGCCCCATCTAACAGATCGGTGACAATCGTTCGTTGGGTCTGCATTTCTTTGCTATAGGCTAGTTTGCCGAATTTCTCCAGAGCCTCAACATCAGGTTGGAGCCTGGACAGTCCATGCTCTTCAACCAGCTTTCGAATCTCGTCAGAGAGGTACAAGCTGTCGTTGTAGAGATACATCTGGCCTGAGTTGAGTTTCAGCGCGTAAAAAGTAGATGATGTAGCTTTGAACATAGCCAAGATCAATGTTGGGAGTGCAAGCAGACCCGCACCAGACGAGGCTACCCGAGACTTGGCATGTCTGCGTCCATTAGTATGTTTTTAGATTGTTTGGCATCGTTGTATGACTTACAAGGGTTGCGAAATGTCCTTCGAATCAGCGATTTGCTGTTGAACAATGTTAAGAACCGACTCAGGAATGTCGGTGATGGTGAACACTTCCTTCAGAGTAACCTCTTTGGGGGAAGCAGACCCAACCACGGACTTTTTCTCTGTTGCGGTCAACGAAGGGTTCTGTGGGTGGACTGGCTGAGTGTCGGCTGTCTGTCCTTCCTCTTCATCGTCGCCCCAGCCCCAAGCATCATCAGCATCGTCGTCCCCTTCTGCAACATACGCAGCAGTTTGATCTGCTTTCTTCTCTTCTTGAATTGCATCGGTCTCATCATCATCAAGACCCCACGCACTGACGTCTTCTTCATCCTCGGGATTTGTTGCTGCTTTTTCAGACTTAACATCTTCCTTATCGTCATCCCAGCCGGCATCCCAGTCATCATTGACGGCATTTTCCAGGAGAGCACCGTCAGCTTGGGACACCTTCTCCTTTTCAATTCGCTCAACTTTCTTTGTTGTGCCTTGGCTAGCAGCGAGGGCCTTTCGAACGCTATCAAGGGAATCCACTCGACGTCGGGTCAACCACAGACGCGGAGCTTGATTCACCCATGATACGAGTTCTTCTTGGCCACTCCAGCCCCAGGACTCGACCTTCTGCGTGAACTCCAAGATGTGATCCAGGAGAATTTCGAAATCAGCAAGACCATCCAGGTCAGTTGGAATCGCCTGGGAAAGCCACTCCGAGATTGTCTTTGAAGAAAGCTTCGGGATGAATGTGTCAGAGAGTGCCGCAGATACCAACGTGGGTAAATGTTCACGCAGATAGCCCAACACGATGGATAGACGTTTCAATGTTTCCAATGCCGTTGCTTTTGAGGGCTGGGGCTCAATTCGAATATTAGACTCTGACACTACCACACCCTGGCTAGTGCCGTCAGGGCGAGGAAGCAAGATCGGACTGATTATCGCAGAAAAGAAATCCCTTTGGAACTTCTCATTGGCTGAAGTAAGAATTTCGAGTTGAGCAAGCGACACAATCGTGTTGTCGATGGTATCTTCGCCGGCGTTGAAAACCTGAAACTCGCCTTGGGATCGGTCGACCTTTAGCTGATCCGCCCATCGCTTTTGAAGTGCCTCTGTGATTTCTGATCGCAATAAGGCCACCTCATCAGCTAGTATACTCATCACATTTGTGTTGGTAAAGAAGGCATCTTTTCCAACGGCCGCGTGGGTAGACTCCAAGTGCTCGATGGCGACTTTGATATCGCCATTTCTAAGGGCAGTTCGACCAGTTTCCAATTGCTGACACAGTCGTTGTACCTCCTCCAGTGTACCTGTCACGGCCTCGTTGAAGGCAATCTCCGTGTCCACTAATGCGACTTTCGCCTTGGCGTCTTCGACATTCGCCTGCAAGGGTCCGGTGTGTTCATGCTGTGCAACAATTTCTCGCGCCGTTAATCTTGATCGTTCAATGTCGGCGTGGAGCTGTTTGGCTTGGACAATCCAATCATCGGCGTCGAAGGTATTCTCTCGACTCAGGGAGCTGATTTCATTCTAGTCAAGTGACGATCAATATTAGCAATCACAAAATCAAACGTACTGCGCAGAGTGCTGTACCTCTACCTGTTCGCGGGCTTTCGCTATGAGCTCCAATTCCCGAGCGAGGGCAGCTGGCGCGAAATCGGCCGCAACCACCTTCTCGTCAGGATAGGAGCCATCTGTGACAAAGCCCAGGACCGCTTGGCACAATTCTTCGTCTCCAGTAGTTCCTGGCATGACGCCTATGTTCCGTAGATGTAACGAATGGGGAGAGCACGGGGAGGTAGCGGACAACGTCAACAACCCGTGACTTCAGGCGTCACCGCCCCACGTGTTTCTCTACATTGTGTAGTTCGTATTATTGGGATTGTTCTAAAAGACTCGAAAAGTTCCAAGAAAAGGGCAGCTGGAAAGAGATCACAGATTTCTTCTCTAATTGGCTGCACTTCATCTCTTTGTTATAGCACTGCTCTGGTCGCTTTGTAAGGAAGACGGGACCCAAACTCCGCCTGGGCCCAACACAGAAATTAATCAGGACTCATCGTGTCTCTGCTCCCACTGACTCGCCTGCATCGGGCAATTCTCTCTCTGTAAGTATGTGACTGCGTTCGTGGTGTTGATGACTTTCTGCCCCTCCAAATTCTCTGCCCCTCTTCAATGATGGCATCCCGCTTCAAGATACGTCCTTTTTTAAGCGCTTAATTCCGAATATCTTGCTTGTCACTATTATCGCTCTCTTTTCGACCCGATCTCCAGTGGACACCTTGGTCGTCTCCGGGGAAAGGATTCGTATCGGGTTTTATTTGTTTGCGATGTATCGAGAAACTTGCTAATCGCAAGCTACAGTTCAAGCTTCCGGCGAAGTCTATTCACCGGGCGTGTCCCATTGATCAATATGTCGCCCTCGGCGCAGAACAGTCACTTCAAACTGCTACAGCAGTTCAAGCCTGATTACTCGCCGAGCGAGTTCACTCAGTATGAATCACAACGTACCGGCATGAGAGTGGTCGTCATTGACCAGCCTGGCCCCAAGGTCAATGGCTACTTTGTTCTTGCAACTGAGATTCACGATGATTCGGGCGCTCCCCACACCTTGGAGCACTTGTGCTTCATGGGATCCCGCAATTACCGCTACAAGGGTTTCTTGGATAAGCTAGCCACTCGCGTGTACTCCAGCACCAATGCATGGACCGCAACTGACCACACTGCCTACACACTGGATACCGCTGGCTGGGAGGGTTTTGCGCGTATCCTGCCTGTTTACCTGGAGCATGTTATTGCCCCTACCTTGACGGACGAAGGTTGCTACACTGAGGTACACCACGTCGATGGATCTGGAAATGACGCCGGTGTTGTGTACTCGGAGATGCAGGGTGTGCAGAACGATGCTGCCGAGCTGATGGATTTGGCAGCCCGTCGATTGATCTACCCCCCAGGTGTAGGCTTCCGTTATGAGACCGGAGGTATGATGGAACAGCTTCGTGTGCTATCTGCGGAGCGGATCCGCGAGTTCCACCGTGAGATGTATCAGCCCAAGAATCTGTGTCTGATCATAACCGGAGAGGTCGACCAGAACAACATGTTGGACATCCTGGACAAGTTTGAAGAAACTATTCTTGATGTTATCCCCAGCCCAGAGGCGCCATTTAAGAGACCCTGGGTGGATTCCAAGCAGGCTCCTCCTTTGGCTAAGTCAACCATCCAGAGAGTTGAATTCCCCGAAGAGGACGAATCATTTGGTGAAATCGAGATCCGGTTCATCGGACCCGATTGCACGGATCCAGTTCAGTGTATGTTCGCCACAACTTCTCAATCAGGAATTTTCACACTAACAATAATATAGCGGGGGCTCTCAATGTATCTCTTCTATATCTGGCAGGCTCATCTGCAGCCCTGCTGGAGAACATTATCGTTGAGAAGGAACAACTTGCCAGTGCCGTCTACTATGCCACCGAAGACCACCCTAGCATAGAGATCCGCTTCACACTGACCAGTGTTGAGACAGAGAGCTTAGAGAAGGTTGAAAAGAGATTCTTCGAAATCCTCAAGGAGGCCATGGACAAGGAGCTGGATTTGCAGTATTTGAAGGAGTGCATCGATCGTCAGCGCCGAACTTGGAAGTTCTCAACCGAGACCTCGGCCTCCTCGTTCGCGGAGTACGTGATTTCCGATTTCCTGTTCGGCAAGCGCGATGGATCCACCATGATGGACGTTGCGACTTTGAAGGAGTACGATGTTCTCGAGAACTGGACTGAAGACCAATGGCGAGCCTTCATCAAGAAGTATATCTCCGATGCGGCCCACGTTACCATCTTGGGTGTTCCGTCTCAAAAGATGTCCGAGACACTGAAGAAGGATGAGGAGGATCGCGCAGCTGCTCAGAAAGAGCGTCTTGGCGAGAAGGGCCTGCAAGAGCTCGCCGATAAGCTCGAGAAGGCTAAGGCAGAGAATGACAAGCCAATTCCACAGGAGTTGCTTGAAGAGTTCGCCATTCCTGGCACCGAGTCAATCCACTTTATGGACACAACCACGGCTCGCTCCGGTGCTGCTTTGAAGGCTGGACGTCCCGACAACAAGATCCAGAAGCTCATCGACGCTGACAAGTCAGACTCGTCTCTCTTCATTCACTTCGAGCACATCCCCAGCAGCTTTGTGCAGCTGGCTGTCCTCATCTCGGCTGATTCTGTGCCCGTTCAGCTGCGTCCCTTGCTGTCCATCTATACAGAGGCATTCTTCAACATTCCTGTTCAACGTGACGGCAAGACCATTGACTTCGAGCAAGTTGTCGTGCAATTGGAGCGCGACACCGTTGGATACTCGATGGAGACAGCCCGTGGACTCGGAAACTCGGAAATGCTTCGCGTTTCATTCCAGGTCGAGCTGGAGAAGTATGACAACGCCATCGCCTGGTTGCAGGAGCTGTCATGGAACTCCATCTTCGACGTTGAAAGACTCCGTGCAATCAACACTCGTCTTTTGGCCGATGTGCCCGACTCCAAGCGCAGCGGTGACGACATGCTCGCCGCAGCCCATGTGATGGTCCACTATGCGAATGAGTCCATTGTTCGCGCTCGTTCTACTCTGGTCAAGGCTCGCTACCTCAAGCGTGTCAAGCGCCTGCTTGCTGACAAGCCTGATGAGATCGTCAGCCGCATGGAGGAAATCCGAAACTCACTCTTCCAGCCTGACAACGTCCGCGTCATCGTAATTGCGGACCTCGAGAAGCTGAAGAACCCTGTCTCGGCTTGGAAGCCTTTCGCCGAGACCCTCGGCGCCAGTACTGATCTGCGCCCCATCACCAACCGCCGGGCTCGCCTCAGCGAGGCTGGTAAGAACATTGGCGGCAAGTCTTACATCGTCCCCATGCCAACGGTCGACTCTTCCTTCGCCTACGCTACCGGCCGTGGTCTGGACTCCTACGATCACCCCAGCTTGCCTGCTCTTCTGGTCGCAATCTCCTACATGAACGCCGTCGAGGGTCCCCTCTGGGTTGCTGTTCGTGGAACTGGTCTGGCGTACGGCACCAACTTCAGCTACAACATTGATACTGGCTTTGTCAACTTCGATGTGTACCGTTCGCCTAACGCACACAAGGCTTTCGAGTCTAGCAAGCAGATTGTCGAGGATCATCTGTCTGGTGCTACGGCTTTCGATCCCCTGATGCTGGAGGGTGCTATCAGCAGCATTGTCGTTAACTTTGCGAATGAGCAGATGACTGCCGCTAGTGCCGCGCAGGGCAGTTTCATCCGCCAGGTCGTGCGTAACTTGCCCAGCGACTACAAGGAGAAGATGCTCAAGAATGTGCGCGCCATCACTGTTGATCAAATCAAGGGTGCTCTGCGCGATATTCTCTTGCCGATGTTTGCTCCTAAGACAGCCAACATGGTCATTACTTGCGCAACCGTGTTGGAAGATGTATGTATACTGAACTTCCGGATTTTACTGTGGACATGTACTAACATCAGAACCAGGCTATCAAACAGGGCTTCGAGGCATCCGGCTTCACCCCTGTTGTCCAGCCTCTCAAGGAGTTCGAGGATGACTACGGTCTGAAGCTTGACGGCCAGGACGAGGACGAGGATGACGATGACGATGAAGACGAGGATGATGATGAATCCGAGACTGACTCCGAGGGCAGTGAGGATGACGAGGACGAAGACGATGATTAAATGTTGAGATGATTCATCTACGAAAACCACAGTAGATCAAATAGATGGACGGTGCCAAGCTTTCCCATGTTTGAACCGTGATGTCCCTGACAGTCTACTCTTTTTGGCTTTCGCGCTTGTACCTTCAAGTACATAGCAATCACAGCTGAACAGAAAGTTGGAAATGATTCGCACTATATGAAAATGTAGTCTCACACACCCTGTAGAGGTAAATATGGTACATGCCTGACAAGATCTACCACGCTCATCTTGTCTAGGCCTCACAATCTCGCAACGGCCCGAAAGGATACCGAACAGTTGCGATCCATGATATCTACATGGCAACCCTGCCATGACACAGGGGACGGGAGACGATCCCCTGTCAAACTAACGCCATCTGTATTTTGGCTTCATTTGAGATGAAAAGCAATTACCAGCTGAGCTCCTTTCGGCCCTTCATGGTCCTCCGCACCAGGATCTTGCGTCCGTTCCTGTCTTTCTTGCGCGCAAGATAGCCATGACGGCGCTTCTGAACTCGTCGTGATGGGCGGAATGTCACACGGCGCACACCGAGTGAGGCACTTGCAGAGAATGAACGGGACTGCTGGGGGACCCGGGAGAGGAGAGAGGACAGCGGCGAGGAGAGCGTAGTTGAGGGGAGGCGGGCGCCGAGTGTAGGTTGGAGGCGTGGTGTGGATAGAAGAGAAGAGAAAGCTCGGGATGAGAGCATTGTGGAGGGTGTGCTTTGTTGGGGTATTTGAGAGAGTCTGTCACAATGTAGGTGTTAGCGAGACATGATTCCTATATGATTGCTTTGGATGCAGTGAGGGATTGGTGGTAGTGCATACCTGTTGACTGGGGTTCGCATAGCGGTAGCCCGGAAGGCTGAGGGCACAGCCCTGGGGCAGAGGCAGAACATGATGCTCTGTGGGAATTGAAGATGGCTTTGAAGTTGGAGGTGACAAGACGCGGCGTCGGAAGACAGAAAACTAAGGTATGGCCCGATCGGGATTAGCGTCCCGTCCACGCCGACCTTTTTTTGTTCCCATGCGAAATGCTCGACTTTGTCCGTCTAAACCTCAGTACTACTCCTAGTCCACGCTGACCTGGTGGTATAATCTATACCAATTCTCGCAAACCAAAAGGAAACTCTACTCCATTGTCGCCACCCTACATTCCTCCTCCGACCAGACCACCAAATCCACAAAATGGCATTCTTCTCAGGCCCCCGAGCCCTCCCACCAACTTCAGTGGAGAGCACCACACCAATCACCCAGGCGCAAGCACAAGAATTTCTTCGCGCCTACCTAGATCGCGCAAACACGGATCCCGCGCTGCAACCAAACGCCGGCATCAGCGAGCACGGCCCCATCTCGCGAACAACCGCCTCAGCGCCAAACCTAATTCTGCACAACCTGAAGCGCGTGCAAGCAGGTTTGGCAGGAGAGCTTCTGGGTCGCGATCTGACTGTCGCTAAGCAGAACCCCGGTGAGGACTACACGGAAGTTGCCGCCGAGGTTGCGCCCAAGGAGGAAGAGGACCAAGATCTTGCTATGGACGATGCCGACTTTGATGGAGAGGCCGAGGCCTTTGCTGTTCAGGAAGATGGCATTGATAAGGAGGAGCGCAAGCGCAAGAAGAAGGAGAGACGATTGGCAGAGAAGAAGGGGAAGGCTCAGGCTAAGGCTGAGGAGGACTCTGATTAAAATGTGATATATTTGGGCGTTGATGCATTGGGCCGGAGTTCTCATTTATTTTGTCTATTGCTCTGCCTTGGACCGGTTTATTTTGGATGTTTGAATGTACTCGCATTTGGCTGCACAAAAAATGTCATTTAGAGTTGAGATAGATTGGATCAATCCAATCCATGCATATTGAAATTTTCCAGCTTTGATACTGTTGTAGAATTACTTCAGCTTGACCGACAGAAGAACACTGTTTTAACGTAATGGAACGAAATTGCCACATGCGTTAGACCTACAACTCGCGGTCCGCAGCCTTGACAGGCTTCTCGCTATCCTCTTCCTTGCTGCTAGTGACTTTGCCGCCCTTCCAGCCAAGCGCGGCAAGACGCTCAGTGAGAATGGGGTGCGAGTAGTGGTAGCTAGCATAGAGGGGATCAGCGTCCATGGTACTCAGGTTCTGGATCTGGAGCTTCAAGAGTGAGGAGGCAAGCTTGTCAGAGTAGCCTAGGTTCTGGGCGAATTCATCTGGAGTACATTGTGAGTATTTGAGAGGGTTTCATGTCATATGGCAAGACATACCGGCCTGGAACTCGAACTTCCGGCTGAGAATGTTCATGAGCAACTTGACGACAGCATCCATAGGAGCGAGCGCGTCAGAGAAGAGCAAGAATCCAATCATAATGGGCTGCTCCTTGATGAAACCAAAGGACTGGTACAAGGACTTGTTGTTGACGAAGACAGAGAACAGGGCGAAGATGTAGAACATGTGGAACTAAAGCAAACATGGTTAGCCAGATTTCAGGTGTCCAAGCTGCTGAGTACATACCTGAGCAATACCAAACAGTTTGGTGGTGTGGCTCAAGCTCCAGTGGCCGAGCTCGTGACCGAGCACAGCAACAACCTCCTCAGGCTCAGTCTTCTCAATTAGGGTATCATAGATGACAATGTGCTTCTTCCATGGCAGACCGTAGAAGTAGGCATTGCTGTGGGCACTGCGCTTGCTGCCGTCGATGACGTGCAGCTCCTGGAGAGGGAAGTTAAGCTTCTTAGCCAGGTTCTCAACACCGGTCTTCAGTGCGCCAGGCTCGAGGGGCGAGAGCTTGTTGAACAGAGGTAGAATCACAATAGGGTAAATGGTGATAGCAAAGACCTGAAGGAAGACACCGAAGAGCCACAAGTAGTAGAAGAACGAGTTATCAAACTTCTGCACAATCTTGAGCACAGCGCTGATGATGGGAGCACCAAGAACAACTCCGAGCATCTGTCCCTTGAGCATGTCCGTGATCCAAAGCTTGAGGGTCTGCTTGTTGAAGCCAAACTTCTCCTCGAGGACAAAGGTGTTGTAGTACGAGACAGGCAGCGAGAGGATAGTGCTTAGAATGTTGAAACCGAAGAAGAATACCAATGTCTGACAGATTTCACCCTGGAACCGACCGGGCAGGTACCGCGCGAGCACCAGACCACTCAGACCCCAAATCTTGGGGAGGACATCACCGTAGATGAAAGCGAGATTTTGGATTTGACCGTAGAGACCTGAGATAAAACCGAACTTGGCCTTTGCGCGACCGTATGCCTGTAGATTTGAATGAGTATGCGCGTACCATCCGTCATTCCATCTAGTTCATACCTGACTTTGATCGTAAACCTTTTGAGTGACCTCCCCTTCGAGAACCTTAGGGGGGTTGTCCGTTGCAGAAACTTGTATTGACGAAGCGAGAGGAAACCTTCGAGGACAAATTGGCCCAGCGAAAAGCCAACAAGCACGTTCTTCCAAGGGAAGAGCGGGCGGTCGAGCAGACGCGCCAGTTGCTGTTAATTGTTAGTAACGTGTTCGCGACAGAAAGCATTCTAGTCGAGCAAGAGAGCTGGATTGAACAAGCCAATACTTACCTCAAGGATATACATGATTGAAGTTGCGCAACTAGGCGGAAGGGTGGAAGAGACAGATGCCACTTGGTCCAGGTGTTATCATCGCCCTTAGTCAGATTCGGTATGTCCAGGTACTCCGTACAGTGCACGACCTTTCAAACACAACATCAATCTCCGTATTTCGTCACACCATGAGGAGTTCCTATTTTCTGACACTTGCAATGAAGTTGCAAAGTGTTTCAAGTTTTTGAGTCAAGATCTCTATTGTTTATTGCTCGAGCACGGAGTACTCAGGTACATCTGTAAACAACCTTGGTGATGTCATTGGGCGTCCAACTTAGATGAGATATGCCCACGGGGGTACTCCAGGACTTGAGTCCAGAGGTCCAGAGGGTAGGCATCTGGACAATGAGACAGTAGGTCTCTGAGTAGCAGTTTTCGACTCCTATTTAGAATTTCTATGAATAACCTTGGAAACTTGGAAGATATTCGTACTACGCCATGGAGTCAACAATCGGAATGTCAAAATATATTCATGGGGTTGACGAGTAAATTTGAAAGTAACAATGATCGGCGTAAAGAAATATTTTAACAATGCAAAGCACAAGCTGTTAAATTGTAACCTCCACAAACCTACTATATAGGCCCATCTACATAGGGTCCAATGCAGACAGAGGATATGAGCAATGCCCAGGTAAACAAGGAACCCACTTGGAAACAACTCTCTCTCTCACGAAAGAAAAAAATAAACACATCTCCTATTCGCCGACTGCACACCCTGCTCAGCGTCCATCCCCAAGACCGCTCTGTCCACACAGTACCGCGTATGAAGCAGGGGGGTTAGGGTGGCGACAATGCAGGATGTGCATATCTCTCCCATCTTCTCTATCTAGCCAGGGGAATCAGTTGAAAGCATGCCTTTTAATTTTCCGACTCGTTATGACCATAAACTTTTCTGCAATCAAAGATCGCAAGATTCGTGTTCGAGGGTCGGTGGGCTGAAACACAGCTCGGGTTTATAGCATTGATTATGTGCAGATTTCCCGTAGCACATCTCAGTCCCAAACCTCCCCATGTCGAACGGGGACATCGTTGAAAACAGTGCTTTACTGCTGCACGGGCTCGAGGGTGTTACCACTGTAAAAGGTGTCAGCATTGGTCATCAAATGTACTACTCGAGTCTGGTACTCACGCGACAATGTTGGCCCATCCAATGAGACGCCAGTGCTTCTCAATTCTGCGAGAGATGGCAATCTTCTCGCCGACCTCCGTACAAGCCGGGCTGGTCAGACTGAGCTTAGCGGCATCAGCCTTGACACCGAGAACCTTGGCACCAGTAGCAGTGGAACCGATGTTAACCATAAGAACTTCGTTCTTAGCAAGCTTGGCAACCTTGGCCTGCTTGCCATCGGCGGTCTTGACACCGAGCAGACGACGGAGAAGGAAGTAGTTGACCTCGATCTCAGTGTAGATGGCAGGGAGGCGGCCACGGTGACCGAGGACGAAACCGACGAGACGATCGGCACGGCAAAGGGTAGGGTCGACACGGGTACCAACACCAATGAGACCACCGGGAACGGCGAACTTGAGGTCATTGTGCTCAGCAAACAGTGAAACGATACGGGAGAAAATGGGACGGCACTGGATCTTGCCCTGCTCGTCCTTGGTGACAAGACCGGGACGGATCTCAATCTCATCGTTCAGCTTCACGACACCAGTCAGGATAGATCCACCAGCAACACCACCCTTGAGCTCATCAATTTCGGCACCGGGCTTGTTCACATCGAATGAACGAATGATCATCATGTGAGGAGTGGCCTCGAAGTTGCGGGGAGGAATGGGGATGGTGTGGACGAGAGCCTCATTGACAGCGTCGATGTTGTACTTCAACTGGGCGGAGATGGGGATGACGGGCGATCCATCGGCGACGGTACCACGGATGAACTTGAGAATAGACTGGTAGTGCTCGAGGGCGTTATCTTCACGCATAAGATCGACCTTGTTTTGGAGAATAACGATATGGCTGAGCTTCATGATCTCAATAGCGGCCAAATGCTCAGAAGTCTGGGGTTGAGGGCAAGTTTCGTTTCCGGCAATCAGAAGAAGAGCGGCATCCTGAAGACAGTCAGTTTTGTTTGCCCGAAATCTCAGTGGTTTATAATTTCAGGTTCAGATTCAAACTCACCATGACCGCGGCTCCTGAAAGCATAGTACTCATCTGCGCGAAGTTGGTTAACACTGGTGCTTATATAGAAACCGAGATACCCCTGGAGACATTGAAGCCTCTAGGGTACGGAGGTGTGTACTCACGAGAATATCGTGACCGGGGCAATCGACGAAACTATATTGATGGCATGTATTAGTTTGTGAGCAGAGAAAAAGAGCCCGCTTCTAGAAATCGGCGGGGGTGGGAATTTTGATACCTGAGGTGGCGCTATATCAGAGGTTAGCCTATGATCATACGAAACCATGAATATCTATACCAGGGGAGAGGGATACACACCAGCAAACGGTAACGGCCTTCACATCCTTCGCGCTCGCAAGGAGGGTCAATCTCCTTCTCACTCTTGAAACTCTTGTAGCATGTAGGCCGAGGGCAAGCGGGGCTGTCACACTTGTAGATCTTCGCGTTGGCGTAACCAAGCTTGATGGTAATGTTACGCTCGAGTTCGTTCTTGAAACGAACGGTCTGCACCTCAGAGATGGCCTTAACCACAGTGGATTTGCCGCTAAAGATTCATTAGTACGGTTGTAGGAAGGCAAGGAAGATGGAGGGTGTCTAACTGAGCGACATGTCCGATTGTGCCTAATGATGTCGTTAGTGAATCTGTGACTCGGAGAGAACGAGAAAAATCCAAAAAAGAGTACGCGGTTTCGAGCGCAAACTGTTCCAGCGAGTGTTCACATACCAATGTTCTGGGTTGCTTGTCTGGCGATAATCTCGGGCGTGAGAGGCGTCAATTTCGACAGATCGAGGGTTTCCGGGTTAGGCTGTTCGGGAAGGAATGGGCGCTGCGGTTGAGGAGCGGGAGGAGCGGCCTTCTTCATGGCGGACTTGACAGGCTTCTCCTCCTCAAGAGGCTCCTGATCGTCGACCTCACCGCGTGCGTTGTGGGCATCGAGCAAAGGCGAGCCGGGCTGGGATCCCTCGTCGGAGAAATCGCCGTTGGAAGCCATATTTGCGAGATCAGAAAATTCGACTCGCGATCGACTGCGTAGATCGGAAGTCAAAGGTTGGGAGCTGGGGGAAAAAGGTGGAGGGTGGAAGGTCGGGTGAAAATTGCTTCCTGCGGGCGATATGATAATGAAAGAATGTAGGTGGGGGGATTGTGTGCAGTGGAAGCCGGGCGGTGTCTAGATGGCAACTCTACAATTCTTTCACCAGCTCATGTAAATTTGGGCTATTGGGCTATTGATCTCAATTACAATGGTAGAACTGAACATTTAATCGAGTTTTGGACGCTGTTCATCGGGCTGAAGTTATTGTGGGTGAGTCATTCTAAGGATCCATGTCTAAGAAAATCCCTGACAAGATGAACAATGAACATCTGTACGCAGTATAGAATCTTGAAACTCACCCCATTTTTCTATTTTGAGATACTGAGTCTATAAACCTCGTGATCTACTTTGAGAAAAGCCATTCCTGTAAATTGAGTTGTATATTTTTTTTTTGAGCAACACCTTCTCATACTCATGATACATTGCTTGCCATTTGATTTGTTGACAGTATAGGGTATAACAGTTGACATTGACATGAATCTACTCATCGTCGCTATCACTAGATGACTCCGCTTCGTCGTCTTCCGAATCCTCGTTTCCTGAGTCAATCAGTGTAGATGGATCTTCGGCAGGCAGCATGACAAAGGCAGCCAGACAGGTGATGCGGTTGCCAGTCTCAGCGGTAGTCAGGAGCCTTCCGATCTGGGTAGTCTCCTTGTCTTTCTTTGCGGAAGAGACATCCTTACCACTGACCTTCCACACACGTACAACGCCATCACTATTGCCGGTAACAAACAAGACGTCGTTGTGGTACTCCTTGGCTTGGCCTTCGAGACTCAGGAGTTCGAAATCCTTGATGCGGCCCGGGAACCCAGCCTGCTTTCCGCCAAGCTGAGCAACAGGGGTGGCATGAGGAATAGAGCAATCAGTGTCCTCTTCATCAGTTTTCAGTTCCTTAGTTGAGTAGAAGATAACTCTGCCATCCTCGGTGGAAACGGCCAGGAAATCTTCCTTCTCGCCACCCTTCACGGGCAGAGAGACGTACTTCATTTGATGGAGCTTACTTCTAGGTCCAGGGATCAGTCTGCACCGTGGAACCGAGTCCTAAGTAGCAGTTAGCATGCGAAAGATGAGTCCACCAAAGCAGATGACTTACAATACCAAAGACGACTGCACCCCATTCGAAAGCAACCGCAAATTCCTCTCCTTCAGAGTCCCAAGCGATGCGTCGGCCCTCTCCGGTGCTCCATCGTGATTCCTTGACACCCTGTAGCACTTCTCTGGTGAAGTTCAACACACCGGCCTTCCTTCCGGTCACCAGGTTCCACAATCTCATGCACTTCTCTCCTCGTCCAATGCTCAGCATCAGCTTCATACTGGGATGCACCGCGAAGTGATTGACTCCGGATGGAGCAGCACCCGGGGGTGCTGTGTCACCACTTGGCCGTCCTTGGACCTTGGGGTTTGGTGCTTTGATAGATGATACGACAGTCCAGTCACGGGTCTTGGAGACGGAGATGGTGTTGTCCTCACCGGCGGCAAGAAGCTTGCTGCGTGATGGGAAGCTCAGGGAGGTGATGCTGGCAGTGTGGTGCAGCAATGCTCCAAGCTCACGGTTCCGGGGGTTTTCGAGAATCTTGTTTCCGGCGAACGTCGGCACAGAAGGGTATTCCTCATTGACAGCTGGCGGTGCGGCAGAGATAGAGTACAGGTTGATGCGCTCATCGGTACTGCCACTAGCGAGCATCACCGTTTGGGCATCGGTAGAGTCGGTGGACTTGGGTAGTGGCGACAGTGCCAGGCAGCGAATTGCGGAGCCATGGGCCTCGAACAGGAAAGTGTCGGCGCATTGGATATTTGGCAGTTCGTCATCGGTCTTTGCTTTGAGATGGGACGCTGGAATACCGGCCGTGAAGCCGTGAAGCACGCGCTCATAAGAACCGGTGATCACTTGGACCGTGAGAGCTGCATCAGTGGTTTCGGTTGGAGTGGGGGCGGACTTGGTAGACTTGGGAGGGCTTCCAGCAGTCTTTTCCTCCTTGGGAGCATCGGTTCTCTTGCGCTTCACCATTATTGCGAGTCTCGTGATGTTGTCTAGAAGTTGAAAGCTTGACCGGGCGGACAACTTTTTTCTTGATTTTCTGCCGGGGGTTTATCGGGCGGCGATAAGTTTGATAAATGCCTTGGAGCCTTGAGGCCTTGAGGCCTTAGAGCCTTAGAGCCTTAGGGTCCTGTCCTTCTGCCTCAGGCCGAAAATACCTTCACCGCAAGCGGAGGAATGCCTCATTACGCATTTTACCGTGCTGATGTTACCAGTTGATGAAGACCACCACTGGCGTCCAGAGACTCATAAGGCTCATTAAACACAGAAACTATCGTAGCATAGTAGACCTTCTTCTCTTTCTTTTGTGGAGGGATCAAAGAGACTCGCAAGTACCAGATACCTGGCCAAGCCGTGTATTGTTGCTAGAAGGAGCAAGTACTTGGGTGTACCTAAACCACTTCCCGCACTCATTTTCCCAAACATTTTTTTCGTAACGTAACCTCATTTTCAACCCCTTCGAAAAGATCCTGCTTTCCATCATCTCCCACCCTCCACCCATCTTTTCCATCTTGTTCGAGCGATTTTTTCCATCTGGATGACCTCGCTCAATCGTTTCCCCCTTGTTCCCGCGTTAATCGGATGCTGCGTTCCGAAGTTAGACTCCATGCTCCGCGACGAGCTTCTTCGATCTAAAAATGATGAGATCGCGTAAGTGTTAAATTGTCCGCGATGTGCCATTTGGTGGAGATCGGTTTGGGGTGAATTTTGGCTAATTTTTGCAGAACTTGTTTGTCGCGCAGAAAGCGCAAGCTCAGCGCATTGTATCTAGCCACGGTCGGGTTTGCCGCGACCGAGGACCCTCAGTACCCCCAACACGAACAAGCCTTCCTCGACGCCAACGATCTGTCCAAGTAAGTTCATGAACCCCTTTACATGCTACTGGACATAATCATTATCACAATTGAAATGCTTATCATTGCCCCAGAGGTCATTATTTCAATGAAGCTACGCTTCCACCACCGATCCACGCACGCGCGCGGTTACCAGATAGCAACGACCCGGCAATTTCGAAGGCAGATTTCGCTTCACCGACCGAAGGCCTGCATACAAATGAGCTTCAACAGCGCATAACACCTACTCTCACGCAATCGGGCGAAATAACACCCAATCTCCCCACCCCTGCCGACGCGACCGGACTACTTGAATCTTCGGTGCTGACCAGCCCCAAGACTCAGAATGTGGCAGAGGCATCAGCTGTCGCAGAATCTCCTTCTCACACCGATCAGAGTGCCGGCGCATCCGTGCCAGCACCTCCATTGGAGACCAATGACCGCGATGGAACCGAGACAGTTCGCTCTCGCGCATCGAAGGCAGTCACTGGTGCAACCTCATTGGACATTCCCTCCGATTCCCTCCCTCGAAAGAAACAAGATACCCGTCCCTCTCTCACATTAGGATCTTCTCACGAGCACCCACCATCTCCCGCCTCATCAATCGACCCATACAATAATAACACACCCGTACCAGTCGCTGCATCCCCCGACACCAGCCCCGCCGAGGAAGTGACCGAGGAGACCGGGACAATCGACCGTTTGACACTCAAGAATGCCCGACCTACTAATGGGCGATCGACTGTGGTTCCCTCGACCCCGGATGAGCAGCTGCGTCTCGAAGACGCTCAGTCAACACACAACAAAACTACTAATGGTGTGAGTGACATGCTGTCCAAGGAAGCCGAAAAGGGCGTGGACCGGGAGGATACCACAGACCGAATGGACATCGACGAGGAGCCTGTCCCAGACAATTCCGAGGACGCAGCGCAACCTGGAGTCAAATCGGCAGTTGGAGAATCACTGTCACCGACCGCACCCATGGAAGCCACCGAGGACTCTACCGTCGAAACTCCGATCAAGAAATCGGTCTCGATTCCACCTACGCAACCTGGATCAACTCAACCGGAGCGTATGACCACTCGAGTTTCATCAGGAGCCCTCCGCCACAAGTCGGTTTCAGAAATTCTCGGTGAAACCCCCCGGAGCTATGACAAAACTCACCCTACTACACCGTCTGAACAAGGCACCCCTGACTCAGTTGCCAGGATGCGCTTCAAGGACCGCAAGGAGCGAGAGAAGGAGAGAAGCCGCCTTTCAACGGTGGTGTTCCCGAAACAGCCAAATTTGCAGCAAGATAAACCCGACCCCATGGACTTAACGAACAGAGACCTGGATGCGGTTGCGAAGCTTAATGAGGAGCAGGATTATCTTTTCAAATTGTTCCTGAATCGAGCCTACGCACCTCCTCGAGGAACAAACCTGAACACATTGTTAGTCTCCGCGCACAAAACATTGAGCACTGGCAACCATCTGCTTGAGTACCAGGAGCAAATGGATGTCCGCACCTTGCGGCGCATCTATGCTCTCCAGAACGCCAATCGATGGCCACTGCGGCAATTGAAACGCTCTGTTGAGCCTCAACGCCAAGGCACGCATTGGGATGTGGTTATGGATCACGCAAAATGGATGCGAACGGATTTCAGAGAGGAGCGAAAGTGGAAGATTGCTGCCGCCAAGAGCTGCGCCGACTGGTGTGCCGAGTACGTGCACAGCGATGAGGAGCACCGGAGTTTACTTCGTGTTCAAGCCAAGGTGCCAAGTCCGATTTCGATCGAGGACGCCCCCAAGGCTGTTCCAAGCTCACCATTGGAGGACGCTGGCGATGAGGCATTCGGTGGTGGCTCTCACCCCACCCCAGATCTGGTTCCCTCCGCCGAAGAAGAATCGGTCAGCGATGGCTTTAATGATGAGCCTCGACATGAGCTTCACGACACCGTTGCGCCGGCCGCTATATTCTCCTTAGGATCTGATGAGTTCAACTTCTCCGTTGACATGACTCCTGCTGCCGAAAAGCTGTTGGACGAATTGCCCATATACGGACCACTCCAGATCGCTCCGGGAACAAACTTACCCGCCTTCAAGCTCCAGCCCGACTCAGCCTGGAAGACTGACCTCTTGCCGGTTTCCAAATTCGCATCCGCCAAGATTTGTTTCCATGACAAAGAACCGCCACGCAAGCGGAGCCGATACGACTTCTCTCAGTATGGCAATGAAACTGATCACCGGATCACCGAGTTGGCACCTGAGCAGACCAATGTTGCACTCTTCCGACCGGAGAATAAAACTATCCGAGATAGAATCCACCCAGGACATTCATTCCGTCCTCCAACCGAATACCCCATGCCCTCTATCGGCTTCTTCGAATCGCGTTCATCCTCACAGTGGACTTATGCAGAGGATGACGAGCTGCGCCGCTTGGTCAAGGATTACTCATACAACTGGTCTCTCATATCTAGCTGTCTGACGCCGTCGTCACTGTTCACCTCAGGTGCCGAAAGACGTACCCCTTGGGAATGTTTCGAGAGATGGGTTGGCCTCGAAGGTCTTCCTGCTGACATGTCCAAGACTCAGTACTTCCGGGCTTATCACCAGAGACTCGAGACTGCCCAGCGTACTGTGTTGGCACAGCAGCAGGCTGCCCAGCAACAGCAGCAACAACAGCAGCAACAGCAAGGTGCCAGTGCTCAACCTCAGCCACCTGTGCGTCGTAGGACAACCCAGCCTCTTCGGGTTGACCGACGACGGTCTTCTAAGCATCTTGCTCTGCTTGACGCCATGCGGAAGCTGGCCAAGAAGAGAGAGACTATGCTTCAAAAACAGCAGCATGGTATGTTTTGAGAACAGTTTCAAATGTGGAATTCTGCTAACATTCAAATTCTTTCCTAGCTTCGCATCTCGCTTCGTTGCGCAAAGCCAATGAGGCCAATCAACCCAAGCCCCCAATCTCATCACCTGCCGAGTTCAGCCGGTTGAAATATGACCGAGAAATGAAGCTGCAAGAGCGACAGGAGCAATACCGACAGCAAATGATTGCGCAGCAAAGAGTGAGTCTAACGGCATGTCTAACATCGGCCCTTCGACTAACTTCTCGTCAAGGCTAGTCTTCAGGCTCAACGTTCCGGCCAAGCGCCCAACCAGCAACCGATGATGAACGCGCCTGGACGCACCAATGCCAATCTGCCCCCTACATCCAACCCCGGTCTTCCAGGCGGTACCCCGAATGGCATGGCAAATGGTTTATCCGCTGGAGCAAACGTAAACCAAGGCCGCCCTCTTCCCATGCAGAATATGCCTGGAGGTAATCAGCCCAATGGCCAGATTCCCAACAATATTCCTATGAAGATGATGCCACAGGGTCAGATGCAGCAAAACCCGGGGTCCAGACCTGGACTGCCAATACAGACCTCGCCCGACAATACACGTGTGATTCGAGAAGCCAATCGATTGCAGGAGCAGCAGCGCCTCCTCCAGTCCCGACAAGGGCAGCCTCATCCCCAGCAAGGCCAGCAACAATTCCATAACCAGCAATTTGGGCAACAAGGATCACCAAACATGAACATGTCCAATGTCAATGGCACGCCCAACAACGCTGCTATGATGGCTGCTATGCAGAACCAAGGAGGAATGCAGAGTCCTTCGTTCCCGGGTAACACACCGCAAGGAGTATCTGTTCCATCCCCGCGTATGGGACAGCCCAACCCCCTGTCTAGCGGAGTTGTGCCACAGATCAGCACCCTGCAAAGCCAAATCCAGCGCAACAACCCAACCTTACCACCTGAGCAGGTAACAAAGATGGCCACCGAACGTCTCAACCAGTATCAGCAACAGCAACAGCAACAGCGCTTATCCCAACAAGCCGCCATAAATGCTGCTGCCGGTAGCATCAACGCGGGTGCGGTGCAGAACAATTACCAAGTTCCGCATGATACGAACTTCCAGACCCCGTCGGCGCCAAACATGACGAACGGCGGCTCAGGAGTGCAAATTCCGCAAAACCAAGGGTTCTCGCCTATGATGCGTGTTCCTCAACCCCAGCAAAACCGCGTTGGTCCAACCAGCTCGCCTGCCATGAACGGAGCAGTGAACCAGCCCAGCCGGAGCGCCACTACCCAAAACCAGCGCAGCGGAAGTGCTCAAGCTGGACCTGTCCAAGGCTCAAGCAAGAGCCCGCACGCTGCGGCAGCCCAAACCGCGACCTAAGTGCCCATCCCGTCTACATCCCGCTTATACCTCACCTCTTTACTTTCGTCTGTACATACTTACACACCCCTTTACGCTGATTTATTTTACCCGTTCTTTCTCCGTCGACTCGGATGGCGCACACTACCCCCTTCCACCTCTCGTGTTTTCTTGTTTTTGAATCGTCGATGTACTCTGAACTCGATCTGCACTGGCTCTTTTTTTACCAGTGCGACTCTGATTTACCGGGCCTGGGTTTGTATTATTCAATGGGAATGGGCGAAAATTTTGGGACGGATGGACTTTAGGAATTGATATGAATTGTATGATTAGTTTTGCGCCTGCTCTTTCCTGCTGTATCGTTTACTTAGATTAGTAAAATTATGACTAGACTCAGGTTGTGCTTGTACAGTAGTAGCCTCCACGTCGCTAGGCGATTGTACGGAAAGGTTGGATGTCTTGGACTGAGATTAGCCAAGGCTCGATATCTCCTAGCAAAGTCACATACTGCAGGACTTCATTACCACCAAGTTTAATTGTGAATAAAGTCAATTCTGTTTGCCCCGGACGGGGACATTGTTCATTGTTCCAATACCATATGGTATTCATGCAAACTTGTTCATGATAAGGACCGTTTCCTGACTTCAAGTCTAGCCTCTGGGTCACTGAGCATTTCAAAGCCCAATTCCAGAACCTTAGGCCTCACCTTTCCAGCAAGTCTCACATCATATGATAGCAGGATCTTTGCCAGAGCGATCTTGATCTCATTACTGGCGAAGAACCTACCAGGGCAAATTGGCTTCCCGATACCAAAAGCGATATGCTCTGGACTGGTGGATGCGAGAGCTATCGCAGAATTTCCAGACTCGCGTAGGCGAAGAAAGCGATATGGATCATATGTTAACGGATCTGGATAGATTTCAGCATCCCACATCATAGATGAGTCGATAGCGATGTTGGTTCCACGAGGGATGACCATCCCATTTGGCAAGACCACGTCTCTCAGAGCCTTTCGCTCGAGGTTCACTGAGAAATAATGATTAGTATTCACAGCGAAGGATGGAAGGGCTGTCGCATACCCAAAGAGCCAGGCTTCAGCCGCTGCGTCTCCTTTATCGCGCTGTCCAAAAGTTGCATCTTGAAAACGCCCGCAGTTGACCATCCACTCTCTCTGATTGCCTGCGTTGCTTCCTCTCGCAGGGCGGGAATTATTTCTGGATGCATGCAAATGTCTAAAAGAGCTTGCTTGAGCAAGTCGGAGGTTGTATGCATAGCACTTATGGCAAATGCGATTTGAGCCGCGACGGCATCGTAAGGGCGTCCTGCTGCAACATCCTCCATCCATTGGATGGTGTCTTCATGTTTGGCGTGTTGTCCAGTCTTACACGTGTCTTTCTCATTGGCCCTATTATCGAAAATGGGCTGCAGAATGAGACGTGCACGGCGCATCTGCTCACGACATACCCGAAGTTCTGGTAGAAACCAGTGTACCAACGGACGGAGAAAGGATGGCCAAGCACGAAGGGATCGAACACCCATGAAGGTGTTCAGCGTTGAGGCCAGTGTTAGTTCTTGCCATTCAGGGCTGCGAGCCAGTTCAGGTCCCACGAACACGGACGAAGACATGCGTCCAATGAACCGGACTGCGTTGTCAGACCAGTCAATGGTATGCCAACCTACGGGGTCTGTCAACGGGTGATCCTAGGATTGGTAAGGAGACTCGACCTACTCTCATCATTTTCCCACACTTCTGCCAGAGCCTCCGTGATGTGTTCGTGTAGTAATTTGACTTCTAAGAAATCATCAGTTTGACTTCGATCAGATTCGAGACATTCACTTACGGCCAGTTTGATTATTCAACTTTGTCTTTGTGACATTGATCAGAATCTTCCGAGGGTCGGTCACCACCTTCTGCCCTTCCATTCCGGGATAGGCTGCAAAATATTCCTATTTGACAATGGTCAAATTCAAGAGGATAATCAAGCAAAGCTGTTGGACCTACATCGTGAACCAGTTCCTGATGGCCCAAGTCTGGACAACTATTCAACCAATTGATATAAGAGGCCGGAAGAATAATTCGAGATCCAAGAGTCGTAATAATGCGGAAAGGCCCGTCAAACTAAGAGCATTGGAAGTAAATATCAGACATTGGTTCCGATGATGGCGGTATGTGTATTTCAAGGGTGCATACCTTCTGTACTCCTTCTCGGATGAGGTTCCTGGCATTTGAAATGAAGTCTGCGTGAGCCCGCTTCAGAGTGAAGTCATAGGCATAGGAATTGATAGTTGGGAACGTAGGTCTTCTCGTTTGGCGCCATGAGAGAAATACCAAGATACTCAAAAGGAGTGTCGAAATCAAGCCAAAACATAAGTTTTCGGAAGAGCCAACAGGGCTCACACTAAAATAAGCCATTGTGACATATATCCAGTGGGATGTTTAGATATCTTGTAATGTAGACAGCCATTGTAAGGCGAGTTGGGATTGGATTTAAGTACATATTAGGGCTGGTTCTATGAGCCCGCCGCGGGCATGAATCAGGATGAGTCATGATGCATACACAGCTGGAGGCTTTCTCAGGCCCACCTGGGCAAAGAGATGAATGCACTTGTATTAAATTATACATCTATAGAATTGAGCATGTCCAGAGATATAAGCAAATATGATAGTCCCTAATGCAATCAAGTTGAATATGCTGCAAGTACCCACATGAAGTTTATTAGCACTTCCCAAATAGGAAATCGGTGTCACGGTGACTCTCGGACATCCAATTATATTCAAAAGTGGTGAGAAAATACGGAGTAGCTTGTCACCTGTCCCCTCAGTTTCCACTACAGCTCTCCGAGTCGGTACCGGGAGTATGGTGTCTCCAGACAAAACCCCCAGCGAAAGAGTCGCAATACCCAATGTGTAATGTAGAAGTTACAAAGATAGAATTAAACATTTTACTCATAGGTATTGCCGATCGATCCACTAGGGTCTCATGGGGCCAATTGAAACAAATGCGCAGTTGTGTCACTGGAGGATTCTTGGCCGCAGAATCTGGGGATCTGATATTCAGGGGTCTAAAAGGCTTGCCCAATGGGAAAATATGCTCATCCTACGTTGTGGCTGTGCCATGTGGGAATTGCAGATCACCACTATTTTGAAGGTGACTAAATAAGTGAGAATAGAGGCTAATATACCACTTGGTACAGTGCAGAGCTTGAAGTAAAGTATAAAAGAGTTGAGCGCAGGATGCAACGTCAGTGGCGATCGGCAATCGGCCCCCGTAAGCGAATAACTCCGGGCTAAGCACTCTCCACTCAACATGATGCGGTTTTCTCGACTTCCTCTGTCAGACGCTGTGATGGATCACCATGACCGGTAATAAGGACTTCCGCGACCAGCTGGGCAAGTTTCGCTTGGATTCCATCAACAGTTATACCCCCTCCCCGACCTGGCCGCCAGCCTACCCCGAGTCCGTAGACGCCGCCAGTCCCTCGCGCAGCAAACGAGTCTCGACAGCCTGCGACTTCTGTCGCAAAAGGAAGAAGAAATGTGACTTTCGATACCCCAATTGCTCGGCCTGCACACGCGCCGGGGTGCGTTGCACTATCCCCCCCACCCGGCCCTCAAGTCGCTAGCGCTTCCGTCCCCCGCGATCAGTTGGAGAACCTACAAAAAAGAGTCCGGTGGTTGGAGGAAGTCGTCCGACGCAAATCCGGTCTGTCGGTTGCCGAATTGGCGACCGGTACACCTGTCGATGGTGAAGGGGACCCGGATTGGTGGTATCAGGTTCCCGCCATGATCGCGACCGGCGGCACCCGACCCTCGACCTCATTGTCGAGCCCGACCGCTAGCGGCTCCTCCGTGACTGCGGGCCCCTCGGAGGCCTCCACTGGTGTAGGAGCTGAGCTCCCGAATGTTGGGGAGATTTTTCGCGATCAGCTGGAACATCGACGACCGTCGGTGGCACGGCCGTCTTCCGCGCCGCGGGTCATGCGCTTGTCGTCGCTGGAGGAGGCTGAACGGTTAGCCGGACAATACTTCGACAGCATGGGGTACCAATACCCCTTTATGTCACGTCCGGAGTTCATGGGTAATCTACACCATATCTATACGGGCGGTGTTCCGACGCCGGAAACACACAATTCATACCACATTATCATGGCGATTTCGCTTTTGATAGGATCGGCAGATCCGACCAAGGCAGCGGAGTTCTACAATGCCAGCCAGGAGACTCTCCCCATGGCCTTGCAGAATGAAGACTTGCCTGCCGTGCGAGCGCTGCTAGGACTGGCCCTGTATACTATGTTTGCCACTGCTGGGCCCAGCATTTGGCATGTGCTCGGCGCGACAATGAGGCTGGCGACCAGTATCGGTCTGCACAAAGCGCGGCCGTATGCTAGCATCGCGGAGGAAGAGATGTCGAAGCGTGCCTTTTGGAGTCTCTACAACTTGGACCGTCTCATTGCCAGCACCTTGGGCCGGCCGTTGGGCATTGCCGACGACGACATAAGTGTGGGCCTTGTGCGCGAACTGAATGACGATGGAACTGAAGTGCCTGGTGCAAGCGGGATGACTATCCCGCTGCAAGTCATTCGCTTGCGGCGAATTTTCTCACGAATATACCAATATTGTAAGTCAGTCGAGAGTCTAAGTTGCATCTCGGACCACTCACCAGTTTGTAGTATACAGCAGTCTCCCACGACCACCACCCCAGGAAGTGGTCATCACCCTCAGCCAATTCCGCCGAGAGGTTGATGAATGGCGCATGGCGGCCCCAGTTTATCCATCAGCACTTCTTTACTCTACTTCATATTACGACTATCTCTATTACACCACATTACTTCTGATGTACCGCCCCAGCCCTCGAAACCCGACACCAGATATCACCAGCATCGTCAGCTGTGGTGACTCCAGCATCCAAGTCATCAGGTCCTACTGGGACAGCTATTCGATTGGCAAGTTGAAATGGATATGGCTCACACTTAGCCAATTGTATTTTGCTGGAATCACCATTCTTTGGTGCCTTGAACAGAACGCAAGATCACTGCGCGAGTCCCAGCCAGCACCATGGCATCCGGAAGAACAAACAATGCGCCGTGGAATCCAAGCAGTCGTCGTACTCTTGGAAGAATTTGGCAAGCGTCGGCCAGGAGTCGACCGACTGGCAGAGACTTTCCGACACCAAAGTACAATGGTCTTCAGCCAAATGGCGTATCAACAGCATCAGCTCGAACAACAACAGCAACATCATCCACAATACCATCCACCTCCTCCACCTACACTTATTCCCCCGCAGCCTTCACTGCCTTTGGCTGCACCACCGCCACCGCCGGTCCCACTGGCCCCCGTTCTCGACGACGTGTTACTCGTGGATAGCAGCGGGACGATCCCGATGATCGATCCACAGATGGCGGACCAACTTTTCTACTCCTATAATTGGTTCCAGGAGGAGATGGCATCATACTATACCCTTTGAACGAATCTGCTTTGTATCTAGACTTTGACTTTTGGCAGTAGACGGCGCTCGGCTCATTGAAACAAGGTCGGCATCTTCCTTTGTGACGTGACTTGGCTTTCAAGTCACAATGTCTTTATTAATCATACACAATGAACATACAATTTCAAAATTTGGAAGATACATCTATACTCACATGACTGGAAACAAAGGAACCGGCACTAATAGGCATTGTTGGGTGGTGTATGAGGTTTGCAAGGCCTTTGTGCTCAATTAGTGTCCTGTTCCAGTGTTCATTTTATGAAGGCCAGCTTCGTGCCTCGAGTATTTAACTGCCAACATTCGGTCCTTTAAGATCAGACGAAGTTTCCAGGTCTCAAAATTCATCAACAATGGAGCAAGCCAGAGTACCAAAGAGTGTCTTCATGTTTGAAGGTGCAAATCTTTCTGATATGCACGACGATGATGCTGTATGGGTTACTGTCATTCTGAACAATCACATCAGTCCAGCTGATAGCGATGAGCGTATCATGCAATTTGTCGTTGATCAGATCAAGGATGGAGAAGTTGTTATTGGGGCTTGTTCTCTTTCCCTTGTCGGGGCACAGTGCATCTCGCTAGGTCTTCCGGTCGATAGAATTAGTAGATACATCCTTGGAGCACTATGCCACGCCGATGCTCTTGCAACTTGGTGGCTTGAGCAGATCCGCGAGGGTGTGATTCAGCTTGATCGTAGCCATATATTTGGAATATAGATGCGTTCTGAGCGTTTATTGAACGAATAGAAACACTGTTTCTTTTAATTTGAGCAACACTCAAGGTAAATAAAAGATCGTCAGACGAAAGATTTATCATATTCCAGCATGCTCCGTCTTGCAAAGTCGGCCTTTGCAACTAATTTTGCCCCATGTCACAAGTAGTTGTAGAATAAACGCAAAGCCTCTATAACTACAGCGTAGGGTTGACCACAGGCCTCAGGCCAACATATGCCCCTCATCTCAGCTGTGATCACAAACAACAACTTGACTTCTTACCATCATCATGGACGAGCTAGACAAGAGAACCACTCCGGCATCGGGACTACCTATTGCCTTTCATGGCACGGTCATTCATTCCAAATCATTGGATGACCTCGAGATCCTGGAGAACTGTTTTCTACTCATCGGCAAAGATGGAAAAATCCAAGCTCTAGTAGCAGATGTCCAAGCCGACCAAATAAACGATCTGCTGTCAGAAAATGGCTATGCACCCGACGTATTTCCAGTGAAACACCTGAAGCGCGGAGAGTTCTTGTGTCCCGGCTTCGTCGACACCCACAACCATGCCCCACAGTACGCGCAGCGGGGGATAGGAAGAGGCATCGACCTTATGGAATGGCTGAACGAAGTGACCTTCGCCCATGAAGCCAAGTTCAAGGATCCAGAATATGCAAAGAAAATGTACACCCTTTGCGTGGCGGGCTTCCTGCAACAAGGCATTACCACCGCATCATATTATGGCTCGCACCACGGTCAGGCAACTCAAATCCTCGCAGAAGTGTGTTTTCAAAAGGGGCAGCGCGCCCTCGTGGGAAAATGTAACATGAATCGCAATGCCCCAGACTGGTATCGAGATGCTTCGGTACCGGACTCACTCCACGAAACGCGCGAGTTCATTCAATATGTTCAGCAACTTGATCCTGATAGTCATCTGGTGAAACCAATCCTGACGCCACGATTTGCGATATCGTGTGAGCCCGATTTGTTGGAGGGCATTGGAGCCATTGCTGCTGAGCATCCCGATTTGCCAATCCAAACACACTTCAACGAAGCGAAACAAGAAATAGGATTTACAAAACAGCTATTTCCGGAGTTCAAGACGGAAGCAGACCTATACGAGAGATATGGTCTTTTGAATAATCGATCTATTCTTGCCCATTGCATCTTCCTCCAAGAAGAAGAAATCAATCGTATCAAAGAACTTGGTTGCGGAGTCGCCCATTGTCCGATTTCGAACACCACCATGCAGGACTTCATGATAGCGCCTATACGCGAATACTTGCGGCGTGGTATCAAAGTTGGACTGGGGACTGACAGTGGTGGAGGGTACTCGTCTTCAATCTTGGATGCCATGAAGCACGCGTTTATTGTGTCTGTCGCACAACAAACTGCGACCAAGGGTAAGGACCCTGCGTTGTCTTTGCGCGAGGGCTTTTTCCTTGCCACACTGGGCGGTGCGCAGGTTTGTGGCCTCGATGATAGGGTTGGAAATTTCGTAGTGGGCAAAGAGTTTGACGCTCTTGAGATTCACACAATTGATCTTGATCGCCCTGGGATAATGAGTCCGGTGGAAGATGAAGACTCAACAAAGGTGATATTTGAGAAGTTCCTTATGACTGGTGATGATCGAAATATTGTCAGAGTCTACGTGGGTGGGCGATCTGTCAAGGTTTAGACGTGAAATATGAATTAAGGCACGATGCATCTGTCAAATATCATACTGGTCAGGAGATTAGACCGCTGTTAGAAATGCACTGGAGATTGAATGATGACTCCCGATTGTAGGGAGCATGAAGCGTCGTACGGTATATGTGCAAGGTATCTTGTATGTATGTGTGGTGATAGACAGCACCGCCGACTGAATGAGGGAGAAAAAAAAAAAAAATTGAACGAGAAGCAAACAAGGAAACGCTTGAACGGTTGAAAAATAAGTGTAATGATCAATACCAACTGCCTTTCGTAGGACCAAAGTATCCCCTTTCTGGCAGACCCCTGTAGGGCGTCCCTTTGCCATCCGCTGTGACAGAAGAGACAGTGTTACCCCACCAGCTTAGAGAGCCGGCAGGGAGCGTTATACAGAAGAAGATGATAACAGTGGCGACGGCAACTCCGCAGTCCAATGCGGCGGATAGGACGTAGTCTAAGAGAAGTTAGCAAGCCCATTCAACCTTCGGTAACCAACACAAGGAACGACATACTATATTTCGACCACCATGCCGGTTTGCGGCGACGGATTAGGCCATTGAAGATCAAGTTCACAATCCACCAAGAAGAAAAGCTGATTCCAGTGGCCGGAGGGACGAGGCTCATGGCACCGAAAGCGACAGGCCATGAAAGATAGTTGACGCTTTTCCATCGACGACCCAATAAGAATGTGGTGACAACAGCCAAGGGGCCTACGAGGAAGAACCAAAGTAGATTGCTATAAATCTGCCCAGGAGTGAACAGTCGACTTGGGCCAATCGCGCCTATGGCAGCGTTAAAAAGATATTCGAATAGAGTTTCATACATGGGATGAATGGAATTTACTTACCCCAGATGAGCGACGATGAATACGTGACTTTTCCATGAGGGCAGCTGAAGTTGCCTTCTGCTTCTGGGGTGCAGACGCCGCGAATTCTGGTGATCATGAAAACTGTAACGCCGCACTGGACGACCGCACCCACGAGTGTAGCAAGGCCTTGCGCAATAAATAAGAGTCGTGGTGCAATGTGCATATAGTGAGCCAGCTTCATGTCGGCGACAAACCTGGTGGGATGTTAGTTTCATATTTGATAAATCATGAAAACTGTAACTCACTCTAGCCCTTGCTGTACAGCAACATAACCGTAGAATTTGAACGCCATGTTAGCCACTGGACGCCCGAGAAAGGCATACCCGCCAATGAACTCGGTGAGCAGGTTGAGTTGATTGCTGCTTATGTTTGTGAGAGCTTTGATGATGCCCACAGGGATGAAGTATACCACAGGCAGCAGGAAAGCCACAAGCACACCCCATGCTGGGAGACCAGTATGCCATACCTGATTGGTCACAATACTCAGAACAAACATCAAGACCGTGATCGCAGCAAACCACCACCACGGAACAGATTTATAAGAAGACATCAGTCGACCGTGGCAATCTTGTTTGCTGGTGCCTTTGTATTGCTGCCACAGATCCTTGCCATGGTAGAGCCCGATGTGGAAGAATATGCCCGTCAGATTGGCGAAAGCCACACCAAATGTGATTGCGTAACCAGCCGGAAGAAACATAGGCGAATAGTCTCGGTAGGCAGCTTGATTGACATCGCCACTCTGATTCATGATGCGGCTGGTATTGTAAATGTTCCCGGTGTTGTCAAAGGTGTTTGAATTCAACAGCGGAAGGTGGGCGGAGAACCAAGTGTTGGTGTAATACACTAGCGGGCATACGAGCCAGAAGAAAAGTGCGAAGGACCCCATCACGTTCAGCCCAGCCCAGAATGGGACCAGCAGAGGACTCTGGTTGGCATAGACCACCTGTGCCCAGTCGAAGGTCAACACCGACATCCCCAACCCTGTGGTTTGGCCAAAGAGTTGGTTTACCACCACATTGGACGGTACAATCCAACAAATGAAGGCGAAGGTGCTGAGGCCCGTGAAGAGATAACCCGGGGCGAAGTACCACACAGCACCGACGATAAAGACATAGAGAAAGAAGCGGAGACGCGTGATGCGCCAGCCATCCGCCATGGTATTAGATTGGGAATGGAGTGTTGTCAACAGCGCTGCGTTTGACAAAACTTGAGGCCATAACATCGATGCTGGGCCTACAAGCCAGCGCGACGCCATGCCGGCCAAGCCAAAGCCGAACATTTGCGTAGTGATGCATAAGAGCACCTCGAATCCGCCGTCAGATGGTACATGGTAAAACTTGACTAGCGCTTCAATGACTTGGGTGGCTGCTGCAGAGCCAATGGAGACATTTGCCATGATGGTGATCAAGGCATGCTCCTTGATGTTGAAATGCCGGTCGGGATTCATGATACCGAGAGGGATCCATCTTGCCCAAGCACATCCCACAGGGAATGCCAGTAATTGTGCAACCAAGGCACTGATCGTCACACTGGGCTGCCGCAGACTGAAAAATTGATTAAGACCGCTGCCAATCTATATCTGTAGTCAGAACCACATCCGCTCACCGGGCGCAAAGAACATACAATGGTAAAGATAAGACCAATGGTCCACATGCGCACCGTGCTAACGGGCAAAGTCTGATCGTCGACTGGCTGTATGACAGCGCGAACTTCGGGGAAAGGCGAGTCATCATCTTCATAAGGCAAGATCTTCTCGGCATCCCGATCGCGCAGAATGCCAATCTCATCATAAGGCTGATCCGGGGACTAGATGGGAAAACCCGTTAGAAAAGTACCATGAAACCGCGCACCGAAGCCGAATCGCAAATGACGAAATATGTTTCAACCTAATCGGATAATGCAAGCCATACCCGAACGGCCCCATCAGTTGGTCTCGACCACAGTGGAACGATCGACGAGAAAATTGGCCAAAATGATGAGATTGATAATGAAATGGATCAAACCCACCTGGCAGGAATTTCGCCGACATTTCTCAGCGTTCCCCATTACGAACCCGGTCCTCCCCGGTCCTCCCAGCTCCCTGGGACAACACCAGAGAGGGTAATTGGAGAGCGCTGGTTCAACAGTTCGCCGTGTCGGCTTGAGCCGAGTGTTAAAACGTGCTATGGATGCACGAGGCCTGCTTCATGCAAGGATGGACCACACTGCGGGTGGGATGGAATGGCGCGACCCAATGGCAGGGACGGTATGTCGCATGGAAGGGTCGGCTTGCATCAATCAGACAAGATCCCGTTCGGTATAGACTTGGCTTTGGTCCCAGATGCGGCTAGCTGAAACGAGATTGGGCATATGATATGCAGGAGAGGAGAAAATTATTCCTGACGGGTGCGTGGTGGTCGGCAGAGGCCGTTATCGACCCACTTTATTATTGCCGGAGTAAGATATAGTCTGGATTGCGGTAAAACGGTTGCCAATCGACCTTGACAGTGTGGGATGAGATAGGATTAAAACCAAGACCCCTTGCCCCCTCGTCTCCCATGATTCATGTTCACTTGACCCCGGATTACGCTTTGTGTGTGTCGGCTATATTGATTCCTCCGCGCTCTCGGCAATCTGCGACCTATCTTCCTCTTTGAGGATTTCCGAGATCAGCTTGTAGCTTTGAGCTTTGAATGGCCCAGCATTTTTGACTGGAGGACTTGATTTTCCAGACCAGGTGCTTTGACTCCCGAGGTAGTTGAGTGATATCATCTATACCTGACCCATACCGCCACCATGGAACATCATTACGAACCAGAGGGAGTGCCATTCTCCCAGAGACCCATTGTGGTTCTAGGAGCAGGGATCATTGGCTGTGCAACTGCCCGGCAATTACTGAGGGATGGGTTTCCAGTCGTGTTAGTCGCCGAATATTTGCCGGGAGATCAGCACATCCAATACGCATCGGCGTGGGCAGGAGCCGCATGGCATGCCGCTGGCGGCATCACCCCCGATCAACGATACATCCAAGCGGTCACCCACCGCATACTGCTGAAGATGGCCCAGGAGGGCCCGGAGTCCGGCGTGAGCGTTGTCAACGCACGAGAGTACCTCGAACAAAAGCCTGCCCCGGACTCGGCCATATGGGGCAGGACTGTGGTTTCCAAGGTATGATGCAGCTTGGTTGCTGGGATCAGCTGAAACGTTCAGTTCAAGCGAAACTAACGAGGCTTGTCGTTGTGATCAGTTCCGTGAAATGCATACTAGCGAATACCCTTCTGATTTTAACTGCGCCTGGGCCTACGAGACACTCGTCACAGATCCAACTATCCACATGCCCTATCTAGGGAAACAAATCACATCGCTGGGAGGCCAATTTATCCGACAACGCGTTGAATCTCTACAAGAGCTGTATGACATGTTCCCGGAGTCGCGGGTGTTCATCAACGCCAGCGGATGGGGCAGCAAGAATTTGACGGACGTGAAAGATGATAATTGCTTCCCAGAGCGTGGGCAGAATGTCTTTTTAACCACTGATCGATGCGACACAATGTATTTCCGGAACGGCCAGGAATATACCTACGTGATCCCTCGGCCATTTTCCAAGGGAGTTGTGCTGGGCGGAGTCAAGCAGCAGGATAATCTGTAGGTAACTGAGACTCTGTGCGACACACTTCTGACATCATTTTTTTAGGTCACCCGAGGTTGATTTGGATATTGCGCAGGATGAGATTGCGCGCGCGCATCGGTTAGCTCCCGAAATCGTCCCCGAGCACCCAGGTGCAGATGCGGTCAGTCACATTATTGGAATCCGGCCTTCCCGAAAGGGAGGGTTTCGTTTGGACTCGGAGCGCCGAGGAGATCACGTCGTTGTCTCCGCGTATGGATTTGGTGGTGGTGGGTACGCTTTCTCCTATGGAATTGCAGATGCAGTGGTCAAGATGGTTGAAAAGGCAGAGCGAGACAGTGTCATCGTATAGGGAAGTTGCAATCTCACCCCTCACACAACAAAAACCTGTTTCATCCCCAGAATTTTTAAAAGTGAGGCTTGAACCAAACCCATTGGACTGGTACAAGTATCATATACAGTAGACTCTGTAGATCTCGGACCAAGTTCGGAGACGGGAGAGTTCCGAGAATGCCAATTTGAAGAACACGACAAAAACTACACCGTGTGCAGTGATTGTAGAGTATATTCCAGATGTGTACCTTGCGGCTGATCCATCATATATGAAGCGACCTTGCACTAATAAGTGGAAGTCATATGTGGCTAGGTTAGGGCTAAGACTGCTAGTATAGCGAGTAGTACGGAATACCCCAAAGTACGTCAACACCAAAAGAGCAGTCCAGCCGAACAATGCCGCTGCCCCTCATCACATTCGCCACCTGAGCATTTTCGGGTGAGACACAATTGCAGAGTCACTCTATATTGTAGGTTGACTCCAGGGGAGAGGAAGATATCATATAGTAAATTTGGAGTGGTCAATGTATGCAAGCGGTTAACTGCCTCTATAGCCTTGAAAGTCATACAAACTACAAAGGGTGGGCAGATCACCCCCCTTTAAAGTACCTCCGTACTCCGTATAGGTGACGGCGATATAACCTAAAGGTTGTGATTACGTCGGTGTGCATTTTGCTGAGGCTTTTAGGGACTTTTGGCGTGATCCATCCCTCTGTTTTGTGTTTTCTTGGAATTTTTTTGCCTCTTCACATCTCCACAGTGGTCTGGAATTTGATTCGGGCGCCTCTCCCAGCCACTCATCTCTCAGCCTTCCTTCGGGCTATCTAGCCTTGGATTTTCCAAATCCCGCTGAGATCGGATGGAGGATCTCGAATCTTGGCCCAGGGCTTGCATTCTTAAGGTCTTGATCTTGACTTCCTCAAGAGCTTTCAGACGTTGAATGACTTCTTCGCGTGGGCTGTCAGCGAGATGCCTGTGGATCAGATGCTCCACCTGAGAATCGCTGAGTGCCCAGTGAACAAAATTGCGGTGATCACCCCGCCGGATGAGGCCGACTTAAACCTTGAAAGTAAAGGTACAAGAAATGTCGCTTCTCCCGACCTCACCCTTCTTGGTCGCATATATCGACTGACACCGTGAGTGAAAATTCCTCGGAGCGGGACCACCCTTGTTGAATTACGGGAAAAGGTGGAAAGTGGGAGAAACACGTACTAATCGCATGCAGAAAACCCACAATCGTGCTTGATGGCTCGTTGCGAATCATCGAAGTGTCCAATAGCCATGTGGAAATATTCGAACGGTCACGAGATCAACTGTTGACCTCCAATGTTTACGACCTTCCCGCCTCTGTCCTTTCAGCCCCCGACATCCCGTCCTTGAGTGGCGCCTTGGGCGCCGCCATATCAACTCGCCAGGTGCAGGCCACCAATCGCGTTTATGTCGCCAAATGCAACGCCTTTTATTCTCTTAACGTGACCCCGATCTTTGAAGATGACGCCCTCCTGTATGTGCTTTTGGAAGCCGAGCGCACTGCCCAAAAGCCGCCTGCCGACGAGCCGCGCAATCTAAACCAAGCCTACAAAATACTAGTCGATACCGTGAAGGACTATGCCATCTTTATGCTCGATACTCGAGGCCACATCGTGACGTGGAACTCGGGCGCTGCTATCCTCAAGGGCTACACCGCCTCTGAAATCATCGGTCAGCATTTCTCCGTTTTTTACGGTCGCGAAGATCGTGAAATCAAAAAGCCCGCCCGGGAATTGGAGGTCTGCATACGCGAGGGGAAGGTCGAGGACGACGGTTGGCGCTACCGGAAAGATGGCTCGCGGTTCTGGGCCAACGTGATGATCACCGCAATATTCCAGAATGGGACTCTGGTGGGATTCGTGAAAGTGACGCGTGATTTGACAGAGCGTCGGGCCACAGAATCGCGTTTGATTGGTGCATTTGAAGAATCGGTCCGATTGAAGTCTGCTTTCCTAGCCAACATGTCACACGAGCTACGCACTCCAATGAACGGAATGTTCTTGGCTTTGACCATGCTGCTCAAGACCGAGCTGACTGCTGAGCAGCGGGAGTTTGCTTGTATTCTGGAAGATTCGACCTCAATACTGCTGCAGGTCATCAACGATGTACTGGACTACTCGAAACTATCATCGGAAACCTTCCCTCTAACAACCGAAGTGCTCAACATCAACAGCGTGATCACAGCGGTGATTCGCAACTGCCAAGGGACGCTGAAGCCCGGTGTTAAACTTACGTCTGCCGTAAGTAAGGGGTTCCCCCAATCCGTCAAAGGAGACCCCCTGCGATTCCGCCAAGTGTTGCAAAATCTGGTCAGCAATGCAGTCAAATTCACTGAAAAAGGCCACATCCGAATCAACGCGAACTACGTGATCGACCGGAAAGAACCTGATGTATATCAGATCACCATTGAGGTGGTGGACACAGGTATAGGAGTACCCGAAGATGCCGAGAGTACTCTTTTTACTCCTTTCACACGATTCGTAGACACAGCAACTAAGAGATACCAAGGGACTGGCCTCGGTCTATCCATCTGCAAAAGCTTGGCCGAATTGATGGATGGAGCAGTGGGATTCCACGCCAACCCAGACGGGCCAGGAAGTGTGTTCTGGATGAGCGCCAAACTGGCGCGTGTTACCTCGCCAGTCTCGGCAGCGAGAACGAGTCTGCCCTCGATAAGACCCACTACACTTGACCAAACTGGTCCGCTCAAAACTATCGCTCCACACAAGTACGTCCTTCTTGTCGAAGACAACAATGTCAATCAAACCATCATGATGAAACTCCTCGGTAGTCTTGGCTTCCAGCGAGTCGACGCCGCCTGGGATGGTGCAGAAGCAGTGCGCATGGTCAAACAAAAGCCACTCGCATATAGTGTGATCTTGATGGACATCAACATGCCGGTCATGGATGGCCTCACAGCTACGGAGCACATTCGACGAATCAATCTTGATGTACCCATTCTCGCCTTGACGGGCAACGCTTTGAAGGGAGATGCAGAAACGTATCTATCTCGGGGCATGAATGATTACATCGCCAAGCCCTTGCATCGACAGCAGCTGGTTGATCTCTTGTGGAAATGGTGCGGATCTTGAGGGACTCGGCTCACATTCTAGTGGCCATCAAAAACCAGATCACATCGCACTCCCCCTATCGACGCCAATGCTGATGTCAGGCGGAACTACTCCAGCGACTTTTGTGCCAAGTATCCCGGTCTAAAGTCTTGGACTAGTTCACCTGACAAGCCTGAACCAGCGTTGCAACGCACTACTCAAGCCCTGGCGTTCGTCAGGTGTCGAGGTTTGCGGCTTTTGTCAAAACCCAATATCCGCGTTGCAAATGAGCGATTGATGCCAAGCACTGTGATCGCATCTCCGTTTGCCCTGCCGATAAATGCTTCAAATGATCTACGTGGGGATAAGAACCTGCTCGCGACCAAAAAAGCATGAACAAGACACATGCAATTATTCCCACTACCCAAGCTGCACGGTTGCAGTCTTGGGTGGTCTTCTTTACTCGCTACACTTAATACCACTCTTGAGATGACACCTTCTGCGGCGTCCTAGCAGCTGCGTAGTCGGTGGATGATTCCACCAATGCTTTTAAGCGTCCATTGATGATGACACCAGTACTGGGACAGTGATCAATCCAAACCTCGTAACATATCGCGTATGGCAGCCCATCCTGTAATTGGTAGGAACTGGGCCTTTAGTTTTCCAACTAGATTCGAGTCAATATGCATTCGCCAGATAATTCAATACCCCCCTTCTTTTAGAGTGGGGAATGTGAGCGCGGAGCCCAGGGGCTTGGAATTGGCATCGTCAAGCCGGCCGCGGTAGCAAATGACCATTTTCATTAATCTTGGAAGCTTTGACGGCAGCAATATCCTCAAAAGCTGCCCTCATATCTTCGAAAATTTTTCAGTCACTGATTAGGTACCTAGTTACAAGTTTCTGGACGGATACCCAAGTGCTGGCCACGCATATGGAGTACTCTCCCTCAACAGACGTCACCGTTGATGAGCGCATGCAGGAGAGAGAAAATCTTCACGTGAGACCCTGGATTCAGATCTATGATTCCTCCGATACTTCTATGACGTTTGAATCCAGCCTTGAAGACGTTGATCCGAAATACATAGCCCGAACGAGTGAGAAGCTCCACAGCGATAAAGGACACCCGCCGCATTAACCTTCAATCACCGACGAAAGCAACCCTCTGAGCAAGACGCGGAACAGAGATATGCTCCGTGTTTACTTTCACATGATGCATGACTCGGAATATCCTGTTCTAACCTTCCGAGAGGGCGAAGCTTGTATATCAAACCTTGGATCACCCAGTAAGTGCCAACTTCGAAGCCCACCAAGGCCAGGGCCTGGCGTACTTTTGCACTTTGGCCCTGCACTTTGAACTTCGTGGCGTACGACGGCTCAGTTTCTCCATATTCCTATCTCCTCCGTCATGGCCTAAGCGTTATTAAATCGCCGTTTCACGTCATAAGGACAATTGAACCAACGGCCCTTGGGCCTTAACACGCCGCCTAAGTTCACTTTGAAGACTTATCGGGTCTCCACTGAGGACTATAGGACATACGAATCGTTTTGGGTTTCAGTCAAAGCTAACTCAAAACATCCATGGATACGCACTACGTAAATGGTAACGGCAGTGCTAGGTCATCCTTGAGACTGATATGCATAATGGTGTTATTTGCTCAGTGTAAAGACCGGAAGTGAGGTTGAAGAGCAAAAAGATCAAGAAAATCAAAGCAGCAGCTTCCTTTGAAGGAAAGGAGAAAGACATATGGAGGGAGAGGAGGCTGAGAAGACGGAGGTTATGCCAAAGGCAGGTGAAGATATGACACGCTCCCAAACCTCCCAACTATAAAAGCTCCTTTACTATTCTCCGTCCCTCTTCTCCTTTCTCTTCTTCTCCACAACTCTTCTTCTTATCTTATCCTCATCTAACTTCATCATGCTCAGACATTATCTCCTTTTTCTTTGTGCTCTGGTGATCAGCGTAATCGCTGTACCAACAGGACACCAATATGAAGTCCATGAGCGTCGGGAGTACAACACCGATGCGTGGACCGAAACTCAACGACTCGCTGGGGACACAATCTTACCTGTCCGAATTGGCCTGACTCAGTCTAATCTTGACCGCGGTCATGACTTGCTGATGGACATGTACGAGCATTGATACTTTGATACAGACACTGTACTGACGTGTGAATTCAGCTCTAACCCAAAGTCAAGTCGTTACGGAAAGCACCTCTCTCTTAGTGAGATGCATGATTTCTTCGCTCCAGCCGACACAAGTGTGGCTGCAGTGCGTTCTTGGTTGGAGTCTGCTGGAATTGCCGGAAACCGCATCTCGCAGTCGACCAACAAGCAGTGGGTACAATTTGACGCCAATGTCAACGAATTGGAAGATCTGCTTCGCACAGAGTACTACACTTACTCACATGGCGCGAATGGGCGATCACACGTTTCATGCCGGGAGTGAGTTGCAATATCAACAACACGCTTTTACCTCAAGTGAGGTCTGCTGACTAGAGAAAACAGGTACCAGGTTCCGGCTTCTGTGCGTGAGCACATTGACTACATCACTCCAGGTGTTGCTATGCGCGAGGTGACTGGGCTACAAATGCCTATAAAGAAGCTTGGCACACGCACCTTTGGAGGAATACCCCCAAAGTTCACTCCAATCGACCGACCTATCAGTCAGCTCACGAGCAATACTTCCCAGGAATGGTGCTCTCTTACGGCTACACCTCAATGCATTGGAGGTGTGTTGCTCATTCTCTTGAGGTCACCCCCAAGTAACCGCGCTAACAAGTGAGCAGAGATGTATAACATCCCAAAGGGCCATTCTGCTACAAAGGGAAATGAGCTTGGAATATTCGAAACGCTTGGGGACGTGTACAGCCAAGAGAGCCTTGATCTGTTTTTCTCGCATTTCGCTTCGTATGTTCGCTACAGACGCTGTTGAGAGTTATGGAAACTAACCGCTTCTCAGGGAAATTCCCGTGGGTACACATCCAATTTTAAAGGGCGTGGATGGAGGCAGCGCCCCCACCACAGATGTAAAGAAAGATGGTTGCGAGTCCAATCTTGACTTCGAAATCTCTTACCCGATCATCTGGCCACAAACCCCGATTTTGTTCCAAACTGACGATATGGTCTACGAGACAAATCACAAAAACGTGGGATGGCTCAACACTTTTCTGGATGCCATTGACGGATCCTACTGCGACGAGATCTCCCCTTATGATCCCGTTTATCCAGACCCCGCAGAAGGAGGGTACAAGGGTTCTCTGCAGTGTGGCGTCTACGAACCTCCAAAAGTGATTTCCATTTCATATGGCGGAATGGAGTACTTTATGCCCCTCGCATATCAGAAGCGTCAATGTGGCGAGTTCATGAAACTCGGTACTATGGGCGTGTCAGTGGTGGTCGCTTCTGGTGATAGTGGCGTGGCGGGCATATATGGTTATTGCCTTGGTCCCAACGAAACAATCTTTAACCCGGATTACCCTGCCACCTGTCCCTATCTCACAGCAGTGGGATCAACCGAGATACCAATTGGTGTCTCACACCTAAATCACAAAGAGCAGGCTACAATCCGTTTTGGATCCGGCGGTGGCTTCAGCAATATCTACAAGACACCCGACTATCAGGCGCAAGCGGTGACCCAGTACTTTTCCGTGGCAAATCTCAGCTACCCATACTACGAGACCTCGGATAACACCAGCATCGATGCAAATGATGGCATCTATAATCGCATTGGTCGTGGGTATCCCGATGTCGCTGCGATTGGGGAGAGGGTGGCTATCTACTGTCATGGAACTTACGGAACAATTGGTGGCACATCAGCATCGGCACCCGCATTTGCTGCAATGCTCACTCGCATCAACGAAGAGCGACTTGCCGTGGGAAAGTCGACTGTTGGGTTTGTCAATCCGGTATTGTATGCCCACCCGGAGGCATTCTTCGATGTGACGAGTGGAAGCAACGCTGGTTGCGGTACTCCGGGCTTTGCAGCGATTGAAGGTTGGGACCCAGTGACTGGACTTGGTACTCCGAACTATCCACGTCTTTTGGATGTGTTTATGAAGAACTAGAGTCGGGTCTGAAGAAGCCTGACACAACTTCCTTTTCCATACAGTGAACATAAACAATGCAGTGAAATTTATTTCTTCGACAGTTTTCGTACACACCACTTGACACCGAGAAATCTTTTGAATAATTCGTGTAGTTTCTATGCAAGTCCCCCTGTTCGACGGACAGGTCCACATACTCGGCATTGAGACCGGAGCGATCGCACCGTTCCGACACGCTAAAGACGGTAGGCAAGGAAGCTAAACCGAATTGAGTGCCCGAAAGTTTCTCAGCAACTTGAGGCCGAGAACAGTCCCAAGCAACAAAGAACCAGAGGAGTATGAATCGATGAATATCAGTCGAGTACCTTTGTAGTCAGGAAAGAAAGGATACGGTGAAATGCGATTCCACCATTGACAGACACGATGACATCATTGGATGAGGTAAGCACGCGGGGAAACAGTGGAACGGTCTAGCCCCTTTCGGCCTGTATAGATCACGCATTCGCTTCGTCGGCGTCGACATATCCTCATCTCTGATGATATGAAGACGATTTAGGAGCACAGCATATAAGAAAACCACAGCTCAGAGCTCACAAAATACTCCATATGTGCGACAATGTACGCAGCCAGTGTCCAAATGTTTGGTACGGCAACCCGCAGTTTCCCCCTCGGTGGGGTCTGGTCCGAGAGGGGCAGCGTGGGATGGCAACACCCCGCCGGAGGGCCAGGCGCTTTAAAAGATACTCCAGTTCCCCTGGATTTTTCTTCTCGATCCTGATTTTGATTCTATTTCAATTCATCCCATCAAACTCACATCATGTCTCTCGGAAAGAAGGTCACTCTCAACACTGGTCACCAGATCCCGTATGTTGTATACCCACCAAATTGCTCGGCTCTTAAGCTAACCCCACGTTTAGCCAGCTGGGCTTCGGTACCTGGCAATCCGCCCCTGGTCAGGTTGGCGAGGCCGTCTACGAGGCCTTGAAGGCCGGTTACCGCCACCTTGTATGCAGAACCCTATTTCCTTGTGGAAGTGTCAATTTTGCTAACAATTCTTAGGATCTGGCAACCATGTAAGATATATCCATTGCATAGGCTGCGTTCGACATGGAATATCTACTAATCGCCTTCCAACAGCTACCAGAACCAGCGCGAGGTCGCCGAGGGCATCAAGCGTGCTTACAAGGACGTCCCCGGTCTCAAGCGCGAGGACCTCTTCATCGTAAGCCAATACTTTCTTCCAATCGGCTCAAGACTAAGAAGCAGTGACTAACACATTATTGAATAGACATCTAAGCTCTGGAACAGGTACAACTCTCCGAGACATACGTTATGTCACACCGATGCTGATCCTATATAGCCAACACCGTCCTGAAGTCGTCGAGGCTTCTTTGGATGCCTGCCTTGCTGAGCTCGAGCTGGAATACCTCGATGTAAGGCTCAATCGCGCGCTCGCTCATTCGTTTGGTTGCTGACCGATACAGCTCTACCTTGTTCACTGGCCCGTTGCCTTCGAGAAGGGCGAGTCCTACTTCCCCCTCGTTGCCAACAGCACCGTCGAGGGCGGCGATGTGATCATTGATGATGGTGTTTCCATTGTGGACACGTGGAAGGGTAATCACTCCCTCCTAAAAAACAGAGGAACACAAAGCTAATTCACTCCCAGCCATGACCAAGCTTCCCAAGAGCAAGGCCCGCTCCGTCGGTGTCTCCAACCACAAGATCGAGCATGTTAGTGTTTGACAATACCTAAGATTCTCCCTCGAGTCGCTAACCAATTCAAAGCTCGAGGCTCTCATTAACGGCACCGGCGTCGTCCCCGCTGCTAACCAGATCGAGCGTCACCCCGTTCTCCAGAGCAACGACCTCATTGAATACTGCCAGAAGAAGAACATTCACATCACCGCTTACTCCGTACGTATACCTCCTGACGACGATGGCCTAGGGCGAAAAAAAGCTAACTTTTCATGTGTAGGCGTTCGGTAACAACATGCTGAACATTCCTCTCCTGATCACCCGCCCCGAGGTGAAGGAGGTTGCCGAGTCTGTTGCCAAGCGCACCGGACAGGAGGTTTCCCCCGCTCACGTTATGTATGATTCTCCAGATCGCCTATGTTTCCCCACAGCCAACGCTAACATACTTCTAGCCTCGCCTGGTCCCAGGTTGGTGGACACAGTGTCATCCCCAAGTCGGTGACTCCCTCGCGCATCCGTGACAACTTCAAGGAGATCGAGCTCACTGCCGAGGAAGTTGAGAAGGTCAGCCTTCTGGGACAGAACCGCAAGCGTTACAACACCCCTTACACTGCCAACAAGCCTCGCTGGAACATTGATATCTTCGGCGAGCCTGAGGAGAAGCCCGCTGACCACAAGGTCATTTTGTAAATGTTTGACTATGACTGGATAGTTGGATAGATAAATAAAATGAATCAACGACATGACCAATGACTTTCAACTGTAGAAATGTGACAACATTTGAAACATTGGTTATATGGCCGAAAAAATAACATAAAAAGGGTATATGCGAAAAGCCAAACATGCGTGGAAGACCCCCAAGCTTGTGACCTCATAATTCTTCTAAGACTGACACAAGGTCCAGTCATCATTTACATGATCCATCACTTCAGAGATCTCATAAAAAGTTTCAATTTTCGGCATTGATTGGTCGCTGGTGTGAGCCTGATACGGGGCCAGCGTCCAACTCATAATATTCTCGCACGGGTGTATGTCCAATTGGAGCCTCATGGATCGAGCGACTGTCCAGGAAGATTGCGGATCCGACTGGCTTTCGAGGCATCTGTAGCTGTGACTCCTCGATTGGAGACGGTGTTTCCGTAGAATTCACGGTCTTTTCAGTTTGCGTCAGAACAGGCGATGGGATGGATCTAGAAAAGTCCGTTGGTTGTCTTCCTAGAGCTCTCTGGTTTCGTCGGCGTCGTCGAAGTATGAACCATAGAGCAACTAGAATGAGGAGAACGGCGAGGATCACACCGATTGCAATTCCAGCTTTGGCGCCTGAACTCAGACCACTGGAGCCTTCGGAGCAGGAGTAGCTTCCTCGGAAAACACCTTTGGATTTGAGGGAGTTCAATGCGCTGCATCCTGTTGAGCCGCTAGTTTTGATGATTGTTTGTCCTTGTACTTGGTCGAGAGCAGGTAAAAGCACACTGCGATATCCATTAGCTTCATTATCATAATGCAGCATGTTTCCAGAATCATACGTAGTGAAAGAGCCTGTCAAGGTTAATTGCCCGTCTACTTCTTCCAATTGCTGGAACCCGAGCGTTCGAAGCTGCGGGTTCCGTGTGATCGTCATGCCAGAAGATACTTGGGATAATGCTCCCATGGTGATCGTGGACAAGGTGTCAAGGTTGCTTATCGTGATAGATCCCTGCACCTTGTCTAGATCGGGCGCGACAATGGCTGAGAGACCTGACACGCCCTCTGCAATGAAAGAGCCTTTGATCTGCTCCACGCCGCTGAGAGTGATTGCGCCATTGAAGGAGGAATCTATCGTGATGCTTCCTTCGAAATTCTCACAACTAGTCAAATTATTGACATCGCTTTGCGTGGAAATAATCAGACTGTTTGAACCTGGGGGATATTAGCCTCGCGCAAGGTATCAACTCGAATTTTCAACCACTGACAAGAATCTGAGTCGGCTCGCACGACTTGCCATACAGTGACAAGCGCAAAAAGGTGGGAGACGATCATCCGTACGGGCTGGGTAACTCTGATGGTGCTTGAGTTATACAACCTCGGATTGTGGAGGAAACGGACATGGCATGTTTAAAGTCCTTCTTGCCCAAGGAGGCGGAGTCGACAATTCCCGCGGCCTTGGCCTCACACCACGTCCACTGAGCAGCCTTCGATTTCTGCCGATCGGCCTTGACGAGAGGTTTTCCCTGCGCGAAGGGTCTCATGGTCTGGGCTGATTGGCTCGTTTGGGGCTTTTGGCATTACCCGAGACCCACTCAATAGGCATCGGAGATAAACTTGATGGAATCCCAGCTTAGCTGTCTAGCTTGCCTCGAGCTCGGCCATCTGGGTCATCGCTTGCACAGACATGACATTGTGCAATTCGATTCATGCCACAGTACCGGACCTCGCAGCCATCCGCATCCGGATCATGGATAACTGAGCTTCGGACCAGGATGTTTCCATACCCTTGCCGGAATACAGGAACCGAGTTGCTATTTTTGTGTAGCGTGGACGGTAGTGCAGAGGACGTAGGCAGCAAAGTTGGACGACCCACCCCCACCGATAACCAATAAAATGCAATGACGTCGATATCGGCACTAGAACAAAAGAAGAGTAAGAAGTACTCCGTACAGAACAATGCTCGGTCGGATAAGATGGGCATAGGTACGGAGTACCTGGACTATGCAGGTAACTTGAGTACCCACTCAGGTACCGGGTACTCAGCCCGATACGACGGCCGTCGCACCTACCGAATGTGGAAGGGTGAGTCAGCATATGCGGGGAAGTCGGGGTATCACATTCTTTTTCTACTATATCTCGAATCTCAAAGCCACCTCACTCGGATTTCTTTATGAGGGTAGGCAAAGGTTGTGGACGGTGTCGCAATCGCCATATCCGCTGTGTGATCCCAACTGGTGCATCGGCATGTACACCATGCTCCCGCCTCGGTCGGGAATGTCAATTGGATCCCCGCTTCCAGTTCAAGCCTGTCCATCACGTCTACCAGAAGGGGAATGGAGCACCGGCCAGATTTGACCTCGAGTGGGATAAAGAGCAGACCTGGGTGGACGTGTCACAGCCCGGTAGGTTTGGCTAAGACGCAGAAATCGAGACTTGTACTAATCAATTCCAGTGACATTTGTCCTCGAAGCGGCGGACGGATCAGTTGGGGATGAACAGATCATTCTACCAGAGCCTCCAACCCCGGCTCCACTGTCACTATCGAACTCTCTTTTGGAAGCGACCCAGGAGCGCTACCCGGAAACAACTCACACTGAGGAACGCAGTCAAAGAGTGATCGAGCGTCGATCACAGATCAGCACAAGCAGTCCGTTTACACCATTTTCGGAAGAGGATGCAACACTTTCACTACGAGAGGCATCGTTGATGCGCTACTTTATCCAGAAGCTAGCACCTTGGGTAGGTTCCAAGTGATGGCCTTGAAGAAACTCAAATCTGACTGCGGATAGGCCGACATATGTGACATTCATTCTCATTTCAGTACCGAGGTCCCAAGACGAGCCTTGGAGAACCCAATGGTCTTGAAAGCAATCCTAGCTCTCTCCGCCCGCCATGATGCAATCCTGGCCAATGATAGCGACTGGGAAGCTTCGGCTTACCATGGCGAATGTTTGGAGATGCTGATCGCAGCATTAGATAAAGCCGAGGCAAGCTGTGATGAAAACATGCTTATAGCAGTCGTCATCCTTCGTATATATGAAGAGTTGGAGAACAACACTGATCAAAAGTTCCACTTGTTTGGGTCTAACCGACTAGTGAATCTGGCGTCCCGCTCTGCAGCTTCTGGCGGGGTGGCGGAGGCAGTGAGCTGGCAGTTCTTACGACAAGCTATCTACGCTTCGGTGGTACAGTACCAGCCTTTGCAACTGGACATGCACACATTTGAATCTTCTTCAATGCTGCAGTGCCATGATGACCCAGCATGCGCCAATACTATCATTTTCTACTGTGCGCGTATTCTTCAATTGTGCTGTGACAAGCCTGGAAGAATCGTGGATAGAGAAACCTGGTGCTATATATCGGACCGTGTTGCAGAATGGGACGAAGCTAAGCCGACCACTTGGCAACCGATCCGATACCAAGCACCTAATCTTGCTGCTGATCGACCCTTTCCTGAACTATGGATGATATCTCCACCAGCTGGTAAGAGTAATCATGCAGTTCTTTCTCGCGCGCTCCAAAGTTGACCACAAATGCAGTGGTTGGGATGCAATATTACCATTCGGCATGTATCTTCCTTACATTATCCGATACCCCATCGCATTGTATGAGCGATTATGAGATCGCCTGCTCAAGGCGCTTAAAAGAGGTAGGTTTCTCGATTAACACATGTGGAGAAAAGTCTCAAGCTAATATGGTGCCTAGAAAACTATCGCAGAACACCTTGTCATGGTTATCGGGCTTTCGCTCTCCAATGAAAGTGTAGAGAATGCCTATTTCATGGCATCACACTTGCTACATCGCTGTTCGTTTCGAAAATCCTTTACCCAGCTTGCTGCGTGCTAACTCTGCCGCAGTTGGATATTGTCTGCGACACATAGTTGAGCAACAAGGAGCACTAAAATTCCTTGAAAGAGTAGAAAAGCGCCTAGGTTGGCGCACCTCCTGGATGATGCGCGAACTTGAAGATCAATGGTTGGAGTTGGCTGCATTTGACTCCTGGGTCACTTGACCATGACCAATTCGTTACATATAAAGGACATAATCTTGCAACCGGTATATATAGAATAAGGCTACAGTACACTTGGGTTCAAGTTTACCTAGGTATATGCCTGCCTTCAAAATACATACTCACTTCAACATCTGCCCGGGTGGATAGTGCTTTGAGACTTGCCGCCAACTGGGTATGGCAGGAAAGCTTGGAAGTGACCAGAGTACAGTCGCAGTAGGCATGGACATAGACCTTGAAATGTCCCGAGGTCGGATGTGGAAGTCATCAAGAGTAGGTCGCACCAAACCTTGACGAGAGAACCGTGAGCGAATTATCAACGTAATCATGACCTAGCATCGAAGAGTTATCACCGCTTTGCAGGAAAAAGCACGGAAGTAAGCCCCGCGCCCGGCCTTATACCATTAACAGTTTCTAGCCTCGTCGGAGACCGGTCAATGTGCTTACTCTCGGCTTTTCGGCATTGAGGCGTGCTAAACCCGCGATCTCCGACAGCCGCTGAGCATTACAATACAAATAAAGTCACGGATTCGTGCTCAGTTCACATATTTGAGACTCGGCTTTGATATTAGTGCAAATCTCACACATCCCAACGAGAAAAGCGATTATCTTGCTGAAATTAAACCGCAATGGATCTTCCCAAGACTTATAAACATGCTGTGTTCAAAGAGGCAGGAGGTCCTCTCGCGGTGGAACAGACAAATTTGACCATGCCTGCCACTGGGGAGGTCTTGGTAAAGGTCGAGGCATGTGGCGTTTGTTTCTCTGACCACATTGCTCAGTCTTATGGCCTGCGCGGGTCCTTGTATGTTCCGCTACCCAATATGAGAGAGATTGCTAACTGATTGAAAGTCCGATCGTGCCTGGACATGAGATTATTGGAAAGGTTGCTGCAGTTGGAGAAAATGTTTCACAGTGGCACGTTGGGGATCGCATTGGTGGGCCATGGCACGGAGGTCATGACGGTAATACACCCCTGATTCGAATTAACTCAGTAGCTATGGCTTACAACGGTACAGGTACTTGCCCTGCATGTCAGAAGGGTCATTTTCAAATGTGCGACCTCGGAATTATCAATGGCGTGACAAAGAACGGAGGATGTATGTATGCTCTTCCAAATGCGAGACAGATTCTAATCGTCTAGACGCCGAATACTGTATCCTGCGTGCTGAAGCAGGCGTTCGGATTCCCAGTCATGTCGATGCAGCAAAGTATGCTCCTATTCTCTGCGCTGGAGTGACTGTATTCAACTCCATGAGGCGCATGAACGTTCCACCAGGCTCGACTGTTGCCATCCAAGGACTGGGTGGCCTGGGCCATTTGGCAATTCAATACGCCAATCGATTCGGATGGCGCGTTGTGGCACTCTCTCGAGACTCCAAGAAAGAGCAATTTGTGCGCGAACTTGGGGCTCACGAGTATATTGACAGTAGTAAGGTAGACTCGGCCGAGGCACTTCGGAAGCTTGGTGGAGCGGCACTAATTGTCGCAACTGCGCCCGATCCCAAGGTGATACCACCATTATTGAAGGGACTTGATATCTTGGGGAAGCTCCTTGTCCTTGCCGGTGAGTAAATTCAAAATAGATATTGAGCAGAGATACTGAACATGAACAGTTCCCGGGGAAGTGGCATTTGACACGAGGTTGATGGTGGGTTCCACATTTCTTTCCAAGCACAATGATTCTAAACCATGTTCACAGATCTCGCGGGGACTGTCTATCCACGCCTGGCCCAGTGGGCACGCTATAGATTCCGAAGAAACAATTCAGTTTACCGAATTGCAGGGAATCAACTGCATGGTGCAAACCTTCCCACTGGAGAAAGCAAATGAGGCATATGGTAAGAGCTTCTGTTTCCTTCCAATTTACTCACCAACTAACCAGCCCATAGAAGCCATGACCAAAGGCACGGTCAGATTCCGCGCTGTGATAACAATGGATTGAAATCTGCAGGTGAAAAGATAAAGTGAGGATCATTGCCGAAATGAGACGGAAATGCAAGGAGTGGAGCGCGCAATTACCGCTGGTTGGTTGATATTGAAGTATAGCACAATCGAGAAAAGACTTTCACTCGGCTACATCTAGGCGATTGGCTGTGGTAGATGACGTGGACAGAATCTCTAGATATGGTACAGGCTGTACTTTCTCATTGTAGAATAACGGAAAGAGCAGTGTATTCGCGCTGTGCTGTGGGGTTCCCCCGCATCAACAATACAAACATAAATATCTCTCTTCGACCCGCTCTCTGTATCTTTCACGACATTCCTTCATACTTCACTGATCATCTTATATCAGCTTGAAAACATGACAGCCGAGACATGGAAAGAAATTGCTTCGAAGAAGCAACTTGAAAATGCTTCCATGATACCTCCTGCCTGGCAACTTCCCGTGGAGCTGACCAGAGTGAACGGATCATCTGGCATGAATGTGATAGATGTACCACGTCAGTCAGGTATCTTGACAGAAAGGCAGCTCGAGATTACCGAGTTGTACGACGCAACGGATTTACTCCGCAAGATCGAGCACCGCGAGCTGTCTGCGCACGATGTCACTGAGGCATTTTGCATACGTGCCGCGATTGCACAACAAGTGGTAAGATCGTCGACTTTGCATCTTACCTCTTCCATGAGTTGAATGCTGATATATACAGACTTTTTGTCTCACCGAAGTATTCTTTGAGCGGGCTCTGCAGCGTGCCAAGGACCTGGATGAGATATTAGCCACAACAGGGGAGCGGGTCGGACCGCTGCACGGATTGCCTATCAGTCTCAAGGTAGAAATTTCCTTTGAATGCTGGATTAGTGACTGATATATTTGTGCTGCAGGACTGCTTCAACGTCGAAGGCATTCCATCCACGATCGGGTTCACTTCCTTCATCAAGAATGGCCCGGTCAAAACGAACTCCCCGGTTGTCGAGATTTTGCTAAGATTGGGTGCAATTCCATTCGTGAAAACAAACATACCACAAACAATGATGGTATGGAATTTCCCCAGTGGAGGTTAGGACAATAACTCATGTTGTTAGGCTGCGGACTCGCACAACTATGTGTTTGGTCGGACGCTCAACCCGCATGCAACAAATCTCACTGCCGGAGGCTCATCAGGAGGAGAAGGAGCCCTGATAGCCATGAGGGGATCAGTGCTTGGCGTTGGAACAGATATCGCGGGATCCATTCGGATACCTGCTCTCTGCAATGGGACCTACGGGTTTAGGCCTTCAGCAGACCGGATTCCCTACGGAGGCCAGACAGGCTCTTCTCGTGGAGGGCTGTGCGGGATAAGGCCTTGCGCAGGGCCATTGGCAACATCGGCGAGAGATCTGGAGTTGTTCATGGAGACAATGACCAAGGCAGACCCGTGGGAGCTGGATTCGTCTGTTATCTTCTCACCATGGCGAAGCCTTTCCCCCAAGAAGGTACTTCGACTCGGATTCCTTGAGGAAGATCCTCACTTTCCTTTGCACCCACCTGTGCTGCGTACACTCACCACAGCTGTCGAAAAGCTCCGGAAAGCGGGACATGAAGTGGTTCCTATCAAGACATCGGTCATTCGAGATGCCTGTGCTCTGGCATTCAAGATATTTGCGATGGATCCAGCCAAGACGGCATTTAAGCATATTGCCGCAAGCGGGGAGCCCACGATCCCAGCTTTGGCGACAACATCGATCCCTCAAAAGAGCATGCCATATGAGTATGCGCCCTTGACATTGGAAGGCTTATACGATTTAACTGAGCAGCGGAACCGTATCAAGGAGGAGTTCCGCGCGCTGATCATCCAAGCTAAAGTGGATGCGATAATTATGGCTGGTTACCAAAGCACTGCTGTGCCACACGACAAGTATGGCATGCCGCCATACACCACTATGTGGAATGTGACAGATGTAAGCTCTTGAATGTATTCATATGCCCCTGTACTGACCGTTTGCAGTACCCGAGCTGCATCATTCCACACGGAAAAGCAGACAAGCGAGCGGACGAGGGATTCATTCGGAACGTTGATTATGAACCTGCATGTAAGCTTTGTCTTCATCATGAGCTCCCATCTTACCCAAAGCTAATCTCAGAATCTAGATGAGCCCGATGCCATAGAAGGAGCACCTTGCAGTGTGCAGCTAGCTGGCAGGAATATGCAGGACGAGGAACTGGTTCAAGTGGCGAAGATTGTTTCCAACGTGATCACCTCTTGATTATGCTAGGAGCAAGAGCACAATAACAGTGTTTGGACGGAACACTCAATGAATGGTTGGTACCATCGTGCGATCGAAGTATGCAAATCGTGATTAATAGCCCGAGATTCGTGGCACTCGTTTGCACGTTCATGGAACCTTCATGGAGTCCGTACTTCTTACCAACAAACAACACTTAAAGACTTTGAAGCCAGCCCACCAGTAGGATAGAGGAACAAGTTTCGCAGGGGTTGAACGGATAAATTTCGTCCCACGCCAACAACTCGGGACATCTCACCGCGAGATTATCCCTGGAGAATGCAGCCCCCCGCCTCGCCAAACCCCGCAAACACTTGCGATGCACAAGCCCAACGTAATTCTCCTGTTGGTGCAATTTCTCTCTGTGTCGCAATGACAGGACTAAAAGCACCATGTTCCCCCCCTTGAGATAATCTCTCACACTGGTCGGGCACCAATCCAACTGAAAGGAGACAACTGGTTCAAATCTAGAATCGAGATGGGTATCATGATGAATTTGGTCGGGGTGGTGATATTTGGCCTAGCTTGCTCTGTCGAGGCATATCCAGCTAAAAGCCAAGCCTCCAAGCCCCCTTTCTTCGTTTTGGCAGGAGATAGCACCACCGCCGTTCAATCCGCCGGAGGAGGAGGTTGGGGGGATGGATTCCTCAATACGACTCTGTTCGGTCGAGCGGCTGGTCGCAATCTAGGGCATAATGGCGCAACTACCGTCAGCTTTCGCTCTGGTGGTGATTGGGACGAGGTCTTGGCTACCGTGGACAAATTCAAGGATTTCTATCATCCGGTTGTGACAATCCAATTTGGCCACAATGATCAAAAGCCGGCCGCGAATATTTCCTTGGAGCAATACACCGAAAATCTCCAGGAATTTGTCGAAGAGGTTCTGGATGCTGGAGCGACCCCGATCTTGGTCACACCTTTGTCTCGACGGAACTATGAGACTTCCACCGGCAGTCCACGCATCATACAAAGTCTGGCCAACGAGACCATCGCGACACTCAGGGCCGCGCGCCGATCTGCCGTCAGAGTTATTGATCTGAACAAGGCGAGCACGAATTATCTGAACGCGATCGGACCAGCCAATGCTTATACATACAACCTGAATCCGACTGACTACACTCATTTGAATGATGCTGGAAGTGTGGTGTTTGGAGGAATTGTCGCTGACCTTATCATCCAGGTGGCGGGGGATTTGTCGAGGGATGGCTATTTGAAAGTGAATGCCGATCTGAAGAAAGATGTTGACGAAGGGGTGTACTACTGGCCTTGGACCTGATCAAGGCGATAATGAGACAAAGACTGAATTTTATAACTTTCTCGCATTGCACTTGAGAGAATGGTCCTGGTTTCATTCCTTGTAAGGCCCCCAGCCGCCATCTTGCAGAATAAACATTTTAACTTTGGAACTCGATTGATTAATTTGAGACTTGAGACTAAGGAAGCACTAAAACAAGTAAGGACCACTGAACCTTTGCAGTATCATATCTACTTCTCCTCCTCGTGGGCATGTTTTTGCAGGAACAGCGCCTTCATAGACGGATATGTGCGCACTTCAAGTTCATCAGAGAGAATGGATGTTCCCTGCTTATCCCCAAGACCGTACCGAATTGCCTCAGGCGTCCTACCCTTAGCCCGTTTGGCGAACCATATGGCGTGTACCCAGTCAATCCACACTTCAAAGCCCTCACCTTGATCATGAATCAAGATTGTAGCACCCTCCTCGTTACCGAAGCGATGGCCCAGGGTTATACGCTCCTCTTCTCCCCAAGACCCGTCGAGTTTGGAATTGAAAATTATCTGACCTTCACCTCGGCGAATAGAGAAGTGAAGTATGACGTCGTTCAAATCATCTGTGATGGAAACCCAGGTCATATCAACCGGAGTATCGGGAGCGACAAGGTCAACACTGGATGCTTCGAGGAGAATAACGCTGTCTGCTTTGAGAGTCTGTCGGAAGCGCAGACTGCCATGGAGAGGTAGGTTTGCTCTTGGGCGTTTCGGTCTGTTGACAATTAGAAAAGCTCATTTGGGATGTATTTCACTGTGCCACGCACCGGGGAGCAGGAGGATCAATTTTCGGCTGCTTCAGTTCTGGATCAAGTGCACCATCTGCACCTCCTGTGATTGTTGGCTCCTTCTTGAAGTTTTCGAATGCCGGGGGTTTGGCGGGGTCCGAAAAATGGTTCGTGTCGTTGCTGCTGCCGATGATCTCGAGGTCAAGCTTTTCGACATCGTACCGGGGTAGCTCCTTTCCGTTCTTTTGAGAGTCAGCAAGGAGATACTGACAACCGGCGATATTGACTTACCTTGACAACCCTCCAGTATGCGCGCTTTTCTATATAAGCCAACACCTCGTCGCGAGACAGCGACTAGAGTTTCCGTCCACTCCTGACGAGCTTGAAGAGCACAGGAGTAATGGGGATGTAAGCGGTGGATTTGACGCGTGACTTTTGTCCATCCGTGCAATTTCCACAAACAGACGCTCCATCTAGCTCGGGCTTTTGACTGAAGTTGTAAACTTCTGCGATAAGATCTGTGAGAGGAGTCTGTACCCCGTCCTCCTGGGCGAGATACAACTTCACCCAAAACGGCTGGCCGCCAAAGGCATATCTATCACAAGGCGATCAGTCATTTCCAACACACAGTCATGATGCGGATCCACTGTCGGATGAAGTTTGAAATCACCACTCACTTCAAGAAACGAATACTGAAAGCAAAGTCAGTGACTTGCAGCCCGCCATCGATGGCCTGGACTCCATCTGTGACAGGCGCATTTGGATCCAAAGCGAGGTCACGAGATACACCATAGAGTTTGTTCACGGTGGTGATAATGCTCTTTTGAAACAGATCTTGATCAAGTGCTCCATCCTGCTGGCGATACTTGACATCCCACCGGGGCAATTCAGGATACGAGTATCCAAGATTTGGGGTGTGCCGGACCCCTTCTGGTGTCCAATAGCTCCCCTCTGCGTCGCGCCTGAATGGCTGGAGTGGCGTATCTCCGTTGACCGCTTGTTGTTTGCCATGCGAGTCGCGTATAGTAGCATTATCCCCGTCAACATTGTCAAGCCACTTTTCCGGGTTCAAAGCTTGCCAAATTGCAAACAGGCGATCAATATTGCTACAGAACCCCACGTTATAAGTGTTGATTCCGATGGTATGCGAGAGATTATGAGCGGTACTAACCAGTGATGAAGGAAGAAGAGTGGATCAAAAGATGCTACTGGGACATTTCCCATATGACCTGCGTCGCCTGTCCAACCGTGACTAGAACCATCACGATTATGTTAGAAACCAGAGACTGATGATCAACCAACACACAAACCTGGTCGTTGGCATAAATCTAAGCTGAATTTCTTACATATTGTTGTGGATCTAATCCAATGTTAGTACAGAGATGAAGTAGGAAGAAGCAGTTGCTCACGTACATATTCAATGTTTAAATCTTCCTCGACCTTTTGATCCTTCGAGGTTGGGTTGGTACTGGCAAACGTGGTATAGTCCATCGGCACAGTGAGCAGTCGATATACCATCTCAGCAGCGGGGCCATGGTTCTTGTCGTTGTATCCCTCGTGGGAGTTGAATGCATCGGCAACCTTGCGATTATTGACAACACCGTGTCGCCAGCCCTCACTGGTTGGCTTCTGGTCTTCCTCATCGGGCCAACGACTAGTTCCGATCGCGTTTCCAAACTAAATTGGTTAGTTTTACGTGCTGTGATTGTAAAATTCAACTTACATCCTTGTACTCTTCTTGCTCCGCATCATCTTGCCAAGTGTTCTCAGTGCCTACACCCTCACTTCGCATAGGCTCATCCGTTGGCATGCAGAACTGGAACAACGGGTTGTCAATGCGAACCAATCCTCCCTGTGGCCTGGGAACAGTGATGGTGGGGTATTTCGCCAGGTCAGGAACTCGACCATTTCTCGCCCAGTCCCAGAATGGCAGACGCCATGACTCGGCATGCTCTCGCCATGCAGCCTGACGGTCCTCGGGAAATTGAGGGATTACCTCATTGACCATAATGTCGTATACGACTTGCTACATTATCGGTGAGAACTTTCTCCATTTTGTTGGAGATTGTGCTTACCTCGAAGAGAAACACATATGGGCGATGCCAAATAGGGAATATCACATGAGAATGGAAACAATATCCATTCTTCATGGGCTCCGGGCTGGGATCATCCCATCGCACAAATGGTTGACCGTGAATACCTAAAGCACCTCCAGGTTAGAAAGGGCGACTGACAAGATGCCGAGAAAAAAGGACATACCAGCGATCTGAAAATACGATAACCGTTCCTTCGGATCTAGCTTCTGGAATTTATCCAATGCTAGTATGAATAGATCAACTTGCTTTTTGTTTGACTTTTTGCTACTCCATTCGTCGATGTCCTGTCGCACAAAGACTTTCCGATTGATACCGTCATCGGGATCGGAGTCGCTGACCGGGAACCGAGCTTTGATCTGATAGTACTCATGAGGTGAGGGCTCGGAAGCCATATTATTCGCTGGCTGAACAGCAGAGACGATGCTTGGCTTGGGAGATTTCTTTGATCGTCGACCGAATAGGTACATTCAAGCTCAACAATAGTTTCTAACGTGAAACAGGAAGTGAATTCTATGACCTTATATAGTGCACACTGCAGCACTCAATAGGCTCCGAGATGATGTGGCGAAGTGTACTTGGGAGGGTGACTAGAAAGCGGCGTGTGGACAAGCTGATGTCCCACGGTCGATGCAAGCCTCGTTGCGAAAGTAGCTACTACCACTGCAGGGAGACGAACATACCTGAGCTCCCCATAAAACACTGGGAAGTCGTTAGCGACCAAAATGCATTGCTTCAACCATACAGATCGTAGTATTTCAAGCCAACTCCTGCAGCCAGATCACATTTTATACAATGGGTGATGTGCAGCTGTCATCTTCGTCGTTTAGCTCGTGCGGGGCCGGGTTGGGCGTAGTGATCAACAATCAGAACACTTTTGTGATTTCCAATCGGGCTGCATGATGGCTTGGCGGCTCGCACGAACTGTGGGTTCATTGAGTGGCTCTCATCTCTCTAGCCAGCCACAAATTGGAGATATTACCTTCAGCTGAGCCGAAGTTTGGGCTCCAAATTATCCAGCGCTCGATCTCTTTGGGCACTCTTCTCCTGTGTGCGAGATCGTTTGCTCCAGTAACTCATGTTTACCCCTTGACTCCTCTTGGTCGAGTCTTAAATTTCGATGCAGACCCCTGTTTCTGATTATCGAAGTATGTCTTTGAATCCCCAGGCCTAGTTACCTTTAACACGTATCAGTCACTGATTTCCCTCTGGATGGCATACCTCAGCCGGTCAACTCCGTACTCCGTACTGAGGCCCGTAAGCGAATGTCCGGGAACCGAGCTCAGAATGATGTTTTCCACGAGGACTCTGATCATCTAATACCCATAGAAGGAGCGACGTCGATCTTCACCAGCTCTAGGCTTTTCCATGGCCAATAATTGAGGTGTATATAATGCAAGCATCTCAAGGGAGGGGATCCAAAGGGGTCGGTCCCGTTGGATCTTTACGCGGAGTACTCTGTACTCAGGATCGTTCAAATCTCGAGATGCCTGCCTCAAGAAATACGCCTTTTGAAAAAACACTTGTACGATGGATCATCATTTGGAGTATGATGGGTCAGAAAAAGGAAAGACGGCACTGGTGATTTGGGTAAGGCGTGGCACAACCTTGGAATGCCATCACACATTACCCTGCCGTAGCATATCCACTATGTCCTCCGGCGCAGAGAGAGGTACACGATTTGTGCCATAAATAATTTAATGCGCTACCCCGGACTTGGGGTATAGTACTCCGTAGGAAACTGAGCGAAGACCTCGTATAGTCCGGTGGGAAACCGACGCGTTTTGTCTTCATCGCGCCATTACTCCGTACAAGGTATGTTTGGATGAGCAGTCCAGCGAGCCTCTCCCAGCCCAAAGTCGGTATCAATTCGGAGACGATATAATTCTGACAACTCCTAACTTCAGTACATACGACCACAGGGTGTGGAGAACAGGGCTTCCCGTCCGCTCAGCCGTACTTAAGCCACACGCCGGTGAGTTAGTAGTTGGGTGGGTGACCACCAGCGAATCCTCACTGTTGTATGTTTTTGTTTTCTTTGTTCTCGAGAGCAATGTTTACTTGGCTTTCTTTTTGCTCGAAATAATTATCGAGTAATGGTGATCGGTCGAGTAAAGAATGTCTTGGCTAAGCCGTGAACAGAGAGAATTAGGTATTGGGGAATTGCCGAGGAAGTCCGAGCGAATTTTAAGTATTCGTGCAGGGCGCTGGGGACTTCTAATGCTTTCTTCTTTTATTATCGTGCTTCTTCATTCCGTTATTGGTCATTTCGTTGAGTAGACAGAGTGCTCAAAGCAATGTACGGAGTAAAGAGAAGGAACCCTTGGAAGCTCTTGAGAGTCACAGATAGGACTAGCGCCGATATCAAGCAAAACAACCACGTTCAAAAGGATGTCGTAAAGCCTTCTCAAAAAAAAAAGTAGACTGTAGAATTTTAAGACGACTACTTGTTTACAGTGGAGTTACCGTGGATTGAGGTAACCACGATACCATGGAACTGCGCCATATCAGCAATACTCCGTAGGCTTCGCTGAATTCCGACCCCGTGCATAAAGAGCAGAACATATTCTTTTTGCTGTGTTATCCACGATCTCCTACAACTTTTTCTGAGGGCATATACACTCCATTTCGAGCTTTCCGAGAGAGCAAATCCCTATGCGATGGGAGTAGTCAGGCCGTTCTCACGTTTTCTATTTATAGAGGTCTCCGGACACCTGCAGCCCCTGCATGAATGACATAGAGCATGCAAGTTAAATTCTTAAGGCCATCCCAAAAAGCGGAACTGATGTTACATAAATACCACTATCGAACTATGCCCAGAGGCTCACTTCAAAGGATTCCCCTCGATATCATCTCGGCACAATCAGTATTTCACCTGAGATGATGACCTCGGCCCCACCAAGATCGACAGTAAGCGGGGGGTAAGTGGACGAAGACGCAAGGGCTGCGAGCTCATGTCGTCGAAACCCTCTCCCCCGTCAATTCGACCTCTACATTCACCCCACCATAAAGTTCCTGCGCTGAACTGGCCACCACAATTCACAATTGGAAGCAATCATGTCGTCCCCACCTGATGTTCTGGAATTGGACGCCGCCATTATCGGTGCTGGTTTCTCTGGCATTTATACCCTTCACCGACTTCGAAACGAGCTTGGTCTCAATGTAAAAATCATTGACGCTGGGTCCGACCTTGGAGGAACCTGGCATTGGAACACCTATCCGGGCGCTCGAGTGGATTGCCCAGCTCCAACCTACGCCTTTGGCATCCCGGAAATTTGGAAGACCTGGACCTGGTCTCAACGGTATCCTGCACAAAAGGAGTTTGAGGATTACTTTGATCACGTAGACAAAGTTCTGTCAGTGCGCAAAGACTGCATTTTCAACTCTCGGGTGACCTCTGCATTGTTCGACCCAGCGACCGCGAAATGGACAATTCAAACCAATGATGGGAGAACGGTGCGTGCTCAATACTTTGTGCCGGCGGTTGGATTTGCGGCCAAGCAGTATATCCCATCATGGAAGGGTATCGACTCGTTTGAGGGTACCATTCACCACTCTTCCCTCTGGCCAAGAGAGCCTGTCGATGTGCGAGGGAAGCGCGTCGCCATTATTGGTACCGGATCTACCGGCGTTCAAATCATTCAAGAATGGGCAAAAGAAGCAGCAGAGACCTTTGTTTTCCAAAGAACACCGAATCTCTGCCTACCAATGGACCAGGAGACGTTTGATTCTGCCGCGCGAGACGAAATGCGTGCCCAGACAGAAGCAGAGTTTGCCCGATGCCAACATAGTGTCCAGGGATTGTCACGCACCGACCCGCCCAAAGCTTTTGCAGAAATGTCAAAGGAGGAATGTGATCAAGTTTTGAATGATTGCTATGACAAGGGTGGCTTCCGACTTTGGGGCGCCGCGTACAAAGACTTGCTCGTCTCCCCTGAAGCTAATCGTGCAACCTATGATCTTTGGGCGAAGAAGACACGCGCCCGCATTCAAGACCCAGCTAAGCGTGATCTGCTAGCCCCTCTGGAGCCCCCTCATCCGTTTGGTACCAAGCGTCCCTCTCTAGAGCAGGGCTACTTCGAACAATTCAACAAGCCAAATGTCCATCTTCTAGATACCAACACGAACCCGATCATTGAGCTTACGCCACGGGGGATTGTGACTGCCGATAACAAGACCCACGAAGTTGATGTCATTGCCATCGCTACCGGGTTCGATGCCAGCACCGGCAGCCTATCGAATATGGGCATCTGCGACATTGAGGGTGTCAGCTTGGGCGAGAGATGGCGCGATGGCGTATCCACCTTCCTAGGTCTCACGGTGCCTGGTTGCCCCAACATGTTCATGCCCTACTCGGTTCAGGCCCCGACGCCATTCACGAATGGACCTGTGTTCATAGAGTACCAAGCCGATTTCATTCGTGATATCATCAAAAAGATGAAGGATGAGGGCATTAAGACCCTGGATCCCCAGCCCGCAGCAGCGCAGGCTTGGAGAGAACAGGTCATCGCGATCTCACACATGACTCTTCTTACACAGGCAAAGTCCTGGTATATGGGAGCAAACATACCAGGAAAGCCGGTCGAGTTTCTTTACCTTTTGGGAGGGATGCCGATGTATCGAGCTGTGTGCGAAGATTCCATTGGACCCAAGTTCCAGGAGCTTTTCGTTTGTCAAAACTGATTGTTGAATTGGCTAGTCGAAGAACCCCTGCACGACGGACTAATTGCATCAATGGTAGATCGGACACGAAGTAAGCCAGTTTGTGGCCAAGCGAGGTTACACCAATACTACTGAAGATAGGAACTACAGAGCTTGCCCAGAAGGGAAAGTACCTTGAGCCACGTTAAATCAGAACCGAGATCGGCAGGGAGATTGGTATCGTCATATGAATCATATTGGCTATCGCTCATCTTTCAATGTGGGGTCAGAGAGCCCCAATGCACTTTTTCCACTCATCGTCTCGTAAACTCTACACCTCAACTTCTCAACACCAACCACCTTAAAGTACATGACCAAAGAACACAAGAAAATCTTCCAATTTACAGGTTGGCAAACCGAACGCCGGCCTTCTGTGCTGTGAAAGTGGAGATCAAATCCATGAGAGCTGGGGACAAAACATCGTATGTCTGCAATCCAACGGACTGGAACTTGGCGCGGACGTCATCCATTGACTTGGGGTTGGTACCCTGCTCAATGATGGAAGAAATGAATCCAGCGAATTGGGGCTCTTGCCAGCCCTTCTCGCTAGACAGTTCGGCGTGGACGAAGTCTAGACCCTTGAAGGGGTGATCCTTCTCAATGCGACCGAACAGGTGAACTCCGCAATCCTTGCAAGCATTGCGCTGAATAGTGGCTTCCTTGTCGACGATAGTGAGCTTGGAGGCGTTGGCGGTCACGGAGACGGCGTCACGGGGAACAACGCCGACAATGGAGAAGAGGGAGCCCTTAGGCTTCCAGCACTTAGAGCAACCACAGGCGTGGTTGTGAGCGACATTGCTGCTCAGAGTGATCTCGACTTGGTTGGAGGGGCAATGACAGTGGAGCTTTCCACCGGCAAAGCTGCTGGAGCCGGCAGTGATGCCGTTGTCGACGAGAGGGTGAAGAGAGGGAGCCATTGTGATAATGTGTAGCTGTGAGGCTGAAAAGGGTATAGATAAAAGTTGCTTTACCGAATTGAGTGACTTGATAACCTTGGTGGAAAACAGAATCTCAGCCAGCGTCAGCAATAAATATACAAAGTCCCCTCGTGAGGAGTATGAGGGGAATCCGCCCGTGATCGGATGGGCCCCGATTCCCCCAAGGTGGGCGCATAGTGAAGTCCCCAGTGGCTCCTCCAGGCTCCACCAATAACGATTGGCCCTGGGACGCTAAACTTGACGTGAGCGCGGACTTGCGGAGTCGGGATCTAGATCTGGAAGTCCTTTCCCGTCCTGCCCCGGAAGCTATGCCGGGGTGTTATCTTGCGACAACTATTAGTATCCTTTGTCTGACATTGCGCTGAGGGGGAATCTCCAATTTTGCTTTCTCCGACACTGAGGCCAAGATTGAAATGGTGACTGATTTGCGCATTGAGGGAAATGACCGAGAATCGAGACACGATGCCGTCGGATTATAATGACACCACAGAGTAACTTCTCTTGCTCTCCGGTTCACACAACATTGTAGTATGCGATGTTGACAGGGGAAAAAAGGTAAGGTGCTCAGGCAGGTCCCCAGGTGGGAACTTTGAAAACTTGGTCAGCAGCCAGGACTCCCCACCCATGGACTATCAGCCCTGTGACTTTTGCACTTCGCATCATCTTTACTTCCAGAATCATACTTTACTTTTGTCTTAAACGAGCTCAGTTCGATTTCTCTTCTCATCTCAAATCGTTCAAACAAACCTTGGAACAGACTCCATATGACCAAAGTAGCGGGGTCGGAGACGCTTCCGAATGACGTCATAGAACCGGCAGCGCGAACGGTTCAGGTACAACAATGTGTGTTCCTGGCATGCTACTGTCTACTGACATAGAATAGCGGGTATATCGCGGTCATCGCGCACGTCGTGAACTGCGTGGATGTGGTCTAACTGCTTCCACGCGATGGGTCGAGGTGAGACTCCTTTTAATCGTTGCGCGACGCGGGGTCTGATCGATGTTTGTGGTTTTAGGCCTTCAGGGAAGCCCAGTGGCAACAACTTCACCGACCGCCCGAGCCCCGAGCTGCGCTGAGTGACGAACGCTCAAATCAAGCCCGTCGGAACTGGCAACGCGCCGTGAGTGTTGCGAAACGCGCCGGAGGAGATGATGATCGTGCTACGGAGCCATTGTCTGGGAGCGGGGCGCAATCGGAACACAGCACAGAGATCGCTTCGGGGACACAGGCTAAGATGATGGATGTTCAATACTTTCTAGAGATGGTTGATCTCAAACATCGGCATGGAAGCAATCTACGCGCGTATCACACATTCTGGCGCAATTCATCGTCGAGCGAAAACTTCTTCTATTGGCTGGACCATGGAGAAGGACAGAACGTGGAAATTGCGCAGTGTCCGCGAGATCGGCTCGAAAGGGAACAAGTCCGATACCTCACTCGCGACGAACGCATGAATTACTTGGTGACTGTGGACGAAGCGGGACTCTTCCGGTGGGCCAAGAACAATGAGCCAGTATGGACCAGCACGGCAAAATTCAAAGACAGTCTGCGAGGAGTGGTACCGATTGATGAGGATGTCCCAGAGTTTAGAGGGAATTTAACGACCTCGGGATCACTATCTACGGGTGCATCATCGTCATCATCCCCCTCATCCTTGTCATCCTCCTCGGGCCAAAGTCTTGGCAGTGTTCTATCGCAGGATCAAGTGAAGCCATTCACTGACGAGGAATACAAGGCTGCAAAATTGATGAAAAAAGTAGTCCATGCAAATCCGGCTGCTGCCGTGAAACGTCTGCTTGGTAGACCCTCCAAAAAGGAAGACATGTGGATATTTGTGAGTGTTGGCGAATCACTGTCTTTGTGTGTGAGCTAAATTGATTCTAGGTCGCCGACACATCCTTTCGTTTGTACATAGGCATCAAGAAATCTGGTGCTTTTCAGCATTCTTCATTTCTTCGAGGTGCGCGCATCGCAGCGGCTGGTATGATCAAGATAAAAGACGGTCAATTACGCAGTCTGGCACCAATGAGGTACGATATGACATGTCACATTCGCCGTTCATTGTTTTCTCATTTTCTTTTCTCATTTTCATTTTGCTTTTTTGATATAAACGAATCATGGGCGAACTCATATACTAACGCTGTCTACTCCTTTTTAGTGGTCACTATCGTCCCCCGGCCGCCAACTTCCGTGCTTTCCATCATGCCCTTCAGCAGCAAGGCGTCGACATGTCGCACGTGTCAATGAGCAAGTCTTATATCATGTTGGCTGGAATCCAAGGATATACAAAAACGAAACGAAAGGTGCGCGTTGCGCATGAGAAGGTAGACCATTCAAAACAAAAGCTCCACGGAACCGCGGAATGATTGCAGCGAGGAAAGTATTTCACTCCCAGATTCAGCCGAATCGATCCTTCCAAAGCCTCTCAACATTCATGATGAGAATGAATCGCACTCTACTCCGTACGGAGAATACCACAGCAAGCGAGTGCGCTATTTGGGAATGCTGGCTCTATCATAATTGAGAAGCCAATCCTACTAAATTGGGAACAGACATCGCATGGCGGAACTGATAATTCATTCCCGGCACCCCCGCAAATATTGTCCATGAAATCACTCAATCCATATGTGGCTTTTTGAACTGTACGGAGTAGCTGAAAGCGACTCCTCGGCGTGTCCGTATATCGCAATCCGAGTCCGATAAAGTGCTGAGGGTTGGGCACCAGGATGATCTGCGCCCAATGAGTACGCGATCAACCATATAGTAGGACAAAGAGGTGAATCCTGCCGTATCGCTTGAGTAGGCTGTCCATTCTTTGATGTGCGCTTTGATAGCCCTACAAGATTGTTTCTGTTACTCCGTGCAGCAAGTTCAATCTGCACGTTCCCAATTTTGTTTACTAGTCGGACGCACTAGGGAGTTAGAATCAATCGGCGTCAAAGCCACCAATTGACCGACCAATCAACTGCAGTCTGTTGGTAGAAGATGGCAAGGTTGATTCCAAGGTTGGATCCTGTGATGATCAACTAATCGGCTTGTGCGACCTGCAGCTTCGATCGGCTAGCTCTTGTCATCCGTATGACTCGCCGATCTCGGTCGATCTCCGGGTCACGTCCCCATTAGATCTATCGGAGTGAGTTCGTGTCTGTCGGCCCCTGGTTGCTTCCAGCGGGGGTTCTAGCCCCGTGGGTGAATCATAGACAGCCTCGGGATGGAGGATCAGATAGTTTGACCGAAAATTCTTGACTGTAGGATGTGGCGACACCCCGGCCATGCAAGGCTTGCCTCGTGAACGTGCGTCTATGCGTGCATATTGTCCACCTTGCTGATTCAATCTTCTCTGAGAAGCCAGGCGAAGTGTACGGAGTACTTACCCCTCTGAGCAGCTTAAAGGAGGCGTGATCGCTCGTTCGATCTCAAGTCCCTGCTTCATTATCTTTTAGTCAACTTTGTTCTAGTCCCTAGTCAACATGGGATCATTCAAGCCTGTTCAGCTCACAGCTTTGCAGAGCTTGGACAAAGCTGTTGCGGAGGAGTCCGATAGGCTGTATTGTGTCCATCCCGTTTCCGCGGACATAGCTGATGGCTGGAAAGATGTTTCCTTCGGTGACATGGCCTATGCCACCGAGAATATGGCATTTTGGATACAATCTCAAGTCTCTGTTCACAATGAACCTCAGACTTTGGCTTACATTGGTGCCAATGACATTCGATACTCCGCTTTCATATTCGCATGTATGAGGCTTCAACACACGGTATACCATAACATTCACGGTATATGAATACTATGGAATCTAACAAGTTTACAGCCACTTTTGATTTCTCCCAGAAATTCAGAACAAGCCTCCCTACACGTGATGAGTGCCACAGGTTGCGTAAAGATATTCTATAGCCCTGAGCGCTCTCGACAGGTGGATGGTCTGAAAGCTGCCGACCCTTCTCTTCAGACTTGGGAGGTCCCAAGCCTCTGGGATGTATTTAGCGGTGTTGCAAACAATGCGTCTGCGAATCTCATCGCGCCTGGTCATGATGTGGATGAAAGAGTAGCACTTTACATCCACAGCTCTGGCACTACTGGTTAGTTCATCAATCGGTGTGATTACGGACGAAACCGAAGAATGTTCACTCACTCATCGGTCAATAGGGTTACCAAAGCCAGTTCCATTGACGAATGGTTATCTCAAAGGCCTTCAGAATGTGAGATTATGCCCCTCGGCAGAGACTGGCTGAACTGACCACTGCTATTTGACGACTAGATTGGAAACCTAGCTGCACCCGCTGGTCGAGACAGCTGTTTTGTCATGCTTTCCAAACCAGTCCAGCTCTGTTTCGCGATGAGTCCTTTCTTCCACATCATGGGTCTCTACAACTTGTTTGCGCCCGTACTGTTCAGAATGCCTTTTCTTCTGAGCCCCGACAGACCCATGACGACCGAGTTATTCTCTCAGATCGTCCATGAGAAAAACATAGAATCCGGTTTTATTTCTCCATTCATCCTGGAAGAGCTCAGCTCCACAGACGCTGGAATGGAAACATTGAGCAAGTTCACGAAAATCGTCTTCTCTGGTGCACCCCTAGCCCCTGCGATTGGCGATCGCATTTCTCAGGTCACACATCTTCAGACTGCCATAGGGTCAAGCGAATGTTTCGTTCACGCAGCCTTGAAACACGAGGACAAAGCTGACTGGAATTACCACGAATGGAACCCCAATTATCCAATTGAAATGCAAGACATCGGAAATGACATTCACGAACTTGTCATTCCACGTGCAAACTCCATAGAGATTCAACCCATCTTCCACACATTCCCTGAACTGCAGGTGTATCACACGGGTGACGCATTCAGACCGCACCCCGAAAAGAGTGGCTTATGGCGATACATTGGACGAATTGACGATGTCATTGTATTGAGCAATGGTGAAAAGTTCAACCCGATATCGATGGAGGGCACCATTTCCTCACATCCGTTCGTGTCGCGGGTCGTGATCATGGGCCAAGGCCATTTCCAGTCAAGCGCACTGATACAGCCCAACTGGGATCTTTGGGAGGGTTCACGGGAATCGCTGATAAACGAGATCTGGCCAGTGATTCAGGAGGCAAATAAGGCTGCACCTGGCCACGCTCGCCTCATGAGGAACCGCATTGGACTTACGAGCAAAGACAAACCTTTCCAGACTACACCGAAAGGAACGGTTCAGCGACGTTTCGTCTTGGAAGACTACGCCGATGAGATCGAGGCTCTTTATACCACTGATGATATCGACGAAGACCATCCGCAGATCCCAGAAAACGCTTCGCTTCCTTGGATAAAATCATTCATCTCCGAATTTCTGCAGGACACCTTGTCCATTGCGTCAAATAACGACGACGCAGATATATTTGCCATGGGCATTGACTCCCTCCAAACTTTGCAACTCGGCCAATTCCTGCAAGCTTCCCTGAAGTCAACACAACCAAATCTTGTTGCATCTGCATTGAGGAGCCAGCAGCTATACTCTCATCCTACATTGAACTCTCTGGCATCATATGTCCTGGAACTGCTGCTTGGAGAATCTTCACCGTCGACAGCGGCGTTGGCCGAAACCGATAACCTGAGAGCCTCTCGTTTGGCTGGGCTTGTATCCAAATATTCGGACGATCTCGGTGAGAGTCATGTGGTCATTTTGACAGGCTCGACAGGGTCTTTGGGTGCATATTTGCTACACGAGTTGTTACGAGACCTCAGTGTGTCCAAAATTTACTGCCTCAATCGATCACCCGATGCAGCCTCGAGACAACTGAAAAGCATGCAAGAAAAGGGACTCGTGACATACAAACAATTCCCACGTCGCGTCGAGTTCCTCCAAGCGGAATTTGGTTCCGAGAGACTGGGACTCGAGGATGAAAGGTATGAGGCCTTACTGGAGGATGTTGATACAATCATCCACAACGCCTGGAAAGTCAACTTCAACCACAGGGCAGAGGCTTTTGAAGATCCTCACATCCAGGGTGTTCGTCGCCTTGTAGACTTCAGTATCGCCAGCGAAAGAATGGCACACATCCATTTTGTTTCATCGATCTCCACTATCCAAGGGTTCAGTCAGAAAAAGGGCCCTTCCATACCAGAGGTTATTTATACTGATGCCACGGTGGCAGCTCGTCAAGGATACGGAGAATCAAAACATGTATCTGAGCGGATTTGTGCCGCCGCATCGGCGAAACGCGGCGTGCCCACTAGCATCCATCGGGTGGGTCAGATTGGTGGTCCGACTACCAAGATGGGGATGTGGAACAAACAAGAGTGGGTGCCGTCGCTGGTTGCAACATCAAAGACCATCAAGCAAATTCCGTCCTCGCTGGGTCCTGTCCCAATCCAGTGGGTTCCAGTGGTAAGGAGCCGACAAAACCCCCTTGTCGCAATTTCAAGATACTAATTCCAACAGGACATCACCGCAAAAGTGATCACGGATATTGTTCGCACGCGACGTACAACCGAGCAAGATGAGCGCTGTGCAGCATTCCACGTTGTGAATCCAAAGCTCGCGGATTGGCAATCCCTTGTTCCGACAGTGGCCGAGTACATGGATGCCGAGATAGTACCTCTCAGCCAGTGGCTCCAAACTCTCGATTCTTTCATCAGCCCTACGGAGACAGACCTTCAAAACAAGCCTGCACTCAAAATTCTCGAATTCTTCAAAGCGATTGCAATGGCCGATGAGAATAGCCCGGGGATCGAGACCTTGAAAACACAGGAAGCGAGCAAGTCATTGCGGCAATTGGACGCGATTGATGCGGCTCTCATGAAAGATTGGATGGATCAATGGAAATTGGAATGAGCAGGCTACCTTCGGAAAACATGGATTGGTTGATCTAAATGCCGTTGCCGACACAGCTGGCAGTTTGCCAGCGCGTTGTCGAGTTGTCTTTTCACTCGTCAGAAACTTGCTCCTTGGACGTTATTCAATCGTGCTGCCGAATTCTTTGACCCTGGGCATATCGGGCTTCACTTCTAGTCTGCGTCCGTACATATCTGCATTTAACTATCAGTGATTTTTGCCTCGCGTGCTTACGCACCAGCCTCACTGGATGTTCTCCGGTTGCTGCCTCGTCTTGCAATAAGTTTCTCATCAAATACAAAGACTGGCGTAAGCGGAATCAAATGGACTAAATTTCGGGAAGTTTCTTTTGCCGATCACCTAGGGCTGGTAATCAAGATTGGGTAGGCAAAAGTACGAGAGCTCAAATGCTTATGCATTACCACTGTACGTGAACACACGACCCCAAATTATGCCCGGTTCCCTGCGCTTTGATTTTTCTACCCCACTGTTGAGATCATTGTGGCACGCGATTGGTTAAGGCTCAAATTAAGCTGGAGCCCTCGGAATGTGGGGATGTGGAGGCTCACGGCTCTGGGGTCTCCGGATGCATAATCTCCCATTGTAGAAGGATGAGCCGCGTTTGTAGATACCCAGGATCATCTAACGAGTACCTGCATTGGCATTTGGGGTCTATGTATTTCCAAGCAGCCCCGGACTTGGAGTGACCCGAAATGAAGATGGTCAGGGCTACTCCGTAGTCAAAAGTTAAATTGCGGAGAGATCGTTCGCGATCCGCTTCAACGTCACTGGTGGCAACCCGGTCCACTCTTGCGGTCTATGGTTGCTTTGCCATCATGATACGGGTGACTTTTTCAATAAAGGAGCATTGTCACTCTTCAAGACATTTGACACCATCGTGCCTCCATGTCGGTGACGATTCATAATGGAAATTCTCTCTTCTTGATCAACTACGCCACTCAAATTATCAGCTTCGTAGCCGTGACACCGTTCGTGGCTCTTCGGATCTTTGTTCGATGGAGATTGAATCATGCTCTAGGGATAGACGACGGTATGCCTCGTTTCCGACGTTCTGATTATAACGGTCCGCTAACAACTCAGCTTCGTGCGTGCTGGGATGGGTAAGGCTCTCAGTCTGAGGACAAACTTCCTTCGCAAATTGCTAATCAATCTCATCCCGCGTAGCTGATGTTCATGGGGTATTGCTCTAGCGCTCTGATCTGTGAGTCTTGACCTTGCTATGGCAATTTCCACTGTCTGTTCATTTGCTGATGCGTTTCTCAGATGGGTTTGCCGGGGGATCAATACCACCTGCGGATCTTGATCAAGCTGACTATGAAATATGTGTCAAGGTATGAGCCCTGTAATATCAGCTCGCCTCACTGTGATTCCCCCAGGTCCTTATTAACGTATTGCAGATTTCCTACGTTGCAACCATACTGTACTCACCAACGGCTCTTTTCGTCAAGACTAGCCTGCTCTATGTGATGATGAGAATTTTCCAACCACTGACCAAGGCAATGGTAGGACTATACTGTCTCATTGGAGTGGTAATATGTTACTATGTGATCATCACATTCATCAAGATTTTCGTGTGCAATCCAGTGAACGCATATTGGGATCCAAATGCATTGGAGCACGGCCGTTGTCTCAGCCAGCCGGGAGTAATCATCGCGGATTCGGTGATTAGCTTCGTGACAGACGTGGCAATACTCACGTTCCCCGTGGCTTTCACCTGGACTTTGCAAATGCCAATGTGGAAAAAAGTCAAGATAGTGGTCTTGCTTGGACTTGGAGGTGTTGCTGTTGCATTCAGTCTCTACCGCCTGGTGATTGGTGTATACGAAAGCAACAATCCTAAAGATACCGTCTTGTTCATGAAATCCATTTTGACTGGGTGAGTGGATGTTGACCTCGGATTATACCTCGGACGGAGCTAATCAATTCAAAAGTAACGCGGAGTTAGGTCTCGGATTAATTTGTGCCTGTCTTCCGGCTTTGAACATTCTGGCGAGCTACACACAACGGCACAACTTCCCCTGGGTCGGATGTTGTGGTCGACAGAAAAAGAGTGAGGAAAGCTCCGGTCACATTTTCGACTGGCCTCAAGCCGATGGCCAAAATCATGCATTCTCACGGAGTCAGTTGAGTAGTTCTGCCCGCCGCGCCTCTACCGATTCAGCGCGGCTTGTGGCTAGTCACGAGAATGGCGGGCTTTCCTTCAGTGAAAACAATGATATCATTCAGATGGTCTCATTGAACCAGCATTGGGAAACTTTGTCGGAAAGGTCGCGCTCACCGTAATTTACGTTACGAGGTGCGGAATTCATAGTCATACGTCAAAATATAATTCTCTGATTGCATTGGGCAACAAAAAATGTATCCGTTGAGTGAATCTGGAGATGTCCGGCTGTGGCGGGAAGGTGGCAAAATAGGATTATGTAATACAATTACTCGCTGGATGGCACTTCGTCAATTTTATCAGATCGTCAATTTGGCGACGTAGTTTGATCTAAACAATGGCCAAGTCCAAAGCCGCCAAGCGCAAGCGCAATGCGCAAATTGATGTTCCACAAAAGCTCCCCAAGGCTTCCATTCCCACACCACCTCCGGACGCAGAACCCACACACCTGAACGAAATTATCTCAGACGAAGAGCTCAACACCACTATCGAAGCGCTCACGGCTCTCTCACAATATCCTAGCCTCACCAAGTCAAAGGCATGCAAGGATATTCGAGTGGCAGTGTACGAGTTCCGCCAGGCTTGTACCACAGGAGTGAACACAACAGGTACGCCGCGCAATGTCTCGACTGGATCGACGTAACTAACGTTTTTCTTATAGATGGCGCAAACCTGACCGCTCGCATCACTGCTGCTCTCGTCGATGAAAAGTATACCGAAGCCAAGATCCTCCTTGCGGAGATGAGAATCCGGGGCGAACAACCTAAAATTGGAGCCTTATGTCGCTGGGTACGGGATCTTGACGTCGTGAGTGGACTGTCCACCAAGCCAAAAGAGCTCGACAATGTGCCTGTGCAACGCACTCCTAAAGAGTTGGAAATTTTGGGCGTTTTGGATGCCATTCTACGTGTGAGCACTTCCATTGATATCAGCTCGAATGCCGTCTTCTCCACGGCCCCCATCGCTTTCCAGCCTATCTGGGATCTGCGCCCCTCAACGACGCCATTGCCGATCTACGAAACAGTCCTGGACAAATCTATCTCAGAGCATGCCCCAAAGTCGCCCTCCGCCTTGCGTGTCATTGAGGAAACCCCGGGTCCGTTGCGCAAGCCTCCGAATCACCACCCCGCAATCCTCTATACTACGGCGTCGAATGCGGTTCCCCTAGCTCCCACAAAGCCAGAAATTACATACCACCCCCATCCAGCCGTACCCGGTCTGGGTCTTGCTATGAATGTGCTTTCCCCCGACGAGTGCAGGGCGATTATCGCCGCTGGTGAATCCGTGGAGTTCCTGCCCGACGCTCCTTTGCGTGAAGATGGAGACGTGAGCATCCTTGCTCACAACTTCTACTGGGTCATCGACACCACATTCCACGATTTACTGTGGGATCGAATCTCCCCATTCGTCCCGCAGTCGATCGAAGGCCGCCCGGTGCGAGGCATCAACCGTCGCTTCCGCGTTTACCGATATGTTCCCGGTGCTGAATACAGATGTCACATTGACGGAGCCTGGCCACCATCCGGCATCCTCCCCGATGACACTTACGTGTATGACTCTTCGCCCGAAGACAACAAGCAGAGCTCTATGTACACCTTCTTGCTGTATCTCAACGATGAGTTTGAAGGTGGCGAGACCACTTTCTTCATGCCGGCTGCTCACGAGGGAACCCTCAACGGCTATCCCGTGAGACCCGTTATGGGATCTGTTGCAATTTTCCCACACGGAGAGTCCAATGGAGCACTGCTACATGAAGGCACGGGGGTTAGGAAAGGTGCGAAGTACATCATCCGGACCGACGTAGAGTATGACGTGAATCCCCCAAAAGGCGAAGAGAAGAAAGGTAAAGATTGAGATAAATTAGATACCAGAACTACGGATTGTAAATAGGAAACCAAAAAAGCGGGCATCAATTGTTACCATAACATCTGGGGAGCATTAAAGCAATGCCGACCTGGGGTTCCTCTGCGCCTCCGCTGCATCGGCACAAACGTATATAGCCGGGGAATCGCTCAACAGCGTTTGGGTTTTGTTCCAGATGAGACTTGTAATGTGGTGGCGGAGGGGTGGACCTCAGACGGCCCATAACAGCCCGTTTTGGGTTCTAAATCCTGTGCACTGTGGAGTCGGCGCATCGGATTGCCAGTATCGAGGCTCCGGGTTTCGGGCCCTCCCGGAGGCTCAAGGGCCGGACTGCCGCCCGGGTAAAGCCCCGGAGCCAGGTGGGCCAGTCAGCCTAACCACTCTCCAGGGCTGCTGCCCAGGTGCCAGGCTAGATCCCCACGGGCCAGGAGCCACCCGGAACTTAAACTCCAGTCCTCTCCGGTGATTGCCTACTTTGATGCAGGGGGAACGAGGTCAGCATTCTCCACTGCTATGTGCAACACGTGAGCTGATGACATGCTCTGATACACGCAGAATATCCACTGGGCTGACAGGAATGAAGATAAACAATATTATCTCGATCATGTTGGCCCCATGACCCCGCACTGTCAGCCTAACGCCAGCATACAAGCTGTCTCAAATTGCCCTCGACATCGAATTTCCTGACTTTGTGCATCGATCATTCCATCATAATGGCCGATCCCATCTCAATACTTTCTGCGGTTGATCTCTGCATCAAGTAAATCCCCGAACCCCAATACTTCCATCTGAGTATGAGCTGACAGAATACTGCCTGATAGGTATGGCACAAAATTATACCATCTATGCGCCGCTTTCAAAAGCGCAAAGGGCGATATTGCCGAAAAGCTCCTACAAGTGAACATTTACTGGCTGAGAGCAGAGACTCAATTAAATATGGTGCGAGACATGGCAAATGAGCTCAGCGAAAAGCATCAGATATTGATCTATGAGACTATTGCCATGCTGGCAACCAAGCTGGAAATCTCCGTTCAAGCCGTCCAGTCCATTATCAAAAACAACGGCTCAGGTGACAACGAAGTTGAAGTTCGCCGATTGAAATACGCGTTTACGAAGGAGAAGATCGATAGAACTATTGAGGACCTCAAAGAATGGCAGACTTTGTTCGATCCGTCTTGGTATTTGATCATGAGGATCGCAGGTCCGCATGTTGACTCTGGCCTGAATAGCCACCGAAGGTCATCTCAAGTTCAATACGAAGACCCCATATCTCCTGCTCAGTCAATTAGGACCGCTCTGAAGACAAAGGAAGAAGGTGGTCCTTCGCTTCGCTTTCCACCAGAATTTCTGAAATCACTCAACCTCGAAGTGATCCCGTCTTGCTCCGCAAAGATTGGCCAAAGACCCGATAACAAGCAGCGCCTCATAGTCGAGACGATAGAGCCTCTACTGGGTGCAAATGTTGTCGATCTCAAAAGAGACGTACGAGATCTTGCTAGAAGACTTTCCACTTCTAATGCTGTTGAGTTTGGGCTTCTTAGCTGCAAGGGTCATGTCACTCCACGCAAATCCGAGTCCACGAAATGCGGGTCGAACGAGATTTCAATCATATTTCGACTGCCGACAACGAAATCCGAGCCGCGCACTCTTCGAAACTGTCTGATCAACATGACCCATACAAGCTCTTTATCTGAGCGATTCACTCTGGCCAAGGATCTTGCCCGAGCAGTTCATTCCGTCCATCTGTTTGGGTTTGTGCACAAGAATATTTGCCCAGAAACGATTTTGCTTCTCGGGGATGACGAAGCATCTATAGGGTCCGCGTTCCTTATTGGGTTCGATAGCTTCAGAATGGCATCAGGCAAGACTTTGCGCAAGGGCGAAGCTTCCTGGGAGCGCTGTCTATATCAACACCCCGATCGCATCGGGGCTGTTTTGAGCAAAGACTACATCATGCAGCATGATATCTACAGCCTTGGTGTATGTCTGCTAGAGGTGGGACTGTGGGACTCATTTGTCTCCTACCCAGTCGGTCACTCACTCTCCACCAACGAAAAGCCATTGGTTGTGGAACGTGCTGCTATTCTGGGACCGAGCCGAGAGTTGCTTTTCCAGGACCACTTATTGACTCTGGCTCGGGGTGAGCTCCGCAGACGAATGGGTACTAGATACTCTGATGTTGTTGTCACCTGTCTGACATGTTTGGATGTCGGGAATGTTGATTTTGGTGACGAGGGTGAATTTGAAGACGATGATGGCATTGAGGTCGGAGTCCGATATATTGAAAAGGTACGTTTTCATTGAATGGGATATTCTGTTGTGATAACCAAAGGCGACTAACTCCAATAAGGTCATTATGCGATTGAACAGCATGTGTGTATAGTGAGATTCAGGTTATCTGGGTGAACAATAAACCTGCAGCCCTGTAGTCATGGTCGTATATTTCAAATCTGAATTCCTGTTGAACGAACCGATTAGCGAAAGTACCAGTGAAGTTTTGGAAAGAAGTCATGATTGAGCAAAGATATGAACTGCGGGGAATGGAGGGCCAACGAGTACCAACACTGAGATAACGATATCTCAACAAAGACAATATCAGCACGGTTGATATCAAAAGATTAAACAAAAATCAACCTTGCTGCCGCGAGGTAGAGAAGTGAAAGCCAGATCCAGCATACACCCTTCTGAGGATACTGATCCCACCAGCGACTTCGCACCACTGGTGGGAACCTTGGTTATTCAACTCTCCAGGACAATCTGCATTCAGTGGAAGTAAGGTGAGTCAAACCCAAAGGTGTCAAGCAGGCTTTGAGTAATAGATCGTTTGCCACGACCGACATTTGATTGCGAGAAGGAGGAGCTCGATGGGCCTCCATGCAAGTGAAAGACAAAGCCGGGGGTTCGCTCTGCGTCAACTTCATGGATGGACCACTTCAAGTCAAACTATAACGTCAAAGCGCACGAAGTGGGAGGTCTCATGCAGAACTCTATGTTCCCTGTTTTCTCTGGGCGCGCCGATCCCTTTATGCTTGTCCTACCGTCGATCTTGGTTTCCTCCCCCTTGCCAGCGATACATGAACTTTGCCCCCCTCCACGCCAATGGTAGAAGACATATACTTGCAAAAAGCTTGTTAAATCAAGCTCTACTGATTTAGGCTGGGAAGTGTGGACCGAGCCGACGGAAGGGTGACCGTTGAACCTGGCAAGGAGGCCAGCAGAGTTGATCCATGCTCACCTCCACTTTAACTTCAATATGCTCGCAACATGCAGGGACAACGCGACTTGTACTTGTGACTCTCTCGCCCCCTCGCCGCGTGATCGTGTCGATATTTCAAAACAGAAGCAGAAACAGGGAACTTCACTTGTTCAGATTGAAAATTACGTTTTGGTATGCTGCATGCCGAGTCGTCAATGCACCGGCACCTTTCAAGCTGTTGGGCTACTTTAACGTGGGGGCCCCATGGATGCAGTTATGAATCAGTATCCAGGGCGTGGAAAATATGACTGGTCTTTGCGTCCTCTTGGGACTCTCTGTCCTCGCACTGGCATCGGCTCAAATTGAGCCCTGCGGTGTCAATTCAACATACGACTATGTCGTAGTAGGAGGAGGTAATGCTGGCAGTGTTGTCGGAACTCGCTTGGCAGAGGCTGGCTTTAGCGTGGCCATACTTGAAGCTGGGGGAAATTACCAGGCCGACTTGCCTGACCTCCAGGTGCCGATCAACCAGGGTCTTACCGGTGGGACAGGTATGGATGGCATCAACCAAGACGTGGATTGGAATTTCCAGACACAACCACAAGCCGGAGCAAATAATCGAGAGCTTCACTACGCCCGAGGAAAATGTCTAGGGGGATCGTGAGTTTTTCGCGTCCACATTGTCCCGAAATAGAATCTCACCGCAACAAATCAGCACTGCATCAAACGGTCTGATCTACCAAAGGTAGGCCTGAAAACCTAAGAGGAAATTTTCACGAGTTTTGCTGACGCACAAAAGGGGCACCAAAGGTTCTTACAAAACATGGGCCAATCTGGTCAACGACTTTACATTCGAGTGGGATAATATATTGCAATATTTCGAGCGCAGTGTACACTTCTCTCCACCAGACACGTCGAAAAGACTGGAAAATGCCACCACTTCTTTCAATGAGCACGTCTTTTCACAAAGCTCCAATGGATCATTCATCGAGGTTTCATACCTGAACACTGTTGCCCCTTTTTCTACCTGGTTATTCAAAGCTCTGGAAGCAGTTGGAATCAAAAAGGTCCAGGATTTTAATAGCGGAGAGCTTCTGGGAGCTCAGTATTCCAGCTCGACCGTGTCGCCAATCAGTGAGCAGCGGAGCAGCTCTGACTACATCATAGCTGGTGCGAAGAGTTCTACATTGCACGTCTGCGCGCATACGCTGGCTGAGAAAATCGTCTTTGATGACGAGAAGACCGCCATTGGTGTGCAAGCTACGTACAAAAACAAATCTTTCACTCTCCGGGCCACAAAAGAGGTCGTCCTATCTGCTGGTGCATTCCAGTCGCCCCAGATATTGATGCTATCTGGAGTTGGCCCTGCACAGACCCTCAAATCTTTGAACATCCCGATCGTTGCTGAGTCTCCTGGAGTTGGCCAGAACATGTGGGACCATATCTTCTTTGGTATCACATTTCCAATCACGTTTGACACCTTGACGCGATATTTCAATGATCCCGAGTACCAAACAAAGCAGGTCCTGCAATACCTGGCTAGCAAGTCTGGGGCGCTTTCCGGAGGCCTGGATTTTATCGGATGGGAAAAGATACCCGTAGAGTATCGATCGCAATTCTCTCAATCTACCCAAGATGACCTTTCCGAATTCCCAGTGGATTGGCCTGAAATTGAGGTAAGTCATCAAAGCGGCCGATGATTCACTTTTTCGAATCAAGGTCGAACTCACCGAACAAACCCTCTAACGTGGTTTTCGTACAGTTTATATCGGGCAACTTTTTCAATAGCAATTATAGCAACGTTGCTAAGCAACAACCCAAGGACGGCCATCAATACGCTTCAATTTTAGCTGCACTAGTGGCTCCAACATCCCGTGGGAATGTCACCATCATCTCCGCCTCTGCCAGTGACAAACCAATCATCAACCCCAATTGGCTCACCACTGAGACCGACCAGCAAGTGGCACTGGCTGCGTTCAAACAACTTCGGAATATTTGGAAGCAGGATTCCCTTCAAAGTATTGTCGCTGGACCAGAGGCTTACCCTGGGGAGAACGTGCAGTCGGATGAACAAATACTCAATGCAATTCGCGACTCTATATCCCCTGTGTGGCACGCCTCTGGGACCTGTCGGATGGGATTGGAGAATGATACGCATGCTGTGATTGATAGCAATAGTCGCGTCCGTGGGGTGCACAGGCTCAGAGTTGTTGATGCGAGCGCTTTCCCAGTGCTGCCCCCGGGCCATCCCCAAAGTACAGTTTGTGAGTTTGCAATTTGAGATCAAATGCATGCTCGATACTGACCACTACAGATATGCTGGCTGAAAAGATTGCAGACAACATTTTGTCAGGTCCATGATAATGGAACGGCTTTCGTGAAACTGTGACAGAACTTCGGTAGTCATCAGAAAGTCGTGATTCTGCAGATCTCGGTTGCGCAGCAGCGTTGGGTAGGAGGTATTATCCATGTCACGGGGATTAAAGGTTCAAAGTCGCAATGAATCATAGATGATGGATTTGGAACCTCACAAATAGAATTACAACAGTTTTGTAGCTTCCAAATCATTATATTATCTTCTTCTTGTACTATCCTTGTTCGTACTCTCAACGTAACCTACTGCTAGCATGGGAGCAAGAAAAAGCAAACAACAAGCCCAGCATCGCTAGTCCGGCACAAGAAAAAAGGACTACAGATATCGACATGAGATACGCGGACAACACGACCTTTTGAATAGGCAAGGGCAGGTGAAAAATGGCCAGGGGGCTTTGCAAAATGCGGTGGAGCATCTTTTCATCGATGATAGATGACGGGGCCTGGAGAGTCAAACGCAAGATTGTTTGGCAGGCAAGAGATCCCAAACTTAGTCCCAAGGCAGACCCAAATGAGCGAAAAGTGAAAAGTAACGAGGTCACCCTGGCTGATTCGCGTTGATCGGCCAAGGATTGGAGAACTGCTACCAATGAACTCGTCATCAAAGCACCAAAGCCTAACCCGCAGCTAAATGTGCTCGCGGTCATAGCTATGGTGCTTAATGTGCGACTGTCGATCAGACCCGGGTATATGGCTGTGGCCTGAATGATGCTGGACATGAAGACCAACGTGGAGCCTCCGACGTTGATAGCGCGAGGATATTGAAGGTAGAGAAGTACTACACCAGCCCCCATCGAACCCACCGCAGCACCTGCACTCAAAGGCAACAAGATGAGACTAGCTTGTAGAATCTCGCCTGCCTGGGCGGATAGCAACTGGCCAACCACAGGCAGAAAGAACTCTGCAATTGTGAAACAACAACATGCACAAAGGTTAATAAGGCAACCCGCAAGCACAGATCTTGTTTTCAAAAGCCGGAGTGGGAGTACCGGGCGTGGGGCTCTTAACGAATGCCGGATGAAGAGGATCCCACCTGCTACTGCTCCTGCAAGGATGATCATCGCGCGTCCCCATGACAAAGGAATGTTGAATGCAACGTCATTCAGACCAAAAAGTAAGAGAAAGGTTGCCACAGAAAAGTAAAACGCCCCTTTTAAGTCCACAGACTTTGCTGGATCATTGCTTTCCTCCCTCCAAGACGTCACGTCAGCTGGCAAAAGAATGCCGAGAAGTACTCCTGTCAATACAGAAAGTCCTGCAAGAGTGGAGAACGACCAACGCCATGAGACTTTCTCAGTAACAAGGTCATTGGCCACCATTGTCGTGATAACAATAAATGCGCCACCCCCAATTCCAGCAATAAAGCGACTACCAATAAGCATGGCAGCATCCACAGAAGTGGCTGACAGCACATTGCCAATTGTGAAGATCACAATGCTCCAAACAAGTCCGGTGCGGCGGGAATATATGTCCGTCAACTGGCCACACAGCGGTTGGATCCATGCGTTGGCTATGAAATATGACGCCCCCAACCATGACAAAAGACTGCCACTAGCAAATTCAGACATCAGTGTTGTCGTGATAGTGGTTGTTACTGTACTATCCGAAAGTTTCATCGTGTTAAATTCGAAATTCGAGTCCTGGGGAAGAATAGGCATGTATAGACACCGATCTTACCGGCAGCGGCGAGGAAACTTCCAAGCCAGAGGTTTGCAAATATCACATAGCGAATGACATCTCCTCGATTCGATATCAATGGAGATCTTTCAGTCTGACGTCGTCTCTGGGAACTGAGCCCGGTATATTCGGCTGCTACAGAAAGTAAAGGCATCCCTAATAATTGTATTGCAGCCCATGTTTCGTCTTGAGAAATCACAGTAGTCTTTTATAACTATTTGTTTGGACTTAACATACTGATGCTGGTCAAAAATCAGGATTTCTAGACCCCGATGATACTGCAGCGGTGAGAAAACATGCGTACAACCCTGGTAGGAGCCATATATGCAGGTGGTCTTGCATGTTATGATAGAAACTTGACCTCAGTATCCCGAGGGACAGGTACACTCCTGTCATATTGGCTTTGAGTCGTCATTGTTTTGTAATGAACATGTAGTAGAAACTTGCCTGGCCATCTCCTTGCTGCTTGTGGCGGAGTTTGACGTGACTGATCACCGAGTGAACACGTATAGGAGTGGAATATGTAGCAAGATCCTCCATCAAACCTTATGCCATCCAAGTTGCAAGAATATCATCCAATCGAATTGGACTTGTAAAATTGAACCACGGAGATGATAGGAAGATCGACCTACACGACCTCTGATGGCAGTCCAGATGACGAACTGCAGAATGTGTGAAAGTTTCGTGACACTCAGCTTGGAATAACACTCGACAAATAAGCAAGGCGAAAAGTTAATGTCGCGCAAAGCGAACAAAAGGGAAGCTGGGTCGAGCTCATTAGGGTAGCCAGCATTCCAAGGTTGTCAAGATGCTCAAGGATTTGTATGAGAAAGTACCACTGATTATATAAATAAGACAGTCATCCAATGTTTCAGTGTCAAGAGACATTTTAGAACTCATGTTAACAATTCTTGTTTTGTCCGAATCATTACGAAGGCCTTTAATCTGTATGACACGCTATCTGTCTTCCATTCAGTATCACCCGGAAGAATGACGAGAGAAAGCCTTGACAACATAGAGCGCATTCAGACTCTGAGGGCGGAAATCCACAATCTACTGCCCCACCTCATTGATCATGGACTGGACAACACTGAGGGGCTTCTACGAATCGCCTGCCCCGAGGAGTCCGATGCAATTTTCGCGCAACCCGACCCGAAAGACAAGGAAAAGATCAAACATGTCGCGATTCCAAGACAAGCCACTTCTATCTCAGAAGTGCTGCAAGAATGCGCATTGATATTTGAATCACGAGTGGCAACCCAACATCCAAACTTCTTCAGCTTCATTCCATCGACAATGCTGCCGGTATCATGGGTCGCGGATCTCATCGTCAGCGCCTTCAATCCCCATGTTGGCGGGAGCTTAGCTGGATCAAGCTGCGATGTAGTCGAGAAATCTCTCATGAGCTGGCTTGTGTCTAAGATTGGGTTTCCGAGTGACGAGGCGACTGGTCTTTCTGTTTCTGGCGGGTCCATGGCAAATTTCATGGCTCTTACTGCTGCACGCGACAAAGTCATCGAGGGCGCGGAGAATCATCATTTGGCGGTGATTTATGTTTCCGAAAACACTCATTTCTCCATTACCAAGGCAGCACGCATCTTGGGATTTTCGGAAAGTCAAGTTCGTCAAATTCCCGGACTTTGCCCTCGATCGCTGGCCACGTCAATTTTGGAAGACAAAGCAGCTAGACGTATTCCCATGGCCGTGGTTGCGACACTCGGGTCTACAACTACTGGGAGCATTGACCCCATATCAGAGATTGCGGATGTTGTTTCAAAATACGATGTCTGGCTTCACATCGATGGTGCTTATGGATCATCTATCATCTTGTCAGCCTCTTATGCACACTTGGCAAGTGGAGTCGAGAAGGCCGACAGCTTGTCATGGGATGCACACAAATGGTTATTTACAAGCTATGGCTGTGGGATGCTCTTTGTGAGAAACAAAAAGTGCCTTGCACGTTCGTTCTCTGCGCATTCGGACTTTTTGGACAATGGAGGCCGCTTGGAGAACTATGAGTTCTGGGACTTGAGTTTAGAGTTGACTCGACCAGCTCGTGCAATGCGACTCTGGGTTATTCTGAGAACTATGGGCACCGAAACAATCGGTCAAATGATTGATCGTGGAGTGCAGCTCGCAGAAGAAGCCGAAGCGATTCTACGTGATCGCACTCACTGGAATATAGTCTCCCCGGCGCAGATGGCCATAGTTGTGGTCCGCTTCCAGCCCGAGACAGTTCCGGATCGGGAGCTAGATCATCTCAATCAAAAGATCGCAGATGTTGCTCTAGAGCGGAACGTGGCGGCAGTGCAAACAGTTCATTTAGACAAAAAGCAGGCCTTGCGAATGTGCATCATCAACCCCAGGCTAACTTCTCAGAATCTGAAAAAGGTTCTTCATACTCTGGACGCGATAGCAATTGAGCTCAGCTTGGCTGACCTGCTAGCATGGCAAAGCAGCTCTCTGTACAGCGAAGTAGGAATATGAGTTTGGTCCGTGTTGAGATTTCTTTTCGATATCTTTTCTAGCATCTGAATTTACTGTTTCATCTTCAAATCCACCAACATTCTCCCTTGCCCACGCGTAAGCACGATTCCCAGCCCTGGAGATGTTTTCAATGCTCTTAGTTTCCAAGGTTTCAAGCACTACCTTTCAGGTACTCGAGAAGTCTCAGATCCCTCACTAGAGAAGTGGAATCGAGATATTGAGATTTTTACAAGAAAGAGAGTGACACAATTCTTGAACACAACGGCGTATATCCTGGCCCCCATTCCGTGAAGTTCAACCCTTCAATACTTGTAAATCGTTTGCTAGAAGGCCAAAGCGTGGGTATGTGGACATGTCTGAGCGCAACCTTAGATCTTCGCGGCACCTCACAAGATCTATGACATGGGAGATGCGTAACAACTCCAGCCAGCCCATTTTCAGGATTGACGATGGGATATTTTGACCTGGTGTAAAGCCTATGACGTGTTTGTAAACACACTGAGGCAAGGATTTGATCTTCTCTCTGATGCAAGCCAAAAAGACTATTCAAGAATGATCATGAAATCATAGTGCGTTAGGTTTATAAAAATGAAGCATACTGAGTGCTAGTATGACGACAATCAAAGCTACTTGGAAGAACCGAAAGATCATCCTCATGATATAAAAGCACCGTAAGGCCAGACATATACCTACTCAACATTCCAGTAACTTCTTTTGGACATTATTCCAAGGTTACTATATCAATCACCATGGCAAGCAAAGTTCTTCTGACCGGTATTCATCTATTTTCTGTTTGAAATGCCTTGAAATTGACCACATTTCTCAACGTAGGTGGTACCGGATTTGTCGGTTCTTATATCTTGCAGCAATTGCTCGAGCAGGGGTATGTTCTTTCGCATCTTATGGCGTAATAAAGTTCCAGCGCTCACTTCTCTGCAGATATGATGTCCTTGCAGTTGTCCGCAGTGCGGGCAAAGGGCGAGCACTATGCTCCCAGTTTGAGAACGAAATTTCGTTCGCTGTCGTTGAGGATATCACCAGCCCTGGTGCCTTTGACGCTGTGTTCAAAGATTATGGCCCAATCAAATATGTTATCCATTCTGCCAGCCCATTTATATATGGACACTCGGATGCAAAGCGAGAGATTCTGCAGCCAGCAATTGACGGTAGTCTTCAGATGTTGGAATCTGTTTTGAAATCAGGGCCCTCTGTGAAACAGGTTGTGCTCACTTCATCTTTGGCCTCAATGGTTGGAGACCCATCGGCAAACGGAGTCATTACCGAAAGTCACTGGAATCCGATCACTTTCGAACAATCGCTGAAGGCGGAGAATACCTACATCGGAAGCAAGAAATTGGCTGAACAGGCTGCATGGGACTTTATGTCACAGCATCCTACCGTCCACTTTTCTTTGACCACAATCAATCCAGGGCTTGCTTTCGGTCCGTTGATGTTTCCATCGCAAAGCGGAGACAAAGTCAATACCTCGAACCAAGTGATAGACGAGTTGATCCAGGGTCTTCACGCGCAAAAGGTCCCCGAGGCTCAGGTCCCAGCATGGGTGGATGTTCGAGATGTGGCAACGGCACATGTACGGGCCATTGGAGTGGAAGGTGCCCAAAACCAGAGGTTCTTGCTCGCCCACGGCTTATACACCATGGATGAGGTTGTAAACATCATGCACCGCCAATTCCCAGCCCTCAGAGATCGGCTTCCGGAACCACAGGACAGCAATACGCCGCCTATTCAATTCGATAATTCGCGGTCCCAGAAGATCTTGAGAACCAAGTATCGTTCACTGGAGGACTGCATTGTTGCAACAACCCAGTCTTTGATGGAAAAGAACAAATTTTGAGATTTTTGCGTTACCTTGCAGCTTGAATAAATAATCTGAACTCGCTTGAGGACAACCTCGGAAGAACAGGACCTGGAAAGCTTATGGTTGTAACGAGCTTTTACTCACACGGTACTATGATCTCAACTTCCGAACTTCCGGCGGCGACGCGTCTGAGGAAGGGAGCAGACGTACAATTCACAGCAACCAAGGGAAGAGATAGTCTTTATATAGTGTCAAATTAGTCCCATCGCTGTTTCCACAAACATAACAGGTGCCCAGTCATACTGGCCACACCCTAGACTCGTTGGCTCGAAATGCGTTTCGGGAACGTCTTGATTAGATCCGTATATCCGACCCGATGCTGATATAAGGATCCGACGCGACGATGAAACAGAGCAAAGTACTTGCCTGTGATATGAGAGGAGTATTATACTTCATCAAGCACCGACGTGAAGTCCATTGTATGAAAGATATCAAAGAATGCAAAGTCATAAGCGTTGAAGGTGGCGAGATCCCCACACCGGAAAACCACTTAGCCGATGCTCAGTGCCGGGCTACGGTACTGGCCGACTCAACCGCTTCCGACCCCGGAATTTCGGTCGGCAGTTTTTTATAAAGCACTGCTGGGGCCCCGTGAGGGTCCAATTGTGGTTTCTTCTCTCTGTGTACAGACTCTACTTGGAAGTTCAACATATTGCTTTCAAGACCAACTTCCTCCAGCCTCCGCACATACTCCGCACCTCACGAACATAGCGCATATCACCTACAATGGCTTCTCCAATTCCTCGCGGTCTCCGCCAGGTTCTCCAAAAGTCCCCCAATGACATTGTCATTCTCTCCTCCCTACGAACCCCCGTCACCCGCGCCAAGAAGGGTGGTTTCAAGGACGCCTACCCCGAGGAGCTGCTCGCCAGCGTGCTCCAAGCTACATTGAAGGCCAACCCCAACCTGGATCCCGCTCAGATCGACGATGTCCTCATCGGTTCCGTTCTCCAGGAACTTGGAGGCGCCAAAGCTGGTCGCATGGGCCAAATCCACGCTGGATTCCCTCACTCCGTCCCCTTCAACACCATCAACCGTCAATGCTCGTCCGGTCTCGCAGCCATCACCACTGTCGCCAACGGTATCCGCGCAGGCGCTATTAACGTCGGTGTCGGTGGTGGTATGGAGTCCATGACTCGCAACTACGGCTCCCGTGCCATCCCCACAGTCCTCTGGCCCGAGCTGAAGGAGTCTTACTCCAAGGACGCGCGTGACTGCATCATGCCCATGGGTATTACTTCTGAGAATGTTGCTTCCCGCTACGGTGTCTCTCGTGCCGACCAAGATGCTTTCGCCGTTGAGTCTCACGCCAAGGCTTCTGCCGCTCAGAAGGCCGGCCGCTTCGACTCTGAGATCATCTCTGTCAACACCAAGACCCTCGACCCCGAGAACCCCGATGCCCCCGCCAAGGATGTCACCGTCTCCAAGGATGACGGTATCCGCCACGGTCTGACCCTCGAGAAGGTCGGAGCTCTCAAGCCCGCTTTCTCCGCTGACGGTGCCAGTACCGCCGGTAACAGCTCCCAGGTCAGCGACGGTGCCGCTGCCGCTCTGCTGATGCGTCGTTCCACAGCCGAGGAGCTCGGTTTGTCCGGCTCTATCAAGGCCCGCTGGGTCGCGTCCGCCGTCGCAGGCTGCGCCCCCGACGAGATGGGCGTTGGTCCTGCTGTCGCTATCCCCAAGCTTCTGCAGGCTGTTGACGTCAAGGTTCCTGAGGTTGGTGTCTGGGAGATCAACGAGGCTTTCGCTTCTCAGGCTCTCTACAGCATCCGCAAGCTTGGTATCGACCAGGCCAAGGTCAACCCTAACGGTGGTGCTATCGCTATTGGTCACCCTCTCGGTGCCACTGGTGCCCGTCAACTGGCTACCTTGCTTCCCGAGATGGAGCGCACTGGCCAGGAGGTCGGTGTCATCAGCATGTGTATTGGTACCGGTATGGGTATGGCTGGTATGTTTGTTCGGGAGTAAACGTCGTTGTACTCTGTTTATGAAAAGGAGTTTGTTTCTTTTGCCTAGTATATGATATCAGCGACGCATGTGTAAATACAGTCCGCAATTCAATGATTCTTGTTCTCTTCCAGTTGTTGAATCTTCTCCATCTCGCCTTTGGTCCCTCATTCCAGTGTGTGATCTAGTAGATGAGATCATGGCCCACAAAACCCTCGCTCAGTCTCCGCAATCTCTCTGCCTCGGAATCACTAGTAGCCCATCGCTTCACGACGGATTAGCCACATAAAAGTAAAGATGCCGTGAAGGTATGTCAGCCAGTGAAGATCCCGAGGTTTGTTTAGTTCTTCTAAAATGTTTAATATTGTCGTCGAGCATCATTATGAGAAAATTGAATATGAGTGTCCAAAACACCACTTGAAGGATATCAAGTGACATGCCGATCACACAAAAGAAAAATCACACGTTCAATTTCAAGTAGGATGCAGGAACTGTTTTTACGTGTGAACATGAACACAGCCAGTCTGTATGGGGGCAGTTACCAAATGCTTGGCGTCGAGATCGTCGCACGTGACCTCTTCCATCCCAAATGTTTCTCCGTAGCAAAAAGTCCGCCGCCGACTGAACACCCCCGACATCAACATGCGGCCATCAATGCGCGTTCCTCTGCGAGAGGCGAAATTTATCTGCTCCAGCTGTAGGCCTGTGCCTACTCCTCGTGTCTCGCCACTCGGTCAATTTCGCCAATATGCCTCCGACTCCCCCGGACTCCTCGAGCGCACTCGGCGCAAGCTCTGGGGCACTGACTCGCCTCCCGGTCAAGCGGATCCCTACAGTGGAAGTCAGATAATGCCTCAATCTGACCTGAGCCCCCCGAAAAGCCTGCCGACCAGGACTTCAATCTCACTCACCATGACAGTGAAGAAGCCGAGATCGACAACCTCAACTGGGAAGAGCTGCCCACCGTTGGTTATCTGCCGCAAAACGAATGGAAGATCAAGGGCCCTCAAAAGTCCGATCAGGTCGAAGCGTATGTCTGGTCCAGCATTCCCAATGGAATAGCGTGTTGATTCGACTTATAATCTGACCATTTCTCTTCACAGGTGGTACACCAACAATCAACCTCTTACACACTCACAGGCCGTGCATCATGCCGCTGTTCAGGTTGCTCTCGCTCATCTCGCCGGCAAGGATTTCCATACACTTTCAGGAATTGACCTGACCGCATTCAGTCGCGGTATTCAGCAGTGCAGGTTTGAAGGCGAGGCTGGAAACTGGGGCGACAGACTTCGATTCCCTAGTGCCAATGTCATGGATATTCTCATCCGTGAAGTCGCGGGATCAAACGTTGCCAAACCCCGTGTGAACTCCATCCTTTCAGCATTGAGCGAAGCTGGCGACAACCACCCTGCTGTGTACAAGTCAGACTCCAATACCAAAGTGCAGAATACGATCGATTCACTATCACTCGCTGATGGGCGGATCAAGTTTGCTGTTTGTGTTTCCTCGAAGCCTTTTCTCCTATGTTTACTAACTTTGGTCTCTAGTTGGTCTCCCTCATCTCCAAGTTGACTTCCCAGCGTGTCTCCGATTCTGTCGTCTCTTCTTCCACCGTGGGAGAAGTCAAGTCCACATACAAAGAGCTTCTTAAGAAGACGGCTCGATCAAACCCTGTAATTCTCCACCAGGCAATGGACAAGAAGGGCGCTGCGGAATTGGCAAACATCAAGATTTTCGACGTCCGCCAAACTCGCCATGACAGCGACGAGGCTTCTGGTCGCAAGAAAGCCATTGTTTCTGCTCTTTACACCAATGGCCTAATTAACCGAGCTCTTGTTCCCAAGAAGCCAAAGGACAAGTGGCTCAAGCAGAGCACCGAAGCCAAAAACATCAAAAAGTCTCTTGCTTCGCTCTGAGAAATTTGCGAATCGCCTTTATATGAGAAACATTCTGTACATTAGAAATCTTGATTGAATTGCATTTTCGTCCTTGTATCATTTTGCTGAGTCAATTTTGAATGAAAGCCTGCTACGATTACCCATATACATGGCTACACTTGGTTAGATGCAATGATTGATCATCTCGTCGTTCGTTGCGTTTTTGGTCCCCACGGGATTGAATGATAGAAAAAGCCAGCCGAAATTCGCCTAGAAAACTCCGGTCCTCATGTACATACATAAATGGTAGACAGTTGACTCTTGTTCTTATGAGAGGGAGAATCCTCTGGTCATGAAGTCACTCCCCTTGGCTGCCCCATCTTTCGAGCCATCCTTTTTGGAGTATAGACTGTTGATGGTTGAGCTCTGGGTCATCATCTTCCGCCGCTTCTTTTTCTCATTCTCTTCCGCCAGGACACGGGCAGTGAGCGAAGAGGTGGCAGCATTTTTGATTCCACTGACTGGAGCATTACTTGGGACTGGCGTGGAGGTTTGGCTCCGGTCTTTGGGTTCGGTTGATGATTTGGAGGCATCTGCACCAGTCGCCTCTTTAGTGCTAGCATCACTCGCCTCCGCGTGCTTCTTGCGCTTCTTTGAGCCTGGTGCTTTCTTGAGGGAGTGTGTGAGACCTTGCTCGGCAAGCTTATGGCCCCGCGCGATGAGTCTTTGCTTATCGTCTTCTTTGATGGGGAGGATTGAAATGATGTTCTCTTCCGCGTAAGATTCGTTACACTGCAACAGATGTCAGCTCACTCCCAAAATGTAATTCCGATTGAATTCTCACCTGTAAACACTTGTCCCCCTTGAGCTGGCGGATAGCCTCCTCTGCGAAGACATGTCCACATGGAACCAAATACACGGATTTCACGTTAGGGCCCAACGGCTTCGCGGTGATCGGACAGATCCAGCCCTCCTGACGCCCACGAGGCGCATGCGCACGACCCGACGGATGCTCAGCAAGCTCGGTGTCCACTTCAAATTTGACTTCGATGACATCTCGGAGCGATTTGACGCGCCCGCACAGGATCTCCTCACAGTCGGCCTTGGAGCTGATTCCTTCGCCGTCGTCGCCTGGAAGCAGGAATTGCAGGACAGCATCCTTGTTGTAAAGATTTCCCGCAGAGTCGGAGACTATAGGTCGTGCGAGAGATTTGTGTGAAAGTGGGCATGTGGTCCAGGAATGTTCTTGCTGCTCGCGCTGGGTCTCTTTTACTTGCGCCGTACTCGGAGCTCGAGCCGCTTCGCGAACGAGCTCGCGGCGGGTTGGGATACTGTCGCACGTTGTTAGATTGTTTGAGTTGAGGAGATAAAATGCATAGCATTGCTTACCTTCCACCGTCATTACCCATGTTGAAGATGCAATGAGTATCAAAGCTGGTCGCCAATCGCCACAGTACAATCGCAAAGATAGAGAACGCTTACTCAGCACTGATTAGATTCCGGGTCCGCTATCAACATCTGGCCAGAAGCTCTCTCCGCATATCCATAAACAAAGCTCAATGCCTCAAGCATGAGACTCTCACAATCGCTCCTATTACTGGCTACTGCTGGGTCAACTGCCCACGCTGCTGAAAAGCAGGCCCGTCCCCGCGGCGTGGGCCCGGAATGTGAGTATCTAAACCCTGACTCCAGATCTACACTCGTTGCCGCAGCGGGCTCATGCAATGGCAATCTACGATGGGATTCACGGCCCATTTTGGGACGTATAATACTGACAACTTGTCACTCTAGTCTCGAAATTCTATCAGGACTCCGATACCTTTACCTGCATTTCCAACCCCTCCATCAAAATCCCCTTCTCGGCGGTCAATGATGACTTCTGTGACTGTCCGGATGGAAGTGATGAGCCCGGCACAGCTGCTTGCTCCCACATCTCGCGCAATTCGCCTTTGACAGTGGCAGATCGACCTGGAAACAGCGACCTGGATGTTGCTCTCGGATTACCTGGCTTCTACTGTAAAAACAAGGGCCACCGTCCATCTTACGTCCCATTCCAACGGATCAACGATGGGATCTGTGACTATGAAATGTGCTGTGATGGTAGCGATGAGTGGGCTCGTGTTGGCGGTACGAAGTGTGAAGACCGCTGCAAGGAGATCGGCAAGCAATGGCGGAAGCAGGAAGAGCAAAGCCAAAAGTCAATGACTGCTGCCCTGAGAAAGAAGAAGGATCTTCTGGTCGACGCAGGTCGTCAGCAAAAGGAGATTGAAGTTCACATCTCTGAGCTGGAGGCGGAGATTAAAGGTGCCGAGGTCAAGGAACAGGGTCTTGAAGCTGATCTGCAGCTCGCCCAGGATCAGGATCGCAAGGTTGTCCGCACTGGAAAGGGCAAGGGCAAGCTTAGCGCCCTGACGAATCTGGCCAAGGGACGCGTTGAGGAGCTGCGCAATGCCCTAGTAGATGTACGTCGCCAGCGGGATGAGGGCCGCGAGCGCGTGAAGGAGCTCGAAGATATCCTGGCCAAGGTCAAAGTGGAATATAATCCCAACTTCAACGACGAGGGTGTGAAGCGGGCAGTTCGCAGCTATGAGGACTACGCTGCTCGTGAGCAAGGCACGGAGGATTCGAACGGTGCTATTGACCGCGATTTGGACGAGATTTCCAAGGCCGACAGCACCGACAATGGGGTCAACTGGGAGCACTGGGAGAATGAAGATGATGGCTGTCAGGACTCAGATCTAGGTAAATTTCTTTCCCGCAACCGTCCCGGGTTTGTGTCACCGACGCCTGACTAACGAGATCACAGTATACAAGTTGGCGGCTTATCTCCCCCCATCCCTTGTGAGCTTCATTGAAGGCAAGGTTCTCTCCGTCAAGGTCTATCTCCAGGAGAATGGCATCTTGCCCAAGGCCAACGAGGACACTTCTTCAGAATCCAAAGCCGTCACTCAGGCACGCGACGCTCTAAAAGAAACTCAAGATTCTATCACGAGTTTGAAGAACAAACTGCGTGACCAACGCGCCGACCTTGAAAAGGATTACGGTACTGCCTCTATCTTCCGTGCTCTGAAGGGGGTTTGCATCTCTCAAGACGCGGGTGAATACACATACGAGCATTGCTTCCTTGAGTCAACAAAGCAAAACCAGAGAAAGGGAGGCAACTCTGTGTCAATGGGCCGATTCGAGAAAGTCGGTACTACCACTGTGGAAGAGGTCAACGAAGCCGGTGAAGTTATCAACGTCGAAAAGACTGTGATCGAGTACACCCGTGGCCAGTCCTGTTGGAATGGTCCTAATCGGTCCACCAAGGTCATTTTGGAATGTGGTGAGGAGAACCAGATTTTGAAGACAGCAGAGGAGGAAAAGTGTGTGTATGCTATGCTTGTCACCTCGCCGGCTGTCTGTATAGGTGGTGAAGAGGCAGGTAATGCCGCGCCTCGGTCGAAAGACGAGCTGTAAAGTTTCATAGAATCAAGCCCATACATGTTGTGATTACATTGTGTGGAAGTTTCTCGGTGCGAATATTTGTTACTATACTTTGAGAAATCATTAGCGCATAAACAAGTTTTTGTAAGACCCGAGTATTCCAAAGGAAAACTGGATGAGATCCTCCTTTACGAGGCCCGATGCGCTCTTCTCTCCAGCCTCCATTCCCTCCGGGGCGCGGCCATGAAAGATTCGTCGACCCACGCAGAGCATCTATGGATGGTATCTCGGTCTCCAATGTCCACAAGCTTCTTTGGCTAATGCGCGCGATTATGCTGCCGCCCATGGATCGTATGGCGTGGCATTCCAAGGTTCACGCTCTGCAGAATTCCGTGAATAGTCGACACTCAGCATTCTCTCGTGGGTAGGGTATTTGGATTCAAACCTTCGAAAAACGAGGGCCTCTCTAAGCTTGAGTAGTAACTTTTTTTTAAAAAAATATGCCTAGGTTTAAGGGAAATGTATGGGTTTAAAGTCCGATATATGTGTGCTAGTATAAGTAGTATCGGCTCTTAACTAAATCACAAGAAGGTACACGAGGCAAAAACTCATTATCTTAGCATCCCACCAACAAGGCTCCAGGTCATTTCTCAGATCCTAGTATCCGGCAAATTCATGAACGTAATCTCATAAGCGTAAGTGCGAGGACACTTCCCCAGCTAGTTTGACAAGAGTGGGAGGCCGGGTCTGGTGTGGGTTGTATTGGAGGAAGATGGCGATGCAGGCTTGTGAGATGGCTTAGTGCTGAAACCGCAGTTAGCATATCTTTCGTCCCCTGTTCCCATATCATTTCCGGATGAGATGCGAACTAGAAATGGTGAAGGACATACCTTGCAGCTGCTGCAAGAGCAGGAGTTGCAGTTGCCGGAGCAGCAGTTGCAGGCGCAGGGGTTCATGATGAATAGATTTGGTTGGAAACTTGGGAAAAGTTTGAAAAGAAGTAGTGTGTTTGGCTTTGGGTGTAGATGGCTTGGATAGAGAAAAGAAGAGTGAAGGAAAGGATATCAAGCCGGCTTTATATCTCGCATCCGCCATTACACTATAAGAGATCCCAGTCTATAGTAGCCCTGTAGACCTTTCCGCTTTGGGATTATGTGTACCAATTGCCATTACGTCGGGGTGCCCCGTCCACACCTCAGCGTATCGCGTGGTCAAGTCAAACGTGGTCCTGCATCCTCCGCGACAACCTCAAACGTTACATGTTCTCACGCGCTACCCGCCATATCGAGTCTAGGCAATTCTACCGCTCGCCAATAAAGTGGAACCCTCTCGGGCTCTGCTATGTATGATGTAGACCAATCAATACCGGATCTCCTTTTGAGACGTCGGCCCCGAGGTAGATTCCAGGAAACTTGAGCTCCGATCTGTTTTCTTATGTGGAGTTGACTTGCCCCAAAGCTACGGTGTTTGCTCGGTGCAGTACGAGACCCTTCCCTGTCCACTAGGATTTGTTAGGTTAATCAGGTATGCAGATCAGGATACTGGGTGCTCGGACCGACCACCCACATACATATGAATAGCATGATTGGACTATGCCTGTGTTGATGACCGTGGAAGTACCACAATGTCTGCCTGGAGACACTCTCCATGTCTTCCAAGCTTGGAAGGTTGTTTACGCTGTGGTGGGTATACTCCTTCCCAAGGTCTAAACCACGCATGTTGTTGGGAGACCTCATCAACAAAACCCAATGATATTACACTTGCATATAGCATTGCTTACAAGTAGGCTATGGGTATATGCGAGTAGCGTATGATTTCAATATTCGAGAAATAATGTTCGGTACGGAGTACAAAAAACATACATTATCATGCCACGACGACGGCCACGTTTCGGGCAAGATCCATTCGAATCTATGATCCACTCCAAGGCTCATTTCGGGACGGGCCTCGAATAATTCCAGGGACACAGTTAGAAGCATCTACTGTCCCTATGCGGAGTACAAAGTTCATTGTCGCGGTTGTACAACTGTTAGATGGCACCAGTTGAGCAAGACACTCTGTATGCCAACAAGAAAGCGTAGGTGACCAGTGGGAGAACGAAAATCAGCAATGAATTTGCGGCGCCTACAGCGGTGTAAAGCAAAAAAAAAACAAGTGTGGGAGCCTATGAAAGCAGTGTTTGCCTGTAATGAGGACCTTGGAGGAGGGGTGCTGTCTTGTCTCATTGGCAGCCCTGAATTGCCTGAGCTGCATGTTTTATCCACCCCGTGGAGCCATGAACAGGGTTTTTGTTCGTTCCTTCTTCGGGGGATTTTACTTTCAAGTGTGGGTTCAGAGCGGCGAGACGCTGTACAATGCTTTACTTGCATAGTTGGTGTGTATCAGATGGAGCTTGCTACATGAATCCGTGAATGCTGAGGAAGATCGGCAACTTGAATATACATAAATCTGACCATATGGGTAAAGACTTGCATAACACAGGGACCGAGCATGCTATAGTCGAATGTAGAGACCTGAATGAACGAGTGCTCTGCAATATATGCGTATCTGGACGCAAGATCTGATAACGTGGAAAATAAGATCTCGAGTCATCTGAGCGACCGAGAGGAACACTACTATTTGGTCTTTGAGATGTGCACAGACTGCTTGGAACATTCGCGGAACTCTATGTAAGATCAGAGACCAGCAAGGCACCGGAAAGTGGAGAGGCATGGAAACACATCTTCCTCGTACAGTACACAGACCTCCGTGTATACTGCATGAATTTCATTGATCCGATCCAATGCAACCCTTTAAGGAGACTTGCAGTATTAGGTCCCGCTTTATATCTCGGTAGGTTTCGAGTATCCGCAGTAGCAGGTGTTGGGGTTTCATCGAGGCATATTGATTGACATGGCGAAAAAGGCGCATCGGCAAAGTATAGCCGCCAGAGCCGAATCAAAGCTAAGGAAAATATACCCGAAAACAACGCAGAGATGACGATGCTCAAGAGATCTGCCTTGTTGTCTGTGTTCTTGAAGATTACTGCGTTTGTATGAATCAAGATTTCGGTGACTTGCCCGGAGAGCTCCCCTCCGATAGGTGTCTGAGTGATAATTCCCGTGCTATTGTTTCGAGCGAGCCTTGGATGTTCCGATATGTGCCGAGGTACGGATCACAGAGTGCGTAGGTCCATGTTGATATCTCGATCAGCCTTCATCTGGACTGAGCTTCTACTTTATACCGACCAGCCACCAAGGTAGCTGATGTCAAATCCCCAAATATTGGATCTGATGCCCACAAGGTACTTGATCTACAAGGATAAAAGTGATTAAGCGACCGCTTGTTATTGAATGTAGCGAGCTGTCGTTATGACATGACATGCATCCCCCCATCCCCAATCAGCATAAAGTGTGTCCATTCCGAGGGATCTCCATCTCACTGCATGTCGAAGTCCTTCCGAGCATCATTCGTGTTCGATTGTGAATGCTTGGGTAATTTATTTCTTCTATCGGAGTGGTCAGCAAGACGTCATCGGCCGGTGTGTTCGCAGCATCATGTAATACATACAGGGCAGTTGCATGCGCCGGCAGGGCACTGGCAAGAAGAGCCACAGCTGCATCCGTGGTCGCCTGTCGAGAGATGTCAGTGTCATGAAAAAGGCAACAAAGCCCACTGTTGACAACCCCGCTCTTACCCCGCCATCGCGGAGCTCAAACCAGGGGAGACAAGGCGTGATCAGCAGCTTGCTGGGTGATTGAAGATACTCACTCATTTTGATTTGAGGAAGGCGAAGAACTTGTGAAGTTGGGAGAATAGTTGTGGGTGGTTGCAAGTGGTGAGTTGCAATGGTGGGGAGGAGCGGGAACTTATACTCGTGACTTCCCGGGGTTGAAGGGTCAGACCGTGGCCCTCTTTCTTGACTTGACTACGAGTTTGTCTTAAATCACATCTAATCTAATAACCTTGTTCCACGTTCCACTTGCGCGCAAATTTCTGCACTTTGGGCCCCGCTTGAGCACATATCGAAGCCAGTGGGCCTCTAGTCTCGGATATATTTCAAATCAATTCAGAAGACTTACCTTGAAATGGCCACATCTGTCATTTGCCTGTGCGGGAACATTGACATACCTGTTCAGCTGGATATCATTCACCAAACCAAACTACAACTATGCCACTGTCATGGATGCCGCACAACAGTTGGACAGATATATTCCTCTTACCACCCCCTCAAACTTGAGCCGAAGCTTGAGGGGCTTCAGGAGTATCAACAGTCTGACCACATTAGCCGATTCTTCTGTAAGACCTGTGGTTCTCATGTCTTTGCTCACTCAAAGCCTAGCGGGCAGTTCCGTGTTGCCTCCGGACTGTTGGTCATGAAGCTCCCAGTCGAAACGATTGAGCATTGGCAGCTCAGTGAAACTGGCGATGGGGGACTAAGTGTATATCTCCCAGGCACGGAGTCAACTACCGCTGGTTGTGTTCTCGATCTCCCAGGAACGCCAACGAATACTACAGAACCAGCTATCAATGAGCAAACTGAAGTGAACAAGCACCGTTTACACGCACGTTGCCATTGCGGAGGAGTAGAGTTCTACATCACAAAGCCTGACACATCGTCCTCGCAAGCAACTTCACCGTGGGCAGATTTACTGGTTCCATACTACACCGGATCAGGAGCCAACCCTGATGATGTCAAATGGTGGCTCCGAGACGACTGCACCAAATATCTGGCCGGAACCTGTGTTTGTAATACCTGTCGACTGAGCAGTGGGTTTCCTATACAGACCTGGGCTTTTGTGCCCAAATCAAACATACTGAACATAGATGGGTCATCACTGGATTTCAAGAAAGGCAGCATGCGACGACACAATAGCTCGCCTGGTGTATATAGAGAGTTCTGTGGCTCCTGTGGTGCCACGGTGTTTTGGCATTGCGACGAGCGACCATCACTGATTGATGTCAGTGTTGGTTTGCTGAGAGGCAATGGGGCAAGAGCAGAGGACTGGCTAGATTGGGCACCAAGTCGGGTCAGTTTTGCTGAAATGGCTGTACAGTCTGATTTGATTCACCAGTTGGAAGACGGTGTTAATCGTTACTCAAGTCTAAAGGGGAAGTCTGGGAGTACTTTGGGTCTCGGCGTTGATAGTTGATGTAGTACCCTCACCGACTTCATCATCGGCAATACTTTTTCGCAACTGCCTTTTTTTTTGTGTCCACTTTCACAACTATTTTGCTTCACGTCGCGTCATCCCCACTGCACTGCAGTGCTTTTCATTATGCCGCCATTCCAGTTTAGAGGTAATTCCAACTATCGGGGCTCGCGCCCCAACCCCAAGCACGAATTCAGCTTCCGCTACCGACCACCTCCCACATCGGACCGACCACTCTTATCCCGGAAGAGGGAGACTACACCTGAGCAACTACAGGGAGAATCGGAGACCAAGGCTCCATTGAAGTTTGCCTCTTTGGATGCCTTGAGCGACAGTGGAGAGGCGGAGATGGACACGTCCGATGGCGACTCCGATACCGAGCGACCCCGAAAGAGGCGCGCAATGGGCTTAGATGGTCTTCACGAAAACACGGCGGCTCCCCCACCTCCTCCTCCGGCCCCAAAATGGTCCAACCCGGACCCATACACCGTGCTTCCCCCACCAAGCGAGCAAACAAACAAGAGGGTCGATGTCGTCAAGCTGATCCGCAAAGCGAGACTTGACAATGCTGCAAAGACAAACGCGAGCGACGCAGTGAAGGAAAACTCAGATTTCATTTCTCTCGGCGCGATGCCGGATCCAGAACCCGAAAACGACGCGCCTGCAAATGCCCCCAGAGGACCAAAGGCCCAGGAAAGCATGGATGCTGGACCTGGAAACCGAAAGAGAACGCGCGAGGATGAGCTGAAAGGGTACTCCAGAAAGACTGGCAAGCCTGCGAGTAGATACAACTACGACGGCTCAGTTATCGATCAGTGGCTACCGCTATCCCAGGAGACGGGCACGCCTTGGTTTGAGTCCACCCCGACTTCCCTGCATATGGGAACACAGTCAGTCTCCTCCATGCTTTTGCTTTTACGCCCTGATAGTAATTCTTGCTGACATATACTAGATTGAACCACGAGATTCTCAGTTTCTACAACTGGGCTAAGCCACAGGAGTTCGAAAACATTGTCCGCAGAGATCTTGTGGAGCGTTTGAATATTGCATTCAAAAACCGATACCCCGGCGTTGAAATTCATGCTTTTGGTTCCTTCGCTTCTGGACTCTATCTGCCCACTGCAGATATTGACTTGGTGCTGTTGTCCAATTCTTTCAGGCGTACAGGTGTTCGCACATTTGGAGAGAGGAAAGGACAAATCTATGCATTTTCAGGTTTTCTGAAAGGAACGAACATCGCTGTCCCTAACTCGATTGAGTGCATTGCGCATGCTCGAGTTCCAATTCTCAAGTTCGTTGACAAGCTGACTGGGCTGCGTGTTGATATGTCTTTTGACAACAACAGTGGGCTGATCGCGAACGAGACCTTCCAGCAATGGAAGACCCAGTTTCCCGCGATGCCAGTCATTCTTTCGGTGATTAAGCAGTTCTTGTTGATCCGGGGCCTCAATGAAGTCCCAACTGGTGGACTGGGAGGTTTCTCTATCACTTGCCTGGTAACAAGTCTGTTGCAGCACATGCCCCAGGGCCAACAGCAGCCCAACCTTGGAAGCATTTTGATGGATTTCTTCAACTTCTACGGGAAGTATTTCCAGTTCGGGCATGTCGGGATTCGCTTGAATCCACCGGGATATTTCAACAAGGTGAGTTGGTTTGAGCCAGTTCATTGTTAGGTGAGCCTGCTGACTGAATCTGATAGATTTATTTCGGAAACCCCGATCGTCTTACCATCGAAGATCCCAACAACCGTGACAACGATATTTCCGGGGGCACACGTGAGGTTGACTTGATCCTCCGCACCTTCGCAGGTGCCCACACCACCCTCAAGAACCGTATGGAGTATCTCGCACTGGTCCAAGGACCAAACAAAAGCATTCTGGGACCAATCATTGCCGGCAATTTTGAGGAATACATCGAACAACGCAACCAACTTCGTCGGGTCTTCATGTCAGAAAACAGATTCGCGAAGCACAGAGTGCCTCCTCCACCGCCGCCACCAGAATCTTATCCAGTCGATGGAGCTTATTCTCCTCCACCGTTGCCTCCTGGACCTCCGCCCCCTGGCCCGCCCCCAGGTCCGCAGCAAAGACCGATCAAGAAAGCGAAGTCCAAGTTGAAAACCACGATCTCTGAGTTGGAAATCATCTCTTCGGATGAATCAACAGGCGAGACAAAGTCGCCCAAAGCCCGCAAGGGTGAAGTAAGACGACAGGCGTGTCGCGAGCGCGCTGCTAGAATCAAACGCCTCAGGCCCGATCTCACAAAGCTCCCCACCTCTCTGAGTATCCGCCAGGCTCTTCGACACGCCGGGTATGAGACCGATGCGCAGATGGAACACGACTTGGCTTTCAGAGAGCAACAAGCGGCAGCCTAAGCGGCAGCCTCTTGTTTCTGTCCTGACGCCCGTGACGATTCCCTTTTGACTCTTATTTGTTACATTATTTTGTATGATGATACCCCTATTTTGAATGGAGCGGTTATTGGTGAATTACATGCCAAATGAGCGATATGCTCTCTACGGTGGTAACGTGGGTCTCATGTTCCCTGTTTCGGCGCTTCGGTTTGTCAACTGGTCGACATCTTGAAGCAGCTACTGCCTGGTGGAAGTGGAAAGGGAGGAGACCTACTTATCTTTAGGATATTTCAGCGATTTGCGCGTTCGTTTCCAGGCTAAGTATGGCTGGATTCTGACTTGGCTAGCGCAAAGGAGAAGCTGTTGGTTAAACTTCCCCATTTTGTTGAGAACTGACTCCCTTGACAAGCCTCAGCCAATTGTGACCCAGTTTCCGATTGTACGCTTCGCCGGCCGAGACGACGAGAACCTAGTCCATACAGCATTGCCTGTTCTTTCAGATTCAGGATTCAGTTAGTGATTCAAATGAAACCCACCAATGGTTAATTCGCACCGTGCGTTTTAACATTTTGGCGTTTGTTAACCTTCCCCCTTCCCTCGATGCTTTCCTTCTCACTCAGAGTACGCTACACGCGGTTTCTGAGAGAGGACTATGGCTTTGTGTTCGTTTGGGACTTTGGTACATCCATGGATGTGCTTGGTGAATACTGGAGCGGCGCCCATGACATACCTGAAGCTTTCTAGGTCAGAAGGTTGCTATCTTGGGTAACCCTGCATGAATGGTCCTTGTGAGATCTCGATATCAAAATCTTGTTGGTCTGCGGGTTGCGACCCTTGGTCTATAACAGAGAGGTTGGATAGTACGCAGGCTACATCAGACGGGAGACAAATTGCCCCAGATTCACGATACTGATCGACGTTGAAGTCATCAAACTCGTTGAATTATGTATCGAAGGTGTGTATGCTTGCACACCTGACATGTGTTCTTCTATATACATCTATGGTCGTATCTGGCTGGGTACATCTCCATGGCTGGCTATGCAAGCTGCCGCTCCACATCTGACGGTGGGGTCAGCATGGCCTCCTCGCTTGGTGGAAGAGAAGACAAGTCTATCTTCCCTGTCCTTTCTTCGGCCTGAATCCGGTGCTTCAAAACAAGATGCTCCTCGGACACCTGATTGACAAAATCAGGCGACGGACTGTCCCAAACATAATCGACCAGTTCCGCACCAATGACGTCTCGGATCTCCCTCGCGAGTTCCAAGATATGGGCACCGCGCGCACGAGACCAAGCACGATCTGTGACTCCTTCACCGGGCGTCAGAATGCTGGTATTCTCCGCTGTAGGAACAGCACCCAGAGCGGGAGTTGACGGAGTCGATAACTTGGTATTGAAATAGTCATCATCATCTTCACCCCAATTCTCTAGCCCATCAACGATACTGTGCCACACACGCATAGTCTCGTCCAACTCTGCGATGTTGCTCACACCCATAACGCTGACTCCAAGCCGCTTCCCGGTGCCCAGATTGGCAACAGACAAGAAACCAGGATCTGCGTTTGCGCCCTTCGCAAGCGGTGCCCCAAGCCCACCTGCCCGCGCACCGACCCGAAGCCACGATTCCAACGCAAATCGAATCGCAATGACCTCGAGCTTTTCGCCATGCGACGACGCACGCACCGCCGCGCGGGCTACAGCAGCGCGCAGCGCATCAGGCGCAGGGTGGAAATCGCCCATTGATCCAATTGGCACACCGTCACGGCGCAGCAGTCCCATACCCAATGGTGAAGCATTGGGCACGACATCAACCCCGGCGGCGATGAGTCGGGGTAGTGCACGAGAATGCAATCTTGTGTTTTGTAGCGTGAAGTTGGCATAAGACATCACGATATCCAGTGGCTCGCCCGTCTCTCGAAGAATTGTTTCCGCAAGCGCACTTAGTGTATCGACTGGGTATCCCGAGATACCAACGTATCGGATGAGACCTTGGTCTCGGAGGCTGCGTAGCTCTCGAACGGCAGTAAGGACTTCAGCGGGTGTGACGAATTCCACATCGTGGCAGTAGACCACGTCTAGATATGAGGTGTGCAGGCGCTGCAAACTGCGGCGCACACTATGTCGGATCCATGAAGGAGAGTAGTCGAAGGAAGAGCCTCCTATGCGACCGACTTTTGTGAGAATATGATAGCTTTCGCGGGGAAAGGACGATTGCACGAATTCTGTGGCGAGGGCGCGGCCGAGCAGTTCTTCGGCGGGACCGTAGTAGGGTGATGTATCGAAGGCGCGGATACCTCGGGATAATGCGCGCTGAACGAGTTCGGTCGTTGGCAGGGCGTACGGGTCTGCGTTGTACTGAGAATTGAAGGTTGCGGTGCCCATGATCAATGGCGGGAGGGCCGCGGAGAGGGGAGTAGAAGGGCGCATGGCTGTGACCGGAATGCCAGGCTTTGTGGTGATATCACTCATTCAATGATCAATTGCAAGTTGAAGAGAACACTTTGCGTTCCAAAAAAAAAAGGTGAACCCCCATCGGCTCCGCTCCGGATGGCGCCATGGCGGGGGGTTTCATCGGCCCCAGATCGGGACGCCCGTGATTCTCGATACAGACTCGTCTCGATCTAGAAAGAAGACCCAACTGGCATGATATCCACTCTTCTTGAGATTGTTCCGTCAATCAGATTGCAGCCCTGCAGATGCAGTACGAACAGGCAGAATGTGCCTGGCGGAGGCGGTAGTGGCAAAAAAACTTCAAGGTTCGGTCTTTGCGCCCATGTCTGTACGATATGCTAGAATATGGATATGAATGAGGACTCCAGGTAATGCGTAAACCCGACATTATATGAATGCAAGTAAATGGCTATTGTACATATATCCTTTCCGGAAGAGGGGAGAAGGGAGTCAAGAGACGGTGATATACAGAGACCGAGTCAATGGGAATCAGAGATGGGGCTCCATCTCCAGAGAATGCCCCAAGACTCAGGGCCAAGAAAGATGAGAGAGAAAGGTCTCAGTCCCCAACATAGGGAGTTGAGCATCCTTCTCCAACCAAAAACGCCATGCTATGCCAAAACGAGAGAACCGAGCAGAAAGGGAGGGCCAGTTGAACTCGCAAGTGTTGCTCGAGACCGGAGCAGTCGTGATCTCCAAGATGTTGAGTGAGATCTTCAATCCTTGTAGACCTTGGGGTTCCAGCCTTCCTTCAATTCCTTGTCGTGCGCAACTTTGCGCTCGGCCTCTCGAAACTCCATCTCTAGTCTTTCGCGCGCGCGCAGAATCTTGCTCTGCAGATAGAAGCTGCCGCCCTTCTCGGGATTGTTGATATCGAACAGTTTCTTGAACCGGTTCATGACGTGTTCGAGGTTATGTTCGCCGCTCGCGGGGGGCTTGACATTGAGGATTTTGCAGGCTTCATCGATGCTCAGGTTGGAGGAGGTGAGGGAACCGCCGGAAGCGCCTTGTTGGCCCTTGTATTTGCCGGTGGCTTGCGCTTGCTTGTAGGCTTCGGCGAAGGCGCGGCCGAAAACTCGGGCACCAGTCACAACGACTTGAGAAACAATGCGGTGGGCCTAGATGAATTAGCAGAAGATACGTAATAGCCAGTGGTGAGACGTACCATTTTGTGGTGCCGTGAAGGTCTGGAGAGTTGGAAGAGAAGAGAAGGGGAAAATTTCGGAGGCGGAAGTTAGCGTCGGGGAGCTTTCAGAACAACAAATATGACCTTCATAGTATAGAGTCTACAATAAATTACGGAGTAGGTGTTTGGCTAATAGGAAATAGATATATGTTGATATTTCTAAAATTGTATGTATTCTCATAAAGATATTAATATGTCCAGCATACATTAAATATAAAACCAACTTGGACTCTTCACACTGTACCGAGAGTCACATGCCCAACGCTGCTCCCCGCAGATCTTCCTTGGACCGAACAGCTGCCCATGATCCTCACCTCTTATTAAATCCTCATTCCCCCAGAGGATGAGCTGACTATTTCCCAAAGACATGTCCATAATTGGATGGCCGCTCTAGGTATGTACATATCCTCCCCCATATGGATTCAACGCTGATGACAAGCAGACAATATTCCGTGGATAGATTCCATGGCACCCCCAACCACCGCACAAGATCACGGCCAGCCGGATTCTCAACCGCCGACGGTCGCTGCTTTCTCTCCGTCGACGATAACCGGCTCGGCCCTGACCTCGCGCCAGCGCTCTAGTGTCATCGTGCATCGCAAATCACCTCTTCTGGTGGCTACACCACCAGCCATCACTCGGGCTCTAGCCTATTCACATCCATTCCTTCTCCCTCTCAACAAACTCGCCGGCCTTCTAACATGGACTTCTGGTGACCCATGGCAGAGCTTTTTGCTCGTGGCCACATTTTGGACAGTCGTGCTGTATAGTGATGCCATTATTCTTTGGGCAGGACCGATCCTGGTCGTGGTTGCCTTGATCCTCGGCATGTATGGCCGTCGCTATTCGCCGCTGTCATCAACTACATCCACAGGTGAAAAGCACAAGACCAAAGTTGCCCCGGATAGCTCCCTACGTCATCAGAAAAGCCTCGACGAGATCGTTGAGACTGTCCGCGTCTTTACAACCAGATGCAATATCCTCCTTGAACCCCTCCTTGACCTCACCGATTTCCTTTCTACTCAACGCACCGCCACGTCGGCAACCACCAAACCCGCTTTGACGGCTCTCTTCATTCGAATTCTCTTAGTTACCCCAGTATGGATTGGACTGACTCTTCCTCCCTTCTACCTAATCACCACGCGTCGTGTTATCATGGCCGTCGGTACCATTATCTTAACTTATCATTCACGGCCTGCGAGAGTCTCGCGTGTGATTCTTTGGCGGTCTCGGGCCGTGCGCCGACTCTGTGCTGTCGCTACTGGACTTTCGGTCGCCGAGACGCCAAGCAGTGTGCAGAAGTCTCAAAATCGACCTAAGGGTCAAGGCCAAGGTCTCAACATCTCAACTCGGCGACGTGGGAATAATTCCGGGGTGCGATTCACTTTTGTTGTCTACGAGAACCAGCGTCGCTGGTTGGGTATTGGGTGGACATATTCGTTATTCCCATCAGAACGTGCTTCGTGGACCGATGAGCATCAAAATACCGTTGCCCCAAAGGATACTTTCGAACTTCCTGATGTCCAAACCGGAGACGCCAAATGGCGATGGGTGGAAGGTAGCCAATGGCGTGTTGAGGGAGCTGATAACTTCAATGGAAAGTCAGACGGCAAAGGATCAACAGGCGAGGGCTGGATCTACTATGATAGCAAGGTAAGTCAATCCTCATTTTCACTGAATCATTCCTTGCTAATCAAACGCAGTGGAACGATGGTCGTCGCGGACAAGATGGGTGGGATCGTTACACCCGCCGACGCAAGTGGTTCCGAGACGCCGAACTAGCCGAAATTTCCCCGGGTCCTAGTCAGAATGGCTCCGATGAAACTATTTCAGGCCTCACCCAGGCACTGGAAAAAGAAAAATCGCGAGATAATGACGATGACGCCGATACGAAGAGCATCGCCGCGTCTACAGCGTCCAAGTCCCGCCGCCGTCGATGGTTCAGTGGTAGCAAGACCGAGAATGAGCCCAGCGTTGCATCTCCGACCGATAGTAGTCGTGCTACAGGCTCAAATGTCCCAACCGACGGGCCGCAAGCTTCACGGCCAATTAGTATTCAAAATTCTAGGTCACATGCTCGCGAAGGAAGTGTGGCGACTAGTGACAGCGCCAGCTTGCGAGAGAAGGAAATGGCTAATTCGCAAGACCATCTCGATCGTTGGTCTACGCGGGCTGCTGGCGGGACAGAGAGGGCGGAAAGGGAATGGGGCCTCAGTGATGAGATCAACATGGGGTTGAGCTGAATTTAAACATCCCCTCTGGCTATTGAATCGTTTTGCTTTAGGCTATATATCATTTCCGGTTGTTTCAAAGATTATTGCTAGCATGATGTGGTTTTGCACGACAAGTGAGGCAGCCCAACAATGTAAAGGTCTACCTACGTTGAGCCAGAAGTCTGGAACACTACCAATCATGGCCTTCTCCGGGGTTCATATTGAAATTTCTTCCCGAGATCCATCTCAAGGGCTTTGCTATGAATCGTGCTTCCAAGGTCGTACGTGTGTAGGTGTCACAAAACTTCCAGAAATTGAGGCAAAACCTTGTAAGGACTTTATGCAAGGATCAGTTCCCATCCCAGCTCTTTAACAATATCCAGCCAATGCACCTGCTTGTGATCTATACCAAGGCCAAATAATCCAGAGTCGGCATCTCGCCTCGCCCATAATATCCCCAGCAACTCCTTTGCCCGCCTGACATTGCCAATGCCAAAGTTATGCTGCAATTTATCAAGAGACTGGAGTACCACTTCTCTATCTGCTATATTGTTGCTCTCGCATCCCGAGATAAACAATGGGAAAGTGAGCGCAGAGTACTCGCAGTGATCGTCCAGCGGAAAGTTTTTGACGCGCGCAAGGCATCGGTCAATGGCAGGCTGTTTGGGACTAGAGATCAGAGAGCACCAATCCTGCGTGGGGATGGCCCCTACTGGAATGGCTAGCTCTGCGGTCTCCAAATCTCTGCTGATATGCTCCATGATTGAATGAAGGTATGCGAAGCCCGCATCGCGGAAACATTCAGCCACAAGTTGGAGTCGGGTGAGTGTGGCTGCTGGTGTGCCTGATGGGATCACATATGGCGTTGAAGTATGGGTCCAGTTCAAAAGGGATTCGTTTCTATATTGGTCAGTTCCGTTTGTCAGGTTTGGATACGGCAGGACATACATGGAGGCAACGCTGAGATATAGTGCCAAATTGTCGTGTTTGGAAGCTGGGAGCTCAGCAATGCGCGCGCAGAGCTCCAGAAGCTCCTCCGTGTAGCCGATGTATATGTCTAACTTTGGAATGCCAATATCGCTATCGACAGAGATATCTGCGGGGGTGATGCGATTGTGATTGCTGATCCGAGCCATTTGATAAGCATACACAAATCTGGATGAGGTCAGAACTGGCATGCTTTTGTTGGTGATATGTCACTTACAAGCCTCGCAGAAACTCTGCTGCATCACGATCCATCGACGCGAATCCCCCACGCGATACTATAAGACGTTGCAAGGCGTTCAGATGAACAACCCATTGCTTGACGCTGCCACGTACAATCTCATACTTACACAGGAGTCCCACAGCCAACATAGCATCATCAGGTAGCAGTTCCGTTGAACACTCACCCAGTGCTGATCGGAGGCCACTGAGAGTTCCGCTATAGTAATTGACGGCAGCAGTATGCGCCCCGAAGCCTTGGGAGCGGTTTGCTAGATGGAGGGCGGACACGGCACATACGGCTTTCATCAGCAAAGGCGACGACATTGCTCTTGGTATCAATATGGATCGAAGGGGGTTGTCGTCGCTCTCTAGGTTTGCTAGCAGTCGAGACCCTTGTTCCATGTGATACTGTAGGTAGTGGGTCTCGTGGCATGAGAGATGGCTGATGTGACCCTGCGGCCGTGGGATCATTGCATCGGCGGGTACATCAACATACTCCTGTGCGCATCCCGCCAATTCTTGAGAAGTGACCGGATTTGAGGAAATGGAGCCAAGTTCCCGAGGTGATGATACATTTGACCAGTTCCAGGGTGTGACCTGACCCGAAGAGCGGAAATCAAACCATGCGTCTGATGACGCCGAGGGTGCTGGGGATGGTAGTTGCGACGCAGACTCGCTTAGTCGACGACGCTTTGGTGATTCAATAGGCTGCTCAGACTTGGATTCAGATTTTGAAAAAACCTGCGCCGAAGGACCCAATGGCTCTACCCACATGGAGCCATAGCCTTCGCATGTTCGGCCTTGTTTGAGGCAATTGTTGCAACTGGTCCAATTAGTCAAAGCTCCCAAGGCCAAATTATCGAACACACCTGGGTTTCTGTTTATCACAGGCCTTGCGTCTTTTCTTGCATGTCAAGCACCCAGAGCGGGTCCATGCGGTACCCGATTGTCGCGTCCTGCACTTCTTGGAGGTCGAAGGCGGAGAAGGTTCCGTCAGGGGAAAGTTGTTCATCACGTCAGGGAAGAACCAGGTAGTACAGGGATTCGATCGGGGCTAGTGACTGCATGCTTATCGCAAATGTTGTACAAATCAAGACAATGTTGCGCCGGACCCTTGAAATGTGTGGAGGGGAGGGTCACACATCTTGAGTTTTATCAAAGCGTTATCGATAGCCAGTGACGCTAATCCCGATCGAGGTACTTTATCGCGCTTCCCCACGTTCACGTGACCTCCCTTCCGGGGGAAAACCAAAATTGCACGTTTACTTGTAACGTAGCAAGACAAATAATTCCAGAATTTGAGGTATATTGTTCTGTAGACCGAACATGTTCCGTTCCAGCATGATTTTCAGACAGATCACGTAGCATAATTACCTATTTCAGCCGATCTAGTATAGATTTCTCCAAATGAGCCAGAGCCAAGATCTGGTACCTCATTCAAATCTCCAAACTCTCCCCGTTCGAGGGCCCACATGTCCCAATCGGGTAGGTACACCCAGACCCTCGAAAGATACGCAGTTGGAGTGATTATTTAAGTGCAGTCATTGGGACGGTTTGTGGAATCCTTCTGTATCTTTCTATCAATCTCTCAACTTTCAACCTCTACCTTGGATTCTCGTGGGATCTTTGGTAGCTCCCTCTCACACATAACCCTTATCAGTCCACTTGTGCACCCCACGTTGCCAAAATGGTGACCCACGGCCCTCACCCATTCGATCCCATCTCACCGGGGGAGATCAAGCTTGCCGTCAAGATTCTTGAGGCGACTTTCCCTGGTGTCCCCCTTCGTTACAAGCGCATTGACGTCAATGAGCCCATCAAGAAGGATGTCATCGCATACATTGAAGCAGAGCGCCTACGTCGCCCGCTGCCCCCACCACCTGCTCGTTTGCTCTACGTCCTTTTCCACCGTCTCGATACCGGCGCGTTCTACAAAGCTATTCTCAATGCCGACAAGCGCTCAATCGTCTATGCCAAGGAGCTTCCAAAGGAGGTTCAGGTAAGTCTAATACTCCTCTCGGCGACTTTGGTCTTAATTAATATCTGAGTGACAGGGCCCCATCGACATCGACGAGATCGCCGGAATCGAAGAAATGTGTATGAAGCACCCTGCCGTACTCGCCGAGATTGAAAAGCTGCAATTGCCCGCGGGCGTGACAGTCTGCAACGACCCTTGGATGTACGGCACAGACAATGATACCGAAGATCGACGCCTCTTCCAATGCTTTATGTACATGGTCGAGACCGACCACCCTCAGAACAATCACTACTCTCTTCCTTGCAAGTTCTCACCGGTGTTCGATGGATTGACCCATGAGCTGGTGCGCATGGATTACCTCCCCGGTGGAGGTGACTTTGAGACGACCACCACACAGCCCTGGAAGCCCGTCAAGACGGTGCAATATGCTCATGATCTTTTGGATGAGCCGGTTCGTACCGATCTCAAACCCTACATCGTGCAGCAACCCGAGGGCCCTTCATACTCGGTAGATGGCAACTCTGTGTACTGGCAGAAGTGGCGCTTCCGTGTGGGTTTCAATGCTCGTGAAGGGCTGGTTATATATAATGTCACTTACGATAACCGGAACCTTTTCTACCGATTGGCTGTCTCTGAGATGACTGTTCCTTACGGAGGTAAGTGGAATTGAATGGTAGAGGTCCTTTGGGAGGGTACAGCTCGGTTAACATGGATTCAGACCCTCGTGCACCTTATCATCGCAAGCAGGCATTTGATGTCGGTGACACTGGCTTTGGAATGAACGCCAATCAGTTGGCTCTGGGATGTGACTGCCTTGGTCATATCAAGTACTTCGACGGCTATCGCAACGACTGCAAGGGAAACCCATTGCAGTTGAAGAACGTTATTTGTATGCACGAGCAAGATAACGGTTTGCAACACAAGCATACCAACTATCGGTCTGGCGCCGCTACTGTCGTGCGTAACCGTCAGCTTGTCCTACAGATGATTTGCACCGTGGCCAATTACGAATATATCTTCAACTACATCTTCGACCAGGCCGCAAATGTTGAATTGGAAGTTCGCGCCACGGGTATCCTCTCCACCGTGCCATTTGATAACGAGAACGGTCAGACCGTTCCCTGGGGCACGAATGTCGGCCCAGGTGTCATGGCTCCTTTCCACCAACATATGTTCTCCCTCCGCGTGGATCCTGCGATTGATGGCTTCAAGAACACCATCTATTATGAGGACAGCGTTCCGATGCCGGAAGACGAAAAGAATCCCTACCTCGTGGGTTACGTTTCTGAACCCACAGTTATGCGCACAGCAGGCACGGCAAACACAAGTGTGGATCGTCATCGTGTCTTCAAGATCCGAAACGACAATGTCACAAACCCTATCACTTACAAACCAGTGGCATATAAGCTCATGGCGGCTCCTAGTCAAATGCTTCTTGTCAGCAAGAACGCTCCAGGCTACCGCCGCGCTGAGTTTGCCACGAAGCCCATCTGGGTGACCAAGTATCAGGATGACGAGTTGTATGCTGCTGGCGAGTTCACCAACCAAAGTCGTCGTGCAGAAGGTGTCGAAACCTGGGTCCAGCGCAAGGACAACACAGAGAACGAGGATGTGGTTTTATGGCACAGTAAGTCTTCATCACCTTTATATCAAGCCCAGTTAACTAAGCATTCAATCAGCCTTCGGCCTCACTCATAACCCTCGAATTGAGGACTTCCCTGTCATGCCGATGGAGAAGATCAGTGTCATGTTGAAGCCAGATGGCTTCTTCAACAAGAATCCGGCACTTGACGTGCCGCAGTCTTCTCAACTGTTCAACAAATCCTCGCTGCATCCCGAAGAAGAGCCCGCTTCTTGTTGCGCGGGATCATCCTCCGCTGGCAGCAAGGCAAAGCTTTACAAGAGGATTGACTAGATCACCTCATTTTCTTCAGATATATACCCCTGTCTGCCAATCTGGACATTTTTGAACATAGACAGTGCAAGCCTTACCAATGAACAGATTAAGCGAGCACCTACCTAGCTGAACATTTTTCCAACGTTTAAATTTTATATCAGTCCCTAGAACACCAGAAGGGGCTTCTATGGCGTAATGTTTAGCGTGCCAACTCTCTACTAGAGTCCAGTCATCGAATGATTGCCGAGGTCCGTAGGTACTTTTGGTTGGAACCCTCGCGGTGTGGGGAGTGCTAGGAGCTCCCTGGGCCTGACCTGGGGGCTGAGCCTCAGTAGATAGGTAGTTGGTATCCGTGGAACTCAAGGATTACCTAGGTACCTTCATTTCCTCCAAAGCCCTCAAAATCATGGCAGATGTTGAAAGCTCCGAGGTCGGCAGACGCGAAGCTACCGAATCTACCGAACAAACCGGGAACACCGCTATCACCGATCTTACCGATGATTGCCCCTTTTGACAGAAATTCTAGACAGAAATAGATAGATAAACATCTTACCCAATACTTAGACTGTAAATAAATAATCTCCTTGACTTTCAATACCTAGCGAATTCCAAGGTTCCGACCTCGAGAGTGTTGAGAACTCAAGCTTCGTGATTTAGCACACCGCTACGTACCATCTAGGCAAGGATCCAGCTATATCTACCCTGAGCCTAATTCGTCGGCATCTCTGAGACCTCGCAGATTTCTGGATAGATAGTGGTTTACAACATCAATCCATGGAAGTGCGATCATGCCAATAGTACCACATGCACCCAAAGTGCCGATGATGCCGCACCCATCACGCATGTCGAAGCCGCTGATAATTTCAGTAATCTGGACTCTTTTCCTATTGTCCCGATGTCCTAGATTGTGTGGCAATGAAGAACAATGAGAGTTACAATTTACTGTTCAAACTCGCTTTCCTGCCCAAGGTCACCCCGCGAACAAGCACAAGGTCAACTAAGAAATCCGCCAGTCCTCGTGCTCACCAAGCACTGAGGCTTTGTATACTTTGGTTGAGCCCTAGAGAAAATGCGTGATTGTGTGGCCAACGGGCATATCTAGGCAGGTATTCAATCTCACAACCGCGATTATTCATTGTAAACTTGGTGGCACCTGAGTCGATGTGTACGTGAGGCTCTTGATGTGTGTGCCTAGTCAAGCCTCCCACCTGGGCAGTCGCTGCTACGCCCACCAACGGCGGAGCATGGGAAGTAGTATCCCCATCGAGTTCCAGATTGGTTATTTCAAAATTGCTATATGTAGTGATATACTTCGTGGAATGTGCTATTAAGCTCTAATTCCAGGATTGTTCGATGGAAGAACAATACCTGGAGTAAACCAAGTGCATATTTTGTCAGTCGAATATTGTATTTGTGAGCGTGGGCGAGAGCAAAGGAGCAAATCACCATTTGGTCAACGCCGAGTAGAACTGAGAATCCGAACAAAAAGTTACAACAGAAAGATAGAGGTTGCACGGTATTTAGATAGGAAATGCAAAAAGAAAAAGACCATCCGCGTATATCATTGAATCGTCTGAACAGGCATATCCACCGCCCAGCACTATTACCTCCGACCCTGGCCAGAATCAGAATGATGCGATTGATTATGGTTCTCAAACAGATCCTCCAAGTAGGCACTGGGCGCACGGCCCTGGTGTGCCTGGTTGAGATTGAGTGAGCTGGTTGAAGCGCCCGCATACGACTGACGATGCGAATCATGATATGGGCCAACAGGGGGCAACGAAGGCGATGAGATACCCGCAGTTGGCGAGTACGGGACATCCCCTGTGGGGTTGGAGTTACCAGCAGCGTTGTAGTACCCAGCAGGGAGATAGGTCGAACCACGATTCCCCGAGTTGCCGGCGCCGTGAAGACTAGCATGCGAACCAGTTGGGCCACCAGCTGTGGGAGAGAAAAAGAGGCCACTGTTGCCGCCGCTTGGGGCGCGAGGCTTGTAACTGGCGCGAGTCCCGGCGCCGAGTTTGTTCATGGAGACATCGGCCGGCGCAGCGGAGTAAGAGGTCAAGCGCTTCTTCCTGCTGTTGCGCAGAAGACGTTTGTTCTCTGAGGCGTGCTTCATAGCTGCGCGTCGCACGGAGCGGTTCACGGACCACGCAACCATTGCGCGCCAGGCGAGCAGGGTCAGGCCGATGAGGCCCAGAGCAGCGCCGACGGCGATAAAGACTGTTCCTTCCGGCGCATTACTTTCTTGCATATATGGGGCATTTGCCGTTGGCGGTATGGTGACAATAACGGCGGCGGTTGTAGAAGAAGAAGATGTTGATGATGTCGTTGTCGTGGTGACGGATGATGTTGTTGTGCTGCTGTCGGATGTTGTGGATGAAGATGTCGACGACGTTGAACTTGAGTCGGTAGTGGTTGAGTCCATCGTTGTGCTTGTGCTTGTGCTTGTAGACGAAGAAGAAGACGTAGTACTGGATGTGCTTGACGTGGACGTAGAGGTTGAAGAAGAGGTTGTCGCAGTGGTCTCACTCACGCTAGAGGTGCTTTGTGTGGAGGGATCGTCGGTGGTCTGGGCGGCATCGGTATCCGTTGATGTATCATCCGCAGGTATGGCAGAGACTTGAATAGCGAGGGCAATGACCAGAAATAGCAATAGAAGGAATGACGGGCGGGATCTCCCAGGCCCTTGCGGTAGGACTCGCATGGCAACGGCGGTAAGCAATCGATCTGCTTCTCCACAGGGTGCGGGTCTTTCGGGCGGACGCCGATCGTCGCAATGGTGAGGATACTATGTAGTTGATCTCTATCAGATCAATCAGTCCTGTGTAGTTCACAGATGTCTGATGGAGATTTCAAAGACGACTGCTGTCCGCGCCTCTCTCTCAGGGAAGTCTGTGACAGTTTCCAGGCTGCAGGTCAACAATCTAAATTCTGGGAAACAGGATCTCTAGAGGATCACCAAAACGAAGGACTGGCTTTCAATCAAGAACGAGTGTGATTGTGACAACTGAGAAAATCAAACTGTTCTCTGCGTAAGCGAGAATTGAAGAGAATCCCGAAGACGCCAACGCTAGAGGAGAATGTTGCCTATTGCCTTAGGCTCTCATGTCACCTGACAGCATCCAAAAATACCAAGGATTGCATTTACATTGAACATCTAGAAAACAGAACGATGTATCATACATATGCGAAAGATTGCCCATGAACCCCAAAATCAAATTTCCACAGTAGAGGCGAGTTGCAAAAACTACATCAGCAGTACTCCGTACATGATGCCTATTGCTGCTTGTTTTGGAATTTAGCCGACTCATCCTTCTCGAATGCGGCATAAGGGATCTGAAGACTGCTCAAGGCACTGATACCAATGTACATGATCGTCAAGAAAAGGAAAGTAGCCATGAGACCCATGAAAATGCCTAAAAAAGGTCAGCGTGATGAGCCGGGACGGCGGAGGAAGTGAAGACCGACCTGGAGTGAAGTATTGGTATTCTTCGAAGAGCGATGTCGATTTGTTCGATGGGCTAGAGGAACTGCCTGAAGAGGAAAAGTCACGCTTCATCTCCATGTGAAGTGAGTCCTGGTACGAGGCTTCGGAGGTCTCGTATATCACGGAGTCGGTCTCTGGGAACTCTCTAGGGGAGGTAATGTAGAGAATGGTATACTTAGAGGAGGCAAGGCGATCAATAACATCGGCAAGGAAGCCATCTAATAGAGTTAGTGACAATGCAATACTGCAGCGCGCTGGGCACATACCAAATTCGGAAAGCTGTTGCGCCCGGTCCGACTCTAGTGAAAGCATGGGGAACTCGATATCGATGATACGGGGACCCTTCTCAAAAGAGGAGGGGTATGATGCGGCTTTGTTTCATTAGCTTGGTCACTCTTGTTGGCTAGTAGATTAGTGGCAGCACTACTCACAGGATCCATCGATGACAGTAGTCTGGGCCTTGCACTTCGTCTCGAGGAGTGCCTTGACCTGCTTTGGTTCCACTAGTCCAGCGACCTCGTCGACACTCATCTTAGAGCGGATCGAGCTATCCTTGCCGAGCATCTTCGCACCCAAGCGGGGTGCCGACTTGCGCGTCGCGAAGTCGGAGGCGTGGGCACCAGGCTGATAAACAACGACATAGTAATCTGAGGGACAGGTGCTGAGGGAGGAGGAAAGGTTTTCGAGGACAGAAGCTCCCGTTTGGATATAGGCGGAGTTCGTCAGGACCCTAAGGGAGGACATGTTAGCTGCTGCAGCTCGAACTGGGGCGATTCTGCCTACTCGGAGGTTGAGGCCAGGAAAAATGGCGATGTGTCTCGGAAAGCATTCACAGCAGCTGCTCCAAGGGCAACTAGCCCAACTCTGCTGAAATGCATTGTGTTCGTGATGGCTTAGGTTGATATGATGTTGCCAACGGGAGGTGTCCGACTTGGCCTCGGAGGCGGTCGAGATCCCGGGGCCCGCCTGAGCTTTCGCAGCAACTTTTTTTCTCGCGCAGATTTAACACAACCTTGCAACTTTGATATTCAGGCAAATTTCGGGATAATTACTCGGAAATTTCTGTCGCTATGGGACCCAACATGAAGAACATGAAAAAGCGCAAGCTCGCCGCTGAGCCTCGAGTGGAAGAAATCAATTTCGACTCGGAGAGTCGCCAGGAATGGTTGACTGGATTTCACAAGCGCAAGGTCCAGCGTGCTAAGCACGCAGCAGAGAATGCTGCTAAGCAATACAAGGAAGACAAAAAGGCCATGAGGAAGAAGGTTTGACTGGTCACCGCGCTCATCTGAAGAATTCTGCTAACTTGTCTAGATTCGCGAGGAGCGCAAAAAGGATTTCGAGCAAGCAATGGACGAGCACTCGAAAGTACTCCAACGTATGAAAGAGGATGCTGGTGATATCAGTGAGCAAGAGGAAGAAGACGACTGGAACGGAATCGAAGAGCCTCCGGCCGTGGACTACGAAGCCGAGTATATCGACGAAGACAAGTACACTACAGTCACAGTCGAAGAGATGGACGCATCGCGCGAAGGCTTGCTCAAGTCAGTACACGAAGACGACACGGATAATGAAGAAGAAAAGCCGAAACCTGTCGAATCCAAAGAGGCCGACACCAAGACTGCAAAGAAGAGGAAGCCCCGCAGTGCAGCCTCAGAGGCGGCGAGGAAAAAGAAGAGGAATTTCCGCTATGAGAGCAAGGAGGTGCGCAGGGAAACGATGCGAAAGCAGCGCAACGTGAAGTCCAAAAAGGCGAAGGCACGGAAGGAGAAGGATGCATGAACTCAACATATACCTCAAAAGCGATACATAACATGTGCGTATACATATTCGATTTTGCCTCAGCCGGTCTTGGTCACTCAATTTCATGGAGCACAGGCGTTTGATCTCAAAGAATTTGAAGAAGACAATAGTGGGCACCGTAATTGGTTGTGTGATAAAGGTATTGCTATCAAAGCGCTGTATCTGGCTAGAATCGGGAAAGCCGTAACACAAACAGTCACAGTATGAAAACGCAGAAAAACCAGAGTAGGAAGCTGATGTCCAATTCAATGCCCCCGTATATCCTGCCCTCGCCGACCTGACGCTTAGATTTCGGCCATCTGGGCGGCGAGGTCGTCCAGCTCCTTCTTGACACCACTGTGCTCCTTGATAGCATCCTCGTAACGCTGCTCCAGCTTGGTGTGCTGATCCTCGAGTGCCTGCACCTTCCGCTCGTAGTGACCAGCCTTGATGTCGGTTTGGCGAAGCCTGAATTCCCATTGAGTCAGCACCGGGTTGTGAATGAAGCGTTAGAGAGTCGTACTTCTCGTTTGTTTCCCGTAGAGTCTTGTCGTTCTCCTCGGCTTCCTCTTCGAGGAGCTGGACCCGTCGCTGGAGGGCCTCGTTCTGGGTGTCGTGCTGGAGGCTCTGGTTGGCAGCTTCCTTGGCTTCCTTCAGGGCAGTCTCAGCCTTCTCGACTTCGTCCTCGAGCAACTGGTTTCGGTGGTTGAGAGATGTGATTTCTTGTTCCTTGGACAAGTTCTCCTGTTCCAGTGTCTTGACGCGGGCCTTGAGCTCGTCGACCTGCTCGTGGGCTTCGTCGGCCTCGGCACGGAGGGCGACCATGCGCTATTAAACATGTGGTTAGCGAAGCGTATGGGAGTGATGGAATGCCGGACGTCATGTATGTATGCATCATGAGGGGTTGGGAAGAATTTGGGAGACGGGCGAAGCTACCCCGCCTAGGGGTCTTACCTCCTTGATCTTGTCCATTTTGTTATTGAAAGGGAATAAAGGAGATAATATGTATTGGTGAAGAGAAAGTGTAGTCTAGGTTTTCGCTCTGCGAGAAACCTGCAAGTGTCGATGGATATGAGTGAGGATGATCTGGGGGAAGTTTTGGGAGAGAAGGGGAGGAATAATGGCTGACTAGTGACCAAGTAGACAGTACCAGGTGATCACGCACAAGCTCCACTACAGGAGAAGTACTGGGTACTTAGTGTGTACTAGCTGCGTAACTTGCGTATGGTAGTGGTACAGCCGCCAGGTCGCTCTCCGCCAATCACGCGACTGAGATCGCCGCGTCTCCACGGGCAACCGCTCGACAACACCTGCATCTAGAACTGCTGAGATCTTCTACTTACTTACAATCTCGGCGATACGACCGGTCTTTTCTTTTCTTTGTTAAGGTGTATGACCCTTAAAAGCTTTATCTCGCCACCATGCTGGCTCTTCGAGACCAGGAGAACCTGGTAAACACTCACCAGACTGCCGCGGCCGCGAAGCCCTTGAACCAGAACTTGAAGTTTGCACCCAAGACACCCGGAAAGCGAAACGATGAGAACAACCCGCTCGCATTTGGAGGCCGCACCGTCAAAGGCAATGGAAATCGCCAGGAGAATGGAAAACCGGGGAAAGACGCGTTTATTACGCCAATGGGTACGAAAGAGTCGCAAATGCTATCCGGCTGCGGATCAACCGTGCATCGAGACTGACATTTGTTGCTCACACAGTGAAAGATCGCGCTCCATTGGGTATGAAAACGAACAACCCCAAAGCCAAGAATCTCCAGACGCCTGCTCCCTTCGGAGGAACCATCAAGACGAACCGAAGACAATCAACTGCGCAGAAACTTAAGAAAGCCGCTCCAGTTACACAACAACCACAACTCAAGGTCCATACTGATGCTGTGGTGGACGAGGTCCCTGATATTGAATATATGCCACCCAAACCTAAAGGTAGTACCCATTTGAAGCATGGCAAGTGTGAAGCAGAGCTACATGCTAACAAGCCACAGATCTCCCAGATCTCCCAGACGACGTGACATATGACACTACTTTCCCCCAGTTCCAGCCGAGGAACCGAGCACTGGGCCTCGAGAGTGTCTACGGGAAGCAACAGGTTGGAAGCGATGGACTCACGGCGAAACAGCGCAAGTTCAACGAGGACTCTGCCGCATGCGATAAAATGGTGGACGAAATGATATTGAAACAACTGGAAGATGTTGGATTCGAGGGCACCGATGAGCGCAAGACCGCCAGGACACGCAAACCGCAGGCCTTGCCCTTGAAAGGACCTACCGCTATTCGACAAACTCGTAGCGTCTCCACGCTTCGATCCCGTGAGGCCGCCGCGGCCCTTTCAGGGTCTCATTCGACCACAGCCCCGCGAACAACACCGGCCCCCAAGCCCAGAGTGACATCATTAGCGTCATCTGCATCGTCGCTAATCATGCCCAAGAAACACGCCAGAGTCCCGTCGAACCCCTCCTCCATGCGCAACACTGCTGCTGCTGTCACCTCACGCACAACAGTTGGTTACTCGAAAGGACGCAGTGTGTCATCTGATCTACGAGACCAAACTCAGGCTACAAAGCCTTCGACCTCCCAAGCGTTGTCCCCCGAGACTTACATGCAGCTTTATGGGGCCCCTCCGCTGGACTCGGAGATGTGGACCCGCTGCAATGCTGCAGGGTGCTTTGATACAGAGCAGGATACCAAGGAGCCAGAGGAGCTGCTACCAACTTTCGAGGAAGACGAAGAGGCGGATAGCTTTCAGCTCACGCTGTGACGTGCGTGTGGGGACGAAGGGCATTGGAACATTGCTTCGGTGCGCATATTAGAGACGTCGGCTCACATGTTCTAGCCAAATAGTGGCGTTTTGGAAATGAAGTTCTTGTATGAGTTAGTCTTTCCAACCGCGGATCATACTGTTTCAGGCCTGCTCCACTATGATGATCTCTCGCCAAGCCACAGACGAGGTCGCACATGCATTTCCCGTCAGGGACCACGTAGGCAGTACCAGACTCGTAGCAAACACAATTAGGTCCAATTGGTGTAAAACCATGGAAAACAGCTTCATCGATGCAGACATACAGTGATAGGGGCTCAACGACACAAAATTAAGCTAATATACTAGCACTTTTCAAGGATAGTACGGGCGCTCGACGTACGTCAGCGTGGGAAAACAGAGCCAAGTTCGGTGTACCTGGCGGGTACCAGACACTGAGTCTATCCACGCACGGAAACACAGGTACCAATCAGGTACTTCCAGGTACCTTGCTGTAGCCCACACCGCCCCGGAATTGCCCATATCTTCTTATTTACTCTCTGGCCTCTCCTTTTCCCTTCCAATCATTCGATTGACGCTCAGCAGCCATGACGACCATTCATCCGGACTCCATTGAGGAGTTCGAATATATTCAGACACCGGCTGCCCCCGAGCAGACCAAGCCTGACTTCGATTGCGGTGTGCCAACCACTCTGGTGAGTTCACAGCTAGAGAGCTATTCAAGTTGCGTGACCGCTAGATCCTAATTCGTGTCTACCGTCTAGTACCCGTCAATTAAGAATGCTCCTGTTCCCGCGGACTCGCCCGGCAGTGACAGCTTCTCCAATGGATTGCTGATCGCTCTGTTCGTGATTGTCCCTTGGTGGCTGGCACGCCAGGTTGGTGGAGGTTTCTACACCACTATCTTCTTCGCCCTCTTCACTAGCGTTCCTGTCTTGGTTGCTTTCTGGGCTGTCGCTTCTTCCGTTTCTCCTCGCAAGACCGAGAAGGCCAAGTACCGTGGTCTTCCTGTCGAGCACTACCTGCAGTTCCACAGCGAGCACGACCGCGCTACTTACCGCGGAAAGAGCAAGATTCCCATGGTTGTCTTCTACGAGAAGTACTTCAATGGCGAGGTTGACTTCAAGGGCGATGCTCTGGAGTGCCTTGAGTACCGCCACGACTGGGCCAACTTCAAGTTCACCTCCAGCCTTTTCAAGCACTTCCTTTTCGGTTTCATTCCTGAGATGCTGCTCCACACTCGTTCCCAAGGTAAGTTTATCCCTGCGCACCTACATCCACCAATGTCGATATAAATTTCTAACACGCGGCTAGACGAGGAGCAGGTTCGTGACCACTACGACCGCGGTGACGACTTCTACGCTTGGTTCCTTGGTCCCCGCATGATCTACACCTCCGGTGTTATCAGTGATATCAACAAGGAGGAGACCCTTGAGGAGCTTCAGGACAACAAGCTGGCCATTGTTTGTGAGAAGATTGGTGTCAAGCCCGGTGACAAGATTCTCGATCTTGGCTGTGGCTGGGGAACTCTCGCTAAGTACGCGTCCGCTCACTACGGCGCTCATGTCACCGGTATCACTCTTGGTCGTAACCAGACAGCCTGGGGTAACAACGGTCTCCGCAAGGCCGGTGTTGAGGAGAGCCAGAGTCGCATTATCTGCTCCGACTACCGTGATGCTCCCCGTGTCGACGGTGGATACCAACAGATCACCTGTCTCGAGATGGCCGAGCACGTTGGTGTTCGTCACTTCTCTTCTTTCCTCTCCCAGGTTTACGACATGCTCGACGACAACGGTACTTTCTTCCTGCAGATCGCTGGTCTCCGCAAGTCTTGGCAGTACGAGGACCTTATCTGGGGTCTTTTCATGAACAAGTACATCTTCCCCGGTGCTGATGCCAGTACCCCTCTTGGTTTCGTCGTGGACCGTCTTGAGGGTGCCGGATTCGAGATCAAGGCCGTCGACACCATCGGTGTGCACTACTCTGCTACCCTCTGGCGCTGGTACCGGAACTGGATGGGCAACCGTGACAAGGTCGAGGCCAAGTACGGCAAGCGCTGGTTCCGCATTTGGGAGTACTTCCTTGCTTCCTCCACCATCACCTCTCGCCAGGGTGGTGCCACTTGCTGGCAACTCACCCTTGTCAAGAACATCAACTCCACCCACCGTGTTGAGGGTATCAACACTCAGCACGGCCTTACCGGAGCTCGCCAGAACGCTATTGACCGTGCTGGTACCCTCCCCAAGGCCCACATCATCAAGAAGGACCTGTAAAGGGCTTATACCTGATTCGAAAGTTGATCTAATTCGCGGGGGATTAAACTCTCGTTGCATCAGCTTCATGCCATCTTGGCACTGGTAATGTGGATGTTCAAACGTGAAGATATCAAAAAGTTAAACTACCTTGTATGACAAACGATATGACGTGAAAGCAGCAGAGGGGGCAAATGTGAACGAGATGAGGAAAAAGGATCAGACCCATTTAGGATCTGAGCATGGATAGGCCCGAGGCTTGTCTGGCTGGTCCGCTGCGATATTTCTCCTTCCAAGGCTGGCTTATCTGCGGTAATGTTCTACCTATCTGTATCCTGTTTGAATAGAATACTGGCACGAAGTCAACGAGTCTGTGTTGTGATATTATTTTTTAGAAATCAATGAACTATGTTTAGATGACCTGTGGAACCTTGGAATATCTCTTCCACATCTAATAGCTTCGCACCTGTGTACCCGTGGAGGCACCTGGGCAACCTGGGAAGGCATAGGTAGGCCTCTGTGTAGGTAGCCCTGGAGGTAGCCCTGGAGGTAGCCCTAGAGGTGGGCAATATGTATCACAGCACAAGGCTCTGCAAGCCCAGCCCTGAAGGTCCCCAGGTGGGAACTCCCGAGCTCCATGCCAATTCAACCGGGCGGCTTCCAAGCCCTGGAGGTTGTTTGGGTTCAAATTAGACACCTGGAGACCCATTGAACCCTGGGAGACCTCCAGGGCTCGAGGCGCCCTTATGGCTGCGACCTCAGGAGCTAATACGAATACAACACAAAATAAACCTTGGAAGGCTGGGACGAGCCATAGTCGTTGGTTTATATTGCACAACTTCGCATAGCATCTAGCTCAGGCTTCCTTACAGCCATACATTAGGTCTCAAGTCATAACAGGGCCCTAACGCCTCAAAACATATCATACAATGCACCACAGAGCCAGAAAAAAAAAAGAAAAGACCAGGTGCGATCCAATAGACAAGTGGTATATGTAATGAATGGAACAAAGGCAGGGTAGATGCAAAAGGGCCAGGTAGGTGCTGGATATTTGGTACATGGAATGGGTGAAAAAAACCAAAAAAAGAAATTCATGCTTGGAAGTTGAGTCTGAGGTCACCCGGTAGGCACAAGGGTCTAGGACCTTAGAAAATGGGGGGTTGGAAAGTCTCCTTTACCTATCCACAGGCATACAGGGACATGTGGCTCATTGCATGTCAACATAGTAGAAAAAAGTGGGAATTTTGAAATATATGCCCGAAGACTCAACCCAAAGGTCGAAAGAAGGGGTCTGTGTCTCATTCTCATGCCAGGTCGCTTGATAAGGTCAAAGAAGAAAAAGCGGACGTTTAATCTGCGTCAAACTTGTGGTTGTATTCACCAAGGAGGACGTCGTCGGGGCCAGGTCCATGTGTATTCCGAACTGTTGCACAACGTAAGCCGAGTCCGAAAAACCAAGGTGACACCGTTGGGATCAAGGGTGCAAGCGCGGGGAATACGTACTCCATTCAGCTTCGGTCCGGTAGAAGACCCACATCCAGCGGCGCGCAACCTCAAGGAACATGAGAATCCACAGACCGCTCTCTGTTTCTGAGATCCACCCAAGACCTGGGACAATGCGCCAGAGCCACGAAAACCGGAGTGCAAGATCCGCAATAATGACGTAGTGGTACATTTTGTCGGACGAGAAGTAGCGGTACCTACGAAGTCCATAGGGGTGGTCTTTGTCGCGACGTTCTGGTGAGAAGAGCGTCATGTCCCAATCCTTGACCACATCCCACCAGAATGAGTAGGCGGAGTTGACGAAAGAGAAGATAAATCTGTTGGTGTTAGAGTGATATATGGACAATGGATAATTGGGGGACCGTACAGAAGGCGCATCATGCTCATTTCGCTGTATCCGCGGAACTCCAACGGATTGTAGTTGCGCATTTTGGAGGACATCCAAATGACAGGGAAGGCAGTAGCGTACTTGAGAGCGTTAGCCAAGTGCTGATTGCCCTTCGATGTTTCCCTCCGCGTAGTCGTTCGGCGCGCACGCAGATATTCGGTCAAACACTGGCGCAGACGAATCAAGCTGGGAACAGCTAGGATGATTGGGACCACGATCTTGCTCCCACAAGCCCGATCAGGCTTGGAGGTGGCGGCGATGCCATCGGTGAAGAACATGCAAAAACTGATGTAGAGATCCCCAATCACACGAGCATAGCTAGTTAGAGCATCTGCCAGCAGAATGTCACCAAACTTGCCATCCTGGGTCTCTGCCAAGCCGCCAATAGCGACTCGCTTAAGGGTGAGGAGAAATCGAATTCGACCGGAACGAGAGGCGCGGTTGAGGGGCCAGATCAGAATAAGGAGGAGAATCACGAAAACGGATTGTGGGAGCCAGTCGAGTCGCTCTACCAACTCAGGAGACCGGCGGGTGGCGATCCAGAAGACGACGAACCAGATGGCTAGTGGGATGGAGAAGATAGTTGCCAGGCGGTATACGGCGGCGTGGTGCGGACGCTGGGCGGGCGATGTGCGGGCAGGGTATTTGATGAGTGCGGGAACGTCCTGATAGATGGTGAGTATGTGTCGAAGTTGGTCGCGTGGGCAGCACTTACAATGTTGGCTTTTGCGAGGTATTGGAGGTTCAAACCCCATCCCCAGAAACCTGGTCTTCTGTCAATTTCTCACACTCTCTCACGCACCACGATCGTCTCTAGTCTCAGGTACACACATACCAGCAACGAGGAGGGAGGCTATCCGTAAGGGCAATGGAAAGATCAGCCCAAAGGGATCCAATTGAGCATGTTGATCTGGACCCATTATTCCATTGAACGAGGGGGAGAGGTTGAAAGGACAAGAACCCCGTGGGGAATAGGTATGAAAGGAGTGACTAGGGGTGAGTCGGACTCGAACAGAAGTTACGGAGTTGGACTTTTCGTGAAGCCGCTTTCGGTTTTTAATAAGCGGAGGGCGTGCAGGACTCGGAAGTCTGGAACTCCACAGGTCGGTTTTGGTATAATTAGAAGCACATTTCAGGGGAGATCTTAGACGCCGATCGACCAAGTGCTGGACCTATGAGAACTCTTATATCGCTTAGCGTGTTCACGTTGTTTGTATGCCAATTCTATGCCTCTCCCCTAAAGATACTTCTAAACAAGGGGGTTTACGGGGCACGGGGTAATGTACTTGTCTCTCAAAGTACTTCAGGAGTACCCTTTTAAGCCACTCCACGCCTCCCGCATTCGGTCTGCAGAAAGGTACCGCTCAAGTACAAGTGGGGCTCTGTACGGTCAAATGCGGTCACTGTACGGAGTACTCCGTATTATACTACCACGTGACTATCAGGTAATATCATTATGTCAGCACTCCACGTGACTGCCTAGGTGGGCCGAGGTACTCGCCGTCAACCCCGGGGTTCTCCAAAGCTGGGGGGCCTCATTTCCGGGAATCGTCTGCGAGGATGCAAATGAAACCAAATCAAATCAACCTCATCATTTCAATTCCTAATCATGGCCGATGATCAATCACATCTCGCTCTCCCAACCAGTGCAGCTCTCAGTGCTTCCACCTCACACTTCTACCCGTTCGCAACCTCACCAGATGTCATCCGATCGCACGAGAAAGATGCCTTCCTCACCAGCAGTTTAATTCAACAGTCACAGGGCATTGTCAGAGCTCTCCGAGGAGCCCGATTTGCTCACACCTACTCCGAATCCATCAAACACATTACCGAACTCCTCTACTTCTCTTTAACAACCGCCCTCGGCAATCGCACCTTAGGCGAGGAATATTGCGACCTGGTCCAACTAGAGGATGATACACTACAACTTCCCTCCATTGGAAGACGCGTCGGCTACATCTTAAGTAGCATTCTCGTGCCATGGACACTACAGCGTCTCCTCCCCGCCTTTCGACAGCGCATCCGCAATAAGCTCGAGCGCAATGTGGTGCGGGAACAGTTCCGTGCAGCGCAGCAGGCTGGCCTGCTGAACAAGCCTCAGCTTTCGGCGCCCGTCAGAAAGACGTTCTTCACAAAGCTCCGCATCCAGCAGTATCTTCTCGAACATCTGGACTCCATCACCTCCGTTTCACCTATATATGCCCTGAGTATTGCGACTTTCTATTTTACAGGCTCATATTACCACCTCTCTAAACGTATCTGGCGCCTGCGATATGTCTTCACGAAGAAGATAGATGATAACGAGCAGCGCATCGGCTACGAGGTTTTGGGTGTATTACTCGTGTTGCAGATTGCGGTGCAGGGATTCCTGCATGCAAGGAAGCTGGCAACACTACCGGACGAAGAGGAAAAGGCCGAGGGCGAGTCTTCTTCTGGTGCCGTACTGGCGTCGATTCAGAATCCCTCTGCTATCCCATTGCTCCCTGCTTCTATGCCACTCTACGATCTGGAGGAGGACCCCGGTGCTGTGTCGTGGATCCCTGAAGGTCAACAGCGGAAGTGTACGCTGTGTCTGGAGGCGTTCAAGGATCCAAGTGTCACGACGTGTGGCCATGTGTTTTGTTGGATTTGCGTGAGGGATTGGGTTCGGGAGAAGCCCGAATGTCCACTTTGTCGACAGGAGGTCTTACTCTCCAAGGTCCTGCCTTTGAGAGGGTAGTAATATTGCTTACTCCCAGATATGATTCGGGTTCGTTATTGTACAGTCGTGAACCCAGCAATAGATGTTGGTCTACCATCTTCGGTTAATACATATACCCTTTTTCCCGTACCTAAACTTGGACATGGTTGTCACCTTTTTCAAACCTCGAGCTCGTGAGCTTTGAAGGATGCTCAGGTGGATTCCAAATGTTCCAAGGTTCTTCCAAGGTCCACGCCCGGTTTCTCTTTGTCTTTTCATTGCACAGGTGAAATATATATGTTTTCTGGAGTCAGGCGGCATTATGCTTCCCACCTTGCCTGGTCAAAGCTATGGCAGTAGCAGCGAGGAAAGGTCCAGTGGTGGAGACTTTGCTTTGGCCGGTTGGGATACGGGAGCGATTGGTTGCTTGGGTTGAGAAGAGATTGGAAAACCTTGATGAGAATGCTGTATAATGGCGAGGGTCAAAGTTGACCCTCGAAGGTTGGAACCTTGGAAGGTTCACGGGTATTGATGTTGAACTGAAATAAGATAAATGCTGCGCAGCAGTAAAGATAAATGTGCACGCTTTCAAAATGCAAAATCTCTTACACCATGAAGAAAGAAAAATTTACATATGACGAAGATGCGGACATGCATATAAAACCACGAAGCTGGAATCGAGAGAGTAAGACAGAGGATAAGGGGAGGATGAGGAAAAACAGAGGGGGAGAGAAGAGAGAAGGATGGATCGGAGATACCCCGAACATGCAAAATGTACATGGCATAAATATACATGTCAAGCCAGTGTCTCTTGCTCGGTACTGGTGATTGCTTCGCCAAGCGGAAGTACAATGGGCTGACCAAGTTCCGCAAATGCAGGACGAGGTGGCATCGGGTTCATAGCCAATCGTTTGGCTTCCATAGTATGAAAGAGACGAACACAGGCATATGGGTCGGTAGCGGCGTCTATATCAGATTAGCATGGAGTTAAGACAGGAAATGTTGCAATCACTCACATTGGATTTGCTGATAGTTCAAGGCGCGGGCCCAGTCTCCACAGCGGACATCTTCACTCTTGTCAAGAGGAAGACCAAAATGCTCTCGAACCTGATCACTCAGATTGACGCCTCTTTTATTCACCAGCTTTGGGTTGTCCTTGCCGAACTTGACTAGCTTGAACAAGTGGCTCAGCTCAAAGGTGGCTTTGGCATCGATGCTAAGATACTTCCGCAGCCGCGTGCAGTCTGCTTTAATTGAAACGCCGACTTTGGTGATGTCAGGAGACTCGATGAGCTGCTTCAGTGATGGGGAAACCAGATCGCTCAGAGTCCGCCCAGGCTTGAAAAGTGCAACCTGAAAGAGGGCAATACGTTCCTCATTGGCAATTTGAATGAGTGAGACATTGTTCTGTTTGCTGTCCCAGCTGGATGCTGAGGATTTCCATTCCATGTCGAAGCCAATGACCTTGCTCGTGAGAAAGAGCTGGACAATTTCCTCCGTGCTGCGGAGCGTCCGGCAATAATGAACAATGATTTTGTTTCCAGCAGGGCTTTGCTGTGAGCTGTGACTCCAGTAGATAGGCGCCGCGGGGTCGGTTGTAGAATTGTTTGCAAACATATCGTCTTCTGCCTGCTCAGTGATAGGAGCGCTTTCTGCAGACCGTTGAGTTTCAGAGGAAGTGACCGGCGTTATTTCATCTTCTAATGATTGCGTCCCGGGCATGCTTTTGCGGCTCACATCACCAGTGTATTCGGAAACCACACCGCGAGAGTTGGCATATGTACTATACCCTCTATCTTGAGTGACTTGCGCCTCGGTCAAAGGCAGGATCCATGGCGTTGCCTGAGTCGAGAAAATGGGTGCTTTTCTGGAATTCAGAGAGAGCGGCCGCCATTTGCTCTTCCTGGGCTGAGCCAGAGGAGCAGTTTTCCGAGAGGAGCGAATGGTCCCTTTCCTTCGCTTGGGCCGTACCAATGAAGAGCCAAGATCCGTAGGAACCGACTGATCAACTTGTCGCGAACTATACTCGTCTTGAAGATTGTCCCATTGAGTTGGCGTAAGCTTGCGAACAGAGTTGGCGAGATAGCCATCCTGAAGTTCTCGAGCCATGCGTCCGACCCATTCGTTGAAACGATCGCTGGACTGGCTCAACGGCTCAAGGACCTCAAATTTTCCGGCAAGATAGCCTGATGAATGGTTTGACCGCAGACTGCGTTCCTTCACCAGACGTAACCAGTTCACATACTTGAACTCAAGATAATCTGCTCGGAACTCGTTGCGATATGTTGCATATTGGGAAGACCACACTCGAAGTGCACGAGAAACTGTGACGGATGTATTTCGCGGTAGCCAAGTCCACAACGTCCCACAGTCGCCATTCAGACTGCGTCGGAGGTAATGAACCTCACCATGGAGACGCCATGACAATACGTCAGCAAACTCCATTGGGGCAACTACATCCAGCTGGCGCCAGTAGATATTAAGAAGAGGGTCATATGCTGGTGGGACATGACGAGGATCAAGCGCAGGGTATGTCTTGCGAAGCTGCGACCGTATTACTTCATCATCCGCTTCCAAAATATGGTATGAGCCCTGAAAGATGGAGGAAATGGTTTTCGAAAAGTTATTTGAGGTGTTTTTTGCGAGGTCGTTTAATGTCCATGTTTGCATGCGGCTGAAACCAAGAGCAGCAACTTGTCGATCGCGCCACAATGCACGATAATGGTGGGATTTTGTTCGCATAAGGTCGTCCGCGACTGCAAAGGTTTTTTGGAACCTGCCAAATCGCAGCCTGGCATCAGTGGTAAGCTCTTCTGTTTGGCTGAGCTCGCCACAAAGGTACATGATGTGAGCAAAGCCATCGAACGCCCGAAGAAATTTCTGCCGCATTACGGCATAACTAACGCGTGTCTGCTCCACTGGGGCAATGATGCGATCTATTAGATAGCGCCCAATTTTGCGGGGTTTCAAGTATTCATTGTAGATCGTTTCCTGCAATGAGCGGATGTAAAGCCCGGAGATTTCGACTCGAGGGGCTAGTAGTGTTCTTTCAGAAGCAAGGATTTGGCGTCTCCAGATATGACTCGACACAGCAGCTGCACGGAGCTCGCGTCTCCAATGTTGTATTGGCTCGAAAACAATGGTGCAGAATTCATGATCGATTCTGGCATTTTCTTTTCGCGATTCTGAGACCGAAGATACAAGGTGATCCAGTCCTATGATGGAAGACGAGAGAGCCTTGACTTGGCCAATGTAAATGCGTGTGATGTTTCCCGCTTCAGAGACTTGACGTGTTATTAGCGAGACCTCAGCGGTGAGTCTCTCCAGAATAGAACAAGATAATGCCTCAAGCTCGGCCTCAAGCTCTTTTGTGACGTTGTTTGCCTCAGAAACCCTTTGGTTGTTTATCGCGACAACGGCGCCCCAGCGCTGTCTTAAAGAATTTGCCAAGTCGTCAAACTCAGACACATAAGCTTGAGTGATGCTATTAGCCTCAAGGACTAAGTTCGTCATTTGCGAGATAATGTCATCGATTTGCTTGTTGAACAAAGATGTGAGGGCCTGAGATTCACCCTCGCAGCTCTGCACAATTGCTGCAAATTCCGAAATGATATCATCCAGGTGTTTGTACTTCAATTGAATATACGTCTCGAGATGTACCGCAAACGAAGGCATATTTTGAAGTGCTGTTTCTATCTCTATCACCTCCTCAGCCAACATCTTTGTCTTCATCCTCGACCGGAGCATGGCGCCCACGTTTCGATGCGCATCTGTCCCGGAACGAGGAGATTGGGTGGAGCCAATGGAGCTGGCTGCCTTGACGCTTGGAGCAGCTTGAGCAGAACGTGTCCTGTTCACAGGAATAGGTGGTTGGCCGCGTCGGATCGGTTGAGGCCGGTTGCCGGGAAGACCGTTGCGATTAACGGGTGTCGGAGCGGGCTCATCGTCGTCATCCCACATGCCTCTCTGGTAGGAAGTATTGCAGAATTTCCGATGCAGCGGCAGAGCCGCAACACGAGAATGAGCAGCGCATGGTCCATGTGGAGATTGTGGTCGAGAATTGGTCGTACGGGCATCACTGAGGTTAGGTCAGTAGACTGCAGCTGAGATCGTGGAATGAAAAAGGAAACTAACCACCGCTGGACAAATCTCACTTGAAACGACCCCACTGACAAAGGCCTAGTCGCATGGCCGCCGAGCTTCGAAGTTGGAGACCGGGTCCTCCCACTTGAAAGATTTGGCCGCACTCGCATCCTGATCGGCAAGCATAATGGACCACCATAAGATACTGCGTATGAGCGAGCAACCTTGGCAGCTTATGGTATTGAAAGTATCACTGCATTTATATGCGTGCTGCTCAGCAGCAAGTAACAGTCTGAACTTGCGAATCGAAGACGGTGTTGGCGGTCACGACGCGGAGCTCCACACGCAAAGCAACTTTCGAGAGGGTCTAAGCCTAATACGGCCTAGTGCATCGGAACGGAACATCTACGGAGTGACAAACGATTCACGTCCTTTTCTATATCAATCTTGCCTACGCGGTGAAGCTGATCGTTTTCGAGTTTGAAATCAAGAATAATCGAGCAATTTTATCAATTTGACTTGCTTGTCTTCGCACCATGGCCTCTCAGCTCCTCCCCCTCGGTGCGTGGCCTAGTACCCCAAATGACCCAACCCCCACTAACACGTCCGATAGAGCTCATTGATAAGTGTGTCGGCTCCCGAATTTGGGTGGTCATGAAGGGTGACAAAGGTCGGTGGCAATCCGAAGCTTTCAGGATTTGATTCATTTGTATGCTGACCCTCGTGAAGAATTCTCCGGCACTTTGCTCGGTTTCGATGACTACGTCAGTGAGTATCCCTCTGCGAGCACCAGCAGCTTGAACAACACTAACTTTGTATCTAGACATGGTTTTGGAAGATGTGACTGAATTGTATGTGACTTGATCTTGAATTCTTTGGCTTTTGCACAGTGCCATGTCCACTTGTGGGAGTTGTTTCATTGCATCCAATCCACATAAAAGCAGAGCGGAACTTCAAGATGCTCTCTGCTTTTGGACATGCCATGAATGGCGCATAAATCCACGCTTTGTTCTGGAACTAGACTAACCCGTTTCAGTGACTACAATGGTTCCCAGATCAAGCTCCCCAAGCTCCTGCTGAATGGAAACAACGTCTGCATGGTAGGATTGGAATCTTCGATCATTGATTTGCGACGTATACTAACCTTCATCCAGTTGATCCCTGGCGGCGAAGGCCCCGGTACAAGCTCATGATTGAGATACCCAGTTTACTTCCATGGAAAGACGATTCTGTGTATTAACGATACCAAATGCAACGAGATAGATCAAAATCGTTGAATGAATGAACTTCACGCCCATTGTGTGTCTGACCAATCGACTGGTCTCAACTGCCTGTAGAAGGAGAAGCTGGTGTCGGTAGCTGCGAAAGACCTCAGAAGTTGCTCAATACTTCCAATACACTATGGACCACATCAGCACTTCTCTGGCTGCAGCTTGACTGCAGGGAAATCACCCGTCCCCAATCGGATATCCGAAACAAGCCATGCAGGAGCTAGCTCAGGTCTCCACCGAACAGAGCCCCCTGGTCAAGATAAGGTCCCGGATGGGCATTGACCAGGCTAACCACGGATAGCCCCGGTCCCCATGCGCCATTCTCAGTCTACACACGGATATTATGAACCTTCTGCATGCTCGTCCTCCAATCCAGTTAGCGGACGGGCTGGCTGTGCATACCCATCGTCCTTCCCTGCTGATATGTGGCGCAGCGGAGCTCTAGATTACCTCATATCATCACCGGCCCGGAAAATCGATGGCTAATTTCGCTCAATTAGTCGCACTCGCTATCTTGGTCTATAAGATGCTTGCATTGGGGCCGATGCCCCACGGAAGGCGTTCAAGTCAAACCTATGCCGGCCCGGTGCTAGTGGCAGTCTGCTTCCGCATATGTACGATGAAGCCAATTTGCATGCATATGCCCATGTGGCATTATTTGATTCTTCGTCTGATATAGATATGAGAGACCCTGGCCCGATCTGTATCCCGATTTCGTAGTAGCGTGCAAGATGTGCGTGGGCTCTCAGGGCAGCGATGGGAAATTTCAAACCCCGGGCGCAAATCTTAATAATTTCACATTGTGAGATACGATATGGATCGACTCCAAATTCACTTGATATTCTGGGGTAAAGTGAGCATCGCTAGCGGCCCGTCTTCCCCAGACTCCAAGGCCAACTATGTGGAAACTGTTACCTAACGAATTCTCTCCCCCGCATTTTATATGCACTCTAAAATGAACTTTGGCTTTGTGGTACTCGCCTTAACGTCCTTCTAGTTTGGGATGGTGGTTTTGTTTTTTAGAAATCTTGGAATATGCATCTCATTCAGCCCTGAAGTGAGACAGGGGAAATACCAAGATCCTCACGGAGGTGAATGGCGAGCTCCGACTTGGCGGTGGTGATGAGCACTCGGAATCAGGTGTACAGGATTGAAGGAACATTAGGCTGCAAAGCAGACAGAAACTTCCGAGCGGGAAGTGGGGAACCCAACGTACAACTACAGTTTGGTCGGGGAGATGTAGATGTTTTCGAGAGTCATTTTGTCCGCGAAGTAAAAACCGAAGCTCGACCTTGGAACCTGAATGGCAAACTCAACGCCCCATGAAAAGACAGGTCAACAGTAAGCGACAGAGTTTTGTCAAACTGGGCGATGCCTCCGGTTTTCCCAAAACCAGGGTCAGCCGAACAGTATGCCAACCCATCCCAATGCTACCGTGGCTATCTGGTGCGGGAGCGTGGCCAGTAAGATGGCGCCACTGAGCGCCATCAAATGGAGAGGCTTTTGTGGCGGACATTCAAGCAACCTTTCACAGCTCCAGGCCGAGAGCCTTGCTTTCCTTTGTTCGCCCCCTATTGTCCGACCTGTGGGTCATGGAATTGACCTCGTCTCATGAGATCGTTATCTTGGCATTTTACAAGAACTCATTAGAAGAGATTGGTGAGTCCACAGGTGGATACAACAAAGATAGAGACGCAAGATAAGAGAGCGCGCGTTCCCACATTGGAACTGGCCCCCAAACGTGTGCCTTGCGCAGGGACATCACCCAATTGCCCAGGTGATATGAAATGCAACATCCAGAAGCGTGAACCAACTGATCCTTTCTTTGATCGGGATCCCCGAGCCCAGGGCCCATGGCAATTCTGAAAGTTTATTCGCGGACTTCAGACGCGAGGGTTGGAATCTCAGGCCTACCACAGTCCCTGGATTGAAATGACCAGCATCTTGCCTAGCGAAAATACGAGCATATTACCCAACGCACCGCGACTAAGCCAATCACTCCTATCCTATCTAATGAACACCACATGGTGGTCTTCCCAAAGCAGCGAGCCAGGCGAACGGGGTCGCTTCTCCCGTTCTTCTATGCATATTAGTGGCAGACCGCCACGAGCCACCAAACTCACACACACAAATAGGATGATTTCTTTTTTTTAAAAAAATGTCACAGCACAGAGTCTCCTTCCTAGAACGAGTGGATGTATCTAGTGGTGGCCCAGTCAGCCATATCCTGGTTCCTCTCGCCGTGCCAATACTGTACCATGGCCAGAAAGTCAATTGCGACCCAGCCTCCTTATACTCCGTAGCCACTTCAAAGCCACATGGCATTGTAGTCCCTCGTGTAGGCTCTGGTGCCACAAAACCGGATTCCGTCGGGAGCCCCAGGCAAGGAGCACAAGGCATCTTGGCCAGCAAACACCAACATGTACTCCGTATAGGGCAATGCATGGGGTGTGTAGGAGCCCCTAGAACATTCCAGTCCTTCTTTTTTTTTTGGCTTCCTTTTCTTTTAAAAAGAGGTATAGTGCTCAGCTGCAAGCCATATCTCATAGCCAAACGGAGCGAAAAGAATAAAGTCGAAAAACCAAGTGGGAAACAGCTGGAGAAGACCTTATCTCCCGAGGCAAAACCAATGGGGCAACGATTGACTATCGCGGAGTGCGGAGAGACCCTATTTGGGCCTAGCGTATCTGGGACTGCCGTCTACGGCCTGTTGAAGCTTGGCTTTTCCGTACATTTGTCTTCTCTTAGTGTCTGTATTACGTCGAGACTTACTTTAATTCTACATGGATCGAGGTACCGACTCACTCAGGATAAATCTCACACTTGAACTAAAAGCAGAATGGGAAATGCATATTCGTACACGGAGTAGGGAGTTACATGCACGAGATATGCGAGATCGTCCTTCTGACAGGCTAAATCACGCGAGAGATAAGTCCAGCAGTGGCGGTGGAGTCCCTCCCTCGCGCTAATTAACCCTCTTTTTGCCTCGAGAATACACGGGCTAAATGTACCACGTTATATTCCGTACCCAGAGTCTTGACTTTAAGGTGAGACATGGTCCTTATCTCCCGACTCTGGGGGATGTATGGAGTATGCGGCCGGTTGCAGACCGAGATGCCGCGTAAGGCAGCCTCCTGATTGGAATTAGGAATAATAACAAGCTAACCTTGGAAGCAGTCTAGATCAAAGGATCATGTACTGCGTACAGTGGAAATGTCAGACCGCGCGCCAAGGCTATCAGAAGATGCATTTGGTCCGAAGGTTCAGGTCTTAGCGCAGGATACCGTTGGATATTAATTCCCATTAACATAATTTCGATTATCTCTCAAACGTAAATCATTCGCTGATTGTCCAATTCAGGCCTGCGTTATATTTAAACCCTCGCCCTCCCCCAGTGCCCGCAGTGTTTAACTATTTCAACCTGAATTCCATTCCGGCCTGCCTTCGCTTGCCCACCCTCACCTCACCATGGAGGAAAAGAAATTCGAGGAGCATACCGTCCAGACTAGTTCTGGTTCGGACGTCCCCCCCCGCCTATGGCCACTCATCCCCGACTAAAGCCAGCTTCGGCCAGCGCATCATTGACAGCTTCAAGCGAGATCCCAACCACACTGTTTCCGGTCATGGTAACGCAGGAGCTGATGGCTCGGGATTCGATATCGAGACCGCTGCACACAACACTGCGCACTCTCCTCTGCAGCGCCGGTTAAAAGGTCGCCATTTGCAAATGATTGCTATTGGTGGCTCGATCGGTATGCATTCGCAACCCTACACACATGCTCTGGCTTTCGCTGACTTCTCACAGGTACTGGTCTTTTCGTTGGTTCGGGAACTGTTTTGGAGGCTGGTGGTCCAGCTTCTGTTTTGATTGCCTATATTTTGATCGGTTGTATGTTGTACTGCACTGTCCACGCACTGGGTGAGATGGCCGTACTCTTCCCCGTGGCTGGTTCCTTCGCCCACTACTCGACTCGTTTTGTGGATCCTGCTTGGGGTTTTGCTATGGGTTGGAACTACGCACTGCAATGGCTTGTCGTTTTGCCCTTGGAGATCGTCGCGGCGTCTATCACAGTCGATTATTGGAATCCTGGGGTGTCGAATGCGGCCTGGGTTTCCATTTTCTGGGTCATGATTGTCACCATCAACATGTTCGGCGTCCGAGGATACGGTGAAGCAGAATTCGTTTTCTCCATCATCAAGGTTACTGCTGTTATTGGTTTCATGTGAGTATCGCGCCAGGTGTATATTTGATTACTGCTGACTCGGCAATAGTATTCTCGGAATCATCATCAACTGCGGCGGTGGTCCCCAAGGTGGATACATCGGTGCCGCCTACTGGTACGACCCCGGTGCCTTCCACAATGGTTTCAAGGGTCTCTGCAGCGTGTTTGTCAACGCTGCATTCGCCTTCTCCGGAACCGAACTTGTCGGTCTCGCTGCCGCAGAAACCGCAAACCCTCGCAAGTCCCTCCCCACCGCCGTCAAGCAGGTCTTCTGGCGTATCGCCCTCTTCTACGTTGTCTCCTTGACCATTGTTGGCATGCTGGTGCGATACGATGAGCCTAGACTGGTCAGCGGATCCTCTTCGGCCGATGCCAAAGCCTCCCCCTTCGTTATCGCCATCGAGAACGCCGGTATCAAGGCCCTTCCCTCTATCATGAACGTCGTGATTATGATTGCAGTTTTGTCCGTCGGAAACTCCTCTGTGTACGGTTCTTCGCGTACCCTTGCTGCCCTCGCCGAGCAAGGTCAAGCCCCCAAGTTCCTGGCCTACATTGACCGCAAGGGTCGCCCATTGCCTGCCATCATCATCGCCTCTGCTCTGGGCTTGCTCTGCTTCCTTGCCGCCTCCGACAAGCAGACTACTGCTTTCTCATGGATGATGGCAATCTCCGGTCTGTCCTCCGTGTTGACCTGGGGCTCTGTTTGCGGTGCTCACATCCGGTTCCGCCGTGCCTGGAAAGCCCAGGGCCACACTCTGGATGAGTTGGCCTTCCAATCCCAGCCTGGTATCATTGGATCGTGGATCGGTCTTATTTTCAACATCCTTGTGTTGATTGCTCAGTTCTGGGTTGGCTTCGCCCCCGTTGGCTACAAGGATATGACCACTAATGAGTTGGTCTACAACTTCTTCTCTGTCTACCTGGCTGCCCCTGTGGTCATCGCCTTTTACATCCCATACAAATTCTGGTACAAGACCAAGGTTGTGCGCTCCATGGAGGTGGACCTGGTCACTGGTCGTCGGGAATTGGACCTCCAGCATCTGATCGAGCAAGAGCGAGCCGATCAGAAGCAATGGCCAAGGTGGAAGAAGGTATACAAGTTCTTCTGCTAAGGCATTTTAGTGATATCCATGGTTCCAACCACATATTTTTTGGGACCTACACAAATATTTCATGTCTCAATAGCGATACCATTTGATTTATTAATGGCCACGAGCCTTGAATCCATCATTGCGCTCACAACTCCGTTCTCTCCGGTAGTACTCTTTTAGATTGAATAGCCAATGCCGATCCTAATGTCGAGCCTCCAGGCTTGGCGTGGTTGTGGAGAGCGTTGAAACCAGGAACATGTTAGGGCAAATTAGGCATATGACACGTATCGCATGAAACAATTAAAACTGCGGAGGAACATTGAATATTGAAAACCAAGGTGCCTGAGTCTGGGCCTTGCAGGCTCAAATCAAGTCCAACGTACATGCATCTACCCCCTTTTGTTCGCCTTGGCCTTAAAACGTCAGGATTTGCAAAATGACGGTGTAATTTTCAATCCCAAAATAGCAGCAAAGTGTGCCCCAGTGGATTCATAGCCCAAAATTCAGTGGGGACGGCGCAGTGTACCCGAAATTGTTCACGTTCTGTGTCTCAGCCTGTACGGTAATATTACGAGCCACATGACGAGGCTTGCGATCTGGAAATCAACATCTCCAAGTCCACGTTTAACTGTCCCTCATTTCGTTTTTTGTCGCTGCTGGTACTGCCCAATCGCATCGCATCGCATCGCCTTCGGCTTCGGTATTTTCGCTCCTTTTTACCACCCTGCAGATTCCTTCCCCGGCGCTTAGCAGCCTGCGCTGTGTCTCACATTCCCAAGCGATCGTCCCTTCATCGGCCCTCTCCATATCCGCGCACCGTCATCTATCACCAATCTTAGAGATTGACTCGCTCAACACGTCAGCTGGTTTGATCTGGGTGTGATCGGTCTCACGGATTCTTCGAATAGAGCCTCGGTGGCTGGTGAACCATTCACTCCGATCGAATTTTGAGTTTCGCATTGCCTTCGCCCAACTCTCCAGTATCATCTGAACCCACGAATTTACGAAACCCGTCGGCGGCTGTTTTTTGGACTGCTCGTCTTTTGTGTCCACCTGTTACGTCTCTCCGTTCGACCGCCTGAACTAGCCAATTAGCCGCCATAATGCCCGGTTTCGCAGACTCGTTCTGGACCCCCGACTATGCTAGCGGGCTGGGGGGTACTTTATGGGAAATTGCAGCAGGGTGTGGTGGAGAACAGGCAGATCCTGACCATTGCGTCTATGCGTGCGGAGGCGGAAGAGGCATATGGACTCCGCATGGGAGACATCGCTCCAAGTGTGGATCGGATGACGGCCGTGGGATTCGGCAAGGACGATGGTGCAAGTGTCAGAAAGGTATGTCTGAGAAAACTCCGTCGCAGTGAAGTTGGGCGAAGAAGCTAACAGGCGCTCGTCACAGGCATACGAAGGAATCCGCACTGAGATGGTCGAGGCATCAAAGAACCACCAGAAAATCTCCAACAACATCCGCGAGTTAGTCGTGACACCTTTCCGACGCTGGGGCGAGCAGCATGAGATGCGTGTGCAGTATTCGCATGATCTTCTTCAGACTCGCATCAAGGAACACACCAAGCAGGCAGAGTTAGTTCGGAAGCTGCGCAGTACTTATTTCAACAAGTGTCGTGTTGTCGAGGATTTGGAGGAGGAGAACAAGCTCGCTTTCCAGGACCCCGAGACCAGCCCGAAAGTCAAGCCTACGCCGAAGATCGTTCTGCCCACCGAGGAGGAGCCAGATGAAGATCCTATTGAACTCGGCGAGCGGGTCTTCCCTCCCGATCATATCAAGAAGCTGCTCGCCCATATGCTGGATCATATCAAGCTCGGAGAGGCGAAGGTCCCTATCATCGGTACCTACCTGAACGTGTCGACCGGTGCGGACATCGCGCAATACATTCAAACCTATATGGAGGCGGAGAACCTTACCCAGGTGGAGAGAATCGGTCAGGACATGGTTGACAATGGGCTGCTTCGTTTAGTCGGAAACATGGGCAATGTCTTTGCCAACAGCTCCAAGATGAACTACCAATGGCGCCCCAAGGTTTTCCAGCTTACTGGTATCCCCGAAAAGAAGAAGCCCCTCATGCGTGTCACCTCGGTGGCATCAAGCGAGGATGGCAGTGTCAGCGAATCTCCCATCACATCTGTCTCCGAGATGCTGTCTGGCTGGAACCCTCTGAACAATCCTTATCCCAACGAAACACCCTCGGATAAGCTCCGAAGAGAGGCCCTGGAAGCCGACGAACGGTACAAGGTTGCCGTGCGCAGGCTTGACCAGATTCGCTGTCGACTGGAGGAAGAAGTCATTGCCCAGCTCAAATACATGGAGCAGTGCGAACTTGACCGTCTCAAGGCTATCAAGGCTGTTGTTCTTGACTTCTCTGGTGCGATCAGCAACGTCATTCCCAACCTGCAGAGCACGGTTGACCACATGATGTTGTATCAAGAGACAATTCAGCCTCTTGGTGATTTGAGATATTTGCTTGAGAACTACCGCACCGGTGGATTTGTGCCCAAGATCCAAGCATACGAAAATTACTATGGCTCCGTTGAAGGTAAGACGCCCTGCAACTTCCCGAAATGAATTTTACTAACTGAAATAGAACAAAACTTTGGTGTCGACCTTGAAGCTAGGGCCCGCGTCGACCGCAAACGTGTCCCAATCCTGGTCACCACTATTCTCACTTATCTCGACAACCGTAAGACTCTATATGTTTGATATTATGAGCTATCACTAACAAACCACCACAGGCTATCCTGAGCTTGAAGGCGATGAGACGCGCCGGATGATTTGGCTCACTGATGTTGACCTTGCCCGGACGCACAAGCTGCGTTATGTCCTGAATAACAGCAAAGCCGACTACAATGAACTGCTGCCCCAGTTTGAAATCCCTGTCATTGCAAGCGTTCTGAGATTGTACCTCCTTGAGTTGCCAGGTAGGCCTTCATACTGCGATCGATTTGTGGTCAAGCTAACAACATCTCACAGACTCCCTGGTTTCCTCACAAGTCTACGAAATCGTGAAAACCATCTACTCTACTACTGCCCACGAAACCACGGAGGAAGGCCGAATCAAGGTTCTGCAGAGCACCCTTGGACAGCTTCGCCTCGTGAATATTGCTACGCTTGATGCCATTATGACCCACTTCACACGCCTGATTGATTTGACCTCTGCCGACGAAGACTACATCACTTCCTTGGCACAGGCCTTCTCCCCCTGTATTCTCCGCCCTCGATTCGAGAGCAGCTTGACGATGAACGAACGCCACAGCTACCGACTGATTCGCGACCTGTTTGCCCACAAGGATGCCATCTTTGGTGAGCTCAAACGCCAATCGAGTGCTCTTGGCATCAACAGCACCGGGCACCAGTCCCGTGCACGATCCATTAGCACTGACGAAAGCAACCGACGTGCTGCCATGGAAGCCCGTCAACGAGCCATCGTCAACCGTAGCCGCGCCACCAGCCCTGCTGCCCGCCAAAGGCATCGACGCGATCGCTCCAGTGGCGCTTCTGAAATGGGCCGCTTCCCGATCAACGTCAACAGCCCATCTTCCATCGCCGACCGCAGAGCCGTTCGTGGCCCCAGTCTTGACGTGCCAACCAACGAGTCCGCACCCGCCGCCGCTGAAGTCCCTGCCATTGCCACCCAAGTTGCTGAGCCTGTGACTAACGGCTCCTCCGTCGACTCTCCCACATCGACTGCTGCCAGTATCAGCGGCTATTCCGGCTCACCTAGCCCTCCTCCCGTGTCCACCGGACACGAAACTGTCTCAGATGATTCGCCAACTCCCACCCCCACACCTGCTGTTGCATCTTCCGAGTTCGATAAGCGGAATTCAGTATCTCGCTCCTCTGTACGAATGAGTGGTCGCAAAGCAGGTCTCGGTAGCTTGTCCAGCTTCCCCACCGGCTCTGCTGTCGGCGCGGCTGGAACAGACAGCAATCGGAGCAGCATTGCTGAAAGCGAGCCTAACCGAGTCACTTTGGAAGACAAGCCCATGGACGACTAAGCGAATCTCTCCTAGAAGCGTTTTCGCGTGGGGTCGGATACACGGAGATATTTTTGTATAGAATAACGGTGGCAGTATGGATTGTCGGGACTTTGCATAGAAACACATCGCCGACATCCCTCATGTTATCCTGAATATGGCGAAGATGACCCTTGGAACTGTGTCAGCTTCAATTTCTGTTTGTTTGTGTTCTTTTCTTTTCTTTTTTTTTGAATTTTGCTCTTTTCATGCCTCTTTCGAGGCATGTATGCATACATACCCTCTCCCTTCTGTACTAAGAGGGGATTGTTTACACTTTGGTCTTTTCTTTTCTGCTTTCGCCTCTTATGTTTCTTTACGCTTCTGTCCTTGTGCGGTTATGCCCATAGTGTATGTATACTCTGCTTCTCTGCATATGAATCTCTTTCTCTGTTCTTGGGCCTACCTACCTCAACTTGTAAACCTTGGACCACTACATGAAAATGCATAGGTTGGTGCATATAGGGAATGGTGCTCAATACTACAAGGTAGATTAACGTCTCCACCGATGTTCGATTTCGGGATAACAACCACCGAGTGACCACAATTACCTGTTCACTTCGAATTTTGTTCACAATACGACTATGAACACCTAACCCAGCTTCGTACATTAGCCTGCACACTCAAAGCCTGCACCGACTCAAAACGTTTGTAACCCCGCATCCCCCAAATCAAGCACTCTAACCACCCAGCGAAGCAGGAACCAAACCACGCAGCACGCCAGAATGAGCAAATTCCAGATAATAGACTCACACATTCATCTTTTCCCAGAAAGTCATCTGAAAACCCTATCCTGGCACAGCCAAGCCAACCCACTAGGAGCGCAGCACAGCGTATCCGAATACCGACAGGCTATATCCCCCCAGGTTCGGGGCTTCATATTCCTCGAAACTGACCGAATCTCCTCCCTATCACCAAGCGACTGGAATCATGCCTTAGATGAGGTCTCTTTCCTAACGCGCATTGCACTAGGGACTCCTGTCCCGGGCGAGGGCCATAACCCAGAAGACAAACATCTCTGTTTAGGGATTGTTCCTTGGGCGCCGGTTCCCGCTGGTGCGGATGCGGTGGCGCAGTACTTAGATCTTGTACGCGAGCGCAGTGGTGATGCTTGGAAGGCTGTTAAGGGAGTGAGATATCTTGTGCAGGATAAAGCTGCGGGGACAATGGTTGAGGATGGGTTTGTGGATGCGCTGAGATATTTGAGAAGGCAGGGCATGACGTTTGATCTTGGGGTTGATGCTAGAAGTGGAGGGCTGGGGCAGTTGAGGGAGGCTGTTGAGATGATGAAGAGAGTCAATGATGAGGGTGATGGGGTGACGATTGTTATTAGTTTGTGCCTACTTCTTCTGTGCTTGAAAGTTGACTGACGGGTCGCAGATCATATGTGCAAACCTAACCTTCGGCTGGATGATGTGGATGTGCGATCGAATCCCGAGTTTTTGGAATGGAAGGATCTTATTGAAGAATTGGCTCGCGCACCGCATACATACATGAAGCTTTCCGGAGCATTCTCGGAATTGCTGCCCTTGGGAGACGAGGTTGACATTGCGAAGATAGCGGATTGTGTCAGACCATGGACTGATGTTGTGTTCGATGCTTTCGGGGCTGAGCGTGTGATGTTTGGGTCAGATTGGCCCGTTTGCAATGTTGGCGGAGGAGGCAATGATGTGTCGTGGGGGAGATGGAAGTCTGTTGTAGAGAAAGTCCTGGAGCAAAGAGGGCTGTCTGAGGACGAGAAGAGAGGTGTCTGGGGAGGTGTTGCTCTACGTGCTTATGGAATTGAGATATAGATATCGAAGCATCAAATAATTAATTTGAGACGTCCTCGATGGTCAGGTCGAAGTTATTCACGAATTCTTTGTACATCACTGTAGATTGACGAAAAGACCCCCGTCCACCAGAAGCTGCGCACCAGTCACATAAGAGCTCAGCTCCTCGCAGGCCAAGAAAACAGCCGGACCGGCCAGATCCTTAGGCTGGCCAAGCCGGCCAAGTGGGATGCGACCCTCCATGTACTCCCTCTTGACGGGATCCTTCATATCCTCCTCATTCAATTGTGTGCGAATTGTGCCAGGCAGCAGTGCATTGCAGCGAATCCCATACTTTCCAAGCGCACAGGCACACGACTGCATGAGACTTAGGACACCTGCCTTGGTGGGTGTGTAATGAGTTTGTTGGGCGCCGCCAACAAGTGCGGAGATCGAGCTCACACCGATTATGGACCCACCGGGTGGTGACTGTGTGAGGGCCATTTGGCGAGCTGCGGCTTGGGTTGCGAAAAATGCACCTGAGAGGTTGGTTGATACAGTGTGGTTTAGGAGAGAGGGCTCGAGCCTGAGATGTTAGCTTGGATTCGTAGCTTCAAGGCTCTCATGGGACTCGACTTACTCAAGGAACTCAGCAAATCGACATACGCCTGCATTGCTGACGAAGACGTCTAGTCGGCCAAAGACCTCGACGGTCTTTGCGACAAAGTTCTGGCCCGTTTCTGGCTGGGAAATGTCACCTGGTATGGTAATGAAGCGGGAGATTGCTTCGGCATCAATATCTTTCACGTCTTTGTGTAATTCTTCAATCAAAGCTGCCTCTTTCTCGCCGCCCAGGTGACTGATTGATACTTTCGCTCCATGACGGATATAGTCAAGGGCAATTGCCTATTCGGTCAGTCTTTGTTATGCTCGAGATTCCAATGGACATACCCTGCCAATGCCTGTTAGACCACCAGTGATGGCAGCAACCTTGCCTACTAATAACTGAGGGAAAGCCATTGTTGAGAATGTGAAGTGGGATGCGATTGAGTTTCACCCAAATTCTCCGATAAGACCTCGGCATTTCGCGATGATGTTAGACCGAGTGTGGGGAAAGAGAGGGGCAAGTGGCGATGTCGGGGCGGAGTTCTCTGTCAAGGAGGCTTCAATCTCCACACCAGCGAGTACGGTGTTGAGGGGCGACTTATAAAATGCTTTGAATTCTCCAGATCCTCTCCGCGAAATTCCTCAGCTGTTGCTCGGATATCACTAAGTCTCTCTCCCCGGGCCGATGAGGAGCACGGCCAACCACTTTTTCGAAAGATAACTCCAGATGGGTAATCGCGGCAAGTATGGCATTCAGCTCGGACTCTCCTGTAATCATTGTTGCATCGTTTACTCGAGACAACTTAAGGGTCGCAGTGGGACGTGCGGAAAGGGGGGATAATCGTGTGCGGGCGCCGTATTGCCGGGGAACAAGTTCCCATCGTTGCAGGACTATCTCGGGAGCGTTGCGTTTGATGGTGATGGTAATAACGAGTTGCACGGAGGAAACTTGTGTCTCAAGCCAGCTACGGGCATCAAGAGCCAGCCGCGACGCAGACTCTGAGAGGCCTACTTCCACCACAAGACTCAGACTTGCAGTTGTTGGCGCCGTAGCCCAGCAGCAGTCGGCCTCTTTTTTCCAAGCCCCAATCGTAACTGTGGTTGAGCCGAGATTCCACACGTCGTTCTCGACGCCCATTGCATGTAGCGCGCCGGAGATCAGGGAGTCGAAGGATCTGACCGTAAACTCATGTGCAGGGTTCGGCATGACTTTGGCAATCAAAATGCGAGTTTCTGAGTTGTATAAGAGCCGAACGTACTTTCTGGTTCGCGACCGATCATCACTCAGTCTGAAATATTGTTCTGCGGGGATAGATGTAAAGACGAGATACTGGTCACCAGTTTGGCCTTGGTAAAGTGCTTGACGACGGTGATCCAGGGATCTCTCCAAACTCGTTTCAGTACTGAATTGCTGTTTCTCTGACTCCTTCACCAGTAGCGCAATAGGGTCATCAGAAGGTGTGAGACACGAAGACTGAGACGCATTGCAAGTGAACTGAATGGAATCCATGGTAAATCAGAAGAAAGGTTGAGAAGTGGGAAAGAAAAGAGAAGGCAGGCAGTCAGGCATGTAAAAAAGGAAAAACAATCACCAAAGATGAAAATAAAGTGTGAAGATGTCATCACGGGTAATGGGAGACAATCCTCAGTGCCACGCTCACGCGCAGCCAAAAGACGATAGTAGTTGCTTGTGAAAAAATTCATAGATTTATTTATGAATTTGCTTAATCTGCAAGGCTCTTATCTCTATATCTTCTATTAACATCAGAATTGATCACTATGTAATAATCCGATTGGTAACGCAAGAGAGAGGCTATCATCGACTTGGTGAGAATTTAGGTATTCTTTTACTGTCTTTCTAACTCTCTTTCTGACTAGCATTGATATGTTGTCTATTTATCATATATGTGTGTAGTATGTACATGATACTCGTCATAAAAATGAAAAGCGAAGCAAAGTGGAAAACAGTAGATCAAAAAAACTCTTTAGATCTGATCGCATATATTTAGGCAGAGCCGTTGACTGCCTCTTCATTGCCGGGGGCTCGGAGAGACTTCTGAGGCGCTGGAGTGAGAATGGAAGCAGCAGGGATCAAAGGAGCAGCGGGATTTAGCTCCAGACCGAATCCGGGCTTGTCCAAAACAGAGACATCAAGATAGCCCTTGGTGGGAATGGGCTCATTCAAGAACAGGTTACCGAACACAGGCTCGACAGTGTGACCGTCAGCGGAGTTTGCCAGGTATTCCTGGAAGGGGCAGTTTGTTTGAGAGACAACATAATGGTAGGAGTAGGGACCAGAAGCATGGGGAACGACAGGCAAGTCATAGGCGGCAGCCATGGCAGAGACCTTGAGAAGCTCAGTCATTCCACCGACCCACATCACATCAGGCTGAAGGATGTCGAGGTTGCGACCCTCAATCAGCTTGCGGAAGCCATAGCGAGAGTATTCGTGTTCTCCTGTGGTGAACTTGACCGTCGGGTGGGCGCGCTTAAGAAGAGCATGGCCGTCGAAGTCATCAGGAGACAGACACTCCTCCCACCAATCAATATCGAGACCAATGGCCTCGCAACGCTTGACAAGCTGGATAGTGTAGGGGACAGTCAGAGACATGTAGCAATCCACGCGAAGCGGGAAGTCAGCCCCAACTTTCTCGCGCTGCTGACGCAAGTATTCAACGTTCTTAAGAAGACCCTCGGTGCCCTCGTCGGGTCCGTGTGGCAGTGCGACCTTGGCACCAATGAAGCCCGCAGCTTTAGCGGAGCCAGGCTGGGGACCAGTGCAGTAGAAGTCGAGCCTTGAGCGAGTCGCACCACCAATCATCTTGTAAACGGGCTCCTTGCGGATCTTACCCTGCAGATCCCACAGGGCAAGATCGATGACTGAAATCACAGCGACAGGAAGGCCCTTGCGACCGTAAAACATGGAGGCGCGATACATCTTTTCGAAGAGGTCATTGGTGTCGCGGGGATCTAGAGATATGCACATTAGAATTGAGATATGAGATGCAGCGCAACGGGGCTTCATGCATACCAGCACCGATCAGGAATCGGTTGAAATGTTGCTGGGTGAGCCAGCATGCAGGGGGACCACCAAAACCAGTGGCAAAGCCTTTGGTGCCATCGGTAGCTTCGATCTCAACACAGAATGATCCTAAAACGTTGATACCCCAGGATGTGCGTGATCCACGGAATTGTGCCCACTTGGTCATGGGGGTAGAGATGTTGCTGTCGACCAGCCAGTGGCCTCCTTTCACCTATAGAGACAATTAGCAAATACAAGGTAATTGAAGTCTATTTGCGCATACATTGTGGTAATCACCGCCAGATCCAACACCGTCAATGATGAAGGTGCGGACTTCCTTGATGCGAGGGAATTCTGTAGTTGAGCTCATGATGTATATTTCTCTACCTGTACAGAGAGGTAATGTTCAACACAGAGAAAAGAGAACACGAAGCCAAAATGGAACGCGGGGAATGGCCGTCTATAAACAAGAGGGGAATATTTGTACCGCGGGCTCGGGGTATCGCTATACCGAGCAGCGGTTAGACGGAGAATTTGGCTTGCACATGATTCTGCAGGCTTTTCTGGAGTAGTGAGATTTTCCCCAGGTTTGAGATAATCAGTGACATCGAGAGACTTCAGACAATGATTTAATGGGCTTTCAATTCCAGGTAGCATATGAGTAATGTCCGGTATTTGGCTTGGGGCTTGGACATGAGCATACATGCTCTGCAGCAACAATGTCTATATTTTGCGGATAAAATATCTTGAGAATATTTGCAAATACATTCAGCTAACTATCAAAGAACTTTTATGTCAATATTTATCAACAATATCAAGATCAATAAGACCTTTAGCCAAGTATCCTCAATAACCCAAGTTGCCCAACTCGAACCAGAAAATGGCGCAATGAAAATCACGCGGAAATTCCCAAAGTGGATAAACGCGGGGTGCCCCAGTTTCTGCCGGAGGCGTTGGCATGAACTTCGCTTCTTTTCTCTTTCCCTCGGCTGCCATTCTGTTCTTCTCGGACTATCGCCGTGTCAATCGTTTCCTTTGTTCTAGCTCCACCGGCTTATTCGGATTTCGTTGTCTCGTCTTGCATCATGCTCGGCCCCTGATAGGGCGATTCGTATCTCGCTACATCAAAATGCCGAACACTGCGCGTCCCCAGATGTCCTCCAATCAGCATCTCGGCAATGTCAGAGAACAGAGTGTTGAATATTCTTCTGCCGAGTCCGATAATGATCAAATAGGGGCCAATGGCTCGTTGAAGCGAAAACGCCCCCTCACTGTCTCGTGCGTACCTGAATCACCGTCGGGTAGCTAGTCGGCTTCGGAGTTTGAAACAACAAACTGACCCCACCTAGATGCGAGTTGTGCAAGCAAAGAAAAGTCAAGTGCGGTATGCTAAAGCTTTTTCCGGGGTAAAATTTGGAGATCTGACATGTCACTGCATAGACCGAGTCCAGCCGAGCTGTGGCTGGTGCACCCGCAATGGCCAATTATGCGAGTACAGAGAGCGAAAAAAGCCTGGTCTGAGGGCTGGATATGGCAAAGAACTAGAACAGCGTCTCGGTAAGTCAAGCTACATACTTCAATTCTCACATATCTCATCCGCGTCATAGATCGATTGGAAGACATTATCCAATCGCAAGCTCGTCTGATTGAAGTGCACATCTTGCAAAATCAATCCTCGGTGGGTCATGAAGTGCCACATATGGGAGCTCTTTCATATAGCTCTCCATCAGAGCCATCAGCTGCCCATGGCCCAAGCCCTAGTGCTGCCCTGTACTTGAATGATCATGGCTCTGCGGTCACTTTGCCATCGCGCCGTGCGGATATGTCAATGACCAGCCCATCGGATACATCCGCTAGGAATCCTTCGCAAAATCAAGTGCATCATGCTATGGCTGTCACACCAGTGGGATCACTGATACAAGCCCAAAGCTCGAATCATGATTACTCAGGGAACGAATCTTCCCTAAACGTTCCTGTGAACATTTTCTCCAACCAAGAGCAGTCGCTTGCCGACCCGGATCTTGATCTTCCGCCATACGATTTGCTCTATGCATTAGTCGATCTGTATTTTGAGCACATCAATTCCTGGTGTCCGATTTTTCACCGGCGAACAACACTAGATACGTTCTTTGGCCCAACCCCTCTAGAGGAGGCGGACAGGATGGTCCTTTATGCCATCGTGGCAACTACTCTTCGATTCTCTTCAGATGCTAGACTGAACGACCAAAACAGGAAGCGCTACCATAACTCAGCCAAGCAGAAAGTCCTCTTTTATGGCTTGGAAAATTCGTCAGTCAAAGCACTTCAAGCCCTTGTGATACTGGCACTAGATCTGGTTGGGTCATCGAATGGCCCGCCTGGATGGAAACTCCTTGCGCTGATCACACGATCTGTCGTTCAGCTGGGCCTAGCCGTTGAACCTAAGTCATCTCTCATTAATCCGCTCTATCCTTCGATTTATACGTTGAGAGCTGTCACTCTATCGGAGCCAGACTCTTGGATTGAGGACGAGAGCAGGCGACGTCTATTTTGGATGGTATATCTGCTAGATCGGTATTCTACCCTGGCTACTGCTTTCAATTTTGCCCTCGATGACAGGGACATTGACCGCAAACTCCCCTGCAAAGATGATTCCTTCATGAAAAACCAACCGGTTGAAACAAGGTGGTTCCAGTGCTCCAGCGATCGTGCAGACTATCTCAGCCATGCCGAGAATGTCGGCTCCTTCGGGCTTTATGTGGAGATCTTAGGAATTCTCTCGAGAATTCACCTATTTCTCAAAAGACCTGTGGATATCGGTGCTCTATCCGATGTTGAAGAATGGCAGGCAACCTATCGCAAGCTTGACAACGAGTTGACATCATGGGAATTCAATCTTCCCGCAGAATACGCCTACGAAAACTCATCTCGACTCTTTAGCGGGCCAAAACATGGTAGGCCTTTGCACAGTGACTGGGTGCAGCTACACGCAACATACCAGACGTGAGTATACAGAGTGTCCGCTCTTCCCTTTATCGAAAGCAACGTGCTAACTGGCGTAGGGCTGTGATCCGCCTACACTCATCAGCAGCATACCCAACAACCCGATCCCCAATATTTACACCTTCATACAGCGCGAGTCAGCGATGTCTCCTCGCCGTTGAAAACATCTTATCAGTGACACGGTTTGTCGTAGAAAACGGCATGCTAGACAAGATGGGCCCGCCCTTTGCTTTCACGCTCTGGGTCTCAGCACGTCTCCTTCTCGTCCACGGCTCAACAATCGCACATACTGTCAGCGCAGATATCATTTTCTTCGTGGACACGTTATTCCAGCTCGGAAAATACTGGAAGGTTGCAGAGCGATACAGCAACATCCTTCAGCGTGTCTTAGATGAATACAACGAATACCAACAATCCACTGCCCTCGACGGCGAGCGCTCCACGCCATCAACAGTCAAAATTCTTGCCGACATGCGTCGTTGCGCATTCGACCTGGACTTCCTTATCTCCCGCCAACCCCGAGAATCACCCGCAGACAACGGTATAGGTGATAGCCACCAGTCAGGCCCCACTCAGGGGATGCCGCGGAATTTCGCCCCCAACGAACTCGAATACCTCGACGTCTTCGGCTTCTTCAATGTCCCCCGTGTCCCTCCAGCTCGGGCACCTGAAAGTACCGCGCAACAGATGAACATCTCCGAACCAGTACCGGATCCGATGTCCATTCATGGATTGACGGCTGCGGATCCACCTTCTGGGGTTGTTGATACCAGTCACGCTAACTCAAATGAGTTCAATATCACCAATTATTTGATCCCGACACCGGAGACGGATTGGCTCTTCCGTCCATCTTGATTGCCTGTGATGGTCTCGATGTTTGAAGATCCGTGACCATTCGTCGGCCCGGGGGAATTGTCATCGAGTGTGGAGGGGCTTCGACCGAATTGTATATTATTCAGTCTTTGAGATGGCAAGATGAATTTGACTGCGTGGTGTTGGCTGTTTGGGTTTGGGAATGATTCACGATTCATATATACCTCTTTGCGTGATGATTATTTTAAGACAGGCATGTCATAAAACCAAGAGCAGGAGGCAGTCACTGCTGGCTCATTGCTCACAATCCAATTTTCCACTTCTACTGTACTTAGATGTAGTTCTGAAGCTACCTAGGACCTGCCTGCTCCCAAGATTAGGTTTTCCTAATAGTATACTATGTCAAATGATTGAGGGAGCATCCAATACTACAAGGTCTACCTTTCACATTATTTGAGTAAGCCGGATGTGAGAGACAAAAGTAAGAAAATTGATAGCTAAGTGAGAGCAAAAAAGCGAAGGACTCCTGCGAGTGCTGGACTAGAAAAGTACACCATACATAAGACAAATAGTTCGAAATCTGCACTGCAGCTCAAGACTCTCTGGGGACACCACGAACTCCTGATCAAACATTTTCATAGCCTAGTTTGGCTGCAGACGTACGAGAACCTCCTCGAGGAACGCGTCGAGAACAGCATCAACACCACCACCCATGTCGATGGAGTCCTCCATGTCCCATCGCTGAAGGTTGCTGAAGGAGCGAGCAATGTCTTCGGCGACCTGCTCCATGCCGCGGTGGACGCGAACACTGCGGTCAAAAATCTGCTCTTCTTCGGCAGTTGCGGGGGGGCTCGTTTGGGTTACGGCCGGGCTCGAGGCGGATGAGGTGGTTGCGGCGGCGGTCCATGGCCGCGCGGAGAGCGGGGAGGATCACGGAGCCGCAGGCCGTGGCGCGATCATCGGGGAGAGGGCGAGGGGATTTCTCGGATGGGGTTGGAGGGGCGGGGCGGTTGGGAGTACGGTCCTCCATGTTTGATGGTGCTCGCTTGGATTTCAGGCCTGAGACTGGCTTGATGTTTTGTAGAGGCTCCGTTTGTCTTGGGAGGCCTGGTTGAGGGAGTCTGGGAGACTGCTGTGGCTGCGGCACTGGTCCTTGGGAATCGATAGTGCGCGAGAGAGGAGCTGGCTTCCGGATGGCTTGAGCGGAAGGAGTGCGGTGAAGCTCTTGAGAGCCGGTGAATGATGGTTTGGCTGAGATGCCGTGGTTGCCGGCTGCAGGGCTCGGCTTTGGCGAAGAGGGCTTGTCAATACGGTTGCTGTACTTCAAAGCAGCCTGTGCGTATTGTTCGTTGAGGCCTAGCGCGGGAGGGCTGTCCTCTGCGGGTCTACTGGGCTTGGGTGTCACGACTTTGCGCGGAGGAAGGGCAGTCTGAGAGGGTCTCTGCTTGAGAGGTGAAGAGGGAGCAGAGGGAGGAAGAGGGGTTTTTGTGGGAGATGCATGGAAAGGAGAGGGAGCAGCGCTGGGTTGAGCTGTTTGTTGTGGGCGGGATGTAGCCTGACCTTGCGCGGGAGTCTCGTCGCAAAGATCCCACTCCTCTGTTTCATTAATACGTGCGTTTGGTTCAGGTTCTTTCATTGGACGTAATGGCGGTGCCGGCCCCTTCCCTACAGGACGGACAGTGCCGAAGTCCCAGAGATCTTCTTTTTCTTGGGTCCGATCTTGTACAGTTTGATCAGGCTGGGCATCATACCCCTCGTATTCATCGTCGTCATCCTGACCTTGGTGAGTGATTTGCCAGCGCTCTGCACGTTCGATGAGTTCTGTCAGGTATGTTGTCCTTTTAGCACGCTTCACAAACGGATGTTCGAGAAGCTCCTTAGCCGAAGGACGCTCCTTGGGGTCCCGGCGCAGGCAAAGTTCCACAAACTGCTTGAAAGGCTTGCTAAAGTCGCCGTTCAAGGTAGGAGGAGGGTTCTTAGGAATCAAGAACAGCACTTTCATCGGGTGGATATCAGCATACGGAGGGTCACCACAAGCCAGCTCAATCGCCGTGATTCCCAGAGACCAGATGTCGGCCTTGTAATCGTAACCAGATTGCTTGATAACCTCTGGTGCCATCCAGAATGGAGTACCCACAAAGGTGTTCTTCTTGGTCATCGTGGCTGACAGCTGCCCAGATACACCAAAGTCAGCCAGCTTGACTTGACCACTGGCACTGAGCAGAACATTCGCCGCTGCAAGTAGCCATGTTAGCTGCCATGATGCCTGCTATGCATTGCCATGCCAAAACATACCTTTGATATCTCGGTGCAGTTTCTTGTCGGTATGGAGATAATCCAGACCGCGGAGAAGCTCCCTCAGAATGATGGCGATGTATTCTTCATGGATCACACCTGGCCGCAGCAGACCATGGCAACTGCCGCCCGAACAGAATTCCATGATGATCCACAGGTTGGATCCCTTCAAGTAAGAGCCATGATATTTGGTGACATAGGGGGATTTCAACTCGGACAATATGGCGATTTCCCTGATGATATCATCGACATCATCCTCCGCATTTTCAACATCGATGACCTTGATGGCCACGGATTCACCGGTGCGTCTATCCACACTGCAATTGATCAACCAAGTCAGTGATTTGGGCCAAGCCAGACATGAGGTCCTCGACTTACCCTTTAAACACCTTACCGAAACTACCGCCACCTGAGGAGAAGCCAAGCTGGTCAGCCACCGGACTCATCTCGCCGCCACATGGTTTCAGGCACGAAACTTACCGATGCATGTTTGCTTGGTGTAGATCGTCTCCGGGTCAATTGGAGCCGGCATGTTGACGATCTATCTCCGCCCAAAGGCGCGAAGCATAAACCACGTGAAAGAAGAAGATACTTGGTTCTGGTCACAGTGGCCACTTATCAGAAGAATGAGGAGACATCACAGGGATGATACTAACATGAGAGGAATGCGCGGAAGCGTGAGATGGTGAGAATGATCTGCGCAATACGGATCACCGCAGCGACTGAGATACCCGCAATATGTTGAATGATCCGAACCGATCTGATTCAACCAAGAGACAGTCCCAAAGGTGGAAAGAAGGGATGTGGGGAGACGATAAGACCGCAATCCTTGGAAACAGGCGTGGACGGGTCCGTAAGAGGGTCCGGGCCTTGTGTACCGCGGAAACGAATGGAGACGCTTGGCTTCCCGTCTCTAACGTTAACACCGTTTGTTTTACGCTGGTGACTCCCGGGGTTCATGCGCAATGGGGATTAAAGCAGTCTCGACAGAAGTACCCTTGTTTATCGACGCGGGGGGTGCATTTTGCCGGCGCTTATCTGAGGGCGGTGTGTTACTATACCTTCAAATACTCATCTTGGGGTTGAAGGAGCCCATAACTTTGATTTTGGGGTGGGTATTAGCTACAAGGAGTAACAAGCTGCTCGACCTTGCTCTATACTTCGTGTTCGGAAAGGAAGGTGCACACTCAAGACGACCCCAGCGTATTGAGACGGAAGAGGCAGCATGCTCCCTGGACCATGAGTATTTTTTTTGGAACATGTGAAAAATCACAATCGATCTAGGAAGATACTTCACGGGGGAAAAAAGTACGAACAATCATATTTGGTACACGTGGTCAAAGAAGATAGGTGACGACTTTGATCCCCAAGGCTCCTACTGATGGGATGGTTAGATATCGAACTTCAGATCAAAGACTTTACTCGGCAAACGAACGTGGCAGATATGGATATCGTGATTCATTGCATACGTCACAGGCAAGATTCTGTGTTCTATGTGTAGACTCACATCTAGGTCTTGGAGTTGGAAAACTATGGAGCTGACTAGATTGACTGCCTCTTTCCGTAATGATAAAACCTGCCTGGGGATAAAGGTGAGACCCCATAGGATCTAATGCATTCCCATTAACGCCTGGTAGGAAACACGCAAACAAGGGCCTAATGGATATGGGATCAAAAGAATGGTCTACTCTTCCAAATAGCCAATCATCACCGTGCCGTTCTTGAGGCCAGCGTCTTGAATGCTGGTGGAGAGTTGATCAATCAGATTGCGTCCCATGCTGTTGAGATCGAATTCCACGCCAAGCTTGTCCTCCACAGGATGGTCGGATTTGAGCCATTCGTAAATCCGTTGAACGGGATCAGACAAGGCGAACCGTCGAATCACGCGGCCTGAGGGGTGTCGGAATTGAATGCGAGTTGTAGTGGCAGGATCCGCTTCGGGTTCCTGATGGGGCTTGTCGGAGGGAATAGACGCAAATGGAGAGGCGGCGACTGGCTCTGGATCATCCATGCTTACATCTTGCTCAGCAGCCCGGCGCTTCCCCTTGACATCCTCCGTGCTGCGAGTGAGGTCATCTGGGTCTTGAACTGCCGCGCCAGATTCGCCAGCTCCGCCCAGGCTGTTGCGCATAGCCATTTCCATCATTTCTTCCTCTGTCATGGCATCGATGGTCTTTTCCTTCTTCTCCGATTTCCGTTTCGCCACAGGGTTGCGCACGTTGTGATTCAAGCTATAGCGATCGAGGAATTCATGCAGCTGCATGAGAAAGTCGGCTGGCTTGACCAGTGGTGGTCCAGACCAGATTTTCATTTGTTCACCAGTTCGGGGATCGACGATGGCAATGTGAGGATAGTTATCGGAAACGTCGCTTCCTTGGAAGTAATACTGGATGTATGAAGATGCACGTGGGTCATCCTTGGAGTATTGGAGGAAGATAAAGTTCTCCTTGACGGTGTCTTGCACGCTAGTGTCTTTCCAAAGATCCCGGTTGAGCACTTGGCAGTCAAATACTGAGGCATCTTGCACATTAATCAGGAGCCATTTCTCGTTGTCCTTTCCTTCGTCGCGAGCTGCATCCCATGGTAGGCGGGACATGATTTCGAAGGGTGGGCGGTACATCTCGGCGAGCATATTGGACTTGGACGAGGCATCTGAAGCGCCTCCGGTGGCAGCGGAAAGCTCTTCGCGGCGCCCGTCATCGCCGCCTGTCCATATCGAAGACGATTCCCGCTGGTTGAAGATTCCAGCTCTGCCTAAGATACTTTATGAGCTGGAGTGTCAGTGGTCTTGGGTTATAGTTACTCACCTGCTCTTTGCCGAGCTCGGAGTTGACTTAGAATGTTGGTGTGCATGTCATCGCCATCATCATCATAATCCGCACCGGGCCCCACCAAAGTCTCCGTTGTGCGAGCCATAGGCGCTCTCACTTCATCCTCATTATCCGGGCCGCCATACATCTCCTCTTGAAGGCGCCGGGCCATGGCCTCATCATCATTGAAAGCGGGCGCAGCGGAGCGTTGTGGGGTATCATCATCCGTGTCCGAGTCAATGTTCACCACCTCCGCGTTGCCAGCGGTTCCGGATCCATGATGCTGAGAGGATTCACTTGTCAAGGGCGCTCCTCCATTCTCGAAAAAAAGCTGCATACCCTGCTCGATGTTGAAATCCGTGATTTGCAGGTATTGTGTGGCAAGCTCCGGCGTGGAGCCGGTGATTTCAGTAAACTGAGCTACCACGTCGGTGTCCATGGTGGGAATAGTATTGATCAAATATGGTGGTTGGAAGGAATGGACGTTAATAGAGGTCGGAAAATGAATGGAATCGAGAACTCTCAGTGACGCTTGAGAAATGATAAGAATTTGGAGACTGTGCTATGAGGGGACCGAGCCAATGTGGTGCAAACTGCTGCAAACACGAGGATCAACGCCAGTCAATATAAGGAACAGCGACAAGCGACTAGACCAAGAGCAATCACAGCCTAAAATGAAAGTCGACCTTCACAAGCTGAAATGGTTCCGTCATCTCGAAACGCTGACTTCACTTCGAGTTGATCATTGACACCTTAGGCGTCAAGTGACGCAGATGACTAAAGTTACACGTATGGTGGGTATGCGTGCCCGTAATACGCGCGACGCGTCGCGAACTAATTACACTTCCTAAATGGGCCACCAAAGGCTCTTTCCTGACATTCCTCCAACACCAGTCGAAGCTGCCTCTGAACGTGATCTTTTAGTCTACAGTTATGGCAGGAACAGTCTTAGGAAAGCGCAGCCGCGTGGAATCCGAAAGTGAGTCCATCCCACCTTCCCCTCCTGTCTCTTGCTGACCTTCTTTCCAGGCTTGCCGGTACGGACTGCAAGCAAGCGGCGGACGATTGCGCCCCGAGCGAAGAAGGAAAAGGAAGCCGCGCCTGTTACCTTGCGGCGGACAAGGTCTACTGTGCAAAAAGCGCGTGAACAATCCCAACCCGATCAAGAAAATGGCGACAAGAAAGATCTACCGGAGGAGACGGAAGATGCGGAGAAGGTTACTTCCAAGCATACTTTGCGCGAAGAGCAATTCAAGTCCCCGGTGAAAATCGACTCGCATTTCCGCGCCTCAAAACAAATTGAGGGCGAGTCGGAAAAGCTGAAGGATGTGACGGGAGGCGCGGAGGATATCAAACCAATCGAGTTCAAGACACCCTCGAAATCGCGATTCCGAAATGATTTACCGCAGTCGCCCATCACCCCCAGGCACCGAGTTCAGGTTGGCGCAAAAGCGATAACCCCACGTACCCCCCGCCACGCAGATCTTCCTCCGACCCCTCGCCAGAGTGCGACACCCACCATTACAAACTCAGTTTACTCGCAAGCTAGACAGTTGTTCGCCCGCGGCGCCAGCTCAGGTCGGCTGGTTGGGCGAGATGCGGAGCGTGAGAAGCTAGTCTCTTTCCTGACGGATGGTGTCGAGTCTCGGAATGGAGGGTGTCTGTACATTAGCGGACCCCCTGGAACAGGCAAGAGTGCCATGGTCCAAGAAGTATGCAAGGATCTCGACCTCTCTACGGTGAGGGTCTCACATGTGAACTGTGCAAGCATGCGAGTAGCCCGTGATGTCTACAGCAGACTCGTCCAGGATTTCGATGCAGATATGGACGTGTTCAAGAAAAGTGAAGCCGATCACTTGAAGGCCATGTTTGTTCCGTCTACAAAGGCCGAGGACCTATTTTTGGTAACATTAGATGAGATTGATCATCTATTGAACGGTGATTCCGGAGTCTTGCAGTCATTGTTCGAGTGGTCACTACAGAGCAAGTCCAAGCTGATGCTGATTGGCATTGCTAATGCTCTTGATTTGACCGATCGATCCCTGCCACAGCTCAAGGCAAAGAACCTGAAGCCCCGTCTTTTGCCTTTCTTGCCTTACAGTGCTGCCTCTATCGCGGATGTGATGACCAACCGTCTTCGGTCGCTGCTCCCCGCTGGCGCAGAGGCTGACCCGAAACTTGTGCCCTTCGTTCAGCCAGCCGCCATTCAACTTTGCTCCAAGAAGGTTGCCTCGCAAACAGGCGATCTGCGCAAGGCATTTGAGTTGATCAAGCGAGCAATCGATGTCATCGAGCAGGAGACCTGGCAGAAGCTTGAGAAGCAAGCCAACGAGAACGGAGCAATTCTCGGTGAGAACGCCAACCTTTCTTCGCCTACCAAAGGAGCCGGCATCCCCAAGCCTAAGTCCATGGCCAGCTACACGGTCATTACTGCGCCACGGGCCAGTATCGCACATATTGCCCGCATCACCTCCGCAGCTTTCGGCCAAGGCACTGTTCAAAGACTGCAAAGTCTCAATCTTCAGCAAAAGGCTGCGATCTGTGCGCTGATTGCTCTCGAACGCAAGCGTCGTCATTTGGAAGTCCCAAGCACTCCTTCCAAGTCGCGCGCTTCGGCACCCACTATCAAACAAGCATTTGATACATACTGTGCTCTCTGTCGCAACGATAACATCCTCCACCCTTTGACTGCCACTGAGTTCAAGGATGTTTTGAGCAATCTCGAGACGATGGGTCTGGTTGGAGAGTACCAGGGCCGTGGCCGAGGTGGAACGGTTGCAGGTGGCTCAGATCTACGCCGCACACCTTCCAAGTCCGGCAACGCACCTGGTACGCCACATAAGGCACTTGATGAACAGGGTCTTCTCTGCTTTGTTTCCCAGCAAGAAATCGAGAGCCAGATTGCTGGTCCCGGTGAGGGAATTCTTCGACGTCTTCTACGAGGTGAGGGACTTTGATCACTTCTCCTAACTGAAATCATTCATGTCTCCATGCTTTCATTTCCTGCATTTGCCGCTGCATCATGGAGTCCCAACTTGCATTATCATCATGTACAACATCTTTAGCCTGTTTTTTTTTTTTTTTTTTGGCCTTCGTTTGGAGTTGGATATATCCTTGCCTCATCATTTTTAGCGTGTCGTGATTCATGATTTTCCCCTTTCTTCCATTTGCCAGTCATTGTTTTTTCTCATTTGTCTTCCCTTTGTTGACTCTGAAGTCATGATCCAATGTATAACAAAAAGACAATACCAAAAAAAGAAATAAAACTTGATCAAAATTGATACCGAAGTGATACCGAACTGTAGTCTCGGCTTTTTTGCCCTATGGGAGGACCTCGTGCAGCTCTAGCGCAAAGTGTACCTATCAGAATACCTAATTATCTAACTACTACGGAGTACTCCGTATACCTTCTTCCATGCAATGGTTCCGAAGCAAGCCTCTCAACGGCGGGCTGATCTTAACGATGCAAGATCCCAAAAGCCCAACACCAACAAGCCATATCCGATAGATATTCGCAAAGTCCCCAAACAAAAGTCGAATTTCATACCCTAATAGACATGAGTAGTTCCAAGGTTGTCAGGGCACTTGGAATGTCCAGAGTGGATGTGGTCCGTGCGGACTCTGTTCTCCAGTTCTCCCTTCGCACTTGGACTACAAGGAACCTCGGGATAGGTTTCAGAATCTCGGATTATATCTGATTTCATTTGGTTTCTATCAACGGAATTCTTTCCACATGTCTAGTTGAGATAGAGGGTCTTGCCAGCCCCGCATCGGCCTATCACACCATCATCCATTCATCTGAGCATCAGCCTTGATAGTGCTCTCGCCATCTCGATAATCTACTACTCATATTCAGCATCCTCTGACCCCTCTCTTGGGATACTGACCGTGCTATTTATTCTGCCTTCTAGCACTCAATCTCCAAACCATTTGGATCACTTCGAATTCAAGCATCGCGGGCTGTCTAGTCCCGGTCTCCGACCTGCACCGCAGCTTCTATCATATCCCCAGCATATCTCACCCAGGATGACCGCAGTCCGCACCAAGCTTGCCACCTGGATATGGGGTCCAGATTCCAAAGATCGTGCTCTATTATCGATACTAGATGTGACTCTACTTCCCTATTTCTCACTAATATGGTTCTTGTTCGGAGTCACCCGAGCAAGTTACTCCTCTGCATATATCAGCGGCATGAAAGAGGACCTCGGATTTCAGGGCAAACAGTATAACTACATGAGCACTGCATATCTGGTTGTTTATGCAGTGTGTCAGATGCCCGGAACCAGTCTTCTTACAATATATAGGCCCAAATATGTCTTTGTCGCGGCCAATGTCACTTGGAGTGTGTTGACCTTGATCACGTATAAAATGACACATGCCTGGCAGGTTATTCTGTTAAATGCGATAGAAGGAGGTTTTTCGGCTATTGCATAGTACGCGCCTCCTGCAATGACCCAAGAAGAAGATGCTGACAAGGCGCAGCGTGGGAGCTCACTTTATTCTCGGATCTTGGTATAAGAGATCCGAACTTGGCATTCGTGCTGCTGTGTTCTGTGTTTTTGGACATATCGGGACCATGGCCGGCGGCTGGATCCAAGCCGGTTTGTTGGCGACGTTGGCGGGCAAGGGTGGTCTTCCTGCTTGGAAATGGATATTCATCATCGTGTCCGTGATGACGGTTCCGGTTGCGCTATTCGGTTAGTTTCTCTGCCATGCAATGTTTGACGAAGCAAAGGCAGCTACTAATGGCGGTAATATTTAGGCTGGATATTCATTCCCGACCTCCCAGTCCATCGCGCGGCATGGTTCCTCAACGACGAACAGAAAGAGCATGCAGTGGCGCGGCTTGGTGCTCTGCGCAAACAGTCCTGGGACGTCACGGTCTTCAGACGAGTGCTACTGAGTTGGCAATTCTGGCTTTTGCCATTCATCTTCATGCGCAAGTATTCCTCTTGATCCTACATTAGACGCGCTCTAACTATTCGGCAGTATACTCTCTTTGTGTGCAGATGCTTTCGAACAATGTCATGGCTTATTGGATGGCATCCCGCGGCTACACGGTGATTCAACAAAACAATTATCCCACCGGCATCTACGCAACTGCCATAGTAGGTACCATTGTCTATGCAGTCATTTCTGACAAGCTACAATCTCGATGGGAAGTTTCCATCGCCATTGGTCTCACCTTCGTGATTGGATCTTCAATCCTCGTGTCAAGTCCGTCCACGAATGCAGGCTACTTCGTCGCATTCTATCTACTGGGAACCACCTACGCACCTCAAGCGGTTTGGTACTCATGGATGGCAGATGTCACTGGACATGACTTCCAACTACGCGCCATCACGACTGGATTCATGAATTCCTTCGATTTTGCTTTCGTTACTTGGTGGCCCCTGATCTTCTACCCTGCTACCGCTGCACCTAATTTCCACAAGGGGTATGTTGCAAGTCTGGTGACTGGGGCTTTGACACTTCCATTGGTTGGTTTGATTGCGTATCTTGAGAAAAGAGATCGATCCCGGGGTGTCATTGGGAGGATTGAGGATGAGTCGATAAGTGGCGAGGAGGAGTATTTGCGAGACGATTCGAGGAAGCCGGTTGGTAGCCCTGCCAAGGTGCGGGCAACGGAGATAAACGTGTAAATGAACATGTCTGCATAGAGATTTGAACGGCACCACAGATATGAGCGGAAAGAGATTTACGTTTTTGTTTGTTAGACCCAGATAAATAAGATAGATTGAAATATGGCAAACCTTGGAAGGGTGAAATAGCACTGGTATGTCTGGGGTCCTGGAAAACGTGAAAGAAGTGATAGGTACTTGGAAGAAGGTTGGAACACATGAAATTGTGTACACGGACAGAGCTTGGGGAAAGCAAAACCTACGGTCAACTATATTCAGACAAGCCCACGCGGCAGAAGAATACATTCAGAATACATAAGGGCATAGGTTGAGGTTCGCTGGTAAATCAACATGCAATCATCAAAATAAAACAGGGCATCATCTCTTCAGTGAGAAGTTCATATGTTTGCTAGAGGAACTTGCTCGTTTTTCAAATGCTCAAGGTCAAGATCTGAGGCCTCGCCCCAGACAAACTTGCCAAAGGTCAACAGAGCTTGGAAGATTTCCTTGCCCGTCGGCACAATGTGCTCCGCGGGCAAGAGGAAGCCATAGCTGCCTCGGTCACGAAGTTTGATCTGGTACGAGAATCTGGCGTGGATCTTGTGGTAGAACCAATCCAAGGCACTGCCACCCGAGGTGACCCCCGCAGTCCCAGTTGCAAGGATCCCTTCGCACGCTGAGGTCACATCGTAGGATTCGTGTGATGTCTGGCGGATCGACTTCGCCAGCCCCAACGCGAGTTCTTCCAGACTCTCCAGGGTAGGAGGTACAGACGAACAGGTGTAGGAGTACGGGTACAAGATTTGTTGAGAATAGGAGTGAAGGTCCAAGAAGCCTACGATATCGGCGCGGCCATGTGCGGTCTCATTCATAGCCCACTGCGCCAAGCGCTGGGATTCAATGGCCTCAAATGGCTCCGCGCCTGCATAGTTCTCGGAGCAAGGATTTGAGCGAGTCGACTCACCATCCCACTCGTAATCCCAATTCCGATCCAGGTCAACACCAGGACAGATGGGAAGACCCGTTGGCTGACGATTCTTGCGCCAAAGGCGGTCGGATTCCCATGAGTAGACGTATCCGTCTGGATTCAGAGTCGGGATCAAAACCCAATCGTACTCTTGTAGCAGCCGCGTCACTGCGGGTGAGTAGCCATAATGTGTGATCAGACTGTACGCTACGTATGTCACGGTCGATGTGCTGATCCATTCTCTGGCATGGCTTCCACCTACAATGACGATTGTCTTGCGGGGTTCCGAGGCGGGCGACTCTGCAGAAGGGGCGCCGAGTCGCAATGCTGGGATATTGCGACCCTCGTATGAGAGACCAATATTAGTCAGGCGTACATGTGAGGAGAACATTGACGCCATCAGTCGCATCCATTGCGAAATGACAGACAGTGGTTGGTACTCCTGGAAGAAGAGATCACCAATTGCCGCCGTCTTCTGTCCACCCAGCACTGCACCCTCTCCAAAGTCAGGATTCTCGTGTTGACGGGAAGGGTAGGAAGCGTAGATCTTATCGGCGAGATTATCCATAAGAGGGGTGTAAGAGCTGCGGAGGGTGAGAGGGAGAAGGTCAAGCAGGGAAGGGATCTAGAAGGGAGTTAGCGACGTTATCATCGATACCAGAATCTCTCTCTCTCTCAGCGTACCATTTCTTCCGCCAGTCTGATATCCACGAATTCCGAAGTGATGGCCCAGATATCCAGAAACAGCACCTGGGAGGCAGACGATAATGCGACTGCCTCATCCGGTTGACGCAAGTGGAAACGGAGGACGACATCGCTGCCATAGCGATGATGAATATTGGAGGGAGGGGAGGAATATTTCGAACAGGTGCGATCAAGGTTCCATATTGAACCGATGACCCAGTCGCGGAGTCTAGTCCATGGGCGACGTGGGTCGGACTGGAGGTGGATGGACTGTAGAGGCGGTGGGGTGATGCTTGAACCGGCGGGGACAGCGGAGATCAGAGGAAGAAAGGCCGACACGACCAGAACTGGGAGAAGACGCATTTGTGCTCAAAGTTGAGGGTCACTGCAGGGAGAGACGAAGAGGGGAAGTGCAGAGAGATAGGAGGTTAAGCCATATCGATGACTTGCAGAGGGGATTGGCGAATCAAAGCAGAGTAGATGAGATAGAGTACGAAGTATGGAGTATGGGTAATAGAGTACAGAGTACTACTGGGTTCAAAAGTTCAATAGTTAAGAGAGTATGGATCAAAAGTACCAACTTTGGAAGTGGGCGTTACCTCGGCAGGGGAGAGAGATGAGAGGCGAAGAGTTGGAGAAGTAACACCCTCGTCGATAACGTCACAGCGGCCATGTCCCACTGGCTGTTTACTTTTTGTATACAGTATCATCTTGGAATCTCTGGAATTGGTATATTTTGTACTAAAGATAGGTTGTATCATGTATTCTGTATTTTTTAATATATTAATATCCTACATACAACCTGTTCTAGACGATTTTATACTATTACATTCCATCACCTCCCATGTCGGACCCTGTTTTTTAGTAGCCAAAAGCGTCCAGGGTACTTTGGTTTAGCTCTGTTTCTGTTAAGACCTTATTCCTGGTCTTTTTTCTTTCTAAAATGTGGACGCTACCAGGTCCTTGAAAACCCGTCTGCCTTGCCCCTCTCTATTTTCGATATTCACGGAAGCATTCCTTTTGCAGTTGTGAATGGTCAACCTGGTGGCGGAGATCTAGAACGTCTCCCGCGTTTCTCCCCTTTTTCCGCGAGCTGACGACCAACCTCCCCACCGCGTTCTGGAACCCTCTAATGTTCCGTCCTTTCTAATGTATCTGCTACACATTTTCATGGCACTCATTTAAGTCATCATGCATTGGAAAGGCCTCCGTCTTGTGGCCGATGGCAAGGATGGCAAGAGACACAGCACCATCGAAGGCCCCAGGCGCAGTGAACACCTGCCACGTCCCTCACCCCCGCCACCGAACCCAGGTTATCCGAGTCAATCCCTCGCTCGCCCGGTCTGTCAAGCAGTAATGTCCACCTTCCCGCCCTGCAGGTTCCCGACAGGGAGTCGACCGACGGTGTAGCCCAGATCGACTTCGCACCCTCATCGGGGGACACTCCCAGCTTGCGTCGCAATCGATTTAGCTTCATGAGACTGCGTCATGCGTCCGACCCCCAAATCTCCAAATCCTACATCAAGGCGGGCCAGCAGGACGCACCGCCTGTCCCCTCCTTGCCTCGTAAGTGAATCAATGCACAACTCTAATCAGGGAAGATCTGACGGCTGTACGATGCAATCTAGCTCCTAAAATCATCACCACCGCCCCCACAAGCCACGAACTCGATCGGCCCATGAAACAGCGATCGAAGCTCAACTTCCGACCCTCGTCGCGAAAACAGTCTATGGAGGAAATGTCCCGGCAATCGACGGAGCAACCCAAGTCCCGTCGGAGGGGTCAAGGCTCGGCAGACTCTCAAATGACAGATTCAGCGCTTGCAATGTCCCAGAGCATCACCGAAGAGCCAGGGAGATTATCGACAAACTCCCTTCGCGGAAACCAGCCACACACCGATTCCCAACGCTCATCCGTGATCGATCCCCGATTTTCCGAATCGTCCCGGTCCGACCAGAGCTATGGAGATCAAACCATCACTCGGACCAGTTCTCCTCGCGACACAGGGACTGCCACGGCAGCAAAACGCTTCCGTCTTCCCCGGCTGAAACGAACCAGGAGCCCTCTCTTTCCCTTGCCTCCAAAATTCCCCCAGGCTCAAGTCATGGATAACGCGCCGAAGTTCACTCCATCGGATACGCCGAAGTCTGAAGTATCCGACGCACTTGACCAAGTCTCTCCACTGCCTTCACCGTCTAGGTCTACGGTGGGGCTTGCTGCCACAGTCGCACCAGCGCTGTCGAGGAATGACTCCACGAATTCCGCTCGCTCGGTTCGATCGAATCCATCCTTCAACAACAGAGGGCGTTCGTCCACCATGGGATCGCTGGCCGAAAACCAGGACGATTTAACTGTGGCGCCATATCTGGCTTCTTCGGCCCGTACATCGACCTCCACCAGTGGTCGCAAGAGCTTTGGAGATATGTTCAACATTACGCAGAGGTTGCGACAGAACTCCTCTCCGCCTGACCCTCGCCATGGCTCTCCTGGAGTAAGTGGCTCAGTCACTCCTATATCAAAGCCAGAACTACCACCAGTCCCTAAGCGGGATGAAAACGATACGCCGGCTTCATACTTGACCAGATTGGAGGAATCTCTACCCCGAGGAATGATTGCGGGGGTTTTGGCACAATCAGATGAGGAATTCTACAAGATCGGCCTACGCAAATACATGAGAAGCTTCTCATACTTTGGTGATCCCTTGGATATGTCCATCCGCAAGCTTTTGATGGAGGTTGAACTTCCAAAAGAAACGCAGCAAATTGATCGATTCCTGCAAGCATTTTCCGACCGTTATCATGAGTGCAACCCGGGCATTTTCGCATCACCGGACAAAGCATACTTCATTGCATTCTCTATCCTGATCTTGCATACTGATGTGTTTAACAAAAACAACAAACGAAAGATGCAAAAGCCAGATTACATCAAGAATTGTCGTGGGGAGGGCATTTCAGAAGACATCTTGGAATGCTTCTATGAGAATATTTCGTACACCCCATTCATTCACGTCGAGGATGCCAATATCCGCGAGCGCCATCTGGCAAAGCCACGCCGAGGCCTTTTCAAAAGCACCAGCACTGAAAACCTCGCCCGGATCACTCGTGAGCCGGTGGATCCATATGCGCTTATACTAGAAGGCAAATTGGAATCCTTGCGTCCAAGCCTGAAGGAGGTTATGGATCTTGATGATACGTATAACCATTTTGGTTCAGCCGGACCCCCGGATATGGATGCTCTGCACCAGGCTTTCACCAAGTCTGGGATTTTACAGATCATCTCATTGCGGTCTCGCCCTGATGCATTCATGCCTTCCAGCCTGGACAATCCTCTCGACTCTAACCCGGGCCTTGTAGACATCAAAGTTGCCAAGGTCGGTGTGCTTTGGCGAAAGGACCCGAAAAAGAAGAGAGCCAGGTCGCCTTGGCAAGAATGGGGTGCGATCCTCACTTTCTCCCAATTATACTTCTTCCGCAATGTGAACTGGGTCCGCTCACTCATGGCACAACAGGAAGCATACATCAAGAATGGCCGTCGGGGTACACTTGTCTTCAAACCACCTCTTTCTGAATTCAAGCCCGACGGAATCATGTCTACTGGTGATGCAGTCGCTCTTTTGGATACGGCTTATAAAAAACACAAACATGCGTTCATGTTTGTTCGACATAACGCATTGGAGGAGACTTTCCTCGCCTCTTCGGAGCCCGATATGAACGACTGGCTCGCCCACCTCAATTATGCCGCGGCTTTCAGAACCACTGGTGTGCGCACCAAGGGCATGATTGCCACCAATTACGAAGGTCAGCGGTATCGAAAAAGCCAACGACTTGGTTCCATCTCTTCGCAAAATTCTCAGCAGTCACAATCCACTGATCTGGAGCCACCCTCGCCAAGCATTGATCACGATATTGTCGCTGAGTTTGTTGCTGCTCGACGGGAACTTATGAGCCAGAAGATCCGTGAGACAAATGAGAAACTTTTCGTTTCGCAGAGGCAACTCGAAGATCTACTTCAAAATGCTCGACACCTTCAAGTCCTGACTCCAGTTCATGCTCGGGCCCGGGAGGGGGTCATTATGGCTGCAGGTCGGTTATCCGCAAAGCTTAGGTGGGTCAGACAGGATATTGCGCGCAACAAGTGCTACCGTCAGATTCTCTTACGAGACCTGGGAGAAGACGAAGAGACCGCAAAAAGCCGCGTTGGCTCCGTTGCTGAAACGTTATCTCAAGCGGACGCAGCACGCCTGGCAAATCTTTCTGGGCCCTCTGCCGGGTCAGAGCCCACCACGGAGAGGGCCGGCAGCATTGTGCCTACTATCGCTAGCATAGACACACCCGAACCCAACGTGGCTGTCGCCGATGAACCATTGGAAAGCGGGCTATTGGCGAAACCCTCGACCGATGAATCCCGTCGCCCTAGTATTCCCGGATCTGTGACTTCCTCTGACATTTCTCGTGTTGGGCGTCGGCGTTCTGCTGTCACTATCCCCGAGCGCGCCAAGTCCTATTCGCCCGATCCAAAAACCATCAAACTCGAGCGTGATGCTTCGGTTCTTAGTCGCACCAGCAGGTGGGATGGGGCTAGTATTGCGTCTCGAACCTCGAAGTTGACTTCGCCTGTGAGCTTCGACGACAACGAGGAGCGATTCTTGAGAGAGGCAGGCCTACTGCAGCTTCCCGAGTCCCCGGGACGCGAAAAAGAGGACCCCGCTCTCGATCTGACGCCTGTGAAACCCACCGAGGGCGACATTATCCCGTCCGACAAGTCCGACAAACCAAGTCGTGTCCGTCGCAGTCTGCATCGCACTCTGCGTGACTCGCATGCTCACAGACACCATTCACACTCAAAGAAAAAGCACGGCTCGGTGTCCAGCATTGGGCAAGAGGAAGATGATCAGGTTTCTGATGGCGGCGATATCCTCCCTCGCAAGGCGCCTAGTTTCACTGTGCATGGCAAGAAAGCATCTATCGTGACCTTCGGGTCAGAATGGCAGAACATGCCACCCGAAGAGCGCCTCAAACTCCGAAAGCCGACTCCACACGAGGAGCCACGAGCTTCAGATCCCACATTGCTCGATAGCAACGATTCTCTCGAATTCGATACGAGCCGCGAACGACCCATGTCGTTACGTAGCACCAGCACTACCACCGGCCTGAGCACCCGGACCAACGATGATCTGGCGGAATTCAAGGACGCGCGGGAGGTGCAGTCAGAAGAGGAAGATATCGGACGACCTGGCTCTCCGGTCATCTCAATCCCGCCTCCAGACACCGATCCCACCGATTCCCCAATCTCTCCCACAACAACACCCGGCCACCTCCACGCACCAAGACACGCGGGCTCTGCCTCATCCTCCACCTCCCTCGGCGAGCGAATCGTCGACCATCCATCCACCGAGAACCTACGCGAGCAGGCCGTTGGCGCCTAACCTCTCCGCCAGCGCAACCCTTTTCTGTACATCCTACCATTCTGATCCTGATCTTCTGCTTGACGATTATTATACCCCTTCTTTTTTTCCAACAATTGCCTCCTTCTGTCTTTTGTTGTCGCTTTGCATTGACGTCTGGTGAACTTTGATTTCGTGCTAGCTGTTATTTGTTTTTAGCATCATGTGTCTGCACTTGTAGACTTATCTGCTCGTCGTTTGGGTTTCGAGCATGGACTGGCGCGTGCTTCTTGTACTTGGCCTGGGCATTTTACTTTCCCCTTGCATCATAGATAAAAGCAAATTTATGATTGACCATGATTCCATTGTTTCTGTCTTGAACTTTTCCTACTCTGTAGTACGATAGGCAGTTCATTGTCCAACTGGGCGAAGTTCATCTAGAACACACCCAGTGATACTAAGCTGTCATCATCATCGTCTCCTTTACCATGGAAGGTTCTGTAAGTTCCAAGGTTGATTTGAGAATATTCTATCGTCATCTGCTTCTAAAAAACAACTGACGAAAAGTGACATGACACTCGTAACGTATCACAGCCATTGAATGCCATGAAAAGACAGCAATTGTCCTTGGGGGCTCTGTATGCTCCTCTCAATGCAGGGAAAAGATAGCTAGTGGGAATTTTGAGAGATCGGCAACATGTCAATCTGCTCATGGGCTTGCTTCGATGCACCTTTCGTCATAAATCCAGATCCAATGAAGACAAGAACAGCAATCAGCTCTGATAAAAAGCCCAATATCACTCGGACAGTGAGAGAACCTGTCGTGGGATTAAGCGACTGGTTCTGGGTGCACAGATAGACAAGGCTGTAGAAGACACGGATGCCAATGAATACCAATGCAACACCAAGAGCCCAGAGTAGCTAAAAATCATGTAATTAGCGAATGGGGTCGAATTTGAGCATCTACAGCAAGCATACCGTAGTCCCTGCACGTCCGGCAACACTCTTTCTCGCGGGAACGGCAAATGTGAGCCCCGTCGCAGCAACCAAAGCCACCCAGCACACTGTCAGAATAGCAATGCCAGCTTTGACAATCTTTTCCGCTTTGTCAATTGGTTCTTCGTGTGATTGGAGCTTCGCCGACCCTGCGGCAGTGAGCGCAACGCCGCCGACGACAACAATATGATAAACCAGCGCGAAGGTCCATTCGAGTTTTTGATCAAGTCCAGCAACACGATATATACGCCTATGAAAATCCATGAATTTATTAGATATTGCCCTTGGTTTGAATCTCACGGCACTCACGCTTCATGCAAAATCCCATTTGCTGTAAGTAACAAAGGGGACAACCCGACACTTGATATAAGGCTGGCGGTAGGGCTGGAGTCTCTCAATCCCAAAGCACTGCCAATGATTCGGAGAGAGCAAAAAATAGAGAGAAATAGCCATCCCAGCAAGCCTTGACGTCCATGTTTAGCAAGAAGATACACTGTAGGAATTGCAAGGATGATGTAGATGGCCAACTCGGCGGCGGAGAGAGTGTTTGTCATGGTTGTTATGTATAAGGTGAGTTTGATGTCTCGATGCCGCTGAATGATGCGTAGATAGAAAAGGATGTTGTTATGGGTAGTTCTCACATTCTGATGACTGGGTTAGCGTCTACTATATACCTGTTCTCGCAAAGGCCACAGCCTACAAAATATATGTTTCTATTCTTACAAGACATAATCGTGGCCAAGTAGAATTCTAAAACCTAAAGTTGATCACTCCTAACGGTTCAAACAAGCCTCTTTGCATTGGGGCTGAAAGGCTTAGCCTATAGCAACCTGGGAAAGTCTCTGTGGAAAAAGACCCGACTCGGTATCTATGGATGTGGCTTTTCTCTTCTTCAAACACGCCAATAACAATCGCGATATGGCTTTGGAAATGTTGAGGCTTAGGCGATCGACAAAGTAATGAGGTTCCGAGATGCGAACCCGATACCGAACACACAGCCTGGTGGATCCTGCTCGTCCCGGAACCGCTACACAACCCGAAACCGAAGCTGACATCTTGAAGATCTGCAGAGGCTCAGCAAAAGCTCACTTACACTGAGGATGCACTTTTTTTCTGAGTTCGCCCGAGCTCCGATTTATAACGCTCGTTTGAATTGATTGTCAAGCAGAGGGCCTATTCATGGATGTCTTTGTTATGCCATAGCTGCTACTCACTATATCCTCGCCTGATTCCCTCCTTTGTGGGTGAATGCCCAGGTGTTGCAGTGTATTTCTTCTCTCACCGAAGAGCCCATGGATAGAACTCCTAGGTAGAGGCAGTTGTTGTTATATCACACTATCAAGAGTCTATCGGAGTTTGGAACCCTGCCCAAAACATGTTGGTTCCATTGTTGCTGACACTTGGAAATGGTTTCGTAATCCCGCACATTTTCCTCACTTTGAGTGGATTGGCAACGGGTGAATGAGTGTGTCGCTCTGTCCACAGGTATGGCAGTGTCGAAGGGTAGTTGCTAGGGCCTCACATATTACAATACAGATAGGTGGTATCTCCGACACGATAGAGGCATTTCACCAGGTTCCTCCGAAAACTTTCGATTCTTCACGCTTTAGTATTTCCAGAGAGCAGCAATTGATAGGCGAATACTCCGTACTCTGTAGCATTGATCTCCTATGCCCCCAAGTTTGCATGTTCAGGGGCAAGAGCTGATCTTATGTGTCTAAGATTTAAGATAAATCCCTCAACATTGGCAAAATAAACAGATAGCTCTGGCACAATCCAAGAATAGGTAATGAGTGCAAATCCCAGTCATGATAGAACGATAGAGAAGTAAAATCGATTTTAAATCCATAATTCAATTCATTGAATAGTACGTTGTATAGTTGGCAATGAGGACGCTTGCCCGGGCCTAACTCGGACGAAGGCGTTGGTTTGCACTGTTTTTGGGTTGCCCCTGGAAAGAAAGTCGCGGATAGCAAATTTGGAATTTGGAAACTCGTACTCCGTGATTCACTGCTTATGACGATGAAAGGTAGAGCCCCGAATTCAAGCATGCACCTCGCTCAATCCTCGGCTAGAGTCATCTCAACATCTCGGCCGGATTCAAACCGTCTACTTCGAATGAACCAGCTCAAGGCCCACATGTCTGAGCATCACAAGCTTTCTAGGTGTATCGACATCGCATATTAATCCAAGACCGAGAAATGCAACCCAAGAGCAGCCCCTACATGTGAAGCACCAGGCGTCCAAGGAAGAAAACATCGCTTGTACAGGATCATGCTTTTATACATGAGGGGTAAAGCAACGCCCAGAGGTCAGAGCCCTCTTTCTGCAAGCTCGCAACCTGCGGGGCCCGGAGCGTATCCAGGCGTATAGCAGGCCGGAGATTCCTCCCCTTTCGAATTTGCAGAAGGGAGAAGCCCTAGCGGATCACCGGAGCGGAGTCGAGGCGGGGTTGGCGCGCCGATCGCACGAACGATGTGCTCGTGTTTTTGGCTTTGTTTTGAGACCCATTTTTCGGTTCCCGTTGGGACTGTGAGAGATTATCACGATGGAGTTCTTGCTTTGCTCATTTCTCTGCGCGTTGAAAATAAGAAATGAGGCTGCGGGGGGGTTATGCAAGGGCACTCGCATGGAAATGAGCTGGCCCCGATTTGCACTGAATATTAGGGGGTTTGTCAATGATCGACACCCCGTTTACCGGCCTCGGTACGGAGCAAGAACATGAATCACATTCATAATATTGCGCATATAAGGGAGGTGGCCCTGTTCTCGTTATGTTGCGATTCAGCTTTGCAACTGTACAGAGCAGGAAATGGGTCCGTCTTTCGCCATGGTGCGATTCGCCCTGGTCGGTCTGCTGACCTTCTTCTCCATCGCGTCGGCCCTGCCTGCCTCTAAATTTTCACGGGCCCTGGAGGATCCAACTACTGATCCCTTCTACCGGCCTCCTGCTGGCTTTGAGGACAAGGCCCCCGGAACGATTTTGGCTCAGCGCAACATCAGCGCTGCGTTCCTCGGTCTCATTCCGAACCCCATTGAGGCTCATCAGTTGCTATACCGCACAACTGCTATCAATGGCTCCGCCATCTCGACTGTGACTACAATCTTCAAGCCAAAAGATGCCAAGTCTGATCGATTTGTCTCCTTTGCCACCGCGTATGATAGCTCTGCGGTGAAATGTAACCCGAGTTATGCCTACCGACTTGGTGCAGCGCAGGACAGTCTAGTTGCCTACGCCGAGGTGTTGATTATCGAGGCGTATCTACTGCTCGGATACACCGTTGCGTCTCCAGACTATGAGGGCCCCGATGCGGCATTTGGACCTGGTCGTTTGGCCGGCATGGGTGTCTTGGATGGCATCCGGGCTGTGACCAATTTCGACACTCTGGGCCTCAGTAAAGACCCCATGGTGGTTGGCATTGGCTACTCTGGTGGTGCCATTGCCACAGGCTGGGCTGGCTCACTGCAGCCAAAATATGCACCTGAGTTGAACATCAAGGGCTGGATTCAGGGTGGAACTCCCTCCAACCTCACAGGCACATTGCTCACGATTGATAACACGGCTTTCAGTGGATTCTCTGCTGCAGCCGTCGTCGGCCTCTCGGTACCCAGTGCCTACGGAGCCGAGCTCAAACCCATCATCGACAAGATCTTGACGGCAGAAGGCCGAAAGGTTGTTGATGCCGCTTCCCAGCAATGTGCGGTACAGGACCTGGTAACTTTCTTCGAGAGATCACTGTTTGATCCCAAGGTTCAGACCTTGGGTGATGGCCTTCTCACCGAACCTACCATCCAGTCTATATTGCAGGACAACAACATGGGCGTGAACAAGGATGAGACGCCGACCGCGCCCACCTTTGTATACCATGCCACTAATGACGAGGTCATTCCATACGCCAATGCTAGCACTTTGGTTGACTCTTGGTGTGATTCAGGCGCGAACGTCAAGTTCACAACCTATGCTAACGGTGGTCACGCGACCACCGAGCTCATCGCGGTGCCGGAGGCCATCAAGTTCCTCGAAGCTGCCTTTGACGGCAAGGTTGCCGGTGGTTGCACCAAGAATACCGAGCTCACCAATATCCTCAACCCGCTGGCACTTGGCGCCTCACTGGAGCCTATTCTCGTCAAGCTCATTGACGGTTTGACTCACTTGGGTGAGCAGGATGACAATGTCAAGAAGGATATCTCGGTACTGGGTATCAAGCTCCCTGTTTAAGTGTCTCTAGGGAATTAGGGGTATGTGTGTCTATTTCTGATACGTCACGGTGATCACCTGGGCACGTAAAGACCTCTATGGTCTCTTCGATGTATATAGTTGTGAGCCAGTCATCTCTTGGTGTCTGACAGGGGATTGTTTATAATTGGTAATTGATTCTGAACAAACTTATTTTGGGCATTGAACTATTCCAAACACCTTCATGTATGGCCACTGCCAGGTGGGGCTGTGGACAGCAGGCGAAGTAAATAATGTGAGTTTAAAGCTTGCCTCGGGACCTCTAAGCTTAGTGTGTGACATGCCAAGGCGAAGAGTCAGAGATAAGGTGTGAGATCAGGATACCAAGAGAAGATAGGTAGAACCGAGTGCACAGGGCATACGGAGTATAGTAAGTAGTGACACAATAGGTAAGTTGTAGAGGAGAGAAGGAGTATGTTGTAGATAACCGGGTCATACCCCGGATGACGCTATCAGAATGATCTACTTCACCTTTCATCACGTCTTTGAGTGTCGTGATCCTCTGTGTGGCGACCGTGACATTCTGCACTAAAACATGAAATAATGGCATAGTTCGTATTAGAAGAATACTTTGAACAGGCAGCACTAGGCTGTGGCGCTTGACACCTGCGACGCGAGACCGAGTCACCGGGTGTGCGTCACAATCTCCACCCCTTCTCTCCGCATCTGCGAGTCTAGCTCTTCCTTTTCTCTTCTTCCTTTTTTTTTTGTGTGGAATGTCTTAGGCTTCCTTTGATTCTTTGGAATTCTTGGACTATCTAGCTGTCTAACTTATTCGCTTTGATTTTGGACTGAACACTCTTTGAGTCTCTTGTCTAGGGGAACCTTGGAAGCTCATCTGCTAAGGTCCTTAACCGCCGCATCACTAAGGGTACCAGCATTGTCCTATCTTTTAGTTCTATCACGCAACAGCCAAATCCAGCCTTAGCCAGCCTTAGCCAGACCATCCTGTTAGCATGGCCTACAGCGCTGGACCCATCGCTGCCCGATTGCGTTGATAACGGTTCCCGATAACATCTCCGCTTCACCAGGGTATGCTTCTCCTGCCTTGATCTTGCCCCCTCGCTTCACTTGGTTGTGTTGGGCTAATGCAATATTAGGCCATGCATCAACATCCACGGTCCCCAGCATCGTCTGGGGTGCCAAACATCCCCAGACCCACACCTCGAGACGACAGAGACGACAGAGACGATACCGCCCCGAGCTCCCCAACCGTCGACACAGCGTCGAATTCAGCAAGAGGATTGGGAATCGAGTCGGGGCCTCAGCTAGCTGAGCAGGCGAGGATTGGTATTCCTGGAAAGGAGACTCTGGGCCGGTTGAACCAAATAATATCGGTATGAGCACTCCGATCGCTTCCCCCCCATCCCATCTGGCTTATCGCAGTCTGTTGACCCTCCATCTCACCTGCAACAGAATTACCACACCAAAGCCGCCTTGATCATCCTGCAGTCTCGTGTCTCACTGCCGCTTGCCTATAATAAGGGCTCCGATATCCCGAGAGTCAACCGCTGGGTATGTGAATCTCCGTGGACTCGGCTTTTGTGGGCGCAACCGGGCCAATGAGGGTATTGGGCGCTAACATCATCATTTTCTCGTCCAGTTCAACGTTGAACTAGATGACACAGATATCCTCCGAGAACCCCTGCGGCTATGGCGGACCTGCGATGCCACCGATCGCCGGCCGCCGCCCCTCGTGATCGAGACCTACCTCGACACAAAGGGTCTCACAAATAATCAAAGTTTGGTGATTTTGGACGAAAACGGGAAGCGTTGGGATGTGCGCGAGTCGCTCGCTGCGCTACAGGGCGCCCGTGCGAAGCCATACCAGGCGGAGAACGACGAGATCATCTTGGAGCGGTGGAGGATTGAGCTGGGAGAGGCGTCGAGCAGGCTTCCGTCTGATCTGGGCTCCCTCCTTCCCACGGTGTATAAGAAGAGCATCGTGCTCTTCCGCTCCTTGTTCACGTACTCCAAGTTCTTGCCCGCGTGGAAATTCTCCAAGCGTAACAAAAAGTCACGACGGAGTCCGGCTCTTGAGATCAAGTACCGGGTGGTGGACGAGGGCCTGTCTCGCCAGAATGGATCTTTGGATCACTTGACGGCGCCGCTGAGTGGGGTCAATGAGAAGGTGGCCGACACATACAGCTTTGGTGTCACAGAGTCACCCGCGGGTCCCTTTTCAGTTCAAGTCACCTATAGGACGAATTGTGACTTTCGGGTTGATGATTCTGAGGCTTTGTTGAGCTCTCGATTCATGGGTGCGGATGACGAGATCTTCCGTCCATCCTTGCCTTCAGAGGATATCACCCGCTTAAACCCAGAGATTGGATCTGTGCCCGTTGAGCGAAGGACCGTCGAGAGTCCAGATCTGACGCGTGCCTATGGAAGCCTTTCAACGTTCCACAATGTCCCTGCAGGGACAGGGGCAAGCCCTATCTCAGCACTTCGCGCTCTCAGGGATCCCAGTGGAGGTTCTCCATCCCCGAAAGACTCGGAAAAGAAGCTCCTTCCTCCCGCAAAAGTCGTCCCCTCGGGGCGCGCTGCTCAGATCGCTGGTGAGACTGGAAGTCCCAACTTCCAGCGCCGCCCTTCCGTATCATTCCAACCTTTCAAAGCTCCCCCTCTCTCTGCCTCTCCAGCTATGGCAGAGTCCCCCCCTAGGGGCATCTCCTCGCACTACCTCTACACGTATACCCACAGGCACATCTGCCGATGCCCGTTTCATGCCGCCCCCATCCTCTGCTGCATCCGCACGCAGACCTACCCTTGCATCTGATCAAGCTATATCATCCTCTAATTCCGCATCCCCTAAGCCAGCGCCTCTTTCCCGATACAGCAGTTCATTCAGTCACCGCCGAGGCCGCCTTTCTGCGGGGACGAACCGCCTCGAAGATGACCAGAACTCAAGCGGCCGGGTGAGCACTGCATCCTCCACCGCGCAGCCCGGCTCTGGCATGCTTGCAGAAGTCACTGGAACCAGTGCGGAATCCATTCATGCCGACGACGAGAATATCTCTGATTTCCTGAAAATGCTGGACTCGAAGAAGGATCTAATGAATTCATCTACAACTGCATCTATTCAGGCTGGGGTACGCCAACCCACGTCGACCGCAGTAGCCCTGGCTCGTTTCCGTGGCATGCGTGACTCTAACGCTGCTCTCACTGACTCCATGACACAATCAATGCATGTAAATCGTTCGTCAATGTCGTCGAGCAAGCAGCTTTCATCGGTACCACCCATGGTTGCAGGAACCTCGATTTCAACCGCCTCTTCTCCGGGAAAGCCCATCTCCCCTCATACTCCTCATACGCCGGCGATTCGCTCTCGTCTCAGCTCGAACAGCGTTGCAGATGAGATTGAAACTGACCACCGCTCGCGGATCCCTCGGATCGAGCACGACTCGCCTTTGGAAGAACTGCCGAGCGAGGATCTTGTACGCGGGCCTTCATCCACCGCAGGCGCTATCGATATTCCCACATCCCCACGAATGTTCGATCCCAACTACCGACGCTCAAGCTCTGCCGCACAACGCCGACCACCAGCTCCAAGCGGGGATGACGATGAGATCTTCCCCTTCGGCATGCGCAGCCTGAGTCTCGGCGCCGACGAGCCGGCAACTACCACTCTCAGCGTCGCACAGCAGCAAGCTGCCCAGAAAGATGCGCAATCGCCCGCCGAAGATCCAGCCGGCGCATCTGGTCCCACAACAAGTGCCTACCAAGAGAGCGGCTCTCTTCGCAGCCAATTGCCCGGAGCGGGAGGTGCATCCGCATCCTCAAATCCCCACGTGTACCAGCCTCGATTCGCCAGCTCGCGCGGCCGCGGCTACTCAGGTGGACATTCGGTTAGCTCTGCATCCAGCAGTCTGGCCCGAAACGCCAATCTTCCGCTGCACCTGGTCGAGCGCGACGACCGTGATGGAAACGCCAGTGGAAGTAACAGTGGTAACTCGACGCTCGAAATCCGTCGCGGAAGTGGACAACGGCCAAGCTCTGGTCGCACACTCTCGGCACAGGCCCCTGAGGATGATGAGCCCCTTCTTTTTGCTATGAGTGACTTTGGTGCTTCCCGTCGCAGCCTCGAGGAGGGGAGACATAATCATGGCGGAACGGACTCTGCTGGTGGATCACGACGCGGTAGTGGACGACGGGGAGCTGGGCTTCCTGGATTCCATGCCTGGGCATAAACGAAACGACTGGCTCAATTTAGATCATCTACCCGGTCATCTATGTCGGTGACTTCATTTCTTTCTCTTTTTGTTTTAGCCTTTTTTCCCCCTTCCACACCCTGCCGCTCCGATGGAGCATGCTGGACTTTTTGGGTTTTTGCTTTTAAAATGTTGCTGGTTCGCTGATTTCATAGACTGAATTCCTCCGATCACAGATTGCTTCCTTGCGTGCATAGATTGGGATTTATTGTTGGTGTTCGTTTCTGGATTCTTTTCTCGATTGCTTCGCTCTGTCACCCTCCCTGCATTGTCATGATGGATTCCAATGTGGAATCCGCCTTTTTTACGATTTATATGATTCGAAGCAGTTTACCCTAGCAGTCTACCTACAGCGATCTATAAAAAGAAATTGAAACTTTCTAGAATCTTTGAAAGGAAACCTGGATATGCCCCGGTGTTCACCTATCATAAAGCGCCTATATCAAAGTCCTCTTAAAGCGGGGGAAACAGGCCTCAACCTTGCCATACTCTACTGCATGTATAACAGCCTCACATATAGTCCAGGATAGGGTTATATTCACGCGCCAGAGGCGGCGAAGAATAAATCTCAACCTTGGATCCATCTGGCCACGAAGTCCATCTGCACGGCCAGCCCCGTTTGTAACGGATTGTAATTCTTCCGCTCCCTTCTTATTCTCGTCTCGGCCTAGTTGTCGCCCCATCGTGGCCCAGAGCCGCCGTCAATTCTAGCCCCAACGCCTTCGCATCTCGCCAGCCATCACAGCCATTCAGCGCACGCCATGACGATTGCTGTCATCATACGGAGTACACCGCTATGCTGATCCTCTGACAATGTCCTTGGATGTGACTGTCATTCCATTCCGTCCACTCGTGCAGTTTCAGGTTCCTAAGCGCCGACTGCGATGCTTTAAATGACTAGTTATGCACGCTTTCTGGGCTTCCCGCCAGAGCGCAAAACGCGCTGCGTGGACTTTAAATGCTCCAATTCTTTCGTTGCAAATCTGGATGTTCTTTTAGATTTCTTCGGTATAACTGGAAGCTATGGCAACTCTTATTCATAGCTTTACGAATCTTCATTTACAGGGGACTGGGGCAACTCATGCTCATGCAATGGACTTGAATCATGATAGATCTCAGCAAGGTGAGGAATTACTTCTCGTAAGCGGGCAGCAAGTATCTGGAAGGTTTCTCACCAGACTATTCAGATATTCATACCAAAATCATACAAAAGCATCCGCAGAGGGCGCACGAGATCTCCTCCCTTTTACAGTGCATCTCGTTGATCCAGCGACCTCTTCGTTTGAAGACGCTACTTGCACTAGCAGCCCCCGAAGTCAGGCATCATAGCCAAATCGCCCATGAAGGTTGGATCCGAGATATTCTCACCTCTGGCTTTATCCAGACACAGACGTTGACGGAGAGCTCTGATGTACTAGTCGGGCTCGTGTCCCAGTCTAATAAGAGCTACCTGCTCAACGGTTCGAACGGTGGAACGGAGGCTGATGCCGTCGAGGGTCATGTGCACTTTGTGATTGCCGAGAAATTAATCACCCCTCTCGAAGAGTACTGGATTCATCTAGGCAGGCCAGAGGGTGATACCCAGAGCAACATTGCAATACACCACGATCAAGCTGACCTGGTGTATTACGCGCTTGAATATTGGCCCTACCACGCCCGTCACTGCGGAGTCTACGCAAATGAAATCTTCAACATCGATCGAGTATTCTTTTCGCCTGACTCCAGGGCGCGAATGTATTGGATGTACATGGGGTTCGGAGCTAGTCCCCCGGAGCCAGTGACAGGTCTGGATCTCAGCCAGGCCAACTTCCTCTGGGACCAGAGCCGGCTCTCGGCTATACACATTGCCGCTCTGATTGGGAACATACCCTGGCTCAAACTACTGGTCGAGCACTTTGGAGCCCGGCTGGATACTGTGGATGGGTTTGGAGTTACTCCGTTACAGTATGCTGCACTGGGTGGCCATGCGGACGCTGTTCAGTTTCTCATGCATAGCGCCAATATCACCGCGCAGTATGGCAGGGCTCTGTGGTTCTCTGTGATTGTTGGATCATCGAGCGTTGCTCAAGTGCTGGTCTCGGCTGGGGTTGATGTCAATTTTCATCATGAAGTCAATCGAGACTTAATAGACCTCGCATGTACCGGGGATGATGAATGTGATGATGATGATGATGCGGTTATGGAGGGCAAGCCAAAATCCCTTTCTTTGCTCATGACAGCCATTGAAGGTTGCTGTGCAGATGTGTTGAAGGTCCTTCTAAGCGGAAACGCCAATTTGAGACCGAATGGCCGATCAGCACTTTGCCACGCCGCGGCGTTCGGCGATGAAGAAACCTTCAAAGTACTAGTCGACCACGGGGCTAGCATCGATGACCAGGATAACGAAGGAGCATCGGCCCTCTGTAATGCGCTGATACGAGGAGACACCGGTATACTACGCATTCTCGTGGAATGGCGCGCCATACTACAAGGGACAATTCTATACCCATCTCCCATGTCCGAGTCTGAAGTCTATGAAGCATTGCTAAATGATCCAAACATCCATATGAAAGATCAATACGGTCGAACAGCTCTGCACTCAGCTGTGTTTGCACCAAGTCAGGAAAACGTGAAGCGCTTACTCTGGCTCGGTCTCGACCCGAACGCAAGGGACCGCGATGGAAACACGCCCCTACACGCTGCAATGGGGTTCTGTCTCAATGACCTGGTGCCTATGAGAAGTCTTCTCTGGGACCAGGCACTTGATAGAAGGGTTTATGAGGAAGTCTCTCGGCTCGCGCTTTGGAGTGGCCACAGTACACGGGAGCAAAAGCACCAAGAAGCGGGTAGGCTGTCTTCGTTGCCGGGGATGGGTGGGACATTGGACATTATACGTTTGTTGGTTATGTATGGGGCTTCGATCGAAGCAACTAATGATGCCGGGCAAAGTCCTTGGAGTGTCTTATAGGTAATCCATGGATGCCGCGTTGGATGGTGAATCAAAAGGATCGTGGCCGTGGGTGTTGTTGGGCAAATGCCTGGTTATGGCAAAACAGACACCACTTGGGCAGACAATACGGAGTAATGGGCGGAATGTTTGCTCAGAGCTGTTCTACTACCTAGGTAGGGCACTCACCTTGTTTATAATGCAATGAACTTGTTAATTATGGAAATGTATTCTTTTCGCCAACCTCCAGGGCTGATCACAAGTCAATTAAATAAAATTGAGCAAATATGAAGAAAAGAAACAAGTGACTTCGTTACGGATCATGGGCATTTTCCATGGAGGCATCTAGATACATTTGAACATCCGAATTTTTTACCCTTCTAACAACTCAACACTACACGCTTATGCGATGTAGGTGGAGGCGGAGACATCACCACCACGACCGGTCCAGTTGACGTGGATGTCCTTGCCCTCGGGGAAGGTCTCGTTGGCGTGCTCGGGCTTGATGCGGAAGGTGTGGGCACCGAAGTAGTCACGCTGGGCCTGGAGCAGGTTGGCGGGCAGGTTCTTGGAGCGGTAACCGTCGTAGAAGCTGAGAGCGGTGGAGAAGGCGGGAGCAGGAATACCCCAGAGGGCAGTCTTGCTGATGACGTTACGCCATCCAGCCTGGGCGTTGTTAATAGCCTTGTTGAAGAAGTCGTCGAACAGGAGGTTCTCGAGGTCGGGGTTGTTGCGGTAGGCCTCGGTGATATCCTTGAGGAAGACGGAACGGATGATGCAACCACCACGCCACATGAGGGCGATGGAGGGCTTGTTGAGCTTCCAGTTGTACTCCTTGGCGGCCTATATGAGATAAAATGTTAGAACCAATGATACGGCTTTGAAGTGGACATTGTTAACAGGTTCAAACGTACGTTCTGGATGAGCATGAAGCCCTGGGCGTAGGAGATAATCTTGGAGGCGTAAAGGGCCTGCTCGAGGTCGTCGATGAAGGACTGCTTGTCACCCTCGAACTTGGGGGTAGGTCCACTCAGGATGGAGCTGGCGCGGCCACGCTCGTCCTTGAGGGCACTGAGGCAGCGAGAGAAGACAGACTCGCCGATGAGGGTAACGGGCATGCCGAGGTCAAGGGCGTTGATGGCGGTCCACTTTCCGGTACCCTTCTGGCCAGCCTTGTCGAGAATCTTGTCAACAAGGGCAGTGCCGTCGGTGTCGTTGTAGTAGAGAACATCACGGGTGATCTCAATGAGGAAGGAGTCGAGAACACCAGTGTTCCACTTGGCGAAAACATCACCAATCTCCTTGGAGGAGAGACCGAGACCACGCTTGAGGATATCGTAGGCCTGAGGAGGTCGTTAGTTGAAAGCTCTGATACAGGTTCGAAACTCCCAGGTGGGCCTTACCTCGCAGATCAACTGCATGTCACCGTACTCAATACCGTTGTGGACCATCTTGACGTAGTGGCCGGCACCCTCGTCACCGACCCAGTCGCAGCAAGCCTCGCCGTTGCTCTTGGCGGCGATGCTCTGGAAGATGTCCTTGATGTGGGGCCAGGCGGCCTCGTTACCACCGGGCATGAGGGAGGGACCGTAGCGGGCACCCTCCTCACCACCGGAGACACCACTGCCGACGAAGCTGATGCCCTTCTCGGTGAGGTAGCGAGTGCGGCGGTTGGAGTCGGGGTAGTGGGAGTTACCACCGTCAATGATGATATCACCCTTCTCGAGGAAAGGCAGAAGGGACTCAATGAAGTCATCGACGGGCTTGCCGGCCATGACGAGGAGCATGATGCGACGGGGGCGCTTGAGCTTGGCGCAGAACTCCTGGATGGAGTGAGCACCGACAATGGACTTGCCTAGTTGCACAAAGTCAGCCATTGTGATTTGGAGATTTTCAGAATCCGTGAATGAGCTTACCCTTGGCCTCGTTCTCCAGGAAACGGTCAACCTTGGCGGTAGTACGATTGTAGGCGCAAACGGTGAAGCCGTGGTCGGCAACGTTCAGAATCAGGTTCTGGCCCATGACGGCCAGACCGATGAGGCCGAAATCAGCACTAGGAACAATATGCGCCGGAGCGCCGACATTGATGCCGGCGAGACGGGCGCTATAGTCAGCGACCAATGTCTCGTCAATAGCTGGGTAAACAACGTGGAGGGGCAGTTTTCTTTAGGGAATCCGAGCAATTCCGAAATAAGAAAGGTCGGAATCGCCAAATCCCCGTGGTATCATCTCGCATTGACATCTGCAGAGAGCCCCGAAGCTCTCAACAGAGCCGCAAGATGTCCGAGCAACATTGAAAGATGTGCACTGCTGTTGCTGCAAGGTGCAGGTGTAACCAGCTATAACCACCGAGATGTTCGGGAAGGAGGGGTAGAAGAAGAACAGTGAACTTACACAGCTTGGTCAGCCATGACGATTAGATGTGAGGGAGGAAGGAAGGGTATTGAATTGAGAAGGGTGAGTCTGAAGAAGAAAGAAGAAGAGGAGGAGGAGGGGAGAAATAGAAGATGTCACAGCCCAAATTGCTGACGGAGCAAGCGTTCCGTCATATGGTGGGACATACCGGCGGGGGTACCGTGTACCTCTGAGGTCCTTACTCTGTCCGGTGTAGCGCCAAGTACTCGGTACAGGAGCAGAGTCGTCCGGTATCAACCCACCCGGGTTCTGTTCGGATTAGGGAAGTCATTATCCGATCCGGATTCAACTCCTGCTGATCTACGGAGTATAGGATATAAAATGTTATGTGCTTGACAGTATGTGATTGTCCTTGCATGCAGCTCTCTACTTCTATACGATGGCGGGGTATGGAGGGGTAAAAGATTGAAGCCTTTGAGTGTAGCTATAGAATAAGGGTCGAGAAATACTTCAAGCTTTGGGTGAGCCAAATAAAGCGCAACTCTCGGAGTAAAAAAGCCCCTCTCTCCCACGCATTTCCACGCATCGGTGAACTGTTCTGGTAGAGATTCGACGGAGAAACTCTTCACTTGCCGATGCGCCTTCATAACCGGCTTCGCAGGCGCTAGGCTGCTTTGGGACTAGGGTGGGGGTCACGGAGGGCCGGCTGCGGTGATGAGATCAGCATCTGTGATTAGGTCATCAAAGCTTGGTCCTCAGTCACGTGGTGATTGACCTCTTTCACCGCCTATTTTGACCGGCAATGGTGTCTGCCATGCAGAGGCGGTGTGCTGAAATCACCGAATCTTTCGCAATGAGTGAACCTCCATCGGGTTCTTATCGCGCCACGCGCTTCAACTACCTTTGATTCACAAGCTATCTTGCATCTCCCCCTTCGTTTCCAGCTGCCTCACTCTGTGCTTTAGGGCTCGGAACTTTGTTTCAAGTGGTCTGGCAACGACTGTACCATCCGTCAGGCCCTGAAGGTACGTTGCAGTTGCTACTTCGCAAATAGCAAACTTGAATCTCTCTCTCTCTCTCTCTCTCTCTATCCTTCTATCCAAAAATTTCCGGCATATCATTCATCATGTCCTATCCACCCCCTCCAGGTCTCAAGCAGACACCGTCGTCTCTCCCTCCTCGCCCGCCTCCCTCATCCAATGCCGGACAGCCACCTACTGCTGCCGGTCATGGTGTTCGACCAGGCTACAACGCATTCGCAGGGTTCCAGCCGCGTGCTGTGGCTTCTACCCAGTCCCGCGCCAAGCCCGTGATCTCAGCTCCTCCAGTTCCTGCTGTTAGTTACGCAGCCCCTGCTACGAGCTACGGCAGCCACTACCAGCAACAGCCCCAGAGCTACCCAGCCGCGCCTTCATACTATGGTCAGCCACAGTACACTGAAAACACATACGGCCCAACCATCCCACACATCCAGAATCCATTCGGATCTACCCCAACCCAGACCACCTCGGGCTTCCGACCGGGTCATGATTCTGGCCTCGACGCAGAAACCGAAGCTCAAATCGCGCAGTGGCAGAGTGCTTATGCAACCCCCACTGATGATACCCACAAGCGTCAAGCTGGCGCAGGCATAAACGCGGCTGGAACACCGACCATTGGCGCCGGTCCTGCCCCCCAACCCGAGTCCCAGAAGACGGTAATCCGCTCCGGCGGTGGCCAGACATGGAGTGACGATACGCTTCTTGAGTGGGATCCAGCGCATTTCCGCCTGTTTGTGGGCAATCTCGCAGGTGAGGTGACCGACGAATCCCTCCTCAAGGCTTTTTCTCGCTACACATCTGTGCAGAAAGCGCGTGTCATTCGGGAGAAGCGCACATCGAAGAGCAAAGGATTTGGGTTCATCAGCTTTAGCAACGGCGACGACTACTTTGCTGCTGGCCGAGAGATGCAAGGCAAGTACATCGGCTCGCACCCAATTCTACTCCGACGGGCCAACACCGAGGTTCGGCCTGAGGTTCCTGGCAAGCATGGAAAGAAGAATGGTGGAGGCAAGAAGCCTGGCAATACTGGTGGCAAAGTGAAGAAGGATGGCGTTAAGAAGCCCGGAAAGACTAAGGGAGGTCTGAAGATTCTGGGTTGAGTCTGGCCCCCATTAGAAGTCCAGAACAACCAAGTCGTGGAACATGCTGCATAAATTCGATACCAACTTTCAATAAAACAAAACATTCGAAATCAAGAAAACAAGAAAACGGAAGCCAATAATAGATTGCACTACCTGAAACTGATGATCCCAATAGAGCAGAGGTTGGTACCTGAACAATCTATGTGGTTAGTACTTTAAGCTCAGGTACCCACTTCCCCAGCCCCTCGTAAAAAGCACATGGCTGGGAAGAAAAAAAGCCCCCCATATGTTTATAACCCCCATTATTTTTCCATTTACTTTTTCTCTTTCAGCTTCACATTCTTGCGATCTAATCTAAGATCCGATTTCAAACGGAGCGTTGCGTCGTGAATCCGACTTGGCTGCGGACTATACAAACCCGACGCATTGCTGCCCACGGCACTTCGCTTCTGACTCTGTACTCCGTACAACGGATCTGACTCTTCAATCGAGATCTTCCTCTTTCAAATATTTGGCTGTTTTCCTAAGCCTTCGCAAAGATGGTGCAACGCAATATCGTCATCGCGATTATCATCATCATCCTCTTTCTCCTCCTCGCAATTGCTGGATTCGGTATCTACGCCATGAAGAACCAAATCTCATTCTTCTCAAAGTCCAAGGAGGCAGACCCCGAAGCTGCTGAAGGAGGGTGATTAGGTAGGGTGGCAGTCGATGCTGCCTTTCATCTCTCTACCTCTATTGATCCCTCCCGGTCTGCCAACTTCGCCTTCTACACAAAACGACTACGATATTTTCCCGCGACACGATACCCTTTTGCTGGCATACAATGCTGCCACGATAACGAGCTCTGACATGAACATGTTCTTCACGTTGAAACGCCTATCTGTACTATCCATGACGACTTGAACTCGATCGGTACATACATTGCATCCAATGTATTTTCTTTCTTCTGATTCTTTGAGTGTGGCGTTGAGAGTCCTTTTTCCCTCTTCTCTTGTTTTCATTATCTCTTGCCTCCTTCGGTGTTCTTTTTGGATCTCTGGGGGTTTTATTCGGTGCACATTACTCGACTTTCTGTCCACATGGGCAATTACATGATGCATAATTGACATAGATTGAATTGAACCAAACTAAAAATGTTGAACCTTGTACCTGTTTTAAGTTTGCTAGATGGACATCATTGTGTAACTTTCGAACCTTCCAACCTTGGAAGGTTGCCCAGGTAGTGGTTTGAAGAGGCCTACAGAAAAGTATCAGATCAACCTCGAGTATATATCGTCAACCTTGGTACCATAAACTAGGTAAGTAGAACTCGGGAGCGAGATAGGGGTTTGAACGCCTCAATAGTGAAGATATAGGGAACCAGCCTTTTGCTTTCCCAACGTGCCAACCTTGGAAATTGAGAGGAGTTTTTAAGGTGACCAGGACTTTGCCATATGAGCATGCACATCATGAGCCGAGGTCGACAAGAGGGAAAAGAGATACAGATAATGAATAATTCCAAACCTTGGAAGTAAAACATATCACCGGTCATCAGAATGTGTAGACCTAATGTACGATTATGGGAGGGCTTTCCTCATGATACAATAACAATGCAGTGTAGAGCGGAATTCCAAACACACTGCCTCCAGGGGTATACATATCTCCCCACCCAAACCATGTAATAAAACATCGGATCCACCACCAAAAAAACCTAACATACATGAACCTTCAAGAAAAATACCCAGTACGCCTATAAACAATGGATCGCGCTCAAAAAACATAACTCAGTAGCTCTTGTGCACGGAGAGCCGTGACAATGTGCCAGGGCAGCGTGTTGTTTTGCACGCTGCATGTGCCCTTGGCCCGAGCAAGGCAACTCATGTCTCGATACATGCACAATGTTTTCTTCAGGACATCATCGTGTGATGAGGCAGGACGAGGAGAATATATGAGATTGACAGCCATGGCAAAGACGCCATCGCTGTCTGTGGTGCCTTTGCGGCGGAGGAGATACCCGCTCGACAAGGCAGGTCGGAATTCTGTGAGATGGGGGAACTGTTGAGACGGTGAGACAAGATGGCTAGCCAAGACTCGTCGCATATGTCGATGAGAACAGCTTCAGGATCGGTATCGAGTGACATGTCTGTGGGGGTAGGAGCGCTGTAGGCAACAGGGCCAGTGCTGGTTGGCGTTGCTGCGTTCCCATATTGTTCGGGAGATGCGATGCTGGTGCTTGGATTCGGGGTGGTAACGGGTGTAGAGGAGGAAAGTGAATTAAGCATCGACATCGAGACTGACGGACATGGGGGCTCAAGTATCAAGTCAGGAATAACGTTGACAGCGAGTATGGTCAGTTCTAACGTCCCTGGTTGCAGCTTGTTGTGTTGCTCTGCGAGATTCGCCCAGCCTGCAAGACTATTAGTAAAGAACCATGTGAATCGAGCACAGAGAAATTCACCTTCAACCTCATCGGGCTCCATTGGCTCAGTGGTCACCAATTGTATTTTCCATCGTGCTTGAAGCTTATCCATGATATGTTTCGTCGTAGTCCAGATCTCCTGTCGTATTTCGGAAATTGGCCGGCTACTACCCGATTGGCGGTATCTCAGACAGTAAGACATTGTCCTCTGAATGGAACCAGGCACATCAGACCATGCGACCGATATCCAGCGCTGATCGAGACTTTTGGAACAGGCAATATGAAGACTACGTCCATCCTTCAAGGGTGAGGCTCGCTCGGAAGCTAGTCGGAAGCTGATGCCCGTTGGTAAAGGGTCGGCCAGTAGTATTGGCGGTGCGCAGAGTAGAGGATTCGTGTCGACATCCATCGGACGGCATCGACCATAGACCTCTAGCGCCAAATTCAGATAATCCGACTGAGGAGGCACAATCATGGTTTCACTTGACATGACAAACTCTAGGGGGATGATTTGCAACACTAGTTCGTTGACAGGCCGAGCTTGCCGACGTTCGGAACCAGCGAGCAGTTGCTGGAAAAGATGCCAGAAAGCGGAGCAGATGTCAGCCAGCGCGGCAGCATGCTTGAATGGGTTGATGATGTAGATTACACAGTTGTCGGCACTTGGTGGGGACTGGGCGAGCTCCGAGCCTAAATGACGATTAGTTGATGTTATGAAATAGGGTGTTCTTGCGTACCGAGCTCTTCGCACATCCCCCTCAGCACTTGCATCATGGAGTCATAGCGGGGAGACTCAGACTGCCACGGCCTCAAGCCATCCTCAAATGCCATGGAGCACTCCCCTCGAGTATGACTTCCAAGATTGCAACTTCTGTAAAGAAGCCCGAACCGGTCTAGAAAAGCATCCGCTGCTTTGGAGGCAAGTGGTGGATGAATGCAGTAGGCAGATATGTCCTTCGCGCCATGGGCTGGCTCAAGACCAAAAGTCTCCCAGAATGATACCGCAGGAGGAAGTGTTTCTAAAAACCCCTTGCCCCGACGAATGCGTACATGGGGCGCGGGTAATTTGAAAACGAGACTTTTGGGAAAGTCTTTGGGTGAGGGTTGAGCTTGCGACTGTGGCTGTTGGGCTGGGCTGGTGAAAAGCTCGTCTTGCAAAGATGTATACTTCTTCAAGTCCAACTTGGAAGCATCGCCTGGGAGATCTATGTCCTCGAGGGGCTGTAGCGAGAAATATTGGCTTTCGAGATCAAACAAGCCTATGTGGCCATCAAGCGAGTGTTTCAGAGATGACTGTGTGATCTGATCAACTAGCAGTTGCGCAACTTGAAGCTGATGTTCGCGTCGAAGGAGCACCGGGTGCTGCTGTGGCGTGGATGCCGAAAAGTATCCCGTGAAGGTCCAATCAGAAAAGTTGGCAAGAAAATTGCCCAGGAAAGTAGAGTTTTCTGTAGCACTCGGGAAGTTCGCATCGGTTCCAGCCAATGACTTTGTAGGTGATGCGATTGATAGCGTGTCAGGCTCTGAGGGAGCTCGCTTACGCTTCAAAGAGGGTATAGTGGGTATAGTCTTCGGTGTTGGAGCGGGTTCCGAAGCAATCTCGACACTGTCATCGTCACTGTCATCACTATCATCACTGCTGACAGACGTTGATCGAAGATCCTGCTCGATCTTCGCCACAGACGTGCTCATAGCACTGCGATCTTTCGCGATAGATCCATTGGCAATACCTCTAGCGCGGCGAGGGAGGCCAATCGTAGGTATAGCAGAACTTTGACCACTGTCCTCTGACGGATGCTCCGCAGAGAACCAGAATTTGCCGGTTGCTCCATACTTCTGGTCCCAATTTCCAAGTCTGTTTTCAAAGGTAACCGGAAGGTAATGCCCTTGGCCTCGACGGTCGGTAGGCTGAATATGACCCGCTTGCTGGGTGCCGTCGAAAAGTATTTTCTTCACTTCGACTGGGCTCAAGGGTGGACTAAGTGTTTGCGCTGCACCATCTATGGGCGATTGAGTGAGTTCATTGGGAAGCTTGAGTTGCTCGGGCGAGTCAGTCGGCTCTTCGCATGCCGAAGAAGTTTGTTCCTCTTGAGACATGCTGGGCCCTAGAAGAAGATTGGGAGATTGAGGTTCATCAACCATGGCATCGGGTTCCATGTAGCTCTGAACGGGCGATGGTTGGAGAGCCTGCTCAAAATCTTCTGGTTGGTCATTGCCGCCCATGCCATCAAAATCTGGTTCATCGAAGAAACTGAAATCCGCATCAGTGATGCCTTTCGACCCGAAGTCTTTCCCGTTTATTTCACCAAAGAGATCTTCCTCATCACTTTCGTCATATCGGCCAGTACCTACCCCTATGCCATTGTTTTGGATGGGTGATGAATCGGCATCCGCAAGATTTCTTCTGGAAGATTGTTGTTGGCCGCGAGAAATACCGAAATCGGGAGCATCGACAAACGCCTCAGATGTGTTTGTAACACTCGGTCCGACTGCGACAGCTCCATCTGGCGGAGTCGGATACACCAGGTTGGTAGATTGTAGATCGGGGTATTGCGCAATCCGGGATAGACTCTCTATGATTTCGCTGGGTTCGACTTTGGGAGAGGGTGCCCTTTCGAGATCCCTGGGCTGGGCTTCGTGGGCAGTAGGGGTGTTTTGAAGATTGGCAGCAACGTCTAGGTTGAGAGAGCCGGCCAAAGTGGGCCATTGTTCCGCAAAATCTAAGGGTTCGTCAAGAAGAGAAGTCTGCGCCCACGAGGAGGATTTTGATGAGCTAGCCCTTCTGAAGCAAAACCTCGCTGGCCATAGCATACGCTTCAAGGGAAGCATGGATGGATTATCATCACTTTGTCGCCATGCTTCCCCAGCAAGTCTCGCGAAAAATGGCTCCCAAACTTCCACCTCCACCCAAGGTTCTTGGTCAGCTGCCCCGACACCCAGACCAAAATTTTGAAGCCACTGCAAAACATCTGATTTCCATTGTGTTTGTTTTGCAGAATGAACCGCCGGCAAGGGATTATCCGGCGAAAGGGTGTTTGAAGAATCAACATTGGCGGTGACAAGTCTAGCAATTGTCCCATTGGGACATAGCCATACGTCGGCACCTGGTTTTGCGATAGGAGTATGACTGATATTGTCTCTTGGATTACACAGCCGCAAGATGCCCGTCTGGGATATAGTTTGTGCAGAAACGGTGATTGTTCCAGCCATGGTCAGCTGAACATTAAGCGTTGTTAGGCATGAAGTGGAGAGAGGGCTGTCATTGTTGATGTGGGGAACCTCATAGCCCGATTTCTCCACCGCCGTGAAGAGAGTGCGTGATCCGAGCGGTAAAGCACCATGGTGTCGAATCAACTGCAGGCTAATCGCTCCAGTCACCGCGGAGATAAATGAAGCGTAAATGGCCGCCGAGCTGCTATAGCTGTCTTGACGTCGAGATGATGGCTGACCCTGCTGTGGACGCGGCTGACCACTAGATTGGGTAGCGTGCTGACTCTGGTTGTCAGATGACAGACCTTTTACCAAGTCTAACGAGGTGACACTGCCTGAAGCAGAGACTGTGAAACACAAATTAGATATCATCAAGTGAGACATGCGCTGAGTTGGATATCAACATACCTTTCAGTGTCGTGGTGCCGATTGTGATTTTATTAGATTCCGGGTCACTTCCCCTCACATACAGGGGTTTCAGACTTTCGAAATCGGGAGTGGGGGAGAACACCCAAAGACCCAGACGCCTCGGGCAAGATGCCAAACAATCTAAATTTCTCAGACGAGCCTCGAGATCTTTGAGGCGACTCAAGTGTTTGAGAATGGTGTAGCCATTGGCGGGGCCTTCCTGAGGATTATTTGTAATACCAACCTCTTCTGTGTATATTCTCCAGTAAACATTAGAGAATCCGTCCTGATGAAGATGTCAGTATCTCACCGAGTATGGCAACCATTGCGATACTAACAATGAGATGTATGTTGGTGTTTGCGCCCCTCGGGAAGTCCATTATTTAATAGTCGCGGACAGCACCGGAAGCCTTTAATGATAACTGGAATTTCGAATGCGACTCTGGGAGTCATTTCCAACCGCAGGTTGCATGGTCTGTGACAAGGGACTGAAAGCGTGTAGCGGAGATAACAAGCAGCAACAGGTGTATTAGCTGTATGATGCCATGTTGCGCGGGACGATATTGACAACAGATAAGGCGTTCTGGCGCAGCACTCGTATGTTTCCGAGCTCAAAACACCGAAACAATCAGCAATGATTCAGCCCGGCTGCCCATCGCGTGAAGTCAACAGAAGGTTGAAATGCGTAATTCCGGGGGACGTTCGCCAGGGACACTCGGGCCAATCACCAATCGGGTGGTCACGTGGTCGCTATCGCTATCGCATTTTTTTTTATCTTCGACTTTGTTCTCGCCGACGGTCGCATTTCAGCTCGAGATAATAGCAGACTGCTCTGCTTGATACCATCATGCAGTTGACCAACCCCTCTCAGGTCCCTGTCTATACGATTTCGGGCTCAAACAGTGCCCGGCCACTCCCCGAATGGCTTGCACGGCGCCGCAAGCGCAGCTTGAAGAATGATCCAGAGTATGCTAATCGCGTTGAGCTGTTGCAAGACTTTGAGTTTGAGGAGGCCAGTCACTGTATTCGTGTCAGTGAGGATGGCGAGTGGGTTATGAGCACAGGCAAGTCTATCATCAGATCCCATGATACCGTCCGCTTTCTTTTTTTCCTTGACTATTAACACAGCGCAGGAACTTACAAACCTCAAATTCACACACATTATCTCCCACAACTGTCTCTTTCTTGGGCTCGCCACACAAGTTCCTTGAACACAACGTTCATTCTACTTTCCTCCGACTACACAAAATCCCTTCACCTTCAATCCGATCGATCGCTCGAATTCCACACCCCAGGAGGATGTCATTACACCACAAGGCTTCCCAGATATGGACGTGACATCGTTTACGACCGTCAGTCAACCGAGGCACTTGTTCCTGCAGTCGGTGTCAACCAGGATGGAATGGGAGAGGTTTACCGACTAAATCTGGAATCCGGTCGGTATATGCGGAGTTTCGAGGTGGACGTGGGTGGTGATGATTTTACATCTGCTGGTGGCGGAACTCTACAAGGCGGAATCAACACAGGCTCTGTAAACACAGCTGCTATCGCAGAGCAGAGTCATAATTTGCTAGCTTTTGGTACGTCACTCGGAACTGTTGAGCTTTGGGATCCCAGAGCCAAGGGACGTGCAGGTGTCTTGCTGCCACCAGTACAGCCTGCCCACGTTGGATTTGATGATGCACGATCTGAGATCACAGCATTGGACTTCAACCGCTCCGGAATGAGTCTTGGAACTGGCTCATCCAATGGACTGATTCACCTCTACGATCTGCGCTCGCCTGTGCCATACCAGGTGAAGGATCAAGGATACGGGTTTGCTGTTCACACTTTGCAATTCCTTGAGCAATCGACCGCAACCCAAGCCGCCACTATGGAACCCAAGCTGCTGTCAGCTGATAAGCGAATCATCAAGCTCTGGGATATCGAGGACAAGATGCCCTGGACTTCCGTTGAGCCGGCTGTGGACATCAAGTCTGTTGCCTGGTGCAAGGACAGCGGAATGCTTCTCACAGCCAACGAGGGCCGACAGCAGCACTCCTTCTTTGTGCCTCAACTCGGACCTGCGCCCAAATGGTGTTCATTCTTGGATAATCTGGTTGAGGAGATGGCTGAGGATCCCAATGACCCCAACGCATTCAAGGCAACTCAGTCAGCTGCCTACCCCGGTTACACCATGGTGACCAAGGACATCATTGAAGGCTGGAAGACGAAGATGATTGAGAGCCATATTCCTCCCATTGATGTCAACTCATACATGCAGGATGGAAAGATGATTCTGGAGAACGAAGGGTCTTGGCAGATGAAGACCTACCTGTATGAGTACCACCAGAGCCAGTTCGGCCAAGGTGAGAGCACCAGACAGAACAAGGTTGAACAAGCAATCGAAAAGCAGCGCGAGAGTCGTATCCGTGGCAAGAAGAAGGTCGATGTCAAGGTGAACAGGAGATTGGCGGAGAGAATGAAGCTTGCAGAGGAAAAGAGGGAACGCAAGCACGCGAAGCGCTTGGTGGAGGGCGGAGGCGATTCCGAAATGGTCGATGCGCCTGCATCTTCCGAGGGCAAGGAAAAGAGTGCTCTGGGCGACAGCCGTTTCGCTCAGCTCTTCGAGGACCAGGACTTTGCTGTCGACGAGACCTCGCGCGAGTTCCAGCTGCTCAACCCGAGCACAGTCCCCGAAGCTGCATCCGCACCCGCGAGAAAGGAACGTGGTCTCACCGCAGCCGAACAAGAGGCCATCGACGAAGTTCCTGGTTCCAGCTCCGACGATTCCGACTCCGAGAGCGAAAAGGAGAAGCCTGCGAAGACAGCGGCTTCAAAGAAGATCTCCTCTGCAGACTACAAGCGAACAAAACGTCCCCCTCCTCGCATGCAAGTATCATCTTCAAACCAAGCCAATTCCACTCGGGATCGTTCATTCGGCTCCCGCGCACAAAACATGAAGTCGAGACAGAAGCCCGCACGCCGCCTCGGTGCCGTCGGCGAGAAAGAAATCAGCTTCAACCCGGCCGGCAAACCCAAGCGCACTGCCCCCGAAGTCAAGTACGACAAGGATACTTCGTTCAAGTCGAAGGAGCGCCGCAGTGCTTCTGGCAACGCATTCCGCAAGATGTAATGCGTCTGCTCACTGGCCTTTTTGTGCCGAACCTCTGTCATATGCTCTCGTCCGGATACCAAATTTGCTCACCCACCTGGAATGTGTGAATGCCAGCATGCCACCCGCTTTTTCTTGGACATGAGCATAATTTCGAACGAAAAAGCCTAATATCATTCAGCTCAACAGTGGCACGTATTCAGTACGATCTAATGAGTTGGCTTTTTCGCTTTAACCCTGGAGCAAGTGCTCTCCGAAGGACGTCACTGCTTCTCTACCAGACCGCACTGTTCTATTGTGCGGTGATCTTCTTCGTGCTCGATCGGAATTTCATCTCACCTTCATGGGCAGCGTTGGGCCCGCCATCGAGGAATACTAGCCTACTAGCCGTGCTGTACATATCACTATTACCTCACTGTATCTTAACGTATCAAAAGCGAAATCTACATTCTTGATATCATGGTCAAATTCTCCCACCTCCCAATGGGTAGCCCCCGATCGCAATACCCTGCCTTGGAACAGTACCTGGGTAGAAATGAAAGGAAACATCGTTTGGTTCGTATCGGAGACAATGATATCGTACTCATCTTGTGTATGAGGATTGAGTTGGGAGGCACTAGCAAACAATGCGTATGAGGGACGATTGAAGCGCGTACAATAGTGGCTTTTTGAATAGCCCAAAATAGATGAGTCCCTTTTGATACATTACTCCAGACAATTCCCTCATTCACCATTGTTGAATTGACCGAACCTATTGCTGTTCATTGTTCTTCATTGTTCGTACTTTTATACCAATCGAATATAGAGCCTCAGGCAGCGATGAAGTAATCGGGTGTTAGCACTAAACCCGAAGGGGCCTCCGTGCAACGTCGACCCTGCCATCTTATCGCAAACCATCGAGTCCATTGTTCCTCCATAAATACCTGATTGGGTGTGGAGCTTGTTTTCTGGTTCTCTTCATTTGGGGTCCTGTCACTTCACCAGCTCCTCCCTCGAGGCACGCTCTTTTCCCCACAGAGGAGTCAATCACGAGCGCCAGCCCACTTTCGACCTACACCTCTCGACAGCTTCTCGTCAAGCCGACGCCAAGCCCAAATCTTCGGCTTCCAATGTCCTAGGCCCATAATATAGGACTTGAAAATTGCGCTCCAACCAGTCTACGGATTCTATCCTTCGTCTCGGGTCGCAATCTGGCCTTTTGTTGACGCAAAGGTGCAGATCATTGAACACTAAGGGCCATATGCCTATGGCGGAGACCAAGCGTCAGAATTCAGTCAAGGCGCCGGCGCAGAAGCAGTCCGGCAACGCCACAGGCTCAGGAATGGCGGCAGCGGCAGTGCCCTTGGAGGCAGCTTTGAGCGGGGCCATTGGTGCCCGGTGAGTCTTATCTGTCACTAAATGTGTCTACAATCCCACCGAATTGCAGGGCTGACTAGGCTCTTTTGTTGTCTTGTAGCGTCCGTATTACGACCGCTCAACCCACTCAGTCGACCCTGGAAGGTACTCTTTTCACCGCATGCCCGATCACCAACCTGGTAGCAATCAACACAGTCCCTGCGAACAACCCCGGTGATGCTAAACAAGCGCAAACCGGTAATTATCACGTCATTCCTATCTCCCGCATCCAGAACTTCCAGCTTCTTGCGCTAGCCGCGCCCTCAAACTCCAACTCTTCCTCCTTCACAGATGCGCAACCCACAATCCAGGCCTTGGACACACGTGCGCTCAAGGCTCGTGAAGCAAAGGCGATTGGCGATGCATTTGACCGCGAAGCACGTCGTGGCAAGGGTGTGACACGGGAGGCTCAAGAGCTGTTCGATGCTTTCAGTCGCACCATGCCAGCGCGGTGGAACGGACATAATATAATTGTCGCTGATGCTGTCACCATTGCTGCACCCTATCGGATCGATGATTGTCGCCCGATTGTCGAGGGCGACACGGCTGCTCTTGCTAGAGTGCGGAAAGTGGTAGGTTCTTTCGGTGGTCGAGTCAGCTTACTTACGATTCGCAAACTAATGACTTTCACTTTAGCTTGAGATGGAGCGCAAGAAAATTGAGCTTCGCAATGCCAGCGCTACCATCGGCTCTACTAGCACGTTCTCGCGCAACCCCAGCAGCCCCGGTGACCAGCGCAAGGGTGGCTAAAGTGGCTGTGTCATCGATTCAGGCGTCTGCAACACAGGTCCGACCATTGTGACTTGCTTCAGCGTTGAAAGGAGCGATGTGAAGCGCTCATTAAGATTTATGGAAAGATACCCCTAGCGAGCGAGCGATGTTGCAATGAGATTGAGGCAGATTTGAAGGTGGATCTTATAACCCAATTGCGCAGTCATCCACACTGCCCGGCTAAGGACCTCCCATCTCCGGATCTCAATGGACTCAAGTCGACGGTATTGCTGCCAACTGCCTTCCCTCGCATCTCGTTGTTGGGCTGTTTCCGGTTGAGAATAATATTTCCATAGTCGCTTGCTACAATACCAATTCTTCGACATAACCACATTGATATGTTCCTTAAATATTTAAGTGTAATAAACAAGTCATAAAGAAACGCATCCAAATTATGAGATCGCTGACATGCTGATGCTGATGCTTAAAAGAAAAATGGATGCTCATAAGGAGCAAGCGGCTGGAATACAAAAAACAAAAAACAAAAAACATTACTATGGTCAACAGACGATCACACACTGTTCCAGCCAGTGGCCGCATGCGAGTTGAATCTAGGCCGAACTAATGGGGGCTCGCCCGGGAATGACATCTGACACCGTTCCAACAAAGCCCTCCAGTCCTGATATTGAAGTCGGAGTAGAGTTGGACCCAGACGCAAATGCAGACGCCACAGTGGCTCCTGTTTGAGACGACGCAGGAGTGACCGAAGTACCTGGCATCACAATGACTTGGGATCCGAGCTCGAGCCACTCGACCGAGGAAACAAACGCAAATGTGATCTTCACGTCCTCTTTAAGTGCTTGTGCAGAGGAAGCGGTACCTACAATCGAGGCAGATGCGGTGCCAGATACCACTTTGCTGATGTCCATGGCGGAGCTGCGTCGGCGGTCTGAATCGGAGGCCCCGTCACAGTCCACCTGGCTCATGATACTATTTGCACTAGTGGGATTAGACTTATCCGCAGGCAAGTGGGAATCACCATCGAAGTTGAAGAACTCGGGTTCAGATGGAGAAGATGGCTCCGACGACGTCTCTTCACCAGTGCCGGCAAGAGCCATGCAAATTACGCGCACCGTGGTGCGAACATTGGCAACATAGGCTATCGCATTTCCTCCTAGTAACAGTGGAGGAGAGTTCGGGGCAGAGAACTCGGCTGAGCGGAACGTGGCGGTGAATCCGGTGTGGAAAGGCAATGAAAGCAACGCAGGAGCAGGCGATATTTCATTCCCGCCCGAGGTTGAGACATGGAAGTCTGAAAGAACCATGCCTTTTCGTATTCGACCGAAACGTGGTAAGACACCATCTTCTAAATAGCCAACTGGCTCAATGCCAATTGTTCCCACCTGGTCTCTCACAAGACGTCGCACTGGTAGTCGTAAGTCCCTTACACTAACAACGCGGATGCGTTGCCATTTCGCTTGCGGGTCTTTGCCAGACAATAAACTCTGCGGGAGGGATGCCGGATGATCGCCCGAGGGACCGGGCCCACTGCGGGACAGCGACCCTCCCGGTGTTTGGGCCTCTTGGCTTGAATCATTGGTAGTGTCCACCAAAATGGGGCCGATGACCATCTCATCACCAATAGAAATACTGCCACGTCGGACCAAACCGCAGAGCACCATTCCCCGATTTTCTTGTCCATTCGTCTCTGAGTCTATTGAATAGACTTTGGACGGTGGGATTGCAAATACTTCATCCACGTCGAATATGTTCGAGGAGCCATAAGGCGACATTGGAACTCCATTCGGGACACGAACGATTCTTTGCGAAGGTCTTGCGGGGATTGGGAGGGACCGAAGGAAAGCATGGAGCTTGCCTATACCAGAACCATCTACCGCACTAGTCAGAAGGATGGGCACAGTATGAGCCCATTTTCCTTCGGCGGCAGCGATCGCTTTCTGCGCTTGGAGGCTGTCAACATCACTGATTTGCTGAAGGTCGACTGGTTTGTCACCAACGGGCGGTGTTGGGAGTATTGCAGACTGTCGTCCAGCGGATTTGACCGTAGAGAGAACTCTGGCAAGCGTGTCTCTTAAGCCACTGCGACTTGCAAGATCCATCTTTGTGATGATAATCAACACGGGGACCTCTAGCTTCAGGCAAAGTTCTAGGTATGCCAAACAGGTTTCAAGCTCGGATTGCTCATTTCCTGCCTGCCCGGCGTCAAGGGTCTGGTCGGAGGAATTGGCTGGAATGCACAGCATTACATAGTGCGGGGCCCAGCTTACTAGGCCTCTCAACGTGGATTTGAGATATCGGACAGAGCCAGGCAAGTCAGACACAAAGGCCAGCCGCCCTCCCTTTGATGCAGCATGAATATCATCCCAGCCAGCAACATTGCCAGAGGCATAGTTGATCACATTGGGAGACGAGCCGTTAGTATATCCAATGAGTTCCTGGGCAACTGAACTGGTTATACCAGACGAGATCTCGTGGCGGTGTTTGAGCAAGCTCAGCCTACTTTTACCTCTTCCGTTGTCGAGTGCAGAGGAAGTCAAAGCCCCGAGCAAAGATGACTTTCCGGCTGTGCTGGGGCCTGTGAGCGATATTCGGATCTGTTCCGTATGAGAGTAATCTTCACTGGAAGGTCCATCGTTCCCTGGCTTTGGGTCTACTGCATTTCTCAGACCTTGTTTGATCTTGGCCTGGGATATATTGTAGAAGTCCAGGTCCGGACTGACTAGAGCCTCAGCAACCCAGAGCCTCTCGGTGTGGCTGTGCGTTGAGTCAACCGGCTCAGAGGGCGAATCCTCAGCCCACTCGCATTGTCCAACCACGACTCGGCGGAGAATTTCGACTTTACATCCGAGGCTAGCAGCCATCGTTCGCAAGTTGGACACACTTTCATCCACCTCGTCTTGAGTGAGGCCTACGAAAGTACCGTCGTCGGCGACACCAATCTCGTACAACGCACCTTGACTCTCCTCGAGGCCCGGAAGCAAGCGGGCGGGTTTCAAGGGTGCACCCAACTCCGGTGCTGCGTCGGGGAGGACTGGCACAACAAGTTTTGAAGTGGTAGATGAATGAAAAGGGGAGGACTGCTGCAAACGCCACAGTAGTTGGGTAGTCAGCCCCTGCAGTCGCTGCTGGCGGCTCTGATTTGATCTTGTTTGCATCGGTCTCAGAGTCGGCTCCGAACTTGGCGACGCAGATGTTGATGTCAAAGCACGATGATGAAATGAACCCGCGACAAGATTGCCTGTCGAGATAGAAATATATGAACGTCTAGGCCGAAGCAGCAGGTGCAATTTGTATTCCGTGGGGCCCTCCTGGGGCTCTGGCTCGAGTTTGGAAATTCCATAGTCGGACAATAAGTCTGCGCTGGTGCGCGATAGAGCTGTGCTGGAACGCGACTTAACAGCTAACCCCCGACTCGCAGATGCGGGTACTTGGGGGTCGATGATCCCGAAGTCGACCATGGGGAAGACACCCGGGGCGGGTCGGGGTCATAGGTGAAGATGGACGCCATATTATCAACGACTCAGACAGGCCGTAAAGGTATTGGTAATAAACAATAATATAGAGATAGATAAAGCTTTCCAAGACTCAAGCCGACAAAAGGCATTGTACTAAAAGAATTGAAACTGTGAAGCAGGACACTTCCATTGAGTCACAATAATTGGGGTCATCCCCGAGATCACGTGGTTGCCTCTAAACATCAAAGGGTCCAAGGTCCGGCCTTGGCTGTTCTGCTCACAATATTTGAGACAACAATTCAATTCGGTGAGACAGCTTTGAATCCCTCAACGCCAGGTCTTGATCTCCTGGCAAAATGATGTGTGTTCATATAAGTTATGTCTCTACTCGGTAGATGATTCTCTGCCTTCGGTTCTGCATTTCCCTTGAGCAACATGGATATTGCGAGCTGTCGTGCGAGTGAATACCGCACCACATACCGGACATTCAGCTTTGGCCACTACACCCGATCTTTCACGCTGGTGCCGAAGCAGATTGCTGAATGTGGAGAACTCACGGCCATTGCAGCCATGGTCCCAGCATTGTGGTCGCGGACGTGATGTCGCATGTCGAATCGGAGGATCTGTATCTGCGGTAGAGGTGGCCGCAGATTCTGGTGAAGAGTAGGTTGGCTCAGGACTGATCATCGAAGGTGGGTTGGAGTTAATGGTTGCACCATGTGATCTAAAAGTTAAACATTGATTAGGATGGTGAGATATAACGCCAACGCACAACTCACTGGATAGCTGTGCCTTCGTGGAAGTAGTAGCCGGGCTGGTTCATCATATAAGGGGCACTGTGCAGAACGTCAGCTTCGTGATTGTTGGGCGACGCAGGCCACATGGATGATTTGTTTGACATACGACGTCATGAGAGGTTGTTCGGTCAATGTGGGTGGGACAGAGGGGGAATGAGAGTGCATAGAAGGGCTAAAATGTGCGCTGCGTTGCTCGTGTCAGACGTATGTTGCGAAACAATCAAGGAACCCACTTACCCTTGAGATTGACTGTGGGGTGCGACAGTCCTTGGTGTGCTAAGATACGACGGCGATAGTTGTGGCTCATGTTGTTGGTATCCATGATATGATCTGAGATGCTGGCCAGAGTAGCCTGTTGGATATGCCGGGGAAGGGTATGGTTGGTGTGGAGATTGAAATGGTGGGCTAATGTGTCCTGGTGATGGCTGCAAAGGGTAAGGCCTGCCCGTCCATGGATGCTCTGCAAATTTCATCAAAGACATATCTCAAAATTGACTCGGGACTCCTTACCATGGGGATTGTGCTGCACCGGGCCAGCGAAGTACATATCTGATACCACCGACATTGGGTATGATGAGACGCCAAGGCCGCTGCTGGGAGAATTACCTGGTTAGCCCTGGATGCGACTCAGGTATGAACATATCATTCTCTTATGACTTGCCGTGAGGTTTGTGAGGACAATTCCTGTCTGGTGTGATTCGTGTCCTCAATAGGAGGGTGGCCGATTGGATCGTTGAGTGGATAATCTGAGCTCAGCAGAGTGTCCAGTTGCCTAGGAGGGATAAGCGCTGTTGCTGATTGCTGTGGAGAAACTGAAAGACCAAATCTTTGCGCTGACAGGGAATGGTTCTGCGCAACAAAAGCACCGTGACCAGACCAGTCAGGGCTTGATCCTGGGATAGCCGGTGAAAAGCTTGGAGTTTCCACTGGATCAACTGGCGGAGACAAAGCTTCAATGTCGGATGGGCAATCTGAGACTGGCAAACTTGATTGAGTCCTGGGAGAGAATGATGCCTGTGAGCCAGATTCTCCAGGAAACATTAGGAACTATATAAGTCGGGGACATGTGAGATTGCACGTCCTGCAACAGGGGCGAAATGATACGAGTGAAAGGGAATAGTGATGCTTGAAGGTGTCAACATACAGTTTGTGCCCCGAAGATTCGGTCAATGCCCTAGGTATAGGAAATCAAAAGGGCTTTGGGAGGATTCTAACTAGGCCACGGAACGGGCGCGATGAAGTGTTTAAAAGCCCCCATCGATGGGTGTCTACCGAAGATCCCCGCAATAATTTTATGATCTGAGTCCCCGGTTGGGTAGCTTTGCTGGCCCACAGGTTCAAAAAACCAATACCTAGTTCTAGAAAATTTCTCTGCATTCAATGCCGGGGTTGTTGCTGAAACACACTTGTGTCCACTACCCGTTTGTTCACCGTCTTGGTCGATCTTAAATGTGAGATCATTGGCTGTTTAACACGTAAGAACACCGGACTGGGAATTTAAAAGACTTTAAAAAAAAATAAAAACCAAAATCTTATGGATCTTCAAATTGGGTGGGCCGATGGGAACTACTATCACGAGCCAGAGCCGGACTTTTGACCCCCACAAATGACGGGTACGACAGAGTCTATGCGGGAAAAAACATTCGGGAGAGATTGCGACTGGGGCCATGGTCTGTACAGTAATGATCCTCCTTGACAGGGGAGATATCTTGGTCTGGGCATGAAATTTAGCCCCATTATAGGAATTGGGGGCGAATTGGGGGCCATGACGTCCCCGATAGTTTACCGCGTGGCTGGCACCAAAGTTCTATGATTTTTACGGCGTACGGAATATGACTAGGTTGACTAGGTAAGAAAAAGAAAATGGGGGTTGGAAAGACTGGGAGTCGATGGAGTCCGCCATCCCCGGCCCGCCGGTGCTTGTCCATGGCCCCTATCAGTCTTGGCCCCCACGAACACGGACGCACCGTTGAAAGGAAAAGATTTCACAATGGTACGTGCATTTGAAACCCAATCTGGTGGAATGACATCTTAGTTCGAACGAAAAGTATACGTTGAAACGAAACTCAAAACGTACGCAAGCTCCTATCTGGGTAAACGGTAGTATTCAAAACCCTACGTAAATCGGGTGATTTCCGCCCCAGATAGTCAACCCGAACTAGGCCTAGTAGCATCCGGTTCTCGGTTCGTTTTAGCTCCCAAATAATTAATACCCTGGGTGTTATAGGTCTTGGGTGGTTGGTCCAATATCCGGGCCGTTGGATCTAGGCAAGCATGTATCAAGATAAAAAAAAAGTTGAAATGGTGGATCCAGCAAAACATGGCTCAAGCGAAATGGCATTTGTCAGGGTCTCATGATCTTCTGCCCTTTTATTTAGCGCTGTGGCAATTTAGTGTCTTCCCCAAAGCTAACGTCGGACTGGTGCGCTTGTCAAAAAGCCCAATCGACCCCTGTAGCCATAGGCGTGATCCGCTCTACCCCCAAGGGATCTGCACTTATATCACTCTCAAAGATCCAAGCCATGTGTCGAACCTGCATTGGAGATCACTCTAGCCCTTCGAACTTGGGTGGGTGATATGCATAAAACCATATGGATATGCATGTAAACGTCGCTGACCCTAGGAAACGTGTAGAACTTCATGACTGCCTCTTGACACACGAGGGGACATTTTCCCCAAAGGATACTGATTGAAAGGACCACCAAGAGCCCGAGTCAACGGTCATTGTCGCTATCTGATGCACTGGCGTATACCATACTGTTGCAATATGAGGATGATAAAGCGTTTTGTTTTTTTTAATTTTTTTTTGAAATGCACATTGTTTGCATACCCACTTTTGATGTGATATGCCTTGGCCAAGTCGCCAAGAAAATAAATCAGAGACAAAATAAATTCCAAGAAGACCAGAAGCCTACCGGATAATGGGTGCTCGGTCTGAAGATTCTCGGTCCACGGGTTGAGCCCGTAGATACTCTTCAGCAAGAAACTCGCACCAAAAACCTCGGAAATGGAGTCCTGCCCGAGCGGAGGACAAACAGGAAGACTGAACGGAGTGCAGATGACGGAACTCGGCGGTAGTCTACTCCATACGATTACACGAAGTGGAAACCTGAGTAAATGAAGAGGATCAGCCGTTATTGATGCTGATCATTAATGTGTTGTGCCCAAAAGCCACCGCTCCATCATTTGGTCCCTGTTGATCCTTCAAAATCATCAACATAGCACCTGGCATCCACCTGCAAGTCGGGAACAAAAGGCGTCTTGGCCGTTCATCGCCTTGGTACGAGTTTCAATGCTATCATAGACTCTGCTTTACTAGAAAGTGCTCGCACCGTTATCTTCGTATGACTTTTAGTTTTTGTAGACCCGTGGAACAAGTTGCGGTCTTTTGGGGTCAAAGGTACCAAAACACTAGATACATGTCAATTCTCCGTGGGTTTAAAAAATGACAGCTTTGGATGAATGTATTGGGTTTGAATAGACCCCAGATCTGTTCACTGATCACAATAGATGAATGATCCAGAGGAATGTGGTGGGTGAGTTTTACAACAGAGGTGAAGGGTCACATCACGTGACACCACGTGACGATATCTTCTCAGCTTCTGCGATTCCGACGGCATCACCAAAAACCAATCCGCGCTCCTCGCTCCTGGCCCCCACAGTAATACCCATCTGCCAGCGGCTCATCCATCACCTCAAATTTTCCACTAGCGTGCAGCTTGAACTGCCAATATGAAGCTCGTCCGGTATGTGTCGACACTCCATTGTGCGCGGCGAGAAGAGCTCCCGCGGCGCATGAAGCACCATCAAAGCGCATCTGCTGACCTTGTGTGATCTTCCAGATTTTTGATGAAATGTGCCAATGAAACGGTCACTGTGGAGCTGAAGAATGGTGAGCTACCCCCCGCGCATGCTGTCAATCCCAACCTTGCATCTCCAAAGGCCACAGCCTCTTCGAAAAACGCAAAGCATGGCATCCTCTAACTTGATCCTTGTGTATAGGCACAATCCTTCACGGAACCATCACCTCTGTCTCCCCTCAAATGAACACCTCTCTCCGCACCGTCAAGATGACCCCGAAGGGCCGTGACCCCGTTTCCCTCGATACCATCAACATCCGTGGCTCAACGATCCGTTATTACATCCTCCCTGATAGTCTTCCTCTTGACACCCTCCTCGTGGACGATGCTCCCAAGCCGAAGAACAAGGCGCGAAAGGAGACCGGAGATCGTGGCCGCGGTGGCCGCGGTGGCCCACGAGGCCGTGGTGGCCGTGGAGGACCTCCCCGTGGTCGTGGTCGCGGTCGTGGTTTCTAAATTTCTAAATTTTGTGAGAGGGCAATCTGGCGTTTTTAGTCTTCGAAATTCGGTTCTGTTTTGCATGATCACAGGACACAAACAACATGTCCTTTTCTTCTTATTACCCACGGATTCCGGTTCGAACATGGGCGGTATATCGAGCAACAAAAAAAGCAATTGAAACGGATATCTCTGCCCATGAATTTACCTGGTTCCATGGGCCTCGAATCGCAAGCTCCCACCGCGATGCTGGCTAAGTGCAAAGTATCAAAAGTTCTTGAAACAAGCCGGCTCCACCAACCCAATCCACGCTATCAGACAGTGTGGTTTGCCAAGGCGAAAATTGAGGATCATAGACAATTGCTTTGGGACAAGAACCCCCCAAAAAACATATGACTTAAACTCAAATGAAAGACATACTGAAACCAGACATACTTGCTATACATTCTCGGCTCCGGCTCCGCTTGTATAGCACTCGTGGACCCCCGGACAGCAACGGATCTCCCCTGACGCGTATCTAGTAGCCTATCGCAAGGTTCCAAAATTCACCATCACCCACACGCACCTTGAGGCAACACTGAAACTCTAAATGGATAATCAATTTAGCAACCAGCGTTGGGTATCTCGGGTAGCAATTCATCTCGAGATCTGCAAGACACGCCAAATGTATTTCTCCGAGAAGTGCCCGAGACCTCGGGTTCGCGTGAAAACACTCGTTTTTCAAACGGCCCAGGAAACTGCCCAGGTGCTCGGTAGTCTACTATTCGTTGTCCAGGAAAGGGATATTCGTACGGAACACTGTCACCTGGGCACGGGTTGATTGGACTTCATTGTTCCGCCGAGTCAACTCGGAATTTGCATCCAATGGAGAGTAGTCCAGACTCCACCAACACTGGTGAAGGCGTAACCTTGGAAGTAGAATGCTGTTTGAATAGCTGATTCTGAATGGACAGAATATGGACGCCGAACCCTACTTCGTGCCTATTCGGGTTCGCTCTCGCGAGTGGTCTCGAAGATTGATGCTAACACATACCAGGGACCTACTCCGTATCATGAAAACGGCTTGTGTATTCCACAATGCACTGAAACAGAAGCACTGGAGCTCGCTAGCCAAGCAGCAGGAGCCCACCTGGGCACCTGAGCAGGCCCACGGGTGCCCAGGTGTAAGTAGAATACCGACTTCGTCCAGTGGGCGCAGCAGTAGACTAGTGAAATTGAATGCCGTAAAGTCAAAGTAGATTAAAAGAATAAACAGTGATCGCCAGAAAGACTTCGGAAGGTGTCTCAGAGCTCAAGCCTCACAATGGCAGTCACTGAGCAACGCAACTATAAGGTCCTCGTACAAAATGTGGACTGCATGAGGAATTTCCCTGTCGCTGTTATATCGCGAATGAAATCCACCCAGCATGATGCGTTCAAACACCTCGAATAGGATTTTCGATGGACTCATTACGAAGTATGCTGAGTTCTTGGATCGAGTGATTTGGATCATTAAGGTCTGCCGTAGTCCTCTTACAGCTAGAGTGAGCCGAGCCTTTTTGATCCATATACTAGCATTTGTGCAATCACGTCCCGCTACGCCAGGAATGAAAGTGGATGGCGGGCGCAGAGCATCCGAAGCGTCCCGTGTGCGAACTACAGAATGCCTGATCGATCCAATTGTTCACAGTTTAGCTCCTCCGGGGCCGGGCCCGGATTTCGGAGATGGCACTTTGGTCCCCATTGCAGATTTCATTATGCTTTCTTTTAGCTTTTTTCTTTTGAATCTTTGAATTTGTAATGGATTCCCAAGGGAGATCTGTACGGAGTAAATTAGATAGTATAATCCTCCAAAGCCTAGAGACACCCTCAGGTGACGTATGCATCTGGGGCATCTAAAAAGTTACCCCTGGGGTGCCATGTGGTCTACGGAGTAGTTTGATTGCCCGTTAGGCTCCCAATCAGCTGGTTCTGATATCATATTTTGGTATATTTTACCGTCTGAGACGGGCATCTTCCGTACAGAGTACTATGAGACATTATTGCGAACTAGTACCGAAAAACGCGGTGCCCAGAAGAGATAAGCTCAATGACCCATTGTCCCTGTTACAAATTCAGTACTCCGTAACTGGATAGAGATCCAGTCTAAGCCATGATCCTCACTAATATACATGTGACCTTTGACCCGCATCGTTGAGAACGACTGCCGATCTTAATCACCAGGGCCGAAACAGCGGTACCCTATAATCAAAAAGCATTTAGCCTTTTTGACCGTTGACGGCCACGCCTTGTCATCCCGATTTGGCATTCCTCTGGCCCAGTGGGGGCCAAAAAGACCGAAAAGGCGGGTACGAATCGGCGATCTCCCTTCGTCAGAAACTCCAGATGGCATGACACCTGGGCATGTGGAGACCGAATGATTGCTCATAGTGGAGATCCGACATTTCACTGACTGTCAAACTTTGAGCGGGCATCGAACTGATCAAAAGGAGGCAATGAAGCCTCCTTATGTGAAGAAATCAGAGTTTGCCCAGGAATACCCCGCCGATGGTTCGATGTGAAGATGAGTAATGTAGAAAAACAAAATCCACTGGCAGGTCTGATAGTGATGATCAGTACGGAGTACACATTGGGAAACTGCTTCAGCTCTATTGATCTTCTAGAGGCAACTGCCAAAAGCAGTATGAGGTGAATTCATCGGCTTCCATGTTGAGTTAGAGGCTCATTGACTGCGCAAGAATTGCCTAGTTGTCATTGATTTAAATGACGATCAAAGTATGCCGGCGAATTCAGCTCGATTTGGACTCTAGCGACCATCGTTTTTGATCCCCGGGCCCTGCCAAAAAAAAAAAAGGAGTGACCTCGAGTTCTATGGGTGGATTTTGAAAACCAGGGATTTGATCAAAGGGTTCTCCTTAATCTAGGAGATAGGCTCTAAACCGTTCAATCATGCTCATCCACACTTGGTCTAACATGATTAACGTGAATCCCTCCCTGCCATCGCATGGTTCTCGGCAACCCTGTATGCGTCATCGCAGCTGGTATCTTGCAAAGCTTTTCATTACCCCCAAAGCTTTCCGCCACGGTGAAAAGCTTGGAGTTATGACAGAAATTTGAGGCAGCATCAAGCCACTCAAGACCGGGTCAGTTGCCAATGGAGAACATTTGACGACTATTGCAATGTTTTGAACATGAAGAAAGCATCTTGAGCCGCGGTGCGACACGAAGACGAAATGTCTGGAGTCCACGATGAGCCAGTCGTTGGTCAGAAATGCCGGGCACGCTTCTAGCGGCATTTTGAATGAACGAAAATCGTCATTTGGTCTTGAGGCAGTTCAAAGTAATTGCCCTCATCAAGCACCCTTGGGCATTTGACTTCGGTCTTTATCACATTTGAAGTACTCTGGATCTCATGGTGTGGCCGCTGATATATTTTGTCACAGAACAAACACACTGTTTGCTCAAAGTCAAGAGATGTTTGGAAATGTCGTGACAAGAATGTGTTGTCCACAACAGCCAAGGACCCTCCGATATGGGCCATATCAGCTACAGCCCTGGTGTCGGCAAGAGAAAGGGTCGGAGTGGTCGGTGACTCAACCCACACAGGTCACACTCTCTCTTGAGACTTATAAATGAGTGGAGCTAACTTTGCATGAATATCATCCACAAATGATAGCTTCATGCCAAAAGCCGGGGCGAGATGCATCAAACACCTCAGCGTTCCACCTTATAGGCTGCCCAGGGCGACAACATGGGAGTTTATTTCCAGCTCTCGGAAAATAGCAACAGTTCTGCCATACCAGGAGAGGAAGCTAAGTCATGTTCGGCGGATTGAAGGCTTGCAATAACTCCTTCGAAACTTTCCGGATTTGAAGTTGAAGAGCGGCATGTAAGATCACACGTGGAATACAGCCTGCTCTGGAGAAAATGTAGCTGCAGGGCAAACCTGGACACAGCCTTGTGAGTGTTGGGAAGCATCTGAGTATTTGGAGCAAGCGTACCGGCTTGACCTAGGCACCTGTTGCGGGATCATGCGGGAGCCCGGCTCGAATAACACGGGTGCGAAACCCTTGCAGTTTTGGGAATTCGTGTTCTATAGGTGCATTGGCTTCGCATAACCAGAAGAACACTGAAACCATACATGAAGGCTCTCATGGTCGGATCGCCTTGGATGATTCATGTGATCGAAATGCTTGATATCAACGTTAGTCCTGTGATTCTCTCACACCCTCTCACTCACTTACTCACCTTCTTTTTCTCGTCCTTCACAATACATTACCTGATCGTCTATTCCTGCTCTCGGACTCTCGACACTGCAGGATGGAGCCCTCCATGTAGGTAGCATCTGTCTGAGCATCACATAAGATGACTCAACTCTTCACACATGTTTCTGAGGTACCATGTAGCGACTTTGGCTATTGAGGTGGGAGCAAACCTTTACGACAACACAGTGTATCGTGAGACGAGAAGAGGAAGGAGAGAAAAGAGAGCTCTCTCGGCCCACGTTGTCTACCTGCGGGGAGCCTGACAAACCGGGCACCCACAGACCCCGACATTGGATCTACTCAATTCCTCATGCCTGGCCGATGCAGTAGCCTTGAATCGCTCATTTGCTAATCTTCTTAAGCTTGTTTCGTGTGGAGTCCTTGTGGAACACCCAAATCTCACGGCTATGGCTTAGACACATGGGGCAGGCCCAATGGCGGGACTCATCTCCAACAGTCCCGTATTTAGGGCATCAAGTCTTCAATTGCTTTCTGCCGCATTCTTCCCCTTTGAGATCTTTCTAGTGCCACTGATTTTTTTCTTTCATCGGGAAGGAGGGCGGAGATTAAAAATGTGGAAACAGGGTTTGACCCTTCGTCGCGGACATATTCAAGTTCACCTACGGAGTTGTGCTGACTTTGTTTCAACTGGGAATATCTTAGCATGCTGCTATTGATTACACAAAATGATTGACGTCTTTATCCCGTGTCATATCGCATTCTTTCAAGGTTGAGCTCATATTACAAATGTACGAGAAGATTTGAAGAATTAAACGCCTTGAAAGCTACCGATTAAGAGTCATCATCAAAGACGCCGCGGGCATAGGGATAGAAATTTTTCGAAGGATGATTAGCACAACAGGCTACTTACCATGCCCAGGTGGTCCGTGGAGTCCACGGGGAAATCTTGGAACAAATCAAACTTTTCATCATAAATGGTTCCAAGTCTCACGCTGAAACGAGTAGGGTTGTTTTACACACAGCATCCAAGTACTGATATTTTGTCTCCCCCACTACTAGTTACAATTTTATAAATACATAGCCAAACCGCTTTTCAGTCTTCAGTTGTCATTCTTTCTCCTGTTCAATCAATACACGTCAACAGTACGGACAATGTACGGTTTCAACATCATCACTACGGTGGCGCTCTTCGGGCTGGCCCATGCCGGAGATAAGATCGGATTTGGACCAAACTTCGCTGTGAGCTCAACCGGTAGCACATGGATCAAAGAGGGCAATACTACCCTCATTTTACCCGAGACTCCTTCGCCACAGGTAGAGCGTCTGGCTATCTGGCCTGGGATGGAGACTTCCAACGGCAATCTGGTGCAGGCACTCGCTGTCTCCTTTGAGGATCCCGCAGCGTGAGTTGACGAGGGCTAGATACAATGAGCTCCCTTGCTGACTTTATAAAAGGAACTGCGGTGCACAGAAAGGACAATGGTGCGTTTGGGCTAGCACACTGCAAGGTGAGTAGAAACCTTAACGCCTGAAACTGAGTCCTAGCTGTACTGAACTCATGCCAGAGACTCAAATTTCTGGAAAGATGGTGCCCGCATCACCTGGGGATAGAATAACTATGCACTGTCCGTTTATATCTACATTGCTGTGATGATAATCACTGATGGTTGAGACAGACGTTTACAATGACTCGACTGGCGAATATGACCAGTCTTCGGCCATCAATGGAGAGATTGTCTCTACTCTTTCTACCAGTAAGAACTCGTCTTCTCAACAATTATTCTGGGGTTTATCTGACAATTGCAGGCTCTGGGCAAGCTCAGAGGTGGGATGTTGCTGTAGAATGTCAGGTAGATGCCTGCACGCGTCGCTCTCCTCCTCACAGTGAGTCATTGTCTATTCTTCGATTGCAGATTTTGAAAAAAAAAAAGAGAAACATTGGAAAAGGAAAAGAGAGAAGAAAACTAATCTGAGCTCAGGATATGTTGATACAACAATTATACTCAACGAAGCGAACCCTTACTGGTCGCAAGGCTTAAACACCAAGTGGTCTGAAAACTCAGGCCTGGAGACTACTGACGGGGGCAGAACATGGACAGTGAGTACCATCGAACTCAATTCGCACTTATATGACGAGAGCGATATCCAGTACGATTAAGCATCTTGATTTTATTTTTGGGGAACGGACAGGACTTTGATGGTTTCTAAGGTCCTTTAGCAGAAAGCCAAAATCTTGCTTCTATCGATTTGAGTAAAAGATATCCGAATCTAAGTGTACGGAGTACGATAGAATACCTTTTGATTTTAACTGGTAGTCGTCGATCCAGATGGGCACTCTCAAGGCGGAGCCTCATGAAATTCGGGCTTGGGCCCCGGCGGCCCGGGGCCTGTTTTATTGCTGACTCGTTTCTCCGCTTCCCCGGGGTCCGGGGCCGCGGCGTTTCTATTGCATTATCGATGTGATTCCTTGCCCCTGGTCTGGGTCACAGGTGTGTCTTCAGTCAAATACACCTAGACACCTGAACATTTTTCGGGTGACAGAAATGTATGCCAATCCCCTATCAATGGATCTCGTCAAACCTTGGAAGTCAATGCATGAAAGATGACAATGTGCGATTGTAACTTGTCTATCGTAAGGCAATCCTCTTCTCTTGGTGTTCAAGTCAATCTTGCCCTCTTATAGTGCATGGAGCCTGGTTCAATGAACGCTTGATTGTCTCTTGATCTCACTGCGGGGAATGACTTTCCAGGCAGTGTCCCTGAACGGTTACTCCCGAGGCCCGCAGTTTATTAACGATTTTGTCGACTCACCGCATCACATATACATCTGCACTGTGACCATGCTGCAGGATGTCCCTGCCGCCCAGGTTTTAAACGATGATCTTTACCCTTGGATAGACCATTTGGGCACATGTACTCTGTACGCACAACCTTTGAACCCCTGTTCATCGGGCAGGACTCGTTTTTGTTTCCATGACTTCGCGAGTCCCTGCGATAACACGACTTCGAACCAAATCCACCGAAGGCAAGGTATTCCACTGCACGTCCTTTTTTTTCTTCTTTTTCTTTTTTTTGCAATAATACGAAAAAGTCTCCACGCATCCATGGATCTACGGCTTGTGACCAGAAACTGTGACCAGAAAATGGGTGGACATACCGAGTGGACATAATTCGTACTTTGGATTGTACAAGCAGTGTGTGCAGCTTTCGACTTCCGGCTCTCCTCATTTGGGGCTTGACCAGACCTCGGGAGACATGGAAACTGACCGAAGGCTATGGGGTATAGTTGACCACCTGGGCACTAACACGATCGCAGTGGGTACAGAATCCATCAATTGTGCATGCACCCCACTCCCCCTCACCCTTTACTCCGTACCTAGTGTAATGGGGAAACCGCGCCAGTACTCAGGTGTGCCTCAGGCATCCCAGGGGTATTTCTAGGCCCAATTCCCTAGCATAGCAATTCAAGCATTCGACATCTCTCGCAAGAACAGCATCTCTTTCCTATTCCGGTAGTCCTGGGGGGGCCTGCGTAGCTCCCTGATCCCGCCGAGCACTGAGCACCCCCGTCGTCTTGTCTGCGATGTCAGACCGCCAGCGCGCTCTTCCCACTATACTAGGTACTGGCCGACCTGTCTTAGCAGGTCGCGAAGTACGTCTCATCATGAATTTCAATCATATCTCATAGCACTCCGTCCGAAGCAGGGACAACATCTTCAGGTAGGAGATATATTGCAGGAACAGCACCGAGTGATGATGGGGTGTCGAAGAGCAAGCAAATTGCATCTGCACGGGGCAGACGATCAATGAACGCGGAATGACCATGAAAATGTGAGCGCATAGTTAGATGTTACTCTCAAAATTCTTCCAATTTACAACCACAGGGCGTGTCGTGTCCGGAGTCCGGAGTACGACGTGCAGGGCAGAGCAGAATTTGATGCGTCGCACAAACATTGCAGGTCATCCACGCTAACCCGAAAATAGAAATTCATCAACACAGGGTTCTCAGCCCCAAAACACCTTTTGAAAGTGGATAAGTCTCAAAGCAAAGACCACCATTTCCCTGCTTTTGTCTACAAAGTGGTGTTTCTATTGAAAGTTCAGTTCTGGTTGCAAACTCCTGGAGATTGTATAGGCTGACTGCAAGGGCTAGCTCAATCAGCCCTTGTGTACTCCGTGCTCCGTACTCCGGAGTATGTACGGAGTACGGAGTATGGGGATCAATGTGTCGGTATTGGACAGCCATCTGGGCAGTGGGTCCCCCTCGGGAGGTGCCGCTACTCTGAATTATCAGGGACATCTAGACGGAAGACAAGCAGCCCGCATTACCAGAGGGTGCCATCCGCGCTAGTCAGTCTCGGAATTGTGAAGCCCCACAGTGTGGGTATTGCGTTTGCTTTCGGCGAGCGCCTGCCTTCTGGGAAGATGCTAGCACTGCGAGTCCACTTTTCTTTTTCAAAAAAAAAAAAAAAAAAAAAAAAAAAACTGGAGAACAATCGCAAAGAAATAGCCATGGCCCATAATCGATCTTCGTCCTTGTACTCCAACTTGGGATCCCAACCATGAAATGAAGCGAGGGCATAATATTGGCATCATCAGTACCCCCAGATGAGGGTGGTCGTAGAATCGTACTCCGTACGGACTGCAATCTGAATCCATGGCCGAGCCCAATCCATGAAGTGAAGGTAGTTCAAGCTGTGCAGCCTTGGGTGGACCCTCGGTCACCCCCACTGCCTATAGGCTTGGCTGCAGTAATGGTATCTGGGCGGCCCGGGGTCCACGAGTAGGTATGGACATGCCAGCCCCTTGATTGGTACATGAGATGAGGCATTCCCATACATGCAAGGATTCGAAAAGCAAGACTTCCTGTGGTGAGAACAATCAATCTCCAGGTTCGGCCTATATCCACATATATAAGTCCTCAGGCCCAGGTGGTCAATTGGGGACTAGGAGGTTCCTCAGTGTCCCAAATAGTCATTCAGCATGCGTCTGCTTTCAGTGTTAGGGGCAGCTAGCCTTTCAATTTTGGGGGTCTCGGGGGCGTTGGTGATTGATTCAGACCCCGATGTCAATTCGACTCTCGTGCAGCAGCATCTCATAAACCGCGAGAAGCTGATAGATTTGGAAAAAACACATCGCCAAGGTGGGTTCTACAATTCCCGAGGTTTTCGTTTTCCAGCGCTCATGACAACGCAGATCACCTCTTCCGACAGAATCTTTCCCCAACAGCTAAACGGGCAGATGAGATTGTGCAAGCCATTCGGCAGGATGAGATTGATAATTACTGGCGGGTGGCTGGCACTGATGATGGTTCAGTTGATGAACGGTTCGCAGGGGAGGTATTCCCCTATGCCCGACCGCTGATCTCCAACACAACTCTTTGGAAGGTGATCAGACGCATGCCCAAGGGTGCTCTCCTGCATGCTCATCTGTCGGCCATGCTGCCATTCGACAAGATTGTCAGAACAATCATTAGCACTGAGGGGATGGTGGTATCTGCGTCGCAGCCTCTTGATACCGAGGAGGCCAAGAAGAATGCCACAATCAGCTTTGCCCACAACAACGACACCCTTCCAACTGATGAGTCTCGGATTGATTCTGCAGATTACACCCCAAACACGCAGATCCCGGTTGAAGTCGCCTCCGCCAACTTCGAAGGCGGCGTGGAGGGCTTCATTGCCTTCATCAAAAGTAGGACCACGGTCCCACCAGAGGATTCAGTCCGTCATGAGTTGGGTGTGGATGAGATTTGGAGAAAGTTCCAAGCCGCATTTGGTCCGACGGATACCATGATCCAGTACGAACCAGTTGTCAGAAAATTCTACCAGCAACTGTTCTCAGATCTTGTCAATGACGGTATCAACTGGGTGGAGATTCGGAGCGGTGGATCAAGTGGAAAGTTGGTTCACGATGGAGACGAAGATGTTGACCCCAACCTTGATGCCTGGTGGCATGTCCTGGTTGAGGAGATCGATAATTTCAAGGCGACAGAGGCAGGCAAAGCTTTCTTGGGTGCGAGGGTGATTTGGTCCGATTCGCGTGGAAAGAGTCGTGCTTCTCTCACCAAGAGTATGTCCAAGAAGTGCCGATAGCACAGTGATAACGTTTGCTAAAATCCACAGGTATGAAAATCGCTCTCGAGCGGAAGCAAAACTTCCCCGAGCTCTTCAGTGGCTACGATCTCGTTGCCCAGGAAGATCTGGGCCGTCCCCTTTCCGATTTGACACCGGAACTGGTGTGGTTCCGTGAGCAGAGCGATGCTTTGAATCTCACTATCCCATACTTCTTCCACGCAGGAGAAACGCTGGGTGATGGAAATTCCACAGACTCAAATCTGTTTGACGCTTTGATCTTCAACACACGACGAATCGGCCACGGGTTTTCCTTGTACAAGCACCCCAATTTGATCAATCAAGTCATTGAACAGAACGTTATGATTGAAGTCTGCCCCATCTCAAACGAAGTCCTTCGCTTGAATGAGGACATCCTTCACCACCCGCTGCCAGCAATGATTGCCCACGGTGTTCCAACCGCAATTAGCAACGATGACCCAGCTATTCTTGGGCAAGACGTGGCTGGCTTGAGTTATGATTTCTATGAAGTTATCCAGGCCTTCGATAACGTTGGCCTCGCCGGATTGGTAAGACATAATCCCCTTGAAATCTCACGATGCTTGCTGACACCACAAAACAGGGTGCGCTCGCACAGAACAGTTTCCGTTGGGCAAATTTTGAAGATCAGTCAGACAAAGACTGGATCCGTGATGTTGACCGTGGTGAGGATGGAGCCGGTGTCAAGGCCAAGAACATTCAAACTTGGAACAGTGACTGGGAGGACTTTTGCAAGTGGGTTGTGGATGAATACGGCTCAAAGTATGGAGCGATCAGCGATGCCTGAAGGATGGTCTGTCGTCATGTTAATTAGTACATGCATCTGGTGGAATCATAAATAGGACCAAGTAGGTATAGGTAGTTCCAGAATTTGAAGAACCACTGAGCCAGGACACCATGAAACTGCACTCTCGAGGCTTGGGAACCCAATGACCCCACTTACCCGTGGCCAACATTCGATGACGATAGTAAAGAAGCGTTACACGAATGTACCGGCTTAGCGGAATGAATGATGAAGCCGTTAACAGGGGTAACGTTTAACGAGCGAAGCACTAGCAGTATGGTACTGTAACGAATGTCGGAGGCGAGGAGAAGGAGAGAAGGAGAGAAGGAAGCTCTCATATAGCTCTACTCTGCGTGAGTACCCTGCGGGTCGCGTGACAAATCAGGCATGCGCCGACGCCAACAACATTGGTTAAGCTCGCAAGTCACTGCTCTTATTTGTCCCTGATGGCGGAGACGGGCATTGTACGCCAAAATAAGTGTATATAGGAGAGAGCAGATATGTACAAGAATGCAGTGTATTATAAGATGAGGAAAAGAAGGAGATAAAGAGAGAGATAAAGGGTGAGAGGGGGGGGGCTCTGATATACGCTATCTACCCACGGGAAGCCTGGCAAACCGGGCACACGGGCGTGTTATCCAATCGTATGCTTCTTCGCCCGAGCTACCTCCAGTCAACAGCCCCTTTGATTGAAGTTTGCCATCTGATCATTAGGCTCTTAGTGCAGCATTTTCATTTTGCTCAACACGAACGCCTAGGCAAGTCCGAAGTCATTCCCCACTAGTTCCCGCTCAGGCGGCAATTAAAGTTATCCCTAATTGAACTACCAACCACTCCTAAAACTACAAACTTCGTATATCTGGGCCGCTTTCTAGTAAATGCTAGCAAAGCTTGGAAGTTGGGTTGTGCCTGGACAGGCACTAGAGGCAGAGTGCTCTCGGTCAACTCCCATTGACTTTCTCTTGCATTTCACTTCGATTTCAGAAAACTTGTTCAAAATAAAATGTATCTGAGATGGCCTTTTTGACTGTGGTTCGTGCTATCTAAGGGTATGTTTCCTACGGATTGGCCTAGGTGAAAACCGCCATGATCTTTGAGTCGACTGGGCACGATTCATGAGATGATATGCTTTCAAACCTCAAAAGAGAATTTTGGGACCTGATTTCATTAACCTCAGAGCTCCATCTAAGCAAACGCCACGAGAAAAGCAGAAAAGAATGATAGGAACAAAAGGCAGTACACCTAACAGCATGCTTTAAGAGGCACATGGCAAACGAATACGGAGTAAAACCGAGCAACTCATTCCTCTTGTTCACGAAGCGGCCAAATGGTCGCACTCGGTCTCCGCCATGCGCGCGGTTGCTCAGAATGGCATCTCCGATGCCTCCTCTCCGCCATAAACCTCGCTGCATCCGCTCCAGAGTTGGATGATCGTCCCCTATCGAAGTCCACGATCACCATCTGCTTAGAAGTGCCTTGCGGGGGTAAGTAAGCGGAGAGAACGCTTGGTTGAAAGGTCATCGCATTGGACGGCACGGCGAAAAGAGACCTGCTCTTGCTCAAAGGCGGCCGACGAGTCAAGCGGCGAAACACACGTCGTGGCGTATGCCTCCAAGTTGGCTCAGATGATCCTGATACTGAGAACTCCCCATCTCTTGACTTGGTGGTTGACCTGAACCAAAAGCAAGGAACTCGCCTTGGCTGGCGGGATAGCTCTGGCATTCCCATATCATCGCAAAGGAGTTCATCTGCTGTGATGGGGTACCCTGTGGGTGGGAGGATTGACGAAGGTATATAGGTTGCAGGGCCATCGTCTGGCTTAGACACATGTACACCCAAGCCGCGGGGTTCACGCATGCATAGCTCCGAGCCACAGTGGGGCCAAGTGTGGTGTCTCCTATGGTGTCGCTCAGACATAAGAGCGGATGGGAGAGAAATTGCTTAGTATTTAAAATAGTAACCAAAGCCACTATCCCATCTCCATGATAGGATTTAATATTCAGCACTTCAAATTGAATTTTGAGAAGATAAAATTACTGAGATAAACTGATAGGAAGATGGTTGCTTTATAAAGGCCATCTGAAATACAGTGTTGGCCGCACGTGTGGTGGTTGATGAACACCAAAGCTCTGGAGACTGTCCAGATGACTCACTATCAAGACTCATCTGAGAGTACTCTGTAGAGATGATCAAATCAAACTGGTATCATGCTACTCCGTACCTAAGGTGCCCAAAGAACAGACAAGAGCCCATTTCATGCACAAATCCATGATAACAACCCTTTTTGAAAATGAAGAAAAAAAATCTCAAAATAGAATTTTGGAGAACTTGTAAAATCGACAGAATTTTGAAAGACTTCCCCTCGAAAGGTAGCAGCCCCAAGACCAACAGGGCTAGGTTTAGTAATTCGACTCACTCGCATCTCGTGCCTTTAGCGCCCTGGACATGGGTATGCTAACCCGATTTGGTTAAGGGGTCTGCAGAACGGGCCCCATGACAACCGCAGGAATATCTCGTCTGACCGAAACAGGTTTTTTGTTCGCCTAAACACATCACTTCACATTTGAGCATGATCCAGGTGTTTCACATAATTATGACTAAACATCTTTCACGATCTCCGGTTTCGTTTTTGATATTTGCTTTCGAATATCATCAGAGACTCTAGTATCAGCTTTGATTCCACTTCGGCTGGTGTTCCGGATTCTACACAATTTGAAATCAGCCACAGCCATGAAAGCAAAAAGGAATAAAAAGGGCCCCCACTGTGAGGGCTGGGCCCCAAACCCGCTGAGCTTTGCATAAGTCTTCAATCTCCATATATTACTGTGCCTATGTCTCATATCTGATGGTTTCAGATCCCCTGTACTCCGTGCGCTTGAGCTAGCTACATGTTCACAAGCATGTATGGAGTACGGAGTACGGAGTACCAACGTTGGAAATAAGGTCGAAAATTAACCTTCCAGCCTCTCGTCAGCTTTGTCAATGTAGCACGAGCAATAATCTTCTATTAGGTATTGAGGCACACAGTGCACTAGACCAGAGAAACATGCGCCCGTGGTGCTATCCTGATGTCTGTTTTGAGTTGGTTGGTTTTCGAATCTTACAATGTACGCCACCAATCTTCGTTGTGGAATCTGGAACAATCTTGGGCGCGCCCGCTGTTTGCAGACGCAACACATTTCGGTGAACAACGCATCCAGTGCCTAGTGCAATATGACCGAACAATGCAGGGGGATTGAGCGCCAGAGGCGAGAGAGAGCGAAAGAGAGCGAAAGAGAGCGAAAGAGAGCGAAGAGGATCGGTGAATTGACTGATCGATTGATTAATCGAGACGATCGGAATGAAACGACGCTTTTGAATCCACGCTATTGGATGATCGCCGAGAAACAACACTAGAACTCGTGGAGTTGCATGGCTTAGCGAGGGAAATGTTTAAATGCAGATTGTCGACCTTGGTTCAATGCCTAGACCATCATGAATGTTCAAAGGTTAATACCGGGTGAGGTTTGAACCCGATAAAATGGGGTCTGTGGCTTACGGATCGGCAGGTGGAAGGCTCTCTTTCTGGTTTTCTGGTGAAGAAAAACAACCCAAGGTCCGACTGTATACTCCGTGCCAACTGGAGTGCCACATAAAGCCAAGACCAAACCTTTTACAGTGGAACTATCCGAAATGACAGGGGATATAATTAGCGTGTACGGAGTAGCATACGGAGTACTCCGTACTCTTCAAGATTCCTGCACGAAATGTTAACTCTTCATCGGGGAACGATTTCTTCAATTTTTTAAGCTTGAATTGCACCGATAGGTGGGATCAAACTTCCGGGCGATATTTGGCGACGCTAAATCGAGATGATCGAGGCAATGAAATGACCTGGAGTAAGTCTCCGAAATTGGGTGCCAATGGAACCCGACACTGCCCAGTAGATAGTTAGATTGTGAATGGAATTATATTGATTTCAATTCCTCGTGGCACATCGAAAATAAGGTAGTTAAATGAGAAACTTTGAAATTGAAAGACAACGCCGAAGAACGCCACAGAAAAAAATGGAAAACTCGTCTTCCCCTCTCATGCGCTCTGCCACGCAGCAATGTTGGCGGCAGAAATGTCTAGGTTCTCGGTCGTGAGCCGTTGAAGTTGCGCCACTTGAGTGGAAGCTAAAAAAAGAGTGTCAGCAAGACATGATAATTGGAAGAGTATGGAGGCCGTTAAGTCCCGACTTGAGGAGAGCCATCCTGGTGGGAGAGGGGCAACACTCCAATGGTAGGACCTCGGGGCATGAGGCAGGGAACGGGAAAGAGACCAAAAGCGATCGAAATGATAGATTTGAGAAAGGGGAGAGACCCACTTGGCCGTTGGGCAGCCGCGCCGGCCTGCACATGAATGACAGTCGAATCAACATACTCCTTCGTTACCACCCCACCATAAGAGGCCGCACTGAGCATCACTCGCAGACGGAATTTACCCGGTTGCGAGATGGTGAGTGGGCTGAATTTCGCATAACCACTCATTGCATTGTCGGATCGGCTGCGGACGCTTGCGGTGAGGTTGCCGCTCAGGCCTGCCGCGGCTCCTGAGCCGGCTTCATCGCGGAGGGAGGCGCTCACAACAAGATGCTGGACGTTTTGAGCAGGGGTTCCGATTGGGTTAACAGCAATGACCACCGGCATGGTAAAGGGTAGTCCGGGTGGAGCTGCAGTTGGGGGTGTGATCTCGAAAGACAAAGAAAATTCACGACCAGACATTTCTTCTGATGATTTTGGTACCTAGTAGGTCCCTTGCAAAAGAGTAGAAAATATGAGAGCCCCAAGGATATATTTTCTGCTTTGATTCAACAGAGGGATAGAGAAGGCGAAACGGTCCTCGAAGTGTAGATGAGATGTAAAAAAAGAAGTGTGTCAATCAGATTCCAGGGAAAGGTAAAAAAGATGGGCTCTTCAACTTCGAGAGGCAGTAGACGATTGAAGATTCTGCTTTTGGTTGAGAAGAATACACATGAGAATGAAGTTCAAATGAAGGCCATGCCCGGGCCTTCATATACCTAACGCACACCTTGAGGGTCGATGTCCGACATAGTTTGGACCCATAAGCTCAATTCGGTAGCGGTAGTGAGTATGGGTCCGAGAGGATATCGCCACAGTCCAAAGTACGTGATTAGCCCTTAGATAGTCGATGTCCTGGTTCCTGGGACAGCTAAGGCAGCTATGTTATTCAAGGGTTCCCAAAGAAATAATAAAAATAATAATAAAAATTGTGAGCTCAATAAAAGTGCCCCGGTAAACTGCAGGATCCTTGCGGAAGCACGTTCCAGTAGTATGGGACCGAACAGTGGGTCTGGATTTCGGCATTATGATATGTTTAGGTTGATCGACGGGTACGCGGCCTGACACTTGGGAAGCAGCATGGGCAGTGGAGTAGGTGCAAGATCTGAGGGATCGAAGATGCACTGCAAGAGATCTGAAACTAGTTCCAGGATCGACCTCAGTGTATGCTCGAGGTAGAGTGCACTTACCTTCGCCATTTGATTTATTTGATTCGACCACTTTGCACTGTCTTTAATGGTGCCGGCAGAAGTGACAAATAAACCGTAAAAATCGGCTTGGCATGCACGATTGACGTTCATGTACCGGGATGAGTGTTGTGGATGTGAGGCGCACGACTTCAAGCAGATGAGATCGATTGATGAGACATGAGGTTTATTCTTTCAATAGTTCCGTGCACGGATCAAGCAGCGGGGTCATTCGGTGAGATACTGGTAGTCAGCCCTGGAGAGACCAGTGACTGCCGTAACTCCGCCATTTACTGCAACTCGGTCAGTCGTCAATGCCATGTCCGGAACCGTGTAGTCATAATCAACCTACCGCACAGCTAGAAATCATCTTGTGGTGGTCATGGTGAAGCTTTGCTATCAGTGTGCTAGTTTCACTAGGCCTGGATAAGCCAGCATGAGTCTCGAGTCCTATCAAGGGATGAGCAGTAGACCGCAAATTCTAGCTTTGCAGAGTTTGAACTCCTTAGAGGAGAATCTGCAAGCCACACCATAACGGTAACCTGTGGCGCCTACATACGAGATCAAGTGGGGTCTTTGTCAATCAATCGGGCACTCCGGTACTCCGTATATCCACAACAATCACAAAGGGACCATTTTTGGGACAAGTAAGTCTTCCGATCCATCTTGAGGGCTGATACGGAGTACAGAGTACTGAATAATGCTGCCTAGGGAGCCAAGTTGAAGCTGTAGAGCAAAAACAGGTGACGGCCGTACTCGCCACAAGTCTGACACATAGGTTCAGCCTCACTTCGTCCGAGCACAATCACGCTTCCAGGTCGAAGTGGATAGTAGATTTGGGGGCCCCATGTGTTCAACCGCTCCATCATGCACGCGAAGAACAAGCATCACTCGCAAATACTGAGCAATCTCGAGCAGATCCCACTTTAGGGCTAGATGATCATCGTCGATCTCAATACGGAGTAAACCAAGCCACATACGAGCATGTCGGAGCCAAGGTGGGGCCGGAGCGACACAACCAGAACCCGGAAAGTTTCTTTTTCTTTGTTCTTCTGTCTTGGGCTTTTACCTGAAGATAGCTTGGGCAGCTTTGAGGTTGCCGGGATGGAATTGTATGCAAAGCAAACTTTGATCGCTGAGAGGTTGCAAGTCAGATGTCGGCGTCAGAGGTGACCAGATAAGCGGAGATCCGATCGTGATGCCATCATTCAACATGATGCCAGATGCCGTCCCGTCTCTAGAAGGTGGGTTTATGCGAGTCGCGAAGCCCAACAAAAAGGAAAGATGAGGGACCTGTTTGCTCTGAGAATTCAATAGCGCCACGGCCACTTGCCGAGCCACAGTGGCTAGTGCGTGGCTAGTTTGTGGCTAGTTTGTGGCTCAAAAGTAAGGAGTGGCCGAGCGGTGTGGCTGTGGACCTGCTGGTTGCCCAATTGGGAAGGAGTTCGTGTCGGTTGCCCCGAACCGCTGATCACCCATTACTGATCTGATATCCACATCCGCGCAACCTTTGATCAAGGCAACGGATATTGACGAGGTTCACATGTGAAAGCCGAGAGTCCGGACGAAAGGACCGCGGTGCGAGCTTGACAGGTCACTTTGATATCAGAACGTTGGCCCTCCCCATTATTTCAAGGTTTTGCCACCGAGTCTATAGCCAATATCTAGATTTGCCTGATGCCAAGATAACCAAAAGCATGACGCTTTATGCGTCGAAGGCCGATGGCCGCCCGAGCTGTGTATGAGCATAAGTTATGATGTGCTGTTGCTGTGCTGTTCCCTCCCTGACATTAGTGAAATCGCTCGAATGCACAGTAATATGCACAAGTGCCTGTAATAAGAAGGAGCGAGCGTTGCATAGGCAAGAAGGCCTGACTTGCGGAAGCTCTTGATTCGAATGACAATCTTTCCCACAACTGATCGAGTCGAATCTGGCACGGAATCACTACTGCATGATACTACGCGTAAGCTGTGTGTTTTCCTTTCATCCATGCCTTGCTCGTCTACAAACCTATCGACTTCGGGCCGAAGATGAGCTATTGGGTCCAAAAGTCTGCATATCTAGAGAATCGGCTGAGATGGCATGAGCACATCTTGCATCCACAGATTGATTTCTCCGCCAGCAGAAAATCCCATGACCCGGGCTGAGCTGCCAATCAAATTCAGTATAGATTGATGATGTTCCCGCCCACAGCCAGCTACTGGCTCTTCTCCATGATAGACGAAACAAATAAGCGTGAGCCCTAGCCCTTGTTTCTCGTTTCCTTTTCGATGATGTTGTCTGCGGCCTTAATGCCGACTATTGGGCCAATCGATAAAGAAGGAATAAGATAAGACCGATAAATTGAAGGTTGGCCGAAGTTGTATGGGGAACGTCTGGTGGGCGAGACGTGATATCTCATGTTAGGGTTTGGTCAACATTTCCAGGTCAACGGAACACCTTGGCAAGCTTGGTGCTTCATGACATACAAATGGGGGGATGGAGGGGTGCCAACACGAAGCTGGAGGACATCCATGGACGTAAGGTCTACTAACCCTGTGCTGAGAAGCATAGAGTATATACTTAAGTCCAAATGAGGTAGTATATTATAACTGCCGCCAAAATGGCCGAGTGGGATCACCCCCGCTCCATGCTCCGTCACATTCGTGGGGTTGGTTACGCTGTGGTCGCCCCCGGGCAACTGAATATCAACCCCAGAAATGTCCCTGGTTCGATCCCAGGGGCAGGGCGAGTTTGGCAGTTGCTCCCATCCTTTTTTTTAATTTTTCCTTCTCCACCTTTTGTCAGGTTGGAAGCTTGTATAGAACTGGAAAGACGCTTAGGAAGACAGTCGACATTCGAGCCCCCATCTCCAAGTCGTTGTCCAGGAATCCCCTTCCCTCCTTAATGCACCAATATCGACCCTTGGTTCACGAATTTATAACTAACGGTCCGGCGCGCTGCCCAGGTGGTCATGCCCTGTAATGTATCGAAGACCATATCAGCAATACACGAACGCTTCGGATATTGGCTTGGAAGCAGCCGTTGTGTGGGACTCCATGTACCGTCTGCGCCGATGAAAACATCAAGTCCGCCCTTTGTGTGTTGCCCAGATGGTTTGGAAGGCATGCTGTGGCTCATATGAATGTACAATAAGCGTCAGCGTCATTGGGTCATCTCCTTTGGTACATTCGAGGGTCATGAGTTGGAGGAAGGCAGCTCTCCTGGGGGGCCCCGGAGATACATTCCAGGATGAATATTGTGCAAAGACAAGCAACCGCGGTGCTTCGTTGTTGCCTTCATTCGCAACTTCCCAAAAGGATGACCTCTCTCGACATTCGAAATGCAACATTTGATGTATTCGTAACTAAATCTCAGGCCAAATGCCATCGCTCGCTATTCGACAGAGTCATTCATTCGCACCCAGCATCCCGAGTTCGCCGAAGCAATCGCCAAGCATCCCAGTCCGAGTGGACAAGTCGATTGATTCGAGAGTTTTCATCGAGCTTTTCGCAGGAACAATTGGCATATTCTTACTTGCAGTCTGGTTTTGGAAGCTTGGCAGCTTTATCAGGCGTTTCAACCGAAATAAGGTGCTGAAAGCCGGCAAGTCTACCGATACTCGTTACGCACGCACATGGTACGGCTGGGTATCACGGCCGACTCACGAGAGAAACAAACAGGTTGTTCGGGATTTCATCGCACGGATCTGGGACTGCATGGCATGGAAGTCTACCCGAGATGACTATAGCTGGGTTTGGTGGGACCCCGGGGACATCGAAAGGCAAAAGCGCCAGCGACAGAAGCGGGGGCTTTGGTGGCTACCGGAGTGCTTCAAGAGCTACGAGGACTTCCCAACGGCAGATCAGATTTGGAATCCGTGTGCGCAAGCCCGGTGCCATGGTGGTTGGGATGAAGGCGCCCTGCCTCCGGTGACCCCAATATCAGAGACCGCGCAAGTCTCACAAGCGAGCACAAACGCACATTCTCTACCGTCAGTGCAGCAGATTATGGTGCCTGGTTCTAAACCAATCATCACTCGCTCAATTCTGGAAGAGCTTTACAGGGACCCCCAGGAACCTAGTGACAACAGATCAGAACACCCGCACTTTCGTTCGTCCAGCGTAGCAAGATCAGCAGCTCGTCCATCGTTGACTCACGTCAGGATACAGTCACTCCCCTTTCGGCAGCGTCAATCATTGCATACTCGTGGGTCCATCCCTTGGTCACGAGATGGAGTGACCCAAGATATATTGTGTCAAGTTGATTCCGTTGTGCAGCATGCGGAGTACCAGGGTGGGAGAGCGGACCCGATGCTCCCTTTACAGCCACCAAACACCAAACGACCGGATCGACAGGGTCATAGGCAAAGGTACTGCGGGTGGTCAGCACGAATGCAGTTGGGATCAAGGTCGGAAAGCTTGCACCACCAAGGAGACTCATCTGGTCCCCCTGGAACTCCAATGACCGAGCTGTTGGCCAGCTACCCTTCCGATGAGAGTTCTTCGGCTGGGCGCCCTCCCAAGCAGATAGGCAACAACAAGGGAGGAGGCCTGCGAATTTCCGAGGACCGGATCTCTTTCACATCCACGGTGTTTATTGACAACGAAATTGTATTTGCCAATCAAGGGCGGACTTGTACTAGGACGTTTCAATGGAATTCAGCCCCGGCGAGAGTCGGACCACAGGTCCACGGGAAATCGCCTCCAAGACCGACATTGGACGAAGAATGGCTATCCATCTGCGGACAAGAGCGCATTCGTGGCGAAGGCCATTTCTCATTACCTCGTTCTAAAGGAAAGGCACCGGAACTGAAAGCATTGTTAGTGCCCACAGATCAAATCCAGATCAAAACGGGAGACACTGTGAAAGGCTTGAGTGATTGGGAGGTCAGATTGCTGGAAAAGTTGGACCGTAAACTAGTGTGGGTGTTCAATGAGTTTACCCCTGGACAGAAGCCATATCATTTTGCCTTACTTGCAAATCATTGGATCAACAGAGAGACATGGATTGTGTACGACCCCATCTCCAGAGTGCCAACCAATGCGCGCCGAGAATGGGGAGATCCACGGTTCAACGTTCCCTACCCAGAGCCTGTTCTGGCCCCAAGACCAAAATACCCCGTTTCAAAACGCAGGCGAGCGCATACACCTCGGATCGACTCCTGGCGTGCAACGGTCAACGAACACAGAAAGGTGTCTGGCGTTCGGGAGACCATTCGCACTATCACGTTGTATGAGGAATCAGCAGAGGAACCACCCGATGGCCAAATTGACCCAGCTTCTTGGGCTCTGCCCAGGCCTCCTCAAGGCTTCCAAATGTCTGCTACACAGAAGGACGCCTGGTACGAGGGAGGCGCAGGATGGCAAGAGAAGCTGAATGACTGGCAGCAAGTACACCGAGGATACCGAATTCATAAAGCTCTCCACGAAGGCCGAGTTAACCGAGGAAAGGTGAAGCAGGTGGTATCGCAAATGAACAGAACTTGTCGACCGGTTGTGGGCAAGTTCATTTCAAGTCTTGATGTCAACAGCATCAGAGGCTCGCCCGCGCTGGTGTCATAACTAGCTGAGGACTGGTCGCCTATTCTCATATCGTTATCAATCACACCCCGCATGATATTTCGACAATGTCTCGTACCCCGATCGGAGCCACACTCGTTATGCCATCTCATACGCTCGCTGCAAGTCTGTTGGCTTGTGAATATTAGTATTGCTCTTTAGGGCTCGGGACAACCGGATTGACGAAAATGAGAATTTCTTGTCGAATGCATTTGAATTGAAAGCCTGATCTAAGCGCTGGGGTAATAATGGAACATTGTAAGCCACCATCTTCCTCAAGGTGGCCTCGCTGCAAGTCCAAAAAGCCAAAACTCCGGTAGTCCATATGTTGTTTTCGCTCCGACATGTGCCCGGCCAAAGTCGAATGTCGGATGTATAGTACATGTAGAAGGGGTGCGGGAATCCGTTTAGAATCCGGGGGGGTTGACACGTTGGCTGACACGAGTCCACTTGGGCAGCTCTATGAGGAAAATTATTGTTAGCCAAGGGTTCTGGCGACTTGGGATGTTGGTCCGGCAAGGCCGGGAGGAGAACGTACTGTGAATGCTCTTGCGGTAGCTCTTCTCCTTCTTGTCGAAGAGGGTGTACTTGTCCTTGGGCAACATTTCCTCCTCGCGGGGCATCTCGGCGTACCACCGGGACACAGCCTTCGATGTCTGGCCATTGCGCTCGAGGGCAGCGCTCAGAGTGTCGACGACGCGGTCCACAGAGCGCAAGCGCTTGCGTTGGCGAGCCTTCTGAGGGGAAGACAGACGCCACGGGGTCTTCCTATTATCCCAACAATGTTAGCCCTGAGAATATATAAATAGGCGCTTCGGAATTTACCAAAGAAGACCACCGAATAATGCTTGAGTTGACTTGAACATGTTTGGTTGTTGGTGTTGGAGGATGCAGGGAGAAAATCGTGCTCCGAGTCGGGAGTGTAATTGGCCCGTGCACCGGAGTATAGGACGAGCGGAGGAAACTGTGCTTGTTCCTTGACCAATTGAAGAGCCAATATAGGGTATTAACGTATTGCCAAAGAGCGAAACTCGAGGGAAATTAGATCCAGCGAAATTATAGCGGAAATAATCCCATTGGACTGCGGTAATGTTGAAATGATTTCGTGAACACTCACCCCAACCAAAATCATGTGATTCCGAATGTTTTACGGACGCGACAATTTTCTTGAATTCATACTCCGCTCGATTGTTGATTCGACTTTTTGCAGGCTACCTTGGTAATCCAGGTGCTGATTTGAAACGCGAGCCTCTCTTTTGTCTATGGATCAGTCATAGCAATCCGCCTTCCACCATGGACTCCAACGCAACGGCGGACTGCCCGTCCCTTCCCTGGAGGGCCTTCAGCAACACAACAATGTGGGGAGTGGCAGGGTTATGTCGCGGATTCTTGTCAGCAATGTGCCATGCAGAGTGCCACGGGAAAGAGGAGTTTACTGCGCTTTTGGACTCGCGCAAAGATTCGTCGCAACGAACGAAAGGATTGATTACAGGTATGCCGAGACCGAGGTCGCGAAGCAGAATCCTACATCAGTTCTAGTGCTAACGCAATTGTGGAATTGCAGTCTCGAACCACATCAGCGTGTACGTCCCTCCATGGGTATCGATTGCCGAGGCGCGAACAGTGCCAAAACTAAGAACATAGCTGACATTGCGCCGGTAAATCAGAATGGACGACCCTTTGCTTTGGGGCATTTTACCGATGCGATTCTGGAATAAACGATGGTCATTCGGAAGCTACGATATTTGCTATCAGACGAGGTATTTACACAGTCTCCTGGGGGTACCGTCCTATGATTGCCTTGCTAATCTCGGACTTAATCAATCACAGGCCGCTTTCTCTCTTCTTCACTATGGGCAAAGTCCTACCCTGCCACCGCTCCGCACACTCCAAATTTGGTGGCTTAGGTCAACCCGCCATCACTGAAGCCATACGTCTACTATCAAAGGGTCCTTTCCCCGTCGACCACCACCGCGCCGCACCCGAGCTTCAGCGCTGGAGTCGGCAAAACGTCTGCGTTGACCCATTCTCCGACCTCTCTGTCGCCTACACTACCGATGGGGAGGATTCCCACCTGGCCCCATCAGCGTATTCATGCAACTCCAATTCGTGGGTCCACATCTTCCCCGAGGGCAAGATTCACCAATCACCAAGGAAAACAATGCGCTACTTCAAGTGGGGAATCGCACGTCTTATTCTTGAGCCCCAGGAATGTCCGGACGTAGTCCCTATGTGGATTGAGGGATTTGACGACGTCATGCATGAAAGCCGAGAATTCCCACGATTCCTTCCCCGGCCCGGCAAGCGAGTGAGTGTTACATTTGGATCCAAGGTGGACTCAGAGAGTGTCTTTGGAGAGATGAGATCACGGTGGCGGGAGCTGAGAGCAAAGGTTGAAAAGAGCAACCCTGACTCTCGAGATCTTCCCGTGGGTGTCCTGAGCGACGAGCTGTTGACCCACAAAGAAGCAGTTGAGCTACGCAAGGAAGTCACTCTAAAGGTGCGAAACCTGGTGCTGGAAGTGCGTCGCTCTCGGGGCTTACCCGACGAAGACCCGAAGGAGGGCTTGGTCGATACCTGGTTGGAAGAGGGCCACAAGCGTGAGGGCCACATGAAGGATGACTCTTGGGTTCGGGACATCTGAGTCCGCCTGAGTAGAGTGTATAAATATTGTATAAAACATTTTATGACCCGCTTCAAGTACATTAACAGTGAAAACCTTGTGATATCGGTGGCGCTATTCTCATGTCTTGTAGACACCATGTAACCATGACTTCAATTACCAGACGGCCACCCTCAAAAACCACCAGGCCCACAGTGGAGCTGCTTACATCAAGAGTACTATGTAGTGAGACATCTGTTTGGGCCTCTAAACCTTGCCCAGGTGAAATATAGAAGTGAGTCAGCGTGGGTGTCGGGTTTGTGGTTGAGTCAGGACGGAGAAATTCCGGGGGCTACTTAACGGCCGCTGATAAGCCGATAAGTCGACAAGTCGCGGAGCCTCATCTCCTCTCAACAACCTCATGCCCAAAAAGCACCAGCGCTTTCATTTCAAACCCTCTGCCCAGGCACACCACAGTCTCGCATTGGGATCAAATCAAAATGGCGCGCCTGGGGCATCTGGAGGTTCGACAACCTCAGTAAATGACCTCATCTCCCACCTTCGTCGCACACAACCGCCAAGTTCCTCTGAAGATGGCATACCTCGACGCCCTCAGTCAACTTTGACTCCACGTTCTGTCCATCCATCGCTGCGGAATCTGCTTGAAATTCCTGAAACACAACCTCCACGACCTCGTCCCCTGTCTTACCGCACAGCCATCGGCGCTCGTCCAGTTCGTCCGACTGTAGGGCCCCCTCCTCCTGAGAGCTGGCTCTCTGCCAGGACGGATGATGAACCAAATAGCGAATCTCTGGGTGATAGAGGGACCGATATGGAGACGATTATTTATCGTTTGAAACGACTCCCAGGTACCAAGTTTCCCGACAACGGAAGTCTGATGCATCTCGTGCTCAAGAAAATGGCGCTTAACTGGGCCTGGCATCTTGAATACGACGGGGCATTTTTATCTGAACTCCCGAATAACCTGAAGTGCTTGTTACTCAGCTATATAGCTGTGTTTGCTAGGGGCCAGCCACTGGACAGACAAATGAAGGGCCTCAGCCCGCTTTTCTCGACCCAGCAGGATCGCGCACAGAGCTCCGATGATGAGTCTGAATTCGAGGAAATTGAATTTGACAGAGATGTGGGAACTACCCGATTAGACCTCGGGGGCGCGGTCGGAAATTGGATGTCTTTTAAACGGCTCACAAATGAGTTGATCAACTTACATTCCTCGCCTATGCATGCCGTCAGAGATGAGAGGGAGGAGTACATCCCGAACTCTTGGGACGAAGTGGAGAATTCTGGCCATGACGAGGCAATAGATGAGCCCACACATGCCACCTATGCGCCCTCGATTCCCAAGCAGCTGACCCGAAAGAACCGGTTCGAAAACCTCCGTTTTCTGTCGTTGGCGCACCCGAAGCGTGCCGCTGCAAGCTGGACATCCTTGATTAAACTACTGTCACGTTTGCCGACCATCACCCATCTCTCTTTGGCACATTGGCCTACTCCAACTCGTACGCCAGGTGCGGTGAATGCGCGTATTCGCCATCCAACAATCCACTCCTTGACCTTCAGTTACAGTGGTACAGACAACTACGCTTCTCTAGACAATGCTTGGGCGGAGGCTGCAAGCGTCCTCCGTCATCTGTCTCGGTCTACTCGCTGTCTACAATGGCTAGACCTCGAGGGGTGTGCAGACTGGCTTCCAGCTCTCAACTGGGTCGGTGAAGATCCGAACGGTGTCCCATATCGTCCTGGTTCTGTAGGTCCAGACTGGAATGGATCATGGCGGGACGTTGGATGGATCAGCCTGGGCCCTGGTTGGATTCCCAACTTAGATGACAATAAAGACATGTCACATAGGTCTCAAGTTCTGAACCCAGACCCGGCAGATCCCCCTTGGCGTGCAGAAGAGCAGGCCAACGCACGTCGGCTGAAGAAGCTCGGCGCTTACCGAGAACAGTTCCAAACTGCCTTGGCTGTGCGAAAAAATCTCCGACTAATCAGGAAAGAGGGCCGGGGGAAATGGCTCCAAGTCTCACTTGGACTGGATGACGTTGATCCGCAGATTGTTCGACAGCTGGTTGGGCAGGACTACGCACTTCACGAATGAGGAACCATCTGCCGGGCCTGACTCGGCCTATCATGGCGACTGAGAACCTCAGTAAAATGTGAACATATGTACCGGATAATACCTAGACCTCGAGACCTTTCCCCTTCCATTTTAGCCCTCACCTCTTCCCGCTTATTGATTCTAATGCGGTTTATGCAAAAATAAAGGCCATAAAAGAGATGCATGTCCAGATAGGCCAAGGCCTGAGTTTATTCCCGAGGTCATTTTAATGGCGTTTTGGTTGAAATAAATGGACACATATTCGAAATTAGTGACCAATACTGTATAGGTTCCAGAATGGTAATATCAAACCCTAGGACTGACTAAACACCATGAAACTGACAAATTTGTAGGACATGCTGACAAAGAGTGATATGCACTTTTTCTGAGTCTGATATTGATGTCGCAAGATATTCTGGGCACTCCGTAAATAATCAGAAATCCCCACGGAGATCCACCATATGACTGTTGAAGTTGGGCGCGCAGCTGACTCGTGAATTCATTAGTAGCTCAGGTGGTTGACTACTTAGAGTAGGCGAGGCCCGTGGCTGGTCTCGACGGGCCGGTGCCGTATCTGTGGGCCCGTGCGGAGATCTACAATACTAATGTGGTAATGTTACACAATGTACTCCGTAGTACTCCGTAGGGTGGGATGAAAGCATCATGCATAAATCGTGCTCGATTCCCCATGACTTCTTGGTCTTGGCAAGGTCATTACCTAGGTAAAGCCCTTCCAAATCAGACTCGTATGTATGTATATGAAGGCTGAGGTGATCTGCAGTTTTCTAAATGTGATTTTCAAGAGTTGAACTTGTGATCGGGCAAACGCATGTACATAGAAAATAGGAGCTGAACTCTGTCGTGGAACATGCAAGGTGGAAAGGTACAAATCAACAGTGAGCGATCGTCGCATTGATGGATGATCGTCTTGATTATGCCGTAATTCTACCGGTAAAAGCGGATATGAATATCCAATCTGAGCCTTCAACCGGAAAGTACTCCGAATGATCTTGATTCATTTCGCATGATTTATAAGATCGGGGCTTCTACTCCGTAATTTACTCATTTTTCTTTCACTCCCTCATGAGAGCAACCGTTGAGGTATCATTCTCTTGCGATGTCTGACACACACGAACCAATATCAGTCCTTGGCCTCGGACACATGGGGGTTGGTCTTGCTTCCGCGTTGCTTGACAAGGGCTATCCGGTGACCGTCTGGAATCGTACAATTGCAAAGGCGCAATCACTTGTTCCAAAGGGTGCCAGAGTAGCCGAATCTCCAGCCGATTGTGTGCAGTCTGGCACTATCGTGATAATCTCTCTGGCCTCTGATGAGGCCGTTCGAAGCGTTCTCAGTGGGATCTCCAACCTCAGTGACCGCACCGTTCTCAACTTCACAACGAGCCGGCCGCATTGGGAGATCGAAACGGCAGACATTGTGAACAAAGAACTCAATGCTTCCGGATATCTACACGGATGGATAAACTGCTTTCCCCCAGAGGTAGAAGCTCATCAGGCGACAATCACATACAGCGGACCGAAAGATATTTTCGCAAAGCAGGAGCACATTTGTCATGTCTTTGGCAAGGCGTTGTGGATATCAGATGACCACCGGAAGATTTGCATGCTGGAAAATGCTTCTATTTTTGGATTTGCAGGACTTTGTGCGGCCTATTTCCAATCCATTGCCTTGGCTGGAGCCGCTGGAGTCGATGTGGTTGATTTTACACAACTAGCACTAATGCCCCACCTTAAACTGTTTGAAAATCTGTTGCCACAGATGGCCAAACGCGACCAAGACCAGGACCACGTCGTGACTAGTGACTCTGTATCTGTCGGCGCATTGCGGGAGGTGGTTGCCAGTGCGTGTGAGGCAGCCGAGGTCTCTGGTGTGTCTGCCCACTTGTTCAAGGAACTTCATGTTCTTTTAAGGCAGGCAGCAGAGTCAGGAAAAGGGCCTGATGATATGTCTGCTGTTATTCCGATGCTAAGAAGAGGTGGAAATCCATAGTAGGTTTAGAATCTTGTACAAAGCATCCAGTCATTTTGGTTCAAAAGCAATCTGCCCTGCTGTCTACTGAGAATGCATACGAAAATCCGCATTGAAATAATTTTTTTGATATATGCCTGACTGTACAATGGTATCCAGATCCAACGCCGAGGAGATTCAAACCACATCACTATTTCTTGGACCGATTAAACGACTTCAGGGGGTCTGACTTGCCGCCAGCCTTGCCACGAGCGCGGTTGCGATCTCTCGCCTTGCGGATGCGGTTCTGCTTCGACTTCGAGAAGCCTACGTACCCGACATTCTCCTTGGAGATTCCCTTCCGTCCCTTAGAGGGCATAAGGTATTCAGGAACGTGCTTCAGATGGGCCTGGACACGCGCAGCACGCAGCTCGCCATCGTGACGCAGCTGGCGCAACTCATCGGGGTTGTCCTCGAAGTGGCGCTTGAGCTTCTCGCTCTTGATCAGTTCTTGTCGGATCTCGCGTCCTCGTGCTTCTTGGATAGCAAGTCTGGTCACGGCACGTAGGGCATCGGTCATACGGTAACGGAAAGCATCGACCTGGGACATTTCGAAGTGGTAGGGCTTGACCTCGTGACCGAGCTTGCCTTGGCGCTTGATGATCTTGGCGAGCATGCTCTCATCGTGCTTTGTGCTGGGAATTGAGGTGGGGCGGTGCTTGCCGTACTGGTCGGCGGGGACCACGAAGGAGAGCGCCATGCCAGCCTTGCCGGCACGACCGGTACGTCCGATCCGGTGGGTGTAGGATTTTGAGGTTGTGGGGAGGTCGAAGTTGAGAACGCATGCGACATTTTGGAAGTCGATGCCGCGGGCAATGCTGTAATCCTTTTCTTTGGCGCTCATCTTGCGACGCTTCTTTGAGTCGGGCTTCTTGCCCTTTTCGCCCTCTTCTTGGGCCTGCTCATCCTCGCTATCGCCCATTTCTTCTTTGGTCTCCTCGTCTTCCAGCTCTTTGACCTCAGGTAACTTCTTTGACTTGGTGCCCATGACTTCTTGCTCATCAGCTGCGATGATGATATCGTAGACACCCTTGTTGAATTCCTCCACCACGTGAATTCGAGAGTTGATGGGTAGCTCTGAGTTGAGGACACAACTCTTGAGTCCGAACTGTTCGAGGAAAAGCTTCACACGGTAGCAGCGGTCCACGTCGGCGACAAAAATGATGACCTTGCCCTTGATAAGCTGTAGTTTGAAAATGACGTACGTCAGGAGGAACTTTTCATCCTCTGCACATCTTTTAAGCAATGTTAGCAACCGATATCATATCTTGCGTAGGGAAGTGGCTTACCGAACAACAAACTGACTAACACCAGCGCCCTTTTCTTCCTTCTCCTCCAACTTGAGGATAACAGGATTGCGGCAGTATAGATCTTTCAATGTGTCGACCTCCGAGGTTAGTGTGGCGCTCATCAAGAATGTCTGCGCGCCTCGTGGAATGGCCTTGGAGAGAGCATTGATGTCATCGTCGTATCCATACGACAGAACGAGATCAGCCTCGTCAATGACCAAGTGGGTAACCTTGTCGAGAGAAAGAGCGGAGCTGTTGACATTGCTGTAAACGCGGGTGGGGGTTGACACGACGATATCGGGGAAATCGGCCAGCATCGAACGTTGCACTTCGTCGGAAACCTTCTGTGTCAAGTTGACAGATCGAATGTCCTTTCCACAGAAGCTGGAGAACGATACAATAACTTTCTGGACTTGTTCTGCAAGCTCGCGGGTGGGGACAAGAATGAGAGCGGTTGTAGCTTTTGAAGAGGGATCGGCCTGGTAGACAATAGCGATTAGATACAAGTCCACTGAGAAAAATCTTATGCTTGAATGGGACAAAACGAACAGTCTTTTGTTGGAGGATGGCTTGCAAGATGGGAAGAACATAGGCGGCGGTTTTACCGGAGCCAGTTTTCGCACGAGCTAAGTTTGTTAGTAATTGTGAACTGGTCCAGCAAAAAGCAGTGCGATCTCACCAAGAATATCCTTTCCTTCGAGCGCCAACGGGATTGCCTTTGATTGTACCAGAGTAGGCTTGGTGAACTTTTCCTTGATCAGAGCCTGGCGCAATCGAGGATCGAGGTTGAGTGCTTCAAAGTCAAGCTCACTCTCCTTGGCCACGGCAGCCTTAGGCGAGGGAACGTCATTCGCATCTAATTTGCGCTTCATTGTGTTTGACTGTGTATATGCTTGATCAGATCTGAGGAAATTGAAACTTTTTTGGGAAATTTTGTCGGGCGGTGAATGCATCGCAGGCGGTGAGCGGGCGGGCCCAGATTTTTTATGACATAACTCTGTGAGCCTCAGGCCGAAACGCATATCTTGAACTTCATTTAAACCATAAAAACGTTCATTCCTTTAAACCAAACTCCTGAATTCCAATTTCTATTTACTCAAAGATTCGTTAAAATACTCCAATAGCAGTTCCATGGACTTCCTCGTGACTTGACCCACAGGCAACACCTTGACGTTATGCTCAACTGTGTACACCTTCCCGAAGTTGACTCTCGACATGGAATCTAAGCTCGGCTTGTGCTCAAATCTGCCGGAGTGCCTGTTTTCGTGTCTAATAGGCTCCACTTCGAGTGACTGCTTTGTCATGCGACGTACATCACCCTGGACCGGGGGTTCTTCGCCTTGCATATAAATGACGGCATGTTTGGTTCGGTCAATCCCAGACTTGGCTGCGCCTTGTCCACCATAGGTTGTGATAGGGCTGGTATATTGTTAGCCTCCTGGTTGAAGTATGAGGTAATATGGGAGATCAATACATACACACACCAACAGCAGCCCTGCTGCTGCTTGACGACTATCATGCGCCTAATACTGCTGTATATCGGCTCTTGATACTTGCCCTTGATGAACTGGGGACTATTTCGCGGGGGGCCCTGTTTGCTGTTTCTGGGTCCACGCGACCCTGCGTTTTCATGGTAGAGCATTGAGAATACCCGGCCGACTTGAAAGAACGCATCGCCGTCCCTCTGCACCTTGTACCCTATCCGTATGAAGTCATGAGCTCTCTGATTTATCGTACTTGGTCAAATGTGCGACTCAAAACTTACGGGGATCTAGGGTTTCATTCTCGCCAGTGGCTCCGAGGGCCAGGTAAGATCCATCTGGCGCCAACACCCTTGAGTCTCTGTGTTTTGGGTAGCGAGCTCTTTTGTTGGCGGCCTTGTACGGCGCTCTCGGTCTATAAAACCTAGCCGAACTGCTAGTTCTGCTGTGTGCCGAGCCATCTGCATCTGTGTGTTTTCCGTTTCTCGCGTGGTGGAAGTCGATTGTTTTTTCATGCTCCGGCGTCGAGGAATGAAGGTTGGAAACCCTTTGCTGGTGGTTTGTGCTGGTTCCAGATGCCGGCTGTAGTTGCGTATCTTGGGGGTTTGTCTGGTGCTCTTGAAAGGACGCGAATGAATCTGGGTGTTTGTATATATCGTTGGGGGCGAATGTAAAACCTGGACGCCTTTTATGCCAGGGAAACCTTTTGATCCTTTGTTAACTTCCCAGACTCATGCCAAGGGAGCAAGAAGAGAAAAGAGTTGGATACCTTAGGGTGTGGTCTCTCTCCTTGTTGTGAGGCAGTGAACGGCTGCCAGGGCTGCTTCTCCAGCGTGGTTCATCTTCAACTCAGTCAGCCCACTCCTGAGTGATTTTGCAAAGAGAGAAAGCTTACCTTCGTAGTTGTAGTTTGGACGGAACCATTGATTGCTCCCAGAATTGTGACACACCTCCGATGTCATCATGGTTGGATGAATATGTCTTTGAAATAAGCTTGAAGGTGTGATGGAAGAAACCTGTAAACCTTGAAAGCTATAAAGGTGAGAGAATAATGTTCGAGGTCTACACCATCTTATATGGTCAATGGGCTCTGCCTTTTGTACTTTCTTCTATAATATACAACACAGTATGTCTCCTTCGATCTGGAAAAAAATAAATCAAAAGCCTGATATACATCGCGCGTATACGACACAGCAAGTTGGTCTGCTGTCGAGCGCTCACTCGCTGGTGGCACCCTTTGACCTTAACACATGACTAGCAAGGGCTCATACCCGGTGAAATCCCAGTACATTGGATTTTATGATATCCAGGAGGCTGCCGTAGATGCTACGAGCTAGCCCAAGGCGGCATCCTGTTTTTGTCAAGGCGACCAAGTAAATGACAGAGTAAGAGCAGCGGCGATAATGTAGCGTCGTTGGACCTAGCAGGGAATCGGATGAGAAGTGAGTTATTGGTGACCAACTCGGGATTTTCAGCGCCACAATGAGGGACATGACCTCCCATAAGGGTATTGATGAAGACTTGTTGGCATTGAATGCTTCATGTTGTGGTTTTTACTGCGTGGAATTAACCGCTTATGGTCACCCCGTCCTTATGATCCAACATCTCGATCTGTTGGTTGGTGCCGAAGCCCCTACGAGATGGGAACACAACGAATGACACTTGGCGATATTGAACCTTATAGCATGGCATCATGGCCAGGAGCTCTTCGGGGCGTTGTTTAATAGGTTCGTGGGACAATACTTGTCTGCAATATAATCGAGGCTCATCACAATATTCCCAACGAGGTGCCACACGTTGGAAACCTTTGGACCAACAACAATAATGAGCTATTTATTTCCAACATTATTCACCCCCTCTTGTGTTACAGAAAGACATGGACAGTGGCAAGCCAGAGTTTGAATACCATAGCACCTCATAATACGAAGAGACCAACTGCCTTGCCATATCCTTATGGGATGGAATTTGTCTTCGAGGAACTCAACAGCGCCAAACTCTGAAGCTCAAACAAAATGCAATACACAAGCTGGGGAGACAAGCATACATCATGAACTTGAGTGTTTCGTTCTTTGAAACGAGGCTCTCAAGGAACAGTTCAGCCATTGACAGACACACTGCGCCTATGCCACTCGTCTCATTCGATACAAGAACAAGACAAGGCAGTGTAAGAGTGGCAAACACTCCAAAGAATCTACTTGAAGCATATGAAAATAGGATACACCCATCAGTAAGAGCGCTAGGGAATTCATTATCTGCACCCCGTTGCGAGCACCGGCTCCTGTCACCTGTGTATGGGTGCAGCGGTCTCACCTCTCGACACACCCTACCATTCTGACAAGTTGAGCTCCCAAAAGAGCATAGTTCGAGCTGATCTAGCAAGGTCAGCGTCCTATCAACTTTGAAGCGCCCGGAAAGGAGGGAGATATATGCTTCGGGGCCGGAATGAGTCTGGCATGGCCCAGTTGCCTGGACAGATATAACCCCTATTGGATGCCCTCTTACAGTGGGCAATTAAAATAATCCAGAACTCTGGGAAGCCGTGTCTCTCGCCTCACTTGAGGGGTGATATCCGACGAAGCCAGCACAATACCAGGGAGTCTAGCATCTGTCGCCAGGAAGGTTGGTCACTTTGCTATGACCCATCCCTTCGAACTCAAAAATACGTCTTTTTCCATCGCGAATCGCTTTCTTGGATGAAGCTGTTCCATATCACATCCATGGATGACACTTGGACATCCAGGTATAGGGTTTCATCCAGCGCCTGGACTACCATGGCGATGATAATTTGGGTTACGGAGATTATAAGCGCCATGCACCTCAAATTGGTCAAGTGTGTCAAACAGAAACTGTGGGAAATACTTAGCAACTCTGAGATATCATTCGAGATACCGCAGCATACATCGGGTAATGTTGGTGTTGATGGTTCGAGGAAGGATATTCGCTCAGGTTCCCTACGGTGCCGCTCAAGAATCCAGGAATAGCAAAGTCTTCTTAGCTGAAACAAGATTGATATTGGCAAGGGATTGTGTGTGTTTGCTATGAGAGAGATAGGCACGAAAATTGAGGGATATCTAGAGCCCAGGAGAAAGGTGACCAACCACCACCACAGATGAACAAATCCCAGAACCCATAAATATTATCTTGCACCCATTTTCAGAGCATCTGAAATATCTTAAGCGCCAGGAAAACCAACTCTAGCTGGACTCTATTGATCTAAATTGAATCTCTGTAACACATTTATTGCCTAATCGGGAAGTTGACTCGCTATCCTGACGTTGTCGATCTTCTCGCATTCGATCACATTACAGTTTAACCCTTTCTCTAGATAATTGTTTCATATGTATCTATGGATTTTCATGGAGATTGTCATATTTTAAATTGCCTTTACATGTACTTGTACACAGTGCTATCTGACTGCAACGTCTTACAAGGCAGAGGAATAATCATTGTTATTGAAGCCAGATATCGAGGTTGTCCATCGGGGATATTTGCAAATGTTGCCATCTAAAAGATTGAGAAGAGCAGCTTTGGAAGGACTTATACGTATTGACGAAACGATGCAGAAGTTGGCTGATTGTTGAAGTTATCTTCCAAGTTTGCTTTAGTGCTGGTTACTCGCATCATGAATTCAGTTCATTATGTACATAAATCAAACAATTTCCCATATCAATATCCGTAAGCGGGTTTCTGACCCAAAAAGACGCTATCCGTTACCCAAAAGTACTCGTAACATTCAAAAGAACAAAAAAAACTTTCATGATCGCTGTGGGAAATGCACCGAGGAAGCTCACGAGTACCGAGTCTCGCCCTCACTATCGCTCAGACTGTCACGGCGACGACTGCGGCCATCACGGCGGTAACCCTTGGTCAGTCCTGGGATAGGATGCTTGTAGCTTCTGGTGCCGGAGTCTTCGGTGTCGACATTGGAATACTGGTACTCGGAACGGCTTCCTGCAGATGAGAAGTCCAGCGGCTCGGTGTAGTGGCCTTGGGCCGCAGAGCGGCGGTCGCGGTGCTTGCGGGGGCTGCTTGTGCGGGATGATGGTGCGGGAGGGGGACCAGATGGGACGTGGCTAGGAGGCTGGCTGCGGCGATCACGACGACGGTTGTGGCGACGAGTAGATGGATCACGGACGCGACGCTCTTCCGTTGTATGACTGATAACATCCTCGCTGCCCTCGGTGAAAGAGAATCCAGATGGATCTCTGTGGCGTTGGCGACGTGGGGGGGTCATCGTATGCAAAGTCGTGTGTCTGGCTCATCTCGCTCTGTTGGTAGGATGTGGGCGGGGCGGAGGTGTCATAGTCGCTGCCGTGGTAGGTTCCGTCGGCTTCGCGGTTCATGCCACCGATACGAGCAGGCTTCTCTTCACGGTACGCCCGGACGTCGGCATCTTCAGCACCTTCCCATTGCTCTTGCTTGTTTCGTCGGAGGAACTTCTCTTTCGCGTCTCTGAATCTCTTGCGGCGAGGTTTTTCCTCGGTGACTGTAGTTGCGGTTTCGGTGTATGATCCATCGGTGTATGAATATCCATCATCCGTGTAGCCTTTTCCGACGATACTACCACCACCAAGCTTCGTACTCTTCGTGGCGTTACTGAGAGTTTTGCCATCTGGTCCCTTGCGACGGAGGACGGTCGACTTGTACTCGTCCCAGTCACCGTTGCGCCAGACAAACCCACCATTTCGAGCCCAGAAGAAGAACCAAATTGCTGCCAAAACAAACGCTGCGCCAATAAGGGCAAACAAGGCCATCAGACCTTGCATCTTTATACTGTGTGGGTCAACGGTGCCCTGTCCATAGGACGCCTTTGTGGTGGTTGCTGAGTCGTCACGGGCGACAAGGGTGTGGGTGTTGAGGTTGAGTGAGGCCGTGGGATCTGTGCTGGCATCTCCGGCATCGCGAACATAGAGGCCGCCGGAGACTAATACTGGAATGTCTGGCACATCCTCGATCGGAACAGGAGCCATGATGATCGATCGAAGAAGCCAAGAGCACGCGGCTCAAGACTTGACTATCTGGGAATTGGTCAGTACGCTGAACATTCTTGCAATCAGTGGATCTGATCTTACTTTGGGAGCAAAGAGCAAAAAGATCACCAGATCTTGATAAGGGCTATGTCTGGAATGTGGAATGTGAGATGTGGAATGTGCAAAGGAACGAAATCACGGTGGGTTGAGGGGTATCGGGAGACAGAAGATGCAGGTGTGAGAAAACGTCAAACCAGATTGTGATCCGGCTTGACTTGACTGGCAGAATTGAGGAGGTTGGAGGAGGCTGGGGACTGTGTTTACGACGGTGGTTGTCACGGGCAACCCGCTTACATCACCCCCACTCGGCTCCACGTTGATCTATAAAAGTGTCGATCACCCACCGAGCATGACTGCCGCGGGATTCTGGACTCCCTACAGAAGTGGTGGAGCTCTTGAGTCATTCCACAGCCTACAGCCTTAGGAAAGAAGTGGATGAATTATTTATACTAGTAAATTCCACACCCGAGAAGTGAGCCTCTGAGGCAAGCCTCCATGCCCAAAACCTGTGATCAAACCCAGACAGCTCACGGGGTATCAAAAACTGGAGAACAGAAAACGCAGAGATCAAGGCCAATTCGAAAGTCCAAATCAATACAAAGAGCAAACGAAATCAACTACGGAGCTCGGTTCCAGAGGCCAAATAGAATCAACGTATAAAGTAGATATGGCCAAGGAAACAGATGACCTGTTGAGACATGACAAGTAAACAGATATGGGTATAATCTCTCTCCGCCAGGAGTCGCGAACAAAGCAAGGAGAAAGACACAGACCCAATGACAAGAAAGGCTATACACGAAATCGCTGACAAAAAGTAGACAGAAAGTAAAGCACATCAGACTTGTCATCGCAGGTCATCAGAATCGTACAATCATATCGCCATAAACAGGTGACGCATCACGGACATGAAAAAAGGGGTGGGGGCATTGTGTGCCCGATTGCTTTGCCCAAACACACAAAAATAGAAATAGAGAGAAAATCCAGACGGTTGTAAATGAAATCACACAAAGTCCTCCCAGCTTGGGCGAGACTGTCGGGCTTGGGGGCTAGGTTCTAGACCGTGGAAGATCCCAAGCTGCCCAACAGTGTCGCATTTGGTAAAATCCCAATGATTTTGTTTTTGTCCCGAAAGGACACCGGAACCCGAAGAAAAGGAAATGCAACATATGCGAAGCAATCGAAACTTTTGACAAACGAACAAGCCAACCAACGGCTATGCAGACACAAGATGGAATCACAACATGAAAAGAGACAGTGAAGATAAAAAAAAAGAAAAGCAAAGAAAATACCGAACCATGAGGGAAAAAAACAGAATGAAACGTGAGATAAACCAAGGAAGCAAAGTTCAACAGGGTGGGAAATCAATGGTGGTAACGACCTCCACCTGCGTAGGCTGACTGGCTGTCGCGGCGTGAGCCACGTTCCAGTCGGCGGTCTTCGCGAGTGCGTCGAACATCTTCGATCTCCCGATGGCGGCTAGCACCACCCGTATAATCAGAGCCAGAGCCATGGACATACTGCCTGGGCTGCCGAGGACCACCTCCGATGTTCAATCGGACGCCCCCGGTTTCCCCAGTACGAATGTTGATGGACTTGCCTGCAACTGCTTCCTGAGTAAATCCGATTTTCAATCCGTTCATTGTCAAGGTCATGTTCTTGTCTTCTTCTGTTCGTGAACCTGTACCGCTGCCACGGCTGCTGTTCGACCGGCTCTTCTGACTGCCGCTATCGCTCCCATTTCGGTTGGATGGCTTACTCGGGGGCAGAACCTCTTGCGAGAGAGGCAGGGCGGCAGTCGATGCTCGGCCGGACCGTGCAGCTTGGTAGTTTTCAGCGGCAAGTTCGCGATCCTCAAGGTCATCTGCGACGCTGGATGGTTCGTAGTAGTATTCGGTTGGCTTCCGTCGCCGGGAGCTGGCCACGGCCACCTGGGCAGATCCACGCTCAGCCGCGTAGCTCGTAGACCGGTGCGGGGCCCGCATGCTCTGGGTTCTCTCGGGCGGAGCATCCCTGGAAATGCGACGGTTTCCACGATCCCGGTCGGAAACTACGGGGAGGGAGTCCTTCAACTCTGCCAGATCCATTCGGTCATACTCACGATCCGCGCCTCTGTCCCGGTCCAGGTTTCTGGACGCACGGCGTTGGGACGGGACGGCAGCGGTGCTGGTGTGCACTTTCCGTGGTTCGGGTCGTTCGAGCACACGTTTGACCTGGTGAACCTGTGGGGTTGACCTGAGCTTGGGCTTGGGCATTGGTGGCGGTGGGGGAGCCATGCTTCCGCGGTAATAATCCTCATCTGGGTCCTGTTGGCTGATGGAAGGACGGCCACGGACCTCTCGCGAGGGATATCGCTCCAGAGGCTGGTCCTCCTCATACCATGGAGAGTATGCTCCGGAGTCCATTGGTGGGGGCGGTGGGGGCCCATAGACAGAGTTGGATCGATGCCGCCCTGGTTCTCGGGAGAGAGACCGCTCACGGGGGTATTCCGATGGGGCACCATATTCCGAGGGAGCGTAGTAGGTGGATTGTCCGTATGGAGAGGATGAGTACTGGTTCTGCATGTAGGCCGAGTTGGATGGTGGGGGACCATAGTCGTATCCGTGCATGGACGACTGGCTGTACATCGGAGATGCCACACCCGAGTTCATACCGGATCCCATGCCTGGTGGCATACCGTGGAAGCTCATGGGGCGACTGTTGTGGTAGGTGTGATATGAATGGGAGCGGTTGGATCGACCGGGGTTGCTGACGTGGATGCTTTCGACGGCGCCGTATCGAGGGGCGTGCGGGGAGGATGAGAAGTCCGGCACGGGAGGGCGTTGTTGGTAGAAGGGATACTCACCGGGACGAGTGTCAACGGGAGCGGAGGGTTGGTAGCCGTGGTAATCGTAGTAGTTATCGTGGTGGTACTGGCGAGCGTGGCCGGGGTCTCGTCGTTGAGACTTGGACGCTGACCGATGCACGTGAGCATGATGGGCAGTGCCCGCGTAGGCACCTACCATCTTCTCGTCGTGCGAAGGCCTGGATCGTTCCTTGTCTCTGCGTTCTCTGGTGGAACTTTTTCTGGAGAGGTCGGCACGTTTGGGGTTGTCCAGCTTAAGAGGGGCCGGGGGACTTTTTCCGCCTGACGGGCCAGATTGGGTGCTGTTGACGGTGGCGGCGGTGCGACTAGAATAACCTGAGTCACTGGCGCCGTCGATCAGCGGCTCCGGGTTTCTAGGATCCAACCTCGAGAGTTTGACAGCACTGTTGGGAGCAATGTTTGCTGACAACCTAGTGCCGGGTAGAGTAGCGTTGGAATCTTCGTCAAATTCTTCCACGAAGGCGGCCTGGGGGCCCTTACTGGCCATAATGTGGGCTGCACAAAAGGCGATCGGGGAGTCCCTAAAGTGCAAAAAAAGAATTAATTAAAAAAAAAAAAAAAAAAAAGAACAGGGTTGGCCCCGTCCAGCAGGGGCGACGTGTGTGGCTCCCGTAGGGCCCCAGATGATGTTCGACTTACAGGAAGCCACTGCCTTTTTTTTTTCTCTCGATGAGTCAGATAGTATGCGTCTTCCTCTGCGTGTTTTTTCCCCCTCTATTTTTTCTTTCTTGCCCAACCCCAAAGTGGGCCCAATCAAGTAATCGGGCCTGCCGATCGCTAAGGGCGATGGCAGGCGACTGCAGCGGATTTCTGTCAAGCGGAGAGTGCTGAGTCGTACTTTGAAAAGCGCAGTGTCTCCATCGAAATAGTTGGGCTTAGAGAGTCAGGCGCGTTGGGTCAAGAGAGAGAGAGAGAAAAAGAATTTCCGGAAAAAAATAAAAATGAAAATGAAAGCAAAGCCTCTCTGGCAGCCGATGAGTGGTGGAGTGGACTTGCAGCTGCAGGACTGAGGTTGGGTTGAGAATTTGGGATCCTCTGCCTGACGGTCTTGGGTCTTAGAACCTGGTGGGGAGAGTGGAGTCGATGGGCATACAAAAGTGAGGGGTGATAAGAACACCCTGCAAGAACAAGAGAGGGAGGGAAGAGGGAAGAGAGAGAATGAGAGAGAGAAAAAAAGGAATGTAGAAAAGAAGCGACAGAAAATCAGGGAGAAAATGATTAAAAAAACAGAATCAAAGAAATGGGGTTTCACGAAGAGGCTCTCGGGTACCCAACTCAAATGGAAAAAAAGAGAGAAGTGGGGGGGGAATACCGGCGTCATTTCTTATTTATCTCTTCTATCCTCATTTTACTTCGGATTTTACATTCTTTTCTTTTCTTTTCCTTTTTTTCTTTTTTCTTTTTTCCGTTTTCCCCATGAGTCACTGGTATGAATTTCCGAGGTACGGAGTATGGAGTATGGTATAGAACTTGCAGTACATTGTATTGTACGGAGTATGCAATTGTATAGATTGTTTACATTTACTGTGGACCCGAAGGCATCCGTGGTTGCAAGCCTTGGATCCATGGTAGCCATCAATCCTTATTTCTTGCCCCATTGACTTTGAAGTGTACGGAGTACACACTCTGATGGCACCGACACCATGCAGAGACATTCGTTTTTATCTCGTAGCTTTTCTCATTTCCTATTTCTCCCTAAAGCGCATGGTGACTAACGCCCAACCGTGTTTGCGGCCCAATGATCGCCTCCACCAAGAAGGGTCTTCCCTGTCAAGAAATTAAAAGAACCCGTTCGTCTCTTGGGAAAGAAAAAAAAAATTCGGTTATGTTTCGGTCGCTCCCCGAGGCTTCTTCATCGGCTTGGGTTTGTGTTCCATATCTCTCACGGCTGTCCAGGACAATGTATACAATGTACAATGACAATTGTATCTGGTACCTACGCGGGAAAAAGTCGGTGGGGAAAGACACCCTGCACCTCCCACCTGCAACATTAATTCCCACTGTGCGATGGGACTCAAGATCCTGCGATGGAATCATCACTCCCTCTTTGCCACCGCGGTGGAGTGACTCATGATAAATTCTCTCACTTTCCATCGAGACCCCGTCCAGGCCAAAGGGGACTAGAATTGAGTAAAGAGGGACTGAGCACTGCATGGCATTCGTCGTCAGAGACCCCTCCGTCCATGTGGCAGGTTATCTTTGGATCTCGTCACTTCTCCGCACCAGGTTGTCCGGGACTCCGAAGTGACTTCGACGATGGCAGTGCGTTCGAGCAAAGTCAATGTACTTGTACAAGTTGCTAAGTAGAGATATTCCTGCTCTCAAGTACGGCGTACACTCTGCGGTACTAGTAGGCCGAAACCTTCTGAGCAGGATCGGGTTAGATTGGTATGACATGCAGCACGGACGGTTTATCATTGCCATTGTGGATTCCTTCATATCCCTTGCGTCGTGAGATCCAGTTCATGAGATTGCCACACGTGCGAATATCTATAGAAATTGCGATGAGCAGTGACTCTGAACTATAGCCGATGAAAGTTTCTGTCGAGCTCAGAGCCGAGAAGCCAAGAGTACATGGACCCAACTCGTTATCGCAGGTCTAGAGAGGCTCAACAGGAGGGAAAAGTCACCCGCTCTTGATCCCACCCGGGATCTTCATGCGGCTCTAGTGCAGATAGTCCATGGCGCTCCCGTCTCCAGGGCTTCCTTTGCCATGACATCTTTCCATGGGCGTGATCGCAAGTCTTCGTATCGGGCCCGGAAGCACCATGTGCACCGGGACATATCTCAATTCGGATCGCAGCAGCTATTAAGCTTTGCTCGCATATTTTCTATTCGGGATGCAATCACGTTGCTTCTGTCAACTACAAATTCCGTAGGTCATGATTCATTCATCCCGCCTGATTGATTAATTCCCCTCTCTCGGGAAAATAATAGTAGGTCAAGGAGCGACCCCCTTGCGTCCTTCTGTGAGATGGCATCAGCTCCTTGAGGTCAAGGTCTTCACCGCTCTTTCATGAATGCCAGTGACTACCTGTCTGGTGACGGAGAGGAGGGGATATCGGTCCAATTGTATTCATTCTTTTGTTCCAGATGCTTCTGTCGGGGATTTTAGTGGCTTGGAGTGGAAGAAGAACAATAGATGACTTGCAGGCGGATCAATGGATACTCTGATCGTCTGATACTAGTTGTTACTAGCTGATATTTGGACTGGTTTCAGATAACCTTCTTGCAGATAGAACTAAATCATCGGAGACTTGACCTCGGCACGCAATAATCAACTATAATCATGTTGGTGTGGTACAAAGACATTGGTGGAAAAAGCAACCAGTCCCGTGGATGCCCACGCCTTGACAAAGTCGCACAGGACTCCTAGCGGCTTGCGGGATTGGAGATAATCGCATATCTCCAACTGGCGAGTGGCTGCCATACCGGATAGAGGTCCCCGACAAGCGGTCACTCATGTCCGCGTATACGGACGGGCTGTTAATGTGCTCGCCGAGCACGTGAAAGAAAAAGAAAGAGAAACAAACAAAATCTCAATAGTATACAATGCAAGCAGCGCAAGTCTCACCATTGCGCCTCTTGCGAACAATCATCCGACTGCCCTAGTTCTTTCGCAGATACAGGGCAATCCATCCGAACAGTCGATAAACTGCAATAATGCCAACAAGAATTCCAGCCCACTTCCCGGTCCGACCAGTGGCATAGCCATATGACTCCAGTACCCCGGTGCCACGAATGAGACATTGATCTGCTAGATCGGTGTTGTACATGCACTGGCATCCGGCGCCACAGGAATAGGTACGTTTTGAGAACTCGTTGACCATCATACCCTGGAATACATATGCCTGAATATCAAAAGTCAGCTTAACGAGGTACTTAACTTCTTATAGCAAGGCGTCAGCATACCTGATAGTCGATGTAGTGAAACACATATTTCCAAAACGGATTGAGAATCGTCGGCGTGACCAGAAACCCTCCGACACTCATCCACAGTCCATTTGCAAATGCTACCAGCGCCAAGGCGATCACAAAGTTCGGGAAGATTGCTGTCACGAGGACTACGAGCGATTCGGCGGCAACAAGGTCGAGGAAGATCCACATCACCCAGGTGAAGAACGCTTCCGCGGTTGGTTGGAAGTTTGAAAGCCAGTATGAGACAATCGAGAAGAGGATGGAGATTAGGACTAGGCTTGGTTAGGGTGTGGTCATGGAGCAGGGAGTGGGATACATACACAAGAAGGGCAACCCGATCAAAAAGTTAGATATCATGAAGGGTGTTGCACCGTAGAGCCCGTTAGCTCTCTCTTTTGCGAAGGTTGCCCGGTCTTCTAGGAATGCTGGGACGTAGGCTACAGCCATGAAAGACATAAAAGCAGAACCGAAGAACTATTTTGATAAGCGAGTGAATCTTTGTATCATGAATCAAAGGAGGACTCACGATCGCATTGATGAAAGGCTGAATGTATTCCTGAGATGGATGAAGTCGAAGCCACACAGTACCCATCATGATGGCCAAACCTGTGTCACGTCAATCGCTGCAAGTTTGAGGGATCGTATGATAGTCATACCAAGATACATGACAATGCGAATTCCATATGCGACGACATCACGGTAGGACTTGATAAAAGACCGGTGCAAAAGAGCCAAGGTGATCGAAAGTCCATTTGGCCGAGTCATGTCCTCCATTGCGGACTTGTTGACAGTCTTCTCCACTGAATGAACTCGCTCGGAAATCTCTTTTGTAACACTGACCGCTTGTGTCGACTCAGTCCAAGCATTCTGGATAGCTTGCACCCTCTCACTGGCAAGTTCCTTGGAGCCTGAAAAATCCGAGCTGACGATATCCAACAGAAATTCGGCCGGATTGGTCTGGAGAGGTACCGGGTAGCCGATGGTATCAAAGTAGCTCTCAACATGCTCGGTTCGGCCAAAATAGCAAGTTCTCCCAGATGAAAGGAGAAGCAGCTTATCAAACAGCTTGAATGTTGTGGTCGACGGTTGGTGAATACTCGCGATGATGATGAGCTATGGCATGTTAGAGACTGCAACAGCGTTGGTGATGACTGGCTTACATTATTGGCTCTAGCAAGTTCCCTCGCATATGAGATTACCTCATAACTGGCTGTTGAGTCCAGTCCACTGGTTGGCTCGTCCAGGAACAAGATCTTGGGACAAGTGATGAGCTGGCTAGCAACGCTCACGCGGCGCTTCTGGCCACCACTGATCCCCTTTCGGATCGGGGTGCCAACCAAAGTGTTTGCTTGCTTCTGAATACCAAATGCTTCCAAAAGGGTTCGGATTCGCTCCATACGTTGAAGTTTTGATACGGATCTGTTGGAGGGAAATTATTGTCAGTACTGGATGGCGGAGCTGACGTTGGCTGCAATTGCAACGCGACATACCTAGGCAAGGAAAGATCTGCTGCAAACTTCAATGTCTCTTGCACAGTCAGGGACCCTATCAATGCATCCTCCTGCTCGACATAGGAGGTCATCCGCTGGAAAGATCTGGCGTCGGCCTGTGAGTCGTTCACGTAGGTCTCCCCGATCACCTTTGCGCCGGACGACGCGGCACGTCGAGCGAGAACGTTGAGAAGAGTTGTCTTACCACAGCCCGAGGGGCCCATCAAGGCAACCAGCTCCCCTGTCGAACAGGTGTCAATACAGGGTTTGGTATAAAGTTTGAGCCTGGACCCATACCATGTTGTGCATCACCGCTGATAGCATTGATCAAATCGCGGGACTTCTTGGTCTCTCGGTCTCTGACTGTGACAGTCAGATCCTGCCACGAGAAGCTTTGTACAGTCTGGTTCAAGAGAAAGTCTCCACCGTCGTTTCGCTCCAGGTCCGGGGACCTGGCCAAGTTCGATATCGAGGGATCATGCATGCTGCTAGAGGCGAACGGTTGACGGCAGATGCTAGTAACTTGAAGACTCAGACAGTACAGTATCAGACGCCCGTTTCGGTCGAGTCCGGTTCTATATAGAGGTGGGCTGAAGAGAGCAGCGAAAAGAGACAACCAGCGAGAATCGTCTATCTGAGGCTATTCAGCACGATGTACGATTGCAGACAGGCCTCAGCGGGGTCAGCTTTTATAGATTTTGATCTCGTCTAGCCATGCGGTGATTACATATCCCTGCCGGGGAGTGGAGTGGAGCGTGACCATCACACATATGTGGAGTCCGAGGTCCCCGACTGAGGCTGAAGATTCACTCCTGTCTTAGGGCTCCGGGCGGGGATCAGGCTGACATAAGAATCTGTATGTCCCAAGGTTCCCCAGGTCCCCGGATACTGAACGGCGATTGAAGAAACCAATAACGGGCTTTGAAAAAGAAAAGATAAAATCAGGAGAACAATGCCATTGCTTACTAGGTGGCTGGGTCTAGAACTGTGCATGTTCTAGCGTGCGCATCTTCCGCACGCTGGCCCTGGAGACTATCGTGTTGATCAATTTCTGAGACTACCCTTGGAAGCCCCCAATGGATCTGAAAGCCACCAATTTACACGAAAATCTAAGGCTGTCCATACTATTGTCAGACATATTGGAGTTTGAGTTGTCTTTACGCGAAGAAAATATAATAGCAAAAATAATCCCAGTGATGAAGAATCACTGCCATTTTTATTTGTCCCGCTCTTGGCGCCCAATGCAGCTAAAATAAAATCAAGATATACCATGGAAAGGGGGTGTTCGAACAGAAATAAAGGTTGAGTCAAGTCGCATTTACATACTATTGGCAGATTAGTGATTGTGCCTTCGGTTATATAGGGGAATACTAACCGCTCAACGGGGTTCAGACCAAGAACGCGCATGCCGTTGTTCAGGACCTGGCGAGCTGAGGCATACAAGGCCATACGAGCCTGCTTAACATCGGGCTCGCTGCCGATGACCTTCAGAACATCGTAGCTGGAGCTGAGCATGTGAGTCATGCGGAACAGGTAGCTGAGAACAGTGATGGGCTCAAGGGTCTTGGCGGTTTGCAGGAGCACGTCGGGCCACTGGGCCAAGAGACGAACAAGATCAACAGCGTGCTTCTCAGTCAACAAATCGAAGTTGGCGTTGACCAGCTCATCGACATTCAGCTCAGACTTGCGAGCCATGGAGCAAAGACGAGCGTGAGCGTACTGCAGGTAGGGACCAGTGTCACCCTCGAAGGATGTCATGGCGTCCAAGTTGAAGTCATAGCCGTTGACACTGGAGAGGAGAATATGTCAGCATGCAATTAACATTTCGGGGGAGAGTTCAACTGGTTTTCACATACCGCTTGCCAGTCATGTCTTGCACCATGACGGAGGTGATACCCAAGATATCAGCAGTCTTTTCGGGGTCCTCGACTTGCGCATACTTGACCTCGTTCTTCTTCATCACCTCGTGCATCTTCTCGCCGACGTCGCGCAAGATGTCATCCAAAAACTTAACAGTACCCTTGCGGGTGCTCATACCACGAACCATACCAAAGTTGATGTGCTGGCAGCGAGAAGCCAGGTCCTTGTGGCCCATCAGCTCAGTGACCTTGAAAAGCTGGGCCAGGTGAAGGTCCTGCTGAGAAGCAACAACGTAAATCATCTTGTCGAAGTGGTATTCCTCGTCACGCTCGGTGATGGCACCGATATCGCGAGTCAGGTAAAGAGGAGTACCATCCTTGCGAACAATGATGGCCTTGCCCAGCTTCTTTGCGCCGTGCTTGGTGAAGTCCACAATAACAGCGCCCTCTGATTCTTCAGAGACACCGGCCTTCTCCATGAGCTTGTAGGCACCAGTCATGCTCTCGGACTTGATTTGAGATTCACCAGAGTAGACGTCGAAGTCGATGTTCAGGCGGGCGTATGTCTGCTTGTACTTCTCAATGCTGAGATCACGGAACTTGCGCCAGAGGGCAAGTGCCTCAGGGTCACTGTCCTCCATGCTCTTGAAGTAGCGGCGAGCCTTCTCATCCTCGCTAACATCCACAAGCTTGGCAAGTTGGGCGTCCAATTCAGTAACATCCTCGGACTTCTCCTTCTTGGCCTTGATCTGTTCCTTGAGTTCCTTGATGGGGCCATCCTGCTCGCTGACAAGACCGTTGACCTTGACGTAGACATCAAAGAGGTGGTTGATGGGGTCCTTGACAAGGGCTTCCTCATTACCGAAGTACTTGAAGCCGTTGGCCAACAGACCGTACTGCTTACCCCAGTCACCAAGGTAGTTCATCTTAATAACGTCCCATCCCATAACAGTGTAGATGTTGGCAAGGAAACCACCAATGATAGTACTGCGCAAGTGACCGGCGTGGAAGGGCTTGGCGATGTTGGGCGAAGAGAACTCAATGATGATCTTCTTTTGGCCCTTAGAGGGGTCGGCAGGGTCCTTTTGACCCTGGTTGCCGTTTGTTCCATAAGCAGCCTTCTCCTTGAGAATGCGACCAAGGACGCTGTTTTTCAATGGCTGGGGCTTGACGAAGAACTGCACGTGAGGACCGAGAGGGGTTGGGGGGTGAATGAGGTCGGACTCTGGGAACTTGCTCGCAACCTCCTTGGCGAGCTCAACGGGGTTCTGCTTGATTTGGAGAGAGGCAACCTATTTGCGACAGCAACATTAGCCTACTGGTCAATCATCGGGCGGGACGGGAGGCAGCATGAAGAACGTACCGGCAATGAAAGATCACCTTTGTCCAGGGTGCTGGTCCACGCAACACGAGAGTAGACCTTCTCAGCATCGACACTGAGGTATTTGCTGATCTCAGTCGCGATGTGTTCACGGTAGATATCCATTGGGTTCAAGGTCGGAAAGCAGCCGGCGAACTTGGACCGCTGTTCAGTCGATTGGAGGGGACAAGGCCGCCACGGAGGCGGGGAGTGAAGCTGACGCCATGACGGGAGATCGCGAGGTAAATGACGCGCGGGGTATCAGAGGCTTCAAGAAACGTGAGGTTTTAGAGGGGTAGCGCAATGGAGAAAAAAAGGCTGTGAACCGCCGGGCCCCGCTTAGACAATGACCCATAAAGAGGGGGACTCACTCGGGGATCTTTTTTTTGCCTCTCTACTTTTTTTTCCCGTGACTCACGCAAGGCGGTGAATTTGTCACGTGCATATATACCATTTTCAAATGTTAATCGATGCCATCGGGATGAACAAGTAGCAGGTCTCTTCTCATATCAATGGATTTGCTTCAAATATGCCTGAAATTATGGTTAGAAAATCGAATCAATTTCCAATGCTTCCTGTCATTATCTCTAACATTTTTGGTTTTCCCCCAATGTATATTTTGACAGTGTGTAACAACCTTGGAACATGTACACAATCCCATACTCTGGTGTTAACCTTGCAAAGTTTCTAAATTTGAAAATCTCGAGTTAGTGGGACTCAGTTTAAATAGTCATAAGAAGTGGATTTTATTATTTAAAGTTTCAACAGCAGAGCTGCATATTAACATACAGCGAATGTACATAAACACACACCGTTGGGGCAGCCAACCACAGACAGCCCTGGCGTCTTGACGTCATGTACCAGGAGCACAGTAGATAGTTCCTTGATATCACAGCCTTTTGCCTTTTTTGCTGCCTTTTAATACTTTTGTTATTCACCTTGTAATTTTCCAAGACCGTCTTTCAGGTCCACCCCCACAATGAAGCAGAGTCGCCGAGAATCCGCATTAATAAAGTCCATACAGTCTGCATTGACCCGTGACAATCATTCAAAAAAGACTCTCCTTAAGAAGCTTCTGGCTTTCTTCTCGGTGCGCCGGATAAAACTCACACGACATGAGCGAGAACTGTTCGAGAAACTACGTGGCGAGGTATGGAAGTTTGATCTGAACGAATACCAAGCAAGCTTCCATACAAGAGGACAGCTTCCATTCAAGACAGTGGGCGACTTGGGCTACTCAGGATCGGTGAGCGAATAAATAATCCAACCTTGGAATGACTCGGAGCGTAGCTAATGACATCTTACAGACTTTTCTCGCTACGGTTGACACACGTTTGATTGTAAAGAGCCTGCCGCGCCATTTCGAGTACTCCTTTTTCCAAGAGGACCTTCTTCTGCCTTACTTTGAGTATATGTCCCAAAATCCAGATTCTTTACTTGTATGGATTACAGACTATCTCATTGCACCTTATGTTACTCTGGGCACACTCTTTGGATTGACCCCAGCCCATCATATTGTCATGGAGAACACGATGTGCGGCCGAGATGAAGACCCAGCCGCTGAGAAGTGGGAAACATACGATTTGAAGCCAATTGATTACTTTTATCCAGAGCGTGATATCATGCCTCGGACTCTAGTAAGCGATGAGACGCTCAACAAGCTGGCAGATAGATTCGATGAAAAGCTCTATTTGTCTCGCTCAGACTACAAGTGCTTCTGGGATATGATCCAGAAAGATACGGCCTTCCTTCAGGACGCTAATGTTGTTGATTATTCTTTGTTCCTGATTCGTATACCTGCGTCTTCAGATCTTCCGGTGCAGGGTCGGAGAAGTCCATGGCGAGCAGGGCTGCCATCTGCTGATGGACAGTGGAAGTACCGTGCGGTCATACTAGACTTCTTTTGGGCTCGACACAAGCTTCAGCCTCTGGCACTATCAGGCGTGGTGCAGACCTTCAACGTCGTGGGAAGGCAAGGGCCCATGACTATCACGACCACGCCAAGTGAATATCGTGACAAGTTCTTGACCATGGTTTCTGAGATGATTGAAGAACATTGAACAACCCTGGAGATAAACCCAGCCTTCGCGTACCAATTTTGAACTATTCGAAGATATCTCTCGCGCCACTGATTTCTTTGCTTTGAAATATCTACCGATGACTCAATTTCATAACTTTACTCAGGAGCAAGCCATAGCTACCACACAACCTTGAAGCATGAGCATATCAAGATATCATCTACCTGTGTATGTTGTAAGCACACAAGCTGGTTATATTTTCTGTGAAAGTAACTCAGTGATGTACCACCTTCAAATTGGCGTCTTTGATTTTGAAAGGTCCCTTGCTCAGTATTTTGACGCTCCGCGGAAAGCTTACAATCCAAAGTCTGTGACCATGGCTGCACCAAGACCTCGATCGGAGGTTCACACCCAGAAGCCATCGAAGCCATCCAAAGTTTTAGTGACGTTGTCTTACCAACCTTGACAACTAGAGATCGTGGGACAAGATTTCTTTTTTTTTAGTAGTTCTTTGATCGTTTCCACATACTAAAAGACCTTTGAGGAGCAACAATTTAATTGTGATAAAAGGTCATTGTTCCGAAGAGATGATGAAAGGCCATTGAATGAATATGCCTGAAAGAATACAACTCAAACCTTGGCGATGTCCATTTAAGCAAGTAGATACCCCAACCCTAACAGAGGTAGACGTATTATACCAAGGTCCAAGTTTCACAAACCAGGTCGAGACAACAAAAGATTTCCCTCAGCCCAGTAGACCATCATCAGCAAGCCACTTGGCACGCACGCTGTACTATCAGCGATATAACAGACCACAATGTCCTTCTACATCACTTGTCACAACGGACTAGGTGTTGATGTGGCTGACGACGCATATTGGATAAACATAGTGTTCCGCTACGGAGAGAACCTCCTCATGCGCACTGACGGGGCAGTCATGACCCGAGTCATTGAGCGACTTCAAGAGAATAGATTTGACTTTGCTGACATACCTTGGGATTTGGAGATAAGGTGGTGTATTTCCCTTCCAGTTTCTGGACAGCACATGAACGATGAAAACAGAACCGAAGATGCACTGCAGCTGGCAAAATGGTACAAAAAGCAAATCGATCTTGGAAATGCTACTATCAACAGAGCCCTTCTTTTCGACATGAAACCATACCATTCAGGTAAGAATTGTTGTCATGGCAGTGTGTGTGACCGAATTCTTCACCCGGAGTGGTATGGACCGCCTGAGGTTGAGTGGGACTCAGTCACTGAGTATTCCTCTGGAGGATCAGACACTGAAGAGACTAGTTCGTCGGCAGAAAAAAGTTAAACAGTGTGTAGGTGATGTTTATACCAATTTATTGTTAGGCAAGTGAAATAAATAAATAAATTCGGCCAAGTCCCCGGCAATTCAAGGTTAGAGTTGTGAGTTCAAGCAATTGAAGTAGTTGAGCCTCATCCACGTGGCGTAAGCCCCCTTGCAGAAATTGTTGTTACTAGCACCACTTGAAGTTAGACCCAAGACTAGATAACACAATGGGGAATCAAGAGGTGAGAAAATTGAAAACTGGAAAGGCCGTCCCGCCCCAACAAAGACCGGTCCCACCTGGGCGTTCACAACAACCATCATGGCCGTTTGTGGGATCATCGATCAACATTGGCATCGTATGATTTGGTACTCCGTATACTTCAATAGCTCAAACCCTGTAACTATAAGCTTTATTGCAACGTGTTGAACGATGAGCCGAGACTAGATAATACCCCTCACTTTTTTCTTTTTTTGTCGAGCCGATGCCGGCATGAAGATTCCCCTCGTACGAGACGGTTAAACACGGTGCGCTATCAAATGACCACAACACTCTACGTGTACTTGATTACCTTGCGAGGAATGAAAACCTGACCATTAGAGAATTTCTCGCACTATTGAAAGTTGAGTCAACAAGAGAAAAAAATTGAATTGCGTGCCATGGAACAAGAGCGGATGACAGACTCAATGGCAGGATGATTAGGGTTGATTGGCTTTGTGTCGCATGATCGGCGGGTCAAAGGCAGTTCAAGCATCCGCAGAAGCCGAACTTTCCCAAGTGGGTAAAGGTCGTTAGAAATCAATGTTGTGGGTCGTCGAATCAACCTTGGAAGACATGCGAGCGCAATTGTACCTGAATCAGGGAACCGACTAGCACTAATGCAGTGATATTTCTTGGGAAATTGTACGCATCTGGCAGCAGTAAAGAACGGCTGTTCATGTGGGGTCTTGCTTGTCATTCCACTCGAGATTGATAAAAGCCCGAAGGCAAAGACAACCGAGACAATTTTGCTGCTCCACCGAAGATCCACGGCAGAGGAGGTGGAGCACCCTACGCGGCTGAAGAGAGGTCGCACTATGGAGCAATTGATTGTGATACAGGTACTCCGTACATTTCGCTTAAAGTCCCAATATTCTCGAGTGTCGTGTTCATTAACTCTATATTGAATAGTTGAACTCTGACGCATTCCATAGATCTGAGCGTATACTAGTGGGGAACTTTCGATCGAGAGGCCTATACAAGTGCCTGGATATATGAATGCACGTTTCAGGGGTACTCATTCCCAATGCACTGACCGCCATAGCACCCTGGGGTGTTGTTGGAGGCTTGCTCGGAGTTAATGGAGCATGTTCCTGGGGATCTTCCGGACTCAGGTACCAATTGCTTCCATGATCGGCCGGAGAGGCAGTCAATAGTCCATTAAGCTAAGAACTAGTGATATTCTTGTCATGGCAAGATCAGCTGGAAACAACCATACGGAGTACTAGGTACAATGTCTGCACTTGAGCAAAAACATCCAATCCCCGATGATGACACTGTAATATTCTCATTTGGTGGCGTCGCGAACCAATGGATTTGGAATCCGCTTTGACATCTCGCATATGTTTCGATGGTTGCTCTCCACTCGATCGGACTAGGCCGCCTTCTTGTCACCAATTAAGCATTTTGGTTCCTACTGCATGGGCCCCCACCTCTCTCGAGTATTTGTGAATGGCAAACGCGATTCGTACTGGAAACGGGGACCTCCGCTCTTAGCCCCGGTGCCGATAGAAATGGGATCTAGTTCGAGTACATAACCTGGGTGGCTGCTCGAGGCCCTGCCCGTAGGGTTCTCGAAAATGAGCCCTGTCATTTCAGTCTTTACCTGTCAGTCTTGTCACTCCTTAGATCATGGGTCTTCATGAGAAATTCCCAGCGTATGGGGGTCGTGGGCCCTCCGACCTCCGTCTGGGTATTGCTTTAGGCGTTGTCGCTACCATTTTCATGGTGTTGCGAGTGTATGTGCGACTTCGCATGAACAAATTTGGAACCAGTGCCTTGATATGGTCTCTCGTCGCTTGGGTATGGCTTCTGGACACTCTCGTTCCCCAATGGCTATACTGACCTATGATCAGCTCTTCACTACCCTCACACAGATCTTCGGTATCATATCTGTTCTTCATGGGTTAGGAAATCACATCACCATCGTTGAGGAAGTCGGGGAACTACACAACTTCCTTCTGTTCACATGGATAACGGTCTTCTTTTTCAACTTGGCTATTCCGACCGGCAAGGTCGCGGTGGCTGCATTTCTGATTGAAATGAACTCACAGAGCAGTATGTATATCGGTGCTTTGTCGATGATACCCTTCCAACTGACAAAAACCTCGCCACAGATCCCAAGATTCGACGCAGCCTTATTATCGTCGCCGGTTTAAATATCGTCTTCAATATTCCGCAGATATTGCTCGTTTGGTTCCAATGCAGTCCCCCAAGTGCGTTGTGGGATCCTCTTCGACAGGCACAGTGTGACCACGGGAGAAGTGTATACTACACCTACTTCGTGGGTGCGGTGGCTGCTATCTCCGACTTCTATCTCGCCATCATACCCATCACGATGTTGATCCCCTTGCGCATCGATAAAAAGCTGAAATGGGGTCTGAGTTTCCTCATGGGATGCGGTGTTTTTGCCGGTGCTGCAGCCATTGTCCGAACGTGGGCAGCGAAGTTTATCATGAGCGCTGACTCTTCATGTAAGTGCTTGTGCCTCTATGTCATGTCATGCATGACACCCCAGCCCTGGAACACAGTTATTAACATCTTGCAGACGGTGTCGGTGTTCTCTTCCGCTGGGGAGAGGTCGAAGAATGGATTGTTCTCATCACCATGTCCATTCCACCCGTGTGGCCTATCTTCCGTCCTCTCACTCACCGATTCATCAAATCCACCAACAACCGCAGCCAGCCCCAGTACAAGCTGTATAACGAGTACGGTCAATTTGCCTCTACAACTCGAGCCACTCAGTCAGTCGCACCTCCGATCGTCACCACCACTATCTCCATATCGTCGATGAAAGGCCGCCAGCAATCTGCCGATACTGTGGACGCCTCCTCATGCGGATCTCTCTCTCGATTCGGCGAAGACGAGCCCGAAACCCCCCATACTATTCTGAGCCACAATGGAGATCCAGAAGGGTGGGTGGAAATGAAACACTTCAAGGAGCCACCACGCACCTGAACGTCTTTCTATCTTAACGCATTGATGCCCTACATTCTTTCTAATTGCTTTCTCATGACCCCAAATATACCAAATTTCGATTCTTTGCAATAACTCATTACCAATTGACAGACTTCGTAAATTCGTACTGCGCATACAGGTAAACAATACGCCCAGAACTATAATCGCGACGTCAGTCCAAATAGCCCCCACGCAGCGATCACCACTCCACTCGTCACTCGGAACACGCCGCGGCCCGGCACTCCTTCTCTCCAGCAAACGTAGCCGTCGATGATACCCACAAACCACAGGACCGACAATACGGTATCGAACTCGATCAACTTGCCTTGCAGGTAGAGGGTCGTCAGTGCGAGTCCGATGGCCGTGCCGCGCCCCGCGCTGGTTATCATGAGCGATTGGGCAGGCTTGGAGATTGCAGCCTGGTTAGGGAGTCCGAATTCACGAATGGCGAACTCGGCGTCGAAGAGGGGAATCAGGCCACCGAACGTCAGCGCGGCTGTAACGAACAGGGGTGGGATGTGGGTTATTGAAAAGTGGCCCAGCATGGTGACTAGTTGGTCTAGTGATGTGATGGCGATTGTCAGATCGTGGATCGTGAGAGCTAGGCTCTTGAGATGGGATAATGGGCTTTGTGATCAATCAAGAGATCATCGTCCGTCTCGTTCTCAGTTGTCTTACGCCAAGACCCTTGATCGACGCCATGGGTATGATTGGACGCTTGTATGGGGTTAATTTCCTACAGATGCTGCAGTGTGATGAGATGTGATGTTCGAGCAACAAATTGGAGTGATCGGCGCACGAGGGAGAAACCAGGGAACTGCTGGTAACTAGTTCTAGATCGCTATTGTACCCACCTGCCGGGGGGTTCTAGACAATGTTTTCAAGTGTCGATAGCCACAAGATTGCTTGGCTCAAAATTGGGCAGCCCAGACGAATGAAGGATATAATAGATTGTAGAATAGTAAACATCACGTTGCAGTAGCGGGCAATAGCCAGATGAACCTTTTGAGACCATGCCTGGCGCTCTTGTAGGTACTCGTAGCCTCTGCCTCTCGGATTGGTGATAGTGCCCGTGGAGAGCATCTGGGGCTGGTTGAAAGTTCGCTCAATCCTACGTGTGTCCAGACTTCATCTTCAATTTCATAGAGACGAGACAGAAGCCTCGGAGTTGAACCAGCTAGACCAGAACTAATTGGGAATGCATTAAACCCGAAAAAGAAGGGGGATAAGAAAGAAAGAGAAAAAAAGGAAAAAAACGAAGCGGGTATTCATCTAAACCAACAGCCGAGGAGTGTTCGCTCCCAATCACGGCATGGGGTCTATAGACACATCTAACAAAATCCGAATATATACCAACGGGAGTACTTTCGTAGCCCAAACTTCAAGTGCGACATATGAGCAAGTAACCGCGCGTAACGACTTTTCAATCCGCAGACTGTTTAGAAGCAGAAGACCTGGTCCTCGAGCTTGCTGACGGGGCGGGCCTTGGTGTAGCCGAGAGCTTCGGTAGACTTCTTCATGGCGCTGATCATGGGGGGAGGACCGCAGAGAAGAACCTTGACATCGGCAGCGGGGGCAGGCAGGCGCTCCTGTAGAACTCAAATTAGTGATGGAGATGACATAGGCCTCGCATAGCAAACATACCTTGATCATGTCGGGGGTAACAAAGCCGACACCGCCGGTCCAGCCCTCGGGAGGGTTGTTGAGGACGTAGTAGACGCGGAATCCATCGTCTTCCATCTCGAGCTGCTCGAGCTGGTCGCGGAGCAGAATGTCGTCGGGGTTGACGTTGGCGAAGATGAGGTCGACCTTGGTGGTGTCGTTGCCACCGTTGCGGGGACGGTTACGGATAATAGCCTTAATGACCTGCAGCATGGGGGTGATACCAGTGCCACCAGCGATCATACCGATGTGGCGGCACATGTTGGGGGTGTAGACCATGGCGCCCTTGGGGCCGCGGACCTTGAGGTTGTCGCCAATCTTCAGGGTGGTCAAGTACTTGGAGATGTTACCCTGGGGGTAGGCCTTGACAAGCAGGTCGAAGTAGCCAGCCTCATTGTCGGAGGAAATGGGGGTGTAGGAGCGGACAACCTCCTTGGGCTGGCCTTCGATGGTGGCGGCGAGAGAGATGTGCTGACCGATGGGCAGACCGAGAATGTCGGTAGGACGGGGCAGGGCAAAGCGGTAAATTGCGACATTGTGGGAGATCTCGTTCTTCTCCTTGAGGACGAAGTTCTGGAACTCGGTGGGATTCAGGACCTTGCGAGGCTCTGTGGTAGGTTAGACTAGATTACACCCATTGAGACAGGAAGGAACGTACTGTTGCTGAAAACCAAGTAGCCGGCGAGAATGCCAGCAACAGCGACTGCATAAGTGACAAACTCAGGCTTGATAGCGTAAACAGCTGCGACGAGCAGGGCCGAGGGCGCAAGGGCCGTGCCGATGTTGGCGACACTGGGAGAATAAGCCATTGTATAATTAGCATGGGGGATAGGAGACTCACCTCATATTGAAATTAGAGAGATAATTGCAACGGAGGGGAGAGTGCAAGAGAGAGAGAGAGAGAGAGAGAGAAGAAAGAGAAGAAGAGCAGAAAAGCAATGAGGGGACGGACTGGGGGGTTCCGCCCAACGGAAATTCCCACCTTTTGGGGTTTCGATTTCCGTTCGAAGTACTCCCGGCTTATTTACTGTTGGATTTTGTTTACTACCGTGATTTTATACTGTTCTTCTTCATTTTTGGCTTCATACAATAAACAATGGCGGCACCAGCTTTTAATCTCACCCCGCTGGACCATCAGCTTCTGGCCATGACCGACGAGGAGTTTGCATACCACGACTGGAATGAATTGAAGGACATTATCGGTAGGTCTGACTCCTCCAAATTCCTCCCCGCACAGTTCCCCTCATCTGTTCTTTTGTATCATAGCCCGAAATGATCTGGGCGCTCTCAAACGGAAGCCCTCCGATCTCCGCCGGTACCTGGCCTGGTCTGCGGAGACGAAGACTCAGTATGGTTCGATCATGAACTACATCTGCCAGCGGCGACTGCAGTGGCCTTTACCGGGTGCCGCTAACGGCACTGATTCGGTTATCCACCCTCTGGCGGCCTTCAAAAACCCGTGCCCCTTTGCCGATCCCGAGGACTACAAGATTCTCCGCAATGACTGGCCCTATGGGCTCACTCCGGGTATTTCGCATCTGGTCGTGTGGCTGCGTACCCCAATCCCCGTGCAATCCGGGGAAGGTCATTTGACAGATGAGTCGCGAGCCCTGATCAACACCTTCGTGCAGAAGACCTTTGTGGACCGATTGGCTCGGGAATCTGCTTTCTCGGATCCTGCGGCGCATGTGCTTTGGTTCAAAAATTGGGTCGGCCTCCAGAGTGTCCGCGCCCTTGAACACGTCCATATTCTCGTCCGTGACGTTCCCGAAGATATTTTGGTTGAATGGTCGGGCGAATAAATTTCTGCCAATTGGACCGGGATGTTTGACTGACCAGTTATAACATCCACGAACGTGAACATGACAAGGGAATACTTTGCAATAAGGTTGCGTGGCGAATCTTCAAGACAGATGCCTCGGTGAGCTGGTGAGAACCCTGTGCCTGGCATGACACAAGCCTATGAGTCTGCATTTCATTGCGAGTATTGGATAAAATAAATGAATAATGAATCCGGTATCAGACGCCAGCTAGTCCACTAAAGCAAAAGAAAGATTACAATATACAAAGAGGGTAGGATCATGTCTTCTGCTCCTCCACAAACTTCAGGGCCTCATCCCGCGACACCACGTCAATAGTACTGGCCTTCTGTCGGAAGCTCACGCCGTAGCACTTCTCCGCCACGTGCAGCATTTCAGGCCGGAAGGTGGTGCAGATGAACTGTCCATTGGTAGAGTCGGAGATCGACTTGAGCATTTGCGCGACTGCCGTTCGGTACTGGGCGTCCAGGTTGGCATCAATCTCGTCGAAGAGATAGAAGGGCGCGGGATCGCAAGCCTGAATAGCAAAGACGAGGGCAAGCGCACAAAGACCTAGGTAGAAAAGTTAGAAAGAAAGATAAATCGGAACAGAGGGGTAGCTTACTCTTTTGTCCACCACTGAGCTGCTGGATACGCTGCTGGTCATCGTGCTTGCTGTTGAAACTGACACTGATGCCAACGCCAACATAGTTCTCCACACTCTGGTGTGCATCCTCATCGTCGGAATCAACCTCTTCACCCGGACGGGTAGCGCGGTCTGTCTTGCGTTGAATGATCAGACGACCACGACCGGCCGGAACAAGTTTTTCAAACACATTGTGGAACTCGCGAGAGACTTGCTTGAAGGTGCGCTCGATGGCCTCGTCCTTGCGCTGATCGAGGACAGAGATGAGATCATCAATGGACTTCTGCGATGCGTCCAGCTCGGAACGACGAGTAGTCAATGTCTCACGCTGCTTGGTGAAGCTGTTGTATTGCTCGAAGGCTTTCTTGTTGACGTGTGAATACTTCTTCAGAGCCTCGTTGGTCTTATGGAGCTTCTTGACAACGGTGTTGGAGTCGGTGTTCTGGTACTTGGTGAATGCCTCGTCGGGGAGAACACCCAGAGAGCGGATGTTAGCCGCACATTCAGCGCCTTGCTTTGTAAGTGCTGCCTTCTTTTGCGTGCTCTTCTCCATGCGACGCCGGTGCTTGTCGATGGAGCGACGGAGTTCTTCCACCTCGCGTCGGGTCTCTGCGTTGCGTTGCTGCAATTCTAAGATACGAGCACTGCCCTCCTCGATCGAGGTATCGACCTGCTCTAACCGCTTGCTCAATTTCTCCAGAGCCTGACCGAGCCGCTTGACCTCCCGTTGGGATTCCTTGAGGTTGCCCTGGACTTCCTCGTCGGCATTGTCGACATCCCGGTTGAGAAGTTGATCAAGGAGAGGATTGAGATTCTCTCGAAGCTCGACTTCCAGTACTGACTTGCGAGCCTCTAGCTCACTGCGCTGCCCAGAGAGTTCTTGGTGCTGTTGGCGAAGTTCTCTGATGGTGGTAACCAGACTCTCGAGTCGCTGCTCTTCTTCGTTGGTGAGAGCCTTCTGGAAAGGTGTGGACAATTCAGCAGAGAATGAGCTGACTTGCTCGTTAAGAGCCGCAAGGTTAGACTCGAGGTTCCGGAGCGCTCGTCGCTTGGCGTCGAGGGTGTCATTCTTGCTCTGAAGAAGATCGCGTTTACCGCGCAATTCTTGTCGCAGTGGGCCACTGCTGTTTTGGACTTGATGTCTCTGTTGTTCGAGCTTCTGCAATTCACCCACAGCCTTCGTGATCATCTGGTCGAGTTTCTCCAACTCCTTCCGAATTTCAACTCCGCGGTTACGCTTGGCTTCACATTCGTCTCTCCACTTGCCCACATTCTTGACAGCGTCAAGTCGAGATGAGCGCGAGTCGTGGTATCCACCAGTCAGCGCACCGCGCTTGTCTGATCTATCACCCTCGGGAGTGATAGCATTGACACCATGGCTGCGTGCGTACTGTGAGGCAACCTGCAAGTTAGGGCAAATGATGGTTTTGCCAAATACGTGCTGGAAGGCCCGTTCGTATGCTGGGTCGTACTGCAACTTCTCAATCATGGGAATCGTGTCACTAGCACGGGGCATGTCCAAAGGCCTCGATCGAAGTCTGTTGAGTGGCATGAACGTCACGCGACCGGCCTTCTCTTTCTGCAAGATCTCAAGGACGGCCGTGGCAGTCTCATCTGTGTCAACGACGTAGTGGAACAAACTTTGCCCAGCTGTAACTTCAACGGCAGTGCGATACCTTTCGTTCACGTCGAAGAGTTCAGCAAGAGTGCCGTAAACACCTTCAAGGTTGTGCTGGCGCTTGATGCGACGCACAGCAGCTGTTCCGCGACTGGTATTCTGGTCCATCATAGAGGAGAGACTGCGTTCGGCGCGATCGGCTTCCTGGGATGCGTTCGAGATGACAGAGTCCAGTTTGGCCTCTTCTCTCCAAAGCTCCCTGTATCAAAGTCAGCATATGCGATTTATGGTCCTTTTTTTGTGTAACATACTTTCTCTGATCCATCAAACGATCTCTCTCGTCTTTGGCATCCTGTACCTTCTCGTCCACGGAGTGCATTGTGTCGCCTCTTCCATCAATCTGTTCACGTAGGCGCTCTGTTTCAGGCCCGAGAGCAGTGATCGCGGACTCGAGCTCTTGAATATCTTCTTGTGTTTGGGTCACCACGCCCTGAACAGACTTGATAGAGTTCTGAGTTTCGCGGACCTCCATATTCAAATACTTGTCACGCTCTGACTTGTTCTTAAATGTCGAGTTTCGCCCTTGCTTCGCATACAATCGCCCGCGAGATGACTCTGCGTCGGTAAGTTGAGATTTAACCGCATCTTCTTCGTCCTTCAGAGCATTGAAACGAGGGAGGATCTCTTGGTAATCCGATTCCCGCTCCCGAATTGCCTTCTGCACTGAGGCCAAATCAGCGTCGTGTCGCGATTTTGATGCTTGTGCCGCGGCCTGGTTGTCTGAAAGCGATTTGGCTTGGAGTTCATTTTGGGCGAGTGTCTTGGAAGTTTCACGGCGCTCATCCTCAAGTTGAGCCTTGTCAACCTTGAGGAACTCAATCTGCTGGCGGCATTCGGCGATCTCAGCGTCGATCTGATCGATGGCATTTTGCAATTCGTTTTCTTGTTCACGATTGTTGTCGGCATCCTCGACGCCATTCTGTCGGCGTTCTTCAATCTCACTCAAGACCTTGCTGATCTCCTGCTGCTCTAGAGAGTAAATAGTGTACTCCAAGCAACGTCTTTCTTTGTCCTTCTCCTGATAGCTTCGCAGCTCATCTTTCTCTTCCTCAAGTTCAGCAAGTCGCTCATTGATGTAGTCCAGAAGCTCGTCAATCTTGGCGCGCTTGCTGTTGGTCTCGTTCATGATCTTGAGAGACTCTGATCGGCGTGCTTCATAAACCTGGGTACCAGCGACCTCCTTCAGCAAAACCAGTCGCTCGGAGTCCTTCATGTTTGTCAAAGCAGTAACCCGACCTTGAGGGACAATATAGTAGGGATTGGATCGAGAGAAACCGGCAGACTCGAGGAGGTTCATGACATCGTTCTTAGTGGCATTCTTGCGATCAAGTGTGTATTCGTCCTTCTTGATTCCGATGGTGCGACGAAGAACAAGTTCGGGCTTGCCGGTAGGGAATCGATCGTCGGAGTTATCGAAGATGATCTCCACGTAGGCGGACATCACAGCTGAACCGGAACCTTCCTGTTCGAAGTCAACAATATGTTCGATTGGTGGATACCATGGTACATACGTGCAAGAGAGCCTGACGCTCCTCTCTGCCAAGGTGAGTGTACGCATCGCTCAGGACAAATCGAATGGCTGCGAAGAAATTACTCTTTCCGGACCCATTGCGCCCAACGATGACATTATGTTTAGGAGAAAATGGCTCAATGACAGTTTGGTCCTTGTAGCTAAACGAATTTTGGTCAGATATCTTTCGGTCAAAGGAAACTGAGTCGTGGTTGGGAGAAAATACCTCTTAAAGCCTTGGATGATGATCTGCTTCACATACATCTTGAAAGAACACGCGCGACGCGAGTTTCAGTTAGAGCTTCCCCGGCATAACGCGCCTGGCGCAAGAAAAAAAGAAAAAGAGAGAACGCGCGGTGTCGGTTAAGCTTGATGATTCTCCCTGCCAGCGAAGAAAAAAAAGAAACCGAGGGGTATCGTGGATGTGTTGCGGCGAACGGGGAGATTGAACTACGCGAGAGATGAATTCAGCGCGTCTCGTTGGGCGCGGGGTTCTGCCGGGCGGTCTGCCAAATTTGGGCCACAGAAAAAAAAAACCTTGGGGACGACGGAAGGAAATCACACATCCTCGTTCTCGACATTGAAGTTCAAGAATGGCTTCGAACGAGAGTCCTGCTTCGGCAGCCGGAATTGCTGATGGCCTTGCGCCGTCACACACCTACGTGCCCAACGAAGGCTATGTGAACCCCGAGAATGCAGACTCCGCTGAGGCGGGGCAAGATCTGCCCGAAAATTACGAAGAAGACGAGGAGGACGAGGACTACGAGGATATCTTCGAAGAGGAATTGGATCGCGAGGACATTCTTTCCTCCGATAACACCGATCTTACCAAGGCGTACAACCGCCAGCGCAGAATCAATGATCTCGCCGCCGACTCCAATGTGCCGAAATGGACGTATCCCAAAACAAACACACAAAAGCCCACCGTCAACACTTCGGCGTCTATCGATGACCAGGTCAAGTCTCTTACCCGCCATGCGGGGAAGATCAAGCTGGATGATCAACAAGCTGGTATTTCGGGTCGTGCTGAGAAGGGCGGAGATAAGGCCGATCGAGCCACCTCAGAGCAAGTCTTGGACCCGCGCACACGCATGCTGTTGCTGCAGATGATCAACAGAGGCATTGTCTCTGAGATCCACGGTTGTTTGTCTACAGGAAAGGAGGCCAACGTCTACCATGCCATGTCCATTTCGCAAGACGATGACGAGGCACCCCCACTACACCGCGCCATCAAGGTTTACAAGACCAGTATCCTGGTTTTCAAGGACCGTGACAAGTATGTCACTGGTGAATTCCGTTTCCGCCAAGGATACAACAAGAGCAACAACCGTGCCATGGTCAAGCTGTGGGCCGAAAAAGAGATGCGCAACCTTCGCAGAATTTATGCCGCTGGCATTCCCGCCCCCGAACCTCTTTACCTTCGTCTGCATGTCCTCGTTATGGGCTTCATCGGTAGTTCCAAGGGATTGGGTGCTCCCCGCCTCAAGGACGTTGAATTCAGCATCCCCGAACCCGAGAACCGCTGGCGCGAGTTGTACATGGAGTTGCTGGGCTATATGCGCGTTATGTACCAGACTTGCCACTTGGTCCACGCTGATCTGAGTGAGTACAACATTTTGTACCACAAGGAACGCCTGTACATCATCGATGTCAGTCAAAGTGTTGAGCACGATCACCCCCGTAGTTTGGAGTTCCTGCGCATGGATATCAAGAACGTCAGCGACTTCTTCCGTCGGAAGAACGTTATGACTCTTCCTGAGCGCACGGTTTTCAATTTCATTATCTCCCCCGAAGGCCCCGCCGAAATCGTTGCCGGGAACGAAGAGATGATGAGCGCTATCGACAAGCTTCTTGTCGCACGTGAGGAGGGCACAGATGAGCAGCAAGATGCCGAAGATGCCGACACCGCCGTCTTCCGCCAGCAATATATTCCCCAGACATTGGAGCAGGTGTACGATGTTGAGCGTGATACCGAGCGTATCCGTGATGGCAAGGGTGGTGACCTTATCTACGGAGACCTGTTGGCTGGCGGCAAGAAGAAGGAGTCTGCAAATGCTGAAGAAGACGCTGAATCTGACGCAAGTGGCGGTGTCTCTGTTTCAGGATCCGGCTCTGATGACGAGGATGATAGCGATCCCTTCGCCAAGAAGGCACCCCGAGGCAAGCGTTTCGAAGACAAAGACTCTAAGCGCGATCACAAGGCGAAGGTGAAGGAAGAGAAACGTGAACAGCGGGCGAACAAGATGCCCAAGCACCTGAAGAAGAAGCTTGTCTCTTCCTCTTCACGGAAGAAGCACTAAGCCTACGGCTTTCTCACTCTATCTCTCTTTGCATGTGTACGGGTTTTATGAATGTTTACACTCTGTGTTTAACACCCGCTTGGCATGATTTGATGATGAAATGCATATACGGATGGAGCATTGGGCATTTTGATACCTTGGTCTAAACTTGATATAAATGAGAAAATAAATATTCGTTCACAAAGAAGTCATTATGTTTAAAATATCCATCCAGTACTAATGATCAGCCCGAAACTCGAAAATTTCAAGATTGGAACTAGGCGAACAGATATCTGAACAGCCGGTAAAACCTTGGAAAATGTCAAGAGAAACTTTGGAACCGTGGGAGTTTTAGGCCTATCGGAGCTCTCTTTGGAAATCATCCCAAACTGTTAACATTCTGCAAGCCCATTGTCGTCAGATGGCAGTGCTTACGCCTCCGGCGGTGGCCGAAGGGTATGCATCTGGAGACATCAGGAACGAACAGTGTAGCTGCATATGTGTTTTGCAGATGGTCAGACCTATTGTGCTTCTTCGTCATTTAGGCAATTCGGGCAAATTATCAGGTTCCCCATGAGGGCATGGCTATAAGGGATTCTGGGCTCTCAACCAGATTCTATTTCCGTCGTAGTTACAGGATGACAAGGAGGAGGGAATGTTATCCTGGGGCACTGTGGGTCAATTGAAGGCTGAAATAGCAAGAGTGAACAGGATGGATGGGTGGGGATAATCACGGTACGTGCGCCTGAGAAGCAGACTTGTTCCTCGCCTTGATCCTAGCATAAGCTTGTTCTATGAGGTCTCTGGGCAGATCGGGGATGTGTTCGTCCTGAAGTTGGGTTTCAGGAGATCCGGCCTTGGCTCCGGCGGGGTGATGATCCTCCTCCTCGGGCACATCTCCAGCGGCAGGGGTACCGTCAAGATGTCCACCTGCGAGCCGTAGGAACTGTACTTGCATAGGCGCAAGGCCTACTCCAGGCCATATGTCCGAGGGGAGGTAATCACCCTGCTCCACACGGAAAGCATCACGAGCAGCAGCATCTTCATTGTGGAGCGAGTCTAGCTTATGCCTGGTCTCTCTCAGCACCTTTTCCACGCGTTGTCGGACATGACGTCGGCGCGCTACCTCGAGCATGAGGCTATCATAGGCATTGAGAAACCCGTCGTAGAGAGAATGTAAGTCAGAAAGTTCTGCAAGGCCAGAGTTAATGCGATCGTTTTCCTCGTGCCATACACGGGTGAAGTTGTGTGCCTGAGAGATATAACGAGGGAGGCCATTGGAGGCGAGAGAAGAGAGGTGTCCGTGAACTTCGATTGTTGCCTTGGAAATAGACAGTAGCACATCGCGATGGGTTTGCACGTGCTCAAAAATAGACTCCATCTCAGTGATACGATCTTGGATTTCAATTACGACATCCTCCGCCTCTGGGGCATCCTTGATCAAGACAGTCACCATTTCCTGGTATTCAGCATCTGTCATTGGATCGAGGGGAGCGTTGAGATGGGCGTTGATTTCTGCCCCAATGTTGGGCATCCCGTCGTTGCTGCCGTCAGCGCCTGTGGGCATATCACCGGTGATGGACCGTGCGACTGCGCCTCCGCCATCGGTGTGCTTTACGGCGGTCACGCAGAGATCAAAATGCCGAACCAATGCTTCAAGAAGAACGGCCATCTCCTGAGCGTGAGCCTCCAATGATTGGATCTGGCCTGGTATTGATGACAAAGTAAGCAGGCCGGAGTCAGACGTAGAGGAAGAAGAAGATGTGATCGAGAGACGGGATGACGCCAATTTGGTGGCGGTGTGGAAGTGACGAAGCGACTGCCTGGTTGCTGCAAGCTCGTCATCGAATTCACGGTTAGAGATGTCCAACTCGGCTCGTGCTGTGTTAGTGCGGTCGATTGAGGCTTTCAGAGAGGCGTGTAATTCCTCAATTCCCCGCTCATCAACAAAGTCATGTAGACTTTTTTCTTCTTCATCACCGGGTCTGAATGATGCATGGACAATGGTCTCACGCAGTAAGTTCAGGGTGTTTTTGAGCCGAGCATCCGCAGCATCGAGATCCTGCAAGGCTATTGAGAATTCATCACGACCTCGGTATGAGATCTGCTCGACCTCGGTTCGAACGTCGTAAAGAAGTCGGAGCTGACTATTGAGCCCTCGGCGCAGAAAACCCGTCCGGGAACACACGGTTACACTCTCCTCCAGGGCCGCATGCGAGGCCGTGACTATTTCATTGGCTCGCCAAACATGATTGATGGAAGTGAGTGATCGTTTAGCCCCCAATAGATAGGAGATTAGAGTGTCAACCTGGGGAAGGGAACTCTGATTCTCCGGTCCAGCCCCGAGGGGGATAGACGAGGAGGAGGACTGGGATGACGCCATTTCGGAAGTTCCTCAAGATAGCGCATCCAGATGGGACCGAAAGGATGCAAATAAGAGCTTGCAAGGTCAAACCACCACAGGGGGAAAGTTGCAATATCAGGCCAAACCCCTATCGCAATCCAGCGCCTCACCAAATCAGAGGTAGATTAGTGGAGCATACAAGGATCTCCCACGGGCCGGGGAAACCTGCTTCGGACCCGATGAGCTCTTCATAAGCTCTGTGAAAAAGTAGATCAATCACGAGCTCGATCGTTGATTTGACGAGAGGAGGATCCTCTCGGTCGAGACCTTAAAATACAGAAGACAGTTCAGATAAACATGGACGGGAAAGCTGGGGGGTGGGGCACGACAATCACGAATGGCGGTGAAGTGCACCAAACAAAGACAAACAGGAAGCAAACAGGAGACAAACAGAAGATAAAAGAGAAGATCAGGAGGGAAATGACGAATTGAGGACCTGTCGAGGAAGGAAAGCGGCTGCAGATGAAGTGACCAACTGCGGAGATCGCGCAATCAGTCACGTGTCTCACCGCCCGTGTGATTTGCCTTCCGTCACGCAATCTTTCCCCCGGATCTGTGAATGACTTATGCTACCTTGGGAGAGATTGTGCAATCCTGTGCTTTTTTCTCTTTATAAGACCCCTTTTCCCACTTGGTACTCACGTTTCTTTCTTTCGAATCCAAGGGCATAATAATCTTACCTCTGGTACTTACCACTTATCCTCGATACTGGCTCAACTTTCACATATCACTTTGACTTGGACTCCCTCGTCCACACTCTTGACAACCAAACTGAAAGACAACAAAAGGGAGGAGGAAAAAAACCCAGCGAATCTCCGATATCAACTCTTGGCTTTGTTTCTGAATCTCTGAGATTTAGCTGGCCATACAGCGCTGCAACACCTGGCGCGATCGTCACTGCCACACTGTGGAGCGGCCTTCCTCGTCACTTGCATCGCCCCACCGTCAGCCACCCATCGTAATGACCGATCAACCTGAAACCTCGACTTCACGGCGAATCTTGATCTCGAATGCGGGGCCCAGTGCCAATCCTCAGTCCGACAACCAGTCCGACACCCAGTCCGACACCCCGCGCAAAGATGCCGATACGCAGACTCTGGAGGAATTAGCACGCGAAAATGTTGCGCCGTTCCTCGCCAAACACCAGCCGAGGCAGTATGCGCCTTTGCGCTCGCAGGTGTCAAACCCTGCTGAACCACGTATCGCCAACGCCAGTTACTGCTACCGCCACCAGCCAGACTCCAAGTGCGGCAGGCGACAAGCAGACGAGCAATCAATGTCCCAGCTGCAGTCAGAATTGAATGGCCTCTCCCAGGAAGATCAGAAAGGCATTTCCCATGTGTGGTCATTATTCTCCGCCGCCCCTGCCAAGCAGCGCACGCTGATGCTGCAGGGAATTCTCGCACAGTGCTGCTTCCCCCAACTGTCCTACATTTCTGCCAGCGTCCGTGAATTGATCCGAATTGACTTCCTGGCTGCTTTGCCTCCAGAGCTCTCTTTCAAGATCCTGCGATACCTCGACACGGCCTCGTTGTGCCGGGCTGCCCAGGTCTCTCCGCGCTGGAAGGCTCTTTCGGACGATGATGTGGTGTGGCACCGGATGTGCGAGCAACATATTCGCCGGAAGTGTAACAAGTGTGGTTGGGGTCTTCCTCTTCTGGATCGCAAGCGCCTGCGTGAGGCGAAGCGTGAGATTGAACTGCGTGCCAGTAACTGGGGGAACAACGATCCCTCTGTTGCACCTGCTGACACTGCGGCCACCGAGTCTTGCTTGACCGTCCCTGCCGCATCCAATGGAAAACGCAAGATCGAAGCGGAAGAGGAAGAGGAGGATGATGTCGCCCTTGTCAAGCGCCATTGCACAACCCCCCTCAGAACTCGGATGAGGTTGAAGGTTACTTCAAACGGCGTTATCGCCCTTGGAAAGACGTCTATCGTGACCGATTCGTTGTCGGTATGAATTGGAAGCACAAGCGTTGCTCTGTCAAGGTATTCAAGGGGCACCGTGACAGTGTCATGTGTTTGCAATTCGATGATAACATTCTGATGTCTGGGTCTTACGATGCCACCGTCAAGATCTGGGATACTGACACTGGCGAAGAACTGCGGACACTCAAGGGCCACACTGCTGGAGTTCGATGTCTCCAATTCGACGACACGAAGTTGATTACTGGCAGCTTGGATCGTAGTATTCGCATCTGGAACTGGCGCACCGGCGAATGTATTTCGAAGTACAACGGCCACGCCGAAGCGGTCATCGCGCTTCACTTTGACTCCACTCTCCTTGCATCCGCGTCAGTCGACCATACTGTCAAGATCTGGAACTTCAAGGACAAATCCACTTTTGTTTTGCCTCACCCTGCAGGGGTGAATGCTGTGAAGATTGACTCAGCCTCACAGACGGTACTGACCGCCTGCGACGATGGTGCCGCTCGTCTTTGGGATCTCACGACCAAGACTTGTCTCCGTGTCTTCCACAATCACATTGGCTCGGTGCAGCAGGTCGTGGCTCTGCCCCGCGAAATCGAACTGGAGAATCATCTCGCCGACTGCGAGAATGACCATGTCAGTACATCTTCACAGCACGGCGACAGTCTTCTCAGCGCCCTGTCTCCCACTCTCGAGCACAAATCTCTTTCTCATCAGCCCTCTCCCTTTGGCTCCTCCTTCGACCAAGCAGAGGGCCACGAGAATCGCGTGGAGCCTCCCCGCTACATCATCACCAGCGGCCTGGATGCCACCATTCGACTGTGGGAGACCAGCACTGGAAGATGCTTGCGCACCTTCTTCGGCCACCTCGAGGGAATCTGGGGATTGTCTGCCGACACTTTGCGCATCGCCTCTGGTGGAATGGATCGCATGGTCAAAATCTGGGATCCTCGCATCCCCACCTGCCAAGACACGTACGAAGGGCACAGCGCAGCAGTCAACTGCATTGGCCTCAGTGACAGCCGATTCATCACCGGTGGTGACGATTATCAAGTCCGCATGTACGACTTCAGAGCCTAGTTTGGCTTTCTTTTTCTTCTTTGACTTTCATACTTTGGTCTACTAAAAGCATGATTTGGGGAGGAATTTGTTTTTAGTATTGTTCAGGACTGGGGCGCAGGAATCTGGTTCCACTTTCCTTTTTGATTGCATTATTGATGGATACCCTGGCGCATTCGAGAACAGTGGCTTTGATTAGAGTCACTGACGGCATCATTGGCGCAACTGGGATTTCGGTTTTGAGGTGGCATGTATGGACATGTTTTGCTTTTCTTGTACTATGACAGCTACCATAGGTTAATGAGATTTGATATGAATATCTCTTTCTTAGCACCATGCATTGGACGAAGTAGGCAGCCGGCAAAGTATTCACAGTGTTTGACTTCGCAGACATTCTCCCACTTTCAGAACTGGGAAGATGTCTCAGAGCTGACTGGATAGGGCTGGACAACTCACCCTTTCAAAGCTATAATCCGTGTACGGAGTATTACCCAGGTGCTATCTGTCAACCTTGAACCCCAGGGAGAGGGTTGTCCACGTAATGTGGGACAATGGAAGCCCTTGTTTCCAGGGGCTAGCCCCACAGCGGTCTAGATTTAGAAACATCTCTGTGTTTTGAATGGCCTACGACTACACTCAACTCCGCTCTAAGCCCTACAAATCGCCAAATAAAGTAACAATCTACAGCTCACAATGTCAGACAGTGGCAAAGTGTTGATCTACGTAAACATTCCTGAACTTTTCATTCGGGTCTACCCGTTTGTCTTTTACTTCGTACCCCTGGATGCCTCACGTCAATACCCCGAGGCTGCAGTAGGCAGATCTACCGGTTCCTCTGCTATTCTTACTCCGTTACTCCAAGGCCCGTTCCCTCTCAAGGGTTGTCTTCCAGCCAAGTCCTCACAATCCCATGCCTGGGAATTCGACTCTCCTTTCTGTGCACCCTGAACCACCGGGGTGTCTCCAATAGATGATTTTATTAATTCTGCATCACCTCCGTGTCTCGTTGGTGAGTTTTGAAAGTTGTCTCTTAGGCCATCAGTCCGGAAAGGTCATAACAATGCCAATAGCTAAGCATGGTGGCCCCATCAGAACACAAATGGCGCTACCAATTGCTCGATGAGACATACAAAGGGCGAGGCTACTATTCCCGTGCCAAGAAGCCATGGATCCTCACACTGTCCACGGCTCTGGTGTTGACGGTGGTCATGTTGTACATTTCTCCCTCGCCTGTGATGCCGTACTCGCACACAGCGACATATGATAAAACATCCTCTGATCACCCAGTTTTACAACTCACACGAAATGCCCAGAGCGCGTTCAACGAAACCCTCAATCGGCAATCTAAGACACTTCGTCAGGCGGTGCGGGAATATAAGCGTCGCTACAAGATGCCGCCGCCTCCTGGCTTTGATCATTGGTACAAGTTCGCAACGGAAAGAGAAACTGTCTTGATCGACGAGTTTGATGTCATCTACCATGCGCTACTCCCTTTTTGGGGCCTGGAACCCAGTGTCTTTCGCACGCGAACCCGAGAAGACTTGGGGAACAGTGATAATGGCTTCATGAGTATCTCCATACGAAATGGGCGACCCTTTTGCGCGAGTTCCACACAGCTATATCAGCGTGTTGGGACCATGAGCATTCTTAAATCTTTTGCCAAGTGGCTGCCTGATATGGACTTGGCATTCAATGAGCATGATGAGCCGCGCGTTGTCGTCCCACATGAGGAGTTGAGCCAGAGAGTTACCCTTGGCAGAGAAGCTCACGCTCGTCTATCCCGAGTCTTTAGCCCGGGCGATAACTACACCGTTTCATATCCCTTTCTTGACGAGCCGCCGCCAGTGTCAGAAACTCGATACAGATCTCTGCAGTTTCAGAATAATTGGGCTTCATCCACTTTATCTTGTCCCCAAGATTCGCCTTCACGTCACCTCAATGGGAATGCAGTAGATGACACTGCTTCGTACGCAACCGAGCCACTTGGATTTATCTTTAATCAAACGGCTTTCAGTGACGTTTGCAGGAGTCCTTCGTTGCAGTATCGTCTAGGCTTCTTTGAGAGCCCTCACACGCTCAAGCTTACAAATGACCTGACGCCTGTGTTTTCAACATCAAAGCCCTCTTCATTCCAAGATATTCCAGTGCCATCACCCTGGTATTTTGAGAAAATGGCTGCTTTTGATGAATCGACTGACTTTGAATGGGATGATAAAACACACCAGCTGTACTGGAGAGGTGGGAACACTGGAGGCCACACCAATGAGGACACATGGCGAAACACTTTGCGTCAACGGGTCATCGGGAATCTGACACGCCCAAATTCAGCACAATATGTTCTTCAACAGATAAATGAGTCAACGGCCCAGGATCGTGGTTTCAAAGCTCCCCAAAGTGCCTGGCAGACTAGGGCAACTCGAACGGGCGAGTATGATGAATTTTTCGATCTTAAGTTCACGACCATAAGCCATTGTGAAAACAACTGCGATTCACAGATTCAATTCTTTGGCGGCGAAGCTGAAGTCGAGGAACCAAGTAAGGCATGGAATTATCGCTATCTGCTTGACATGGATGGCTGGGCCTACAGCGGGAGGTTTTACTCTTTCATGAACAGCAAAAGTTTACCTTTCAAACTTTCTATCTTTCGTGAATGGCACCAAGACATATTAATTCCTTGGGTGCATTATGTCCCTCTGAATAAGGATGCCGAAGAAATACTCGAGCTGATTCGATACTTTGAAGAAGATCCCACGGGAGGTGCCATAGCACAAAATATCGCAGCCGAGGGGAGAAGCTGGGCGAAAACGTCTCTCAGAGAATCAGACATGGAGGTCTACATGTTCCGTCTTCTCTTGGAGTATGTCGACTTATATCATTTTACCTGGATAACGACTAACTTTCCACAGATATGCGCGGCTTCAAGATGATGACCGAGAGACACTGGCATATTCGAGCTGATTGGAAGATTCTACCTACAGACGTGACCAAGTGATCATTTGTTCGGTGGCTCAAATACTCCCACAGACTTCAAGGTCCAGCTCGGTAGAGCTGTGCCGGAACGAAGCTATCGGTATTGCTACATGGTCACCTGGGCATTTAGTTGCTAGCTAGCTCAAATGGGCTTTGCCCATAATCATATGATGGTTGCCCACAATTTTCGAATACTAGGCCGATAGTTAATTACAGCCTGGAGGCTCATTGCAAAATCCATGGATTGGAGCAAATATATACCAACCCCGAACGTTCCAAGGTTATATTCAACCCCCAACAAGCATTAGGAACAGGCTTAAATGGCTTACTTCGTGACAGATGAGTAGTATTCATCCACAACCTTGATACATCCATTGATACTCCTTGGGTTCATGGTCCGTGGGACCTTTGATGATGGCAGTAATAAAATCGACCCAAGTCCACACACATTCACCCGAGCAACAAGAGCTAGCGCTCGAGTACCTAGGTAGGATAACATTCCGTTCTGGGGCATGAATCGAAGAGCCCTGGAGGAAAGGTTATCACTCAACATTTCGTCGTACCTACCTTGAGAGCTTCTGATGCCCAGACCGCTTTAACTCAGAGCAGTCTCGCCTTATGGAGAGACCTCACGCCGGTGACAGCTCTTCTTCAATCGTTGACAACAGGCCAAAATAATTCTTTGGTTTTTCCATTTGACAAGAATGTGGTTTAGTCAGAGCGTGGGGCAGGGGGCAGAGGATCACGGAGTACATTCCTTTCGGACACCGTGATATTCTTTCGAATAGTCGCAAGTTGGACCCTCGGGTTGGGCGGTAGAGTGGTGAATCCGGCAGCATCTGTGTGTGGTCGATTCAACTTTTTTGCGTCTTGTGCCAAAACATATACAGCTGCTTCCGCGAATGCGGCTGCTTCATCATAGTCTTCTTTTGGATCCTTCTTGATGCGCCCCAGTCTGAAAAGGGCTTTCTGCGTTGCAAGGCGGGACTTCCTTTCTTCCTCAACCTCTCCGAACTTATCAACTGTGAATAGTAAGTATTTGGAATCCCCAGAACGTCGCCAGTGCAGAGTATAATGAGTATTCTGTGCCCTGAGCTCATGGTTGGTCATTTTAACCGTGGCATGAGGCTCTTCGTTAGGATCCATCCAAGATGTAGTTACATGTAAGCCATTGCTACAGTTATGTTAGCCACGTTCACGGGTAGAACCTTCCAAGGTTGGAATTGTATGATGCGATAGAGAAAACCCTGGAACCCTGCCAACTTACAGAACAAAGGCATGGTCGAAATGAATTGGTGTGTCATATATATCCGTTGTAGATGGGTTTGCATTAGCCCAAGCCTCGAGCTGGTTCCGGTATATCTGGTCAAGGCTATACTTTCCTTCGTTGAATTCCACCTGAACAGACATTGCGAAAACGAACCTTGAAGGTTGTGTGATCTGAGTATTGTAATCTTGGGAGGAAAATTATATCTGAGTGATTTAATTTACATCTTGCAGGCCTAAGAATGCGTGGATTATATAGACAGTGATTGCTCACGTCCAAGTAGATGACTCGTTTCAATTTTCTCAAAATAGAGAGAGAGAAAAAAAAAAGAACAAACCCTCCCCTCAGCATGAAACACCTTAATGGATGCGACAAGTTTAGATGTCTGTGAAGTATATTTTCTTTGCACATCAATGCATACCCGCAAAGAAGCATATAGCACTGCCCTTTGAAAGCGTCTTCAGTAAACAAAGAACCCAAAAATAGTCATGGAGTCCCAGTGCCAAGTCAGGAATCAATATTGCGAGACCAGACAAAGAGAGACTCTGCTTATTTTATTCACACTCCCCCTTCTACATTCCAAGTCTCATATCTCATATCTCGTTTCTCATCTCATCCCTCATCGATCTGAAGTTTCAACATCCTACATCATGTCAGAGAGCATCCCACCAGAAAGCACATCAGGCCATGTGCCGCCCCCAATCATTTATTCACCGGACATCATGGGCACATTAGACGAGGATGAATCATCGTTGTCTCAGTGGAGAAGGGACCTCATCATGTGCTCTCCGATCATCACGTCTGAGGAGAAACTCGACAGATATCGTCCTGGTGGCTATCATCCAGTGCTTGTTGGAGATACATTTAAAGACGGACGTTATACCATTGTTAACAAACTGGGCTTTGGTGGGTACTCTACAGTCTGGCTTGCCTGGGACAAGGAGTAAGTTTCTTGTTGCTGGGATTGGCTTTCACATCTAACATACCATGCCTGGACAGCCAGTGTAGACGTGTCGCTTTGAAAATCATGGTTTCGGACGTGACTGATCCCATAGAGATACGAAGCTACGAGCATCTGAACAAGAAAGCTAGCGGAAACCTCTCCCAGTACTATATCGCCACGATGCTGGATTCGTTTGTCCACGAAGGTCCAAATGGATCTCACCACTGCTTGGTATCGGAATTTCTTGGGCCCAGCCTCGACCGTTTTATGAGGGAACACGAAAAACATCGCTACACTAAAAAGCTCGCCATGTACAACGTTGGGAACATCGCGGATATGATGCACCAAGTGATGGAAGCTGTCAGCTTTATTCATGAGGCTGGAATGGCCCACGGAGGTGAGAAATAATGGTCTTGTGTCTAGACAGAACTCTTCGTATGCGGATGAGCCAGTGTACTAACAATATATCAGATATCCAAGCGGGAAATATAGCATTCTGCCTTCCTGACGGCTTCCTCCAGAATGGTGACCTGACCGACGACTTTGTTGGAATCCCACAAGAGGAACGTGTCTTAAGCGTTGACGGAAAACCCCGCGCGGAAGGAGTACCGCCTTTGATGTATGGATCAGCAAAGTGGCCAGGATTGTTTTCACTTAATTTCGAAGGCGGCCCTATTGACATGCGACATCGCACACTCGATATCCGTCTGTATGACTTTGGCCAGAGCTTTTTCCACGGCAAAGAGCCAGAAGTTCTCATGCAACCACGAATGATGAAAGCCCCAGAAGGAATTTTGACGGAAAAGTTTGACTACAGAGTTGACCTTTGGTCTATCGGTTACTTGGTAGGCTGAAACACCCACATACTTGACATGATTTTCTGACTTTCATTTTCAAGATCAAATGGCTAAGCTTAGAGGAACACTGGTTTCTCCAACAAGGAAGAGGGATGTATGAGATAGCCTACAGTATGAGATGGTTTGTGGAAGATATACCAGAGGAGTGGCTGCCAAATCTCGAGGAACTGCGATTAAAGCACGGAGCTCGTTTGATCACAGAGGAAGGTGAGACTTTCGCAGAGGCTGAGATACTTAATGATTGAATTGGACGCTAATATATTCGTTAGAATATCCACGGCCCTGGCTTGAGGGCACCACTGCCATCGACTTCGTAAAAACCGGTCTTGACACAGCTACTGATCGTCTCGTTCTTATCATCAAAGCACTCATGCGCTGGTTGCCATCCAATCGGATCTCCTTGAGGGAAGCAATGCTCATGGTTGAAGAGCTGCAGACTCACTGGGAAACAGCAGAGAATGACGCTGTTTTCTGGTATGGACTATTCCATAAAGACGACTCGGACTCGGACTCGGAATCGACCTCAAAAAAGAGTGCCTGGAATCGTTTAGAGGAAGAAGGCTGGTCCGATGAACGAAGAGAAGCAGAACCAGAGGAATGGAAAAGAGTGTCTGATGAAGCGTCTGAAAAGGATTGGCATGAGGGGAGGCAAAGGTGGGTTAAAACGATGAGAAAACATGCAAAAGAGCAGGCTTCCGAGCTCCCATCCGCTCATCCATTCCCGAGAATTCATATTAGCCCTGAAGAGGTAGAGAGAATGCTGGAATTCATTCGTCGCGACTTACCGAAACCTCCCCCAAACGACTCTGCTTGCCCCAAGGAGCCTCTCCAGGAACCACAGAATTTGGAAGTTGGCGAATTGCAGCAGTCTGAAACACCAAACCCGAAGTGCGAATGTGATCCTCCACAGACAGAGCAGCAGGCAGGAGAAAATCCATTGGAATGCCAACAGAAACAGACACGAGTGGAGGGCACGCTTCTAGCATCGCAAGGGACCCCTACTCTCCCGACTCTAGAAAAAGCAGAAAGTGCACCCAGCAGCCTTGGGCCGTCTGGGTTTGATTTGACGCAAGCTACTCTTTTGGCTAGCCAGGTGGGCCTGCAACCCATGGAAATGACACCTGATCCGGTGGAAAGCCATGAGAGCAATGAAAATTCCCCATCGACGAGTTCTGGTAGCCCCAAGGAGTCCTGCTCTAGTCCAGGGCAGTCAAAATCTCTTCCGGACAGCCAGACCGAGCAGGGTTCTGTGCTTTCAGAGCTAGCTTCTCGAGGCGATGATGCACCGAAGTTCCGACTGGCAGAAGATGGGCTGGAGGTGTCAGAACACCAAGATCAGACCCCACCGGCTAGCAAAGCCCCAGAAACCATCGATAATTCGCTGCCCAAAGCAAACGAACTAAGCTCTGGGGCATCAGAGGATCTCGAGGTGCAGCAGGTTGAGGTTGAGAGAAAGCGCTCCTGGTGGGCAACGCTGTTGAGTCCGCTTTGGCGGCCATGGAAGCGATTCCGAAGATCCTAGATGTTTTCAATCGGTGGGAAAGCTGTGGCTTGAATTTGAGATTTCCTTTGTATTGCTGTTTTATGTTTGTTTGCTCTTTTCGTTGGGTTTTTTGCTTTGAAGTTTGCCATCCATGGATATCCATTGTTTGAGTTTTGGAATACAACGGTCTTGATGAGCTAGCACAAAAAACCTCTGGACCTCTGGACCTCTGAGATTGGTTTTGAATCTGCTGGGCAGATACGTAGTCTCTCGATGTAGATTAAAATGGTTGATATGCAGGACATCGATAGGGTGACAGAATTTGATCCACAAAGATATGTATATTTTTGGTAGGTAAATCACAGCAAAGCGACATTTGAATGTACGAACAGTGAAAACTCAACCTGCGCAGTAAGTCCTGACACCGTACGCCCCACAATGCAATATGAGGGAAAATGGATGTATGAATCGAGATACGCATATAAGCAACGAAGCTCCAGATAAGCAGAGCAGAAAAGCCGATCTCACAGCAGCAATGAGGCGATGGGCCAAAGCCAAAAATGTGTAGAATCCGAGATCCTTCCCCTGCAAAGAAACAGGGTGAAAGGAACTTGAAAAGGAGTGCCAATAGACAGGAAGTAGCGCGTGGGGATAGGGAAAGAATATGACGCAGGGGGATTAGGCTTGGGCGACAGGCCATCCGTCAACATAACTAAGAGGGTTGAATCCAAGGAGAGCATCCTGTAGGTATGTTAGCTCAGAGCTTTGTGGCGTCCACGCAAGTGGTGTGAGGGGGAATGAAGGAGGATCGACAGGGGTGCCGAAACCACGATGATCGCGGTCCGCAAGCCTACCAACCGAGGGAAAGCTTACCGGGAAATCAATTCCGACTGTCTTGTTCACTTTGATAAAGTCAGTATTTGAGCGAATCGGGTCTTTAGAACGGGCGGTCTCACGGTAGTGATAGTATAGAACGTCAGTCTCGCCATCGCGGAGAACACCCTGCCCACCGGGGGCATATGTGTCGCCGTTGGAGCCATAGACAATTTCACCGCCACCTTTGACAAGGTCGGTACCGGACTTATCAGTGAACGGGCCACGAGGGCTGTTAGAACGCCCGACGCGAATAGAGTATCTAGATCGAATTAGTTTAGAATTTACGGGACAACAACATCAATACATACTCTTGTCCAGCGGGCGGCAGATTGTCTGCCTTCAGGTTGCAGCAGAAACCGTGGCTGTACCAGAGATAGTACCATCCATCATTATATGAAATAAAGGCACCCTCAATAGCGTGGGGGCCGGTGGGGTCACCACAGATGGTGTTGGCCATACGGTTCGGCAAGCCGAGAGACTCCGGCTCCCACGCCAGTTGGCGGGCATCGGGTTCCGTGGTACTGGCCGGGGAAATGAGGTCATTGCCGAGAGGGATTTGGAAGATTCCATTCCAGTAGCTCCCAAATGTCAGATAAGCTTGACCATCGGGCGTTACCAATGTGCTGGGGTCGATAGCGTTCGATACGGTGTAGGGATATATGTCTGATCCGTTACCGGTGCCTGTCTCAATGATGGCGCCGTGGTCGTACCAGTTGCCTGGGCCCGGGGAGCTGGACGTGGCGACGCCGACAGCACTGTCACGACATCCTGCCTTGCTAACACTGTAATAGCAATAGTATGTGTCATCCACCGCAATGATTGTCGGGGCCCAAGGCGCCGCACGATCACCCTTCGGAATCACACTATTGGCATCTAGAACGTTGCCAACATACTCCCATGGACCGGCCATACTGGGCGCGGTATGGATGAACAAATGTTCTCCGACATGGTAAAGATAGTACTCGTCTCCCACACGCAGAATGGTAGGATCATGAGTGTTTTGCTGTGTCTGGCGGGTGGGAGGGAAACGGCTTGTTTCTTGATCATTTCCAAGATCTTGCAACTTACGACCGGTTGCAAAGTTTTGATCTCTCTGCGAAACACTCACACCGAGCCCGGCGGAGAAGAAACCTACCAAGGCAAGAAGTGAAAGCATCTTGATCCAGCGTCGGGGTATTCGTTGATGCCACAGATGCCGCCAAGACCACCGTTGAAAATTGTCGGGGCCAGAGGGCGGCATCGCCGGCCTTGATAAGTGACCGGCCCTGGCGATCATCCTTGTGAGGGATCCAGGCGCTCATCGTTTTCGGTCGACGCACGGCGTTGCCACCCTGGTAAGGTGGAGTTGGCGTTGCGGGACACGCCGAGGGGTGGAGAGGGGGACAAGGACGCAACAAGGTCTACTGGCTGGCCCAGGTCCACAGTAGAGCATGCCTGCAAGGCGTGGAATGCTCACAGTGGACAAACAACGGTCTGCAGGATGCACCGATGGGTTGTCTCCTTGGCGTGGCTCAACGCGGAAGAACTTCGCGACGAATCTACCGCATGGCGATTGTAGATTGGACAAATTGATGAGACAGTCACACAGAATGGCAGCTGCAGCACCGATTGGTTTGACACAAAGCAAGGGATGTCAGGTTGTTAGTGAGTCCGAAGGTTGGTTGCAGTTCCTGTCGATCATCCACACGGGCCAATTGGCTTCGTGGAATGTGGGCCATGCCCTTCTCGTCTTAAAATGAGGCATCTTCCCCACGAGAACCCTGTCTTCGTTCAAGGCTCGGAGTTGAAGAGTAAAAGAGTGAGTTGAGGCCACGAACGCGGGTAAGACATGGCCCTTGTGCCAAGTCCCCATGCACCTATCCGTCTACGGCTCGATTTTGGACACAACTGAGACTCGGTGTGGTTTTTGATTCACATACTCAGCTACAGTGTAAAAGAAACAAAAAGTATGAAGTAAAAGCTTCCCCGCCCAAAACGCCATGAGCAGCCGGTGGTGTTCTAGCGAGCCACGATCTTGTCCACCTCATCCTTGGCTTCAGTCCAAGTCTCCAAGTTCTTCCGTGCCCAATCTAAGTGGCAACGAGCGTATGCAACCTGGTATGATTAGTCAAATTTTGGCTGAAGAGAGAGGCTGTACATACCATATACCGCCGCAGATCGGCTTCTTTGTCCTTCTGGAAGCGTTTGAGATCTTGAAGTACACCCGCGCTCGCATCTTTGACATCCTTTTCGGAGACCTCTAGTGCTTGCTCCAACTGAACAATCAGATTAGCCCGGAGAACTTTTCCTACTCCACATTTCACATACCTGAACCAGACTTTCCTTCGTTTTTCCGATTTGGTCTCGCCGTGTGCGTTCCGGATCAACGTCTGCAAACCCGTGAATCGCGTGGCTGATGCGACCAAAGAATTTGTTTGCCACAAATGTCCCACTTGATGTTTTGCGATGTGCGGGAGATGCTGAAGACGACAGGTCTGATCGCTTGGGTCCTCCGACTTGCGACGCAGGCGGAGAACTGTATGAATCATCGTGGGTGGGTGGGAATTCTGAGTCTGCCGAAACGTCGGGGCCGGCCCCTTCACTGCTTACCGCAGATGATGTCGACAGCGAACGAGACTTAGTGCCTCCTGATTGTGGAGTCGTGCGGTTGAGATACTGCTCGATGCGCTTGGCTTCAAGCTCGCTGCGCTCAAGCGAGTCCAATAGTGTCTTCTTCTTGGACAATTCATCACGAGTCATCTCCTGCTGTACCCGCTTGAGCACGCGGTATCGCAGAACGCCACGAACGACGCTTGCAAACTGTGCACTCTCTCGCATGGGCTCCGCAAAGCTTGCGCTCAAAGCTGAAGACAATTCCTCGGTTTCGATGTAAGAGGTGTCTGCGGCCTGGCCGATACGCTCAATCGCAGCAGCCACTGTAGGGGATTGTTCAGAAAGAGAGAACCCATTGTAGCGGGCGCCTAATTCCATGAGATCGGCTGAGAGGGATGACAAATGGGAAAGAGTTCGTCTATTGACTTTCTCGATATTTCCCTGGAGCAGAAGCTCTAACTCGCGCGTAGAGGCTTCGAAATTAATAAAGTAGGGATCGAGCTCTTGCTCGCTGAGCTTCCGTGACTCGGGTGGGAATCGACCTAGAACCTCAGGTCCAGGGAATGACTGTGGCTCAGGTTCCGTCGGCGATGTGGGTGATGCCGCACTTCCAGCCGCCCCTCCGCTGGGCTTGAGTTTAGCAGAAGCAGATGGGATCGGGAGCCAGCCATGGCCGGGGGTCGGGTTTGCGGGGTCAAGAGGCGGTGCCTTGAGATTGTTCTTCGGAACCGAGGATGCTGGATGCGAACTCAGAACTTCGCTCTGGGCAACGGTCAGTCATTTTGCAAACCGGTGGTCTCCAACATCAACGTACCCAGCTAACGTTCGGATCGAGGAACCTCCACCACACTCCGTCTTCGCGGACTTCTTTCATGCGCCTGCAGCGATTGAGAAAAACACTGAGCATCCGCTTACGGAGATCAATAATCGCGGTGTCTTCTTTCGCCTTGGTTGGCTTAGCCGCGTAATCCGCCATACTGTGCTTCTCGGGAATTGGCGGAATGATTAAGGTAGGGTGTAGATTGACGAGGGTCTGTCGCAAAGATGCAAATTCAGAGTATCGACGGCGCACTTCCAAGTCCTATGTTCACTCAGCACTTTGGTCATGTCTGCCCAGGACTATCATCATACCGCAGTCCGGATGGTGTAAACAATGAAGCCCCCACCACCTTCATGGTTCTTGCCTGCATCGGTAATCAAGATTGGTATCTCTGGGTTCTCATAGAGAATCTGCTCAATCCGGCTATCGTAGACGCTTTTCCGTGGGTATTGTTGACTTGCGGCGCCATAGTCAGCCTCATCTTCCGGGTCGCTGAGGTCTTCGGGGTGAGTGATGTAATCGGGAGGTTCGCTGCTGGAGCCGCGGCTAGAGGGGGGGGTGGAATCTTGCGCGTAGAGTTCTACCTGTGGTTAGAGACTGGAGCAACGCCAGAAGCACAAGGAACCGGAGAACCTACGAGGGGAAAGTGCGGCTGAATGTAGAGAGTCAGATAGGTGAGACTGGTGTTGATCAAAGGCCCCATAGGGGTTGTTATCTTCGTCGTTCCACATGGCGGCGGTATGAGTGTTGAGCAAGGCCTACCAACGCTGTAAACTAGGTTGGAGAAGCTGTGCCTGGGGATCTGCGGGGGGAAGTCGTGGTGTGGCTGGTGCAAGGCGGTGTTAGCGATTACGTCATGAGCGAGGCTTGTCCGGAGACTATACAACATCCCATCGCGAGTCAATTGGAGATGAACACCAGGATATAACGCTTCATTTCGGTTTGAAACGTGCCATAATCTCCTGAATGCCAATTTCTCAAATACTAAACGGACTAGCTAGCGGGTGTAATGCCAATTTACAGCCTCGGGGTCGCCGTGGATAAATCCAAGTAACTTGGAAAAGCTATGTGTTTAAGCTTGCTTTTAATTCAGCTCAAAAACTTGGAGATTTGAATAGTCAGGCTCTTAAGAAATCTTTCTCTGTCTTTGTGGAAAGAAATCCATGGATACCTTACTTCAGAATGCTTTGGATCCATAGCAAGGTTGGAAATGAGCATATTTTCAAATGCCGGCAATGATCTATCAAGTTTGGAATACATAGCGTACCTGAAGTATGTCTCTAGACTCTCTACAAGCAAATCGTACCTACCTAGCCCCAAGGTTTGGGATCAAAGGTTACGAGTGCTGTAATACTCATATTTAGTTGAAGCAAACTTTGTCATTGGAGCTTGTGACTAGCGATGCCGCACTTCATTACCGAACCGCTAGTCAATGGGAACAATGCCCGGGCTCTATCTCATGCAAATTATGTCACACGTTGCTCAAAGAGAATTGCTCTGCTCCATGCAACCCCAGATTGTATCCTGTTACTCCGCAGTAACCACAGACACCCTGCTTTTCAGATGAACACTTCCCCCATGTGTTGACAGCAGGGAGGCGCCGAACAACGTGTATTTGTACCACCCGTCTTTCAAAGCTCGTCAGAACCCAGCTTCACATCCGTGTCCGTGTTCTCATCTTCATCGATGACGGCCTCTGGCGCCGCTGCTCTGAGGGCTTCTCTCGCTTGCTCCTCGGTGCGCATTGCTGCAAACTCCGGCTCCATGCCTTCGAAAGATGTATGCGAGCGTGGCAGCCACGGCCGAGCTCCAACAGACGGAGATAGAGGTGAATGCGGGACAGACAGCGCCCGGATGTGGCGATCAATATCTTCGTCGAAATAATACTCAACTGGAAGGTGATTGAATGTGACGTAGTAACGCATCACATTACTAATGTGGTCGGGTGAAAGTGGAGGAGAACTGCTACGAGGTGGAATGATACCTCTATATGCCAGGATGAGATCAAGATCGGGATCGGCGCGGCGACGGGCTCGCTCGAGCCATGCGACTGGATCTTCTGGATTCGGGAGGTTTAATATCTCGATGGGTTCGTCAATGGGCAGTCTAGCAGGGCCTGTAATGTCGTAATCATCACTGTCGTAATCAAGCCTGGCAGGTTCAGCGCCGGTGAGCATGACATCTGATCCATTGATAGCGGGGTGGCGAAGAGTGGACGCAGCACGAGTGGACGCAGCACGAGTGGAAGTGTGTTCTCGAGAGGAGCTCAAACCGGGACCGATATCCAAGAAACTGATATCGCTATCACTGGGGACTGTTGAACCAGGGCCTATAGCGGTAAGGATAACACGGCCAGGCTGTGAGGTGGGAGAAATACCACTGTAAGTTTGCTCAGACGAGAAGGCCGACGGTGTGTCCAGGTTAATGGGAGTTGGAGGATTCATGGTCGAGAGGAGTTGGAGCCGTTGGGCCTCCAGTCTGATCAACTCCAACTGTTCGTTCCTGTCGACAAAATCCAAGTGTCTTGTGTGCCTGCACCTATCATACCTCAGACCGTGGATCAAATCTACGGCATAATCAAGGCTGATATCAAAAGCTTCCGAGGCATCATATGCCAATTCGAGATCGAACCACACCTGCCGGTGATGGCGAGAACGATGAGAACGATGAGACTGACGAGAACGACGATAACGACGAGAACGACGAGAGGAAGGCATGGTGCGTGTTGTTTGGGATTGTGTGTGCGCATATGAGATTGATGCCAAAGGGTAAATGAATGTAGGTGAGGATGATAATTTCCACGCCGGGAAATCAAAGCCTACGCACCCAGCCCTACATTGCACCTGCCTGGCTCAACTGGGCATTTCAGGCAGCTTCGACCTGCTAATTCCACGCGTTACTTCCGTTTACTTCACCGATCTTTCTACTCTTCCTGGCGCAGTATAGTCACACTGGTATTCAAGGGGTTGTACTCATGGTTTGATTGTCTTGCTGAAGCTCACCGACTCACAGCTAACAGAGATCTGGTGATACCAGCATTCAAACTCATGTGGCGTGTGGTTAGACTTGTATCCATGGATAGCTTCTCCAAAGATACAAAGATATAAAGATTAAAGAATTAGAAATCATAGATGCGTTCATTCACATAAACCCCTGATAACAGGAGGTAGACGCCTTTTTAAGATACATCGTGAAATGAAGAGACCAGATGGTCATATCAAAGGGGAATCGTGAAAGTCTCGTCAGTAAAACCGAATTAAAAGCCACCATGGACGAGCTGAAACATGTCGTTCTCTTTTTCTTTTGTATGTACCGACCATCCCCGTGGAAAACGCCGGGTAAACCATGTCTTTGTCCGAAGTTCATTGCTCTTGTTGTTGTTGTTTTTTTTGTCCTTTTTGGAATCTTTTGGTTTGTTGTCGTAGTGGCTATTGCGCTTAGAGGTTTTTATTTCTCTGAAATTCAATCCGAGGTCATTTTGTCCTCATCACCGACTCGCAACTCCACCACAGGAAGTTCGTCGTCAGAATCATCCATGAGGTGGGAGACGTCTTCAAAGGATGCACCATCTGGACGGACAGAGTGAGAGTCTTCCAACTCGGTCATGCGGGTGTCCGGGTCCATTTCATCGTTCCCAACGGCCAGGTTGCTATCAATCTCATCATCGTCAAACAGACCGCTTTCATCGAGTGACCCATCACCAGGAGTTATCTGTGAGATAGCGTGAGCGCCGGTCAGGTTGCTGAAAGACCAGGAAGGCTCCTGGGAGAAATGAAGGGGATCGGATGCCTGTCCAACCGTCTCGAGGCCGTTGTTGGTGAGTTTCATACCTTCGCCGTCTTCAGAGTCCGCGTCGCTGTCGTCGGTGGTGGAGTATTCATCATTCGCTGGAGTCTCGGTTTGCGAATCATTGCCCGCTCGGGGAGCTGCTCCGGCTCCGACCAAGGCGCTCGACGACCCATTGCGGGAAGAGTCGCCAAGACGCTGGCCGTCCCCCGTAGGCGAACGGTTGGGGGATGAAGGGCCAGATTCATCCGTAGGGGGGTGTTTGAATGCTTCAACCAACTCCTGTAGCTCCTTGCTGCCCAGCGGGCGCTCGGAGCGGCGACGGTAGAATAGGAGGTATGCGCTCGATGCGATCATACTCTCCGGGTTGGTCACAAGGCGAGCGCTGGAGTCTGTAAGAAAACAAAAATTAGTAACTGGTGGTTTTTCATCCAGATGATACAAGAGTGGGGAGGATCTGACCATTGCAGTGGTACCAATCACCGGAAATGAAGTCCTTGACGTAGGCAGTGTAGTGGCCACCGCCCATGGAGCCCATATGGTTGTCAATGGCGACCAAGTCATACTCCAAGCTCTTTCCATCACTGGGCCCTTGCACGCGGCCAGTCAAATCCAGGCCCTCAAGAGGGAAGTTGACCACGGTGTTGATCTTGCTGTGATGGCGACGCAGTTGGCCAAATCGCTTGAGCTGAACGACCATGACATCGGGAGCTCTCCACAAGTCAAACTTCTTGGTAGCCTGGACGTGGTCCTTGCACTTGGGGCAATACCAGGTATCTCCCCGAGACAGAACTTCGGATTTGCTGAAGATATCGAGACACTCATCAAGCGTGACAGAAGAAGACTTTTTGAGGTTGGACTGACGTTGCGAGATGTGATCGTAGACATTCTTGGGGGTCATGAAAGTCGGCAAACCACGAGATTCTTCGGAGTCTGATGGCTTTCCACCGAAAAGGGCTTCGTATCCTTCAACACTCCAGTCAAGGACAAGAGCGTCGCCCTGGTGAAGAAGTTGAGTAGCAGAGTCCTCCTCGTCCTCATCAGATCCATCTACATCGCTGTACTCATCGCTATTATCGGCCGAAGTTTGAGACGTAGCATCGGAATCCTATGTCGGTTAGCTCAGACCTTCAAAGGACAATTTTGAGATGGGGGGACTATTTACCTTCTTGGAAAGTTTTGCGGTAGCAATGCGGGAAGAAAGCAATGGGAAGTCCTTGGTTCCAACACTGCGCCCATCAGGCAGACCATTCTTGGAGCTCATCACCTTCGGGTCGAACAGAGCCAACAAGCCCGCGGGAATTTTGCCAGCCAAAGGATGTTGTTGTGCGCTCTTGATAGACTCAGAGTCGGATCCTGCCATCTCAGATTTCCCAGCACCCTTAGTTGCCTGGGCATCGTGCATTGAGATGTCCACGATACTATCTTCGCCGTCAACTGATGATGTCTTGATCCTGGAATCCGCAGACTGGGCATCATCCTCGTTAGTGACAACGGTGTCGGAGTCATCCGCCGTGTGCTCGTCTAAGGTGGATTGCTCAGGAGTCAAGATGTCACGTGTCGTCATGTTGTCAGACAGGAGGATGAGCTTGCTGTAAACTGCCTCGAGATCGTCAGCTTCATGCCGGGATAGACGGATGACGGACGGAATTCCAAAGAGAGTCGACGCATTGGCTTTGTTCTTGCGAGGACCAGCTCTCCGGTGGAAGACAGGGATAACCACGTCGTCATCTTCAGATGCCGAAACGGGTCCCAAGTCATAGAACACGATGACATCGTGGGGGCTGGTTTCAAGGCTCTCAAAAGAGCTGTCGTCGTGAAGGAAATACTTCCAGAAAGCGGAGTTATGAGTCTCCGCGGCAAAGATGCGCTCTCCATCAACATCCATCTTTTCGCCGACGAAATTCTTCCAACCCTTCAGGCTGTCCAAAGCATCAAGCTGGACATTGAGCGACACTGGTGAGCCCTGGTAAGGCACGAAGATAATCTTGCGAGTCATGGGCTGGGGACCAGGTGGAATTGGTAGCGTGAGCGTGCTGAAAGGATCCATGATGATGCTAGTTTTGTGACAGTCAGGGCAAATAAGAGTCGACTTGTACATTCCAGAAAAGAGGTCGGTGACAACAGAGGCGTTGCGCGACTCGTAAAGGTCCCAACAGGTCTTTCCGAACTCTTCCAGCGCCTTGCGGTCGTGAATCATCTCATCGGTGGAGTCGGGGATGGTGGTATACGGCTTTTGGCCAATGCGACTCAAATCCTCGGACAAGGCATCCAGAAGGAACATCACAAATTCTTGACTGTCGTGTTGATCATAACCGGCAAACTCAGAGCGCTGTCGGCCAGCAGAACGACGGAACTTTCCGGGGCTGACATAGTTGGTGGGCGCATCTGGGTTGTAAAGATCCGCAAGCAAAGCGGCCCAATTTTTTGCAACATCTCCACCGCACCCAAGCTTGTTGCTGGGATTGAGTTCGGATTTGAATTTGCCACCTGTGGTTTAAATTAGTACTGAAGGGCTTTAATACTTAAACCTAGGAATGTCCGAACTTACTGAGGAAGAATATTGTGAGCTCCTCAATACTTCGCACACACTGAATTGCCGAGTTCATGTAACAAGTGTTGCCAAGGTTGTCCAATCCCAGAACTCTGGGCAATCGGCCCTTTCGGCCCCGGGCAAACATGTTCTTTGGAGTAAGGCACGAAACCGGGGTGGATCGACCGCTCGAAATTGGGGGTGTTTTGGTGCCAAGTGTCAGGGCAGTGGGCTTATTGTCAAGTTTGAGTTCTACGGGAATACCCAGACGCTTCAGTGTTTTGGCAGACGCCTCGGAGACCCATTCTCCACCCTTGGACCCACCGATTTGCTCCTCCAGAACGACACGATCAGCGGAGCCCAAGCCAGCGATGTCCAGTGACATGCGACCGTTATACTTGGGATTGTTGGTTTCATCTTTGACGTGTTCAAGCAGTACACGATGAGTGCCCTCAGAAAGCCCGAGGAAAGCGTTCAGGTCCAGAAGCAGCTTGTCTGCGGTGTGGGGAATGAGAGCCGAAGGAGGCGGAGCTGGGGACGCAGTACGAGAAGCAGCAGGAGTCACCGCAGCGGATGTGTTGGTGCTGTGAGGAAGTTTGAGAATCTTCCAAACGCGGACTTTGGTGGACATGTCGATCCCGGCCTTTTCCTTAGCCTCTTTCAGCCATTTCTGGAAACTGGTTTGGCGACTGGTTAATGTCTTGGCGGAAGGCAGGTCTTTTTCCTTCAAGGTCGCTGGAGTAGTACCGGCGGTGGGGTTGGCCAATTTGAGGATAGAGAGGATGGGAGGATAAGCCTCGTATTCAACCTTCGCAGCATCGCCAGGTTGGCTGAAGTTATGTGCGTAGCGAACAATTGTGGGCGATTGGTCAGCCAAGCCGTACCATTTGAGGATCTTGTCCCAGCCTTGCTGAGGGACGATGACAAAGTCCACAGCTTCGTGCAAGCCAGGGCGCATAGACAGAAAGTCGTCGCCTGCCTCGTCCTTGAAACCGGTAGTGGCCGGGTCGGTGTCGAGCACGAGGTCGATGTTTTCGACTGGTCCGATGGGACTATCCGCGGAGTCGTTCGTGTGATCGGCGTGGGAGGTCAGCCGTGCGAGCACCTTCTTGAGCCAGGTCATGGAGACCACGTAGCCCTTTTGCCCGTCCTTCTTTGTCTCGGCCATCAGCTCATTCACCTCGGCCACTTGCTCGTCGATTGTGAGGGCACCATCGGGGCTAGGTGTCTCTGAATCCGACTGGTCGCGGGAAGGAGAGGAATCGGTCTTGCTGCCGGAGCTCGAGGGAGTGGGATAGGTGTTTCCGTTCGTCACGGAGTCTCCGGAGTGGCGCGCATTATCGGTGTCGACAGTGCTCACGCCCCCTTCGGGGTCGGAGTCGGTGATCTCAGAGGCCGAGCGCTTCTCACCGGGAGATGGAGAACGGCCATCGCTGATTGTGGGAGGGGTACCCTCTCGAGTGTCGGAGGGCATATCGGAATGCTCACTGGATAGAGTCAGTCCGGCGGTCGCGGTCGCGGGTGTGAGCGAGCGGCCACCAGGCTGGGCTTGCTGGAACTGCAGGTGAGCGGGCACGTAGCGAGGCGGTGACAGCGAGGAGCTCTTATAGCGAGAGGCAGAGGCGTGACGAGAGCGGGCTGGAGGAACGGAGCGGCCGTGACGTCGAGCCCGAAGGCCTGGACTGGGACGAGGCTCTGGGGAGACTTTTCGGCGCTTTGGAGAAGACGTTGTGACGGTGAGCTGCGCACCTCGTGTCGCAGCTCGGGGCAACCAGGGGAGAACAAAGGAAATTAGGATCAAAACAGCCTCTTCCCTTTATTTGTGGAAGACAAGCCGTGAAACAATTTTGACTGGCAGAAAAATGAGGTTTAGTCAGGTTTTTTTTCCTCCTCCCTCGCAGAGCGGAAACCAAACCCTAACATATACGAACAGCTCAGACTAGAGGCAAACTCACAAATAGAAGATATTGACAGTGAGATATGTTCCGAGGATTGAGTTAAATCAGATGAATGAAATGACAAAGAGAAGAGAAGAAGAGATCACTAAACCATGTAGTTAAGGTGCTTCCCGAGGTAGAGTTCAGACCCGCAAAGCCTTACGATCAGAGAACCATGAGCAGATTCAGTGGGACTTGTCTACAGGATTGTGAATAGGCCGTTGTTTATAATCCTTCTGTATAGTCCATTGTATAAAGTATCAAAGTGTGGACTTCTTGGGGCGTTGTGAATATCCAGGTGCTACAGCAACATAAACTGCACACAGTTCAATAAGCCTACAGTATTTCTCGACATAGGAGAACGTTAAATGCATCAGACCACACATTAAATTTACTTTATTACTAAGATACATGAGAACAATGGCCAACGTATACATCTATTCCATTTCCAATTTTTACATTTGGACTATCTCTTGGTTCCCAAACACATGTGCGCCATGGATACAGGCACCAGACACACTTGAACGATCTTTGGTGGCTACATCGCTTGTGTGATGTTATTACCTGGCTGGTTGTCTCAAATGCCCCAAGCTTTGTGGTCAAACGAGAGCCTCACTTGGTCTTATGAGCATGTATGGTGTACTCTTCCAAAGTTGCAACTACTGACTATTCCGAGGTTGACACAAGCCTCAGTGCCGCGCTCACGCGTGGCCAAAAAGACGATAGTAGTTGCTTATAAATAAGAGTAGTAATTTATTCAATAACAAAAGAGAGCTGTCATAGAGTTCGTGGTATCCTTCCAGCTATCCTTTTAACTATCCATCCAGCTGTCCTTCCACAGATCTACTCCAGGGCTACAACCTGAATATGCAAATCGAATATTCACTCTGGACAACAAAAACACTAAGAACCAATCATTTTTTTAGCTGCACGCTCCTCTATGGTACATAACCGAGGCTGCAAGGTTTTGACTGGAACAGGGCAAAGCGGAAAGCAAAAATTGAAACTGAATAGACGCGCAGAGTAACTGTAAAGGAAGAAAGTTGTGTGAGAAGAGAACACAGTCGCCTGGGAAAAGAGCAATCAGAGAAAAGGAACACTAAATCCATTTAGTATGGAACGTAGTCATCAGCTTCCTCTTCAGAGAAGTGGTCGTATTCATACTCAGATTCCTCATCAAACTCCTCATCGAATTGCTGGCCAAGGTTGTAGTCGGTTTCGTCAAATTCGCCATCGGTATTCTCCTCGGGAACCTCATCTTCAGACTCATCATCCGAGATTTCGATGATCTCCGTAGACCGGGCCTTCATGGGAACATAGGACTTCTTGGTGTCATCGCCCGAATCCGATTCGGAGTCCGAGATCACAATGACTTCACGTTCCTTGGATTTCAGAGAGCCGAGCGACGCGCCTTCGTCGTGCAATCCTTGGGCTTCAGGGGTATCATCCAGGGAATCATCCTCCACATCAGCTTGGTAAGTGGTGTCCTGGGAGTAAGGAGAGGAAGACTGCTCGGAGCTCGTTGCGTCGTCCGATAGACGGATAGAGGGACGGCGCTTGGCTGGTCCCGCAACACACTTGAAGCCGTGGTTGGAGCATGGAAGGCAAGGCAACGAGTGGTCATAATCAGCGAAGCGGTAAGAGCAAGTCTCACCATGTAGGTCCTTGCAGCTCTCGCAAGGCCGCTTCCATTCCGGCTCTGGGATGACCACGCACTCAATCTCGTCATCAGCACAGGTCTTGCAGGGGTAGGCGAAGAGGTCGGGATCCGTGGCAAGCGAGCACACCATGTCGATTTCGATGCAGGCCTTGCATTCTCTCACGGGTTCCATCTGCGGAGCGGTTGAAGCGTCGCTGGGCGAAGCCACACCTTGCTCTTGGTCGGTGGCGATCTCTGCCTCTTGCTGTGGTGAACCCAGCGCATCGTTCTTTTCGCGTTGACGTAGGAGGTACCGGGAGTTGGGGCTGACCATGTTCGGGTCGACATTCCAATACTGATCAAAGGTATCAGGCTCATCCTCACTGGAAGTCTCACTGGAAGAACCAGGACTGGGGGACTTGTGAGTTGCATCGTGGATTATCTTCAAGTTGAGGTATTTGGAGCCATCGATCATTCGAACCTTTCTGGGTGGGACGGGGGCTGCAGCGTGGTTGGGAGAGGGGCGCTTCCTCTTCTCGCTCGACTCATTGGTGGGTTCATAGGTTTCATCCTCGTCATCATCGTACCAGGAAGCCAGATCACTGGTGCGTTGGGCGGCGCGGTTGCGCAGGTCGTAAGACGCCGGCAATGGACAAGCAGCGAATTCACGCTCAGCCTGTTCGATCAGTCCAGGGAACAAGTTGCAAGCCTCGTTCAGTTGGCCTGCGGTGTACGCCATGACGGTTGGATTGAGCTTCTACACATGGAATATTAGCTCCTCGTGCCGTTCAGATAGATGTCAAATCGTCAAATGTCAAATCCCACCTTGAGATTGGACCGAAAGACGAGCCAAACAAGATGGCTGGTAGCACTTGGAAAAGAACGTACTGTCTGGGGGAATCTTTCTTCTGCAAGCAGAAGTTCTGGGGACTTGGTTTGGGCAATCAGGGCGAAAGAATCCGTCACAGGCAGGGGAATTCCTTTTATAGAAGACACTGGGGAAAGTCATCCATTGATTTGCAGCTTATTATTGTTACTGAATAGTCAATTGATACACTATTCCCCCGTCCGGATGCCCTCAATATTGAATGGGAAGTGAATCAATATAATTGGAGGAAATAGAGGTCACAAGGCTATTGTTCCCCATGTCCAATGGTTGACCACCTTTGTTTCTATTCTTCTTTTCATCTTCACCTCATTTGTCTCCTTCTCATTCCTATTGTTCTTGATCTGATTTTCAATTGGATTGATTCTGGTCTCAGGTATCATTTGATTGGTCTCCTCACTTCACACTCGCTTTTTCCAAATTTGAAGCAACGCTGGACCTTCACTTCGAAGCTTGTCAGCTTGTCAGTCTTTGGCACTTTTCCCCCGTACCTCAGCAGGCTTGTGTTTGATCGCATGTGACATGCTGAAGTCTACGTCTGCTGCGGGATGACATGCTTCGGCCGTGGAAACATCCTTGCAGTCTTGTTTCATCCTCTTTGAGCATTCGACCCACGTCTGCAAAGGTCTGACTCTACCCACGAGGGGTGACCGTAGCATAGATATGAACATTCCATGCAAGCAACCTTGGAGGTACCTCCGGACTGCCAAGAAAGACCCATGGATATGGGACTATAAATACAGATAAACATAGGGGTATGTTGCACTTTTGGGGACCAGTCCCGAGGTCCTCCAGAGCCGGTCAAGAGGGAATGTTCCGTTCCTGAGCACCGACGATTCTGGATAGATCTACTAATTAGTCACAAGAAAGGATAGCCTAATTCATATTGCCCTTCGAGGTTGTATCTAAGATATGTGACGCTGAGCTTTAAGTACTGGTTGAAGAGATACTCATACGTGGGCGCCCATACTCATCATTTAACCCGTTTGGAGATGCTTTTCTCCATCACCACCAGGGTTCATTCGCATTGTGATCACTCGGGGGCTCAAAATCCAAGTACCCAGCTTGACTCTGGCTATGTGAGTATCCCCCTTGATCTCTGCGTGGTGAGTTCTGGCTTCGGCCTCGGCCTCCTTGTCTGCGAATGCGTCTGTTGCCCCTCTGACGTCTGTTCCTTCCATGGTTACCCGACTGTTGTCCTTCATTCTGATCCCCATATTCATCCAGCCAGGTATTGTTGTTGGGATTGTCACTGCCCCATCCTGTGTTGGCGCGCCCTCCCTCGGCCCAGTTGTTTTGATCTTGATCACGACTGGTTGGAGATCGACCGCCTCTTGATCTTCGTTTGGGCGATTCATAGCGACTCAGTTCCCATCCCGTAGAATTGTTCTGCAGGTTATTGTCTCCCCCTGGGCTCGTTTGTTCGTGTTGTTCATTGTTGTTATCCCAGCCGTATTGCTCATTGTTGTGATTCCAGTCTTGTTGCTCATTGTCATGATCCCAGCCGTGTTGCTCATTGTTGTCATCCCAGTTCCGGGATCGATTCCGTGATCCTCGCCGTGGAGATTGATTCTGGTTGCTGTTTCCACTGCCACGATTGCTCCAACCATGGTTGCTTTGTTTCCGTGAGTTGTTGTCAGGCACACCGTCTTCATTGCCACGATTGCTCCAACCATGGTTGCTTTGTTTCCGTGAGTTGTTGTCAGGCACATCGTCTTCATTGCCACGATTGCTCCAACCATGGAGGCTTTGTTTCCATGATTTATTGTCAGGCACATCGTCTTCATTGGTGCAATTGCTCCCATGATCACCCTTAGATCCACCCCAGCCAGTCTTTTTCTGACCTCCCGAATTGCCATCCGCATGCTCATCTTCTGTATTGTCATACAAAGCACCGAGATTGAACGATTCACCTTCACCTTCATTATTGTTGTTCTGGACGTCATCTGGTGTCGGCTCTCGTCCACCGGAGCGTGGGGAGTTTTGATAGCCTCGAATCTCCTCGCGGGGCGATCTCCGGTAACTTCTATCTTGACTTTGATCCCGATTCCAATGCTGGTCTCGAAACGCTTTGCCCTGATTGTTGTTTTTGTTCTTCTGCTTTGGATGATTCTGGTTGTTGTGGCTGTTCTGATTGCTTTGGCCTTGCTGCTGCCTCTTCTGTTTGTTTTGTTTTGCTCGTAGTTTCTTTTGTTGTCGTTTAGAGAGTGGATTAGGTTGTTGATTCCGCGGCGAAGGAATAGTTTGAGGACTATGCGTGCGAGCCGGCCTCCTTTCTTCGGAACTGTGGTCAGACTAGTTCCCCTCGAAGACCAGTTTTCTGATTAGTGGCACCGGACTTACTGGGATAGAGGTAGGGCATTGGTTTCCCCGTAAGGCTTTGGACGAACCCAACCATGCGGCGTGAAATGGGGCCCAAGTGTGCTATGCATTGTGTCGCCATTCCCAGGGTGCCAGCTCGCTTGTGTACGGTCTCGAGATCTCCTGTGGAAAACCTGACCTTGGAGGTGTTGGCTGGTGACGTGCGATCGAAACCAGCAATAAAACAGCCACCCAAATACTGGGGTGAGCAGCCCAACCACAAGAAACACGGCGATCAGGATGTTGTCCTTCATGGTGTCAAATTCAGCAACAAATTTCAGTAGAAGGGTAGCTTCGACTTCGGGGGTTGGGCGATGATAGGCAAAAGAGATACACTGCTGGGCTATAAACCACAGTAGATGAAGGTGTGAAGGATAAAGTGAATGGGGTGTAGAGATGGAGAGAGCAAAGAAGTTGGGGGAGTTGTTGCAGAGGGACACAAGTGAGCAAAGCATGGAAGGCGCAGAGGGGCACGATGGGCAAACAAGGAAGGAACAGACAAAAGAGCTTCATTGGGATTTTGTGTCTAACGTCTATCGCGAGAATATTCATACTTTGCTTTTGAGTACCCTCGAAAGCGCAGCTAACCAATGCCCATGGAGTGATACCTTGCGACCTGAGTCCAGGAGGTGGGTGAGCGATTCTCGAGCATCATCGGGGCTTAGAGCAGATGCAATGGCAATGACACGGGACCCTAAGATGAAGATCTCGGGCTTGGAGGCCCAGCCTAGCAGACCATCTGGTTCTGCGCCAGGGCTGACGAGAGAGTGCAGGTAGGTCAGACCATCACTGGCCCAGGTGGATACTTCACGCAAAGGAGTGCCTACATATGCTGATTTATGCAGCTGCACCAGGGCTCGTGACCAGACCTCAACCTCGCGAACATCGTCGATGAACAGGTTCTGTTTCTCCTCCTCAAATAACACAGTACTGTCTTGTCGATACTCCGTGATCAGATCCGACACTGGAACAAGGCGTTTGGACTCGTATGACCCGCTGATCCTTCGTTCTTGCCCAGTCAGATACAGCAAAACTCGTCGCCCAAGTGCTGAAGAGTCAGCGTAGCTGTGTACCACAAACTCGGCCAAAAGGGCACTGGCATTCATAGGTGCCAAAGTGACATCGGCGTCAGGTGAGATGGAAGAATGTGACAACACCCATGAAGCCGTCGAAGCTGCAACATCGCGGATTTCATCGTCGTCATCGTTAAGCAAATCATAAAGGACCAGGTATACGTCTAACAGAACCGCATCCACGTGTGGTTGAGTTCCAGCCGGTCGAATAGCGCGTGAAAAGCTGCCAACGGATGTGGCTGCAGCGAACCGAGTTGTGAATTCCTACAAATTGTCTTTAATCAGTATGGAGGTTCTCCCAAGCGACAAAGGTCTCTCTGCGTCAACGTACCGTCTCCTCACTCAAGGCTGAGCGAAGCTTGATAGTCCAATTTTGGATTTCGGTCTCAAGAGATGAAGGGGTATCTCGGTGGTTCATGATAGTGCGAATAGCTAGTAAACAACCACGAAGCCGAAGTTCAGCGTCAGTGGCATCTCTGTTCCAAGCCTGAATTTCTGTCTCCGGTTTGAAGGCATTCAAAATAGCCTCCCACGGAAGATCAATGCTTGATAGAACATTGGGCTGAGACGACAGTATGTCCTCCAGGATAAAGGCTAGATTAGAAGCAGCCATTGTCCTCACGTCTGGTCGTCCAGATCCCAACACCACAAACGAGTACAAATCATACAGTGGTTTTCTGTACCTTTCGTCCTCACCTATGGTCTCATGAAGCTGCTCTGAGACCCAACAAGCAACATCAGCGTCGAATTGGGATATGGCTTGATAGAACACTGGGACCTGTTCCCATTGCTGCGAAATGAACAGTTTCAATACGGTGCACCAGGCGAGTGCTCTTCGAAGAAGCGCGCATGCTCGGGTAGTACTTGACAGATTCCAACCAGCACTAGAAGCGTCGAATACAAATTTGAGGACTCCGTTCAGATCGTGAGACTCGAACATCTCTTCGACGAAAGGAATGACTTTATCTGCGGGCAAATATTAGTCGATATCCGTTGGAGGAAAAAGTCGTTCTACTTACCTTCACATTGAGCTTGAATGGCTCGTTCTAGGGTGCCGTTGAGGATTTCAACTAGCTCAGTTGCAACTGTTGGTGATTTGCCAGCCTGGAAGAGGGCCCCTAACAATGCACGTAAAGTCTCGAAAAGACCATCAATATTTCCTTCCGAGGTGTTAGGCTTGATCAACGGGGGGTATGTGGGCAGAAACTCACCGATCCAGAACTCATCAGTGGTGGCTGCGTAGCGGCGAAGAGAATACCGCACAGTCAAAGCCACGCCGTGTATATAGTTCTCAGTAGGAGATGCAGGAACTGTCGCAAGTGCGCGCAGAGCCTCAGGGATGTGTTGTCGGGTTAGCAGCGATGCATACACACGAGCAGCGTGCTCTCTGACACCCCAGACAGGGCTGCTCAAATGCTGCAAAACCAAGCCACGCAGCATTTCGTCGGTGGAATCATCTAGGCTGGGAACTTTGTCACCGACCAACTCTAGAGCAGGGAACACTCGTTCAGTGATAATGTCAGTTCCTTCTGCTGCTTCACCTTGCGTCGTTGTCAATAAGCCAGAAAGTAGCTCAAGAAGGCCAGGATACTTGGGGAACGTGATTCTAGCACCTGGCTCGGATCCAGATATGCCACCGAATCCGGGGCCGGCACTTGGGATCACTCGGCACATCTTGGTCAAGAGTGAACGGAAAAGCATGAGGCCTGAATTACGGAGGGCCCAGATTGGCGATCCCAAGCGGTCAGCAGACAGAGTCAATGCCTTCATGATGAACGGTTCGATGTATGGACCCAATTTGTTGTTGGTGAAGATGTCTTTGAGGCAGTTCATTGCGTGAACTTGGGGCAACTCCAAGTACTGCCTCTCCTTATCGTATTCCACGGGGAGATATGAAATTTCGTGAAGCTCCTTCAATGCGTCGTGGAAGAACGGGGTCCCAGGATCAGAGCCAACAATGCCGGTAACCATTGCAGGTATACCTGCGGAGCGACGAGTGAGCTTGGATGCAGAACCGAAGATTGTTGACTTGGCTTCTTGATACCAGCCTCGAGTAAGCTCGCGGATTGCTGGATCTTTGGAGGCGCTACACCTTTGGCAACACGTTGCGAATGTTTGTGAAACGTTCGTGAACGCACCACGGTGTCGGAGCTCGGCGAGTTGAGTGAAACTGGCTCCTCCAATCTTCGCAAAGTCTACGCGATTGAGGCCGAAACTTCCACTTGGCCCATAACTTGGGTTCAGTAGGGTTGCGTGGAGTAAGATACTACCCTATTTAGTTTTGCAGAATACCACAACGGGGACTTTTGCTTACCTTGATTCCCGAAGAGATCTCCATGAGTATGAAAGGGCATCCTTGGGTCCCATATCCAGCTCCTCAACAGGCTCATCTGAGTGACCCTCTGGTGAATCAATACACAACAAAGACTTGGCCTCTTGCCAAATCTTGTCACAGATGGCATCAATGCGCCCATGAACAGATCGCCATGCGGTAGATTCTGTGTCATCAGAAATCAATGTATGGAAGTTCGGCATGAGAACAATGTATCTGGACCGGCATCATTAGCAAATATCCACCAGGGTGTTGAATTGAAATGGATCTCCCCTACCTGAGCCCAGAGGTATATCCATGAAGCGGGGCCTCGCGCATAACAGAGTTGAACAAGCTGTTCGGGCCTAGCAGACGCTCCTCAAGCTTAGTCAAGATTGTGTTCACTACCGAGGCTTTGGTTGACCACCAGTCAGAGGCCCCTTGTGCCGAATTACCTGGCAGTGCGGCGCAGAAGATCAGATGGTATAGTCGGGCAACAGTGTCGGCATGGTCTGCTCTACTTGTGTTGCTTGCCAGGTTCTCTGCTCTCTTCAATGCGTCTGTCAGTCGCATGCCTGCGTTCGTCGTGTTTTGTAAGCATTCAAGAAGAACCTCTCTTGGACAGAGGTTCAAAATGGTGAGCGAAGTTTGCCTAACTTCTTCGAACGGATCCAGCAAAAGATCAACCAACAGTCGGAGGAGATGGGAATCGAAAATTTCGACGTGCACCTTCCAAATGTTTTCCGTCTCTGATTTCTGGAGCTTGATGTTTGTTCGTGGATCAAGACCAGAGTCGAGGAGGAGTTTCAAAGACTTCAAGGCTGTTATATGACGCGCATACGATGCGCTCAAGGGCAGGTCATTCTGCAATAAACCGATGTATGATTTCAAGAACTCCTTTGTCTGATTCTCGTTTCGGGCATGGCCTGTTGCTGGCTTGTTGGTTGTTTTCTGGATTTTCAGCCCGGCGTCTTCCTCCCTAACGATGCCGCCCTTCAGACGCACGATGAACTTTCGCATCATGCTCAGAATCTCGCCACGGGCATGTGCCTCAGACTCGGCATGCATAGACGGCAGTCCCCGGAGGAGGGCCTGGGTTGCCCCGACGGTGAATGGCTTGATTGTGGAAGATGTCGTGATCAGAAGTGAAAGGGCCGCTGTGCGAATGCTGGATTCACGGTGAAGTAGAAACTTGCCGATCACCTCACTTTTCAAGATCAATATGTCGTTAGTGTCTATTTTCGATTTTCCAGAATCAAAGATATCTACACTTGTTAGTGGGTTCACTGATTTTTGGACCTGCGAATCGACTCACAATCTTCATGGACCAGGTTGATCTTTTTGCCGATCTGCAACGCGGCGAATAGAATCATGTATTCCGCCTCAGGTGCGTCGGTCATGTCTCCCTCAAGTAGACTCTTCACTGGCAGTGTTCTAAGGAACATCCTGAATCCATTCGGATCCACAGTGAACAGCGGCTGGAGAAGCCTGCTGGATAAATCTTCTAATGCTTCCACATTTTCCAAAACCAGATGTCTGGCTGGAGCCACCCACATCTCTGATAATTTCTCTGCCGAGGTTTCGGGTTTCATTTTCTGGATCAAAGCCGCCAATAAATTCCCGGCAGGCACAGCCATCGTTTTGTTGTTCGTCTGGACCAAAAGCCCTAGGACGAAGATTTTGGCCGCTAATTCATCTGACAAGTTGCTAGACGCAACTTCCAAACTGGGTTCGTTGCCTCCGAGTGACAGGGTCTCGTGGTTTTTGCTGAACGCAGAAACCCAGCTTGTCTTGTTCTTTGAAAGCCACCCCCGGAATAACGGAATGAATTCACCGGGCAAGATGGCATCTCTTCTAATGAAAGAGTCTAAGAAAACCAGGCATCCCTTCAAACGTGATTGCGGCTCTCCAAGAACGATACTTGGGATTATTGCATCGATCACTGAGGTCTGAATGGCTGCCCTTGAGGCACCCTGGTGGTTCTTTGCCAGAACAGCAGTGAGTGAGGACAGAATAAGCTTGATGGGCTTTGGTTTGGCATCTTCATAACGGTTCAAGCAAATGTCAAAGACTGAGAGCCAGAGTTCTTGTGACAGCACCAGCTGCTTAGTCTCATCGGATTTGGACTTTGTAGCAGCATCAATGAAGGCAGAAGTCGCATTGCATGCCTCAGCCGAATGACCTGGTGAAAGTGATGCCGTTGATAAGGTTTGAATCAACGATTGCCATACCTTGGTCACCTTTCTTTTTCACGAGGTTAGATACATGAGCCATTAATGGGATGTAGTTAGATTACTTACTCGATCTCTTGATTTGCCAGTGTGAATTTCACCAATGGTCCTTTGGCGATATCCCGGAGCGTTTTCTCCGAGAGCAATTGCACTTCCTGCGCAATATCCTCCATGCTAATTGATGCGGCACGTTGTGTCTGGTTGGATGCATCAGTCGCCATGGTTTAGTTCCTCATTGGCCTGGCTCACGGTGCGACTAAAAGATCTCAATTAATTTTCTTGATGCTCCCCGCGATGCCTCAGGCGCAAATCACGCTCCACATCGGGTAAAGCGTCCGTTGGCCGGATCATCAATATTCCGATGTTCCAATGCGAGTCACGGGACCGAAGTTTTTGCTGGCTCCGATGCCAGTGGAGCTGCGAACACAGGGTCATCATTTCTTCTCCAGTTCGTCTCTATCGTCGCCTTCGGGTCCCTATAATTCCATCCTTTATCTCTATTAAAATCCCTCCACAATGTCTATCTGGGACTCTCTCGGCGGTCGCAAGCAAAAGCAAGGCCCCGATGCCTTCGACCCTACATCCTCCCAAGACGCTACATCTTTCCTCTCCGAGGTCGCGCTCTCCGATCCCTCTCGTCTCCATCCCCTGGCCGGTCTGAACCAGGATACTCTCGATTACCTCAGTCTCGAAGACTCCGCACTCGATGAACTCCCCGGCTCCCGATCAGTGTTGCCCTCGCGTGGATGGTCAGACGACCTTTGTTATGGTGCCGGCACCACTTATCTCGTCGCACTCACTCTTGGAGGCGTTTGGGGTCTCGCAGAAGGATTGAATAAGACAGCGCCTACAGCGGCACCTAAGATTCGTCTCAACGGTGTACTTAACTCGGTGACCCGACGCGGTCCGTTCCTCGGAAACTCGGCCGGTGTTGTGGCTATGGTTTACAACGGTTTCAACTCCGGTATCGGATACGTTCGTGGAAAGCACGATTCTTCCAACAGCATCGCTGCGGGTGCGATGAGTGGTATGCTTTTCAAGAGCACGCGCGGACTCAAGCCTATGATGATCTCTGGCGGCATTGTGGCTTCTATTGCCGGCGGTTGGGCTGTAAGCACATTTGTTCGACTTTCACGAAGACGCCTACTAATTAATTCTCTCCAGGTGACACGAAAGGCCTTCTTCTAGATTGCTGGCATGGCCAATCCCCCATACTCCGATACCTCGGTCATCCGACTCTCCATACCCTCTCCGCCAGCCTTCAATGACATTGGCGGTTGACGATTAGCCACCTCACTTTGTCTTTTCACTCGCGATGTATTACAACCATTTTTTTATTCCCCCTGCGGGTCTCTTCACTCCGGCGCTCAAAGCTTCCATGTTTTTCGCATAATGCGTGGGTTGGGGATGGGGTGTGCAACTGGGTTTGTACTTTTGTATTTCTTCTGTGTACATAGAAAAGTCTCTTGCATGCCTGCGACTTATTGGCTATGGCGCTCTGCAAGTGTCTTCGTCAGTTACGTACTTTAATGATGCTAGGGACTTCCAATAGACAACTTCTCAAACATTCTGACCCGAGCTCACTAGCAGTAACTCTTCGACCAAATGATTGATACCAAAGAACAGCGTTTTTGGTCGTGCCGACTATCCCGAACCCCCTATGAATCTGTCAGGGTCCCTATTCAGATACACAGGGTCCGAGCTAGGATTATCATCAGGTTGATAATGAAGAACGCACTCTGAAAGCTCCCCAAGGTGAACCATAGTGTCTTCCCAGGATGCTCCTTTTGGGCACCTTTCTTGTCTCTGACTCACTGTTGGGCACAGGGCAAAGCGCTCAAACACATGTCACCCGAAGCAGCACGCCATCGGATAACATCTTCAAAAGAAGAGTCATCCCGCTTCATTTCCAATATGTGTGCCCACGCACGGCAAGAAAGTGAAGGGTGCCCTTACGGCATACAGGAACGGGTGCTGTGATGACCTATACCTGGGCATGTCCACCGGGCTGGACAGGAGTCTGCTCTGGAAAGTACCCCAGGAGCACTGGGATCACGGGCTATCCAGCTCTGCTGCGAGGTCTTTTGCAATACCTCAGCCTGATGGAACAGCGAATACATCGACATCATATTTCTCCATGGCCTCAAGATCCCACCAGGATATCGAACCTCAGAAGGCTCTTGGAAACTACTAGCAAAACGTGAGATTGCTCAAGTCCCTGGTCGTTGACAGATGTCTGGAGGAACCCCCCTCGAAGTGCTGGCTCTATGTACCAGTCTGACATAGTGATACCATAGAGATTCATTCACTGGGCACCACAGATTTCAACATAGGAACAAACGATTCAAATACCACAGTGTGAAAATCATAAGCTCGCTCCATTGAGCCTTATCCTTCAAAGTTAAAGAAATGCAGGAAACTGAAATGCAGTTAAGAACCTTGGAAAGACCCCTCGATGGGCATCCCCAGCACCCCAAGAGGAAAACGAGGTGAATGTAATCGGTCGACAAGATTTAACAGATATAAACATCGCCCCTTGGTTTGAAGATCCATGACACTGAGCGTCGTATGTCAGAGCAATCTCCACCTTTCCCGGCTTGGATAGAGAGGGAAGCCTGTATACTCCAGCCGAGATCCGAAGGCATTGGCGCATACATGAGCGTATATCGCAATTGTTCCATCCGTCTATGACTTTCAGCATTAGACAAGTAAACCAGAAACCAGCGTCGCACTCTTGTAAAATTCGACGAGCAAATTTGACGGCCCAATTCCGCGCAGCTGGGCAGTGGCGTCGGTGATTGCCGACACGCGGGGACCGAAGAATCGCCCGCAGAGCTTTTTCAACCCTTCTCCAGATTCTTGGCAATGCCCAATCTATCGAGTGCCAAAGTCCCCAAACCACGCACCAAGACTTTCACCGGATGCTGGACATGTCGAGATCGTCGAGTGAAATGCGACGATGAACACCCGCATTGTCGCCGGTGCCGCCGGAGTGGCCGGGCATGCAAGGGGTATGGCCTGCGCCTAGGATGGGACCAGTCCGCCGGCCGCTCCCACCGGCGCCAATTGAGGTCCCTGGCCCCAGATGGGGGCCACGCGCTATCCTCTACTGCTGTATCAGCTTTTTTGACCGAACTAGACGAGTGTGGGGGAGACAACTGTGCGCAGCAACGAGGTCCTTTTTCGGTCTTCTCGGTCTTGTCGGAGTCAAATCCAGACGAAACCGACAATGCGTATCAGCCTTCTTCGTTCGATATACTGATGACCCAAAGGTCTGAGCAGCCTCATGGTGTCGCTTTCAATCCCAATACTGCCCCATCAACCGGGGAAAAAGACAGCGAGCGCGCTTCTCCGACGCCTCTGTTCGCGTCTACTACTACTTCATCCATCAGTAATCCGAGCGAAGAGCTAGGGCGAGGATCCCCAGAGCTGTCGGATCCTATGGAGGACCGAGATGTCCTTCTAATCAGCGACGTGGCCACTCGCCAGAGCCCCGAGGACAAATCCTTTTGGGGGCGCGATATATTCGGTTCGAATCTCCGAAACGCGGGGATTGACGTCTCGCTTTGTACCTACATCAACCCGATCACGCTCCCTAGACCAGAAACCGAGTTGATTCACCACTGGGTCGTCTTCCTGAGTGGAAACATGCTCCTCATCGACACACCGGACAATCCATGTCGAACAGTATTTATGCCGTTGGCGCTGAAGGGCCTTGATGCCGCCCCTAACGAGTCAAATATCCACCTTTCGGTCTTCCACGCCATTTGCGCCGCATCTGCATTCAGTCTTTTCCATCTCCGCCGAGATCCTCGATATCATTCTATTGCCATGCACCATGACCAGCTGGCTTTGCGACATTTACGCGGGAACCTCCAGCGGGCGCGCTGCCTAGACGAGCCCACGCTGGCTGCAGTTCTCACTTGTATCACCGCCGAGGCGATGTCTGGACGTCGCAGCAGGTGGAGAGCGCATGTCGCCGGGTGCCTGGGACTTTTGGAGAATCAGGCCCATGGAGACTGGGTCCGGAACCCAATTGCCTCGAGGCTTTTGCAAAGCTATTTGTCTCTATCATCTCTATGCAGCTTGCGTGTGTCTGAACGGTTGATGTCGTTGCTCAATGGCCCATCGGACCTGCGACATTATCTCGAGCGATCGCATGGTATCACAACACAACTAGTGCAGTTCCTCGCTCAGATAACCACACTCGCAGAAACACAGACACGACTGTCCCCGGGGGAACTCGATCGTCTCGAGCTACAACTATATTTGAACTTTCCATGTCTATCTGACCCGGACGCACCGGGGTCGATCATTGTCCAGCATGCGCTGAACTCATTCTACTATGCCACAATAGTATATTTCCGTCGCAACCTGCGACATGCGCCGTTGTGCGATGTCCAGGATCTTATCGAGAAAGCGATACACGAACTCGAATCCGTTGACTCACTCACCCGCGAAAAGGGCGGGTGCTCTTACAATTGGGCCAGCTTTGTTGTCGCGGCTGACTGCGAGAGACCTGATCTCCAAGATCGTATGCTGGCATTTTTCGATCGCAAAAGTCGTCACGGGATTCAAAATATCAATGTTCTCTGTGAGATTGTCCAAGCTCTATGGAATAGAAGGGCGGCGGCCGGACCGCATGTTGATATCCAATGGCAGGAGCTTGCAAGCGAAGCTGACTTTGACATCATGTTGGTTTGAAATTGTACATAATACTGACAGCCTTGAAAAGGATTCACTTCCATTCCTACTACTTATCCCTTCGCCTCAGACTGTAAATCCTCCATCAACCACCAAGGCTGCTCCACACATGTAACTGCTTGAAACTGAACACAGGAACAGCATCACATCCGAGATTTCCTCGACCTGCGCGGGGCGACCAATGGGTGTCATCTGGAACTGGGCATCCATTGACCCAGATTCAATTTGCTCTTTGATGATCGGCGTGTCCACAAAGCTTGACAAAACTGTTAGTGTGGCCGGTGTCCAAGGATTAAAGGGAATGTACATACCCAGGACAGATAGCATTGATACGAATGCCGTCTTTGGAGTATGCCTTGGCATCCTGCTGTGGCGTCAGCGATGCTCGGCTGCATCATTTGAATACATTTACCATTTTGGTCAGTCCAACAACCGCATGTTTTGCTGCAGTGTAGTGAGGAATACCGAAGGGACCTGGTGGACCACCAATCCCAAACATGGAGGATACGTTGACAATTACTCCTCGGCCCTCGCGAAGACCACGCGATCTATTTTGAGATTAACAAACCCACCGGAGCACATTGAGTCGTTCCTTATGTACTCACTCCTGTGACAGCATCTGCCGGATCAAAGCCCTCTGGCAAAGCCATACTCCTGTTTGGTTGATATCAATGACTTTCCTCCATTCTTCCAAGGACATCTGATGAGTGGAAGTCGGAGTTCCGCTGATTCCAGCGCAGTTGACGCCAATATCGATGCGACCGTATCTTTCGACCGTCTTTTGAACAGCAGTATTGACCGATGATTCATCTGCTACATTCACCTGGAAGATCTCAACGTCCACCGTTGGATACTGACTTTGGATCTCGCTCCGAACATCTTCGAGCAACGAGACGTTCAGATCCAGAAGAGCCAGTCCCTTGATGCCATTGCGGGCCAAGGCGAAGGCAGTGCTCTTGCCGATTCCTAAGAATTACCATTAGAGCCATTCACGCTCACGAGATAGAAACTCCGCTGTACCTGAAGCACCTCCAGTGATGAATGCAATGCCTTGAATTTGAGAGGTCATGTTGAGTTTGTGTAGATGTCTATATTTCTGTTTGTCCTTCCGGCAAACCCCTTTTAAATTACCCGAGAAAATAAATATATCTCATCATGAAAGCGGGTGGTGGGAATATCCAGAACTCCGTGTGGTTGTATACTTGACATACTTCGTACTCGCTCAGCATAAAAGTAAGTTCCGGATCTACGCTGTGGGGCTGTGGGGCTGCTCGCTGTTGGCTTCCCGTTTTGGACTCTTTGGACTTCCTTTGTATACCGACAGCGAGATGACCTTTCTCTATGCTCGGATCTGAGAGAAGCCGAGCTCCCTTTTTCTTTTTCTGGTGTCTTTTTTGGTCAGGGTGGGTGGTACGGGCTCTTCGGGATGTGTTAAAGGGATCTGTCATCCAGACCTCGTCCCAGTTTAAGACAAGAGCGCCATCTAATACATTCCCAAAATTATATTTGGCGACTCAAAATGACACGAACAAATCTGCAAATCGAAAAAGATGCCATCGTTATCGGCGGTGGCTTCGGCGGTTGCAATGCCCTCTACAAGCTCCGCAACCTCGGTCTCTCCGTCAATCTGATCGAAGCCGGAAGTGCCTTTGGTGGTGTGTGGCACTGGAACCGCTACCCAGGTGCTCGGGTGGACAGCGAGATGCCTTCTTATCAATTCAACATCCCTGCTGTGTGGAAGAGTTGGAATTGGTCGCAGCGGTTCCCCGGGGATGAGGAGCTACGCCGCTACTTCCGCCATGTTGACGATGTCTTGGGTCTGAGCAAGGATACCTTGTTCAATACCATTGTCACCCGTGTACAGTATGACTCTTCCACGAGAAGGTGGATTGTTTCCACCAACACGGGGCTACAAGCTACCTGCAAGTACCTCATTGCCGCGACAGGGTCTTCCTACAAGAAGCATTTCCCACAGTTCCAGGGGTTGGATCGGTTTACTGGAAGGCTTGTCCATGCCGCTGACTACCCCAAGTCCCTTGAAATCAAAGGAAAGCGCGTTGGTATTGTCGGAAATGGTGCATCAGGACTGCAGATTGTGCAAGACCTCGCGAAAGAGGACTGTGAGCTGAACGTTTTCATCCGGACCCCATGCTTCGCCATTCCCATGGGGCAGCGAGAGGTCTCCCATGGAGAGTCGGAGATGATGAAAGGCTACTACGATGGTATCTTCGACCGCTGCTATAAATCAATCACTGGCTTCCCTCACAACACCCTCTTTCAATCCGCCCTGCAAGCCTCCCCAGAGGAAAGGAAGATTTTGTTCGACGAGCTTTGGGCTCGAGGCGGGTACAACTTTCTTGTGTCAAACTACTATGACTTCTTGCTGAACGAGAAGGCGAATTCTATCTTCTACGACTATTGGGTGCAGAAGGTGCGGGCTCGCATGACAGATCCTATTAAGATGGACATGGTCGCTCCGCTGAAGCAACACATGCTGGTGGGAACTAAGCGGCCGAGTCTCGAGCAGGACTACTATGAGATGATCGACCGTCCCAATGTCAAACTGCATGATCTGAAACAGTCGCCTATTGTTGAGTTCAGTGCTACCGGGTTGGTTACCAGTGACGGTGCTGGTACAAAGCACCACGATTTGGACGTCGTTATCTGCGCAACTGGATACGATGCTGTCACTGGTAGTCTTTTAGATCTAGGAATCACAGACAAGAATGGCCAGTCACTGAGGGAGAAGTGGAGCAATGGGGTCTTGACTCATCTGGGTCTGATGATTCCCGAAGTCCCCAATTTCTTCATGGTGTATGGCCCTCAAGCGCCTACTTCCTTGGCCAACGGACCTCCTTTCATCGAGATGGAAGTTGACTGGATTTGCGACGTTATCTCGAAGATGAGGAAGGAAGGACTGGACTCGATTCAGCCCACTGAAAAGGCGGCCGAGGCATGGCGCGACCATGTCGTTGTTGTAAGTGAGCATACGTTGTACCCGAAGACCGACTCCTGGTACATGGGATCAAACATCCCCGGGAAGCGACGAGAACCCCTGATCTACCTTGGTGGAATACAACGCTGGTGGCAGAATTGTACAGAGGCTCTGCCCAGTTGGGACGGATTTGCAGTGGCATAGGCAAGATCTCAAGTTGTGTCAATAGATTGACTCGAGCATGGTAAAGTGCCCTCATGCTCTGGAAAATGTAGATATACAACCCTGGAACGACAATCTTTCCAAGGTTAGATTTTATCCGCAACCGATACACGGTCCTTTCGTACATTAGATTTTATCATTCGCTGCCTGTCTATTCTAGCCTGAACCAACCAGGGATCAGTCAGGCACCTTGAACTTTAGACCTCGGAAATATGAGTATCTCGCTATATTCTCACTGTATAGGTTGTGGAAGGTTCCAGGAAATAGATATACTATTCAAACTTTCGCTCACAGAATAGCCAAGGCATTAGGAGGACTCCCAACGGCACCGGGGTAGTTCAGTGGTGACGAAGTAAGCAAGAAGGAGTACTGCTTACTGGCCCGGCAAGCCTCGCCGAGCGCCTTCAGATCCCATAGTTCGCCCAGAGGCATTCCCAGTAGACTCAGACACCACTGGTGCAGCACCAACTCATGCAAAGGCTGCTCAACCCCATCAATAATAGGTGGCATGGCTTCCACAGCCATGTTATCACTAACAACAGCCGCAAAACGCTGATTCCACAGCCAGCGCGCCATCTCCTTGCTTCCCTCGATTCCGCACATCTGACCCGTACTCATCGCAGCCCCTTGCTCCGCCCCGCTCATCTGACCCAGTGCCTCGGTTACGCCAAACCGGATCAGTAGAATATCGCCTGGTTGGAATACCAGGCCTTGCCATGCAGCTGCGGCTTCCAACTCTTCTTTCCCGATGCGGAAGCTGGAGAACTGGTCGTAGTGCAGTTCCCGAGACTCCGCGTAACTTTTGAAGTCAATGAGCACGCCCCGCCCGGTCACACAGCCTCGCTGATGCCAGTCTGGTTTTCTGCGTTAGCCTTTAGTGGAATGGCGTCGTGGAAAAGGCTCTCTTACGGTCCAGGGTTGGGAGCTGATTGGCAGGATCAGGCGCCTGGAGGGCTTCGATCGTTGGCCTGGTTCCATTGTAGGTGAGCTGGGTTGGAATGTGCATGAAATGAGCTGGTTGAAATGCAAATCAATATCTTTCTGGAAGGTGATGACGTGATGACACATACTGAGGCTGTCCCACTGGCTGCTGGCTTGAGTATTGAACTCGACCTATCCATCCCGTGGTGAGCAATGTGCATATGGAATATCGAGGGGAGTACTCCGTAGATCACACACTTCATCGTCGAAACCATACTGGCAGTTGGAATTTTGATCTTCCATTTTGAAGACATTGTGGCAAAGACTCTTTCGAAAGAAACCAGGGATTTTGATGCTTCCAATGGGCCAACTGGCAGGGTCAGACTTCAAGTAGGCGATTGTGGTTTCGGGAGCATTCACTTTAGAGATATAGATATGCCTTGACGCACTTCTTTGGCTGCATTCTTGATGATCTCTGGAGTGATCAGATTCAAGGTGCCGTAGATATCCTTTTCGCCGTTCTTGTCGAAGACACCCCAGGCGCAGCCTGAGGGCATCCCCTCCACAGGGGGCAGGTCATCAAAGTTTGGGGGCAGCATTGTGACGAACGCAGTGGATCTGTAGAAGATTCCAATGTAATTGAAATAATAATAATAATAATAATAATAATAATAATAATAATAATAATAATAATAATAATAATAATAATAATAACAATAATAATGGTAGTAGTAGTAGTATTGAAGGAAAGGTGGAGGTGCTCGCCGTCAACTTCCTCAAGACTGTGTGGGTCGGAGGAGTTGAATCTTCCGAGGATCGCGAGGTATTGAAGAAAACAGAAAACATCCCGATACGCCTTCGGTTATGTTTACATTAATCGCCGTGTCCTACCTAGACTCAGGATTAAGTATGCAAGAAGAAAGGCACTCTATCCTCAGCCACATCTGACCATGTCTCTACAGTACGATGTTGAATTTGCAAAGGAAGCTGCTCCTGTTCTACAACGCCTTGTCCATATCCCCAAACCAGCGGTCAACGATGTCTCCACGAGACGTGCCATGCTCAATGCCATGACCAGCGAAGATATCAGTGTACCCGATGATGTCGAACATGTGGTTCACAGCGTCGCTGGGCCAGATGGCCACAACGTGCCCGTCTACCACTTTCGTAAGAAGGTGCCACCTCGTGAAGGGGGAGAGCCAGCCATTGTTCACATCCATGGTGGAGGCTACATCGCTCTCAGTGCAGCCAGATGCGCAATGCCCCACGGAGCATCGGTATCTCAAACCGGCGTTCAGATCTTGAGCATCGACTACCGTCTAGCACCGGAGAACCCGTACCCTGTGCCGCTGGATGATTGCTGGGCCGTCCTGCAATGGATCCACAGTAATGCAGAGAGACTGTCAATCAACCCAGCTCGCATTGCAGTCATGGGCGAGAGCGCCGGAGGTGGCTTGGCAGCTGCCCTCACTCTGTTGGCGCGAGATCGAGCGTTGTCGCCGCCACTGGCGAAGCAGATTCTGGTGTACCCTATGTTAGATGATCGGACCAAGACCAACCTTGCGGGAAGTCTTGTCTTTTGGAACGAACATGACAATATCACGGGCTGGAATGCGTATCTGGGACCGGAGGCAGGTAGCGACGGGATTGTTTCCTATGCCTCACCTGCTCGGGTTGAGAGCGTGGAGGGGCTACCTCCGCTGTATCTCGACTGTCCTCAGCTTGATATCTTTGTGCACGAGGCAATAGAGTACGCGCGCCGGTTTGTGGCTGCCCACATCCCCACTGAATGCCACATTTATCCCGGTCTGCCGCATGGCTTTGAGGCAGTGGCAACCAACATCAGTGTCACTCGGCAGGCTATCAGTAATCGCTATAAGGCAATGTCTAGTTTTTGAATTAGATGTCTGGGTTTCTGCCCAGGTGTATGGTTTATGCCGGAACTGAGTATATGGCGTAAAGCATCGTCGTATTCCACCAGACGGTCTCGTAATCTCGGAATCAGTACCACCCGGTTGTATTCGGCCAAACCCGATACCTGCCAGGTGGGCAAGTGAAGGTACTTGGGCCTGCCTAGTATGGACCGAGGCCATTTGACCCGCATAATGTATATATGCAAGGGTCCCTCGCTTCATCGCAGGATCGGACTCATCGGTACTCCGTACATCTGAAATCCGATTCAATCATTTCGCCAAAATGACATCCATCCCTAGACCAAGCCAGGAGACGGTTCACAGGCTTATGAGGGACCAAGTTGCCCTTGTCACCGGGGCAGCCAGAGGAATCGGCTTCTCAACGGCATTCCTTCTGGCACAACATGGCGCGCGGGTGGTGCTAGTCGATGTGCGAGAGGAGGAGCTCAAGGCGGCCTGCGCCAAAATCGGGCCCCGGTCGACATACCAGGTCTGCGACGTTAGTGACTGGGATCAACAAGTGGAATTGTTCCAGCATGTATCGAGTGCGATCGGGCCGATTCATCTGCTGGTCTGCAATGCAGCCATCAATCCCGAAATCGCACTTCTGCAGGCATCCGACGCGCAGCAGCACGCGCAGATGAAGGCGCAGGTACGCTACAACTACCTAGCCGAGGAGCGCGATGGGCGGGACGGCAAATGCCGGCGGCCGCCGACGACAGTGGTGGACGTCAATTTGCACTCGGTGATCTTCGGATTGAAACTGGGGATCCAGCACCTGAAGAAGCACGGCCGGATTGTGGTGGTGGGATCTGCGGGTTCGTACGTGCCGATCCCCTCCCAGCCCCTTTATTCCGCCAGTAAGCACGCGGTGCTCGGGTTGGTACGCAGCACGGCGCAGACGGAGGAGGTGGCCCGAACCGGGGTCTCCATTTCCTGGATCGCACCGTGGCTGACGATGACCTCGATGGTGGAGGGATTACAGGCGACACGGGACGGGAGCCTGCAAAGTTCACCTGATGACGTCGCGTGGGCCATTCTTGCGGCTAGTGCGGCAGAGGCGCCGAATGGCAAGGGGTATTGGGTGCAAGGCTCTGCAATCAGCGAAGTGGAGGGGGCTTACGGGGGAGGTGGCGGGTCAATTAATTTGCCCAGAGAACCGGTTCTAGGGTTTAACCTCGGGATCCGTGGACCCTGATGCTTGGTCTTCCGAGCTTGTGCGTCAGTACGGAGTATACAAGCACAATCATTTTGCTCCAATCGTCCATCCACGGGGTGTTCCCAATCTTGAAAAGGTACTCCGTAATTCTGTCAACAAAAGTGTGAATTGGGTTGAGCCAAGATCCGCCACTGTGCTATATTTAACACTAGCCTTACCTGAGTGCATTATGGTGGCGGCCCCTGCGTCTGCATATCCCAGATGAGAAAGACCAGTAAAGATCAGTAATCAGCAAGTCACCATTTGTAATAGTCCGGAGTACCGAGTATACTTGTTCCTTGTCGCGTACGGAGTAAATCTCAGCATCTCCCAGTTGTGTTTGCGCTATGTCGACGCTAACAGGGACTTACCTAAGGATCTCGGGAAAAATCGAATCTCCACCGATGGGCCTCGACCGCACTGATTTGACAGATGAGACATGACCGTGAGTGTATAAAGAGTGTTCAATTGATATTCGTAGTGATGAAAGAAATAATAAAAAGCAGAGTTGAAAGCAGACATCCATATAATTTTCCAACATAATGTCTTCCCCCGATGTTTTTGTATAGTCCTCGCAAGATAAACTCAAGTAAACACTGCGGGGAACATGTGGACGTTGATACTAGCCCGATCGGGGGAGTCAGCTGACTTGGAGCAATCCTTGATTTGCCCTCATTTCCTTCATCGTGAGCTACTTTGTATCTTCTCGTGACTCTATTCCCCAAGTTTCCCAAGTCTGGGCTTGTGTGAGCTTCCACTGGAAGTGCTGATCATCCTACAGTCGCATGTCCCTTTTGCAACTATAACCATCTGACGGGTCTACTAGCACGCTAAGGCCATTTAGGTCTGGAGGCTGAGCTCGGAGGGTTCTTATCTCTTCTCGTTCGGGGTTCCTTTTTTTCGTGACTCTTACTCTCCCCCGCTTCCCTCCGGGGGTAGTAGAATACTCCCTTGTGTGTGTTCTTTACTTTTTTTCTTTGCCTTACTTTTGCCTTCTTTTTCTTCTCCCGTTTGCGGTTCGGTCGAGTCACTCCCCCTCCCCAAAACGTTTGCCGCCGAGTCCGGCCACAATCACCATGTTTCAAGATGCAAACAGGGAATGTACACACAAAGAGGTGGACGCTCTTTCAATAGACGATCTACCTTCCATAATTAATCCCGAGTCGCCACTGCCGTCCCTGCAGATTCGCACCGATCTCCCCAGTATTCGTCCGTCCAGTTCGCGAGACTCCGAACATTCCTATGCCTCGCTCTCCGGCAGTTATCCTCGTCGTACTCCGAGTCTGCGCGCCCTCATCGCCCCCTTATCCAGTGCTGGGTCCCTGTCCCCGGCGTCGATTATGTCCTCGCCCCAATTGAATGCTATGGGCGATATCACACCTCTGCCATCCCCGATCGGAGGCGCCTCACCCTGGCGGAGATCTGATTTACCCTCGTTGTCGCGCTCTTCATCAATAGCGTCACGGAGTGGATCCAGCCTGCGCCTGAGTGATTCGTCACAAATGCTTGGCCCGCCCGTCATGTCCCGCCCGCGCAGCAGACCTTACCCAGGACTCGATCCGGAGGAATCCCCCGTGGCCAACCGCCACCGTCACGAGTCGCCCACCAAGCACTCCCATTCGCGCAATCGCAGTCTGAGTGATTACGCACCACCCGGACGGGTCACGGTCCCTCCCCGTCCGATCGCAGTATCGGGGAATGCTGGGCTTGGCATTGCCTCGTCATCGAGCACAGACTCCAAGTCCAACGGGTTGCATCGCGAACAATACCTTGCGGTCCATCGCGGCATTGCACTGCCGACCGTTCGTCCCCCGAGCCCACCCCGCAGCAGTGGCAGCGGGTATAGCGATAATGAACCTGTCATCCGTCACCCAGCGCCCTTATCCGCGCCCCAGGAGGTCTACTCGGTCCGTTCGGTCCGCACCCAGCAGGCCCGTATATACCAGAAGATTCGAGTGCTGGGTCAGGGCACTTTCAGTCAAGTGAGCTTGGCTGCGCGTGTGGAAGCTGTTCCGGAAATCCCTCTATCCCCGCAATCAGATGGAGGAACTGCATTCCACGGAACGGTCAACACCCAGAAGCTGGTTGCGGTCAAGGTCATTGAACATGGTCCCGCTGGAGGTGCAGACGAGGGCCGCCTCGAAGTCTCCCTCAAGCGCGAAGTCGAGATATTGAAATCGGTCAATCACCCTTCCCTTGTCCAGCTGAAGGCATTCGGGAGCGACGAGAAGCGCGCGCTGCTAGTTTTGGACTATTGCCCCGGCGGCGACCTCTTTGAGTTTGCGACTTCAGGCGCTCCGCCCATGTCCCCGGGACTGATTCGCCGTATCTTCTCTGAATTGGTCGGTGCCGTGCGCTATCTTCACTCCCATTATATTGTTCACCGGGACATCAAGTTAGAAAGTGAGTCGTTGTCTTGCCCACGCTGGCAGGCCATGCGCTAACGTTCATTTCAAGATGTTCTGCTCACTATGCCCGCTCATGTCATGGATGACGTGAAAGACTGGAGCACCTACGACCGCGCCGTGGTCACCCTCAGTGATCTTGGATTATCCAGACGCATTCCAGAACCCCCGGAGAGCCCGCTTTTGCAAACCCGCTGCGGTAGTGAAGATTACGCCGCCCCGGAGATCCTCATGGGCCAATCATACGACGGGCGTGCCACCGACGCCTGGGCTCTCGGTGTCTTGCTCTATGCTATCATGGAGAACCGACTACCCTTCGACGTCCTCCCCGGCACCCGTGGTGATCCCGCCAAGCTTCGCGCCCGAACCCCTCATCGCATCGCACGCTGCGAATGGGCGTGGTACCGATATGCGGACGAGGACGAGGAGTGGGACCCCGAGAAGGGCAAGGGCCTGGACGGGGCTCGTGATTGCGTGGAAGGGCTCCTCAAGCGTAACACGAGACGCAAGGGCTTGGATGAGATCGTCGCCATGGAATGGGTGCGCGATGCCATCAACGTGCCCGAACTGAAGCGAGGCGACAAAGAAGTGCCGTAGAGCGGGTCTCCAGCGCACACATTTCTCATCTCGCGCCTTTGCATTTCCATTCTATTTCTATTTCTATTTCTATTTTCCTTGCATCATGCGCTGTCTGCTTGTCGCTTCTCTTCCTGATACACTACATCTTTTGACTACTCACGAGCCATAATGGCCCCCTGGGTCATTTTGTTAAGTAATGAATTCTACGTTTTTATGGCTAGACCAATCTTATACCCTTCCAATCTTATGCACCTTTCACCACAAGAGCGATAGATGATCAATCTCGATCATTGCGATGGAGTAGGCAGTGACTTCCCCTGGGACAGTGCTCAATTACGGAAGACGATGTGTATAGCTGAGCTTGGAACCTGTGCGCAATTGACAGTTGATCTCACTGAAAATCTGTTCTCATCTTGTCTCTGATTTGATTCCTCGAATATGCGCTCTCGTGGGATCTGTCACTTTTGAAGTCTGATCTATAGTTCCCTCAGATTCGTCCACTCTCGTCTCTTTCTTCATCTTTCTTCTCCGATTTGACGTCAGCTACTCCGTATTTGAACCGGATTGCATATATCAGCTAAAATCAAAAAAGCTTTACTCACATGCGACGGAGCTGATTCGCCATACGAGCGCCCTAACTGGGGCTGTGCGGACAGGAGCCTATCGTCGTCCAGCGGGGCCGAGTTGATCAACGCCCGCATGCTTTCTATGCAAATCAGAGCGAGAAACCTGCATTGCTCCTGCATCCCCGTCAGCTTGGTCCTGAGAGGCCTCGGTAAATGAGATTCGCCGGTTTTTCCTTTTGATTGTGCAGTACTCCGTACTCCGTACTATACCACATCATCCCAGTCAGCATGGGTTTTGGTCGCTCAAAACACCCAAGGAGACCGGCTTCGCCAGAGCCACCTCCAAAACCACCGCGCCCGCAAAGCTCGCATCAGCGATCAGAGCACAAACCACGGGCATCGCATCGTCAGTCCAATTCTCTGTACCTTACGCAGCCAGGTGCAAATTCGGTCAATACTTTCCATGCCTCACCGCCAGTTGCACATCATCAAAATGTCCCAATGTCCATGGTACATCTGCCATTGCCAGTCTCGTCGCCATATCTTGCTCCTGCTACACATGGTGGTGTCAGCAGTGCTCCACCAGCATGTGCGTCGCAGTCACCCCAGAAGCTATCTAAATGGAAATCATATACGAATCTCAACCAATCAATGACCCAACTCGTATCTCACACCGTCGACAAAACCAATGCAACCATTCAGGAACTGGAAAGGCTGGTACAGTACAGCTTGGTCGGAGGCGCAAACGTCAATGAGGCCACAAGTCGCCTTTTGGACCAAGTTATTACCTCCATTGATCTGGGGTCTTTTTGCGGCAAGGAAAACGAGCTCAGTGGGTAATTTGAGAATGGCCATCGATGCAGTGTGCTAATCAACGAGTGAATTACAGTCGCAGCGTGCGCCATTCCTTCCCAGTCAGGGGAAAAGAAAGACCGTCGATCCCAGCGTCACAGCAAGAAACCCACAGGCTCTGTGGACTATTTCTCCAAAGTGTACCTCTATGCCAACTCGCGACTTCCAGCTCAACTTATGCCGCTCAAATTGTACGTGGGCATCCATAAACGCAGGGCAAAAGCTAGTGTACTCACCTTCCCATAGTTACCTTCCCACATATCCCCTTCTCCAACTGGCCGCCAAATACTCGCGCCGAGTCTACGACAAACCGTCTGGGCGGGAAAAGCATTCCTATGTGAACTCTGATTGGCGCCAGGGGACCAAGGCGATGGTTGTGAAATCGCTTCCAATAGATGACATGAACACAATTGTCTTCGCCATTCGAGGCACTCAAAGTTTTGTGGACTGGGCCGTGAATGTCCACACGGCACCAACCTCCCCGCATGGATTCTTGGATGATCCAACAAACTGTTGCCACTCGGGGTTCCTCACTGTAGCACGAAAGATGGTTGCACCCGTTGCGGCTCGTCTCCGCAGCCTTCTCGAAGAAGACCCCAGCCGTATGTCTTACTCGCTGATTTTCACTGGCCATTCCGCAGGCGGTGCCGTCGCCAGTCTACTTTATCTACACCTCATCTCCGAGTCGCCTGCTGTGCAGTCGGAGCTCACTCATCTTCGTGGTTGTTTCAAACGCATCCACTGCATCACGTTCGGTGCCCCGCCCATTTCCATCCGTCCTTTGCAGCCCTTCAACTGTGTCAATGGGTCCAGATCAATGTTCTTTGCTTTCATTAATGAGGGAGATCCGGTGGCTCGCGCCGACAAGGGTTATTTTCTTTCCCTGCTCGACTTGTATGTCACACCGGCGCCGGGCTCGTTATTGACCTTGTACGACCGGAAGAACACCTCTACCCCCAGTTATTGGAGAATACCTGCCTCCACCCTCTCACTAGCAGGTAGGCTTGTTGTTCTTCGCTCACGGGATTCTTGGAATGGTCGACCCATGGCTATCTCATCACTTGGTTCAGAAAACCCCGCTGCTCTCCCACCGCGAGAGAATGTTGACGCTTTTGGTCTCGTGGATGCCGATCTCAAGGGTGTCTTATTTGGAGACCCAGTCATGCATTTCATGGATATCTATTCTCGGCGTATCGATGCTTTGGCTACTGACGCCCAGGGCAGGCAATCATGACCTCGCTTGTCCGGCATCTACATCACGACCTGAACACGCGTGCAGTTCTTTATCAAAATTTAAATACCCCATTGTTGTGTTCTTCATTCAAATTTTTCTAGGGTTTTTCCTGTTCCAATTTTTCTCTTGTATCTGTACTAGGAATAGTACTTACCCACTGTCTCTTGTCCAAACTCGGGCTTTTTCACTTAGATGGGTGTGATCATGAACACACTGACACCCATAAACAATGAGAACAATGACACAAAGAAACAAAGAGTCAGCTAAGCTGATCTCCTGAAGACAGAATCTGCATCCTTCAATGCCTTTGTTTCCCAGGTAGAGTTTGATGATTTCTATAAATTGGTACCCCAACACCAACACAGATGATCGATAGCTGGTCTACCTAGAATAACTTCAACATTTGTGTACTGCCCCAAAATTTTCAAGTTTGGTGGTATTAGTCCTCATCCCTAACCTAAAGCACTAATCATCGAACTACGACACTCTTTCAAATATGTGTATTCAACTTTACGAAGTGTGGGTGCTCTGTGGATGCGTCTGCTCTGGACCAGTCGCGCGATGTACAGAGTTCGGCATACCTCGTCGGAAACGAAAGTACTGCTCTGGAATCCCTCAAGGAGTGAGTCGTCTGCGCGTACTTGGAAGCCACGAAGAAAGAATTGTCGAAAAGGCCGGGATGTGCTTCCGGTGCTCGAGGGATTTGTATCAGGAGATGTGGGCGCTTCGATGGAATTGGTCCTCTCGTCAAAGTGAGGAGTGGGCAGCGGAGCAAAAGAGACTTGGAAAGAAAGAGCCTTGAGTACTGAACTGATTAGCCACTTGTATGTCCAGACGATGTGGTGAGTTTAACCTACAGCTTCAAAGCCTAGATATCCTCAATTTTCTTTGCATTCCATTCGCAGCCCTCCCAAATGTTGTCCTGGGTTAAGCTTGTAGCTCAATTCTTATATGGATAAAATCACAGAGTCATGGAAGGGAAGCCGAGGTTGAAAGCCAATGGTATCCATTCTAGAGCATCCAGGTTTGCACATTGAGGATAGGTAGATATTCGCGGATGGGTTCTCTGCTTGCCCACGAGGACTACCTGGGCAATTCATGCACTGGCCAGGCTTCCAGGGGACGTGCGGACCGTTCATTCTTATAGACTTGACAGGAGCAGCCTTGGAACTGAGCTCACCAGAATTCAAATGAATACTTCTTCCGGTCAATTGAACGGGGGTATAAAGAGGTAGAATTTAGCCTACTGGTGGTAACTTCTATAGAAATTCCAACATAAATGGCCACTGAAATCACCAAGTGGAGCGACTCTGGCTCCAAGCCCGGACAAACTCCTTCTTGTCTTTGACACCCAGTCCAACACGCTTCACACGACCCAGGCGGGCAAGGGAGTCTGCCACATTGCCGAGCAGCGCCAATTCACTGGCTGAACTGTGCTCTGTGTCGCTTTGGTCCAGGGTGTCCAAATAATTCGTGTTGTATGTCGACTTCCGAGTCGACCGCGCAGGTGGCACATCCGCTGCATTTTGACTAGCGGTGACACTCTCGGCGATGCGCACTTTGATACAATGTGTCGGCTTGCTGAGTAGGGTCCACAGCAAGCTGAAGTAACTGCCGGGCAGAGGAGTCACAATGTCCATGGGCGTATAGCGCAGGCTGACGGGGAAGATCTTGGTCTGGGGCGAGACACTCAATAGCGAGTTACCGAGAGCCAAAATTCCCCGACCGTTTGTGGTGGTACATTCTGGGAACAAAACAATGGGACGGTTCGGGTGTTTCTCAACGAGTGTTGCAACATCCACCATTCGCGCACCGGGACCAGGCTCGGTCGATGGAGTAGCAAAAGCTCGCAAAACGGCCCGTAGAAGAGAAATGCGCTCCACTTGGCGGGTGTTGGGGTAAGAAGCTGTGAAGATCGGGTCGAAGATGGCTGCCAGATATATCGCGTCAATGGGAGATGTGAAAGACGAGGCGATAACGGAGCCGGGTTGCGGCAAGCGAGCTTGCTGCTGCTTTAATGATCTAGTCACAGCGATTAATCGTCAGTCGAAGTTTCTCTGTCGTGGGGTAAAGTAGCACGTACCCTTTGCGCACTCCGTCCACTTGCAAATCAACCCACCAGATGCTGGGAACTCCAAGTATACACCACAAGGCGGCCTTCTTGCCCAACGAGCCGATCGGAAGCCATTGTAAGATCAGGAAATAGCTTAGAGTCACAAAGATGAATAACGGAAGGCGGAAGCAGAACAAAAAAACGCGCAGGGGCGCTTGAAGACCCAGAGAATCGCCAGGAATTGGGAGGAAGGGCGCAATACCAGACCCTGCTGACCGTCAGCCCGATTGCTGGAGGGGTTCCAAGGTTGGGACAAATGTTGGGAACTTATTGTACCTCGATCTCGAAATTGGGAGTATCTCTCCATCTTGCTGTATTTCGCGCTCAATCAATGAAACACCGTCCAGCTACTCTGAGATTCCGGTGTGCGATTCGCGGGATATTTCCCAAAGTTGCGACTTCAGCTCGGGGCGTATTCGAGAAATGCTGACAATCCGGAGAAACAGATAGCCAGTTGGAGATGTGATCTTCACATGCTGAAAGCTGCCACGTGACATTCATGCCTGAGGCGAAGATCTCCACTGCGTCATCGGTGACTTTTTTAGAAGTACTAAGACAGCATAGCTTTGAATTTCATGAAGCTCATGGTATTTGAGCAAATGTAAATATATAAGACTATATGCAGAAGATTTGAGAGAAAACCCCTCAATGTAAGCAAAGCTATAAGTAATATACAAGGCCCACCTGTGGACCGATCACGCTCTATCATCCTCATCGTAATCCTCCACCACAAATTCTGGTGTTGGATTTGGAGGTAACTTGAAAAACCATATGGCCACCCCAACCAAGCAGAATAGACTGCTGGTCATCATCCACGCCAAACCAATCCAGAACCCGCCGAGGCGCAAACCAAGCTGGAAGACAGTAGTGATAGTCAAACTCGCAATGACGTTACCAAGCGACTGAATAATCTCAATGGCGGTAAACAGGCGAGCAGTTTCATCGCGTTCCACGAGAGTAGTGATGATCGAACGCACTAGAAACAGGAAGCCCGATCCCGAGGTTTGGACAATCATGCTAGGAATCACAGCGGCGAGGGATGGCGAAAGACCAATGCCAAGGGTTCCGATCGTCAAACAGACAATACTCCCCCGGGCAAGCCAGAGATCTCGCTCCGTTGCCGAGCGGCGGGGGCTCAGGACTCGGTTTTTCAGATAAGGAAGCCCGAACAAGAATAACGGGATGGAGACTATAGGGCGACATGCCACTAGAAAGTTAGACTCGGCTAATGTCCAGAGGTAGCGAATCGAAATATATTGAGCCAGGAACCAGGATGAGCCTCGACTCAGGCGGTAGACCAAGAAAGCGGTCAGAAGGAGAAGCACTTGCTTGCGGCCTAGAATGAACAAGTACGGTTTCAGATAAAACCGGTAGTTCGCGCGAATCTTGGTCAAAAAGGATTGGTGTGTGTAAGATGGAATGCTCCACGATGGAGCTTCATTTGCACGATCACCATTGATATCAGGTTCGTCATGATATCTATCATCTGCACTGGATTCGTTGAGATCGAGCTTTGGCTCGTTCTCGCCTCTCAACTCTGACATCTCAACATGAGGTTGTTCAGGCTCCCGAGATGGCAGTGCGTGTTTCGTTTCCGGAAGTACGAGGATGAGCATCATCCCACTCATCACGATGCCAAATCCAATTACCAATGGTATCCAGGGGTTCAAGCTCATTAAATAGGAGCTCACGGCGGTCGACACGAGTTCGGCCCCCATCGACACGATAGCAAATTGAAAGAAGATATCGGCTCTGTGGTGTGATGTGGTCAGCATCTGCATTGTATGAAAATTGTCACTCATCAGGTATATGATCTCACCTCTCCGATTCGGTGGTCACATCGGCCATCATGGTCCAGATGATCGCAAACGCCACCACTGGACCACCCCCGAGCAACCAAGTCAAGGCAGTGAGCCAGAGCGTGCGCAGTGGGAAGACATCCGAGAACCACAAGATAACCAGGGTCAAGATGGTGTTCAAACCAAACCCCGGGAGAGACAAAGCAAGTGTAGATTTGCGACCCCGCCGGTCTGCCAGCAGACCATAGGGAATTGCAAGGAGGGCACATATTGTTCCGTCAAAGAACATGTGGTACCCTTTGACCGCCGCCAGCTCAGCCTGCACCTCGGCGATCTTGCAGAGGGACTCCGGCACTTGTCCGTCGACCCCAATTTTTGTCGGATCGGCATTCAGGTAATGTTGGCGACACGCGATCGCCTCCATGATCCGCACCATGGGGCCTTCGAGGAAAGCAAAGCCAACTTCCACGGCGAGGATCATGGAGAACAAGATCACCTTGAAGCGGAAGCTGATTGAGCTGGCGGGGGTGGCCTCCACTTTATGGCTGCCAATACTCGGTTTGGAAGGGACATGGCGATGAGCTGGACCGGGGTCGTTTGCGTCGAGGAATGGCTCGTCTTCGCGGTCCTCATTGAGAGGATCATGACGTAGCATGTTGGGTCATGCCGTCCTATATATAAAGCGAAGGGATTGAAACAGAATCAACAGAGACAAAGGAGGGGAAATGTTTAGATCATGATGAAAGAAAGTGTCAGAGTTCGGAAGTGTCAGCCTCACGTTACAGAATGACCCTTTGCCAATCGTCGTAAGCGGATTCGGCACGGGTCTTGGCACTAGGGGGTTAGGGGTAAAGCGGGTTATTCTTATTTCCGCCGATCACCGTATTTCTATGCGGAACCCGGGAATATTCTATAAATATAAATTTGTACATCTTGTCACAGTGTTCCAGAACACCTGGGCACTAGATAAATCCAGCTTCCTCAAACAGACTACCTCGAACTTGGACCACCGCCGATACCTCCAAAATGAATTCATAAAGAATCACCACGTTAGTCAGTACATGGCCCAAAGTGGCCACCGGAGCATCGGTGGTGTCTTCCGAGTTGGAGGCGTCCTCGGGAGGTGGTGGATCGGCGGAAGCAGGCGGGAAAGGCGTGGCAAGGCGCTGACGAAGAGCCTCGGCGACAACGGTCCGGGCGTTGGATGACTCGCGCGAATCACCCGGGGCGTTAGACGATCCGTCCCGATCCAAATTGTTTATCTCGTTAGGGTTGGGTGGGTACGGGGACCGACCGCGGGAAACCGGTGTACCGATGTCTTGTGATCCGGGGAAGGCCGGCCGCGGTCGCTCTTTCGAGGGTTTGGGGGACTCTGAGGATTGGTCGGGGGTCTGTGGACGATCGCCTTGGTGTAGGAGTTCGCGCCGAGCAGCGACTAGGACATTGAAGTCGGGCAGTTCACGCTGCCATTGGTGAATCTGGTTCACAAGTTTTTGCAGCATTGCGGTCAAGGTGGGAGAAGCTGTGGCCGGCCAAGTCGGTGTTTGGTAAGCTCGATTGATGTGTTCCATGTTGCCATCAGTCTCAGACGACGGCGTATTATACTGATTTGGGTCAACTAGCACCCATCCGTCCAGGGAAAAGAGATGAGATGACACCAGGCTCATGAAGACGCCTGTGAGCGCCAGGTTGACAATGACACTGTTTGTGAAAAAGGAGTCCAGGCAACCCAATAGGGCTTGCACGATGGGGTCGTCTTGCTGGATTGCTAGAGGTAGATGTATGGTTTCATCGTCTTCTTCCATCGAAGGCACGGGTAGACACAAGCGGGACTCTAGGACCCATGTTGCATCTGCAACATAATTGTCATAAGACTCGTTCAGCGTGGGATCATCAACGAGAGATGTTCCCATAGCCAAAAGTTGCTCGAGTTCGAAGTTCAAGGCACCAACCGGACGCTGCTGCGCAGGCTGGAAAGGAACTGTATGGATCAGTGCCCGCGCAAAGGGGTGGTGCCTTTGAAGAACGGTAGTCAGGAGGCGTAAAGTAGCCAGTACGGTTTGACGGTTGGAAGACTGAAGCCCTAGGAGGGAGAGGTCACGCAGATTAAACAATGAAGGGGATGGCTGGGCTGCCTCTGAGGCTAGTGCGGCCAACACATTGAGTGATTTTCGACGACTGGCCGACATGTCCATCTGTTCCTCGGGTCTAGGAGACGATGCTAGCAGGAAATGCAAGATCCGGTGAACCAGCTCGCCTTGATCGATGGAGTCCAGTATGCGACACATGTATGTCAATACGGCTGCGGTCGATCCGCCAGCAACATCTGATGATTCTAATAATGAGGGGTATCTGGTCTCATTAGTGATGGATCCTCAAGAGGCTTCAAAGTGCACCCACAGCAATTGCTCTAAAAACAGCACCTGAAAGTGGTCCAGCAGAGTGTCGTTCACTTCAACGGACTTGCAGTGATCAATAGTGTCCTGCCAGAACAGCAAATATGACATGAATGCTTCCATCGCTTGTCCTAATGTTGGCTGCAATGCCGTCTCTTGTTTGGCATGGTCGGATAAGACAACAATGTGAGGGACATTCTCGTCAGGGGTAAACGATAGACTGAACTCAATCAGTATAGTGCAAAACAACGGTGTCTGGAATCAGAACTTACTGCCCGAGTTGACTGTACAATGCACCGAGTCCGGTAGCCATGAGCGTAGCCAGATCACTCTCAATCAGCCACTTCTCTAGGTTCTTTGAGCGCGACGCGGTCTCGATGAGGTAGAGCAATCCCGTGCGTGCAAAGTCGCCGGCACGTCCCTCGCTATGGACATAGTCGACCAACAGATAGAATAGTGGGAACTCATCCTTTCTGGTGGCACCTGCAAATTCTGTCCCGCTTGGGGCCTGTGACTCGTTATCCTGGGCAACCGGTGCCGCCCGAGGTACGAACCACGCGGGTAGGATAACTGGCTGGAGACGAATGTTGTTTGCGATTCCGAAGAGCAATTCGACAAGGCGACTTTCAATCTCATCGGAAGGCTTCTCCGCACGACGGACCAGATCTACCAGCGCTCGGGCGAAGAGTCGGTTATCCACGACGCCGTCCACCTCTGCGTCGATCAGGGTATTGAAGAAGATCGTGGCCGATCTAAGAACACCGTCATCGTAGAACGAAAGAGCGAGCTTGGTGACGGTGACAAAGACTTGGGAAGAGGCTGCATAGGCGACACAGGGGTGTGGTGCGGGCCCGCGGGATTCTTCACTCAGGATGGAGTTGAGGCGTTCGATATAAGCTCGCGCGTGTGCTACCGATTGTTCGCCAGAAGGAGTATTGGTAGAGCGCCATATTTGCTTCCAAGGAATCAGTCAATTTGAAACCCCGCGGGGTTCGGGGGCGGACGTTACCTGGAGAGCATTGCAGGCGCGCTTAAAAGCAGTCAATCGTTCTGTAGGGGAGGTGACTTTGGACTTGGACAGCGCGCGTGAGCCGCCGATCAGACGAGACCACTAATATGAATGAGTATATATGCCATGCGAAAAGTAAGGGGTACATACGAAGTCCATTCTCTCACAGCATGATCTTGCGAGAGTGACGGGGTCGAGGGTTGGGTGGAGACATTGTTTATCGCGTTGATCGCCGCGCCTTAGCGCACCACCCTCGACTTTGAGATGTACCACATCAGTCGGAATTGATATACCTCACTGGGGGTTGTTATTGGTAGATTTAAATTCTTGCTATATATGTACTAGTTCCGTATATGCAGGCCACTTCTTATGTATAACTAAATGACCGTATGGCCAGGGTGGATTTATAGTTGGACTAATTAACTAGGCATGATCTAGCTCATGTATTGAAGAGAGCTCTCGAGACACAAAGTCCCAAGAGGAAAGATATTCACAGAGAATGCGCTCCTGGATTTGATCCCCCCCCACCGAGTAACGCCTGGTAAAAACAAGGAAATAGGAAAAAGAAATCAACAAGCAGATATAAGTGGTCCCCTCCATGCGCCGAATCCCGATCCCATCTAGGACGTCGTCAAATCATTTCCGGGGTGAGTGTGAGTTCAATCACTCTCCTCCTTGGGTCGCCTCCCCCCACGCTTCCGGCGACCTTCATTTTGGTCGCTGCCGTCGTCCTCATGCTTTCGGCCCGCGGGTTGGTCGGGAACCTTGGCAATGATGTCGGCGAGGAAATCTAACACCTCGTCTTTAGCGACGGCTTGTTTTAGGTGGGAGGCGGTGACACGTTTTGAGTTGCGGTCCTTGGCTTCTTGAGCGGCCTTGGTGACGAGAGAGATCATGAAGAGTTCGAGGGCCTTGGCTATAGGGACAGTCAGCAAGTGTTCGGGATTCACATTCAGGATTGGAAGGATATTGCGCGTCCGGATACGCGATGTAGATACATACACACAGCGATAGGGGTCACTTGGGCCACCTTGCCCACATCCTCGTCGGCCTGCATGATGCGCTTGATGCGCGCGACGGGGAACTTGGTCTTGACCTCGATCCCCGCACCGAGAGGAGGGTCTCCCATCGCGGGCGCGATGGACTGAACGGGCTGAACTTGAGGTGAGGAAGGTGGGTAGGAGGCGTGAGACTGATATTGAGGCTCAGAATGATAGTGAGACTCGTGAGACTGGGATTCGTCCATCTCGTGCATTTGAGGTTCGGGATCGTTAGGCAGAGGCTGTATGTCCTCGGGCATTTCGTACACAGGCTGAGTGTCAGACTGTGCGATGCGCGAGGAGCGACGAGCCATATCGGGCTGCGAAGCAAAGAAAGGCGTAGAGAGATCGGGAGATTGAGGTCTATAGTCCATTATTTAAAAAGAAAAAAGACACAAAAAATAGTGCAGTGGGCCCAAGCTCTTTTAAGACTCTTTGGAGGGTCGTATCCATACCGTATGGTGCTGTAATTTGTTGTAATCTGTCCACTTCCAGACCTGCTAGTCAGCCGTATGGGTCGTATGGTCTTACCGTCTTACGCATTTTTCCGCTGGGCTGTTTCTTGTCTTCTTCACTCCTTTTGCTTTTCCACCATATTTCTTGTATAGCTGAGGAATTCATTGATCTTGTTCGTGTCTTGCTTTCTGTTTTCTCTGTCCTCCTCGGAAAGATCATAGATTCTTTCTATCTATACATCTTATATACTATTATGTCCTGTAGAGTAATCCCGATGACGACAGAGCAAAATCGTCGAGTTGAACGGCTGAAACCAATGGGTATCGCTACTCTTCTGTGAACGCCAAAATTACTTGATCTAATCTGAGGGTGCACCGTGTTTGATAATTCTGAGCAATAAAAGCTAGTCTCCTTGGTTGCGTTCTCTTCTCTCCCTGCTCGGTTTCTCTCCTCTCCCACTCCCGCGCGTCATCACCAAAACTTCGGCAGAACACTTTATCCGAAATATTTTAAGCCTGCGCAAATGTCGTAACACTCTTTCAAGGCCTCAACTAATTCCAGCCATGGCGGTGGCGGATGCCCCCGGTCTCATGGACATTGCTAGGTATGGACTGGCAACTGGCATACTGCATGCCCTGTGTCGTGATCCTCTGCTAATTTCACCTCCCAGCACTCTGGCCCAGGATGAGATTCCCTTCAAGCTGAGATGCGCCATTTGCAACAATTTAGCCGTGAACGCCTTCCGTCTCCCCTGCTGTGACCAATCCACATGTGAGACCTGTATGTGGAGATATTCCCAAATCCCCGGTTCATACCAAGCAAGCTAAGATTATCTCTTATAGGCCAAGCCTCTCTTTCCGATACATGCCCCGTCTGCACACATACCCCGGTTTCTCCGGATCTTTGCAAGCCCAACAAAGCTCTACGAACCACGCTCAAGGCCTTTTTGCGCACTGAGGAGAAGAAGCGGGAGAAGGACCGCCAATCCGCGGCAGCCCCATCCGATGCTGCGCCGGTAGACGCCAACCCAGTGGAGTCAGCTCCGCAGAATGGAGATACCGCACCCGCAGACAATGTTGATACTCCAGTCCTTCCAGAGCCCGTGCAGCCACCTTCGGAGGGGGCGGGGGTGGCCGTTCCGGCAGCAGACGCTTCGGCCATCAACACAACTGAGGAGAGTGCTGTAAAAACAACCATCACAAATGTTGAGAAAGCATCCCAGGTACGTTTTCAATTACTCTAATCTCTAAAGCCCAATTACTGACTTGGCAATCTAGCCCGAGGCAACTGGGGATGAAATCAACGGCACCGAGGCTACTCTTGAGCCTACGGTCGAGAAACCCAGCGAATCGGTTGTGAACGGGGAACCCGCTTTGGATCAAGATGCTCCTGGTGATATCAACCCCGCCCCAGCACTGAACGCCGGTAAAAACTTCCAAATGGGTTGGAACGGTAATGCCGTGAACCCCTACATGGCTGGCATGTTCAATTTCCCGAATACAATGGGTAGGTTCAATGTTCACTTAGTAGACTTTTTTTTTTTCCCACACGAGAAATTGCTAACTTGTATTCTTCAGGAATGTCCATGGGGATGGACCCGGCAGATCAGGGGATGTTCGGTAATTTCGGAATGAACATGACTGGCATGGGTATGAACTCTGGGGACTACAACGGTGGCATGTACGGCTCTCTAGGATGGGAACCCTCCCAGAACAACAATATGTGGCAAGGCGCCCAAAATAAATTCAATCCAAATGCTTTCGCAAATGGCACGGGACCTTACGGAGGGACATTTGGGTCTAATATGTCTGCTTACCCTTCGAATTACCAGTCTGGCTACTATGGGGGCTATGGTCGTGGCAGCTTCCGTGGTCGAGGCCGAGGCCAATATCAGGGCTTTGGCCGTGGATACGGACCCCCGAATCATTACCATTCTAACTTGGGATACCCCAACAATCCTGCTGGAACAGATCAGGGTATTAGACCAAATGGAGGTCCAGAAGGTGACAACGGAGTGTCTGGAAATCCGGATAGTCAAGTACAAACAATCCCTACTATCGACGGTGATCAGTCTGTGCCATTTGGCAGTAATGGACAACACGCTCCTGGCCCAGGAGTGGAAGGAGCTCCTGCTGCCCCGCGTGCGATGAGACAAGGTCTCCCCAATACGAGTGTCTACCGGCAGCGTGTGCAAGTTCAAGGTCGAGCCAGTAATCCTAGGTACGACCTTTCCGCGCTTGGTCTCTTGCCTTCAGCCGTTTCTATCTTGTGCTATTGATGCTTTAAACCAGATTCTGACTTGTGAAACAGTGACGCTGAAACGAAAGCCAATTCCCAAGTACAATCTGAATCTCTACGGGAATCGCCTCCGCACTGTGATTCGAGATCTCGTTCACCCTCGGTCCAAGGGGCCGAGGATGAGCGAGACACCACTCGAGCGGCAGAACCCAAACGCATGGATCGAGTTGACCAGTTGCAATCTGGCGCACGCCGCAGTCGTTCCCCGTCTCGAACATCCTCCCGTCGGTCTTCGCGACGCAGACATACCGACGATGATCGGGACGGAGATCGCAAAGACATTCACCGCTCAAATCGCTCTCGTCGCCGTCGCAGCCGCAGCCGCAGCTCCAGTCGGCATGGAGATCATCGGTCATCTGCCCGTTTGGGTGTCATTCCGGAACATAGCTCTAGCAGCCGAACAAAAATGAGCTCCGAAGGCCTTGAGTCACGCGACCTCGCAAGTCGAATTAGTGGCAGTCGTCGCTCCGATAAAGACCGCGTCGACTGGCGTGAAGATGACCGATCGCGCGTTTCTAACAGAGACTCTCGTCGCCGTGACCGTGACCGTGACCGTACCCGCGACAGAGAGCGGGGCCGTGATCGTCGCGACCGAGACCGAGACACCGATCGCGACCGCCGCCGCGAGGACCGCGATAAGGATCGAGCTGGAGAGCGCGATCGAGACCGTCGAGATCACCCTAGAGATCGGGATCGGGACCGCAAGCGCTCCCGCCGCGATCGTTCACAGTCTGCCACCAACGATCACCCTCAAGCCCGTCGCGTGAAGCACGAGGAAGATCGAACGGGCGATCATTCGAACGGTGCCCCAGGCAAAGGGCCAGAGCCCGAGAAAGACCCTTACACCCTTGAGCGCGAGGCCCGCAACAAGGAGCGTCTGCAGCGCGAGAAGCAGCACCGGGAAAAGGCCAATTCTGGCCGCCGCCGTGAAAGCCGGCAGGACCGCGTGGTGGCAGGCCGGCGCATTAACTACAAGTACGAAGATGAGCTTTAGTGTAGTCCTTGCTTGGTTGCTCACTTCCTCGGACTGGGAAATGCTCCTTGAGCGTTTTTTCTAGGGCTTCTTCTTCTTTGTTTCCATCTAGTGGGATTGGGTGGTAGATGGAAGATGTGTACACTATTTCAGATGGTCCCTGAACCATAAAGACATCGATGGATATTCCAAACAAAAATACAATCAAACCTCATTATACCTACTACGGACCACAGGTGTCTTAATAATCCAACCTGGAAATTGTCAACATCCATGAATTGGAAGATGCATCACGTTTATAAACGGAAATAAACCTTGGAAGTCCTGGAGTGGCGCTGATCACGGCACGGTTGCCCAGAGATATATACAACCCTGAAGGTGTGACTTCGACCACCTGGGCATTCCCATCCATCCCGAGGTCCTTCCTGCTTTTAATTTATACTACTTCCAAGGTTGTAATCTTTCGAACCTTACCAGGCCACTGGGTAAGTATCTTATAGGGATTGAAAACAGACTTCGTCTGGGTAGACACTCGAGCGAGCCGACCTCCACCTGGGCAGGGATAGGCAAGGGGAACAACCCCGTGGACCTTACCTAGGTAGAAGAGCCCCATGTTCCAACAGTCGGGACTACCCGTGGACCTCCAGGGCTGGGCATATAAAACCTTGAACTTTGGAAGGTTTGCGACCTCGAGCCCTGGAGGCCTCGGTAGTACTAGCAGCTTTGAAGACATCCATGGATGGACCTCGAGACCGGCCACTCATTTCTAGCTGCGATCGACTACTCCGTATGGTAAGATGGATTCTAATGGGCCAATATATTGACAATTCCGCTAAATAGAGAGAAAAAAAAAAGACTTATCCACACACTGCACCAGCTCATATAATTCAGACAAGTGATTCCAATGCAGCACACGATGTTCGGATGTACCCCATTGATCAAACAATAGCCATGTTCAGATAGTAAAAAAATATTCAGTTGAGCTTGCTCTTCAATGCTTCGATCTCGGCGGTCAGCGTCTGCATTTGCTGAGCCTGGGTTGCGATCGTCTTGGTTTGTTGAGCAATCAAGTTCTTGATTTCTTCGATGTCGTTCTTGGGAACCGAGGTAGAAGGCGACCCGGTCTCACTAGTGGGAGATGGGGCGGCCGAGGACTGAGAGCAGTTAGTAAATGGTGATATCTGTATCGGTGGCTAAGAACTCACAGAGATACTGGGTTGAGAAGCGGGCTCAGTTACCTTCGGCCTCAGCGGGCTGCTAACCCGAGGGGAGGAAGGCTCAGTTGCGGCGGCGGCACGAACAGGGCGCTCAATTGGTTTGGGAACCTCTTCAAAGCTGGAGTCGTCATCGTCGGAGACATTGCCCTCCTCCTCGCCGTCGGCAAATCTGTCCACCATGGACGCCATGGACGCACCCTGATCCTTCATGGATGGTGCTGGGCGCGCAACGGGGGTGGGTTCGGGGGCAGGCTCGGTGATAGAGATCTTGGGCGAACTGGGCCCAGAGGCTTTAGGGGCCTCAGTGGCCTTGATTGTCTCGACGGGCTTGGGTGATTCGGCAGCAGGGGACTCAATAGAGCCAGTGGGCTTCTCCTCCACACCAGAAACCTCCTTGATACCTTCTCCATCAAACAAGCTAGCCATAGAGATCTTGGGAGGGATTGCCTCCTTGCCGCCCAACCATTCGGAACAGGACATTGCAGGGGTAACGCCGGTGGTTGGGGGATAAATGTCATCCTGGAAGTTCTCGGAGCGGCGGGGAACGATGAAAGAAACGGGCTCGATGTACTGGTCGTTGACGGTCTTGTAGGCGCGCGCAACTTCGTTCTCGTGCATGTTCACACCGCGCTTAGGCATGAAAGCAACACCACGCTGCGGGTCAGCAGACTTGTGCTCGGAGAGGAACTCGAACTTGTCATTCTCTAGTTCGAAGTAACGGATGTTGCCATCACTGCTGGTTGTCAGATAATCACCAAGAATTTGAAGGGGTCTGAGGCTGTTTACTCACCCACGTCCAGCCAAGTATAGGCAGTTGGTACCGTCGTCCCAGAAGGGCATGCACACTCCAGAGATGGAGTCCAGAGTTTTGAAACCGTTGATGGGTTCCCGAACGGCACGGATATCCCACAAAGCCAACTGGCGATCACTCATCTTGGAGAAACCGGTGGTAGCAATGCGATCACGCTCTCCCAGCCAGATAGCACGACTGTTCTTCGCACCAGTGTGGCCATTGGTCTCGTGGGCCGGACGCTCCTGACGGACATCCCAAATGCGGAGCTTCTTGTCGCGCGAGGTGGTCACCATCAAGGAGCCGTTGGCACTCCATGACTGCGATTGGACAATGTCACCAATGTTCAGGGTGAGCTTGGGCTTACCCGCCTCAATATCCCAAATCTTCACTGTATAGTCGCCCGAGGCCGTTGCCAGCACGTTTTCTGCCGCGGGGTTAAAGAGCACGTGGCCGATCTTCCTGCATGAGGGGTAAGGATGAGGCGATAAGAAATGGGACAACCAATGGCTCTTACTTGGGGTGACCGCTCAATTTGCCAACGGGCGCGAGGTCCTGAATATCGTCGGAGTTGACATCGGGACGAACGGTGAAGTTCTCCGGAACCCGCCAGAGCAAGACCTAGACATTTGTCAGTCGCAACGCCTAGACCGGGGGCTCAGACTTGATACCTTGCCATCATCAGACCCAGAGGCGATCAAATCATCATTGAAAGGGTTCCTGAAGTGGGTGGGTTAGTAAGTAAATTGGCACGTGTCGTGGGCTATAGTTGCTTACCAGTCGGTGTCCAAAACCACGGCAGTGTGACCCCGACACAAGGGGATGCGCTCTGGGAGCTTGCCCCGTTCCTCAAGAGGAATGATGGCAAATGCACCACCACCGCCTGCTTCCCAATTGACCGCGATGTGTTTGGGGTTGACCTAGACGACACAGTGAGACCGGATTCTCCGTAAAGCGTCAGGGGTGGCGCGGGAGGTGAGACGAACCTTGAGCAGGTTGGTGTCCCAAGCATTGCGCGAGACTCGAAGGTTGTCGTAGCATTGATCCTGAGGTGGTCAGTATAGGGTTGTAGGACGTCGATTATGGGCGAACAAGTCTACCTTTCTCGTCGAACGCCCGAAGACGTGGCCTGTACCGATTAGCGGAATGCGCAAGCGAAAGTCAAGGCAATGGACTCACGGTATTTAGAGGAACGAACAAAGCGCCCGGACATGGTGAACGCCGGTTCAAAAAGGATGGGTAAAACGAAAAGGGGAGAATAGGAGTAGAGACGTTGGAGAAGCTCGGGGGTCACTGGGGCCGGCGTTTCGGGAATCCGAGTGGAGGCAAATGGGCCCCACGAAGGTGCCGTCGAGTCGATGGTTCAAAGGTTGATTGTAGTATGCGAGGTAATATCCAGCAATTCTCCGTCGACGAAGGGTATTTTTTTTTGATAATGTATATTTTTCAGAGATTTGATTTTTTGTTTCTGACACTGAAACAATATTTTCCCAGCTCTTCTGAGGGTAATTCAATCAAAAGACCGCCAACGTGAAGCCATTCGATTTGTACAGAAGTCACGTGCTCTGCGGGTGCCACACTAGACCCAACCCGGTCTAGCGCGAGGGTGTTTGTTTACCTCCCAGGGCATTTCGTCTCTCCAGAAACCAGTTTGCGATTGACGTCTCTGAACTGGCATGTCGCTCCAACCTTCGACAGATTACCCTCATTACTAATTATCAGTCCTAGCGGCCAAAGATAGAACAGTGGCTGGTCGTGAGTTTCTCTTTCTCGCCCGGATACTCTACTCGCCGGTTACCTGGCGGTCCGCGAATCCAACGATGGAGGGTGAAAACATGGTAATATATCCCCGCCTTTGCGATCTTCAGATGGAACTGACCCCCGTTCAGTCGCAAATGCAAACAAGGGCGTCCACTCGGATGCGCATGCCACAGGCAGGTTTACGAGAGGCCAGCTCGGCGATGACCAACTCTCGCTCAGGTATCATGGCGCCAGGCACAATCGCAAACAAGGCCATGAGCATGTCGCGTATGGAACCCTCACCACCATTGGCGCAACAAGCACTGACACCCTCCGAAGCAACTCGCCCCAAAGCCGCCAACCCTGAGACTCGGAGAGCAGGATCAATCGCCCGACAACCTCCCCCAACCGCTAAGACGCACAGCCGGGGTAACTCATATGCCTCATCGACCATGTCCCGATCTACCGCACCCGCGTCCCGCAACGGTCCCTTTTCGTCCACTGTCGGCCCCGGAACTCGCCCGACATCGGCCATGTCGAGGCCGCAATCCTCCTTCAACGGCCGTCGACCTGTTGGCGCATCTATCCCGCGCGCAGCAAGCGCATTGGACACTCACATGGAAGACACATCTCCGAGTGTGCTAGGAAAACGAAAGGGTATGTCGCAAATTTCTTTAATCCCTACTCGCGCTCCCTCTTGCCCCGTTGGACCTGTCACCCCAGGATTGGACCAAGGTTGGAACGAGGCTAGTGGAATCGCAGCTCTTTTTATCTCAGAAGGTTCTGTTTGTTCTCCGACTCCGTCTATTGCCTCGACAATTCCTTGGTCTCCCAGGACCCCTGTTCCCCGCGAAATCCATGGTACCCCAAAGCCACCCGTGCTTCGGAATTGTGCATCCGCAGCCTCGCTGTTTACCACCCCTATGCGTTATGACGGCACGCCATCTATCTCCCCAAGGCGCCCGTTCAAAAAACCCTCAATCCCCGTGTTTTTGACCAAAGAGTCTACGACCAGAAGTTTTGACCATGTTACAGGCCCCGAATGGGATCAGGATAGTCGCGAAAAGAGCCTCGATATGTTGATGACGACATTCATGGAAAAGATGAATCAACAAGGCCAGGCGAGCACCGGCTTGAAAGAGACTGTGGATTTATACAAAACAAGAAGTGAGTCAGCCGGCCCCCAATCACAAATCCAAATCAAACTGATAATTTTGTCCAGTAAGTGATCTTGAAACATCTCGCGACGAGTTGAAGGAAGTCACTATCACCCAGCGCGTGGAGCTGGACTCATTACGCAATCAACTTTCTACGGCAGAGCAAACACTGAAAGAAGCGAAGCGAGATCATGAAATCGCAGTGGACGACCTGGACCAGCGCCATCGCATTGAACTGGACTCTTCAAAACAACTCAGCGAGAAGGAGACGGCAAACATAACCGCTCGATACCAGGATGAGGCCCGCGAATTACGGCGAAAGTTTGATCGTGAGATCGAGGACGAGAAGGCTGCTCGAGTTCGAGCTCTCAGCCAGCTGACCTCCCAGTCTGCTTTGGATACGCAAAAGTCACAGATCGAGTTGGAGCGCAAGGATCGTGATCTGGTGACTTTGCGAGAGGAGTTGCGTAACCTCAAGGCGGATTTAGAACGCGAACGAAAAACCGTCCAAGACCTGAAGCAAAACTTGGAGACACTCAGCGGGAACAGCGTCACGTTGGAGTCTTCTATCCGGGCGCTCAAGGCACATATCGAGTTCCTTGAGGGTGGACGCGAGGAGCAGTCAAAATCGTTTGAGCGGTGTAACCAACAGATGAGAGATGCCTTTGCCGAGACGGAGGCCATCAAAGAAAAGCTGCGCAGAGAGGAGACCCTGCGTCGCAAGCTTCACAACCAAGTACAGGAGCTTAAAGGGAACATTCGGGTGTTTTGTCGCGTGCGTCCCTCCCTGAAAAGTGAGCCTTCGTCCGACCTCACTCTCATGCAATATCCCGACGAAACCGACGATGCAAAGGAGATCAACATCATCGGCCCCGAGGAGAAAGGCAGCCTTGGAGGCGTCACCCGGAAGAACAATACTTTCTCATTCGATCGCGTGTTCAATCCTTCCACTCAGAACGCCGAGGTCTTTGATGAGATTAGCCAGCTTGTCCAAAGCGCCCTTGATGGCTATAACGTCTGCATATTCTGTTATGGACAGACCGGAAGTGGCAAGACACACACAATGTCATCGGTCGACGGCATGATCCCCCGCGCTGTTCACCAAATTTACGAAACCGCGCAAGGGCTTGAAGAGAAGGGTTGGCGATACACCATGGCTGGTAACTTTGTCGAGGTCTACAACGAAAACCTCAATGATTTGCTGGGAAATCCCGACGAGCTGGACAAGAAGAAGCATGAGATTCGCCATGATATGCAGCGAGGCAAGACGACCATAACCGACATCACCACAGTGAATCTGGACTCTCCACAGATGGTTGAGACGATTCTCAAGAATGCTGACGCCAACCGTTCAGTGGCGGCAACCAAGGCCAACGAACGATCCTCGCGTTCTCACTCTGTGTTCATATTGAAGCTCACCGGCGAGAACCACATTACCGGTGAACGCAGCGAAGGCACACTCAACCTCGTCGATCTGGCAGGAAGTGAACGTCTAAGCCACAGTGGAGCCACGGGAGATCGTTTGAAGGAGACACAGAACATTAACCGCAGTCTCAGCTCCTTGGGTGATGTGATCGCCGCTCTTGGTCAAGGGAAAGAAGGCGGCCATATCCCCTATCGGAACAGCAAGGTATGTTAACTTCCTTATACGCTCATTTTTGTATGCTACTGACTCTGGCTTTCAGCTGACCTACCTTCTTCAATTCTCTCTTGGCGGGAACTCCAAAACGCTTATGTTTGTGATGGTCAGCCCCCTTCAGGCGCACATGTCAGAGACCTTGACCAGCTTGAAGTTCGCCACCAAAGTCCATAACACTCATATCGGAACCGCAAAGCGACAGGCACGCGTTCGCGACACTTGATTTTGATGACACTCTTTTTCTTTTACATTGCACATATTCCTTTTTTTTTTAGTTTTTTTTTTTATTTCATCTCAAGGTAGGGGTCTTTTTAACGATCCTGTCCTCTACCTCGGCGTTTGGATTGTGATGTTGATGTCCTTTATTACGGAGCCTTTGGGAATATCCGGTCCTGCCTCGGCGTGTGATTTACTGGATGGGCGGATGACTTGGGCTTCGGTATTGCACAGTAGCAAGCTCTCAAGATTCCATATGTTGGTTGACATTGGTAGAGATATGCTAATTTATGGATTTTATTTTTGTTTTCTCGATGAATTTATGGGTACCACACTTGCTCTGTTCATTGTTTTCCCTCCCCAAGGCTCCAAGGCTCCAAGGCTCCAAGGTTGGAAGATTGCACAAGTCCCCAATCCCTAATTCTCTGTTCCCTCACCATCTACTCCGTACCGTGACCATCCTGGGCATGGCTACTTCATGGACCGCCGGAAGCTACTGGCCAACCTTGGAAGCATTGGAAACAAAAAAAAGTTAACAGATTCGATACCAGCCATAGTATCACTATACTAACAAGACTAACAAGACAGAAATCAACAAGATAAGTTATATACACAGAATGATCATATCAACGTTCGTTCGGAGTTGACTCCGTAAAAACCACATTAGTTGATGCGCACTGACGCCAAAAGATCGATCTTTCGATCAGCATGAGCATCCTCTTCATTCGCACCGTTGACATCGTTGGAGTGCGAGCCAAGTCCATTCACAACAGCATTGAGAACACTGTTGAGTCCATTACTTTGATTGTCGTTCTTGCTACCGGGCTCGGGAAGGGGAATCTGAGGCTGCTGTAGGCCCATCTCGCGTGTCGCCAGCGGGGCTTGGGCGTCGCGGGAGATCAACTCGAGCTTAGCAGAAAGTGTCTTCAGCATGACCTCGGCAAATTCGCGCGAAACGGAGTGGTTCGAGAATATCATCTCAACGCGAATCTGCTCACCCACAGGTGTGGCCAGAAGAGACATGTCACAGGCGTCGGGAGCCGGGCAAACGAAGCCAGGTGTGCACTTGAGGACACTTTCGAAAGACACAGGCTGACCGGGAGCGGCCTCCTCACCTCCAAAGTCCTGGTATTGGAACACTGAGCTGAATCTTGTCGCCGGGGTCCAATCAGTGCATTGATCGATGATTTGTTGGAAGCCCAGGCTTTCGTGGGGGATCGTGTCCGTCTGTTGCTGCTGAATGTGACGCAGAAGATCAAGAATGGTGTGCATCGAATTCATGTTTGCTCGCACTGGCACGATGTTCAGGCATGGTCCCATCATTGACTCCACGCCGTCAAGTGGCAGGTTTCGCCCAGACACCATGTGTCCATACACCACATCGGCGGTGGCCGCCATGTCCGCAAGCACAAGAGCCCAAGCGGCCTTCACAACTGTGGCAGCTGTGATTCCATGGTCTTTGAACGCCACTAAGGGCACCATCTCAGCCAGCATGGTGTTGAGCACGTTTGTGACAGAAGACTTGGTGTGCGAGACAACAGATGTCATCTGAGAGCCGGAAAGCATATCCTTATAGAAGCTCTTGGAGCCGTCACTCGTGTGCAGTTGCGTGCGGACGAAGTCAGAGAACTGGGCCCGCTTGGGCAATTCCTCGCCTCGGTAGGCAACCCGCAAGTCATGCATCAGGTGGGGCATCGAGCTACCATCGTACTGGGCGTGAGAGATGCGCATGATCAATCGGTGATGGGTAGCATCATCCTTGACAAGCATGAACCGCACAATAGCCTCACCCAGATGGGGTGGGCGGGCAAGGTCTTCACGGATGAGAGACTCGGTTGGGTCTTCCTCATCCTGGATGTGAATGCTGTACTCGGGAGCAACCGAGCGGAGGATGACCTGGATCAGCTCCGAGCCAGTTGACAAGAACACAGTGCGAAGAACGGCGTGATGGGCGACAAGTTGTTCGCAGGCAACCTGCAGTCGGCGAAGATCAATAGGTCCTTCAAAATCGAAGATCAGATAGTTGCTCCATCCACGGGTCTGGTTCAGACCACCGTTGATAGCAAGAGACTGGAAATCTGTGGATTCCAGAGCATCCTGAATCTGGAAAGCCGGCACACCAAGCTGAGGGATGATGATATCGTCAATGAGTTGATCCTTGGGGATGGACTTGAGGGTGGAGAAGGGCTCAAAGCTCTGGGGCCGTTGCTGGTGCGACAGAGTCTCAGCCACGGCACTGATAGCCTCCAAAGTGGGATGCTGGAAGATGGTAGCTGTCGACAATGGGATCCCCTTGGCACGCGCCGCCGAAGCCAACCGCATGGCCGTAATTGAGTCGCCACCCAATCGTAGGAAGTTGTCATTCAGATTGATTTGAGCAGCAGGCATCTTGAGAGTCTCCCCCACAATTCCTGCATGGTGATCTGCATGTCGGTTGTTGGTGGACGGGCGTCCTCTGTGGCCCCGGAGTATTCGGCCATTCGACGATGCGTCAATCCACTACCAATGCGAATCAGGGTTTTGCGGTCTGCTTTGCCAGAGGGCATTTTGGGGATGTGGTAAACTGGAATATAGGCACTGGGGATCATGTGCATGGGGAGGAAATCCGAGAGGCGGTCTTCAAGACCTGAAAGAGACGATACATGTCGTTCGTTTGGTTCGGGGATCATGGACTCCGGCTGGTTTAGCATGAAGATGGATGTTGGTTTTCGGCGAGCCTCTGAAGCAGGAACTTGGATGAACGCCACCAAGCGGGGCTGATCAGGGGCATCTTTGGGACAGACAATATCGACCACAGCGTGAGGTTTGTTGGGGAGACTTTGGGTGATGCGATACTCGATCTCTCCGAGTTCGACACGCTGACCGCGCAGCTTGACCTGGGTGTCCTTGCGACGCTGGAAGTCCAGCGACCCATCGGCATTGTACCGTACCAGATCGCCTGTTTTGTAGACAACAGGGGCTCTCATCTCGTCACCCAGGTCCATCCACAGTGGGTTCTCAACGAACGCGGCCTCTGTCTTGGCCGGCTCATCCAAGTATCCGCGACCAACGTTCCAGCCCTCGAGAACCAACTCTCCGACGCTGCCGACAGGCATCAAGCGGTGATGATTGGTGGGCATCACAACCCACGAGGCACCCGAACACGTGAATCCAATGTTTCGCGGGCTTACACCTGGCACAACGTCGATAGTAGAGGTAGATGCGACGCAGCATTCCGAGGGACCATATCCATTCACCAGTCGCAATCGTTTCCCCCAAGTGTCAATGTGCGATTGAGACATAGCCTCTCCGGCCAAGATAAGCACCTTGATTGATGGGACATCATCGGGGCTGAGAAGGTTCACGAACGAGGGCGTGAGAGCTGCCCAGTTGGCTCGTGTCGCACGAACTGCTTCAGCAACATCACGCTTGCGTTGTTCTTCAGATGCGACGCAGATACAACCACCGGTGATCAGGATAGTGATTGTTTCAACCAAGCTGGCATCGAAGGTGAAGGATGCGAATTGTAGGGCTCGAGTATTACCGTCAATCAACATAGCCGGTGCATGTGTCACTGATCCGATGGCGTAGTGGCCGTGCTGGATGATAGTACCCTTGGGTTCTCCGGTACTTCCTGAAGTAAAGATGACATAGGCAGCATTCTCAGGTTTCACATCGACAGGAGGCATATCCGGGAGTGATTCCTCGGGGGATTGAGTGTCAAAGACGACGATGTTGTATTCCTCGCCCATGCTGCGACACAGATCATACTGGCTAGGAGAGCAGACGATGGTCTTTGATTTGAGCTTCCTAATCATGAGCTGAATTCGATTGGCAGGCTGAGAAGGATCAAGATTGAGGAATGCGCCTCCGGCACGTAGTACTCCTAGCATGGCTGGGATGGCCCAAGTGCTTTTCTCAAAACAACACGGCACGAAGCTCTCAGGTTGCACATCCAATTGAGCAAGGCGTCGTGCAAGACGAGAAGCATGTTGATCCAGCTCAGCATATGTGAGAGAACCATCCCAAGAGCAAACCGCTTCGTGGTCTGGGCGCTCAGCAATCCGCTCAGCAATCATTTGGTGGATGGTTTTGTGGATCGGCTTTGGAATATGCCGGTTCCAGCCACGAATGCTCTCTTGATCCTTGGAACTGATGAAGATAAGCTCGTTCAACTTCTTGTCAGCAGAGGAAGAACACATCTGGTGAAGTAGGTTTTCCAGCTGGCCAAGGATCCGCTCAACTGATTCCTTCGAAACTAAGCTTGAATCATAGTGAGCAGAGCACACGACGCCATCGGATTTGAGGCTGCACTCGAGAGTGAGAGCATATGTACCAAAGTTGGCATCAGCCTCGGACGCAGCTCGCAGGTCAATCTCCTCTGTCGAGAGGTGCTTCTCCTTATGAGGCTGCACAACCAAGAGAGTTTGGAAATCACAAGCTGCTGTGGCATCTGAGCTCACACGTCGAATGTTCTGTAGGCCAGCTTGTTCGAATGAGATCATCTTTGTAGATTGATCCTGCACATCGCCAATGAACTCGCGAATCGTCAGTGTGTCATTGTCAGGGAACTTGACACGAACAGGGACGGCGGCAATACCGGGTCCAAAGAGCTTGTCTGCGTTGGCAATGGGTGCGTTGCGGCCAGATACAATGCCACCGAAGACGACGTCATCTGATTCAGAGTGAGAGCCGATGAGGATTCCCCAGGCAGCACGTATCATCGAAGCGACCGTGATACCGGACAGGCCGTCAGTTCTTATCAGTGACATGCTGTATTTCACTGAAGAGTCCGCAACGGGCTGCTTGGATGTAGAGACAGCTGAGGGGAACTCATTTCGGGTAGCACCGGCAAGATATTCGCGCCAGAAATTGTCCGACTCACTCTCATCGGTGGTGACCATGTGCTGGATGAATTCCTTGAATGTGGTATCCCGCTCGAGAGGGTGGCCCTTGTACGCTTTGTCCAGGCGATCGAACGTCAATTCAAGGGTCCAAGCATCGTAGACGGCATGGTGGACGGTCCAGACAAAAGTCCATCCCTCGCCATCAGGCACAAGGCCATATCGAGTCAGAAGTTGGCCTGCGCACATTGGGCGAGCCTTGTCTTCCTTGGCGTAGGTCTCCAGATCTTCAGCAGTGTGCCATTCAATCTCGCCTTGCACGACGGCTTGAAGGGCCCTGGATTGCTCTGGATAGACGATACAGGTGCGAAGGATTGGATGGGCATCGACTACCTTTTGGCAGGCCTTTTTGAAACGATTGAGGTCGATGGAAGGACCCAGTGACAGACTATGCTGAGCCACGTAGGCTCCCTCACGACTGTCCGAAAGTGCCATCAGACCCTCCTGCATGGCGGTACAGGGGTAAAGGTCCTCAATCGCCAACGGACCAACTTGGCATTGCAAAGCAGCCTCTTGAATGAGGCTATCAGTTTTGCCAGTAATCAGACCAAAGGGAACGTCTTCGAAGGATTGGACAATAACTTTCGTGCAAGCATCTGCCATCTCATCTAACACCGGATAGGTGAAGATTTTGGCGACGGAGAGCCCGAGTTGCACATCACGGGTCAAATTGACTAGTTTCATTGCATCGATTGAGTTTCCTCCAAGTTGAAGGAAACTGTCATCGCTAGAGATAGACTCTTCCTTCAAACTCAGGACATCTGCCCAAATGCCGCGCAACACCTTGCCGGTAGCTGTGGCAGGCTCCTTGTGCTCTTTCTTTGCAGCTCCTGTCAACGCAGCGATTGTGAGTGTGCAAGCAAAGTCTCCAATAGCTTTGCGGTTTGTCTTCCCGGACGCGGTCAGGGGCATATGATTGAGCTTGACGACTGTTGAAGGAACCATGTACCCTGGAACAGAGTCTCCCAATTTGTCTTTCCAACCCGCCATGCGAGACTCAATATCTGCGGCAAGATCCTCGTTGACGGGAGAGAAGTTTTCGCCGAAGGCCTTAGTCAGAGAGGCAAAGATGGCAAGCATGGGGCGATCGGGCTGGTCGACGGGCTTCACCAGACCGACGGCCACCTCAGTTCCCCGCGGAATCAACTGGCGTAGGTGGAACTCCACTTCTTCGAGCTCGACACGTTGACCTCTGAGCTTGATCTGCATATCCTTGCGTCCCACCAAGTTGATGCGGCCATCAGTTCCATACCGAACCAAATCTCCGGTTTTATAGGCGCGCGATGGGAGAGCACCACGGATCTCTTCCATCCATGGGGTGTTGGAAATGAAAACCTCAGCTGTCTTCTCGGGCTGGTGGATGTACTCGCGAGCGAGGATGGGTCCCTCAATGACCAACTCGCCAATTGCTCCAAGAGGGGCCAATCGATCATGGTCAATTGGATCCACAACCCAGGTTGTACAGCCAGCTCCGACTCCAATGGTAGAGCGCCCAACTGGCCCTGACAAGTCACCAGCAACGCAGATAGAGGCCTCCGAAGCGCCATACATGTTCAGCATCTTCACTCGATGACGCCATGTATCCAAGTTATCTTGTTGAACAGGCTCTCCGGCCAAAAGAAGAGTTTTGAGTTGTGGGACATCTTCGGGTTTGATTGAACGCAGGAAGGATGGGGTTAAGCAAGCCCAATTCGCGTTCAAATCACGCATTGCGCCGGTGGTGCGCCCCAGCCGATCTTCCTTGGAGGGGACACAAACACACCCACCTTCCACAAGGGGCGTGAAGAGCTCAAATGTGTTGACGATGAAAGTATATGCGGCGAATTGGAAGGTTCGGGTGGTACTGTTGATGTTCAAGGCCGCAGCATGTCGTCTGGCACTGGAACACATCGTGCGATGCTCATGCACAATACCTTTCGGCTTGCCCGTGCTGCCGGAGGTGAAGATAGCAAATGCAGCATCTTTCGGTAATACACGAGGTAGTTCGGTGGAAGGTGGGAGACTGAGAATGAAGTCCGCATCAATCGCAATGGCATTTGGCACCAGACCGGCCAGTGCCTCACGATAGGCTGGAGCACCTAGCGCCACCTGGGCATTCACTTCGCTGATAATGGTCTCGAGTCGGTCTACTGGCTGTGCCGGGTCAATGCATACGAACGCACCACCGGCCTTCATGACACCTATCATTGAGACTACCGCCCAAAGGGATTTGTCGAAACAAACCGGCACAAAGACCTCAGGTCCGACATTCTGTGTGACCAAAAAGCTTCCGAGTCGGGAGGTATAGTCTACCAGTTGCGCGTATGATACGGAGCCATCCCAACAGTCCAGCGCCGTGGAATCGGGGCGTGATTTAGCCTGTGTATCGATAAGATCATGCATGCACACCTCGATCATATTGGGAACAGTCGAGTTCCATTCCTGGAGCTGGGACCATGACACAGCCCCGAAGAGATCTACAGCGCCGATTGTGGTTTGGGGTTGGTTCGTAATTATATCGGCCACATGAGCCACGCCTTCGGCCACCGCGGCGGCTACATTTTCGCCAATCGCATGGGAGGCGAAGGCTAACGAGGGGGTATCGGAGACTAATAGAGCCAGAGAGCACTACAGAAATTAGCAACCGCAGGATGAATTTAAAATCGAAAGACTAACCGATGTCGTCTCCAGCTTCTCGAGAGGGAAACTCGTGCCATTCCACACGATGGTATTGAAAGTATTTGAGGCGATCCATTCCGACAGAGGCAAGCTATTCGGGTTGCCGGAAAGTGATGAAGCTTTTAGTTCTTCAAGTGTAGCAGTGGCAGGTATGTCACCGTGACAAACAGCGAATTGTGATGCAGGATCGGTGTCATCAATCCTACCAAATGCGATCATGTCGCTGCCCACATAGTATCGCAGCACGACCGCCCATGATCGAAGTAGCACTTCGCTGGCAATCGCACCAGAGCTGGACAGGTCAAGTGGGATGGATTGGAATCCCCGCCCGGGGAGATTTTCTGTTGGAAACGCGCATGGTGCGGTATCCAAAGAGCCCGGCACGACTTGTAACATGGTGAACAAAGAAAATTAAGAGAAGTAGGCGAGATATCGGCCCAAATTACATATGATTAGATTGAAGAGTTGACGAAGTGTGCAGGCAATGACGAACGATGGTCACAGTTGCAAGAGAAACAAAGGTAAACATTCAGATGATCTTCAATCTCTTTGGATCTGCAAAGTTTTTTTTTTTTTTTTCAATTTTTTTTCTCAAGTCATCCGCGCCTCGGTTAGAAATGGGAAGATTTCTTTCCACCGACCTTTGGAACCAATTTAGGAGAACCGATTTAGGGGGTGTGTACGGAGTACGGAGTATGGAGTAGCTGAGACAGCTTGAGATCCACAGACGGGGGTACCTGAGTGTATGGAGTCAATGGAGTCAATGGAGTCAACGAGTTCATTGGAATTCAATGGGTCATGGATGAAGTTAGAGTGGAGATGTATGAGTATACAGTATGACCTGTGCAAGGAACGGTGAATATCAGTATCAAATTTCAGTATATGTATGGTATTTGACAGTTCATGTATTGTAGTAATGTAACGGTACCAGAATTCATCGTATTTTTCACTTCGTGTCCCGAAGTGTAATTGAGTTCCGCACCCGATCGGACGATCGATGTGGCTGCCGATCATAAAACTGCTGTCACTTCTGGCACATGCAAAGTCTGAGTGAACGACTGCTTGTTGTCAATTCTTTTTCTCCTTTGAAAGTTGAATCTAACATTTTCCAGGGACATTCACCGGAAGTCTTTCCCGTGTTGTGCTCACAAATCGAGCAGCCATGACGATCATCATCAATTAGTGGATCTGGACCCAGCCTCTTCGTACACATCCACTTTTACCAAGCAGTAGGCGTCCCGACTATTCATGCAACTCCACTGTTCTTTTCAACACCCCCCACTCCGAGCCTGCTTAGTGCGCTGTACATACAAGTGTACTCTGTAAAAATGCATTTCCAATGTCCCATATGCCGTCTCCGGATGCCGTTTTCCAGAAGGGTTGCGGCCCAGGGTGCCACATCTAATTTGGAGAAAGCCATTGTGGTACTCCGTACTTCGTACTCCGTTCTTCGTACATAAAATCATTGCCTCGGTGGATGAGAGCCAAGACGTTAGCATATCTCGCCTAAATCGAAGGACTCAAATACATTGGTCAGGTACGGAGTACTCTGTACTCTGTACAAACAGCGCATCAACCGCCAGAGCATCATATACCAGTCAGGCAACATGCAGGATAACGAAAGTGTACTCGTACAGTCCAACATCGACCGCAGAACATTGCAACGCACAAAACCTATGCAAGTCTTGGTTTTGGGACTCTGTCGCACTGGTACTCTATGTGAGTTCTCAACCCTGGCGGTCAACAAATCCCTCGCATCTGCGAAGTGACTACGGAGTAGACGCTAACCTTGAGATATTTTAGCAACATGGCTGGGCTTGCAGCAATTGGGCTATGAAACTTATCATATGACATCCATCATGCAAAACCCTAAGGATGCTGACATGTGGACCGAAGCGTTCCGCGGCAAGTATCATGGGGGACGTCCATACGAGCGTAAAGATTGGGACCAATTGCTCGGCCACGTTGAGGCCATCACCGACTTTCCTGGCGCTGTCTTCGTCGAGGAGTTGACGCAAGCCTACCCAGACGCTAGAGTGGTTCTGACTCTGCGCGACCCAGACGACTGGGTACGGTCCATGAAGCAAACTATTATGGCACAGACCTACAGCCCACTTGCCACGTTCATGGGCTGGATTGATTCAGAGAACTTTGGCAATGGCAACCGGATGTGCCGCATCGGCTTCGACGGGCTCTTCCGCGGTGATTTCGAGCGCTATGGTCGCCAGGCTTTTGTTGAACACTACGACCACGTTCGCCAAGTTGTTCCCGCTGACAATCTTCTTGAATGGAATCCCAAAGAGGGGTGGGAGCCACTCTGCAAGTTCTTGGGCAGACCGATCCCCGCCACACCCTTCCCTCGGGCTAATGATGCTGCTGTCTTCAAAAATAAATCTGCCTCCGTTGTGCGGTCGGCATTCTTGCGCCTGGCTAAGAAACTCACGATCTATGGCTTGGGAATTACGATTGCCTATTTCATTGCGCACTTTGGGCGTCGATTCTTGCCGAATTACGGTCGGAAGATCCTCTCGGCTTTCAAGAAGTCATTATGAGGTGATGCACTTTTCCAAGGTTGGAGGCGATCAAGTACTCCGTACCACATACGAAGTCCTTCGTACGGAGGCATAATTTATGTACAATAATTTATTTAATTCCAAGTTCCAGTTGAGTCCATATCCATACTCCGTATAAAGTACTCCGTACGGAGAACAAGTATATTGTACGGAGTACCCCATACGGAGAACTAGTGTCAAAACAATCCCTTACATGGTTACGGAATAAATTAATCTCGATTAGGTTATATTAACCAAACAAAAGAGAAGAAATCCCGAGAAGTGGATCAGTTCTTCGAGATCCCCTGAAGGACCCACAAAACATGGCCAAGTGTTGAGCTTTGATTATACCACTTCATACCCGTGTCCAATGCTTTCTTTGAATCAGATGGCGTTTGGGGTACGGAGTAGCGCGGATGTGGTTGGAATTAATTATCGGGGAGAATATATCCGGAGACAAACAATCAATCCCTAGTAAATTACTCCGTACTCCCATGCTTGTTGTGGCTTTCCCTATTGTGGAGTCGTGAAGTCATCTCTCGGAAAACCAGGCACAGGTCCCGCGATCTTTATCCACCTCAGCCCCCGATCCACCTCCAAGTGATCTGACCACCTCACTGGTCCAGATCTCCCGTCCGGGTCAAGATCGTCGCGAGAGGAGATGCACGATGGAGTCAATGCAAACTGAAAATCTCTGACCTCCCGTCTTTCCCATTTTCCATGCTCCTTGCTCCTTTCTGATTCCTCCAGTTTCTCTCTTTTTGCCATTTCCTTCTCAGACCCGACCCTCTTTTTTTCCTTTTCCCACTTTTACACTCGTTTATTGATTTGCTTTCCGATCGTTCCGATATCTTGCCGATTATGCGCTTTCTCTGGTTTACTGCGGCGCTTGTCGCCGGATGCGTGGGAGCTCCCATGGGCTCCGAGCTTCGGACCAGAACTACTTTGAACCCGGTATGCGACTGTCTGTGGGCCCCTGGCGACATTTATACTGATTGATCGTCATCACTTAGAACGGTGACGTGGTGAGATCCCCTTTCAAGGTATCGTTCGGTCGAGATCTCAGACTAACAAGCCAGGCTGTATGTGACTCCATTCGGAGGGATGACTCGATTTGATTTGCTGACTTGGATCGATCTTCCTGCTTAGCCTGTGGGTTCATCTGATCCTTTCTTCTTTCGGTAACATGCTAACAATGGCAGGTTGTATGAACCCAATTCTATACTCCAATGTGTTAACCAGAGACTGTGATCACTGACAGCACGCTATGTTCAATATAGAATGTAAGTCTTTTGTTGTTTTTGCTAAATGGCATCTGAACTGACCGTCTTCAGAATGTATGATCACTCGCCTCCAGCTGCTGATTATGCGGACTGACCAAGCAGGGCGTGAGTAACTTCGGGTGAAATTGTACAAGTACATTCAATCAGACAGCTAACGGGGCTTTGTGATTGGTATCAGACTGTATGTATACACTGTTGCCCCGTGGAATTCTTTTCCACTAACGCTGACACTGGATTAGGTGGTATGTAACCATCCCACGAGCGGGATCAGCTGAACTCCACTGACCTTGGCCTTTACGATCTTTCCAGACAGTAAGTTCATTACCCACCTGGAATTCGATGGCGCTAACCAAGTGACAGAACGTGAGTGGCTCTGCATTGCATGAGATCTAACGAACCCGAAATGATTGACAGAACACAGAATGTAAGTGGATCAACCTGTCAGTACAGCTCGTTTTTCGCTAAACAGTATCCAGGTTGTGAGTAAACGTCGATCGTTGGTATGACTGACCATGGAAACCTGGCTGATTGATCTTCAACAGAGCGTGCGTTTTCCTGTAGCCCTATTTGGTCATGGGATGTGCTAATTTTCGCAGTTTGTAAGAATTACTGCTCATGGTGACTCTATCGTGGCACTGGACTAACCCTGGCCTCTATTTCAAAAAACAGTTGGTAAGGGCCATCGTGTTTTCCCTTCATCATTACGTTCTTGATCACTGACTATTGATAGAACGTACGTTATTGCTTACAATTTCTGGCAATGTTTGCTGAGACAGCATGCTAATTCATTATAGCTTGTATGTGCCCTTTTCTAGGGTTACCTATGTTTCTCATGGCTAACTCAAGCAGTGTGTAAGATACTCGACTGATTGAACAAAATGCTCACGGTGCAATTTTGATCTGACTCTGCTCACAGAAAAACCGAGTGAGTCTGATATCCCCGACATTGTGACTGTGGACCACACTAACCATAGCTAAGCGCGCCGGGATTCCAAACAAGGGCAACGTCGACCCCGTCAACGATGGCGACGTGACCAACAACATCTCCTTCCTTCGCTTGTGCTAAGACGATCGATATTGACAATACGATGTAAGTTTGTACCTGACGATCTCAAGTGCCGTGGCGAATTGGACAACAACTGACAATTAAGTGGGAACACTGAGACAATTAGGCCGAAGTCTGGTTGGGATTGAAGGTGGGGGAGGATCCATGAATGATCGATCAGTCTGGGCACTTGGTGTGCTTGGATTGTCTTCCGCAGTACGGAGTACTAGTATTTCATCGGTTACACGGTGATAGGGAACAACTCGATTTTCTGGTCGTCTTTTCACTTACGTGAATATCCAGATGAACATGTAGTCATAATCGCATCCCAATAATTTTGTATCTCGTTTTTCGGGTCCATAGTTATGTCCATTTTCGATGCTCGGTCTCGCTGTCGCTGCTGTGGTTGACTGCGTACCTATCTCATTCCAGACCGATACCGGGAAGTGTCCACGGGTCGGTCTAGGAACCCCCATAGGACCAAGGCATGGACATCCGTGGACCACGAGAGCCTACACATTGTGCCCTGGTGTTGGCCAAGCGACATGGCCTACCTAAAGCTGTCCTGGGCTGTGCTATGTAGGTCCAACAAATTCACCTCCAGGGCTGCCCAGGTGGACATTGATGAATCTCCAAGGCTCCAGGAACGAAGATAGGTAAGTACTGAGGTACCTGATAGTCCATGCATGGAAAACTTCCAAGGTTCTGCTCAAGAGGGGTAGTTGCGCTCGGGTATTCTCTCCGAGGCCCCGAGGCCATTTATATATCTCAAAAATATCCCCCAGCGCTGCACAATCTAAAGATTTCCCTACGAGGACCAAGCTTCGAAGTTTTGAGGATTGAATAGGCATTGAATTCAAATTAGGTGTATATTTTAAATATTACGGATTAACTAATGTTGTTTTTCATGACAGATCAAGACTAATAAGCATTGAAAGCCATCTAGTTCTTGCCGGTGGAGACACGGGCGCGTCGATCTCGCACAGCATGAGCCAGCGAACGCATGGACTGCTCGGTGGTCTCCCAATCAATGCATGCATCTGTGATACTGACACCCTTCTCACAGCCCTCCAGGCCCTTGGAGGGTGGCTTTTGATTGCCCTCGCGGATGTTTGATTCGACCATCACACCGATGATGCCCTCCTGGCCTTCGCGGAGCTGCTCCTCAATAACCTTGAGAACCTTGGGTTGATTTCGGTGGTCTTTGGAGCTGTTGCCTTTTGCAATTGTTAAACACAGAGTCTGAATATTGGACAGGAGAACATACCATGGGAACAGTCAATCATGACGACTTCGCGTTCATTCTTGGAACGAAGTAGTTCACGAGTGGCGTTGACCGATGCGGCATCAAAATTGGTGCCGCGGGCACCACCTCGCAAAATAACATAACCATCTTCGTTGCCCTTGGTGCTTGTTGTTGCAATGACACCCTGTTTGGTGACGGACATGAAGTGATGACGACCCCGCATAGATTTTAACGAATCCACAGCTGTCCCTACAGAGCCATCTGTAGAATTCTTGAAGCCAACTGGGAATGACAAACCAGAAGCCAACTCCCGATGCAGCTGAGACTCGGTAGTGCGGGCGCCCACAGCGCCCACACTGATCAAGTCCGCGGTGTACTGAGGGGAGATGGTATCCAGCATCTCACATGCCACAGGTACTCCGAGATCGGTGAGGGAGACCAATAGTTGACGTGAAACCCTCACACCTTTGTTGGTGTCGAAGGTGTCGTCGACATTGGGATCGTTGATGAGGCCCTTCCAGCCAACGGTAGTGCGAGGCTTCTCCAGATACGCCCTCATGACGATACATAGGTCATCGCGCAGTTCCTTGGATAGTATTCGCAGACGAGACGCATAATCGATAGCAGACTCTGGATCGTGAATACTGCAGGGTCCGACCAGGACCAGGAGTCGATCGTCGTTCTGGCGGATAATATCGCGGGCCTCAATTCGGCTGTTGAGCACAGTAAGGAGACTGTTGGCTGTGTGTGGGATCTCGTACTGCACCAGGGCAGGGGGAGCTAAGGGAGTATAGCGTTCAATGCGTACATCGTCGGCGAGCTTTCGTCGCAAAAGCTCGATGTCGGAGGTATTCAAGAGAGGAGATGCTGAAACGCTGGGCATGATGTGGTGGCTATGATGGAATAGTTCGAAATAGATGAAAGAATAGCCCAGATGGATAGAACTGGTCGTCAAGTACGGACAAAAACGAAGGCACTTCGACACATATATAATTGTTTCTCGGATTGCTTGTTGATGTACGGAGCACGGAATACATGGACCCAGTAGTCCATACCCAGATTGAGTTCTTTTCGCACTGCAGATCAAATACACTAAGTTCAGGAGAATGCAATACAAGCTACGTAAATCGAATGAGAGGCTACAAGTATGGCTCCATAGATTACTAGACGCATCCACCCTTCAAACCAAGTGTGCGACTCATTAGGATGAGGCTTTAGGGTGAACCGGCAATATTGCCTCAGTTCAGTGGATATGGTGCAAGGTACGGAGTACGAGACGGGATGTGCATTGTACCTTGCAAATTCTGTAGTACAAGTATGCGTGTAGGAAGCATACATTGTACTTGTACGGAGTACTCCGTAGTTTAGAAATCATATGGAGTGCATATTCGGTGTATGTAATACGTACGAACAAACGATGTTTACTCCGTACTCAGTGGTTCATGGTTTCCAGACTGCTGGGTGATTTGAGATCGACTGACTCAATTAATTTTCGGCATCAGGGCAGCAATCAGATGGCTAAAAGGTAGACGATCGGCGATGAGGTCAACAAAGCGTACTCGTACATGCAGGAAAAGTATATCTAGTGGGGAAGCAAGTGGGGCGGTAAGGGATCAAGAGCAGCCCGAAATTACATCTTTTGTTTACATTGTACATGTGGATCTGAGGTGTCTCACTGGAAAGACGGTGAATACGTTGCTTTGATAGAACATATATTCAGGGGTTTACCGCGCTCTCCCTAGATAAACTTACAAGATGAATCACAAAGTCTATACGGGTACTCCACACAGCCCTTGCAGGATTGACGAAAAGAGGTGCAATGAACGGGTGAACAAATAAAAAGAGGCTTGGTCAGGATCACTCTCGAGCAGAAGAATAATTATGCACTGTACGATGTACGGAGTACGAAGGACAAAGTTCCTTGTACAAAACTGACGGTCCAGAGCTGGCCAGGTGGGAAGTTGTGAGCAGAAAGGTATTTACCAATACGATACGTGTAATATTATAATACAGTGTCCAATACGAAGTATTTTGTGGTTCCGCGGTGAATTTCGGTATATCTGCCCCACCGATGGCGCTAGCCTAGTTAGGGCGCAAAATACACATAATGTACAATGCGAACCCACACGGCACGATCTTCAGCTTCATCTTGTTTAGAGACTCCACTATAGCTTCATTACCACGTATGGTAAGCTGAGATTCCATGGTTCATGGTGTGTCACGATCGTGGTGTTTCTCCGATTGTAAGGGTGAAATTGAAAGTGGAGAATGGTACCTGACATCAAAGCATGATCCTACCCACTCGCAGATTGTCGCAGATCTAGTACAGGTACCCTCGGTCCCAGGCACGGCACAGAATTTGTCAACCCTTTCTTGCCTTGCCCTGGCGTTCACGGTGACTCGGCTACGTCCCGCCTCATCAATCCACGTCAGAATGGGGTCATGACCCACCACTGACTTGACCGAATTGAACTGCAGGTGGACGTCCTAGTCTCAATGATGTTCCAAACTAGTACTTTCTCCAAGGCTCTTGGTTGGCTGGCTGCATGAACCAGCGTTCGTCTATGCCAATGCTGGCGTTGTGGAGCTAGCTGTACCTCTGAGTTGGGACAGATCTGAGATGCACTAGGAAAGTGCCTCATAGAATTTGGGCCGGAAGAACATTCGGATCCTCTCGCCCCCCCATGTGAAAAAAATAATAACAAGATCACATAATACAGTGGGCCATTGATATTGCTTATTGCTTTCTTCCTTTCTAACTTTCTTTCACATCACGTCTCTCTTTTCTACTTTGCTGTTTTTGTTAATAATTTGCCAGACTGGCTCTTCCCTAGTCGTGGATCCTCTTGAGTTTATTTGTGTTTGTTGAGGATGCCGTCTATAGTCATTGACGATGCTGATCGGCTTCGCCAGCTGTGGACGCAGCTGGTGACCGATGTGACTCCATCCCATCTCCCATCCGGTCTTTTCTCTAAGCGCGAGACTAAGTCGACCGTGGGCCGTCTCAACGTGCCCATGCAACTGTCTGCCATCTATGACTGTTGCCAGCAGTGTGATGTTTCTCCATTGAACGTGGTTCAGGCTGCCTGGACCGCTGTCCTGCGCTCATACTCCGGCGCCGACAATGTCATGTTTGCGGGTATTGGAATGAACCCACGATCAACCAAGCAGCAATGGACAAATACATCCGTGTCATTGGCTCGGTTAGAGCAGGATAGCTCTGTCATTTCTGTCCTTGACACCACGCAAGAGGAAGGGCTTTTGCAAGCCGAGTCCATGGTTTCTGTTCCTGAGGCTTTGGACATCTTTTCCAGCTTGGAGCCAAAGCCATGCAACTCGGCCATCTGGCTCAAAGATGCTCAGTCCAAGAGTGAGCTGTCTTTAACAGACGTTGTGAATGAAAAGACCGTAAGTTTCATTGCAGTCCCAAGTTTGGTGTTCTGATTGCTAACCTATTTCAGTTCGATTATGCTGTTCAGATTGATGCCTCATTAACCCAACTGGACTTGGTCTTCCACAAACCCACTGTTTCACGCTCTCAAGCACAATACATCGCCAGCACATTCGCCGACTACCTCCAAAGTGTGTGCTTGGACCCATATCAGACCGCATCCACTGTGTGCCACCCCAGTGAACTTGATATGATGCAGATCGACACATGGAATCGCATCCTGCCCAAGGGTAGCGAAGTCTGTGTTGATCAATTGATTGAGAGTGCCGCTCAAAAGTCACCGGACGCTCAGGCACTGGTAGGCTGGGATGGTGAGATGTCATACTCCCAGTTCAACCAAGCCGCAAACAAAATGGCTGCATACTTTGACTCAGTTGGAGTCCAGCGCGGCGAGCTTGTTCCGATCTGTTTCGAGAAGTCGGTGTGGACCATTGTCACGATGATCGGCCTCTGGAAATTGGGTGCTGGCTGGGTGCCGCTGGACCCCAAGCACCCTCGCCAGCGATTGGAAACGATAATCGAATCAGTTGGAGCCCGGACGGTGATTGCTTCCGCATCCAACAAGGATCTCGTGCAGGACATTGCTTCCCAGGTGCTTATCCTCGACCCATCTCAAATCCAGTCTGCCCCGGAGGTGGACTTCAAGTCTCGATCACAACCCCATGACACCTCGTTCGTCATGTTCACCTCAGGAAGCACCGGAAAGCCCAAGGGTGTTGTCCATGATCACGCCTCCGTCGCCTCCAGTGCGCTGAACCACGCCTCTGCTATGAATATCTCTAATAATACCCGCGCCCTGCAATTCGGCGCCTACACTTTCATTATCAGCACCTTCGAAATATTTACTACTCTAATCTTTGGCGGATGCCTCTGCATTCCCTCCGACCATGATCGGCACACCGATATCCGCCCTGCTATTCGGTCATTCGAGGCCAATTGGGCAATTTTTACTCCCAGTTTTGCACGCTCTCTCCACCACGAGGACATTCCATCCCTTGACACCCTTCTCGTGGCCGGTGAAGCTGTAGCACAGGACATCATCGACCGATGGGCACCTGTCGCTCAACTAATTAATATCTATGGCGCATCCGAGTGCAGCGTTGTCATGATTGGCCGGATGGTGGCAGACACTCCCAGAAGCTGCATCGGCCGAGCTACTGGAGGACTCTCCTGGCTCGTTGATCCCAATGACCATGACCGGCTTGTGCCCATCGGCTCAGTTGGTGAGCTTGTCATTGAAGGGCCTATTCTGGCACGGGGATACCTTGCGGACCCCGAGAAGACACAGGCTGTCTATATTGAGAACCCGGTCTGGGCCTCACAGAGCGGCAATACGCGTCGTTTCTACAAGACTGGCGATCTGGCTCGTTATGGCGATGACGGTCGGGTCCATCTAATCGGTCGCAAGGATTTGCAAGTGAAGATCCGTGGCCAGCGGGTGGAGCTGACAGAAATCGAGGCTCACATGCGCGCCATCGATAACTCGGTGAAGACTGCGGTTGCTATGGTTCGCCCTGGAGGCAAGGCCATGCTTGCTGCCTTCATCTCCAACCAGAGTGGCTTTGGACCCGAGTTCCCCCATCCTTTCTATTCCGCCCCTGACGACAAACAATCAGTTGTCTCATTGGCCGGGCAGATGAGCAAGAAGCTCACTTTGCAACTTCCGCCCTATATGATTCCCTCGGTCTTTCTGCCCCTGGCTTACATGCCATTGACAGCGTCCGGCAAGACTGATCGTCGACTCATTGCCTCATTTGGTGACAGCCTGACACTGACAGAGCTCGCTGCTGTCGCTGGCAATGGCAAGGTTACTGAGCGCCGCATGCCCACCACCACCACCGAGATGACTCTACGTCAGATCTGGGCCGAGATTCTCCATTGCCCTGTCGATGAGATTGGCGCCGAGGACAATTTCTTCCATCTTGGTGGTGACTCAATTGAGGCAATGAACCTGACTCGTCGTTGTCGCGCAGAGGGCTTCCAGCTCCAGGTTGGTGACATCCTGGGTAATCTGGTTCTAAGTGACATGGCCAAGGCTATGACTTCCACACGCTCTCTTAAGCCATCCATCACCACTCCCTTCGAGTTGCTTGGTGATGATACTGATGCTGTTCGCGCCAACATCCTCTCCGCGACTGGTCTACCAGCCGGTCTTCTGCAAGACGCCTATCCTTGCAGTCCTCTCCAGATGGGCCTTATGGCCCTCTCTGCCAAGATTCCTGGCTCTTACGTCGCCCGCCACACCCTCGAGCTTCCGAGCAGCGTAACTGTTGGTCGTTTCAAAGAGGTCTGGGGCATGATCGTCGAGAGCAATGACGTGCTCAGGACCAGAATTGTTGAGACGGATGAGTACGGCTCTGTGCAAGTTGTCAACCGGGCTCCCCTTGTGTGGGCTCATGACACCGATCTGGCCAAGTACATTGAGCTGGATGAGAAGATCCCTATGCAGATTGGTGATGCCCTTGCTCACTTCGGCATCATTGCCGGGCCCACCAACACCTTCGTTTTGACTATACATCACTCCATCTACGATGGTATGTCACTGGAAATGATCTTCAATGATCTCGTGCACGCATTTGAAGGTGTGGTCCCGCCCGTTCGCACCCAGTTCCGGGACTTCATTAAGGAGGTCGTGGAGAGGAATGCCGACAAGGCCACTGAAGAATATTGGCGTGGAGAATTCGCCGAGGGCGACATGACCACATTCCCGTCGCTCCCCTCCGCCAGTCATCAGCCCCTGGCCAATGACTCCTTTGTGCACACCCTTCAACTCAACCGCAAGGGTCCATCTGACTTCACCAGCGCGACCCTCATCCGTGCCGCCTGGTCGTTGGTCCAAGCTCGGTACTGTGACTCCCCGGAGACTGTGTTTGGATGCACACTGAGTGGTAGAAATGCACCTGTACCTGGGGTTGAGGATGTTGTCGGTGCAGTCATTGCCACAGTTCCTATCAAGGCCAAGGTGGATGGGGAGCAGCCCGTTGCAGAGTGGCTGCAGCAGATCAATTCCCACTCGGTTGAAATGACCCCGGCCCAGAACTATGGTCTTCAAAACATCGCCCGTGTCGCTGAAGGCGCCGCAGCAGCCTGCAACTTCCAGTCTTTGCTGGTCATTCAGCCCGCCACTTCAGTTGCGGAAGATAGCATCATGCAACCTTTCTCAGCTCCGCAAGCCAATTTCAGCACCGTGGCACTCACACTGGAATGTAGCCTGGCAGTCGACGGCAGCATCCAGATCCACGTCCACTTCGATGATACCGTCTTGCCACGCCTTGAAGTGCAGCGTATCGTTCGTCAGTTCGAGCACGTGTTGCAGCAACTGGCCTCCGCCCCCACCGGAAAGTTGTCTGACATTGAAATCATCAGTCCACAGGATAAGGAAAATCTCCTTCAATGGAACCGCGATCTAGCTGAGCCTGTCAATGAGTGTGTCCACCGCCTCATCTCACAGAACAACTTCTCTCAGCCCAATGCACCAGCCATCTGCGCTTGGGACGGGGAGCTGACATATACCGAGTTGGAGAGCCTATCGTCCAAGCTTGCTGCTCACCTCATCAATGTTGGCGTCGGTCCTGATGTCTTCGTTCCATTGTGCTTCGAGAAGTCTATGTGGACTATCGTGGCCATGCTCGCTACCCTCAAGGCCGGTGGCGCTTTTGTGGCCATGGATGCTTCACAACCCATCAGCCGCATGCAGAGCGTTGTCAAGGATGTTAACGCTCAAGTCGTCCTCTACTCCGAGGAGCAATTGAGCCGCGCTCCTGGTCTGGCCGCCAAGGCGATCGCAGTCGGCCCGGGAATGCGCGAACTGAACACCCCCCGAACGCCACCCACACCAGTGGCTCCCTCAAATGCCGCCTATGTGATCTTCAGCTCTGGCAGCACGGGAACGCCCAAGGGATCGGTTATCGAGCACCGTGCCTTCTGTACGGCTGCCGTCTCTCAGAAGGAGGGACTTCAGATGGGTAGCCGCGTCCTTCAGTTCGCATCATATGCTTTCGATGCTAGCATCCTCGAGATCCTCTCCACTCTGGTACAAGGTGGATGTGTCTGTGTTCCATCTGAATCAGAGCGCCGCGGTAACATCGCAGAGGCCATCACTCGCATGAATGTCGATTGGGCTGTACTGACACCATCCTTCGTCAACACGATTGATCCTTCCAGTGTCCCAACACTGTCCACACTGGCTCTTGCTGGTGAGGCTATGAGTGCCGCCCACGTTGCAGCATGGACACCATACGTCCGGCTTGTCAACGGATACGGACCTTCCGAGTGTTGTGTGTGCACAACATCCAACCGCAGGGTCCTCCCTGGGACTGCCTCAAACAACATCGGCACCGCTGTTGGCTCTGCCAGCTGGATCACCGACCGTGATGACCACAACAAGCTCGCACCCATCGGTGCGATTGGTGAACTGTTGATTGAGGGCAATATCCTGGCTCGTCACTACCTGAACAACCCGGAGAAGACCGATGCTGCTTTCATCACTCAGCCGGCTTGGCTCCCCGGTCACCGATCCACGCGCGTATACAAGACCGGTGATCTGGTCAAGTATGCCCCCGATGGGTCCATTCTCTTCATCGGCCGCAAGGACACCCAGGTGAAGATTCGCGGCCAACGTGTCGAACTGGGTGAGATTGAGTACCATCTCAACCTCCCTGCTGATGTATCGCAGTCTGTGGTCTCATATCCCAAGTCCGGCCTATACGCTCAGAAGCTGGTCGGTATTCTGGAGCTCAACTCCACTGCCGGCTCTGACCTGAGCGTTGTGCCCAGCGCCGAGTTCCAGCGATCTGGCTTCCAACTCTCTTCCCTTACTCACACTCTTTCTGAGACTCTTCCCGTTCACATGATCCCCGTCATTTGGATCGTCGTGCGCAAGATTCCAAGCTCTTCGTCCACCAAGATCGATCGCAAGGTGGTCGATCAGTGGCTCACAAAGCTTCCATCCAACTTCGAGCCCACCCTTGGAATCACCCGCGAAGGCCCTACCACCTCCGCGCTGCGTGCCAGCGAGGACAAGGCCCTTGCCATCAGCAAAAAGATCGAGAGCTTGGTCAATCGGGAGGATAGTCCACTCCACGGCCGTGATTTCAACATCTCTTCCATGGGTATCGACTCTGTCCAGGTCATCAGCTTGGCCAGTTTCATCAAGCAGTCCTATGGAGTCAAGGTTGACGTGTCTCGCGTTCTGGACGGTCAGATGACCGTTCGTGGATTGGCCGCGTTCATCGACGCCGAGCTGTCCGGGACGGTCCAGGAAGCCCTGCCTGCCTTTGACGCCATGAAGGAGGCTTCGGCCTTAGTCAATGATATTATCAAGAACTCCATGCCCCAGAAGACTGTCTTTGTCACTGGTGGAACTGGTTTCTTGGGTACTCAGATCCTTCGGCAATTGTGTGACCGCCCTGATGTCGGTCGCGTCATCGCCCACGTCCGCGCCAACAGCCCCTCCGACGCATTCATTCGCATCAAGGATGCTGCCGTGCGCGCTCAATGGTGGTCCGACTATTATCTTACCAAGCTTGATGTATGGTGTGGTAACCTGGCCTCGCCCAAGTTGGGCCTGAAGCCAAAGCAGTGGGCCTCCCTCAGTGGCGAGAGCCCCAACGACGGTCTTGTTAACGGCATCATCCATGCTGGTGCTGCTGTCAACTGGAATGCAGGAACCGAGATTTTGCGCGCGGCCAATGTCAACTCCACCGCCGAGCTCATCAAGGCGGCCATCAGCTCCCCCGCCCGACCCCGCCTGTCCTACGTGTCTGGTGGTTCCCGTTGGAGCGTTGGCGAGAACGACCAGGACATCGCGAATGAGATCGCCCACGCCAACGGTTATGCTCAAACCAAATACCTGTCGGAGTTGCTGGTTAAGCAATTTGCCGCCAAGTATCCCAATCAGTTCGCAATCGTCAAACCTGGACTGATCCTCGGAACCCCAGAGGAAGGTGTTGCCAACACTGATGACTTCGTTTGGCGGTTGGCTTCCGGCGTGGTTGACGCCTGTGCCTTCAGTGACGATTATGCAAATGCCTGGATGTATGTCACCAGCAGTACCCGCGTTGCGGAGGAGACCATTGCCCAGGTCTTCTGCCCAGCGGGATCGATGAAGACCGTCACCTACATGACCGAGGGTATCACTGAGCGTGAGTTCTGGGAGATTTTCCACGGTGAACTGAAGTACCCACTCCGGAAGGTGGATCACGAGACTTGGATGGAAACCATGCGCAAGTCCATCCAGAAGGACACCAGCTCCCACCCGCTGTGGCCGGTGTCGCAGGTCTTTGATGCCTTGCAGGGCCGCCTCGGTGGTGAACCTTTGCAAGACGCCAGCTTTGTCTCGCCGTCTCAGAAGCAGCATGTCAAGGCCACTATTCGTCGCAACGTGCAATTCCTTGTCGAGGCTGGCTTTATTGCCAGTCCGACTGGAAAGAAGATGAAGTATATGGCCGATAAGGTGTTCAAGCGGTCTGGAAATGTTTGGGAGAATGTGAAGAGAATGACCATCACTGCGTAAAACTACGACACTGAGGCCATTCTACTTAATGATTATCATGTGTGGTGCTTTGGAGTCAGTTTTTTGTGTATAATTATCTTTCTGGTATATAATTCTTAATTTCTTTGTTCTTGAGTCAGTCTATCCCTCTTGATTATTCCTTAGTTTCACTGGATGCATATGTAGTATAGTATACGACCTTGTCCGATTCGCGTTGAACCGTGACATTCGCATGGGGGACCACCGGGTTCTTTTGCCCGCCCTTTGCCTCCTTTTGTTTTCATTTCCTTTCATTATTTGCCTCATCTTTCTTTTTGGTTTCGGCAGGATAAGTATGATAATGTTCCGACTGGACGCTTTTACAGATCCTAATAATCCCTGCGATCGGTGAATGCTGGTGAATAAGGGGGTTGCAAGGCCAATTTGGAATGTCCCGATCTCCATGGTTCATGAATTGAGATTAAAGAGGTATCAAATGGTTTCAACTGTTTTGCTTTTGACAACAAAATTCGGCTTGAGCAGTTTCTCACGAATGTGGATGGCGTTCAGGTAGTCGTTACTATCTACTCGGCGGTATCCATCCCCCAGACTCTTCTCAATACCCGCCTGCAGGTGTCGTACAGCCAGTCGGTCCCTTGCTTCGAGTGGGTCGGTGTCAACATAAACACGGTAGTCAACCATTCCAGCAAGCTCTCGCCACCCCGGATCATCGAGCAGCAGATAGTTGCCTTCAATAACAATGATGGAGGCATCAGGTGTGATCGTGAGTCCATTCTCCACGGGGTCTTTTGACTGATGGTCAAATGACGGCGCGTGTATCATCTCGGCAGATGACCATGTCTCGGAATATGGCATTGCCAACGGCATCTTGTCAGCCCACTCGCGCAGTCGGTGTATAAACGCCACGAAACGGTTTACGTCGAACGTCCACGGAGCACCGCGACGGGCGTGTGCATTCGTGGGGTCAGGAAACCCGTCAAGAGCTGCGCGGGAAAAATGGAACCCATCCATGGAGAGAAGTGCAGCACGAGAGACAGCAGATTGGTTGAGGTTGTGTACTACAGCTTCAGCCGTCGTGGTCTTGCCGGATCCTGGGATGCCTGCGATGGCAACTAAAAAGCGTGGCTTGGGATGAGCATCGGCTTGGCTGCGGATAGCATCCGCTAGCTTTCTGTATTCAACGTCCATCTCTGTCACCCTCGCGGGCAGGTGAGTTCTTGACGACTGATGTCTCGTAGGTCGAATCGCTCCTGAGCGCCCGTGGATCAAAATAACGCCGGGATCTGGACACAGATAGCTGGATCATGGGGATAAGTCCACTATACTATGTGTCTCGCGGCAAATAGCTCATTGATATATGGCTCCTGAGGTCTCGGTATGTACAGTTTAGTGGAGCGGGTGTCGGGTCACAGTGATCCGAAACGATGCAAAGGATCTCGGTGTTAGGCCGAGTCGGCTGTGTTCAATGTAAAATTTTCGAGTTTGAGAAACCAGCATAGCTGTTTGGTTTGTTCAATCTTAGAATCACCAAACGGGCGATTGAGGGTCCCCTTGGGCTTCACCTTCCGACGCTGACAACGCGAGTGTGTGGCTACAGGGTTCACAAAACCCTCTAGCAGACTAATATGGCAATTAATCATGCGGAATAGCTTACACCCCACCCAAAATTCGATGGTTTGGGGTAATCATTCAAGTAGAACTGGAGTAGAGTACTCCGTAAAAGTAGCCTTGTGTTCTCGACGCGGGGGTTTAGCCTAAATTGCTGAAACGCGGTGCTCCGTGGTATTCCCCACAGCGAAATGTACCCCAAAGAAGTTTTCACAGGAACTGAAAACCCCCCAATGTCCTTGAGGCATTATACGCCCAACATACCGTATATTAATGTCCAAATATGAGTGTAGGCAAAGATGTTGATATCATCCCGGAAACGCATTCCGAGAAACGTATGTTTCCAGCCCTAGAGGTATCCATTTATTCAGCGGAAGCCCTGATACGTCATTATGGCTTCAATCAAGCAAATAGCTGCAAAGGCCTTTTTCAAAGGCTTGCAGGTAGGTAAGCAACATTCCAAGTCTTAACATCCCAAATACAATGGTACGAATCAGTGAGGCGATCACAAAAGACCACCAGGACTTAGAATCCTTGTACAAAGCGATTCTCACTTCTGAGGATGCAGACGAGCAGAAGAGATTCCAAGATCAATTTACTTGGGAGCTTGCAAGGCACGCCGTGGCGGAGGAGTTGGTAGTGCATCCTGCAATTGAGAAGGTGCTCCCCGATGGAAAAGAAACCACCGACAGAGACCGCCGTGAACATTCCACAGTGCGTACACTATCAGCGGCAAGGGTTTATGGCAGGATGAAGTTAACTTGACACAGGTCAAACAATTACTTGATGTTTTGCAAGACTTGGAATGCTCTGATAAAGAATATCTCCCAACTCTCACGGCTCTTATGGATGGCTTCACTGAGCACATGAACCAAGAAACCATCGAACTTCTTGAATTGGAAAGCAATATCGCTACCAAGGATAGTGAGAAACTTACCAAATTGTTGAGACAGACCAAAATATTTGTGCCTTCTTCGCTGTACCAAGAGCCGCCATGCGAGAGCCCCGCTGGGTTGCTTACTGCTCCCCTTGATCACCTTCAGACTATTTTCAGCAAATGGCCACAGACTGAGGATAGTCAAAATCAGCCAGGTGGATAGGGTATGCCGTGATGAGAGGTCTTAGGTTTCTTTTGCTGATGAATTTTATATTTGTGACTAAACTTTCTTGATTTAAGCCCTGTTTACCTATCGCAAAAAATGACTTAGTCGATCATTGGTATGCAAAGCTGTTGGATAATGGAAGAACGAGTTAGAGAGAGGCTGGATTGCAGAGACTCGCTCTGGGCAGAGAGTAAATAACTCAAAAGCGATTGTGTCATTTATACCCACTGTTATTGAGCATCTCTAGATCTGGCTCCTCTTGGGCCTTTCGGTAACCAGAGATAATACCACTTGGATGGAAGATGTTGAAAAGCAGACAACAGATGAACATCAATGCCGCATCGAACACGTAAACAAAGGCTTCTTTACTTTGCAGATATCCATCGCTTCCCTGAAGATACTCTGCCACTCGATATATTGATCTGATCATTACCAAGGCACTGGCGAGATAGAGAAGTTTCATGTAGCGAGCCCAGGGAAGTCGAGTATCACCCACGGCATGTAGGGGTGTCTTAAGCATGCGACGGTGGAAGACTAGGGAGACCAGAATGAAGAATCCAAAGAATATTATCTGGACCAAGAGTCCAACGACAATCATGTTGTTCCCAAGATCAATCTTCGATGCCGTTTTGGCAGTAGCAAGCATACCACCTCCTAAAAAGAAAAATTAGTAACTTTCAAACAACCCTTGAAGATCTTTCGAGGGTATTGGCCCCTTCCAAGGTTCTTACCTCCACTTTGAATGAGGAAAGATAGCACATCTCCCGTCACAAATATTTTGGTTAACCATGACGGCCTAACCATTGAACACGATGCCCCATTCAATAAACGAATAATGCGACCAAGAATCATATAGATAGAGGCGGCAAAGAATGCGGGGGCCAGAAGTAACATAAGACTCTGTGCAATATATGGTTTTGTGGTCCAGTTCGGTGTTTCCTCGGCACTAGCATATCTCGCCAAATATCCAAACGTCTCAACTGGCAAGTAGACATTGTTAACATAACACTGGAAAAAATGAGAACATGAATTGACTCACAAAAGCAACCAATGAGAAATGGTATAAAGTACCATGCTCGAGACCGACCGAGCTGCCAGATGTGTATCACGGTAGTGAGGCCAAACACAGCGGCAAAGGCGACGGCAGCCCCAGCGGATGGATTGTAATGATACAATTTGAATCCCTCTGCCATGTTGAGAATTATTGCAAAAGGCACAGGATCCTTTGCCAATTTTTGAAAACAGGCGAGTTCCAAGGTTCTGATGTTGGGGTGAAACGAAGTTGGGCCAAAGCAGAAGGGGCACAATGATATAAAATAGCCATTGCCGTTATTGAAAGTTCCTAATTTGTTCCTACTATTTTGCACCGTGGGTTTCGTTCTATTAATAAGTTGATCCACTACTGAAATGATTATCATACCATAATGTTAGGAAGAGCGCCAGCTATTGTCGAAGTATTCTTTGATTTTGGTGTATGGGTCGTTCGTATCTGACTAGGCCCCCACCCGAGCTCCGTACTAAGTGAAACCAAACCCTGCGATATACGCGTAAATTCATACGGAACACAAATCTTGGCCTATCCTCCAAGCTTCTTCACACTCGTTCGTACTACGGGCATCCTAGAAAGGTGCCTTCGTTCGATGGGTCCGGCAAACATTACGGGTACGAGTACGAGGCGCTAGTGTGCCCAGGTGCTTGACCAACCCCTAAACCTTGCCCATCATAGTCAAGAAAACGAGATACGAGCTACGGCTTTCTTGTGGATATATTTTTCGGGTAGGTGCTTATGTAGACTATCATAAATCTCCACTTTTGGCTGTCCTATCATAGCTATTCGCACCTAGACGATATCGTCACAAATTGCTAGAAAGCCCTAGAATTGCTTTGGAGTTACCTAAATCTGCTTCGGTAGATTGAAGCGCGCTCTTGCTAGGCATATTTGTTGTTTTGGGGGTTTCCGCTTCGGGTGCATAGTTGCCCTCCGATGGAGCTGAACTACAGGTTTTGAGACTGGATCCTGATTTGCCCAGCCTCATATCCCGGAAGGCTGCCCAGGTAATCAATGATTACTACTGATTCGTTAGTCAGTCATGAGGCAGCGTTATGGGATTGATGGGTTGGATTAGATGGGGGTATAGTAACTCACATTTCGTTCTTAAATCCTCCAACTGGCTTTTATATGATAAAGAGGGCTCTTCGGTGTTGATTTAGCATATCTGAATGCTAAATGCTGAGACATGTCGCATGGGCCCTGGTTTGATACCCGGGTGATTCCAAGTATCCCTGGTATTGATTATTTGATGGGTTTGCGGTGAAAACATGGTATCATGTTTGCAAAATTAAGCCATTGGACTGGATGTTTTGGGTTCTTCGGATCTGTTCGATTGGCCATTTGATTCGTTGTTTCCACTCCGAGGGCAGCAAGCGATGGATCTCATCTAGCACCACAGAGCCCCAGGGTCCTACACACCAATTTTCATGGGCCATGTCCAGAAGTCCACAGAAATGAGCCAGCACCACAAGAGCGAATGGGTCGTGGCGTATCAAAGCATCCATGAACTTTGGCAATAATCGGATAGCCCATCCGCCCATTAAAGTCATCGTTGTAGGTTGCGCCAAAGTGAAAGCAGACAAATCTCGTAATACGTCGATCGACTGCTTATAGCTTGTAGCGTCGTGGTTATCACATTCCAGTCCCAGTTGATTATTCAACTCGATGAGGTAATCGAATGCGTTGAGAAGATGCTCTGGAATTGGGACATCTGGTGGTGTTGCATTAAAGAGCGGTGCAAAATTACTTTGCAGCAGAAATTGGAACTCCTCATTCACAACAGTCTGCACACCGCGCGAGAGAGTAAAAATCTCAAGCAATGAGCCGAGGCTAGGACCAGAGTCAGTGCCAGGTGTTAGTGCACTTCCTAAGCCAAATACAACGACAAGCCCAGCGAAGCCCACCATCGCTTTAGCATTGGACTGGTCGATGTTGGATTGCTGTTCAGAGAACATGGATAGCGCAATATTCTTATGAGAAATTGCAACGCTAAGCCATCTGGCCTGCTCACTGTTGTTAGAGCAAGATAAATGGAGTGCAGAGACTCCCAAGATTCCATGCATCAAGAAAGGGGCTTTGAGACCTTCTTCCAGCACCGCTATTTCCCAGACTTTGCGAGTCTGTTCATTTCGGGCGAGAAACCTATGAGTATGCTGAATCCACTGGAGCACAAGTTGTAGCTGCTCCATGTCCAAAGTTGCAGAGATTGCCTGTTCCTCCGCAGGTGGTAGGTGGCTCAATGATGCATCCCACTGATGTGTTGACAACCCATGGAGGCTTTGATCTGCAGTGGAGCATGACCTCACTGCCCTGGGCCTTCGAGGATTCTTGCTGGCAAAGAAATAAGGACCTGTCGCATTGTACACACATTCCGTTTGTCGTTGGATACAATGGCCACAGGTTGGCCGTTGCTCATCGCACTGAATGAATTTCAGATAAGATAGACCAGCTCAAAAGAATGTGACGGACCTTGACTCTCCTTTGCTTGCAGCTAGAGCATCCTGGTTTGCACCTTTAGCTTGACTCGAAGTAAAAACCCGTAAGATATGAAGACTGGCGCGTTAATGAAACATACCATGTCGGGACTTGTTATGAGAACGTCGCGTGACCATAGTGTCAATTGATGCAGGAAAAAAAAACCCCCTAGGTAGAGACTTGCATCAGATGACCCGGAAGAGCCAGAAATGGATGTTTCAACACTTGCAATGAAGCTTAACCGACTGTGTACATGGAGTCAATGAGAGAAGAATCGTCACTTCTGAAGAGGGGCAAGATTACGAATACGAAGAGAAGTCAGGTGACTGCCTCTTCTTTTTCCCCTTTCCCCTGCACATTCTAAAAGAGTCCAAAAGAGTGAACAGATGGCGGTGTATTTCAAAGTTTGTGAGCTCATGAAAAATGATGCGAATCTACGGAGTAAGTATATCAATATAAAAATTTTCATGTGCAAATCAAGTCTGCTGTTATCCATTTCCAGATCGATCCCGCGATCACTTTCGTCTAGGGGTACCTATGACAGCCTGACAGTCACTTCTGAAAGAAGAGAGTGACCTCGGGAAGTCAATACTCCGTACTCCGTACAAGGAGATTTCCAAGGTGGCTATCTTAATATTGGACTTCTATTATGTGACTCCGTACTACGTCCAATACTTGGTAGAGAGGGTTTGAAGAGAAAGAAAAATCTGGAACAAGAGCAAGAAGGTACTCCGTACTCCGTACAAGCCCATCTTAAAGGTCTTGTCTGGCAGGATCTGTTGTGATATTGAAACCAGGGGGGGCGATATCCACATATGCCGTATCATGCGAATGAGCCACCTGTTCCCAAGGCTAAGTTTTTAGTATCTGCTCCGTACTGAGGTCAATCGACTATGGAGTACGGAATATGGAGTACGGAATATGGAGTACGGAGTACGGAGTAAATGGAGAGGAACTGAACAATTCTGGAAACAAATGGCACCTTCTCAGCCGTGAGAGAAAATTTACGGAGTACTCCGTACTCCGTACAGTGAAAGGAGAAGTGGAAGAACCAATCACATCCAGTGGTGGGTTTTCTGTACAATCCAAATTACGCTGGGCTTGCCCAATATCCGCTTTGGAACAAACCCACCAATGAGGGAAAGTCAAGGACGCCTTTAGCTGCATGTTTGAACAAAGTGCACACAGTCAGAGCGTTTAGGGGGCACAGTGGGGCGGTGGGGGGCGGCAAATCATCCCATCTCAACAATATTCCAACGCGTTCCCACGTAGTAAACAAACAACTTCTCAATATGTACTCTGGAATGTGACGCTGTACTCATGGCAGGAATTGCCTTGCAAAGCTTGACCTGCTGCTGATTGTTGGGTCAAATCACTCTGAATATACCCCTGTTTCATTGTGTGTTTGGGCGTTTGTTAGCGGGGGGGGTGCACGTTTCATGTTGACACTACTCCTAACCGCCATGATAGTGACCAATTTATCCTGGGTGTCGCTCGGCCCTTTGTCCTGAAGAATGGATCATTGCCTGTGAATTGGGACAGGTCTAGAACGCCACAGGACCTTTTATTCCGCCATCTTAGCCTATCACAGACATGGCTGCAATCCTGCTGCCGAAGGGGTCGGCCATTAATCAATGCTCACTGGGCAAGTCAATGGATCCTCAAGCCCCATTACTCCATTGAGAGCAACAAGGTATGGGCACATATGGCTGGGCCTAAAGATATTTGACCCAAATATCTCCCACCGTTACTTCGGCACGTTCGACACGCTCAATCACGCTCACATTCTTTTCTCCCTATTGACGATCTGGGATTGTCTGCCTTTCTTTTAGCTTGTTATTATTTCCCCCCTCTACTGGTATCAATTACATTCTTATTTTTCCTGCAACCACGTCCACTGTTTGATTCAAACACGATATATACGTTGTGGGAGCTTTTTTTTCTGGCCGAAACCAATATGGCCCCTTCAACACGTTCATTGAGCGCTGGCTCGCTCATGCTAGCTCTGTTGGCATCGCCAGCGGCTGCCGCCAAAAGCTACTCCCTGGTGGAGAACTGGGAGGGTAAAAATTTCCTCGACTTTTTCAACTTCCACGTCGGAACCGACCCGACGAACGGTTACGTGAACTATCTTGACAAGCATACTGCGGAAGGCGCGGGCCTTGTCAAAGTAACTGATTCCGGCAGCGTATACCTTGGTGTCGACCACACAACCCAGCTCGATCCCAATGGAAAGGGTCGCGATTCGGTTCGGATCGGCAGTAAGAAGTACTACGATCAGTCTTTGATCATTGCCGATATTGCGCACATGCCGGGAAGTGCCTGTGGTACCTGGCCAGCATTTTGGTCTGTTGGGAAAGAATGGCCTGGCGATGGTGAGATTGACATCATCGAAGGTGTTAACCTGCAAGACCATAACGAGATTGTCATGCACACAGCTGGTACTTGCAGCTTGACTGATACGGATATGACTGGAGTTGTCAATGCCACGGGATGCGGCGAGGATCTCGGAACTGTTGGCTGTGTGATCGAGGGTCACAAGGGTAGCTATGGCACATCGTTCAACGGCCAGGGAGGTGGTGTCTATGCGTTGGAGTGGACCGACGAATTCCTCAAGATTTGGTATTTCTCGCGGAGCTCGATCCCAGCATCGATCAAGAGTGGAAAACCAGACGTCACCCAATTCGGCACTCCCATGGCTTTAGTGGAGGAATCATGCGACGTGGCCAATGCGTTCAAGTCTCAGTCCTTCATCTTTGATGTCACCTTCTGTGGTGACTGGGCTGGAGGTGTGTTCGGTGACTCAGGATGCCCAGCAACCGACGCCGATTCCTTCAAAAGCTGTCACAATTATGTCGCACACCACCCGGGTGAGTTCAAGGAGTCTTACTGGGAGATTAACTCGGTCAAAGTGTACCAGTCGGGTGTCAAGGGCATCGCTTCCGTCGCATCTTCAGAGTCGCAAACCACTCAAGCTACTGCCGTGTCCGAGGCAGAGACAGCCAAGCCCAAGCCCACCGAAGCTGCCAGTGAAGCCAAATCCGTGACCACCCCTCCCATCGCAATGACTTCTGAGACCGCAGTCGTCAGCCAGCCTACCAGCGCCCCGAGTACGATCGAATCCGCATCCTCTCCGGACAATGAATCGGTTGGAAGCATACAAGAATTGAACCCTTCCTCCGCCCCTGCGTCTACCGCGACGGCAAACAGCCATGCACCCCAGGAGGTGGAGCCCGTTGCCCCGAAGAAGACCCGCACCGTTACTGCCCACGTCACTGCAACTGAGACCGTCTGCCCTGAGGCGGAGAAGTCCTCTGCCATGGTGGTGCAATCCCCCGCGGTCTGGCCCCACTCCAGCCATGGAGCTGTGCCACCTCCTGCTCATCAAGGGGCTCCGACCACAAGCCCACAGCCAGTTTCAGGCCCCGCCACCACGCCTGTCGCACCAGGTGCTTATACCTGGTCAGCGGAAACCGCTAGTCCTCCCGCTGCAAGCCTCAGTGTGCCGTCGCCCGCCAACCCACCCACTCCCCGTGGCTCACCGGCTGCCCCTTCGCCCTCTGCTGAGAGCTTTGGTGCTTCATGGTCGCAGTCCTCCGCGCTGCCCTCCGCCGTTGTGTCTTCCGTCCCATACGAGGCATCCAGAGCTTTGATCTCTGCGCCAACTGACGTGTCCCCCGCGACTGCATCCGCTACCACTGGCTTCTTCATTCCCAGCTCTACCCAGTCCGGAGTAAGCCCTGTGTTTACAGGCTCTGCTGACCGTCTTGGGGCTAGCTTGTTGGCTGTTTGGTGTGCAACGGTTGTCGCTTTCATGATATAAGCAGAGTTTGCTCTACGAGGTTGAAACCAAAGTAAACCCTCGGGTCGCTTGTTGTTTTGTTTAATTATTGTACAGTAGGCCATGCCAACGGCCGGAGTAGACTTGCTTTGGCTCATATTTTATTTGTCTTCCAGAGTCTCCGTGTCCGTCTCAGTCAGAATTTCCGAAAAGATGTCAAACAGTAGTTAATACACATTTCCTTATTTGTCTTATTGTTCAGGTGCCATCTTTGTCCCAGTAGGGCAAGTCCTCACAACTAACGCTATATTCATAATTTTCGGATTTTCCATCTCGTTGACCAATCCTCAGCATAACGCCTCAAGATTCCATCCTCGAATAGCCTCAATCGTCCATTTCGCAAAGTCAGGCTGCTTCTTTCGGCTTTGGTTGTGACAAATCTTTTCTGCTCGTTGTGTGCTGCAGCCGCGTCATTTCCATACATTCTGTCATAATGGTGAATGAGCTTGACTGCTGGGTTCACAAACTCCTCGCCTTTTGCCTCGCTGTCACGTAGTCTGGACAACCAATCCTGAAACGCAACGGTCTGAAAATGAAAGCCCGTGTCTCTTAGCACGCTCAGCAATGATGACCAAGCGAATTCATTAGGATTGCATAGGTTGAATATGGAATCATGGATATGATCCGTCGTGGAAGAGCTCGCAGTAGCACCGCCTCCATGCGAATTTGGCGTTGCACATGTTTTGGCAAGCTCAAGGATTGTCACAGCAACCTTGTCAACGGGGATCCAGGAGCATGTCTCTGATAAATCAGGTAGTACACCCAACGTGAGGGCCGACCGTATCATCAATGGAATTGCCTCTGAGTCATTCCACAATCCTTTCGTTGAGTGACCCGAAACCTGTCCAATCCGAAGAGAATACGCCCGTGTCCCAAATTGTCGAGAATGTCTCACCACAAGCTCCCCAGCAGATTTTGACTGGCCGTAACCAGCGATGGCACATTCCAGATCAACCGGAGCCTCGGGGATCTCAACACATCGGGAGCCAAGAGCCGTTGATATCGAGGAACAAAATAACACCACAGCCGGCTCGTGTCTTTGCACGGACAATGAAAACTGGAGCAGGTTGTATAGTCCTTGGACATGGGGTTCGAATTCTGACAGTGGGAGGTTGAAGTTGACAGGCCAAGCAGTGTGAATGATTAAGGCAACAGACTGGAGCATATGTTGAGCAACCGAATCATCCGTAACCAGACCGAATCCGGGCTGATCAAGGCGGCTAGTGAGAGCAACGATTTTCTTCAATCGTTCAGGGGATACATAGAGACCTCTGGTGGCCAAACCTTCAGTTATATCTTCAAAAGGCGATTCTCGTCGTGTGAGGCAGTAGACAGTGGATATCGTGTCATCGTTGAGAAGCTCGAATAGCACATGAGACCCAATAGAGCCAGTGGCTCCTGTCAATATCTTCTCCGACGTTAATAGCAAATCCCAAGAAAAATAAGCGAGCTAGTAATATATCACTTACCACACTGTTTGAACCCAAGAAAGACGGAGTCTCAGGAATGTGTGTTTGAAAAAAAGAATACTTTTCCGCCAGACTGAGAACATCGTCCTCACCATCATCAACCTTTGCCATCTCATATCCACTTTGTATTTTGCAGATGAGCTGAGCAAGTCTCGATATGTTTCCCGCTTCAAAAATGATATTTGAGCTAGGAGTTCTGTTGGGATCAAAGCGGAAGGTTTGAAGAATGAGGCGTCGGAAGTGTATAGCCTTGAGGCTGTCAACGCCTTCAGAGAACAAGTTGGTGTCCACTGTTGATACTGGAATTCCAAGCTCTTCTCGTGCTAGTTGGAGGAGAAAACACTGTGTCTCATCAACGTCAAGCTCAAGTCCCTGAGCCAATGGGGCTTCCTTGGAGTAGAGACTTTCTATGAGGTCGTGGTACAATTCATATATCTTTGCACGGATCATCGAGCCTTTGTCCGTGCGAGGAAATGTTGCATCATGAGGCAATATGGCGATCAAATCGCCGGAAATTTGAGAGAAACCCTCTGCACGTGAGTTGGCCTCTTGAATCGCAGGCCATATTGAAGCAATGTATTTGCTTTCAGACAGCTCCAGCGCCTCAGAAGAGTTAGCCTTTACAATCAAAACCCCAGGAGCAGCTTTTCCAACTCCAACCAAGACTGCATCGTGGACAAGACGGTGTTGTTTGATACGACCTTCGATGGGGAGTGGTAGAACTTTCTCGCCATTGACTAGATTGATGCGATCGTCAAGTCTTGACATGTATTTCCATCGGCCTGGAATTCGGGGATGAGGAGTGAAGACATCCTTCGAGTGGAAAGATCCAGGTGGGTCATTCGAATTTGACGTTGTGAGTGCCGGATGCCCAGCAAGATAGACACATTCATAAAGGGATCCCGACTCGGAGATCTGCTTCATCCAAACAAAGGGTCGGATATTGTCGAAAAATCGCAGATAGTTCCAGTAAGGGTCCCCCTCAGGGCGAGATATAGATTCGGCAACAAGCCCAGCCTCCGTACTATTGCTGATGTTAGCGTTCAACACCCAGACTGAATATTGGTCACGTACAGGCCAAATGCACCCCCGAATCTCACGCCTTCACTGACAAGGCGATCGCCCAGTTCATCTGGGCAAGGCGCACCCCCATAAGTGACTAATTGACAATCCCGTAACGCTTGCATCCCACGTGGGTCATCAATCAAAAGTTGGAGCATGTATGGAACCGCCGCCAAGGATTCTGGTTGTGCCTCTTCAAGAGCTGCAACTGCAAAGTCAACCGTCAAAGGCAAAGCAGCATTCCACATGTAGGCCGTCTTTTTCATCCACATTGCCTGCAGTGCAGTTGATAAGCCATGAAGATGATACCATGGTAAGGGGTTGAATGAAGTGAGCCCAGTACCTCTCAGCGGGTGCGTCATAATTGCTTGATGTGTAAGAAAGAGTGGCTTTGGAGTGCCAGATGACCCAGATGAATGAAGAATGACGGCAATCTTCTCTGGGCTTTGATTATGATGCACAATCGAGGAGGAGGCTTCTGTTTTCCTAACTCGGCCATACGAGAGAATTGGACGGCAGCTGACCAGCCTCCGCCGCAGGATGTTCCCCAATGTTGAGCGGATACCGATGGAATCTCCATAGATAATAGTCTCGCAGTTAACTGTGTCGAGCAGAGATACGCAAGCCTCTCCTGAAAGGCGCGGAGAAAGCATCATGACAGTATAACCCAGGCGACTCAAGGCAAAGAAAGTGATGACCATGTCCAGATTTGAAAGGGTAAGGAGTGCCACAGTCGATCCATGGCGCTTGTGCTATGAATCCTCTTGTCAGGGACTTCTTGTTCAATTATTATTTCTCGAATCAAAACATACTTGGCTGAGTCCATCTTCGATCAAATTGACGATAGCTTGATTGATCAGCTTATCCAAATCCTGTCCAGTGTAGTGGTCAAATGAAGCAGGATCTTGGTCTGAATGTGGATACGCGAGAATTGAATGTTGAACCACATCAGCAGCGCGTAGGCGAATCAAATCATCAAGTACCTGGAAAGCCCCGAATTTTTGGACCAATGGGTCGACAGGCGACGAAGAACCACCATATGTGGCGTGACCATCGCGATAAATGCCCATTGCAAGTGCCGACTTTGGGAGGGTATCGGAAATGAGGAAAGGGTGATACAGCAGGTTTGTGCCCGGCACACATGTTCTTACGACCGAGGTTTTGTATTTAAGGGAACTTTCTGCCAAGCCGGTTGAATGTGAGTTTTTGGCCAACCCGACTGCATTCGGTAGGATTATTCTGCATCAGGAGAATAATAGCACATACCACACAGCATGGATTTATGCAGCTGAAAACCAGTCTAACATGACTCTGAATAGAAGGGTATCCAGGCGGCAGGGACGTGCAGTCTATTTTGCCAACACTGACAGCAGATGTATCGTCTATGGCCATATCCATGGATGCACATACCCCATGTCCTGGTGTAACACGATTGCAATATGTATGTACTCCGTACAGTAAAGAGATTTACCTGTTTTCAAGGTTGTGTTTGCCACAACATTGGGGAAGCTGAAAGATATGACCCCTCAGCCGAGAAACGACAGTGGCATTCGTCATGGGCGTTCACGGATGCTACACGCTGTGTCTACCGCCACCTTCATATGATGACTGCATCTGAAATGGCGAAGCTGAAGCCTCACAGAGAGTGGTTTCAAGCATGATCGACCTTATGCAGCCATTCTAATTTTCCGTTGGATTTCGATCGCACCGGCGGAAATGGTTATACTGCAGTCTGCAGGGCTGCCCGAGACATGTCAGATGGCTGCGATTCAAATCCCGTTAGTAGAAGTATAGTTCCAGGGGTTGGATCTAGGATTACCAATCTTATGTTGAAATGGAACATAAGAATCCCGGTTGTCTTGATTCACTTAGACCTAGGGGGCAGCATCGCATAAACACCCACACCCGAATCCAATGGTATGACAGCAGTCTGGATCAGCCGAAGCCCAATATCATTTGGGTGACATCTACGCTACACAGAAAGCTGTGTTCAATACACTCCGATACCGAGACCAGAAAGAATTTATGTTTTTTTGTTGTTCCGGCGTTGTGCTGGTCTTGTACTACACACGTAGTCAGCAACCTTAGAAACATTGGAACCTCGGAACTATTTCCCCCTGCTTCGAGAGCTCAGGTATCTAGGTATTGAACGTGAACAGTTATAGTGGGGCATGCTCAGGTTTGCCCCCTGACTTCACCGAGGAACGGGATCTCGCGGTATACGAGATCTACATAATATTCATATAGTGTTGAGAACTTCACCGTGAATTATGCTTTGGGAGACTGCTGCATGGTTTCTGCATTGTCCCGATCCAAAGGTCCCATTTGCAACGGGAGCGGGTTGGAGACCCGTGGTTCTGGAATGTCTGTTCCAGGGTTGGGAAATTTTGATGGTAGACGTCTAGGAATGGTTCTACAGAACCCCTAGATTCAAAGAATGTCGACCTCACGATCGGACCTTGACATTCCGATCGTTGTAAAACCCCTTGCTGTTCGTGGGCCATGCCGCAAATCCTGGGTCTGGCGCACTGAAGCTGGGGTACCGCGACCAGGGATGAATGGTTCTATTGTACACTGTATGCATTTAACCGACTGAAGAAAGTGGGAGTTTCCGTCTATTGTACGTATGTGGATCATCAGCTGAGAATGACTTCTGATTCGGCAGTTCACACTCAACATTCCTCAAGGAATCCCCCCGCAAATGACGATTGTCTTACAAAGTCCATTTGTTCCTCAGCTTGGGGCCCGAAGAAGAGTCTGGGAGAAAGGACTGCAAAGAAGTTTGCAAGTGTACTTCTGTTGCAAGGGAAACTCTTCTTGTTAAGCTACCAGAAGCGCAAACAGTTCAATTGATAGCCAGATAACATTTATGCCCTATGAAAAGGAGAAACATGATGCTCCGGTTTCATTCCATAGATACCTGGGTGGGCCCTTTCTGCAGTCCTTCTCCCAACGCCTTCAGGACCCGCTGCCATGACTGACCCGCTCTAGAGGCATGCTCAACCGGTACAGCTGGATTGTCATCCCCAAGGGTACGCGAGAAGACCTCCATACTGACCCACCCGGTATAGCCTATGCGGGTGATGCATGTCTCAGTGACCTCGCGAATGGGAAGATACCCACCCCGTTCCTCCTCGTACGGAAATAGACGAGCATTTCGCGACCAGGCTAGAAGCGTTGGCATCCCGGACGCATGGAGGAAAGGAGTTTGCGGGTCCACCCGTTCGCCATCGGCCAGCTGGACCATCAGAACGCGGTCTGGATCAATTTCCCGTACAAGCCGGGCCATGGATTTCTGTAGATCCTGGTCGGCACTTGCCGGCAAACGGCCCATTGGGCTCGTGGGATCGGCCCACAGCCGGGCCGCGATGTTGAATGTGTCTAAGCAGATTCCCAGGTTCGGTCTGTTGGCCTTCTGGATCACATCCCAACAATCCTCCCACGTGTTAATGTATGTGCCCCATGCAAGAGCTTCGTAGGCAATCCGGACGGGGAACGCCACATCGGCCGCCTCGGCCAGGTCGGCGGCAAGCCGGTCGCGGTCGCCGGTAATTTCAGAGGGGTCCAAGAATGAGGATGGGATCAGGATGAACAAGGAGTCGCCCATGATAGTGCAGAGCCGTGCCCAATGCTTGAGTTCGTCGATTCGTTCCATGTGGCGCTCCGGGTCTATAAGGCCTTCATAGTGTCGGAATGGTTGTAGGGCCAAGATGTGCAGATCCCGTTCAGCACATAGATCACGGAGCAGGTGCGCCGCATCAATCTCGTAGTCTCGATCGGTGCGGGGCAAGCTGTCCGTTGCTTGGCCACGAAGGGTCCGGGCTAGCTGTACTAGATCGTCATGAAAAAGCTCGAGACCTTGTTGACCACAGTGTGCAGCGGCATCCAGTTTCGCGGTAATTGGATGTAGATCGGCCGCTCCTAAGCTCACCGTCGCGATGGCTGGCTTCCACGGCGAGTCGATGTCGGAATTAGGGGGACTTGGAAGTGAATGCATCAGTGCTGGGATAATGTGCGGAGCCTGACAGGTAGCTAATAGCCACTAGTGAATTTTCTCCGTCGCCTTTTATAACCTTGGAAATCCTAGAAATAAAATGAGGTAAAATGAATGTATCCTCTCACCTCACCATGGCTGTTCTGTTTCCGTGTTGATCCCTTTTCCAGGGGTTAGAGATTTGCTTTGTTTTAAATTTTTCTTTTCCCTTGTCATTAATGTTTTTTTTTTCTCTAAAATCGAAACTCTTTTACCTCTTTTACCTCTTTTACCTCATTTAATCTCAAGTTAAATGAAATAAAAAGTGGGGGGCAACGTCGGAAAGGCCACTGAGCAAACGGTCAGAATTAGAATGTAGCACCAAGTCCACACCGTACGCCAAGCCGGTACACCCTGTGGAGCTGGATCGTCATCTTCTGCGTCTTCTACATGCTTATGTTTATGTTTTCCGTTTTTGTAAGGGAATAGGATCGTCTTCTTGTCGCTTACAGCGCACCAAACAAAATGTATATTGCCCGTTTTCGGGGGCTTGGATTGCATCCGTTGGAATTTGGGACCAAGGCAAGGGTAGGGGGTCAGATGTCACTGTCACTACTTGTGGCGATTGTCATTATGTTCCTCGGTAGCATTGAGAGAGAACGTATATAAGATGGCCAGATGGCCATCCTGTCGATTCCGTCATCCGATCCTGTACTCCGTACAACACTATACGTTGTTTGTCTGCCATGACGATCACCACGTCACTTCAGTCCTTGGTCAACCGCCTCGGGCAGATTGCACTGAAAGACGCCGCAAACCCCTCTCCACAAGTCCACTATGAGCTACTGCAAATGATTGAGCAGCTGAGAGCTGCTGTGGAATCGCCCACCGAGACGGTATTGCGTCTGATCTACCAGGTAGGTCGTCCCACACGAAGTCTGGTTTCCATTCTGACGGCATACACGGAGTAGCCTCCGCAGAATTCCGCACTGCGCATCGTGATTGATCTAGGTATCTTCAGCTTGCTCGTGGAGAGCTGGCCGGGGGACACAGGTCTCTCCGCCACTCAGCTGGCTGAGTATACGGGCGGCGAGCGGGATCTCATTGGTACGAACCCCTGCAAAGATACACATTTGACCACAAATTGCGGGGCCGCTAACTTCTCAGCAGTCCGGCTGATGCGTGTCATGGTGTCTTTGGGGTTGTGCGGCATGTCAGGCCCAGAAATCTACATTGCGAATGAAAAAACCGTGGCATTCACCCAACCCATTGGAAGAGATGGCCTGGCTTGCATGTGAGGATTTCCCACTCCATTGGACAGAAAACCCTCCGGAATAGTACTGACTAGTACTGAATGAGCCGAGTAGATATGATCTGACACTGCCAGCCCTGAGCAAGCTTCCCGAGTATATGCGCTCCCACGGATACTCAAGCCCGAAGGATTACACACAATCCCCGATGCAGTGGGCTGTGGGCCAGAGCCAGTTTGAATGGCTGTCCAGTCACCCAGAGCAGCAACAGATGTTTAACTCCTATATGACAAGTCGACGCGAGGGCAAGCCAATGTGGTTTGATGTGTACCCCGTTGAACGATTACTCGGCCATGGTGTTCCTTTTGAGGACACAACGCTCTTAGTCGATGTTGGAGGTAATCGAGGACATGACCTGGTCAAGTTCCGCCAAAAATACGACCATCTACCCGGAAGATTGATCTTGCAGGACTTGCCAGACGTGGTTAAGGGGGTCTCAGGATGTGCCACACCGATCGAAGTGATGGCGTACAGCTTCCTGGACCCTCAACCTATCCAGGGGGCCCGCGCATACTATTTCCGCGCAATCTTCCATGACTGGCCTGATCATATTTGTCAAACCATTTTGCGCAACACGATCTCTGCTATGGCGCGTGATTACTCCAAGATTTTGATCGTGGATTTCGTCCTGCCAGACACTGAAACCCCCTGATGCAGTCATCTATGGATATACAGATGATGAGTATCGGGGCTGGGATGGAACGATCAAAGCAGCAATGGATTAACTTACTGAAAAGCGTTGGATTGGAAGTGACAGGGATTTGGAGCCAAAGTCCAGGGATGGAATCAGTTATCGAGGCGGTTCCAATGTCAAACTAAGGGGTCAAACTTTTACCAGGGCTGACGTTTTCACGTGCAATTATAGACAAATAATTCACAAAACTAAATCATAGCTACATTGACAGATGATGGCCTTGGAAAATTTTCATGCAGAGTGTTGTCTCGAGGGAGACTTTACGGCTTCGTTCTAGCATGTTGATCTGTGCAACCTGAGGTACATTGCATACATATTGAAATCATTCTGTAACTCATCAGACATCGAGTGTTCCAAGGTTCTGCCTGGGGCTTTGTCGCCTCCACAGTCGAGCACCTCTGCCCTTAATCGGCGCCTGATGTCATTCTATACAGCGCCTGAGAGATTCCGCACCCAAAGCTGCAGCATCATCGACCAGTACTGTTCCCCGAAAGTACAGCCGGTGGTAATTGAGTTGGTCTTCAAACACCGCTCTATACCTTTTATTGTTCAAAAGCCCCCCGGCCAAGATCAGAACGGAGTGTTCCGTCGGTTGGTATCCCAGAGATTTGGGATTTACCAATTTTTTCAGAGTATCACCGACTAGCTTGGCAATCTGTGCCCTGACAATGTCTGCTGCAGTCTGGCAATTCTTCATCAGACCGAGAACAGCTTCAGCAACGCCAGTGATGCGCCTTTTGGCGCTTTGTGTACACCCCCGAGCTAGTAGGTCGTTCAGGATATCCATGCCAGCAGTTGAGCTGAGGTCACAACCGAGCTTGGTAGATACAGCCATTGCTAGCTCGTCATTACTGCTTTTGACAAGCCCTAAGGCGAGACCCTCAATAATACTTAAGGTGTGTTGAATCGCTTTGAGGCCAATTGCATAACCACCTCCCTCATCTCCGAGAATGTGGCCCCATCCACCAGACCGAGCGACGCGAACGTGCTCTCGCTGGCTTGAGACCCACTTGTATCGCATGGCAATACTCCCTGTGCCTGCAATCACGATCAAGGCAGAGCATTGTTCATGACACAAGGGCACAGCTGCAGCCAGCAGGTCAACATCACTCGTCACTCGAACGTTCTCTGGATCAACGATTCCAAAAGCCTCTGCCAGCTTAGGTCTGAGCAAGCTCTGAAATCCAGCGCGGTCCAATCCCGCGAGTCCAACCCAAATAGAGCTAAAGCATGTCTTTAGATACTCTCGCCATGGCTCCGTTCGGTCTGCGCCAGTCATTGTTTGATCGGCGACTGCCGACTTGGTTGCCTCGAGTATCGTAGAAATCACGCCATCAATATCCCCAGAGCAGTCAGTTCTATGCCTCAGTTAGCATGGTAAATACTTCTGCGTTCAGAGTCCATGTCTCTCACAGATTGCAAGGTCCAGCAGAGCCTCGGTATATAGCCCCTGCGCTATCGATCACAGCAGCAGCGCATTTGGTGCCTCCTCCGTCAATACACAAGGAGAATTGCCGTGACGTAGCTGTTTCTCCCACAGTCTCCTTGTTCGGTCTATGGACGGCAGCTAGTGCCTTGGTCAAGAATCCACCGGCAGAGTGAAGATGTCCCTCGCAGACCTCGACTGATTCTTGTGATTCGGCGACCAATATAGCCAACTTGACATTGCGATTGCATCTGGCAAGAAGGGCGTCCAGTTCATCGTCTGACGCCGAACGGCACTGCACACTCAAACTCCGCAACATGTTACGCGATCGATGCCTGAGTTTCAAATTGGATGCCACCATGTCGACCATCTTCCCCGGGGACATGTTAGCGAGGTAAACCATGCGTTCTAGATTGTCAGAGAGCCTACCATATTCCCGTATGTTTTACCTATCCTGATCATGGTACCAGTGCTAAGCATATTCAGAACGAGCTTAGTCGCCGTGCCGGCTTTCAGTCTGGTGCTACCCGTCACCACTTCGGGTCCTGGCAATGGCGCAATCACGAAATCAGCATTCCCCGAAAGACTTATTGCCGATGGGCTGGTGCACACGACTCCAATCGTCACACACCCGAGATTTTTGGCAAAAGCAAGGCAACCAAGCACGTAGGGTGTCCGACCAGAGCTTGCAATTCCAATAATGCTGTCGAGTCCAGGTTTCAGATTCAACGCACGCATGGCATGTTCTCCAGCAAGCTCATCATCTTCGGCACCCTCCTGGGCCTGTCTGATTGCTTCGTCGCCACCGGCAATCAGCCCGATGAACTGGGAGCGAGGGGCTGCGAAAGTCGGAGGGATTTCCGATGCGTCCAGAATTCCGAGTCTAGCGAGTCCGATTGTGTTTGTTTCAGTTCCAGTTCGACTTTACTGAAGTTCAATGATTCTTTCACCTTCCACTAGTTCCAGCGCCTACATAGATGACTCGGCCACCTCGAGAGACGCGCGGCGTCAAAGCATCGATCGCTCCGGCGATTTCTGACAGACAAGGAACAACACTCTCTGGGACCTTCTGGTCGTTGGAATTAATCAGAGTGCACATCTCCAAGGTTGATATTTGGTCGATATGAACCGTTAGAGGGTTCAAACCCTCTGTTTGGAGGTTTGACAAATTTTCGTGACCCATGGTCGAGGAAGTGAGGTCTACGGAGTAGACAAGACAGTAGGCGAGATAGATGAATTACACACCCGTGACGAAATTTGCAGGGCGTTCCCAACATCGTGGAAGCGAAGGCCGTAAATGAGGCCGGATGTCGGCCCCTTCAGAGGGTTACGCGGTAGAGTTGCAGCGGGGAGCTCGGCTTAACTTCACAAGCGCATTGTGGAGGGCCCTCTAACGAGGGCTGCCCGCGTTTCCCCGCCAATTGTTCGACCAAATCTTGACTAAATCAGGATTGATATCCAAGCCCACAACCCCATTTCCCCATGTCTCCACTCTGAATGCTACTACGCGTATCCCGGTTCGCGTGCAACCTCATCCTGGGAAACGGCTGACAGGCCACCCGTTGGAGGCCTTGGGAGATCATCATATAAGAGGATGGTGTTCCACTCGCTTTTTTGTTGACTCCTTTCGCGTACAAAAATGTCGCGGATAATCGGGCAATCCTCTCAAGATAGGGAAGATGGGGACGACGGCCCCTCAAATAGATCGACAATCTACAAGATTTGGACCCATTGTTGGTTTCAGATCATATTGATCAGCTTCATTTGTTTCTGCTGTCCAGGAGTGAGCAATTCAGGTTCAAATGACAAACGAAATCAGACTATCTGACCTTCGAGTAGATGTACAATGCACTCCAAGGTCTGGGGGGCTCAGGTCAGGTAAATCAGGCCGTCGCAGCCAATGCCAATGTTGCCCTATTATCTGCCACTGCCGCCACTGCTCTTTTCGTGGTGGGTCCGATTTTTGATCGTGTTGGGCCAAGGGTGTGTATGTTGCTTGGGGGTTGGACGTATCCTTTGTACTCCGGCAGTCTGCTGTGCTTCAATGGTGAGTTTTTGAACTCAGATGCAACGCAGCCAAGCTGACTGGCTTCCAATGAACAGCCACAAACAATGAAGCCTTCGTAATTGCTTCTGGTGCAATCCTCGGTGTCGGAGCTTCGTTCTTGTGGGTGGCCCAAGGTGCGATCATGACAACCTATGTATCCGAGTCACACAAGGGACGTGCGATAGCAACATTTTGGGTCATTTTCAACCTCGGTGGCGGTGTGGGATCCCTCGCTAGTTTTGGTCTCAACTATCATTCGAAGACTGGCACCGTTTCAAACGGAACATACATTGCTCTGCTCATCATCATGGCAATTGGATGGTTGCTGGGGTTATTCATTTGTCCGCCCTCGTATGTTCAAAATGTACAATTGCAGAGGACGCCGGAAAACGAAAAGGGTTGGCGAACGATTATTTGCCAGTCTCTCAGAACGATCTTCGACTGGCAAGTTCTATGCATGCTGCCGCTTTTTTTCTCTGCCAATGTGTTCTATTCGTACCAACAGAATACTGTCAACGGGATGACATTCAACATCCGGACCCGTTCCCTCAACGGCGCACTGTACTGGATTGCACAGATGCTGGGTAGTTTCATGATGGGAATGATCCTCGACATTCCCCAGCTAACCCGCCCCATGCGAGCCCGCCTGGCTTGGGTATTCTTGCTTGTAATCGGAATGGGGACCTGGGGCGGAGGCTTTGCATTCCAAAAATGGTCCGATCACCGTCTGCAGCAAGGTCTCAAGCAAGATGTTGATTACACCGACGGACACATCTCGGTGGGACCGATGTTCCTGTACATTTTTTACGGTGCATACGACGCGTTCTGGCAGTCGTTCTGCTACTGGCTCCTGGGAGCTCAGTCAAACTCCCCTGCGGTGACTGCTGTGCTGGTGGGCGCGTACAAGACATTCCAGAGCGTAGGAAGCGCGATGGCGTGGCGTATCAATGCGTTGGGAAAGCCTCCTATGACGCAGCTTGCTATGGATTGGGGTCTTTGTATGGGCTCGCTGTGCATCGCCATTCCAACTGTGCTGGCAGTCACCTTGACAAGCGAAACCACCCCTAGACCTGACGAGAAAGAGCCATCCGTGGGAGAGAAGCTCGATTCAGAGGAGAACAGACTTCAATTGTCTCACAAGAATGAATGTTAATTTAATCGACCCGCCAAGTTTCAACAAGTTGGAGCTTGAGGCCAGGGGCGAGGGTTTGAAGTTGGAAGGATGTAGATTTCTGCTCGAGTCACCCGTGGACTGGACGGATATTCTACCTTTGTTGTCAGTAGCCAAGAAATGCAATGCATCCAGAATTCATATTCATGTGTAGGTGTAGACCAGTTCAGCAGCGACATGGCGGGTAGTCAGTTGGGATTGGGGTAATCGCTTAGCTGTCGCAAGCAGGCTGTGTGGATAGAGTTGAAAGCTTGGTGCAAGAAGTCAGATCTATATCAGGCGATTTTCATTCGTCGGTAGACCTTGGAGAATATATACATAGCATGTTCCGTCGGTATGTTTGCAAATGGTCATTCACGGGTGCTGGTCAAGGTGGCCTCGTGGGTCCCAACAGTCCTTCTTCCGCCTCTTCTTATTTGACGCACTTCTTGAGAATTGCAGTCTCCAACAAGAGCTTTGTGTACTGCCGGTGGGCCCAAGCCACCTTTTCATCCATGGGAGGAGCATCTGCTGTTCCAAGGCCTTGATAGAAACAGCTCTTCAGACTGAAGTCAACCACGCCCTGTTCCTTCTTGACCACAGCGGCGATCTCAAATAGGCCGTCGGAGGCTCGGACTTCGCGGATTCGGGGGAGTCACCGCAGCGCACGACAATCCGGTCATCGGTTTTTTCGACCACTTCGAAGTGGTCTGTTATGACGGTGCCCACTTCGTAAGTGCTGTTGAGGAGATCGGATCGATCCCACAGATCACTCGCAGTTTCAGGGCCTCGGTACTTTCGGTCTTGGAAGGCTCTCTGGGGAATGAATCCTAGAAAGAAGACGAAGCGAATCGATCAGAGGGAGTTTCTTGTATTGAGCACAGGGATTCAAAGCTTACCCAGACCACCCCAGACACCGGCGCAGAACGCCTCAACCAACTTGCCCTTCTCCTCAACCAGCGATGGCTGGATCTTGTCCAACGGCATTTGACGAACACACACATCATGGAGAGTCGGGTTGCGATTCGGGTTGAACTTGTTGAACAGGGCGGATTGGAAGATAGGATCCGAGGTGTCCATAGGTTGGAAGAGGTCATTGCGAGTGGCGCCCCAGAAAACCCCGACCGAGGCCACGCTGCCGGCGATGCTGGTTTTCACCAATTTACTGAAGATGCCCATGGTGGAGAATGAGGAAGAGTGAGGAACAGTAAACGGTGCATCGCGGAGGTCTCTGGGAGCTCCAAGCTCTGAAGTACCTCGGAGGCTTGGCATCGGCATCGGCAACTTCATTCCTCCACCTTTTCCACCCTACAGCACTTCGAAATATCCATTTGCCCCCTCCATCTTCCTTTCTTTCCTTGGGATTATGTAGAACCACTTGGGAGAGAGCTTTATTTAGGATTTTTACGCTTGTCACATGGCCCAGTCTGAACTTGCGATCAATTCGTCTCGGCAATTGAACGGATATTGATTCCCTCCCGATGCCTAACTATGTCGAGCTAACTCTGCCACAAACGACGGGGGCGCCTGGGAGCAAGCGACCATAAACATGAGTAGTTTGCCAAGCTCGCTCTCATTCCAGGGTCCCGGGGATCACTACGGAGTAGATCAATGTTCCCTTGAGATGCTCCCCACAAAAGTCGGCTTCTCCAGCCCCTCCTAGTAGCGATCCTCCGCTGACGCCATGCTCGGGAATTCCGGATCCTCCTAAAAATGCCCCCGGAAAACGAGGTGGATGCTATGCAATGTCAGTTATCGTTCTCCAGGATAGCACCGGGGGAAAGGTTGGAATGCATCTCACCTAAGCAAAACAACGATCATCGACGTGGAATACCCATGAAACCTTCTGCTGAGGGACTTCGATATGTGTGGCTGGCGTGAGAAAGAACAAAAGAATAAAGAGTGAAAAATCAAATCGATCCATGGCCCTGCTATCTGTACTAACCCTGTTGCTTTTGCTAATCAAGCAGACGAAAAAAAACAATCAGGAGTTTTAAAGCAGACAGCCAGCGACAGAGCAAAGATCCTGTGCCTCAAGCACAATGTTATGTTGTCCAGGGCCTGGTTGTTGGTCAAACAAAGCGGCGAAAGGAAGAACCAGAGGAGCACCGGCAGCGTGACTCCATGTCACCTCAATCTCTTGTGCTGCATATGCTTGCTGTGTTGCTGGGAGTTGTGGGACCAGGGGAGGCATAGGAGGGTTCTGCAGGCGTAGGGCATTGATGTCTTCTCTGCCAAGAGGGCGAGGGCCGTTCGGAGGAGCCAATTGCCACTTCTCAATGTGAAGTGTACTACCGGAGAAGATCAGGATCAGAACGATTCGCACATTGCCATTAGTGCTCGCAAACCACCACTTCGCATCTTCTCGTAGGCGAGACAGTGACTGGGGCACACCAGTCTCAATGATGAGGGTGGGACAAGACCAGGTCTGTGAAACAGGAGCCCAACGAGATGGTGGGAAAAAAGCTTCGTCTGGTTGCTTGCCATTGTGTGCTGTCGGTTCATGGGCAGTGTTGGCGCCCCACCTGATGTGTGTCGTAGCATTGAGCATTGCAGAAAGCTGGGAATCAATTGCTCCGACGAGTTGAGTGGTTGCAAGTATGTGGAAGTACGATGCAATCACCTTGACCAGGCCGATCACACCGTCCCATTGGAACCTGTAGTTCAGATTCTCGAGCGGGTGCTCGGCATCGGCGAGCCGCCGGATGAGGGCGGGGGAGAGGCCGACGACAATGATCCATTGATTGCCATCCATCGATTCCTGCAATTCCTGGAAAACCATGTCCACCGTGTTCTGGAATCGAGCAGGCGAAATGAAAGGGCTCACGACGTAACCCATCGGAAGCGTGTGATGGAGAGCATAAACAGACGCAGATGTCGACGGCATATCGAGTTGGGAGTGAAAGATGAAGGTTGGAACCGTGTGGAATCAACTTAAAAGGTGATGACGAGGTGAGTGAAGAGAAGGAAAGAAAGAAAGACGAAGCAAACCACACGAGGGAGCTTTTCTCTTGAGAAGCTGGAGGGCGAATTACACTAAGAGAACTTATCTTTTAGCAACCACTTCAAAAGCTTGAGTTACTCACAGTCTTCTCCCAGATTTAGAATATCGAGCTTACACAAGATGATCAGAACAGTTAAGATGATTTCACGCATTCAAACATTGTGTTGTTACATTCTACCGGCAATCTAGAATAACAGAATAACAATCAACGCAGTCAAGCCCATCTTATCAAAACGAGTGAACTTCAGAACGAATTCTGAAACCTTGAGCCAAATAACCGCTCCTTTAGCCCAGAAGGCCAGAGAGGAGACCACCGGTGGCAGTGGGAAGAGGGTGGCTCGAAGCAGGAGTAGAGGGAGTCCCACCAGAGGGAGGAGCTGCAGTGGAAGAAGGCGTGACAGCGGAAGAGATGGCACCAGAGGAAGACTTAGCCGAGGAGAAGGCGGCGCGGGTTGAAAGGGTGCTCGAAGGCGTAGGCAGACCAGTGGGTGTCAGGATAGGGATAGTCTGCTCAGCCCGCTTTTGTCCACCAGCAGAGGCAAGAACAGCGCCGACAGACTGGGCACCCGACAGAAGAGAAGGAATATCCGTGGGGATGGAGAGAGAGCCATCCCGCTTCTGTGCACCGCCCGAAGCCAATGCAGCGACCGCAGACTCCGCGTCAGAAACCAGCGAGGGCAAATCGGTGGGCAGAGACAGAGCGTCTCCTCGCTTCTGGGCACCGCCCGAAGCCAAAGCAGCTGCGGCGGACGAAGCATCGGACACCAGTGAGGGTAGATCGGTGGGAATAGAGAGTGCTTCACCCCGCTTGTGGGCGCCAGCGCCAGCAGATGCGAGGGCCGCGGCAGCCGACTGCGCGTCGGCTACCAGGGACGGAAGGTCCGTGGGGATGGAGAGGGCCTCCCCACGCTTTCCGGCACTTCCACTGGGTAGGGCCCCCCAGGAGAAGGGCACAGACTCCGAAGATGGGGCAGCAGAGGACGAAGACGCCCTGCCACTGGAAGTGAAGGGATTGGGCAAAGGGGGGTCGGTCGACAGATGAGCAGGAGTCGACACAGGGGACGAGCTCGACGCAATGCGGGTGCTGTTGGAGAACGGAGCACCCATGGCAGAGCCAGAGAGAGCGATAGCAAGGGCAGCAAAGGAAGTCTTCATCGTGAAAAGCGGTTTGGGTTTGAAGATGGAAACAGTTGGAATGATTGAATGAGCTGTCGATCAACGATGGCTCGAGAACGAAAGAAGTTTGAGTGATAAAGATTGTAAGACGAAAGCGATCTCAGATCTGCTGGATTGAAGTAATTCGACAGACTTGACATGGCTTTTTATATCTGATTTCGATGAGTAGCACACCATTATACCTTCGGGACTTTGCCATGACCAAGAACCGACCCATCGCCTATACCTCGCCTCTGCCTTGGTTGTCGATGGAGGATCATCAGGCCTTGTGACGGGCTTCTCGAAGCATTGTGAAACATCGACACCCCCTGATGAACTCAATTGACGGTTTCATGTCGATCTACTACCTCAATTGGCAAAGAGCCCTGGATGAGACCTTTGGTTCATGGAAAACGGACCGGCTTGAACCTTAGAATGGGGAACGTGGATTAGAAAGCTGATCATGGGTTGTACTCCATCGAGGGGTCTACAGATGTGTGCAATTTTGAGATTTTCGAGGAACCTTCCGAGTGGCGTGTAGATAGAATGCTGCATTGGGAATAACTCCTGCGGTAACCGGGGACCTTCTTGCCTTACGGCGAAAGTCCAGCCAGTCAGTCTGCGCGCCATCACAGCGGTGGGTAAGAAGGTTCTTCCAGAGATTTGCATTCCAGGGTCCAGTTAGACTCGAATGAGCAAGATGGTGCCGACGACGATCCTGCCGATCCCCGTTAATACGCCGGATTAGGCAATGGACCAACCTCGGTACGCCCCTTTGGAAACTTCTCCAAAGATTTGCGTCTGAGATAAGGTGAGATGATGTGATATCTTGGAAGCCACGAAAGCCCTGCAGCTTGGTTCTCCCCAGGTTGAGATAGCGGATTACAAGACTTCTTGGTACCATGCCTCGCCACTTCCAAGATTACCCCATAGTCTTCTATCTGCACACAATGGCCACAATTACGCAATCCTGTGATTATTGTATTGTAATATCCTAGCGATGTGCCCTCTAGATTCGCTGAAAGAAGTTGATTATATTGTTTGAGAAGGTGCGCCAGGATGCCATCGAGCGTTGGGCATTCTTAGGATCAAGGATTCAGGAATCGCTTCATTGGACCGAATGTTGAAGTCCAGGCTCCGAGGGATCTTCCCCAAATAAACAGAGGAATCGCAAACAGAACACTCGCTACCTGGATTGCGGCCATCTCGCCAAAGACAGCCGCGGGTCCTTGACGGTCAATCCAATCCGCACCGTAGAGCGAGACAAGCATGCCAATAGTGTTCCGAATGACGAATATGATCACCAGGGCCTCGCCAGTGACCTGATTGGCTGTTAATGAGCATGTTCCTGTAATGATCCAACAGTGTACGTACGGGTTTAAACAAGTCAAGAGAATAAGTGACGGCGACATTGCTGATCGCAGCGACGCCGAAGGCCTGCATAGCATTGCCGATAGCAGGGCCAATCCAGTGGGTCTTGCTGGCGACGCAAAACCCAAAAATGAGAATCCCCGCCGGTCCAATTACACCTGGTATGACGATGGCCGGCAGTCGATATTCGGGTCTGCGTACACCCCCGTGCCGAGCAGCATTGCGTGTGGAAATGATATCAATTAGTCGCCCGCCAAAATAAAATGCGAGTACAGAGCCGATGAAAGCTGCTAGCGACAACAGACCCAGATCGCCCAGCTCCCACCCGTATGGAGGCTTGGTGAAAGTTCGAGATGACATCAGCTGAACTACGATGTTCCTATTATTTTAATTAGTTGGTGCAATCAAAGTGCTCATTTGAATGCGGGAACAGACCATCCGACAGAGATTCCAATCGTCAAGGAGCACCATATTAAAGGTGGATAAGCAGCGTTGACGATGATATCCCGCAAAGGCTGTGAAAAAGAGGCGCGCGGATTATAGCCAGCCGTGACAGACATCCACTCCCACTGGGTTCGCTTTGTGGAAACTACAGGATCGATGAACTCGTGTTGACGGGTTGATGTTTCCCTGATGGTGAATATGGCAATGATGAACACCACTCCAACGGCAATGGCGAGAAAATAACACATCCACCTCCAGTCATGTTCTTGAACTAGATATGCATTAATCAACGGGCCCAGGAATAAACCCGCTGTCATAGCGAGATGAAAGAACATCATATAGTGCCCTCGATCTTGAGGTGCAACCATATCGGCCACCACAGCAGGCACAGTGGCATCGGCTGCCGCAGCAACAAAGCCAGAAAGAATCCTGGATGCAAGCAACTCCCTGTAGGTCGTGGCTTGGCTAGACCATATGTTCATCAGCGATAAACCAAGCATGGCAAGCAGGTATACTGGTCGTTTCCCGATGACGCGCATGAGTGGCACCCAGAATATGTTGCCCATCCCAAACAGAAAGACGTTGAAACAGACCAGTTCTCCAGCCTGTGTCTCGGTCACTTCAAATTCCTTGATTATGGGCTGTGTTGCGACAGTAAAATTGCTCGAGTTGATGTTGGCCAAGAAAGTGAAGGAGCAAATGGTGAGATAGGTACACTGCTTTGCCGTAGCCGGCCAGTTCTGATTGTTGCATTTTCAATTTTAGCATTGCAACCGGGATAAACATCTTGATCTTCTGTTTGGGGCTCACCTGTGGGTGGTTAGGATTTCCATTGTCCGACTCCTTGGGATCATCAGGGCCCAAGGAGCCATCCTCGCCATGCGGCATTGTCTCCAAGTGACTCGAACTGGTTTGCGACTCTTTGACTTCTGTCATTCTGCGTAACGGTTGTGATATGGTGGGAAAGTGCAACTGAGGGAATTTGTGATTATTGACCCCAGAGGACTCCGTAGTCCAAGCCTAGTCTCAAATACCTCCGATCTTCCCCACAACTCAAGTATGGGGAAGCGCATGAAGAAAGGATTGAGTCGGCATTTCCGATGTGCGCAAATCAAAAGTGGGCCCCAGCTGATGGGGAGAGTGGAAGTTCCGAGTTGAACCCGACCGTTGTCTGAAAGATAGGAAGCTGATGAAGGACTTTCAAGGTTGATGAAGAAGGGACACAATTCTCAATTTAATTTTTCAGTAATAAAGTGAATTGAAGGTGGAAGCTTGGAAGCTCATGGAGAATGGCCCAGCTTGATGTTAAAAGTGTGGCCCTGAAGGGAGTTGGAAAAGGCGGAGTGTATCCATTCTGCCACTCAGTTCCGCACTTGGTGTTTCTTGCCTGGATGCCTCGCCGAGTCAGGCTTCAGCTACGGATGATTGAGGAGTTGCAAGGTTGTATTCGGGTATATTCCAAAGCTCAGGCGAAAAATTGTGGAATTCAATACCTAGGTATCATGCAGCCTAAGGATGGATGACCAGCTTGAATAGATGGGATAGGTGCCCACGCGTGTGCATCTATAGGAATTCACAAATATGCATTGACTTTCGAGATATATTTCCAACCCTGGAATGTCACTCTGAAGGCATGTTCAGATATGCTCATGCCCACCTGGGTAGTTCCAAAGCTTCCAAGGTTTTAACCAACAGAATAATAATCATAATAGTAAAAAAGACACCAAGAAAGATCTCTGTGACATGAGAATGACAGCACTGGAGTTGACGTAGGCAAATATTGGGAAGATAGCCTCGGGCTAGACGAAGAGACTCTCCAAAAGTCGAAATACACCGCGAGGAATCATTCTTATCATGGTAAAAGTGACTTTATCTAGGTGTGTCTAGATGGATGCTCTTGGTCAAACTAGGTCAAGACCTTCAACGACACATTGGTTCGTGAGGATCTGACAGGTACTTGGATATAGCGAATACCCTAGCAACCGGTTCCCCCAGCGCGACGTGATTGAATGTAACCGGCCAATTGCATCGAGATCCGGTAGACGCCTGATTGGGGATTATGGACCAGGCGTTAAGAAAACAGCCCAAATACGAGATCTCAGTATATGATATCAAGAACATGATATCCCCAGGTAAAAGCGCGGTGGGAAACTGAGAGCACATCCCATCTACTCGAGAGGCCGAGAGAGAGAGAAAAGCGAGAAAAGGCGAAGTCATTCGAGCTGCAAACTGTGTGAAGAAGGGACCCTCCGATTGAGATCACAAAATGTGCAATTCTGGAGTCCCTCTTGGTCCCTTAACATGCCACCTACAAGTTCCCTCCATCTCAACTTCGCAGCACTATTGTATCAATGAAGCCCCCCGACGAGGATGTGGACCCATCGACAAGAGATCAACATCGCGCCAGAAATGCTCTCCGTGTCGTTGACCAAATAACCCAATCTCAAAGGCAGAAAGTCATGGCTAAAATCATAATACCTGCCAAATGTCGCTCCGTCGACACCAAACGCCTTGTGCGTGTACTGGAGTTGAGCCATGCCCGTGGAATGACCACGTTGACCCAAGCCAAGCATATTGCTCTGGACGCATACCATGCCATGTCGCCCATCGACCAAGCTTCTTTCAATGTCCGCGAGGGACCAGACCTTCAACGTTGTCTCAACCTCCTCATCGATTCCTCGGACAGTGCCCATGCAGAAGTGGTCTATACCCGTGACCTTCTGTACCGCACTCGCAACGCATGGTGGCGTGAAGCCAACTACCTGGCCGCCAAACGACTTCTGCCTAACCGCAACGTTCGGGCGGAGCCCTTGATTCAGCGTCGAATTGCACATCATGATCGTCTGGTACATGGATGGGATCGGGATCGCCGCCGCAAGGAACTGGACACACTGACTGCCTTTCAGGCCATGTCATCCAACAACCAGCGCTTGTTCCGGGAATGGTACGGGGACTTGTTGATGCTGCTTCACCTAGAGGTATGAAAAATTTGATCTTGAGAAGACCACCCATGTATACGGAGCAGGAGTATGAGAGATTGATCACCTGTAGACCAATATCCTATGATACACCCACATTGCAGCCGCCTCCTGTGACAGAGGACAAAATCATTCAAAATGACCAGACATAATAGCCTCGTAAGGTATAGAATGACGATTTAGGTGACCGAAGGCAATTTAAGGCAACAAAGCCACCTCGTACGGAGACTTCACAACAAGCCAGGAGACATGACGGAGGTGGGTGGATCGCGAAAGCCGGTTTCCCGCCCGCCGCGTCAGCACAGCCACATCGAATTCTCCATCTTCAAGATCTTGGCTTCTCGAACTTCGAGTCTCTGACGATTTCTTGAGCCATCTACGATTCTATCATGACCCCTATCACCAGTTTGAATGGCTGATCGGCAATGCCCTTCGATTCTCGTCGTTTTCAACGCCTTCAGGGCCATCCAGCATGTTCGATGGGGGATTCGGGGCATGGCTCCGTAGGTCATGCTCAATCTGCTAATTTGGTCGGAAATGAAGCTAATGATAATCTATAGCTCTTCTTGCTCGGCTTCGTTCGCCCCGACAGCCTCGGGGCTGGCGCCCTGTTGCCCTCCGACCGCCCTACCTCGGTGCCCTCATATGTCTGATGTTGACAATATTATTGTGTCTGGAAGGACTGCGACAGTATAGTGACCGTAAGGGAGGTCTCGCTTTCTTTCGATACACCGACGAGGTCTCCTCCGTTCAATCCTTTGCCTACAACTATCTGCCCATCATTGTGTCCCTTGTCCTGGTCGTTATATGGACTGTCACCGATTACGATGTCCTCCGCCTGGAACCATACTTCCAATTATCCCGACCTGAGGGAGCCCCTGCGACCGTGCTGTTCATCAACTACAACTTTGGTCAGACTATCTTGACTCCCATCAACGCCGCTCGGCGCCGCCACTGGGTGGTTCTCTGGGTTTCGTTCGTGACGCTCTCGATTCGAATGATTCTCCCCGCTTTACAAAGCACGGTGTTCGAACTGCGGGAGGTGACTGTGATCGATCATGAAAGCATGAAAAGCTGGCCGCACTTGGTGAATCTAGCCACCCAAGAGAGCTGGATGTCTACCCAGGCCAATACCATGGTCGACTCGGTGCTCTCCTCGAACGATCAATTGCAGCGCACTCGATCATCTAAATACGCCGTTGCGCCCGTAGAAATCCCTGGCACTCGTCGAGACGAAAGCACGATGTGGACCCTTGATCAGACTCTGTACTGGGCTGAGCTCTCATGCCAGAATGTTCTCGTTGGGGACAAACTGACAGTCGCCATTGACGACCCCCAGGCGACATACCCAACAATCTCGTGGAATGCGAGTGGCATCGATTTGGGCGCCAGCTATGGAGGCGCTGACACATGTACATTGGATTTCCACTACCAGAGTGTGTTTTTCTCTGCCACTGATTATCTCCAAGTCCGCTATTGGGAGCCAGTTATCAGCAATGCAGCTAAAGAGGCGTATCCGAATCGAACTCAAGCCTTCACAGCCTCTGGCTGTGATCCGTACGACTTATATGGCATGATCATTGGGGTAAATGCTACAACTCAGAATTCCACCTCCAATTACTCTGTTTCGGGGGTGGCTTTCGCTTGTGACATCACATACCATCAAGCAGAAGCACGAGTATCGATGCACTCCAATAGCTCCATCACATCCATTGATGTTAATCGGGCCACAACCAGAAATCTCACGGCAGCTGAGTTCAACATCGAGCATTTCCAGGCCCTTTTGTCTCAGCGCGCTCCCTATACCAGCGACATGCTGTTCATACGTGAGAACGCCACCACGGGCGCTCGTACAATCACAGAGTTGCCGGTCATCAGTCAGGAACTGGGAGATCTGCAGCCCGTTTTGGTACTTGACACGTCGACTATCATGACCGAAGTTGAATTTGTGTCCAAGATTGGAAGAGATGTGAAACAAACGTTTGTTTTAACTATGGGCCGCCTATTTGACCCCGAGACCGCACCAACGATCATTGCGGCGGCTCGACTATCGAAGCAGGTCGCCATCGCGGTGGTTGACTTTGCCGCTCTGTGGTCTGAATTCATTCTCATCTTGGCGACCTTGACTGCTTTATACCTCCTTTATATGTATCATTCGCGTGAATTGTTCCTCAAAAGTGACCCAGGCTCGATTGGCGCCATGTGCAGCATTACAGCAGATGTCTTTCACCCTTCCAACATCCTCGCCGAGCCAGTGGCAGAATTCCACCAATTTTCCACTCGTCAGCTACGCCGCATATTCAAAAACGCTCGGTGCTTTTGGCGACCCGGTCCATCTGGGAGCCGATTAGAGATTCTTGCTGAGGATGGTCTGTATCACCGACCCTTTGAAGCCCTGTGGCTTTTTTGTTCCAGGGAATCAGACTGACGTCTTTTTAGGCTCACCCGTACAGCTTGGGGAAAACCTTCAAACCCATGTCGACCCTATGCCTCATTTTCTGGTGATACCTTTCTTTTTGGTGGAATTTCTAGCCTTGGCTGGAGTAATCATTCTCATGGGCCTGGTAGTCGCATCTCTGCTACGCGACGGCCGATTTCGCCATTTGACTCAGTCCGACTCGAGCGCATTCCAGGTCGTTCTGTCCTTCTTACCATCCATCATCGCATCTTCCGTTGGATCTTTGTGCACATCTATCCACCGCAATCTAAGCGTTCTTGAGCCCTGGGTTCACCTACAAAGGGGGAACGCCTCGGCACGGGCCTCATTGTCCTTGAATTATTCATCGCAAAGTCCTTTTGCCATTTTCATCAAGGCGGTTCGTGACCGCCATCTCCTGCTGGGTCTGGTATCCATAGCCTGCGTCGTAAATATGGCCTTGACTGTTGTCGCCGGTGGACTCTTCACTCAACAGTTGACAACCACGACACTGGACACAAACGACTTGACTATGAATTACAGTCAGTCTACTTTCTGGCAGACCGATTTTGCAGCGGAATTCACCGAGTATGATTTAATCCAGACCAGTATAACCAGTGGTGTACCTATGCTCTCATGGACCAGTCCAAATCAGTCCTTCATTCCCGTGCATGTGAACAATCGCAGCCCAGATGTGACATATGGCGCATCGACACTTGGGGTGGGCACAGAACTCAACTGCCAAGCACTCTCAACAAGTGACCTAGTGCAAAATAACACAAATGGACACCAGTTCTGGCGGTACGGTCTGTTCGCCAACTCCTCGATGGAATGTATCGCGCGCATGCCACCCCTGAAGAGCAAGGACGAAGGAATTGCGTTATCTATTCATTTCCTCTCCCCGGATGATTTGGACGAGTCGGACGTCTGTCAAACCTCGACAGTCCTTGTTGTTGGTCGGTGGGACTACAAGGCAGATACCCCGATGACCAATGACAACACCATAGCGTTGCACTGCGAGCCTCAGGTCCAATTGCAAGAGTATTCTGTGACGTTCGACCAGAAAGGACAAATTGATTGGCATGAGCCAGTGGCCAATACTGCCATCCACCAAGGAACGATGTACGACAATGCCACTGTCAGCCTTGGTCAGTTCAACAAAGTCTTTGCAGCAATCCCAAGCAGCTATGTTGGAAATACTACTATGCAAAATGGCACTTACAACATATCCTCGTATGATTGGGCAGGCTTCCTGGTCGCCCGCCTTTATCAGCGCCAGGACCCGAATTTTGATTCCTTGGACTCAGACCTTCTGACTGACATGACGCAGACTGTATACCAGTGGGTATACAGTACTTATTTCTCCCTTTGGCGTGATATATACCTCGAGCCGCTTGCTCAACCGATCAAGGCTACAAATGGCACAGTTACCCGTAGTACTTGGCACATGGCCCCATCTGCCCCATCCCTCGCCATCGCTTTGAGCATCATTGCCTTCGATACTATCGTTGTCCTCTTGGTATTCGGCACTCGCCGTGGGCGCTTCCGGGGACCTAGAATGCCGCGCTCGATCGGCGCGATCATCCCTTGGATCTCCCACAGCCAGATGCTCCATGACTTTGCCGATACCCACACTTGGAGCAGTTCCAAACGACGTGCCCACATTTCAGCATTGAATAAACGTTACGGGTTTCGTATGTTCATGGGCGCGGACAATCGCTGGAGATTCGCCGTTGACCAGGAACCGGAGCACGCCAAACCCCCCCGAGCCTGCGGACGTCAGCTCGGAGGTGGATGTTGACAAAACAACCACCATTCAGCTACAAGAGATTGCAACCCCGCAGTCTCCAAGTTCATCCTGATAAATTTGCGTTACGACTTATGACCTTTTACGTGATTCTTTTGTCATTCAGTCGTTTTTCCCCCATGTTTTTTATATATTCAGATGACGGCGTTTGTGGACCCCATTTCGGGAGCAACTTGACATAGACAGGGGAGAAAGGCAAGCTGGCACTTGCTTGGGTTATTTTCATTTTCTTTTTAAATCAAAGTACTACATGGACCCGGAGGCATCTTGTGATTAAGACTGAGGCTTCTAGCAAATTCAACAAGTCTTGAATTGCAGCATGGCTGCCAAGGCTAGGGCTTTACTTTGCCCAACTGAACGTCCTGGAAACCTTGGAACCTCAGGCTTTATGGACAAGAAGAAGGGCCTTCTATACTCTGCTTGATGTACCAGAATACCCGTGGACATATGTAGCGACCTTAGAAAGTTCCCAGGTGGTAAGCGCATGTTTCAATTCTCGGTCAATCCCAGATGGATTCAAACCGACACTCGGACAGAGTGGACTAGGTGATATCTTGTGAGGTTGAGATCCATGGATGACTCCTGATTGGAGGATCTCGTGGCCATTCCTACCATGTCTGATAATTCCAAGGTTTGCGTTGATCGTCGAATCATATTAGAACCTGGGAACTCCCATTACTGTCCTAGTGCTTCCAACCCCGAAGAGTTTAGAGGGCAGCTCTTAGTCGGCCATCAATTGCCCGCAAAATCAGGTAGAGAGTTTGCAGGAATGGGGCCTGGATCCCAAGATCGCGGGCTTTGCGAGCAGGATACCCCAAAATCACATCGATTTCCATCGGTCGCCCATTCTTACAATCGGTTTGCATACTGCTTCCGATGCCGGGCATGGAGTTGATTTTGTCCATCAGTTGTCCAATCAACTCGTCCTGCAGAGGTACACCGCAACCACGCGCAATATGGATGACCTCCTGCATCAGCTGTCGAGTAAATGGTGTTGCATCTTCAGATGAATGCAGCCAAGTCTGTGTATCCACCATGGTGATGGCAGTCAAAGAGTTCCAAGCCACATTCCAGACAACCTTTTCCCATCTCTGGATTTGCATATTGTCGAGAACTTGGAATCGCGTTCTGCCATTGTGGAGTAGATCAACAAATGTATCGAGTCTCTGCTGTTCGACGTCTCCGGCAATTATTGAGTTGTGGAACAGACCGATCTGCATGTCCTCGGACTTGGTGTGCCTCACCACGCCAGGGCTGGTCTGCGTTGCCCCAACCCAAGTCTAATTGCAATCAGATCTACGCCGCCACGATCCAAGCAGGGACGACTTACCACACAAGTCAAGATGGTGTTTCCGGGAAATTCCTTTCGGAAAGGTTCTTCATTGCCCACTCCATTTTGAATGATGACGATGGTGGTGTCCTTTCGCACGACTGGCCGTAAGTGTGTCGCAACCTCCTCCTGGTCCAGAGCCTTGTGGGCACACACGATATAATCCACTGGAGGGATTTCGGTGATAGATCGGATCACTGTCAAAATCAGCGAGTGAAACATTGCCTCATGTGTGGTGCATACCGCGATGTGGGTGGAAGGTATGCTGGCCGTGATTCTCGCTGTGTATGGAAATTCCCTCCCTTCGTGAGCTTTCGACACTGCAGTTACTTGTCAAGTACTCACATTTGTGCTGACCGCATCGTAATTTGAACGTGCGACGACAGTTAGTCGGACCCGGTTGGAGCGGCTTAAGATGAAGGCATAGAAGGAGCCAATGCTGCACAGCGACCGTTTAGAAAAGGTATTCCGACACGTCTGGGAACTCTACTTACGCTCCTAGTCCATAGAGTAACACCTCAATCTTATCGGACATTTTGTGCGAGAGAGATGTGACGGTTTGGCGTTTTGTGTCGATGTTTCCCCCGCATCTTCGGAGGAAGACCGACTCTTAAGACCGACGTGGGGGTTCTCCGATGACGCGCAGTATTTTAAAAGTGTTTCAAGTACGGAGTATTTTCAATATCCACGGAACTTCGGGTATTCCAATATCTTGCGTGGGGGCCTAGGTGTTGACTGCGTCCATAATCCTATCGAGACTTCGTTCTTCAGCCCTTGCCTATATGCGTCCCAGGAATTGGTGACCGAAATTCCATGAAATCTTGCCATCCGATCTTGTGTTTCTGTTCGCCCTAGACTCACCACTTCCAAGCTTACAATTTTGTTGTGGCTTCGACACATCTGATTAAATAGACATCTGTACATTCTCTTCCAAGCTTGCTATAGCAATATCGGACACACGTTCGTACCACCTGGGTATACTACGTAGAGTGTATTCAGTCTCATAGTCTCACACTGCCAATCAGGTGTCTCTCCAGCCGACTCGCATTCACCATCTCGGGTCTCAATTCCTTCAGGGTGGTCACTCCAAGTAGGACCATGTTCGCCTCGATCTCTTGGCGCAGAAGTGTGACCATCCGACGCACCCCATTCTCGCCATACCCTGCACATAAACTGAACAAGCACGGTCGACCGAGTCCTACAGCATCAGCACCAAGTGCGATAGCCTTCAGTACGTCGGTACCTCGGCGTATTCCTCCGTCAATGAATATTTGCATCTTACTGTCGATCAGTTCAGGCGCAAATTTTCGGATTTCTAGCAGTGTCAGAATAGGAGATTGTGCGCTATGTCGTATTAGCAAACAATCATAGGTTGCAAGGGAACGACCGCAGGACATACGTGTCTTGAGACCGGCCTCCATGGTTAGAGAGCACGATTCCTTGAACTCCGTGTTTGTGGGCTATCACAGCATCCTCAACACATTGTATCCCTTTGATCACGAGAGGAAGATTTGTGATCCGACGAATCCATGTCAGTATATCCCAGTCGATAAAAGGCGAGATAGAACTGGCCATGGTTTTGGCTACCCCTTGACCCTCATCGTCGCTATCGGTAGCCTGACTTTTCATCAGCGTCATTTAATTCCATATAGCGCAGACAAAGATCACCGACCGAGATACTCAAGTTCAGACGCTCGTCCATTTCTCGTTTTCCCACCACTGGCGAGTCCACGGTGATCCAAATAGCTCCCGCCCCAGCCTTCTCTGCGCGCTGAACCACGTCGACCGATTTCTTCATGTCTTTATTCACGTAGAGCTGTTGGAAAACAGGTTGGTTTGGTGCGGTGCGACTTTTCATCACTTGCTCGATCGACATGCTGGATCCGTTCGCCAACACTTGAACGAGACCCTCTCTTCCAGCCGCAGCTGCCAATGCACACTCTCCATCTGAATGCGCCAGCTTTGCGATTCCCACTGGCGACATGTATACGGGTAAGGAGGTTGGGAAACCCAAGATGTCGGCAGAAGCATCGACACTTAGAACTTTGCGCAGGATTCGGGGTCGAAGTGCAATCTTGGAGTATGCTCGATGGTTATTTTGCTTGCTTATCTCGTCATCAGCACCTGATGAGTAGTATGCCCAGGTAGTGGCCAAAAGATGATCCTGTGCAACCTTTTCGAAGTCGTGAAGATTGATCAGGGTTTGCAAAGATGGAGGTTTCGGATTAGCTTGCTTCAAATGCTCCTGGCTCGTCGGTTCGCGATCAGACGCTTTGACAGCTTTGGTAACATCGATATGACCGCGCAACGCAGTTTGTGGTAACTCGCTCAGTACTTCTGGTGCATGGACTGAATCGAATGCCTCACTCGCATCTTTACCTGCCCATTGTAAAATTACCTTCGATCCCCCTGGATGCACTTTGAGAAAGTCTACATCGGTAAATTAATTCGGTCTGAGAATCAAGCTGAAGCGAGGTATACAAACGCACCTGTCACATCGTAGACGGCACCGTGGATCACGACCCAGCAGGACTTCCGGTTATTGTGCTCAGAAATGTCGTCATGGGTGAAGCTCATCGTGGAAGATACCAACGTGGCGAGATTTATGCGAGTCTTGACTGATGTATTGTATTCGCGAGGACGAAGCTCTCGGAATGAAGCCGGGCGTGGGGGTTAGCTCTGGAGACGGGGCTTGTTTTTCCATCGCGCTGATCCACTCCTCTTTTGCGGGGAACTTATAGGGCCAGTGATCACCCCACAGACTGGGGAAGTAGGTCTTCAATATATGAGATGAGCAAAAACTTCTTTTACTTCCTGCAACTACAAACCTCTGAGAATTGAATGAAGCATGGCTGATACTAACCGACCAGGGGCTCCTAAGCCGGCCACCACCCATGTCGAATGTCCGAATATGTCAACTGATATGAACAAAATCTTTGATGGAGATAAGGCTCTTGATCTGTTTGATAACCTCAATGATATACATCAAGGCTTTGAACCAGGAGAAGAGAAGAGATTGGTTCAGAAGATTGATATGATGATTCTTCCTTTCTTATCGGTTTGTTACGCTTTCTACTATGTGAGTAACTCTTTCCCCCTGCATCCCCAATTGAAACTAAATTGAGACTGAGATCGATAAAACCACCCTCTCATATGCAGCAATCTTTGGGATCCAAGAGGACTTGAATTTGTCCGGAACCGAATACAGCTGGCTTTCGAGCGTTTTCTATTTTGGATTTTTGGCTTGGAGCTTTCCGACAAACTTGTTGATGCAGCAGTTTCCTATTGGAAAATACTTGGGAGTCAACATATTTTTATGGGGATTTTTCCTAATGTTACAAGGTATACTGAATATTGGGTAAAAGTCATCAATGGCGCTGATAACCTCTTCCTGAACATAGCCGCGGCCAAAAACTTTACACAACTTGCAGTTTTGCGAGTGATTTCGGGCGCAGCAGAAGCATGCAGGTCAGACACCATCATCATATGTTGCTCCCCGCGTATTACTGAAACCATGAAAGTGATCCAGCATTCATGCTAATTACTGCGATGTGGTACACACGGCGCCAACAGCCAATCAGAATCGGCCTTTGGTATACAGCGAATGGGTTTGGCATTGCCATTGGAGGGCTCCTTGGCTATGGAATCGGTCAGATCAAAGGAGCTTTGGCCTCATGGAAGTACGAATTTTTGATCATAGGCGCACTATGTTGCTGTTGGGGCGTTGTGATGATCATATTTCTTCCGGACTCTCCAGTCACAGCACCACAGCTCTCTGAGCACGAAAGAAGGCTCGCAGTGGAGCGGTTGAGAGATAACCAAACAGGCATCGAAAATAGGAACATGAAGCCTCGACAAATCTTTGAGGCGCTCACAGATTGGAAAGTTTGGACTTTCTTTCTCCTTGGTCTTGTGAGTGCATTCAGCGTTGGTAAACGGGCAGTGGTGCAGGTGCTGACGGGGAATGACCCAGAGTGGGAATATTCCAAATGGCGGTATATCCAATTTTGGAACACTGATCATCAAAGGATTTGGTTATTCGACGCGTGAGTTTGTCATCATCTTCACGACTGGTGCTTCGCAGGACCAACGTGAGCCAAGCATGGGAATGCTGACCTTCCAGTGGTAACAACCCTCATGCAAATCCCATATGGGTGCTTCATAGCGGTGATGATCCTCGCCGCTGTATTTATCAATGACTCGTTACCACGCAATAATCGCTCTGCTGTCGCAATACTATTTGTCTTGCCCACCCTCGCGGGATCATTTGGATTGAACTTCGTACCGGAATCTGAGCAGGTAGGAAGACTCATTTGCTACTACCTGACAGGCTCATATAATGCATCTTTTGTCATTATCCTTTCTCTCGTCACATCCAATATCTCTGGACACACCAAGAAATCGGTGACCAACTCCATGATATTCCTCGGTGTTTGTACGGGGAACATAGCTGGCCCATTCTTTTACAAATCAAGCCAAGCGCCGCAATACACCCTGGGAATTTGGTCTATGGTTGTTGCAAACATGATTGAAATTGGACTGATCATACTCCTCGCCATTGGCCTGGCTTGGGAGAACCGAATTCGCGATCGTCAGCAGCAGACAAGCAACGGAGAAGACCTAGATTATGCGCGCCAACTGGAGTTAGATCGCACAGCATTCAGTGACTTGACCGACAAAGAGAACAGGAATTTCCGATATGTTTACTGAGACTGGGTAGTTCAGGCGGGTGGATCCATGGATGCAATAGTTAATTGAAATCTACTCTACCCCTCGACAACTAATGCCTACCTGAGGTTGAATCTTTCCTCCAAAATTGGTGGTCATCGAATTGGTAGATCCTCTTGTTTTAAAAACATGAAATGAGGCTATAGTCACTGCGGGTAAACAGATGGAGTCTTGGTCATCAGGACCAAGATATGGCCTGTGTTGGTGAACCGGGAGATGATTTTGGTGCTACTAACTACTGGGGCCTGCCTCTGCCTCCCGCCGTACCCAATGATTTGTGTTATCGGTGATCGCAGAACGCGAGAATTATCGGACTGGGAAGAGAGAGGATAGAAATGGAGTGCAGTAAGATAATCCCAAGCTCGTTGAATCCGTAGGTCTCGACTGAATTGTTTATCAAAGTGAACGAGGTGAGTAAAGCTTCTTGTTGGCGCCGATGCCTTGTTTGTCAGGCTCCCAGGGTAGATAATAGATCGAGAGATCTTCTCCCCTTCTCTCTTCTTCCTCTCCTCGTCTCGCTACAATACATACGTTATCGTACATGTCTGCTCGCTCTGCTCTCGCCGATACTTCTCCATCATCATCCCCCGCGGTGACCTCTATCCACCTTGATGTTTTTCCACCTATCACGCGGTGTGTCTCAGCAATACATAAAGCTTTGCTCTTGGCGTGGGGGAAGATCGACATTCCCGGACTTCTCCCGAAAGTCTCACGCGTGGGATGCCAGATAAGTGTGGGGTTCGTTCCTCAGCCCGAGCTTTATTTATGATGCGTTACCCCCAAGGTTCTTCAACCAAGACAGATTATACGTTGAAGTTCTAGCAATGACGAAGATTAAGTCAATCGAATATTTCCGAGTCAAGCCCCGTTGGCTATTTGTGAAAGTCACCGATGAGGAGGGCCGATTCGGGTGGGGAGAGGGCACACTTGAAGGCCACTCGCTCGCAGTGGAGGGAGCACTGGATGAGATAATCACACGCATCATTGGATATGAAGCAGAGTAGGTCAGTAGACGTTTACCATAGTACAAATGCTAACCGTTATAGTGATATCGAGCATGTTTGGCAGACGGTCTGGCGACTAGGATTCTACCGAGGTGGACCGGTGTTCATGTCCGCCTTGTCAGGAATTGATATTGCGCTTTGGGACTTAAAAGGACGAAAGCTCAATGTACCAGTACATCAGTTGCTGGGTGGAAAGGTACGACAGAAAGTACAGGTGTATGCATGGATCGGGGGTGACCGACCGAGCGACGTGGAGGCTGCAGCGTGAGTCTTTCCAGTGAAGACGGTAGTGTGGTTCTGACGGTGATACTCTACAGAAAAGCTCGAATTGCCCAAGGCCTCAAGTGCATCAAAATGAATGCAACAGAAGATGTGAACTGGCTCGACTCACCAGCTGTGCTACAGTCGTGCGTTGAGCGCCTGAAGCAAGTGAAAGCCCTGGGCCTCGATGCTGGGCTCGATTTTCACGGTCGCCTGCATCGACCAATGGCCAAGCAGCTTGCGAAGGCTCTAGAGCCTTACCAACCCCTGTTCATCGAGGAGCCCCTGTTATGTGAACACCCCGAGGCGATTAAACAGCTCTCCGAGCAGACCACGATACCCATTGCGTTCGGAGAGCGCTTATACACGCGTTGGGACATCAAGCGATTTTTGGAAGATTCATCAGTGGATGTGCTGCAACCCGACATTGCGCATGCCGGCGGCATTTCAGAAACAATGCGAATCGCGAACATGGCCGAGACGTATGATGTTGCCATTGCTCCGCACTGTCCACTGGGCCCCATTGCGCTGGCAGCCTCTCTTCAAGTCGCTGTCTCGATCCCCAATTTTGTGATACAAGAGATGTCACTGGGTATGCACTATAATGTGGAGGCTGGAGACATTGACCTCAACAGTTATCTGATAGACAAGACTGTCTTTGATATAAGCGAGGGCTATGTGAGTGCTCCTTGCAAGCCCGGGTTGGGAATTGATATCGATGAGGACTTGGTGCGGAGGATTAGCAAAGAAACAGAACCTTGGCAACCGAAGGAGTTCTTCGGGCCCGATGGCTCCATTCGCGAGTGGTGAGTATCTCATCATGTACAGATCTGTTTAGCTATACAAACAAGACTAAGCAATTGAACAAAAACCACCCAAATACTAGAGCAGTAGCTTTTATAGTCATATATCTGCGCTTAGTCTGAGAAAAAACAACATTGGAAGCTCCGAGCCCCTGGTTCGCAACCAGAGCGCACGAAAGACTCCCGGAGATGACGATGTCATGTTCAGCTAATGCGGGGAAGAGCGTGGGGGTACACCGGTGGGCGCAAATATCAGTATAAGAGTCGAGTACATCCTGACTCTAGAAGTTCTGGAACTGAAAACCGACTGGAAACCTGACTGAGAATGGATTTGTTCTCGCTTTCGGGCAAAATGGCCCTGGTTACCGGAGGAACACGAGGAATTGGGAGGGCAATGGCACTTGCAATGGCGGAGGCTGGCGCAGACATAATTCTAGTCCAGGCAAGACCCCCCCGTCTCCCTGGATATTTGCGGTACGAACGACAATGACTGACCATCAACAGAGGGACACCAGGAACCAGGAAACGAGATCACTGATCGAGAAGCTCGGGCGCAAAGCTATAATATACACCGCCGATTTATCTTCCAAAATATCAGTGGGGTCTCTGGTTGCCATGATTTTGAAAGACGGATATGATATTGACATTCTTCTGAATTGCGCGGGAATCCAAAGGAGGCACCCCAGCCACCTCTTTCCGCTGGAGGATTGGGACGAGGTAATGCAAACCCCAACGATGGGTGGCTGATCACTGATTTTGGTCTGCACTTCTAGGTACTGCAAGTAAATCTCACGACCGTATTCACTCTGTGCCGGGATGTCGGTGCCCACATGCTGACGCGAGAGCCTGATCAATCAGGCCACCGCGGGAGTATCATCAATGTTGCTTCCCTCGTGTCATTTCAAGGGGGGCTAACAGTTCCTGCATATGCAGCGGCCAAAGGAGGTATTGCCCAGCTGACCAAGGCTTTGTCAAATGAATGGGCGGCGCAAGGCATAAACATCAACGCAATCGCGCCTGGATATATCGCGACGGATATGAACACAGCGTTGATCCAGGATGAAGAACGAGCATCGAGCATTTTGGCCCGCATCCCCGCGGGTCGATGGGGAAACCCAGATGATTTCAAGGGATCCATTGTATATTTGGCCAGTCGAGCGAGTGCATACGTGAGCGGGGAAGTTTTGACGGTTGATGGAGGCTGGATGGGGCGGTGATTGTGTAGGTACGATGGGCGGAGTAATCCGTACCTGTGATGTATGAGTCGCGGTCACTGTATAGGAATCTCGCGATTTAAACGCCTGAGTGGTAGAACTTTCCAAGGTCCTCGTTTACCCTCGCCTCCCCGAGAGCTGAATTTAAATTTGAACTTCTTATTTTATTTCTTCATCCTTCCTCTTATTCCTCTTTTTTGGACTCCGCGTCTCTTACGTCTCACATTTCAAGTTTACATGTCACTGCACACCTCTCTAATGGTGTCCCAGCATTCGAAGGCAAATGAGGGTAATGTCATTTTCTTAATATGCATTGAATGAGGAAGAAAAATATCTTCCATTCCCGGAGGGAAATTTTTTAGCGGTCGTAAGCTTTTCAACGTCCTGTTCTCACTCAAACCGGCCGAGTAGCCGATTCTACACAACCGAGGTCTAGAATGCCAGGATGTCAACCCCTCAGAAGATTCCCCTCCTTTTGCTTTTACCTACACCCCTTGTTTGGCCGCCACTGAACATTCTGTGAGAAGTTGCAAAATTTTCTCTCACAATGCAGGCAGTTGTTTTCAAAGGTCCCCTGGAGGTGGCGATTGAGCAGCGACCTCGCCCATCAATCCAAAATCCCACAGACGTGATCTTGAAGGTCAGATACACAGCACTCTGCGGCAGGTAAGTATTAGAGATGATCTTTTTTGCTCGCTGGGGGAAAAGAAATTTATTTCTAACATGACGGTTGTGAGTTTCGATCAGTGAGCTTCATGTCTTTCGCGGTCATCAGCCATCTAAAGCAGGGTTCATCATGGGACATGAGTTCACAGGGGCAGTCACAGAGACTGGCTCCGAAGTCGTCAAATTTAAACCAGGGGACTTGGTTGTCTCTCCTTTCACCGTGAGCTGCGGTGCATGTTTTTATTGCGAAAGAGGGTTCTCATCGCGATGTGCCAGAGGTCAGCTATACGGCTCCGCGATTCTAGACGGCGGCCAGGCAGAATACGTCCGAGTACCACTGGCAGACTCGACACTTTTCCACGCACCTTCGCAGATCAAAGAGAGCAAGTTGGTGCTAATGGCAGACATCTTCCCGACAGGCTACTTTGCCGCATCTAATGGCTTCCACGCATTGACTTCCGAGGAGATCCGGCAGAGCACAGTACTCCTTTTTGGCTGCGGGCCAGTGGGCATCTGTGCCCTGGTCAGTGCACTAGAGTACCAGCCAAAACATTTGATTGCCATTGACAGTGTGGCGTCTCGTTTGGCCCTGGCAGAAAGTCTAGGGGCAGAGGCGTGGAATTTTGAAACGAACGAACAAGGCCTCCGGGAGAGAGTCAGAGAGCTCACTGATGGGCGCGGTGCTGATGTTGTCATTGAAGTTGTGGGACATAGCAGCGCTTTGAGGATGGGATTCGAGATGCTGCGCCCCTGGGGACATCTTTCCAGCGTTGGTGTCCACAATCAAGAGATCCCATGGACCGGGAACGAGGCGTATGCAAAGAATCTTCGGCTACAAATGGGACGATGTCCTGTCCGCAGCATATTTGAACCAGCGATGGAGCTATTGGCCAGAAAACAAGAGTTGCTGGAGTAGAGACACCACAATTCTGTTTGGTATAGGACCAAGCTGATGATTCTGCAGGTTCATGTCTAATGACATCCGTCCCCTTTCTCAAGCTGTCCAAGCGTAAGTGGTCAGCCCTTTCTAAATACCCGTGAAAAGCTAAGATTCCATAGATTTGATGATTTTAACACGATGAAGAGCCAGAAAATTATATTCGAGGCGGATAAGTAGCTTCCAGTGTCCACAGGTTCGAGTACTAGGGCGTGATCAATCATTGCACTTGCCTCTTGACTTTCTTCTCGTGCATCTTATTTGGATATACCTGCTACGAGGGGGGTGGATAGCCATGTCTGCATCATTAGATCATGTCAGTCGGAATGACATTCCGGGATGAGCTTAGGGATCCCTTCCAATAAAGCATCGGATAGCGAGCTAGTGTGATCTCAATACTGAAGGCTGTTGAACTGTTCCAATGTACATCTACATGAACACCGTTTTTGATCCCCAGAAGATAACAACGGAGCATGGGTTTCCATCACGCCCATACAGTTATGCTAAACAATCATTGTGATCCTAAGCCATGGATATCTGGCTCCTCGAGTGATACCACAATGCGGATTTCGCAACCTCGGAAGGTGTACAACATGATGTCAACAGCATCACTGGTTGCTCATCTGGGTTACCCTCTCAACTCAGCTCTCCGAGGACCTTCGGTTTAAAGTCGGTATGTTATCCACACCATCTTCTCAAGGCCCTCTTTGTTCATTTCATATGTCCTATATGGTCAGATTCCAGTGATCCGAAGTTGATAAGAATGCGCTTCACGATTTTACTTGTCCTAGCGACAACTACGCTCGTGGCGGGGGATTCCGTCATCTCTCTATTCATCCCGGACACTGATCCGCAACCGTTGGTCGCTTCGATTGTAGCACAGGTGAGATGAAGAGTAACAATGCAACCAATAAACTGGCTCACACTCTCACAAGAACTCCGCGACAACATCGTTGAGCGTGAATTGCCCGTCCAGTACTAAGAGCGAGATTTGCGGAATGGGACCTGGTCTTTTCTTGACTACGGCGCCAACCAGCGTTGAATATTTGATCAGTGATAGCGCTGGCAGTATGTGAGTTATCCCATGCACACATTGAGATCTTATAGTCTAAAGGAGTACAATTACTGATTCCATCCTTCCAGTTATGATCATGTTGTTTGCTTTATGACAGGGACTACTAGTGGAGTGTGCACCGCCACTATTACTGGACATGGTGCCAACTTTCCAGGTACAAGTACCTCGACTCTCAATCAAGATCAGATAACATCGTTGCCTGTAACTGTCATTGCCGGCCCTTCCAACTCGATGGCAACAACCACATCCGCCTCGCCCCGAAACGGGCCAATCCCCGCGACCAGCGTGACATCGAGCACGGGACATGGGATGGCATCCAGCACGCATGCTACCACACATTCCACTTCGGGTAATTCTCAGACAGGGGGTATTGCTCTGATGACTGGATCATCTGAATTGATGTTTATTGGTGGGGCAGTAGCTTTTATTGCCGGCCTGTGATTGAGATTCCTCACACGTGTGACTACCTCTAGATGTCCTGCGTGAGACCTTTAATGGGATGGAAATACATTTTAGGTGCTAGCACAATAAAATGATAAAATCTAAATAGAACAGAGAAAACAATGCACAACCGTGGAAAGAGTAACTGCGCTTCACATTCATATTGACGGTATTTCGTGTATACGAGATCTTGCTGAGAGCCCTTTATATTCCAACGTGTGGCCAAAGTTCGCCTACCCGGGTGCCTGGGTAGATGGTCAATCATTGTTTGAGCTGGACTCAAACAACCCTACATGCAGTCGGTGGACAATAACCATGATCACATGCATAACTGCAAAGGCCCAGATAGGAATCATCTTCTCCGGGCAGAGGAGCTCCTCGAACACCTGTGGATGGTGGTGCTGGGACTGGACTCCCCCATCCTGTGCATGTGCATGGACCTGGAGGACAATATCCAAAGTTGCAACAGAAAGAGCATAGTCCAACATAGTTCCCAGGCCCCGTTCCAGCGATACAGGTCCCACTGCCCTCGGGCGGTGGTGGCGGTGGTGGTGGAGGGGGTGGTGGAGGAGGACGGCCGGGCGGCGGCGGCGGCGGCGGCGGGGATGAAGGCGGAGGAGGAACGGGAGCTAGAATAGAAAAAGAGTCAGCAATGCTATCCAGGGGGGATAAGGGCCATCTGGACACGCTTGGGAATAGATGCTGCCAGGGAGAAGTGGGGGAAGTGGAAGCAAGTTTTGTGCCGGGGGTTGTGTAATTTGAGATCAGGAGATGAATGTCCAGGTTGGTATAGAAGGGGTAGTACCTAGCGATGGAGTTGCCTGGCAATCAACATGCAGACCCTGTTTGAAGGAAGCAAGCCCATCCGGTTGAAGTGGATCGCTAAACCCGGCCGGCAGAGTTCCCACTAGAGATCATGTTAAGGGCGGACATGAGAAGACGTCGTCCACATGGAATCATACCGTAAGCGTTGAAATTGTAAAGACCACAAACACATCCGCTTATGATCTCCTTTAAGCTGGTACCGGATAAGATAGTCTGACCACCACGGATCAATTCGAAGCTTTGTGAGCCAACTCCCATTGGAACTTCCTGAGAGCTTGCACCTGCAGGTGCCTCCCAGCTGTAGATATTGCCACCGCTGTTGACTTTCACAGTAGCTGGAGCTGTGAGCAGTGATACCACAAATACAGAGTCTGCCATGGACTGCCACCCATCCGGTCGACCGATAAAGTAGTTACCACTTCCATTGTTTGCTGCCACCATACAGGTATCAGTGGAATCGCAATCCACCCCTCGAGGTGTCGGTCGATACCAGTAAACTAATTCATCTGATGATATATAGTTGGTAGGAGACGAGTCACCCGCTTTGAACGCGGCTATATATGGCTTCGAGATATCGAGCCATCCGTCGTGAGGCCTACGCAATTAGTTGTGCCGCCTCAGAAATTGCCAGAATAGTCCAGGGATTGGTTTCTTACATGTCATTGACCCATTTCGAAGCCCCATCATCGGTATGAGGTGATTTCAAGGGGCCGATGTAGTGGCATTCTCCATAGTCGTTCCAGGTAACGATTTCGATGAAACGTGGTTTCAGAGAAAGAATCTCATTCCATCGATTGTACCAAAGGAGGTCGGACGGAAAGTTCCAATTCTTGCTATATGACACCTCGGGTCCAAAATGGGTGAAAAACCAGGGAGAAACAGCTGCGCAGGTGGTTCGTTATTGAGATATCCACGGATGACCAATACCATATTTCGAGGAAGGAAACGTACGGGCTATATAGGCCTTTCCAGCCAAGGCATTGACATAGACATTATCACCGTCTGCGACAGAAACATTGTGACCCGGGGTTGGGGCCTTGTTGTTTCCATTGTTCGGCCAAGCCATCCAATTCAGGAGCCCATCCACTGGAGATAAATCCGTCCCGTAAGAGGGATGAAAGTTAGGAGCGAAGAAAATGGATCTTCCAACGGCCGAACGCAGTGCCGCAACATTCAAACCATCTCCAGCGAAAGATGAAACAAAGATTTTGTTGTCCACCATAAGTTGCGCAGGCTTGCTGCCATATTGGGATATCTTTTGACCGATCGCGGAAGCCTGCTCGATATGCCACCAGTTGAAGTCAAAAGATAAGAATAGTTTCATATCGTTATTCGCGGCAGAATCGTAAGCGAGCTGAAGCTGCTGATCGGTGTATGGGTCCACTCCAATGTTCAGAGCAAATGCATCGATCCCAAGGGATTTAGCTCGTCTCATATCGTCATCAAAGTCCGAGGCGCTTCTCCTGTCGCTGACGATTCCAATCTTCTTGATGTTAGCATGAGCTCGAAGCGTAGAGTAAAATGCTCACCATGAAGTGTGCAAAGACCAATCGATCGGTAGACTGCTGTTTGGCGTCATATTCGTCTTGGTAATTACCAGCTGCTGCATAGGCTAGCAGTGACAGCACTGCCAAGATATCATATATGAAATATTTTAATTGCATCGCGGCTCCAGTGTCTGCCTCTGTGGGTGCTTGGTGTCTACATTCTGATTGGCATGGCATGGAATCATCGCGCGCTTTATTGTGAATTTTTATTCACCGAGCAAGATTTCCAAGGGTGAGCAGCTGACCTCTGCAGCTTCTTCGTTTAATGAAATATAATTTGCAAAATCTCTCCGAAACTCAATCTATTCGTTCCTACATCAGAGCTAGATGCACAAATTACTTGCACGGTTGCAAGTTTCAAACGTGCTAGACGTAAGGCTTGAGCGCGGCAATTTGGAATGTATGGCTGTTTCGACAGGGAGCAGGGGACTCTTTGGGTTATCTAAAATCAAATTGTCGCCATCCGTAAAAATTGTGGCCATCCGTATATGAACTACGTGCCAGTTGTTAAGATTTGCGGAGCACCTTTGAGGATAATAGTTGAGAGCCGAGGGTGTAATACTCGGAAAGGTCGTTGTGTCTCTTTTGTGCCGTGCTGTTTACAATTGGTTACAAAGAACCAGAAGCGCATCCGGTGATCGACATCTGACATTGGTGTACGACGAAGCCGATCCAGTGTTGTAGTGCTCATGACAGAAATCCCGCGTCATCCCTAGATCCTGCCCTGAAGCACTGCTAAAGAACCTTCCGAATGTAACCTACGTACCAACTACTGCGTACCGGGTCTGGTGATTATCAACAACCGGTCATCTCAATAGGTCCTGGAGTTTCAATTGCTAGATGACACGTGTTTTTCAGCTACGTCGGACAATTAATAGTAGTTTCAATTTCCACCTACCTACCAGGGCTTTAGTCATATCAGCTTGTCAATAGTCACATCAACTGGAATTCAGCAAGATCTCAAGGCTGGACCGGAACCTGTCCGTGTATCGGTGCCTGATATATCAGGCTGCCAGGTACATTGGAACTTTTGCTTGCTGGTAGGCTGTACGGAGTACTCCGTATAGGTCAGAAAATCAAGTGAATCGGACAATCCGTCTTGGCGAAAAGTCGTTCAAGTGGCGATCCCCGAGCCATTATATCTGTGAGACAATAATAGATACACGATGTCCTCCATGTAACTAGCGGCAATGAATTTTTCCCTTGCGAGGACTACTAGCCCGAGTAGCGTAGAAAGTGGGTCCTGAGGGATACAAAGATTTCATTTCCAGCGTGATCTAATCATGCAGGAAGTGTGAGTAGGAAGATTAACGGGTGCTCGGATTTTCAATACCAATATGCTTTCACTTGAAAGTTTTAACCTTTCTCAACGTGAGGATAATTCAGCCTTGTGGGGAAGATGCCGCGCGGCATATGCGTAGCTATCGCCAAGTCCACAACATTTAGGGCGATGAACCAACCGCTAGACTATGAGCCAATGCGGCGCAGCATGTTGTATAGCGCAATCGGAGGCTGAAAATAACCTTGGTTGTGGACGGGTACACGAATCAGTCTAGTGCACCGCGTGTACCTTTTTTTTTCTAACTTAAGTCTTAAGCCCTGGATTCCGCATCCCAGTGTGATTTCTTTTTTCAACCTCTTCGCTGTACCGCCTGGAAAAGAAACACAGTTGCGCGAAAAGATATGCAGCTCCTCATTCTCACTTTCTTGCTGATCCAATCCTCTTGGGTGCTTGGTCACCCACATGTTGCACAAAACACATGGGTTGTTGGCAATCCGACATCCATTACAGAGACAACTTTACCACCAGCGCCGAGTGAGACAGTCATACTCTACCAAAGACGCGGCTATGGTGAGGTGATTCAAGCGAGGGACACCACCACAGACACGGAGTCGGCTTCCACAACTGAAGCCACAACCTCAGAAACATCAACATCAAGCACGACGTCAACGACTTCATCCACGTCAACCACTTCGACTTCAACCACTTCGACTTCAACCACATCAACCTCGACCACTTCGACGTCCACATCGTCAACTTCAACTTCGTCTTCAACCTCGTCGACTACTGCCTCAACCTCCACCTCAACTGGCTCAACAACAACTACCAGCTCATCCACAACCACGAGTACTGCAACCGCAACAAGTACCTCGAACGCCGCGCTAGATGCTTGGAACAGAAAGGGCAACATTGCTGCTATTGTGTTCGGCTGCTGTCTCATATCATTGTTCGCGGGAATCAGCATACTTTACTGTGCGCAAGATAGGGCTAAAGCAAGACGCATTGCGGCTCGAGAACTTCTTCTATCTTCCACAACAACCGCCGCATCTTCTCCACCCACGACTGCAAAGGGAATCTCAACCCCAGATCTCAAAATGGACCGTTCTTCAATGATGTTCACAAACAATCCATCAACGGAATATTTTCCGTCGGCCCAAAGCATCCCGCTTGTCTCAAATCATCACAGCCATACCCCCTCCACCAGCTCACAGGCCACAACAGAGCAAGGCTCCTCTAGGGAGAATATGACAAGAGCGAATACCGATGACCAGACGGCAAGATTTGTCTGAACGATGAATGTCCCCGACCAAATGATACCCACTGATATTTGAGGCATGTCCTATCTTGATCAATCCGAGTACAAACCCTTGTTTCCTCCTACACGTAATGATAATTTCTACGTAGTGACCATGTTTCTGGAAGAGTCTGTCAAATTCCAAACATTCAGCAATGGATGAAAGATCACATATATTAGCCTGTGGAAGACACAGTATAGGGTCACCAAGTTCCCGTTTCTAGCTCGAGCATTGCATTGTTAATACTGAAGGGAATCAATCATCTCCCACTGTTGGTTGAGAGTCTGGTATGCCTTTCTCATGGGCCAGGCATGCAGATCCATGGTCTGATGAATGATACCCAGAAGTGCCGTTCGTTCGTCTTGGCGAGTGAAATATTCACCATAAAGGGTGATAGCAATCACAGCGTTGACTAACGCAGGATGACATCGTGGGTGACTTGTTGCAATCCCACAGAGAGATAGAACGATTTCGCGAACCTGGGCCTCTGCTTTGCGGTGTACCGCACTTCGCGCTTTCCTAAACGACAATGTAATGTTATCTCAAGCTCAATCAGAGATGCGACTCTCATTTCACTCACTCGAGGTATGGACTTTCTGCGATCAGAATCATTTCACCTAATTTGAAATGTTGGACCGCTGTGACATTGGCCTCAAACGAGAACCAGATAGTAGGGAAAATTGACCCCTTCGCTGGCTCGGCCTTTCTTTCGAGAAGCGGTGCGAGCTCATGCATGTATTCGTTGTCGAGCTTGTGCTGCCTTGCCTTGAGAAGTTCTTTCATGGGGACAGGATTAGTTCGTTGAAATCCACGCCCTCCTTAGGCGCTGTGTTGACTCACCCCATTCATCAACAGCCTTCGATCCCCAGCGCCACTTCGCCACTTCACTAGCAAATATGATCATTGTGTTGGCAGCTGACGGCTTCAAAGTCTCTGATCCGAACCGAAATTCCGGTGGTCGTTGCCTCGTTAAGGCACACTGAGAGTGGTTAGAACCCAAAGAAAGTTGCTGTCCCAGCTCAAATAGGTCGTTCTCTTTTGTATTCTCTGGTCCGGTTCCGAAACAGGGCTAGAACCAGTGACCTTTCAAGATTAAGGTATAGACTTACATAAACATCTTGTCTCGCGGTTATCCAAAAGGCCGCGTTGGTAAGAGAGTGATCGTGTGGTGTTGATATCATGGTGTTGATGATCGTATGGGTGATGGCGAGAAAGTTGACCCGCTTATTGGCATAATTTCCGATTTCTCCCTCTTCAAGCTCTTCTTCCATTTCCTCGTACTGCCGTAGTATCACTGTGGCTGCCATGATGTTCTCCTGATGGGTTGGATCTTCAATTTCGTGAAATCGCACCAACTCTGGAATGCACTTCAAAAGATACTCCAGCGATGTTGTTTTGGTCAACTGAGGTAAAAGCTGCCCGTGATATGAGATCCCTTGCGGGGTGAGGTAGTGTGGTAAACGGCAAAGGTGACGGGCTGATACCGCAAATACCGCATTTCGCAGAGCGAGACAATTTTCAGCCCGAAGAGGAACTACGAGCTGGAAATGCCGTCGCTCGTCGCAGTGGTCAAACTGTCAAACGGTCACTCTGACTGACATCTTGGAGGAATTTTGGTAGTCGTACCCACGGGGAAAGCTCCTCAATAAAATATCGCATCAAGCAAGACTCCTGTATGTGACTAGAGCTCTTGGTTGCATTTCGGTGAACCGAAAGTGGCGTGAAGACTTGTGCATGCTGAATATGGTCGCTCGCAATCAATTGTCTGGGGTCCTCACCGGTCCGGGTGTTATTGTCAGGGCTTGTGAGTCGGTTTCCTTCCGTCTCGACCACCCCGCCGAATATGGGTTGTATTGAGCTGGAGTCATCACTGGAAGAGCGGGGGAGAGATTTTCTGACCATCTTCCAGGCGGTGGAGCGACTCCGATCGGCGAACTTCCATCGAATATATGTTCAGGCTGAGGCTGGTATCCCGGTGTATCAGGAGTATGGGGATCCAGTCGGGGTTCTGATGGGGGTGGGCTTTCCTTAGAATGGTTGTTGGCCACAAACAATGTAGAGCGACATTGTGACACTCGATCAGAGCCTGCAGGAGGCCTCCAATTCCTGGGTTGGCTATTCACCCATGTTTGATCGTGTCTGAAATTCGAATCTAGCTTCGCTGTCGACCCAAGCCGGAAAACTTGCCTTCGCTGCACCGGTTTGCAATCGAGACCCTTGATTTCGCATCGCTTGCATTTAGGAAGTCTTCGATCGCCTATCGATCGAGATTAGGATTGAAAAAGTGTGGCGGGTCAGCCAGTGAACTAACATCTTTGGTGTTTCTCTGTGGCTCGGATCAGCGTGCGTTAGAGACCACAATGCCCCGTACCATACTCACCGCGGCAATTCAAGCATGGTGATTTGGCGAGTATGTTTGACATATAGAATTGTCTGTAACGTTGGAATCAGAGAAATAGTCAACGTTGCTCAGGCGCAGTTTACCCCGCACAATGTTGATTCTCCGCTTTGAGTAACTCCGCCCGCCGAATCGCCCAAAATGGTAATTGCCCCCTCTGTCAGCCCTCACCACGTTCCTTCACTTTGTGTACAATATCCTCAGGTCACTGAGGTTACCTGGTAGTAGCTGCGCTTTTACACCACACTGCATCGACTGATCAGATTCGCCCTATTGAAATCACTGGGGCACTTGGCTTACAATCGGCTTACAATCGGATGCCGAGCAGCCCGTCACTGTGCCCAGGTGTATTCTGTTCCCTCAAGCCCTGGAGTGCTCCATGGATGCCGTAACTGCCTTTGTGTTATTTCCAATTCTAACCTGTAACTTGTGTTATTGTATTATGTAAAGGAGAGCCTTGAAAGTACGAAGCATTTGCAATGTTTTGGAGAGTCAGTGCTATGTTATTTCTGACCCAGATGAAGATGAAAGTGAACCAAAGATAAGGACCAGCCTATGGACTGATATGGTGAAAGTGTGGGTGATGTGAATATATACATGACGTGGAAGATCATGGGCCTTGTGTGCTATCTTCTCCAGGAGCGGCAAAGAAAGCGCGCAGAAAATCATCGCTCAAGGGATCATAAGGAAGATACGGATCAGCCGGCGCCAAAGGCTCCTGCGCAGAAGATGTCAGCTCTGGGGTAGCATGGCCGAGGAAGCTCGTCCAGAGATGCGCGTCTGGGGCCGGGTGTGAGCCAAATAACGATATGTCCTCTGGTTGCAAGTTGAAATAATCCTGCACATGGTCGGATGCGCGATCGGGTGATGTCTGCGGGATGGAGAGATTTGAATGGTGATGTCGCAAGGAAGGATGAGATGGGATATCGGAAGTGCTGTATTTCATCCCCCGGGCTAATTTGCGGAAGATGGAATCACAAAGCCGCCAGGCACGCTGCGCACTGGGCTCCGGCATTGCGAAGAACCAGCGAATACATTTCTTGGCGAGTTGCACAAAGTTCGGTTCCTCTTCGGGGTTATGTACGCTACCAAATGAGAGTTCGAGAAGTATGACAACAGCAGCCTGCATCAGCTGGCGCAAAACACACCACCAGGGGCACATCTCGTAAAGCTGAAGTATATTCGGCGCGTCTGAGATCAGGTTTATCATGCTTGTTGCAGACTCTAGAGTGATGAGTGCCATTGAGTGACTGAAAGTCGGAGTCGACACGTTTTGCCGGGCATCGCGTCGGCAGAGACATGGTCGACCTAGAGTGATCCGAGCGCTGTAGTACTGAAATCCCAATAGGAGTTTGCAGCGGAGAGGTTCACAACTATCACCGTTCGTTCGCTCTGTGAATTCAAGGGTTGTGGGAAGGTTAGATCGCCATAGATCGAATCGCAATCGCAACTCATCGATGCGACTCTCGATTTCTGCCCACGGAAGCAGCACACAGTGCGTCGAGTAGACTTTGTGGAGAACGTCCTGGGTGATGACCGTCAAGTCACAAGAATAAAGGTAGCACACGCTGAAGGTTGCAGGTAGATTCTTGACCCAAGGTTGGTCACTTGACTGCGCGTTCTCCCTCACGCCTCCGATTGGACGATCCCATGTGCTCGCCATCACATTCCTAATCCTAGCCTCTCGCAACTGTGGGTCCTCCAGCATTTCAATGGCCGCAGGATCTGTCTTCAACTGATCCTCATCAAAGGGGAGTGGCAGGGGAGTTGCAGAGCCTCCGTCCAGGGTAGATAATGGTCGGCCAGTCATGATGCCAAGCATGTGCTCAAGAGAGTAAATACACCACCACACCTTGTATCGTGATTCCTTAGACACGTTGGGGGTGACTGAGTTGTTGTTCCTCAGATTCAGGCCTAATGTAATTGCGGAGCGCACGGCCAAGGCCGAGATTCTCCAGGCCCTGTAGAAGTCATAAGCACGCATTCTGGGATGAAGATGGATCGCTTACAAACCTATTGATTTGATTGGAGGATAGAAGGTAGAATGCAATCAAGCCTTCTACCTGGACCTGCTGAAGATCAGGATGGCTGAAAAGATCCTTGCTGCTCATACTCAGACGTCTAGCTCGAGCTAGGTACATGAGATGGTCCGTTCCCGTCCCGTGCCAGGGCGCATTAGTGAGGTCGGAATATCTGGCGGCGATTGCAAAAATGGTGTTCAGAATTGCAAGCCACTTGTCGCCGGGTCGAATACCACGAAATTGGGCGGAGCTGTCGAAAAAAGACCGAAATTGTGCGTTGAACAAGGGCTTGCTAATGATTGGGAAAAACGGATGAACCATTTCTAGGTAGGTGGCAAGAAGTTGATCTGCGTGATCCCGAGGTGGCATGCTATATTCCTGCACTGGTTCAGGGACAGAAATGCTGAGGTCGTCCAGATGATAATTCAGAACGTGAAGTGAAAACTTTTCTTTTGTTTGTTCGTCTTCGTCAGGGCGTGGCTCCAAAGATCCGCACTTTCCATGAGAGCGTTGCTCGGCTTCCCTTTGGAGGCGCTGAATCCATGTGATTTCCGAGCTCTTACCCATGTAGCCTGTTGCGCGAGAATTTTCCGTTCGATTGTGATCCTCGTCCACTCGGTCAATCGCATCCAGTGACCCAATTGAGGACATTGGAGAAGCCTGGTTGGCGTCGATGCCATTTTGAGACGTGGAGGGACGAGAGGTGATGTTGTCATAATCAAGATCCCCTTTCAAGTCATACTGAGATCGACTCCTCAGGACACAGATCTTGCGGGTACAGCGGCGAAGGAACACATACCTTTTCTAGCAACACCTTGATCCAGTGCGAGGTGCTAGACTCCGCCGAACTTCGGAGTTCGTTCAAGAAGTTTTCATACTCCTGCACTTCTGCTGAGAGCCTGTCGACATCTCTGCGTCAAACGAGTAGCAGATTAGCTGACCGGTTCAGCCTTGTGTGGGGGCGTTTTACAACGATACTCACTGCTTCATTTTTTCCCTCCACCCCATCGGGTACTGGCAGGCGACTCTGAGTTCCCGGCATTGGCGACAAACAGGGGTATCACCGCTGCATTTGGTTTTTCGCTGTCTACATGACTCGCACGCCCGTGGCACTCGTCGACTGTACCGCTGCGTGGGCCCTGGCGGCTGACGGGGGATAGCCACTTTTGAGATTGGAAAAGGGCCACCATCACCGAGTGCGGGTGCCGAATTTGACGCTCTGCCAACCGGCTCGGTCGGTAGACTGAGATGTGAGGGTCGTTGTGTAGCTGGAGGGGCGCTCTGCAGGCCCGATCTCTCAGTGGCATCGTTCAGCGACGCGTCATGCTCCCCGGGCAAGCTGTGCGCCTTTTTTTGCTTCTTGCTGGTCATAAGAGAAATGGGAATTTAATATGACAAAGGAAGCTAGGATACAAAATCAAAAGCATCATCGCAAGTTGTTGTGTGAGGCCTTTGGCTTCGGTTTCTGATGCCGCCAATGACAAGCTCGTATTCCGAGAATGCAGATGAGTGGGGATTAAAGGAGGTGAGTGAAGGGAAGAAGGGCCCAAAACATCAACTTGAGCACTTTCTCTGGATGTGCCGACCGCGTCCGATGGTGAAATACCTATTTTTCTGGCTCACTTCCCATTTTATTCCTCGCCTTTGGGCCAGCTCATCTCCGTCTCTGTCGACGAACTTCCAACGAGCACGGGCCGTTGTACGTTGAAGCTGTGGACGTAACGTCAGCGAAGGGACCCTAACGTGAGGGAAGGGGATTTGAGACGGGATCTCACTCATGTCATCTGGCAAGGGTTCCAATCATTGTCCATATTCACAGAGAAGGTGATGTTTTTCCTCCATTTTTTCCCTTTCCGATGGATCCACACGATTACCGACAGATCGGCACGGCTCCATTGGAAAACTGGATGAGATAGCAACGACAGGCAGGGGTCACCCGGTAGATCGCGGAGACGAACTGGGTCATGACAGAGGATGGGAAGAGTTGGGAGCACCGAGAGGCTCTGCCAGTTCATCATTGGCGGAATCTTTCCCCAGTCCATGGGATTTTCCATTTTGTGGCCTGCCTTTTCAGGCTTCGTTTGTGCCTGAGGCCATATTGAAAATTTGATAGCCTTCGGAATCATTAAATCGCATATTCATTGACTTCCAAGATTATTATCAATTTCAACAACAATTTTGCTCTCTCAGTAAGGGCTTTTCAAATTTACTGGCCCAAGTCTATAGTAGCCTGCTTGTAGTTACAGATCAATGTTCGGGGTCATTTCGAGGTTGGCTTTGTTGGAGCCCGTCGCTGCCAGATTGGTCAGGCTACCCGCAGGTCGATAAACAAGCCCCCCCCTCCTCTCTCTCTCTCTCTCTCTCTCTCTTCGGTTTCCCACAATACATGCGTTTATGTCATTATACATTCTTGCCCAGGAGCTCTCGTGCTCTCGATAACTTCCATGATACTCGCCCTGGACGAAGGGAGGGCTTCCGACTCAAACCGATGGCCAGAGCGTACTTGCCAAGGGAGATAAAAATCCATCGAACCCTGTTCTAGCGTATTTTAGGGACCAACATCTTGTTATGTGAAAGTAATGTCATGATACAGATTATTCTTATACTAAGATGTTTCGCGAACAAAAGATTGTAACCTTGGAAGGTATGGGGAACAAAAAAAGCCATAGACAGGAACCGTGAACACAACCTTTGAGTCCACGGCCCCGGGGGTCTCTGTATAATTATTCATAACTGATGGGATGATATATATATTCTCGGTATATTCCAAGGTTGAATTCCACGCTCTGTGAGTTGTTTCGATCCAAATTACCTAAATTTCAATTACACAGCCGGCAAAGTGTGACCACTCAGCTAACCTCGGAAAGTCCCAGAATCCTCTCGCACAAAATACTCATGCGTGACGGCGATCCCAGGTCTGGGGACCAAGGTCCTGTCCTTGACCAAACCATCCTCAGAATCATTGAATGAGATATCGTCTGCGCCACGATCGACCTGACTCCGCGAGACGGAGACAGATGTATGTTGCTTGCTGTCCTGTGCACCAGTGTGCACACCAGCATGTGAGAGCTCGTAGCCGCGGCGACTACTATAGGTCCCTGTCCGAGAATGCGAGCCGAATACTAGGGTACGTAGAACAGGAAGACATGACGCGATGATGGCAATGGCAGTCTCGACCATGGACACGGTACAAGTGATCATTTGTTCGCCGAGGTGGGAATAAATTGCTCGTATTACTAGATGAAAGAAAGATTGAGTGGGTGAACGAGGGGGGTGGCGGTGGTATAAAAACATACTGCTGGTGATGACTACAAAAACACCAAGAAGGAAGACAGAGATTACTCCCCACTTCTGTTTCTTGGGCATCTTGAGTCGCACAACTTGTGATATAGGAAGGCAGATAACTAGTGATACTGGGTTAGCCAACGCATTTGAATTGGTAGGGAACTAGGGATCTCACTGAAGACATCACTAAAGATGTTGACTGTTGGCGTTAAGTTAGCTGATGTCAATTGGCACTTCAAGTGTAGCAGAAAGATGCGATCATACATAGTATTGTAAGCCAGTAGTTGATTGTAGATGGCCCCTGGGGACATGCCACTAGAAGCGGGAGCATTAGTTCCTGCGCCCGTCAGAATCAGTAGAGAGGATTGTTCTCACATTCAGGATTTGAAAGTCCTTCCCACTGGCGCCGTGGTGGATAGCACTTGAAAACAATATCGAAAAACAATACTAGCCAAGTAGCAGCTAATGTACCCAGGGTGATGTTATACACAATCTGATAGCGCGTCCGATCTGCCAAACGCTTGTAAAAGATCACCATGCTGGACTTGATCAGCCATAGTGAAGTGATGTATAAAGTGGATCCCGGGATGATCATCTGTTCGAACGGGCATTAGTGCCATTCTATGTCCATAAAGTTGTAATAGGTCAGAATGTCCTGTCAAGTGTGCTTACCTTCATCATGTTGATTTTCTGATCCATCGTTGTGTTGGCCATCTCAGACATGCCTATGCCGGGTATCGTCAACTAAAGTCCACAAAATTTTCGGAGCGCACTTCAATATTTGGAATACCCACCCTGGTTGAACATATAGTGTTGGATTGCCAAATCTGCAATAAGACAAAGCGAAGCCAGTGTAACAAACAGGTCGTCAAGATACAGCCTTTTCAGGAGCCGTACACGGACTGCAATACGACAAATCAGGAAGATGCATGCCGCAACTGTGCAGATGTACCAGGCCACCTGCGCACCCAATCGAAGTCTGTATTAGCAAATTGTCAAAGAGGCGGGAAGAAAAAAGGTAGAAACATACCACTTGCCCAAAATCCGGACGGGCCATGCTTGTTTTATCTCTTGGATCGAAACCGAACGGCACAAGTGTAGGGAATGACCATGTACAAATAAGCACGGTCGCTGATGTGGAATCATAATATATAAGTGAAGGAGAAAGTCTGATTTTACAGCTGTTTCCAACTTTGCCTTACCCTGGAATCTCCGTTCCAAGCACCACTGCCAAGCCCCTAGTATGAATCATGGTATTAGCGGTGTATTAGATGGTTCTCATGCGCGTGGAGCATTGACAAACTGAGGTAATTACGGTATCGGAAATTGCCATCGGTTCTGCGCCTCCGAAGGTTAGATCTACACTAAAGACTTGGCATTCTGATTCTGACCTTCTGATTGGTTCATACCCAACTTCCTGGCAACAATTGTCCCATTGTGGCCGGATGTAGACTTTTCATCGCCTCTAACCAAGGAACAACACCAAAGTCTATACTTTGACGAAAATTTACTTCGCACAAATGAACTAATAGATTGTCCAATTACTAAAATTGGACATTCCGTGATTCAATGACCCACCTAAAGTATTTCCAGAATCATACCGGTTTAATATATTCCAAACCACCACAGCATAGTGCGTATTGGGTGCTACCACATTACGTTTTCGAATCTGCAACTCTAGAAGTTGTTTTTAGTTGAACCAGAGGCCAAATGGAGATGTGCAAGTACAGTCCCAACTGTCTGTGTCTTTAAGTCACACCTGGGCATCTTGACGTTAACAACGCCCGGTCTCATACGGAGTATACAGACCTCGATTGGAGATGTACCGAGGTCCCGGCATAACTTCGGTGATTGGATTCAATCTAACGAACGGGGCGCTTGGCCCTACCCTACATGAATATAAATTTCATCTCCACTGTGGAGGCTACTCCGGCTATAAATGCCCTATACCAACTGTGTTTGGACCGTATTGGAAGGCTCTGGGTTGAAGGCACCAGTTTGCTATGCATTGCGATCCTCTGGGATCGCAATCCCAGAGCCCCTTGTGTACATTTTTAATTGGCCTACGGAGCTTAAACCGTGAAAGGGAAAATGTCACGACGGGACAGAAATTACATTGAATAGCCTAAATTGATAGTACAACTAGATGATACCTAGGTATCGAAGATAAAGATGCAACCCCCGTACCGGAATGAATATTTATACAAATCATCTTTCAAACCTCCCCTCCCAGCAACACGGGGTTTTGGACCTCGGGATAATGAGGGTAATTGGGTCGGTACACATTCTGGCAGCGGGTGTTATACTCGCCTGTTCGGCTGATCACGATATCTTCCTCATGATCGGGTACACCCACGCGTGCCAGAGGTCCGTCGAAAGGTACTGCCTGCCCCCATCCCGGTCCAGCGTGAGGATTCTTAATCCACGCAACGAACCATGAAAGCATATAGTCCGCCAACCGCTGCTCTGCACTGGTGACATTGTCCAGCAGCGAGAAGCACTCATTGCCGCCATGGAAAAAGGGCACTTCACTGCCATGCGAGGGCCCAAGGTTAGGAATCGGCAGCACGTTCGAGTAATTGCCGAACCAGCGATAGATCCAGGTGGGTTGCTTGGCAGCACGCAGGTCCAAAAAGGCATCGGTCGCGCAGAGGAATCGGGCATCGCCATATGAGGCGCCGCTCATCTGGGAGACGGAGGAGAAGTCAGATTCATGGTAGGCAGAGAGGAGCTCATTCTCGGGGACAAAGGCGAGGTCAGCATCGAATGTGCGAATCCAAGAAGAGAAATTCGTGTTCTCGCTACCGTAAACGTAGCCAAAAATCTCGCCTTCCTGGTCGGAGTTGCCGACAATCAGCGGCAGTGAATTTGGGTATTGCCCACTGACGAAACGCTCTGTGTAATTCGAGAAGCGGGTAATCTCGTCCACTGGAGGCGAGAACCACGTGTTGGTGGTTGCGTTGAAAGATGTTGTTTGGAAAGAATATGTGTCGACGGCGCGCAGACAGTCCAGAGTGTAGTTCTCTGCTGTACAATCGAGAGCCACACCGGCATCCATCATGTCCTGAACGACCTGTTTCAATGCAACACCCGCAGGGGCATACGCAGGACCTGATTGGGCATTGGCAGACATCTCGATTGCACCGGCCAGGAAAGTCTTGGGGTGGTTCCAGAGGTAATGATCAACGTGTACTCCACCGGAAGAGTGACCGCCCAGGACGATGCGCGACTTGTCACCACCAAATTCTGCAAGGGAAATTAGTCATGGGCCAGTCGGTTTGTTGCACCACAGAGAGAGAGAGAGAGAGAGAGAGAGAGAGAGAGAGGCGTGGGAAATATGACCAAGAACAACTCACCCTCAATGTTGTTGTAAATCCACTCCAAGGCCAATTCGACGTCCAAAATTCCAAAGTTCTGGGATGTTCCCTGCAGCTCTGGCGCATTGGGCGAGGCATAGACGCTTTCACGGTAATTGAAATTGACGTATATCACATCGTTACGGGCCAGGTTAAACCCTTGCCACTGGGCATTGCTGCTGCCACCAGTCACCATAGCTCCACCATATATATAGACAAAAACGGGAAGGCGACGACCTCGAGCCTCCCGCGGTGTCCAAATGTTCATATTGAGGCAATCCTCGCTCTGAGTTGTGATAGCGTTTCCGGACATGGCTTGCGCACATGATGGCCCATAGCTTGTGGCTTCAAAGCGACCATTGGGAAACGCGTTGATGGGCTTGGGCGCCTTCCAGCGGTTTTCGCCAGCAGTAGTCTCCGCAAATGGGATGCCGAGAAAGACATCAGTGTCATTTTGCACAAACCCCTTGATAGCCCCTTGCTCGACGGTGACACTGGGGGAGAAGGGTGCGCTTGGCACGCGCCGGGTCCTGCAACCACGGAGGTCACAATAAAAGCCGTGAGGCTGACGGTACGACACCAAAAACCCATAGTCATGATCGCGATTGCGAAGGGAGAATTCAAAAGGGGGAAGGGAAAGCGATGATCGTTGCTGGTAATTGCGGGAGTCGGACATTTAAGCGGACGTGCGGGACCATTAGCGTGGTAACGTTGATGGAGTGCCGAGCGGAACCAGACCGAGAATTTTCCAGAATTATTCTCTCAAAAATTCTCCGATGGAGATGTCTCAAAAAAATAAAAAGCCTCGAACGACTCTGAGGCTCTCCGTGGAACAAAATGTCACCCACGTGGCGCACTACGCTAAGCTATTGATTTGGTAAATGCTGGAACTGCTTAAAAGGCCTGTTCATCGCCTATCATTGGTGGCTTATTGTGGGTACTATGGCCTAGCTTGAAGCCCTGTTGTCTTGTAGTAGTTTAGTAGTTTATGACAATGAGCAACCCTCGAAGTGACTATATAGAATCCCGGAACACACACAGGGGTGAAAAATGAAGTCATTGGATTTGCTACTACCAACTTTCTGCAGGACCATGCGGTATGACCTGCCTACAGATAAAAAGGTTGGCAGGCGTTATACTCATCTCTCTCTCGCTTGGGGAATTGGGCAGTCGCTCCTGTCAATTACGATTACTTCGTGATTGGTGGGCACACGCTGGAGATGGCTATTCAAACGATCATAATACTCATCTCAGACACAAACCAGCGACATTCCTCTAGTGCTGATATCGTGTCAATACCTCGGCACTCATGGCGAGGTTCCCGGTGCTATCACAAATTTGCTAGCCCATTTTATGACCCTGGAAAAATGTCACGACATCCTACTTTACAGGCTTTCTCTACAGCAACAAAAGCCCTTGAACTTTGGTGAGAATGATAGTTGATTGGGGCACGTTTGGGAACAGAGGGGCATTACCGGATTAGGAAAGAGACCCTGTTTTGGCAAATGGTGCTCGTTGATGTTTTTGGGGGTTTTCAGGAAGATTTGATGTCCTGTAAGGGGGATATTGGGTGGTCAGGTGACCTGGTATAGGGCATAGATAGATTGCTCTCTCTCTCTTCTCTTCTTCCTTTTCCCTGTCTCTTTTGTCTAGTAAGAATTGATCTACTGCTACACATATGCTTTATCGTAGACCGATTGCTCGCTATCATTTGAAGATCAAGAAAAAAAGGACGTGGAAACTGTAGAAGAGAATCAGCTTCCAAGGTTTGATAGGCCAGGATAGTCGCCAAGGTAAGGATGGTAACTGTTTTCTGAGCAGAGACCTCGGGAAATGGTTGAGTAGGGAGTGAATACCTGATATGGAGGTAGTATATAATAAATCATTTCGGTTGCATCCATGGATATAAAAAGCTTTAGTTTATAAACTAATGAGAGATGGATGCTACATGAATTTAGACGGTTTAAAAGGATAAAGTGATTCATAGAACCATGAATGATCTAAAGGTAGATGGCCTTAGTGTAGCCTTTCAGTAGTCATAATGTGCGCGAAAAAATGGAAATCAAGATAAAGAAAAAAAAAAAAAAAAAAAACTAGGTTAGTCTAGTGAACCGAATAATTCGATCTTAAATAGTTGATAATAAATCGTGCAGAAGTGTCTAGTGTGGAGTAAGGATCGAATTAGGCCGGCTCAAGGGCATTGTTTATCCATGGATGTTGATACAAGCTCGAGTGGCTATACCTAATTATAACAAGAGGGCACTTCCCGCAGTATATTGATTTGATTGATATCTAAGTTTTGTGTCGACCGAACTGCTTTAAAGTGCTTGAATCCCATCAATCCTGTCACCCAGGCTCCTGGGATTGTCGTCACCAGCGGTGAGGTCATCAACCCATGCACGTATGTGCCGAGCAGCAAACACATTGTCACAGTTTTGCACTGCAATGTCAAAATCTCTTTGGCGCTGGCTCATGTTAAACACATCCTCCCAATCGGGCTCAATAATTTTCATCCTTTCAAGATAAACATCACGAAGTAGAGTGACCTCATGGCTAAAAGGTGCTCCCAGTAGAGCTCGGACGGTTCTCCATTTTCTCCAAGCTCATAGTTTCCAAGTTCAGGTCTTATACGCCGTGCCTTTTCTTGCAGAAATGCAGGGTAATCACGGGCAATCCAAACAGGAAGTGCCGAAACACATTCCCAGTCTAAAATAGCAGTGAGCTCTCCACTATCATGGACGAGGATGTTTTGACTAGAGAGGTCGTCATGAACCATAATTGGTGGCTCTGGGTGATTTCCAGCGGGTGGGAACACAGACGGCAGCAAAGTTTGAAGTTTTCGGACGATTTCCAATGTTCTCGTGGCATCGTCTGCTTTGTTTGCATCACGTCTCCCAAGTTCACCAGATGGGAGATTTTCCAGCGTTGATACACAGTATTTCTCATTCTGTGAAAGACGCGATGTAATCCAGTCTTTACTCGAACCAAATGGTCCTCGATTAACATCCTGAAGGACGTTTGATCCCCAAAAGAAATGCATGGAAACAATTCTGCCAACATCTGACAAGTCCGTATCTGACAACCCTCCAGGAACGTTCTCCTTCACAGGGAGAGGTGATTCATTGGAATGCACTTGATCCTCAGCAGGCCAAGTTACTTCGCCCGTTGTAGAGTCACCAAGGATGGATGCCGCCTTGTAGGTATTTCCAATTCCCTGTAGTTTGTTTCGGAAAAGGCAAGTAGCGAAGTCTGCAAAGTGTTCACCAAAATCGTTTTGGCAGAAAATGACAGAGAATGCCAAATCTCCCCCACAGGCTTTCCAGGCATTTTGGTCATGAGAATCCATTCGAATCCGAGGGGATTGTTTTCACGGGAACATTGATAAGTGATGATGCAAGGAACCAGTATGTTCGAAGTGCGCGATATCCAGTGTACTGTGGACACTTCGCTCACAGTTTTGTGGTCCGGATCCACGGGCAACGAAACCCGCATAATGAAAAGCTCGTTGTTTATTTTCACGTCATAAATTTTGTTGAACCCCCTTGGACAAGGAAGGTCACCTGGACCGTGCTTTCTGGCCGTAGTGATTGTATTGTTTGCTCAATGGCCCTAATATCGGGTTCCACCGTCCGCTGACGCTCAGGGCCAAAAGTCTTGTCAGCCCAGGCAAGACCCTCAAACTGTGATTCGAGTTTCATGTTTGTGATAAAAGCAGTCTGTGAATATTGCAGCTGCTGATTTTGTAATACTTGAACTTGAATAGGACTGAAAGAGTGGCTTGGTGTATGTAAGAGAGGGATGGTGGATGGTGCTCAAAGTGGTGTCAGAACAGCATCGGGCCCAAGCAACTATATATGCCCCCAGGGCGGTCTGTGTACGAAGGGAGGCACAGCTTTGCGGCATGCAACCGCTCGAGCATCCCTCAGGTTTCCGGTCAAATCCTTTTTTTTTGTTCCTATTCTAAACCTCAAAAGACACCCAATGAACCCTATTCTTCTGTATAAATGGGGTTTGTGTAGACATTCATAATCCTGCTAATTCATAATTCCAAGACCCTCATCGGGCGTACCCCTACCGTCTCTGAAAAAGTCATATCTTCTAACACCCAAAGCCAATCCGTAACATCGGATTCATTAAACCACTAGCTACCCCTCATCACCTGTCTGTCTGCCCTTCCGTCTGCCTGTGGCGGTGAGTGATATGATGAAATGTAATAAACTTGTTCAAGCAAAGCTACCTCACAGGTTCGACCTAGTAAGCATAATAAAGGTTCGACTCATCATTTTCCTGTCGGATCTTGCGGTTCGCACGCTGTAGCCAGATCCTCATAGCCCAGGAACAAGCCGCGCAGGTAATCGAGAATGCGGCACTGGATGACATCGCGATTGTGTAGCGTGGTTCGTCGGAGGATGGCCAAAGGTACCGCTCGAAGTTAGGACCAACCATCTCTTCCGAAGAATAAGAAGAGAAAGAGAAAGGAGACATACTGGAGTCCAGATAAACGAGATGTTAGCACAGGTGTTGACGATAGCCAGAGCCGAAGCTTTCTTCTCCTTTGTTTGACCGCATGTACTCGAGACCCAACCGAGGATGATTGAGTTGACTGTTCCGGCAGATCAGTAACTAGAAACCAAGAAAACAAGTATTCACCAGGGCGACATACCAGCATAAGTACCAATCGTGAAGACACACATGGCAAAATACCTCGCACCGGTATTGAGAGTCGCACATCCGAGGACGAACCCGACGATCGCGACCGTCTTCGCAAAGGTGATATGCCATGTTCGCTCATTCATGCGACCAGAATTCCAAGACCAGAATACAGAGATGATACCGGCGATGAGATAAGGCGGGCATGTGAGGACTAGAGTAATGGTAGTGTTGAAGCCAAGGGTTTCGACGGCCGTCGGGAAGAAGTTCTTGAAGCCGTTGGCTGCGAGATGCATGTGTTGCATGAAAGCGAAAAGCCAGACTCGAGGATCCTTTGCGGCTTCTTTAACACCGCTAAATGTGCTGGTTTGGTGACGGGCTCCAACGGTGTCAGCAAGGATACGCTCGTGAGCGAGCTTCCGCTCGTCTTCCGTGAGCCAGCGGGTGTGGAGAGGGTCGTCTGGTAACACGAAGACGGAGCAAACGGCTACAATGAAGGTTACTGCACCCTGGAGAATGAAGAGCCACTGCCAGCCGGTGATGCCACCGAGTTCATCCATGCCATGGAAGATACCAGCAGCAATAAGTCCAGCGAAAGCTGTAGCGAGAATGTTGCCGGTGTAGAGGATGGAAATCCGGGTCGCGATCTCCTTGCGTGTGTAGAAGATCGAGAGCATGTAGAGGGCACCAGGGTAGTATGGTGTTTCTGTGACACCGAGGAAAAAGCGAACTAGCAGAAGGCCGGTGAAGTCCTTAGCCAATGCAGTCAATGCACTAACAACAGCCCATGCGGCCATGGCGCCAGCCATGTAGTATGAAGGCCGTAGTCGCGTGATCAACATGTCTATTAGAAAGTTAGTAGTTAGACAGAGTTCAGGGGGTAAGAGACAGATAGACTCACTGCTGGGAACCTGCCCGGCGATATAACCGACAAAGAGAATGGAAACACAGGTCTGGTACTGGGATGAAGAGAGGTTCAGATCTTCCTCAAGGCCATTCAATCGTGCCAGAGCGATGGCATTACGATCGAGGTAGTTCAGCCAGTACATCAGCCATAAAGTAGGCATAATCCACAAATCGAGCTTGCGCACTAAACGAATCTCAGCAGGATCGGTTTTTTTGGTCGCGCCAGAGTAGTCGACGTCCTTGAGCTGCTTCCGCTTCTCTTCGTCGATGGTGTCTTCCCGGTGTAAGGCCCCGGGCTTTTCGTCATCAATATCCGGGGAGATCTTGTTTCCGGTCATGGCGCCGAGTATGTTTGCAGAGGGAAAACTGACAGTAGAATGTAGTGCGACTGCAGCTTGAATTGTTCCTTCATCTTGACGGATCTGGCAGGTAGTTTTATATGTTTTTGCCTCTGTGGTGAATCCAGTAGTTTCACAGCATATCGCGTGGAAGGGTGACTTACCCCGGACTTGTCACCCCGCATTCTGCCAACGTGGGCCCCGTTATATCGGCCTATTTGAGTTTTAACTCAAGAGCTAAATCAGACAATAGAGATCCAATGAACAGCATGTACGGGCGTAGTTTTGTCATGCCTAGCATCTAGCAAGTAAAACGAGTCATTATTCCGATGGGATGTTAGGTGGAATAGGTCTCCAAGAAGGAGGAGTAACCTCTAGTCGAAGGTTGAAAGACAATAAACTCAAGAGTTCTTGAACTCCGAACGGCCGAGGATTGGTCAATCTCCAGTTTCCGAGAGTGCACAGCCTCGCAATCCGTGCTTGGCTGACAGCCATTTCGAATGAAGCAGCATACGGACAGGACATGTCCGGGAATGGGCAAGTAAACTCCGCCAAAAGGCTATATCTCTCTCTAGCTTGTTCCCCTCCTTGGTGAACTTTGCATTCTCTTGTCGCTGCGTGCCAGATGTGCCCCGTGTCTTGGAACCACGATAATACGGCGTTGCCAAGCTGAGAGAGTATTATGCGGGATATTATTGTCTCTGGGTTTTGTTGATATAACGGCTTATTCTCGGGTTGCCTTCTAGCGTATTTTCTGGTTGATGCGCTTGGCATGGAGAACGGAATGTTCGAGCCTTTGGAGGATCTCCGCAGCCAAGACATCTCGCCGCGAAGGGATTATTATTCACTTGCTCGGCGATAACCAGGATGACAGGAGTTGATTTTAGTGGTGAACTGGAGCGAGAGACCAATCTCTTTCGTTGGAAATAACTTACCTGCCAACCGTGAAACAGTGAAACGGCTGCGAGGGATCCCGTTAATCTTTCCAAGTTGATTTCCCCGCGCCTGGAACCGAACGAGCAACCAACTCCATAGCATGGTTAATTGAGTCACTTATGCGCTACTGCCAGATGTACTTTCATTCAACCGACATTTCAAACGCGCACCGGCTCTCCCCAGCGAGACGAAAGTTTGCGCCCTGTCCCGAGTAACACCAACCTGAAAGCCACCCATTTGCGGCCACATAGCACATTGCACATATTTCTATCACCAAGATAATTCTTTTTGGAAATATAAGCTTGTAAATACAGTATATCGAACACCTACACTCAACCACTGCGAATGCTTAGTGCACAGCCAATTTCACGAAGCTGATGTCTGAAGAAGTGTACTTCTGACATGCCAGTTAGGCGGTTCGAACAGGAAACACAAGCGGGTCGGCGTGGGAATTCGGGCTTCCGACACAGGCCATATTCTAAGGTCCGTTACTCCCTACAGAGACCACATACTGTAGCGCGGGATACTTGAGTAGGTATATCTAACATGCAGAAAAAGATTTGCTTGAACTTCGCTCCAAGGTTCGCACCGACGGTCGACTAATGCTTCGTAGACTGCCTAGTACCTAGTTATATTTCATACAGCTATATCGCATATTCTCTTCATCCACTTCTAGGACAGTTGATAGCGAGTAATTGATCTATGATGAAGCGGATATGTAGTAGTAGTCGATTCTAGCTAGGCAAAAAGAGGACGGGGAAAAAGGAAGAAGAGAAGAGAGAGAGAGCGAGCTATCTATACCCTGACTAGGCCTCGCCAAAACCCGCCCACCGCCCAAACCCGCCCGCGAAAACCCAGCCCATGGGCCGGGTTGGGTCTTAGTCAGCAAACCCATGGGCGGGTTGTCATCCGGGAAACCCAACCCAAGACCCAAATGGGTACCCGCGATTACCCAAAAAAGCAAAAAAAGCTGACTGATCATTTTACACTAAGTTATGCAGTAATTTTCGATTATCTAATTGTTTCGATGGCGTAACTACTAGCTTCTAGCTGTGAATATTTGGAAAGGAACATGAAGGGCTTGAAGAAATCAAATTGGCTAATTATAAAGACTAGTATACCTCGTAACCTCGCAGTCTGCTGGAGGGCATTGTTACCCGACCAGAAGATCTCTTCTGGCTTCTATCACTCAATTGCATGATTGGAGGCGGAAGTAAATCTGCTTCGTCGTAATCAACCACGTCTTCCTCCACACTCTCTTCTTCTTGTTCAGGTTCGTGAATATGTCTGTGTATAGAGCTCCGGCCGGTCTCTACCACCGTACACTCCACTTGGTATGTCTCCTCTGGCTCAGAGTTACCCTCGAGATTCTCGCTCTCTTCAATCTCCTCATTGTCGCTGATCGGCTCTGCATCCTCTTCGATTGCCTTCAACGCTTCATCCTCTTCAAGTGCCTCTTGGCTCTCGCTCTCCAACGGTTTCTCCAGACGAATCAATTGCTGTCCCTCTAGTGTGAGCTTTTCTGAGCACATGTACATCATCAAGTCTTGAATGGTCCCTTCGTGAAGAGACCCTCGGCGATAATGACAAATGTCTCGTGCGCTATTGAAGAGCCTTTCTACACCCGCGCCGGTGGCAGGGACTGAAAGCAAGTCTCGTGCGAGCCTAGACAGCACTGGGAATTCGCGCTCGTGTTCTTTCCAATAAAGTCGCGGCGACACAGGGACATTGGCTATTCGAGGTCAGTCAGTTGTTCCAGTGTGTTGTACTGATTGCTCGTGCCTTCGCGAAGATACTGGTCCACTTCGTCATACTCTACTCCTTCATGGAAAATCGATGCACCAGGTGGCTCGAGTAGCCGATCAAGCTCTGTGCTATGCGAATTGGAAGATCGCTGGACCGTACGGAATAGCAACTCGGGGTTCTGCTGCTGATACTGTGTGAAAGATGCTCTCAAATATTCACAGTACCTTTTTGACGTATCTTCATGGCAAGTTGAGTACTCTCGAGCATCAAAAGCACTCAGTTTATACTGAGGAGCAAGTAATGTTCCAGTGCCATAGAGAAAACCGTGGTCGCGGTAGGTTTTTTCGTAGTACTCTTTCAGCTTCTGCCTCGCCACAAGCAACGCGCCATACATGTCTTTCTTCCAGGGTGTTGTCTTTCTCTTCAATCTTCGATTCGACCGTTCGATATGCTCCAGTAGTTTCCTATACACAAGGAACACACTATGGATTGTGACGTCTCTGGTCTTCATCAGAGCCATGGTGAACTGAAAAAACGGTTTGGTCAAATGAACGAGGTAGTCAATTTGCCTCCATTCAACGTCGGTAACCTTGAGCTGCGAGTATTCATGATCGCAGCAGTATTTGTCGATTACATTTCTCAGCCGGCGTGCTCGGCGAAGCATCAAAAAAGGTTGAATTCCAGCGTGTCTGAACGTCATGTAACGGAAAAAGCCGAGTACCACCTGATTGGAGGCATAAAAAAGCATCACGCCGTTGTGGGCTTGCGTTGACAAAGATCGCAAAGGATCGAATCTAATGCTGTCAGTGCTCTGAGTATATTGAAAAAGTGAATATCTTGGCTCACCTTTGTCAGTGTATGAGCCACGTCTCCATAGTTGATCGAATCCTTCAACCCGTGGGCTTGGGTGTCGGACCAAAAGGCTCTGACTTCTTTATTCTTAGGTGCTGCCCTGATATGTCCCAGTAGCTGTTTCAGGCAAAGCTGGATCACATGAGCCATGCAGGGAACCCGGACTATTGATTCCCTGGAGCTAATAGCTCCGATAGAGAGCAGTCTCTCTTGCAAGGCGCGTATCATGGTGTCGTTGTTGGTAGCGTTGTCTGTAGTAACGCTAAAAATACGATCGAGAAGTTTTCGTTCCTCCAGTAACCGGTGCAAAACATCACTAAGGTTGTTGCCTGTATGAGGACCGTGCAACGGCTCAAAGCCGAGGAGCATTTCCCTATAGTTCCAATCTTTGTCGATGAAATAAACCGTGATTGCCATGAATGCCTGCTGAAATGGACTGGTCCAACAATCTAAAGCGAGGGAAACCTTGGCATCTTCAGGCAGATCTTGTAACTGTAACTCTTGCTGGCAATTGACTGCATCCCGGAGCCGTCTCCGCAGGGTCTTCGCTGACGGGAGTTCCAATTCTCCGGGACCAGAATATAAAAGGCTGAGTAGCCTCTGAAACACCGGGTTCTCCACCGTCTGGAAAGGCAAACGAAGACACGTAATTGTCTTCAATATCTGCTCCTCGATTTGAAATGTTGTCACTCTGTGGACACTGGGTGAGTCTCTCGTGAAATGGTTCTGCAAAGAATCCGAAATCAATGACTGATTAAATCCCTTTTTCTTCCCTTTACGACAAGTATTAGACTTTTTGTGTCTACTCATGGCGCTTGTCCCATTCCCTTTATACTGTGGATGATCAAGCACAGTGAGACAAGCCTGGCAGATGACTCGAGGACGCCCAGAATCAATATCAGCCACCTGGTCAAAGTGTTTCCACACATCAGCGTGACGCGATCCGGTGGACCATTTGATCTGGGATTGGCCTTCTCCGTTCAGCTTTTGGCCGTACTCTGTTTCCTTCCACCATTCAAGAAACTCTGTCTCTAGATGCGACTCGTACGCAATCCATTTCTTTCTGTGCTGAGGTCCCACACGTCGGAGTGTCGCTGGAGGTCTTCGAGTAGTTATGTCGTAGGTTTTGCGGGGTCCTGTCAAAGGCTGCGGTCCATCTTAGTATACATGTAGGTAGCGCCGCAACACTCAGAGGCTAGTGGAAGGGACCATTTTCTTACGGAGGATTGAATGTCAGAATCCAAGAAGCCGTCAGATGACGGCTCAATGGAGAGCAGTGGACTGAAAGGCCGATGTATTGATCGCGATGATGAGGAAGAAGACGCCATACTGAAGTAAAAGGCCACTGGTATTGGAAGAAGGGGGGATTTTTTTTCATCTTGAGTACTTGATTGTGGATTTTGTTCCAGTCGCGTCGTGCGTTTGGATCTATCTATTCCTGAGTCGCGTAAAACCCGCGGGTACCCAAAACCCAACCCAACCCAACCCAACCCGCCCGGAGATGAATACGACTTTGGGAGGACACTGAGAAGGTCCAAATCACTGATTTTAAATGATCGAACTAAGGATAATATTTTTGAGCTCACTCGAAAGATTCTCAATTGATGAATTTACATAAAATCATCAATGTGGCCTGTAATCCCTTCAGATGTGTAAAGCAGGGCGATGGGGGCAGTGATCTACTTGTAGAGAATATATATTTCCAGGTCGATGGCGTTCATTGTTTCAGTGTAATATCCACTCAAAAGCGTGACAGAAATAAATGACCAAAATTACACTAGATGACTAATCAAGTTTATCCACGATTTATGCATGTTTTTGGGTATTTTGGGCAACCCGCGGGTACCCGCCAAGAGCCCATGGGCGGGTTCATCAAAGCCAAAACCCGCGGTGGGTTGCCCATGGGCGGGTAAGGAAATTGAAAACCCAACCCAAACCCGCGTTTGGCGAGGTCTAACCCTGACAACAACCGGGTCACGTGACCACCCAACAACAGTCGAATTAAAAGCATTATAGTAAAGCCTTCCATATCCTCTATATCACTAGGCACAATCTGGCACCTGCTTGACTGGCTTCCAAACAGCTTCGAAGACAGGGAACGTGTGCAAAACTTAGAGCAACACAGCTCTTCAATCAAGAAAAACAGGGAAGGTGTACAGCTATTCTCAAAACCTTTCACCCCAAAAGCTTTTTTTTTTTTTTTTTTCTTCCCTAGTTCACTTTCTACTCCAACCGGGCACGGTTGCGCAACGTTTCCAGGCCCTTTTCAGACTTTGAGCCTATCCAAAAAGAGATTTTTTTCTTAGCCTTTTCCTTTGTAGCTAAGCCTGCATAGTCAAAAGATCCAGGGGCTGGATTCCAGCTGAGATCTTGACGTTCTCAGCACCGGTGTCTCCCGCAGCACCAACAACAGTGGCGGTCACACCATTGGTGATGACTGGCAAGTCGATATTCTGGCCCCATAACACCCACGCGTCTCTTGTGTACTTCACATAATCATACGGCATGTAGTAGTAGCCTCGATCACCGGTGGGGCCCCAAGAGTTTTTGAATTTGAACAGTCTGCTGTTGTCATCATAGCCAACAAACACGACTGCATGGCCAGCTGTTCTCGGACGAACTGGCTCTGGCGGCATTTTCATAATCCCAGTCCGCCGAGTATATTCGCCCATAAGATAATCCTGTTCAGCTCCTGTGCCAAATATATCGAAGCCAGTGATGACAGGCCACCCAATGGATAGCATCGCCTTGTAGTGGTCGACACTGTTACCGGTCAACCTATACGCTGCCGTTACTTTCATCCGTGTGGCAGTGGCATATGCATCAGCGGTTGGGCGAGTTAACGGGCTGGTATATGGACAATGTCCTTCCCAGCAGCTACCTAGCTGTTGCGCAATGGCTATACCAATATGAATGTAGGTACCGCGGTTATCGTCGGGGTTACTACTCCCATCCCGTGCTTTCGCGTTGTACCATAAGAATCGTTCTGATTCATCTTGCACATGTCCGGCGGCATCTGGAACAATTCATAGCGCTGCGGCGATTGCAAATCCAACGCAGGAATTGTATATGCTTTGATTCTTGACTGGTGACATCTTCCAACTCAAATCCACCCTGGGGGGGAATGCCGTGGGTGCAGCGAGCTCAATACTTGCGAAGGCCTGATAGGTTTCGTCCGGGGTTCGCAGGAGACCAAACCCTGGAGCCTCATCAGGCCATATTGGGAATTGAGAAAGCTGGCGAGGAGTCTCTTTGTTTTCCTTGTCTGTCATCTTTGGACAGTGGATAAAGGACCTGTCGTATCTTAGGATCCCGTCAAAATGCCAGTAAATGCCGAAGAAGAAGTTAACGGGGAACAAGGAGCATACCTAGGTAGAAATATAAGGTAAGATATAACCTAGTAACAGAAGTGAGGACGTTGAAGGTCAGTAGATAGAGTGAGAATACAAGAATGGAGATCAAGGTCAGACTAGAAAAAGAAATTGAAATCTTGTTCAGTTGATAGGGAGTTTTAGGGGTTATTTATGTTGAAGACTGCATTTCTGTTTCTGACACCCTCAGGCTAGAATCAAAGATGAACAACCTTGGAATCTTCATACTGGATTCTAGATGCTCCTCGGTAAATCTAGAGCTATACATAATTTGGTGTATATCACAATAGGAGCAGATGACCGTCAATATAATTGTTATAAGGTCATTCAATTGACCAATTGTCTGATATAGATCTGGCCATGTAGATTATACTTTTACTGTCTGCTCACCATTAGTATAGAATAACATGAAGCTTGTATCCAGCTTATATTTTAATTCGGTATATGCCAGGGCGGCTTTAACGAGTAAAAACCACGGATAGCTAAACCACGGACGAAGTAAGCATAAGGCGGGGGACTTGGATGATCGAAAGGCGTCATGGGGCGGTCCCAAGATGGGCGGCTTCATCCGCGTCCGGCGCTCAAATTTTGAATTAGCGGGACGGAATAAGGTTGAGCACTCTATCCCTTTGTGTTAACATGCTCAGGGCTGAGGGTTTCGTGTGCCAGGATTCCCATAGCTTGGCTCGTAAAGCCGGCCGCAAACAGCTAAACAACCGTGCAATTTACGAGCACCACAAGACCAATCTTGCACTTGGGCAAATGATGGACTCCGCCAAGATTTCGCAGAAGCACATGACAAGACCTTCCGCCATCGGGTTCCTCCGGGCTCTAACTCTAGGCATTGTGGAGAGATGCGCCAAACGTTTCTAGCTGCATCAAGTATGAGGCTGCAACATTCTTGCTGTAGTTTCAAGGGACGAATGTGGACTATTAGACCAATGTTTACCAGGGATAAATGCTGCGAATCAGTTTGTTGCTATGCATGCCACCTACCTTGATTGAGTGGACCCGCGTAGCTTCATTCAGAAGTTGTGAGCCCTCAGTTTCTGTCAGCTAGAGGAATCAGGCTGGCAATATCAGATCAAGGAAAGGGATGAGATTCAAATTTTTTTAGCTACTTCTTTTCACCGTATCTTTTCCACTTTTTTTTTCACCTTTCGGTTTTTTAACTTTTTTTCGCCTTTCAGTCAAGCAACCCAATGCCTGTCAACTGTTTTGATAACCCAATCAAACCAATCACAAGATAATAAGGCCAGTGGTCCATTAAAGATATACCCCATTCAGTCCACCCTCAAGAGACCCCAAAGATACAGAGGTCCATTCCTTGAAAAGGACCCAGTAACGCAAGAATCTGTAAATCGCTTGTTAAGGAGACTTCAATCAAAGACTTGCAAGAAAAACCTACCAATTAAATTGCAGACTCCCACCCCGATTATTGATTCTTTCGGCCAAATTGACATCCCCTTCTATGTAGTTGCCCCATGGGGAACCATCTCTCAGTTCAGCTCGCAGGACGGGCACTCGACTTCCACCTTCTGTTGGGTTGAATCTGATATTCCTGGCACATTCAGTGAACTCGTGTCCACCCCATTGGAAACGCCCTACCATAATAACGTCAGCGAATATGAAGTAATTGATGTCAACCACATACCTCCATTGTCTCCGAGGCAGCTATCCAATCTCAGCCAGCTCTCATTCCAGCCTCGAGAATTGTCCCAGCATCTGCCCACGAGATAGGTGTCCGGGTAGCGGGACTCGATGTGAAGGTCCTCGGTGCCATTCATTTTGTCAGATTGTGATCACAAAAATGCCTTTCCGAAGTTGTTACTTTTTGTGCAAGGATATGGATAATTCCCAGTGATTCGACCAATATTTATATTTTTAATAATGAGGAGGGGGACTTTTGCACTTGAAGCCTCCTGGCCACTGAGATGAAGGAGCTACTTCAGGCTGGGCTGCAATTGCATAGCTGATTGAGCAGTCGAGTCATTCCAGTTCACACATGATGATTAGAAATGAATCTCGAACATCTAGAACGTCTCCAGGCAGCAATCTACCTTGGAAGAAGAAGGTAGGCAAGGACCAGGTGCATCAATTCATGACGGACTCGGGAGAATGGTGATCAATAATTAATCTAGCCTTTTTCCGAACATATAATCACCTGGCTACAATATCCATGGCGATGACAAACGAGGAGCATCATGTCTTTCGCCTCTATTCTGTTTTCTCGGAGACAAGTCTCTGATATTCGCTATTCCCGACTATCCCTGAAGATATTAGCTTGGAGTTTAGGGCCAAGTTAGCTGGACCAACCGCCACAATGACATCCTAACTAATCCTGGTGCTCCGGTGGAATACTAGAATGACCCATGGGTGTCTTGACCTGTTGCATAAAATAATACCTTTGGTTGGAACTAACTAGCGCCCGCCTCCCGCCTATCCGCCGGTGCGGATGCAGTCTATGACGTGTCGCAGAAACACACCACCGGTTATCGTTCAGCCAAAGTACTTTTTGCTATTCATCTGTTCCAGACCCAGGTGTCTTCTCACCGTATTAACCAACTCTGTTCGATACTGCCGCTAATTCCATCCCCCACAGCCTATAGAACGTTCCCAATCCGGGCATCCCTGTCCGATCACGATAATCACATGCACCAAATCAAAGTTGATATCATCACAAATACTTGAGGATTATTGTAGGCAAAAGCAAACAGAAACACTCTAGATTTAGTCATAATAGGTTAGAGCATAGCATGTCCAAGGAGGAAAATGAAACATTCGGAATCATATTGCTTCGTGACTTCGTATTACGCAAGAATAAAGATCTAAAGAATGCGCAGGCGTAGCCGTGCCACTGTATAATGTCGGTTGACCTGCAATCCTTTGTTAGATCCAATAATAACTCCATCAAAAGTACAGAAATATATGCCACGGAGCCGGTCTAGGCTTTGGAGAACACGAACCCCCATAGAACGGATGCAACGAATTTTTTGGAACTTGAGATAACATTATTTTAGATTCCTCATAGCCTACAATGCCCCAATCTAGCTGAGTTTAGTTCTCTTAGAACCACGACAAATATAATGTCAAGCCCCAAGGGAGAGAAGGAAGCTTGACGGATTTTCCATCGTTAACACAAATGGAAAGAAAACTTGACGTCAATGAGACACTAAAGCTTCACCACAAAGAACAAGACCGAGAGAGCTCTAACCCTCTTCGAAATTACTCTGTACAAAGAATAGAATTCAGCCCTTAACAATATACTATGCCTAAGTCTCATCAATCACTTCTTAGAGACTCATCTGAGGAGTCTCAGACCTATCTCACTTACGTGGCCGCCACTGCTGAGCTACGAGCAAAGCTGATTCGCAAGGAAGAAGACCACAGATTTCAATATTACCTGATCAGCGTTGTTTTCAACTTGATTGCAGTCGCCCAGATAATAGTCGGTGCAGCTATCACCGCATTGGGGCCATCAGGCGGCTAACATACGTTGGCACAATCCTTGGGGCCTTCAACACTTCTATTGCTGGGCTTTTGGCACTGCTCAAGGGAAGGGGTCTCCCAGAGCGACTGAGGAAAAACTCGACCGAAATATCCAAGGTTCTAGAGATGATTCAAGAAAGAGAAACCTTACTCAGATATGGCAACAGCAACGTCTCTGATGACGAAGTCTATGTTCTTCTACAAGAGGCTTTCCAGTCATACGCTTCCGCCGAGCAGGTAATTGAGGGAAACCAACCAGATACGTACGCCGATGGAAGGAAACCTCAGGATTCTGTCAACTCCACGGAGACGAATGGTATTTCGAGTCATACGGCAGGGACTGGCGGAACGAATGGGAAAAAACGCCAAATTGATGAGGAACTAGGTACTGTTAATCACACCGAAGGTTTTCAAGGTTAGGTATGGGTAGCAAAGGGAGGCGGATAGTTGACTGTATATACTACTTAAGCAGGTATTGCCGGGAATCAAATCTTTGTTTCTCCCTCCTACCATCCCCCAAATCACATCTATAGTCCGTTTATCACCTGGTGCAATTGACATTGACATAGTCTCACTATCGCTACGTTGGCCATACATTGGGTTGGGGAATTTGCGAACCTATGACGCATCTTCACAGACACGACGCCTTTGTTGTATCTCATAGACTTGTGAATACAGTAACATTCTAAGAAGTACTTCTGACATACAAGTCAAACGGACCAACAAGGTAACTCACGCGAGTTAGCGTGTCCATTGCGGGTGGTATGGTTTTCTAAAAAAAAGGAGGTGCCTCGAACCCATCGAGATTGTGGAGGTCCGCCAACTGTGCACTCAAAGGTTCATCTTCTTTTCAAGGCTTTCAAGGCTACGTATGAAGGCACTGGATTGAAGGTAAATATGGGTACATATATTGTTTTGCCAGTAGAGAAGATGATCATCGACGATACTGATAGCCAGAACTCGGCACTCGCATGTTCACGTCGATTCCTGTAGTCCAGACCGAGGCATCCCTTGAATACTAGGTACTGTAATGGGGAAACCACGCCACATCTCTCACCTGCCCCTCAGGCATCCCAGGGGTATTTCTAGCCCCATTTCATAGCATAGCAATCCAAGCATTCTACACCTCTGTGAGAAACAGCATTCCTTTCCTATTCCAGCCTTCTGGGGGCTCCCATGATCCCCGTCGAAGCACTGAGCACCCCCGTCGTCTTGTCTGCGATGTCAGACCGCCAGCGCGCTCTTCCTACTTCAGTACATATATCACCTTAAATACAAATTGAAAACCTAGGTGGTATCCTAAGTTTAAATTCCAAGATGATCTCTATCCCTTAGAGGGGACAACATATAGCCTGTATAGATCTTAACTATAGTGGGTAAAAGTGGGACTAGTATATTTTGGCCCTAAGTAATATATCTTTTTAATCCATATACTCTTACGATTAAAAGGCCAGCTCAATCTCATTCTGGTAAGTTCTATTTTATATAGTAAGTGATTACTCTTAATACTGTATAAACGGTGCGCTCAACAGCGCCGTGTGGATGAGGGTGGTTGCGGTCTCCATTAGGAGATGCTGACTTGAGGTGTTTCCGTTGCTGTCGTCGTTGGCTTTCAGATCCATCAAGGATTGCTCGGTATTTATCTGGACGCATTCCGGGTCCTTGCTGGGGCGTTGATCGTTCTGTTGGGGCCCGGGTTGCTGACTGCTCCCGCGACTTAGGATTTCCCAACAGGCTTAAACGCGTTAGTAGTCAATTGAACAAATTCAGCAGCTAGAATGCGGTCTATTTCACGCAGCAGCCAAGTGACGCAATACATTCATAGTCTCTGTTTATTGACCCAAGGAATCGACCAACTAACCATCCATGGATCGATAGTCTTGGCATCGTATCCGATCTCTCCAGATTTTACATCTTCTTTCAATCCAAAGAAAATGAACACAACTCCATCCGTGATTCTAAGGAATTGATCAAGTATTCACCCATGGAGGGGCAATCTTGGCATCGTATCTGGTCTTTCTCTCAATATCATATTTCTCGAAATATCCACTCTGCCCTTGGCACATCGTCATAGATTGTAGATCAATACGAGCTGGCAAGATTGCGACAAATATATCTTGAACTTTTGGACTTCAACTTACATCCGAAAATAATTAATATTTACCAGCTTCCTTTCTTACAAAAATAATCAAGCAAGCCAATCTATAGCTTCGCTCCAGGGCAATCAAAATGCAGATGAGATCCCTTCTTCTACTATTTATTGTCTTCATTTTGTATCTTGTCACTGCACTGGCAATTCCAACGCCAGGCCCGTCCTGTGCCAAGATCCCGAGAATTCTCGAGTCCAAGGTTGGCACGATCCTTGAATCCATTGACCAAAAGGTCTGCGCACAAGGATGCAAACCCACCGTGAAGCAATACAAGAGCGGAATGCGAAACCAAATTGCCAAGCCGCTCATCGACAAGACCACAGCAGATTTGGGAGTCCCGCAAAAGAGCGGCGTTCTTTTAACCGTTCTGGATGAAATCATGGACTCAATCCTCCGGGATTGTGGGTCAAAAAATAACCTCTGCAATGCGATCCAAAAAAATTGGTCACTTAAAACCTATGGTGCTTGTGGGGCAAAGCAGCTTCCAAAAGTCATCGGAAGACATTTTTCTGAGCTTGCTCCTCTTGCTACTGAGAAAATGTGTAAGAGAGAGGTAAAGTATTTGAATAATCCCACTTTGTGGACTAAGGTTGTCCCTGGATATGTGAGAAAATATGCAAGTTCCTGCAAAGAATTGTGAGATCTTTTGAAATGCACAAAAGGGAGAGGAGCATCCAGCATGGTACAGTGATATTCGAAATCAGTTTTATCTCCAATCTCTCTCTTTTGTCAGAGCCCCAGGATGGAGAAAAGCATGTTTGTATGGTTTATTCAGTTTTTACTTAGTTGGAGATCTAAATAAATTGCCAGAATTGGGGATCTCACTATGCAGAGATATTGATATCAGAACCTAGATGCATAGGCCCTATCCCTTAGGGGGGACAAAACTCTGGTGAATCAAGTGTCTTAACTATAGTAGGTAAAAGTAGAACTAGTGTAGAAATATCTACGTTGAAACTGATCTTTGTACTGGGTAGGCTAATGAAGTATTTGATTTCCTAAGTTTGGAATTTGGCAAGTTCTATTTAATCTAGTAATTTTTAACCTCTCTTAATATCTAAAAAGTTGTGATTAAATTGATATAGTAAAAGTGGTCTATAATTGAAGATATTTTAATAAGAAAAGAAATCTAGAGAAAAATAAAGATATAATTGAATGAATCTTTATCTTATTAGCTTCTATTATAATTAAATTAGTTCTTCGAACTCAATTTTTTGACTAGACTTCCGCAAAACCCCAATGGACCCGGACCCAACCCGGACCCAACCCCAATTGGGTTGGGTTTTGGGTCGAAGGGTTGGACCCCATGTTGGGTTGGGTCGGCTAGGTCCGACCCCAAACGGTTTTGGGGCTTCAAATGGGGTTACAAATAAAATAAACAGACTAAAATCTTCAATTGTATAAGTTATATATTCTTCAGTTATAATTTCAAGTATTTGGTTTACTCTTGGTTTTATAAATCTAGGGTTAGAAACTGATAGGGGATTTGAGGATAGGATGATGATTGACAAGCTTAGTCATGTTCACGCTTTATATACCCTTGTTGACATAGAAAGTTGATAGATCTCTTTTCTATTTTCTGCAACGCGACATTGACAATTCTGAACGTAAACAAATGCAGCCAGGGTCATTGAAGACTCTAGGTCGTGGAGCAAACGCGTTTTTACGTGCCATTTCTCAAGGCTACTTTGTGCACCAAGTTTAAAGTGGATTAGAATAAAATCAGGGAACTGAGAAGAGCTATTCGTTTAATTGCCTAAAATGATTTGCAACTAGGTGGACAGATATATATAATATTAACGGATCTTCGTGGCCGGTGTCAAGTTTCTATGGACAGTCCCACGTGAACGAGTATCATGTCTCAAAAAGATCCACTATGGTACATCAAGCTGGTCAACTCTACATAGGTAGGTTGTACCTCCCAGCATATATTAGCAATGGAAATTCATAGCTCAGCGTTGCTGATGAAGTGATGGTATTGTGAAATCGACCACTAAGGGCATTTCAGTAATACGATAACCGCTGTACCGGACAAAGTATTAATGCGGAGAAATCTCATAATATGAATAATATGAATGCGAATATGAATTGTTGAGATAAGTGATTGTCTGATTGACTTAGATTGACTTAAGGAGTTATCTTTAACAGGGGCGGGATGTCTCATATATATCTGTTCCTAATCCCTGCCATCAGGTTCAGCCACCGTGATACTCAACACTCCCACTCGATGGCAACCACCACCAAGAGTGCCAGCGACCATCCATCACGGTTGTGACGGGCCCCAGTAAAACCTTCAAAAAACCTTTCAAAGGAAAAGGAAGGAAAGGGTACCCGAACGGCCTCTGCCCGAGATCTGGCCTCTGCCCGAGATCTGGAAGCGGCGAGGTGTCATTCAATGCCAAGCCCTCTGCGAAACCATTCAAATCGTTCTCGCGCAAGAGGCTTCGTGAACCCATCAGCAATTTGCTCGGTAGTTGGAATGTATTTCAGCTCCACTGTTCCAAGGTCTTGAACCTCTCCTTGCCACTTGCGTTGGATTTCCATATGCTTCGTGCGGGAATGGTATTGCGGGTTCGAGGACAGGGCGATGGCTCCTTGGTTGTCACCAAAAATGATCGTGGCGGTTTTTCCTTGTCTCATGTTTAACTCATTGAGAAGTCTTCTCAACCAGATTGCTTCTTTGGTTGCTTGTGTCTGGCCTAAGAATTCAGCTTCACAGGTCGAGAGGGCAACGACGCTTTGGCGCTTCGACTGCCAACTGATTGCTCCACTCCCGATATTGAAAAGGTATCCAGCTGTTGAACGTCTAGTGTCGCGACATCCACCCCAGTCTGCGTCTGTAAAGCCTTTCAGCATCTGGGGATGACCCTTGTACGTGAGCCTGAGGCATTTTGTGCCGTTGAGATATCGCAGGATGCGTCGAGCTAGTTTCATGTGTTGTGGTCCAGGATTTGCTAGATACCTGCTCGCCATAGAGACAGCATATGCGACATCCCCCTGGTTCCAAGCATAATATACATCAGAGATCCGACAATGCGTTGGTAGGTGGTTCTTTGATCTGGAGGGCATCTGTATTCTGGACTATTCTCTGGAAGTGGCGAGGTTTCTATCGGCGTGCTGATGGGAGCGCTGTTGCTGATTTCGAACTGATGAGCGATCTTGTCAATATATGCTTCTTGACTTAGGTACAGTGTCCTGTTTTGACGGTCCCGCTGGGCGCACATCCCGAGGTAGTAGCTACACGGTCCGAGATCTGTCATTTGAAAACGGTTTCTGAGGCTCCGCTTGATCTTCTTTATTTCTGCAATGCTCGGTCCTACGATCAGGAGGTCATCGACGTACACCGCGATGTACATATTGCTCCGGACGAAGACCCCAAGATCAGAGCTAATTGGCTCGAAACCAAGATTCCGTAGGAAATTTGTAAGGGTCTGATACCAGATCCGAGGAGCTTGTTTTAGGCCATAGAGTGCTTTTCGAAGTTTGCAGACCCTTGATGTGCCGTCGGTCATGTGGTGAGGTTGTTCGACGTAGATCTCGTGATCTATGTAGCCGTACAGGAACGCCGTTTTGACATCCATTTGCTCGATCTCTAAATCTAGGGCCGCCGCGATTGCGAATAGAGCTTTATAGCTCATTGGCTTGACGACCGAGGCAAAGGTTTCGTCATAGTCAATACCCTCTTCTTGTGTAAAGCCTCTCACTACCCATCGGCTCTTGTGACGGATGACTTCGCCATGCGGTCCTCGTTTGAGTTTGAAGACCCATTTTCCACTGAGGATCCGCCGATCTTTGGGAGGGTCAACAAGCTCCCACTTTTTGTTTTGGTTGAGCGAGTTCACTTCTTCAAGCATTGCTCTTTCCCATTGGAGCCAGCTTGCGTCGTTCTTGGCTTGATGCAGAGTCTTTGGCTCAAAAGGTTCTGTTTCCTTTGCAGCTACTGTTAAGAATGTTGGGATGACGTTCTCTTCAGGTATATTCATTAACGCAAGCTCTTCTTCGCTGTCACTAGATGTGTTTAGTGTGACGTGCGGAGCGCGAAGTCTGAGTTCAGGGTGGTGCGCCAGTGCTTCTTGTCGCACTTCATGAACTGGGCGGTCAATTTGGAGTTCTGGAGATCGTTGCCATTCTCCTGAAACTAGACCTTGTTGAGCGTCGTCTTGTTGCTGGTCGCCGCCGGGTGGTGAGTCATTCCTCTGGATGATGTCTTGTAAATCACCTACAAATGATCCAAAGGTATCATCACTCCGTGTAGGCGACAAGGTCCTGTCTCCCTGTACAGCAACAGATGGCTGCGAGTCATCGTCACTCGATTGAGACGACGCTGGTGTCTGCGAGTCCTCGTCACTCGACTGGGTTAGCACTCGCGAGTTATCGTTACTCGATCGAGGCAGTATGTGCGAGATATCGTTCCTCGACTTAGGTAGGGCTCGCTCTGGTGGTGCCATCGACAACTGGCGCCCAGAGGCGGGCACGGACGCTTGCCGTATGCCTACCGACGGTTGATTTATTAGTCCCACCGTCTTACTCCCCCTGCGGCAGCAGCCGTTGCCCCAGGCGAGCCGTCTCGTCTGGCTCCCACATCTTCTATAGTCTGTGTGGAAGGAGCTGTAAGGACTTCGTGAAATTCAGCGTTTGGGGTCCCAACGATTCTTCTGTCTTCCAGCAGGATACGGTAGTTGGTATCTCCCTCATAGCCTAGTAGAATGCATGGCCTGGTTCTTGGCTCTGTGAGCTTCTTTCTCTGCTTGGGTGGGATCAAGTATTCCCCTTTGGATCCGATCACTCTGAGTCGTGATAGGTCCGGCTTGTCGCCGTACCAGGCTTGATACGGAGTCATGTTGAGCTTTGATGACGGCGACCGGTTGGAGAGGAAGGCTGCGGTTCGAGCAATTTCCGGCCAGAATTTAGGTGGTAGTCTCGCATGTGCTAGCGTGGGTCCAACCCGATCATAAATTGTCTTATGGGCTCTCTCGGCAACCCCATTCTGCTGGTGTTGATCAACCCCTGTGACCTCGGCATGGATTGCCCGTGAGAACAGTATGAACTTCATCTCTTCTCCCACTTGCTCAGGGATTCGGTCGAGGCGTATTCGTCTGCACTTCCGTTCAGGGCGTTCGTTATGATCGAGGAAGAAACGTAGTGACTCTATGACAAGTTCTTGTCGTCGTGGTATAGTGATAATCTCTATCCACCCCGTGAAGTCGTCGACGACGGTGAGCCAATAGCGACTGCCGTCAAGGCCCTCGTCAAATGGCCCTGCGACATCAATATGGAGAAGTTCCATTGCATGTTCCCCTCGTCTGCTTCGTCTCGAGCGTTTGTGGGGCTTTTCAATCATTCGTCCCTGGAGGCATGGGTTGCATGGTTGACGTGGTTCCATGTCCCGGATGCCGAAGGCCTGCTTCTTAAGCCGATGTAGGTTCGCATCGCTCAGGTGAGCCAGCCGATTATGCCAAAGAGCCATTTGTGGACCGACATGGTAAGAGGGAAAGGTGAGATTCGTCCATAGATCAAGTGCGTAGACTCCATGATATTGGCTGGCAGTGTATAGGTTCTTTCCGTTTGACTTGTTGCGAATACTAGCACTTTGGCTTGAGAATTCGACTTTTGCTCCTCGTTTGAGAAGCTGGAGCACCGATATGAGGTTTGCATGTGCAGATGGGACGTAGAGGACATTGTCAAGCACAAGCCATTTCCTTCTGCCTCGTACATTGCACAGAACATTGGCTGTCCCCACTCCCGAGGGAGTCGTGGAGGTATCGACGCTTCTCAGTGGTGGTCCATGGTACTTGTCCATCTTTACAAATCTCGAGGCGTTATTGCAGACGTGCTGAGCACATCCACTATCGACGATCCATGCGTCACGGATCGATAGGGTTTTTGTAGCCATCAATGTGGGGATGTGGTCGAATAGGGCGAAGTTGCCTTCAACGTCCTTTCCAAATGCTTTATTAACATCTTCTCCGGAGACCTTTGTCGCCATGAAGGTGGGCTTCTTTGGATCCCTTGGGCCACCGACATCATCATCTTCGTCATCCGAGGTGGGCCGCCGCTTCAACGGCTTGCGTGCGCCTGTATGTGAATTGCCTGGTTTTGACTTGTGACTCTTTCCGTGTTTCTTTTGATCCATCGGTCTGGGGTTCTTGCTGAAGCACTCAGAGTCCACATGATATGGTTTCCGGCAGAGGGAGCAATATGGGACGTTATCGATCTCGATTCGACATGTCGTTCCGTCGGATGACGGTATGACTTTCTTGTCACCTGGCCCTCGGATTATAGCGAGAGCAGGAAGCGCTTGCGCCTCTGTTGGTTGTTTGCTCAATTGCCCCTTCCTATGTTCTTCCTCAATTGCCTTGTTCTCGATATAGTCGAGTATGACTTCTGGATTTGTGTAAAGCGCCAGCGACGAAGGTGCCGAAGGTACGAAAGAAGATTCAGTTCCTCGTCTGTCCAAGAGTGTCTGCTTTGCCGTTTAGTGCTTCTCCTTGGAGGTTGAGATGACCCTTTTTGAGGTCGAGACGGTAACCGCGAGGAAGCAGTTCTTGAGCTCGCTGCAGAAGGCGACATTGTTTCATATGCTCTTATACTTAATATTGTTGCGATAATTTTGCGTCGAGGGCCAATGAATTAGGGGTTTCAACTCCCTTCCGTCAAAGTGTCGTTTCACTTGACGAATCACAGGGGGCGTCACTGTGATATCTTGCGACGATGTGATAGTGATAGTGATAGTGATAGTGCGATAGTGTGATAGTGACAGTGATGGTGTGATGTCTGTGATTATCTAGTGGAGGAAAGTCCATCCACTTCATCTCATCCAGAGGGTTTGAACTCTTGATTTCGTTACCCCTTCGCCATGTTCCTGAATCCATATGGTCAGATCTTGGGGTTGATGAAGTTTTCACTTAATGGGGAAGCTTAGCTGTAGATGGCAGTCAAAGAGTTGTCTGTTTGAATTCTGTTGCCGAGCTGGGCGCCTAAGGGTTGCGCCACTCGGGCTCATAACCTGTTGAGATAAGTGATTGTCTGATTGACTTAGATTGACTTAAGGAGTTATCTTTAACAGGGGCGGGATGTCTCATATATATCTGTTCCTAATCCCTGCCATCAGGTTCAGCCACCGTGATACTCAACATGAATAATACGTTTATTCGCGCGAATAAAAAATTCATATATTCATATTCGCGGACTGCGAATATGATTATGTTGTATATTCGCATTCCTTCATTCCTTTAGGAACCCTACATATCTTGTCGGCGGATGCTTCTCAAATCATTTTGCACTGGTCATCAGCTACAAGACAACGGTTGTTTGAGACTAGAGTCTCGTCTAGGACAGCTCCTGGCAGCCGTCAATCTATGAACCGAACATGTTGACTATTTAGCTAAATCACCTAGGGCGCTAACCCCAACTTTAAGCCGCCATAAAGAACTCCCAAGTCGCCTCCGGAGCCAGAGAGCTCCCAACACCCAGGGGTGCACCAACATGTCCCCCATCATAAGCAATAAATGAAACTGGCTTAGAGCACTCTTGGAAGTCTGCTCGAATGAAACCGCCACTCCCAGATGCAGGTTTGCCAATGTTTGTTGGCTGGCACTTGTTGTTCTCAACAAAATTATTTGCCAGAGTCACACCCCCGTCAAATGGCAGAACTGCATCATCAATCCCATGAATGCCTAGATAAGCGACAGGATCGTAGCCTCCATCACATCCACTAATCAAACCACCACTCAACACACTCACGGCCTTAAACTCCTTTGCCCGTGAGCAAGCAAGCGCATAACTCATCCCACCGCCCCAACTGAAGCCCGTCGCGAAGCGAGATCTCGAATCCACACAGAGGTCACCCTCGACCTGCTGGATGATGGCGTCGATGAGAGCCACATCTTCGCCATTGGTGTTGGCCCAGCCAGCGTTTAGACCGTTAGGAGCTACCAAGATTGCGCTGCCCTGCGCTCGGCTTTCGAGACCGTACCAGGGCTGGATACTATCGCCGTCGACAACAGAGTGCATATTTCCACCTCGCCAATGGAGGCCAAAGACGAGATGGTGTGGCTTGGTTGAGTCATAGCCGTCAGGGATTTTCAGGATGTACTCGCGGCCATTGATATTGTGGATTCCATTGGTGAGAGTGGGAGGTTTGCCGCAGCCCGAGGATGCGGCGGCGTCGACTGAGGCTAGAATGCCAAGGGCTATCAGGGAAGAGAGGATCATTATCTTCAGGTAACAAAAGAACTATATATCAGATATGAGGGATTCTTTCTGATCAAGTGAAAGTTTGGAAAGTTGCCTGCTTCAATGCTCGGGGGATTGATTGTGGAAAAGCGAGAGTGAGATTTATGGCCACCTCCAGGGCCCTATATATGTTCTTAGGGTTGGATTGTTTAGCCGCCAATACGACCTCGGGGTCGCTGAAATTCGAGGTCTTCCACGACCCATGTCTTAGTCTGATACAGCGACAGCCCTGTGTAGTCCTTAGTCGGGTAAATACTGCGCAGTGGCCGGAGATTACTTTCACAGACTGATATTTTATGGAGTAAGGGGAAGGAAAGCCAAGAGGCAGGAAATGTTGATCATGTTTCTTCAATCGGGGAATTGCCCAAAGTGAGTATACTATTCAGGGTTCCGACCCCGGCCCCGCTTCGGAGCAGGCGTGGCCAAGCATCTGATCAATTACTTTGGGTACAGCCATATCCAATCCCAATACCCCTTGTTTCTGATCAGGCTGTATTCTGGGACATTTTGTATCGGACTCCGTGACCAAAAGGTTAGATTTCTAATTAACCGCGACCATGACGCATCCCGCATCCTAAAATAACGTTATATATTGACATGCCAAGCCTTTACCGGCAAATGGAGATGTCCTTACTACCGAAATTTATGTCTTCATAGGATCTACCTACGTAGGAATTACACGAGTACCTAAATCCATAAAGTACATGGCTAGTCCTTCTATCTGGGTGGTTTACATCCATGACATACCTGGATCCTACTTAGACTTCAGACAGGCATTGCTGCAAGGCTCCTCTGTCCGAGAAAAAAAAAAAAAAAAGCATATCAAGGCTTAGCAGCGAGCCTTCAGCAACGTAACTTTAGGTCTTGTCTTAGATATCCCCGTTTCGATCCATATTTAATAGTTGATATAATGCCTGGCTAAATGAAATAAAGTGGCCTAGCTCCATAATTCATGTTTCAATTTGTTTCAATTTGTTTCACATTGTTTCAAAAGCATAGCTAGGTAACATGCAGTTGCTAGTGGTCAAGCTGCGTTGTCTGATGTAAGGATTTCTGAAAGCATACAAGTACAACGTATTTCCTTCAACTGATGGCTTCAACAGTCATTGTGAGCAGCATCATCCGTTCATCTTTATCTCGATATTTTTCTTTCTTTGGGCTGGTCTCTCGTTCCATTCATTATAAAAGCCAAACATTTCTTTCATTGATTTCAAAATGAAGTTCTCCCTTCTTGCTCTTGCAGCCATTGCACCCATGGTCTCAGCCCATTATTTCTTCGACACCCTCGTCATTGATGGCAAGGAAACGGGAACTTCCGAGTATGTTCGGTCGAACACTCGTGCCGCCAAGTATAACCCAACCAAATGGATCAACACCCGCGATGACATGACCCCTGATGTGCTTGATTTCCGCTGTAATAAGGGCGCCTTCAGCTTTGCCGACCAAACTGGTACCGTGGAGGTCAAGGCCGGATCCAAGCTTGCCTTGAAGCTTGCCGTTGGTGCTACAATGCAGCACCCTGGTCCTGCCTTCGTGTACATGTCTAAGGCTCCTAGCGCGGCTAAGGAATACCAGGGCGATGGCGAGTGGTTTAAGATCCACCAAGAGGGCGTCTGCGATAAGAGCAAGGACTTTACCAGGGATGCCTGGTGTACTTGGGATAAAGATCGTATTGAGTTCACGATTCCTGCGAGTTTGCCTGACGGGGAGTATCTGATTCGGCCGGAGCACATCGGTATGTCTGTTATACTATTGGTATAAGCAAAGGATACTAATTTCTGTAACAGGTGTGCACGGTGCCGCGGGTGGCGAAGCCGAATTTTACAACTCGTATGTGAAGCTTTCTCGGACCTCTCCTATTTTTTTGAGCAAATACTGATAGACTTTTCAGCTGTGCTCAAGTCAAGGTTGTCGGTGGTGGTAATGGAATCCCCGGACCTACGGTCAAATTCCCCGGTGCTTATAGGAAGGACGACCCTTCGTTCAACTTCAATATCTGGAATGGCTACAAGGATTACCCTATGCCTGGTCCGGAAGTGTGGACCGGTGGGTCCGACTCTAGCTCTGCTTCTGCAGTAGCTAGCATCAATGCCACAGCTGCCGCTACTACTTCCGATGAGAATGATAAGGACACCTGCGAGAGCCGCTTCACTCGTTGCGTACGCTCCTGCTTTTAGCTACTGAAGAACTAGGCCCATATCGGATCTATCGTTGGTTTGTTTGGCGGGCTTGCTACTCATTGAGTCTCTCGCCGCTCCATGTCAGTCGTTTGCAGATTTTATCTGTTCTTACTTCTTGATTGCCGGTCCTTCTTTATCAATCAGAGCTACGTTGTATAATAATGCAGAGTTCCTAGACAGAGAGAGAAAATTGAGCCACCTGCCGCAAGTTTGTCAAATTCACATAGCCTACAGTAGTTTTCGAAATCAGCTATACAACCGAGTCGCACCGTCCTAAGACCACTAGCGAAATATACACATCGTGTCACAACTGCCTGTGTATGTATTTAGTCTCACATTTGCTGCCTTCGGGTCACGTCAGCCGTTTTCGACGTGCTAACTGACTGGCTTTAGATCATGTCAGGTATAAAGTGTAGAGCTTAGCTTTTGAGGGGTTAGTCTCTGTGTCATACTGTGCAGATGATTTTAGCAATCCCCGACACGGTGGTGCTATAGAGGGATGGATGCTAGGGCACGGGGGTCACGGATGTATAGGGACTCCGTGCAAGATAAAGTATTATACGTCACGCAGTCGTCCTAAGAATAAATGGCACTATTCTTAGAGAACAATGATTTACGGCTTTGCCAAATACAGATTAGTGGTTTCAGATACGCGAGTGTCCGTAAGGGAATTGTCAGGCAGGCAAAGCACAAAAGAAAAAAGATCGCTTTTATGGTCCAAGAAACGACGATAATAGAACTGAGGAAGAAAAGAGAGGGAGAGAGAGAGAGCTAGCAGGATCTATGTAAATGGGGGTGCTGCCTGAGGCAGACATGTTGGGCTCCCGTCTCTTCCTGTGCAGGGATCTGGTCCCAAGGTCATGGGTTCGAGTCACAGTCCTGTCACTTCCTGACACTACCCCCGGCAAAACCCAAGCTCAGCCTCTTGAGCTTGCAAGGCACGTGGTCACGTGACGTCCCAAAGAGGAAACAGAGTGAGTTTCGCCAACAGTGCGTCAATCGCCGTCTCTCGTCGCCGGCAGGTCGTCCTCCGGATGATCAGGCGTTCTCTCGTCGTCTTCTTTTTCGTCCAAGGTAGCCCGAATCCACTCGTTCAGGCGTCTCGGAGGACCCGGCTTCTCAGGATAACGGTCGTGGAAGTCCTTCACGCGCTGAGGAGCATGTCGGACGTTCCCAGCTGGGTATCATATCTCGTTAGGGTCCCCTCTAGCCCATTTTAGTTTGTATTGTAACCTGCCGCGCCGTAAATGTGTATTGAGGACCTCCTTTATCTCCTATTCATCGTGTTCGGCGATTTTAATCGGCGGGGAAGGGTTGGGGAGCTGTTTAGGCAGTGGTAAACGATTAGGACGGTTCGCGCGGCGTAGTTTCTCGGGGGCGAAGATTGGATGGATATCGAATTTAGAGGAAAGCAGTAGTTTAAAAGAATAACTAATTTTGTTAGTGATTAAAAACGGCCTCGCACTTTTATTAGATAACTTCCTACTAGATCGTTCCTACTTCAAACCCTTCATAGTGATATAGATATAATCTCTAATATCAAAAACGACTTTCTAATATCGTTAATTCACTTATTTCTTCTATATCAATTGTACACTCGTTATCTTCTCTTATACCAAGTCCTATACTACTTCTATTTGTTATACAAACTTCTACGTTATATGGGAACCTAGCTGCCCCTGCAGTATTGAATTAGTCTAATCAAATAATATACGAGGCTTATAATCTTATTTAATAAAGAAGGGGGACTTTCTAGTAAATATAGATAGAAGTGAAGCGACTATTAAATCGACGATTGGAAGCTATTCTAACTAATCGTCCTGATAATAACTAATATAAGGGCGTAATCGTTGTACGATAAACTAATTGGTATTCTTAGTCTGCCCGTCTATCTACAGATAACGAGTCATAGAAAGTTTTCTTTTTATCTATAAAATATAATAGAACTTAGTCTAGAAAGCTAATATAAATTGTGGTCCTCGATTAGAAACTATTGAGTCCGGTAACCTAGTCTACTGGATAACGTGGTTTATAAATAGTCTCGCTACCTATTTCGCGTTTACTATCTTCTTATATAGAATAAAGACTAGTTACTTCAATAAGTAGTAAATAATTACCATCATATTATCAAAGCTATACTAATCCTTTAGAAGCAAGCAGAAATCTATTATTATATCCTGCCAAGGATACTGTAGTACTAGAAAAGGTTGTAATAGGCTAAAAGATCTATCTTTCTATGTCTTCGTCCGTCGGCAAACTTGATAGTTTTTAATATATCGTTGAATATCTTGTACTATCTCTGGCCAATAGTATTAAAGAAAAAGCAGGTTTATTGTTTTCTTTATATCTAGATAAGCGCTTACTAGCAATTGATATATCTCGTCTAATAGATAAACCCTTAAGTTACTATTATTAATCACGACTAGTTTGTCGTCGTATAATAAGAGGTTATCTCTAAAAGTCTAATAGTCATATTCACTGTGAACTAATTCTCAAAATTCTTTAAGATCTTTATTCATTTAGTTACTATATTTTATATATTTTATAATATTATCTTTATCTTTATTTTTAATCAAGGCTATCTAGATCTTCTATTATTCGTCATTATAGATATCGTGCTACTAGAATCTTTTAGATAATAGAATCGACTTCTTAAACTGTCCTTTTTTGGACAAGTTCTTACGAGAGAGAGCGTCTATGATTACATTGAGTTTTCTAGCTTAGAACTAGATCTCTAATTTATAATCCTTAAGTAGCTAATTCTATTAGATCTAGTAATAATTTAACTACTGTTTTATATAAAATCATTATAAGACGCGATGATCTGTGTATACTTTAAAAGACTCCTTTTACTAAAAGTCGATTAGTTTCGATATCTACTTTTTCAATATGTAGATAATAGTGAGAAATTTATAATTATAGATCTTATACTTATATTTCATGTCTATTATTATATTAGATAGGAAAGTCATGGGATATTAATAATCTCTAGTCTTCTAAGAAAGAACATTGTTTGTAACTCTTTCTGAAACATCTATCTCAATCTTAGTCTCTATCTCTAGTCTATAATAAGCGAGGATAGGTATTGTTATTATTAAATACTTTAGTTTATTAAATATCTTCTAGTAAGTGTTACTTTAGTTCTAAAAAGTCGTTTATTTTATCAAATTTATTAATAGCTTGACGATCTAGCTGAAATTTTATACGAAGTGTTTATAGAAGTTACAAAAACTAAGGAACGATTTTATTTATTTAATAGTTATTGGGAGCTTTTATTCCTATATGATAGATAACTTCGACTAGTTTATAGAAACGCTATGAATTCTAATAATATAACCTAGGAACTTGATCTCTTGCTTATAGAACTCGTATTTCTTAAGACTTATTTATAAACCGCTGGCTTATAAGCACTCTAAGATAACTCGAATGTGCTATATATACTCTTTAAAGGTCTTACTAAAAATGAGGATATTATCAATATAAATAGTTGCAAAATTATTTAAATAATCTCTTCTTAGAATATTATTAATATAGTGCTGAAAGGATATAGAGCTATTTATCATATCGAATGGCATCATTTTATATTTGTACGTACTATATCTCAACCAGAACGATATTAGATCCTCGTTGTTAGGATATATCCTAATCCTATGAAACCCCTATCGAATATCTAATTTGATAAAGTAGCAAGCTTTTAATACTCGTTATATCAGTTTCTTAATCAATAATAATAGATAGATATCCTTTCTTATCATATTGTTAAATTTACGAAAATCAATATAGAACTATAACCCACCTCTAGGCTTCTTCACTATCAGAATCGATGAGAAATAAGATATTATACTTAGCATAATAAAGCTTTTATTTAGATTTTCTTTAATATAGGTCTTTACAAATTCGAGATACTTCTACGATATTTTATATAATAGGTAATAACTAGGTTTATAATTGTCCAATAGTTCAATCTTATAATTAATACCTAGACGATTTAAAGGTAATATATCAGACTTTTTTTTTAAAAAGATATTTATAAAATCGTAATATTCTTTAGAGATGTTTACTTGAATAGTGTCTAGTTTAGTTATTTTGTCTTCTCGTTCTTTAACGATATTAATAACTTTCTAGATCTCCCTAATAGAGATCACAAAGACTTTTATACCATCCTTTTTTTTACGATTTTATCAAATCCTGCTCTTTCGATTTAGGCGATCTTAAAACTTATCGGCGACTTCAGTAAAGACTATTCTTGTTGTTTATACTCTTAGTAAGGCTCCTTTAATTCTAGTTATTATAACTCTTCTGTTAGAACTTGATATATCTTTAAGAGGGTCTTATTTATATGGGAATTGTTATATATATATTTAAGTTTAGGCTCGCTAGTTGCTATCGCTTTTCTTATTGCGTTTTCTTGATATTCGTAGTTTTTTTAATACTCCTTTGTAAGTACGAGATCTAGCTTCTTTAGAATTATAATAGGAATAGATTTTATTAACTAGTTTATAACTTTTTCTTTTATTTCCTGGATCTTCGTTGCTAGCGAGAAGAGGGAAGACCAAGTTATTATTGACTCTTTATAATTAATTGTTACGTCTTAATCTACTAATTATAGATATCTAAAAATCATATTATATTTCCTCACGTTAGTAATCAACATAAAGATCTCCTTTTAACGATAGTTTTTAATAATAAAGAAGGTTAATATTATATATGTAATCAATCTAGTTAAACAACTATTAAAAACGGTAACTACTTTAAACTAGTCTAATTTCTAGATCTTAAGGCTATATTACCTTAGTTTCTTTACTATTTAGAAGTAAATCATTAAATAAATATCTACTTTATTGTCTACTAATACTTGGATATAAAAATAAAGAGAATTTACTAATATTTATATACTAACTATAAAACTATAATATAAAAATAACTTTTTTCTATTCTTTGTAATTGTAAATAGTTTATAATCTAGAGAGAAGACTTTCTTTAAATTTAATTGTTTCTCAAATCTAACTCTTCCAATTTAATAATTTAGAGATTAAATTAAGTGGTAAAGATAGCAATAGATATAGCTAAAGTTAACTTAGTAAGATAATTATAGCTTAAATAACCGTGCTCCTTATAACAAAAATACTTACCTTCTTTAAATAAAGCGATATATTTAATAAAAAGAAGATAGAGATTAGATATTATAGATCCCTCTTTCTTGATTACTAAGAATAAAAAGATCTTTCTAGTCTTTATATTTTTTCTATAAGACTAAAAGGTAGAAAAAGAGCCTTAGCTCTAACTAAAACGAGTCTAATTATTTTATATAACATTAATCTAATATATATTCTTAATATAAATGCTAATTAGCTATTTCAATATAATATTATCGTCATTAATCAAGCTTATTATTAAGCTTTAAAGCAAGGGTGGGAATTTAGCAAAAAGGTCTTTCTTACAATTTATTTCAGCAACTCTAGTCTCCTTTACTAGCTATAAATAATTGATAATAAAATTAATAAAGAAATCTTTAAACTTTATTCGTAAAATATAATAAGCAATAAAAGCTTTAACACGACAATTTAAATTATAGAAAACGATCTTTAAATAAGCGATTATATTGTCAAAGTCCACATATAACTTCTTGAACTTAAGATCTAGCTATCTTTCAAAATAGAGACGGGCCTTGCTTTTGTAATAGCTAGTCATATAGATCTTACAAATAAACAGGGTTAGATAGTAGTCGATATTAGCTTTAAGTTTCTAGCAGATCCCAACAGCCCAATACTTGAAATAAACTATCTTCTTATTACTAAATATAGAAAGGTCTAGTATCTTCTAAGTCTTGCGAGAAGTAGTTTTTATAATTGATGTGCTACTAGTCTGTCGCTCTACTAGATATTGGATCTCAACTTGAAGCTAAGTAATCTCTATTTTACGAGTTAATTGAGTAACTCACTCTTCGTTAATTATATTATCTATACGATCTATGATAGCACAAAGTCTATTCGCTTTATCTTATTCTTCTTATAGTACAATCTAGCTAATTTTATACTTGTCTATTATCTATATATACATTTTAGCTAACTCAATAACACATTTATTCTTTAAGAGCTTTTTCAAGTAATTTTTTATATCTCTATCTAGATAATCCTCGACATACTTGTACTCAAAGATTAGACCTAAAATAGATAACCTAAAAACGAGAAAGATCTCTTTGTATATATTTTCTTTTTTTCGCGCATCTTTTTCCTTGGCTAGATTAGTAGAGGTATCTCGTCAACTTAATATATTTCTAATTAGTCTAGTCTAGTCTAGTCTATTTTAATAAAGTCTTTTAATTAGTCACTTAGTTAGCGCCAAGATAGATATCTACAGGTGCTTATTACCGAGTATGGAAAGTTAAGGTAAGTTCTATTATTATATTAGACAGGTAAAGTACAAAAGAAAAAAGATCGCTTTTATAGTCCAAGAAACGACGATAATAGAACTAAGGAAGAAAAGAGAGGGAGAGAGAGAGAGCTAATAGGATCTATGTAAATAGGGGTGCTGCCTGAGGCAGACATATTGGGCTCCCGTCTCTTCCTGTGCAGGGATCTGGTCCCAAGGTCATGGGTTCAAGTCACAGTCCTGTCACTTCCTAACAGGAATCTGATTTCGAATATTGCTGTATATTGCTTTTCATTGCGAGGGGTCAGGGTAAATGAAACACACACACACACACACACATGCTGTAGTATTAGACTACCATGAGGTAGCTTATACCAAGAGGGAGCACGAAGTGTCAAATAGTAGAAAGTACTGAATGAAATGACAAGCTATACATTGTTATAAACACGGCCGTGAGTAGTCTGCAAATAATCAAGATATTGCAAGACACATATTTTGGTAAAAAGGGAGCTTAAACCGGCGTCAAGTATAGCCAGTTTCAGCAGCTGATTTACGGTCAATTAGCCTTGTGGTGTAGTTATTTACGATCATGTATTTTCCTACAACTACATAAGGAGTTAGATGCACCTGCATTTGATGATATTTCTATGAGACACAACCTTAGATACATCCATACTTCTTGGTAGCCCGTCGGTGATTGTTGCGGCCCCCCTTAGTTTTTTGAGGTCCAAAACAGGGATATATTAGGCAAAATGCAGGTCCTATCCACTTCCACAATCACAACTTTTTATAATAAATTTTATATCAGCCGATAGCTAAGAACTAGCTGTGTTTGAATATTTTCTTTAAATTACAATTGACCTCTTTATCGTGGAGTTATAAGCATTCAAAGTTGGTCAAATTTCGCGCGGTATCTAAGTTGCGAGATGCCTTAGACTATAACGCTAATCGTATCCGAATTTCTGTTATATGCGCTAATTGTATTTGAATTTCTATTATATGGCTTTCTTTTAATCATCTTCTAGTCGATTTCTATAAAACTTTAAAGATAGATTAAAATCCTATTTAGATATATTATATTAAAATCTAGATATAGGGAGATCTTTTTAAAGAGGTGAAAAAGAGTGTTAAAAATTGTAGTATTTCGTATGTTTATATAATATTAAAAATTAAAATCCTAATATTATTCTATCTTAAAGAAATTTAACTAAATCCTAACTAATATTTATTAATCTTAATAATATTATATTCTAAAGATTCTAGATAAAGTTTTATAATTATATTTATAATCTTATTATTATTAATTTTTAATTTTAAATCTATATTAATTATCTTAATTCTATATTATTTATATATAAGTGTATTTGTAATTATTCTTAATCTATTTTGGCTAATCTAAATCCTTTTTATTTTTATTAAAATTAGTATTTCGTTTTATAATATAAACTCTTTAATATTTTATATCTTATTCTTTAAATTAACTTATAACTATATTATAAATAACTACTCTCTTGTTTAATCTAGCTACTAGATTAATATTTATTAATTATAATACTTATTTTACAGTTAACTTAATTATATTACTTTAATAATAGTCTATAGCTATTAGATCTTCTTTAGCTTTAAAAATATTTGATAATAAAAGTTAGATCGTTATTTTCATAATATCTATAGTTATTTATTCTCTTTTATTTATTACTTCTTTTATTAGCTTCTTTAATTTAATATCTTATTTTATTTTTTAGTTACTAGTCTTCTTATTATAAGATTTAATTTATTTTTTTAAATAGACGTTTTATAATAATTTTAAACCAATTCTTTAATATCTAATCCTACAATCTCTAATATTCTTTCCTTCAATATCAAAAAAAACAGTTAAAAATTAATCTAAAACATATATATTATAGATTATAAGTGTTATTTTAATATCAATATATTTATTATTTTTAATAATATCTAATTACCCTTAGAGAAACTAAAATAAGATAAATTATATATTAGTGATCTAATCTAATAAGAGTTTAATAGTATTCTATAAAAAGCTGATTATTTATTAGAAGATAGATCTTTAGATTTATTATCTAATATATCTAAGCAATCTCTTTTTTATAAAAAGTTTTTATTAGAGAGAGTTTATTTTACTAGAATTAAGGATAAAGATTGTTATCTCTATTTAACGATGTGACGGTTAGATGGCTGCCGGAAAGGGCTGCTCCTGCCGCCATTTTACGAGTCTTGCTAACCAGTCTCGGCCTTGGCATCGAGCGTGCCAACCCCCACGGCTCCGTTTTTTACTTCCACGCAGCACGCTCGGTTCCTGACGCTAGCGGCTAGCCCGTTGCTCCCTCTCGTTCGTTCCTCACCCACCTGGAGGCTCACATTGCAAAATGAAGGAGCCGTTTCTAGCTCCCTTTCACATCATCATGTTCTTTCTGGTTCCGAGTCCCACCACGGCGACCATGGCCTTCTTAAATCCCCTCCCTCCCTCTCGCCTTCCGTCCATTTCACTTCACTCCTAAATCCAGATCACCATTCCCTCTCCAACCTCGTTTTATCTCTTCAGTCTTCCCTAATGCAACATCTACCTTGCGAGCCATTCTCCCCATAACGCCTCGCTGCCGATCGATCGGGCCTATCGAGAGTGAGAGTCAAAATGAAAGCGATACAGACTCCGACGAGAGCGCAATCTTTACGGACAACAGATCTAAAAAAGATTCCAACAGTAAATCAGAACCCGACGGGGACGATACAAATAATAAGAGTGACTCCAACGATAAATCATTCAATGATAAGAGTCAGCTACCCCCTAAACACTATTTAGCTGAAGCAAAGAGCTTAGACGTCTCTCAACTTCGACAGAAGCGTTATAGTGATAGTACTCAGGAGAAACTCGATCAAACCACTATATACTAGAACAGGTTGGCTGCCTTTTCACCGGAATCTTTTACCGAAAACTAACCAGTGGTCTCCTAGCAGGTATTGTGAATATCTTAATCTCAATCCTCTGAAGCACTGGCAATGGATTTCAGACTCAGATGACACAGTCCATTTCTTGTATCAATTTTTCGCTTGGCGATGTGATATTCAGCAGGGTAAAAATAGTCGACACTGCCCAGATATCAAATACAAAAGCTCGCTTAAGTCATTCTAGAAGTAGTGGCACCTCATTCTTAAACAAGAGACAGCGTCCAGCCTGGCCAAGGAGACAATTATCAAAGTTCAAGATATAAGCAATCAACTAGAACCTTTCACACTGATTAGAAAGTAACGCTTGTTGATTGTCTATAGATCATTGCACTAGTAGCCCAATAGAAAGGTCTAGAGCTCATACGACGGCCAAAGAAAAATATGTATATTGAAGACGTCGCTGAGTTCACTTGTGTACTCTTGACCACCATAGAGACAACATTTGATTGTGGCTGGCAGCATATCCAGGTCCTTCTTTTCTGCCAACTCGCAGCCATTATTGCAAGCCATCTGGGCGCTCTTTTTGGCCTTCGCTATTGGGATATTGTGTTGATGTTGATTCGAGATCTAGAAGGAGGACGCCTGCAACTCTTCATCTATCTAACTCCTGAGTTTATGAAGAGGTTTTTTGGAAAGAAGGTCCTATGGGTTCCTTTATTTTTCTATCATGAGATTGGAGACAATTTGGCTAACTAATAAAGAAATGAGTTTAAAATCCTAGAAATAATTTTCGATCTCATTTTGGCCCTTAGTCCATATGTCTGCTTGTTGGGTATGCTCTTTTATATAAAAGGCTTTAAGACAAGATCTTCAACTGGATCAGTACTGGATTGCCTGGAGAATCTCTATCACCTTCGAGTCTTAGAAGGCTTGGGATAGCAACAGCTGATTTTGAAGGGCGAGATCTTAGACAAATTTGTTTTCTACCAGGTTACCCAGGATATCATCGGATATCAAATCAACTTAAAGAAACAAATGACATCATCAATAGTACGATCTCGCATACGCCGGGTGGGCGAAATTACAGGTATGGAACTCATTAAGCCATATAATCTCCGATATGCCAGGACCAAGACTTTTAACAAAAGTGATATATATCCCTCAGATCCAATAACTTCCAGATAGCTAACTATTCAAGCAGAGAAGGTAACAGATACCCTACAGAACGTCATATTACAGCACTCGGACATTCACACTTTCATCCAACATTATAAAGTAGATATCAATATCGACGTTCAAAGCATTATGCGAAAGACCAGGTCTCAAACTCCGCTGATACGATTTACTTGTTCGTTGAGTGTGTTGATTGATCTAGATAGGCCCTTTAAGCTCTTAATTGAGGAATCTAGGTCCCTTAACGACCTTCTAGTTGTTCACAAAGAGTAGGGCAAGGTTGACAAACGGAAGTGTAAGTGGGAAGATCGCCAAGCTAAAAGCGAATGTACTGAATAGGTATATCAAACCATCTTTGGCTATCTTGAAGAAGGTATAATTTCCAAGTACTAGTAAAAGTCTTAGAAGAAGCTGAGAGCTGTCTAAGATTGGGTAGCGGAAGCTAAGTGGAAGTTTAATAGGGCTGTTTGTGAACTATGTAACTAGAAGTAGTGACAACAGAATAAATGAATTTGTGTGAATTTGGAGCGATATAAGAACAAATAACCTGTTATTGACCTGGAGTGATAGCTGGTAGGAAAGTTGGTGGATAGAAAGGTAATGGGGGTATTGGAATACACCAGTTTAATACCCTCGGAGTTTGTGATGGTGATTGACACCATGCTTATTGTGCCAGGTGCAATTGTGGAGGCGGAGTATCAACATCAGATCAATGCAATAAAAGTAGTGACCGCTTTCTGTGGCGTTGAAGAAGGACGTTCTACATCTCAGCTAACCTAATTTTGTCACCAGCTTGTCTCCGACGACATTTCTTTTCCCTCTACAAAACGGTAACATTGCTTAGAAGAAGAAAAGACTGACACTATTCTTCACTAAGCAATCCAGTCTGTACAGATTAATTCTCACGAAGACTGACCTACTATCTGCTTTCTCTGTGTCAGGAATCCTAGTCTTTCAATCAAGGACCAAGTTAAAAAATATGCAATATTAGGCTCACTAATAAGGTATTTTCTTCACAAGTATGTGAACTCTTTCTGGCCTTTTAAGGGCATTGTTTGTAATGTTTGTGACAATTTGTCTCTTGAATGGAAATTAATACTTTTGAATCACACAAAGGATGTTTATGGGATAGTTGTGGGAGGTCACATTTAGGGGAAGTTTGTGCTCTAGTTGAATACTATAACATTTGATAGTGTAGTATGCCAATATTGGTAATATCTTTAGGCCCTCCAAGATTAGGGAAATGTTTTACTTTCACTATTACTTATATTGGTACTTAATAATACTTCTTTTCCGCTTTATCCTCCTCCTTTCTTTTATCACTGGACTTCTGAATTGTATTGGTTGATATCTGATGGGCATCTTGGCTTGTAGGTTTATATCTAAAATGGGGTTTAGGAGGCCATATTTCTTTTTTTGGCTGTATCTGAGACTTTATAAATATTGACTCATAAATCCCTTGTAGACATAATATATGAAAAGCTCACCAATTTATTAAAAGTCTTTGCTAATTCTGATTAATTTTGGCTTAGATCTAGTAAGTATAGATTTATATAGGATCAGACCATGATTTTGTAGTAACACTTTGTTTATAGTGTTCAACAACATCACGTACAAGCAGATCAACCCCTTTAGTCCTGGATTCTGGAATATCTGTGTGATATTGTTGGTTGTATTTAGTGTGATTCTGCATAGTGTATTGTAGTAGGTGTGGTATGTGCGACTACAGTTGTCTCCATTTTAATAAGGGCGCTATATAGTTGATTTCCTTTGCTACTTTTTGGTTTTCCTTTTCTATTTTAGTGCTTAGTGTTTGTCGCTTTTTGCTCATTGAGCACAACTGAGTACGCCCTTGCATATTATATAATCATTAAGCTCGCTCACTGAGTATTACCTGATCGTTATTTAAGCTGGATGATTCGCTTATTGAGCAAATCTTGAGCGCTCTGATTTGCTTATTGAGTAGCTTGATCTTACTCACTGATCATGATCTGAGCACTCTGACTAGCTTATTGAGTATAACTTTGAGTAGCTTGATCCACTTATTGCGCACAATCTGAGCAAAGTATGGGAGCAGCTAAGTTAGTAGCTTATCTCAATAAAATGTATCATTTTAGCCTATCTAAATGTAGTTGTTCACTAGAACTCTTGACTGTTGTCCTTTTAACAAAAGGCTGGCATTATTAATTTTTTGGTCAATCCTGGTCATTTCGCCTTCAGCTGGGAGGCAAATTGATAGTGGGGCTATATTTACTGGGCTTATTATTTTGCAGCTATGTCACTATTTAACTCGCTGAGCTTTGTATCCACGACACCATCTCTATATAGTTGCGGAAAATATGCTACCCTTAATTTTTGGTTCTACTATATCTAGGAATATCTCTGAAATCCCCAATTGGATAGTTTGTAAGTTTGGGGTTTTGTTTTGTTCGGATTTTGTGTCGCTTGAATAACAACATATTATCGCTCTTGCTGCTTGCCGCTTGCTCCTAGGAATACGATTTCAGCTCTAGCGATGGACTTCCGCAAAAGTGTTCTAGACCCATCGATCATGCCTGCTATATGATGTAGCCGCCATGACGATATGTGCGGCCTCTCATTTGCCTAACATATTCTAACTAGCAATCAGAAATACCTTATTCTAGCTAAAGTCTGATATGACTTCCTAGGAGCTCTTAGATCTTATATGCCACTGCAATGTGATTGATGAGATGATATAGATCTTAGGAGCTTTAGTGTTAGTATCTATTTGTGAGAGCTGTGACTGATAACGCTTAGAGTCAAAGTATATAAAAGAAATATTGATCCCTTCTAGAGTGAATATATCCAAGTTTCAAATATTTCTCTTTAATGTCTTATCAAGACTGCTCGTAAATATAAGCAACTGTTGGCATTCTGGGTCTGTCTTTTTCTAGCCCCTCAGCCAGAGTAAAAGCATGACTATTATGTAGATTTTCTGATGTTATAAAGCAAACTGACAACCTGGTTGATATCTAATTATTTCATCCAGTGAGAGTTGCAAGATCGTTTCCTGTATATTCCTGAGACCTGAGTTTGTTATATGTGGCCAAGATCTAATGGGGAGATGTAAGTGATTTACTAATGTACCAAGGGGAGTGTGAGAATTTGTAGGGTGCCTGTGGCTGACTGAATTTAATAATATAAGATCCACTGAGATTTGAGAAGGAATAAAACCTAGCTTGATTTCTCAGTCTGATTATACTTACTAAAACCTAATTTACTTGTAAATGGAGTGTTTTGCCTGGTTGAGCTGGACTAATAATAGCTCTTTCTATGTAAGTGAGCTTGATCCACAACGCCTGTTTTTCTCTATTAATTGCTAGATATCAATATAGATTATTGGTTGTGAGATATCTGAGGCTTTCACAAACTTGGTGTAAATGCTATTTGAGATGCTTAGAAATGAGCTCTCACTTCTTCTATCATTTATGAGCACATGTCTAATATGATTATATATAATCAGTTGTCATGATAATTGAGGGCCTCATTTGATAGTCTTTAGTCTTTATTATTCTACTCTGGCTTATAGGCCTTCTTATGTCCCCTGGCCCTAGCTTATCTGACCATGCTTCTTCATGTTGTAGGATTTGGAAGCCTTTAATTGAGTTATGATGTTCAAAATTGTGCTCAAATTCTATAGTAATAGGGGAAGTAAATGTGGAAGGGATAGATGTTTTGTCTATCTCTATGGAGTTTCCTATCAATTGTAATTTTTATTTCTTACTAGTTTCAAATCTTACTTGGTTGTGCTAGCTAATTTATTTTATAAGGACTGTGATTAATGTGAGAGATGAGCTAATATTGTCACTATGATGCATCTTATTTTACGGAGTATGAATAATGGGAACAAAAGGTGAATTTTAGAAAGATCAAACTTTGAATATATATTGTCTCTGGTGGTGGTTGCTAGCAAGATACACCATTTCTAGCTAGATATTCCTATGTAGTATACCCCGTGTTTGGGCTGTATTGTATGGCTGCCTTTTTCCCTTATGTCTGTCCATAGTGTCTACCTCTTATGTATTAAGTAGAAACCCCCTCTTTAATATTCTCTGGTCTTTTAATAATCAGCCCTGACATGATTTGACACTTTTGGATCTCTTTAGTTGACTAATAAGCTTCAACTCTGCAAGTTAACCATTCTTTTATTCCCTAAGCGTTGTACAAGTATACTATTATCGAAGATGAACGACTAAGTCTCGAACTTCGCTAATCCAGAATAGCCTTATATCGCAATTTAAAGATTACCTCGTTGCCTCTATTGTGGTGAAGGTATCATGATAGATTATGTACTTTTATGGAATGAGAATGGTAACAGTGATCGTCTTTACTACACTTGCTCTGACTGTGGAGAATTCTTTTGTTTTGGAGATATGCGAGGTGTATTGGCGGAAAATCTCATATGTTTTTGTAACGACGGGATGCAATTTAGTAGATGTGTTATATTAGGTCTAGATGGTGGAAGAGCGGGAATTCTGCAGTCGATCTTCTATCAATGCGTCATAGGGGGATGTTACTTTTGGAAGAATATGACGAACGACTGGGGCGGAATTTTGATTTATCCTGGTCTAGTTACTAGACGCGATTTGGTATCTGAGGGGTTCTGAGGGACTCATCTCTGTATGAGGTACACTTTGGTGCTTTTTTATCTTATATAAAATAGCATCAATAAATGGCTTTGTTAAAATGATATGTTGATTAATAAGATGCTGATTATTGATGCGTATTTGGGAAGTAGCTATTTTGTAGAAAGGTGCATTGATTCTTGATTGAAGGTTATGTATTTGTTCTCTGACTTTACTTTACATGATGAGAGTATTTATTCTATAAATATGTTGTGTCGTTTGTCTCTGGCTAATTTGAGTTTGTTGTGTATAGATAGTTTGAAATTGTGGTAAATTTTTGTGGAGATAAATGATTGTAACTTTGTTGTCTGTTACTTCAACAGCTATCTGAGATGTAGAAAAAGACTGGCTCTATCTTGTTGCGAATGAGATTAAACTTTGAAGTAGAAAGCCTTAGAGGTAAATCCTTAAATTGGGTTTGTGATTTTTGGTAAAGTATAGATGGTGTGATGTTGAAAGAATAGTGGTTTATGGATAAAGAAAGGGAGGAGCATTGGGTGATAGGGAAGGTAGTTTTGTGTAAATTATATTGTCAACGTTTGGAATTGTATTACAGATACTATTCCTATCTAAGTAAGCGGTTTGAGGGGCGAATTGGTACCCGAGTTCTCCATATTGGGACTAGCGCTTGTAGGATCCTTGCTTGGGAATTAAGAGGGAAGAGTGTATAGGTATTGCTGATTCGAAAAGTACTGTACGTATGGGACTTTACATTAGTATTCGAAATCAGTTATACTCCCGCGCTCTTAGGAATTGATTCCCGGAGAATGAATTCAGCCGCCGTGAGTCCTGATAGGATGAGCTAGAGAGGCTCCACCGTTCAGACCGCTTTCTGGTTTTGATGAAAATTTAACAATACCTTGTCACGACAACAAAAAATGTATTTTTCGTGAAAGTGCTATATGCATGTGTCTCTCAATCCATGGTAGGAGCTAGGTTCCCTCTCCCACCCATATCTGTCTGTCTTTGAGCTTTCATATTTAAAATCATACTAGTGATATGGCTCCTAGATCTCTTATTTGGAAGCTTTATCTGATTTGTGATATGATAGAGAATCACTTTCCTATTGTGTGATTTTACTGTATATCCATGTCGTACGGCCTCGTTTATTGGCAGTGAAAGTGTTTCTCTAACATAAGTGGCGGCGGTCTGAGCTACCTATGAGTGTTTAAGATGATGCTAACTCGGGTAATGATGATTGTATTAAGAGTGGACTAATTATATAGCTATACGTAGTTGGGTAGTAGCTATAGAGTTACGGTCTCTTAATAACTTTTGAACGCTGATAATTATAAAGATAGCTCACCATATCTGGAGTAATTTGTATAAACCTTTATAGGATTGTTATTTCTAAGAAGTCGATTTTGTATCCAAAATTTTGATTTGCTTTCTCCTGTATATAATTACCTAATAGTGAGCAATATGAGTGTTAATCAAGGTATATCAAAATCTCAAGGCTGGTTTAAGGTTACAAATATTGAATATTCTCTAGATGCGATCTATCTTGTTGAAGTAAGAGAATTAGGAAGTAAGGGATTGGGTGTGTTTGCGAGATCTAATATCCCTTAAGGCACTTGTGTTATCTTTGAACCAGCTTTGCTTGAAGTTAGTAGTGTGGATTTGAATGTGAAAGATATTGTGCTTGTCTTTGACTAGCTTTCTCTTTCATAGTAAGAATCGTTTCTCAAGCTTTATGGTTATGTGTGCGATTCGTTTAAATGTGTTGCGGAGCGTGAGATGCAATAGACTTGGCAGGAAATTCCAGAACTGTATTGTATGGTACTGGCCATTTATGTAGCGAACGCCTTTGGTAGCGTTTTCTTGTTTGGCTCTTGTATCAATTACTTATGTCTTCTAAATATCTATTTTGTATATAATTCAATGTTTAAAGAAGAGATATTTTATGCTATACGCGATATAATGGTGGGTGAGGAGCTTATAATCATGTATATCAATGGTACTAATTGCACTAGGGACTAATGTAAAGTAGAGCTGGACAAGTGGGGATTTATGTGTTTTTGTCTAGTATGTGAGGATACGTTACGAGGTAAGGAGAGAGAGAAAAAGCGGGCTTAGTTGTTTGCTTTTGATCAAGAGCTCGCTATGGACGCTCAACTTGGTATGGAAAAGTCTTGTGGAAAGGCGCTGTGCGTGGCGTAAAGAATGGCAGCGATATAAATATCTGAAGGTATATTGTATAGAGAGCTAGGAGTGTTGTAAGTAGCGTTTTGATTACTTCGTTGTAGGGTATGCTGATATATTTTTAGTTATCACGATGTTGCTAAGTATAGTCTGAAATTGGGAAATCTAAAAATGGCGCTTTTGTGGGTGCAGAAGGAGTTAGAAGTTGACTATTACTGTGTTGGGGAAGATCATTCTGACTATAAAAAGGAGCTTGAGATTGTGTACTGGTTGCAAGGGATTGTAGAACGTTCAGGGCCACTCGATGAGTGCGTAACCGAATGGTTCAATTTGCACGGCCGCCCTGCAGAATCATGTATCCTTATGTAAATACTAGTTACAGTGCCGACCGCTATCGCCTTCCATGACCAATAACACGTAAAAGCTCTTTTAAACCCTAGTCACATGGCACGCTAATCCATATATGGCTAGATTTTCTTTTCAAAATCTGTTCCAAGGTTGAAACGTATGACTCAGAACAAATAAAGTACCAAGTGTGGTATCTATACATGTACTCTTACAGATCTAAACATACAAGGCCTACCATCAAATAGGTCTGATCTACTGCACGGTACAGTGGCGACCACATTCGCCTTCCATGTCAGGAACAGAGAGATTCTCTTTCAAACCCTTATCACATGATACGCTAACACAGATATGAATAGCGCGTAAATAATTGGTTTTGTAGCGAACGCGATCATCAAAAACAGAAACTAAAAATACCAGTATAGAAGATATAAGGGTTCAGAACTAGACACACTTACTGGAAGATTCGAACCAAACCAAGCAAACATGGCGATCTTGGAGTAGGCAATCTATCAACCATTTCCTTCTCCACTACAAAAATTGATTGGCTATGAGCGCAGGGTACCTCGCCTCAGCGTCAGCCTCACCAATTAACCCCACCCCTCCTATCAAAACTAACATTCATTCCCAAAATTTAGGCCCCACAATATCTTTTTGCCTTATAACTCCCATAAAATCCTACAAAGCTATTCAAATTTAAAAGCCAACAGTCCTATATTACACCATAACAGCTAGTTTCTCTTTATATCATAACGACTACACAATCGGATAGATATACGCTTTACCCATAGAGATAACAGCCGCAAAGTTAATATTAGACGCAATATACCCAAGTTTACCCCGCCCGCTGACAAACCAAAACAACTATATCCTAGGAAATATTGGGGATTATAATATTGTTATTGCCAACTTACCAAGCGGTGTATATGGTATTGTATCAGCGGTCATAGTAATAATATAGTTACTCTTGAGCTTCTACTTCATTTGGTTTGATCTAATAGTTGGAATCAGTGAAGGTATACCAAGTAGCAAGGCGGATATTTGACTAGGCAATATTGTGGTGAGCTAGCTAGGAGATATGTCTGGAGGTATAATCTAATATGATATGGGGAAAGCGTTGAGCGGCAGATAATTCCAGTGAATAGGGATGCTTGATCAGCCATCTAAAATCCTGTTGACTACCCTCACTACACTCTAAGCCCACCACCTTATAGAAGATAGTCGAATTCTTGAATTTATCTTAAAGGTCTGAGCTAAAATAACACCATGAATAGCTGCAAACTTTGTCTAACCAACCAAAAAAAACGTCTTATACCAAACGGAATATAAACATGGAGTATCTAATATATATATCAATTATAATCGATCTAAACTAACTCTACGACCTTTATGTAAATATAGAGAACTAATAATACACTATAGACTAATTGTATCTATAAACTAGATTATAAAAGACGACAAGCGGCGAGACTAACTTAGCTGGAACCTAGGGGTTCTCTATGTAGAAATAGAAGCTACAAGGCTTATAAATAACTTTCTTTGTCTAGTTGTTCGAGGTATCTACAACTATATCGACTCATATAAAAACAAAGAATAGTAAAGATATATAGCGATAATAGTAGCAATCTATATCAAAGAACTTATCTTAGTAGCTCTAATCGATTAGATTTAAAACACTCTAATAATATAAGATACTTTTATAGATTCTAGTAAAAGAATCTAAATTTTAATTTATATCATTACTTACCTAGTTTAAAATCATAACTAAATAAGGTTTTTCATATATAGTTCACCACTTTAATATCCCTCTAGACCTCAATATAATTCCCTTAATTTTAAACTTTGTAGAACGATAAAATAAGCTAGATAATTTATAGCAGTGTTTATAACTAAAAGACTCACTATTATAAAAAATTGCAGTTTTTCACAGCCTTAGCGGAATAAGAAAGATGTAACTAGCAACTTGCTTTACACGAGATTATAAAAACGATTTCATAGCGATCTTCTAGCTGAGTAACAAGAACCATAAGTCGCTTATACAATCTTTGAGTATTGCCTTGAGCCGATTACCAGGACAGGCCTTAAGTAATAAAGCGAGTATTGATATAAATATAGAGTAATAAACCAGATATATGTTATAATAGCTAGCATTAAATAGCAATAGTCACTAGTTAATCATTTTTGATAATATTAATTGATATTCTTCCTTTAACAATGAAGACTCTAAAAGTTATAATATTGAAAAATTTTTCCCAAACGCAGACTAAAGATCTATCTTAATTATTTCTCAACTTCAAAGACTAAGTAATTTAGAGAAGCCTTTCCCAGTTCAAAGGCTTGACCCTGAAAGCTCGATTAAACTACTCCTACAAAGTAGTGGTTTATTAGCAAGGAACACTGCTAGCAACTTTGCCAGGAATCTAGATAGGATTATATCTGATGAAAAGATCTTATAGAACATACTAACATTTGTAGATACCCTTAATCTTACTAATCGTCTAGATAGTCTACCTTTAGCTATTATAATCGCCGAGGTATTTATACATGAAACTGGAACCAGCATCACTCAATACCTATAGTAATACCAAAAATCGTAGTCTAAACTACAGCTGCAATCAAACCCTAGACGTCAGTACCAACAAGGCAACATACTACAAACATAGATGATCTCATATCTTGAGATCCAAAAACGAGACCTAAGTACAACAAACCTTCTATTACTACTTACTCATTTTGATAATCGTGATATCTGATACAAGTTAGTGGAAAATATCCGTCATAGCTCAAACATCCCAGACTAGCTCGACAAGACGACATCAAGCAGACTCGCGTTCAAAGCCGACATAAAATCTCTCATCGGATTCTCACTTCTAAAAAGTAAACAACAAGAAGGAAGCTATACAATACACCCAATAATACAGAACTAGTACATTTATATTACCAACGAAAGCAAAGATGTAAATCGGATGCAGCTAAAGAAACTAAGATTGATATCTATTAGATACTCTATACCCAGTACGACGATCAGGGGTTATTCAAAACTTTAGTAATAGCTTCTTCCACACGCTAATCTAATACGTCATTTAAAATTTTTAGATAACAATATTGAGTTATAGAAAGCATTACAGAATTTAGAGAATCTTTACTCCGACTAAAGTAAGCTGAAAAAGGCAGAAGAGATGTACCAACAAGTACTAACAGGCTATAAAAAGGCTCTCGATCCAGATTATACATCGACACTAAATACAGTTAATAATCTTAGTCTTCTCTACTCTGGTCAAAAAAAACTTAAAGAAGCAAAAGAGATATACCAGCGAGTACTAATAGACTATGAGAAGGCCCTCGATCCTAATCATACGTCCACTCTGAATACAGTCAACAACCTTAGCATTCTCTACTCCAATTAAAAGAAGCTACAAAAGACAGAAGAGATATACCAACGAGCACTCGCAAACTATAAAAAGGCCCTCAATCCTAATCATACGTCCACTCTAAATACAGTCAATAATCTTAGTCTTCTCTACTCCGATCAAGAAAAGCTTAAAGAAGCAGAAGAGATATACCAACAAGTACTCACAAGCTATAAAAAAGCCCTTGGTCTTGATTATACGTCCACTCTAATAACAGTCAACAACCTTAGCAATCTCTACTCCAATCAAAAGAAACTCAAAAAGGCAGAAGAGATATACCAACGAGCACTGACAGACTATAAGAAAGCCCTCGATCCTAATCATACGTCTACTCTAAATATAGTCAATAATCTTAGTCTTCTCTACTATAATCAAGACAAACTCAAAAAGGCAAAAGAGATATACCAGCAAGCACTAACAAACTATAAGAAAGCCCTCAATCCAGATCATACGTCCACTCTAATAACAGCCAACAACCTTGACAATCTCTATAGAGACCAAAACAAGCTAAAAAAGGCAGAAAAGATATACCAGCGAGCACTAACAAACTATAAAAAGGCCCTCAATCCTAATCATACGTCCACTCTAAACACAGTCGACAACCTTAGTCTTCTCTACTATAATCAAGACAATCTAAAAAAGACAAAAAAGATATACCAACAAACACTAGCAGATTATCAGAAAACACTTAATCCTAATCATACATCCACTCTAAATACAATTGACAACCTTAGTCTTCTCTACTATAATCAAAATAATCTAAAAGAAACAGAAGAGATATACCAGCGAGTATTAACAAGCTATAAAAAGACCCTCAATCCTAATCATACATCCACTCTGGATATAATTAGCAACCTTGGGAGTCTCTACTTCGATCAAGAGAAGCTCAAAAAGACAAAAGAAATATACCAGCGAGCACTAACAGACTATCATAAAACCCTCAGTCCAGATCATACATCCACTCTAGATACAGTCAACAGCCTTAGTCTTCTCTACTCCGATCAAAAGAAGCTAAAAGAAACAAAAGAGATGTACCAGCGAGCACTAACAGACTATCATAAAACCCTCAGTCCAGATCATACATCCACTCTAGATACAGTCAACAGCCTTAGTCTTCTCTACTCCGATCAAAAGAAGCTAAAAGAAACAAAAGAGATGTACCAGCGAGCACTAACAAACTATGAGAAGGCCCTCGATCCTAATCATACGTCCACTCTAAATACAATCAATAATCTTAACAATCTCTACTATAATCAAGACAAGCTTAAAGAGACAAAAGAGATATACCAACAAGCACTCGCAGACTATAAGAAAGCCCTCGATCCTAATCATACGTCCACTCTAAACACAATCGACAACCTTAGTCTTCTCTACTATAATCAAGACAATCTAAAAGAGACAAAAGAGATATACCAACGAGCACTAGCAAGCTATAAGAAGACCCTCAATCCTAATCATACGTCTACTCTAAATACAATTAATAATCTTAGTCTTCTCTACTATAATCAAAACAAGCTTAAAGAGGCAGAAGAGATATATCAACAAACACTAGTAGGTTATTAGAAGACACTTAATCCTGATTATACGTCCACTCTAAATACAGTCGACAACCTTAGCAGCCTTTACTATAATCAAGACAAACTAAAAAAGGCAAAGAAAACGTACTAACAAGCACTAGCAGACTTCAAAAAGGCCCTCAGTCCTGATCATACGTCCACTCTAACAACAATCAATAATCTTAGTCTTCTCTACTCTGGTTAAGATAAGCTTAAAGAGGCAGAAGAGATGTACTAGCGAGTATTGGTAGGCTATGAGAAAGCTCTCGGTCTTGATTATACGTTTACTCTAAATACAGTTAATAATCTTGGTAATCTCTACTATGATTAAGGCAAGCTCAAAGAGGTAGAAGAGATGTACTAATGAGCACTCGTAGGTTATGAGAAGGCACTCGGTCTAGATTATACTTCTACTCTGATGATAGTCAACAATCTTGGTATTCTTTACAAGGATTAAGGTAAGTTGAAAAAGGCAGAAGGGATATATGCAGAAGAAATGCGAGACAGCTAGGAGGCCGCAATTTCCAATGCTAATAGGGGACGTTGGGTTATAGACAAAGTTAAAAGATAGCTTAAATAATAAAAAAAAGATAATATCATATCCATAATACATATAGAAAAAATAGCCATATCACTACAATATATCCACTATATCAAAAAGCTACCATAGTCATAATAGCACGACATTACCATAAACAAGCCGCAACAAATTACTTAATATACTCCAGCCTCAAATAAATATACAATATTTTTTAAAGAGAACGCACAACAAATACGAGGAAGGCACACAGAGTATTGCAAGTCAGCTATATTATCTTGAAACGTCTTTTCGATCACCTCACTTCTCCTAGATCCCAACCATAAAGTCATATAGCAAAATCAATAGAAACAACTAACACCAGGCCTATATAATAAGGATATCGTACGATAGATTAGACCTAATTAGTTATCGACCTAGTACATTTAGATCCATAAAAACACATATTGAAATACCATAGTTAATATATTTTACCTATTCGGGATCATACAATACACACTCAGAACAGATCCTAAAATTCAAGTCTAAACATATATAGATCAGAGTGCCATATGATTAGGATTTAAAAGAGCTTCCTTATGTTGTTCGACATAGAAGGCGATAGTGGTTGGCACTATATATATTCCCACCATACAGACCTAATGCTATGTACTTCTTTCGATATTGCTATATGAGTTGATGACAAAACCTCAGGGAAGTTTTGTGGTTGAGAAGGCGGTTAAGAGAATGGTTGAAGATAATATGGCCTATTTCAGAATTCCAGCACATTCCCCATATGTTTCGTAAGTTTGTTCTTTAAAAGATATTATACATAGATTGAGGATGCAGTTCTGTCAGTTATTTCATTGTAGCCTGCTCAACGGTGACGCCCTGCTGTTATGATTACTATAATAGTTAAAGTGAAATGGCCATTGTGTTCAGACGGATCGTGGATATGTAATTGTTTGCCTTTAATTATTGACGCCATCTTTTGATTTTCTCTATAGCCCGCCATGCTCTGGTAGGATTGGGATTTGCAACCTTCCAACCGTCTGGAAATTCTCCCTGGTACATATCTTCTACCTCTTTCAACTTCCCTTAGTCCTTATAGAGAGCACCAAGATTATTAACTGTATTTAAAGTCGACGTATAATCTGGACCGAGGGCCTTCTCCCTACCTACCAGTACTCGCTAGAACATCTCTTCTACCTCTTTTAGCTTCCCTTGATCTCTATAGAGCTTACCAAGATTGCTGAGTATATTTAGAGTCGATATATGATCTGGACCAAGAGCCTTCTCATCGCCTACCAGTACTCGCCGGAACATCTATTCTACATCTTTCAACTTTCCTTGATCTCTGTAGACCATGCCAAGATTGTTAACTGTATTTAGAGTTAACGTATAATCTGGACCAAGGGCTTTCTCATAGCCTACCAGTACTCGCTAGTACATCTCCTCAACCTCTTTCAGCTTCCCTTAACCAGAGTAGAGAATACCAAAATTACCGATAGTACTTAAAGTCGACGTATCATCTGGACAGAGGGCCTTCTCCCTACCTACCAATACTCACTAGAACATCTCTTCTGCCTCTTTCAGCTTCCCTTGATCTCTATAAAGCTTACCAAGATTACTAACTATATTTAGAGTCAATATATAGTCTAGACCAAGAACCTTCTCATAGCCTACCAGTACTCGCTAGTACATCTCCTCAGCCTTTTTCAGCTTCCCTTGATCTCTATAGAGCTTACCAAGATTACTAAGTATATTTAAAGTCAATATATAATCTAGACCAAGAGCCTTTTCATAGCCTACCAATACTCGCTAATACATCTCCTCAACCTCTTTCAACTTCCCTTAACCAGAGTAAAGAATACCAAAATTGCCAATAGTACTTAAAGTCGACGTATCATCTAGACCGAAAGCCTTCTCATAGCCTGCCAGTACTCGCTAATACATCTTCTTTGCCTTTTTCAGCTTCTCTTGATCTCTATAAAGAATACCAAGATTGCCAATAGTACTTAAAGTCGATGTATCATCTGGACCGAGGGCCTTCTCATAGCCTACCAGTACTCGCTGGTATATCTCCTTAGCCTTATTCAGCTTCTCTTGACTATGGTAGAGAAGGCTAAACCTGTAGACTATATCCAGAGTGGATATATAATCTGGATCAAGGACCTTCTCATAGCCTACCAGTACTCGCTAGAATATCTCTTCTATCTCCTTCAGCTTCTTTTAATCAGAGTAGAGAAAGCTAAGGTTTCTAACTGTATCTCAATTCGATGTATGGTCTGGACCGAGGGCCTTCTTATAGCCTGCCAGTGCTCGCCGGTACATCCGTTCTACCGCCTTCAGCTTGATCTGGTGCCGGTGAAGATCTCCCAAGTCATCAAATACCCCGCATGACTCAATATCACCATCTGACCAGTCTAAATGACAAGAGAAGTTTATTTAGTCAAGGTTTGTTACTAGGCAAGAAGCGACACATGAAATGAAAATCTTTTACCAGGATCTGAAAGACTGCTCCGTGCTGTTGGAGTAATTTTCATTTGGCCAATCGGAGCCACTGAGACAAGTTCTTTAGCGTAGGCTACAGCTGCCACTGCCGCATATCCTTGCCATTCTTTGTTTTTGTGTGAGTCGGCATAGTCGCAAATACCTCGAACAACCAGGCAAGGGAAGTCATCCATGAGCCCCGCAGCTTCCATTTCCACACAGAGAACCCCTAGGTCTCAGCCCAGCTGGTCTCGCCGTATGCTGTCTTTCACAACCTGATTTGCAGATGCGATCAGTCCATAGTGAATCACCGGTTCTTCATACATTCGCAAAGGCCGCGCAATCAGCTTGGACCGGTCACAATCGGCACAGGTATCAGATGCTCCATGTTCATATTCTGTTTGGTATAAATTGTCCTCTTTGGTTGGTCGTGCAAAGTTTGCAGCTATCCGCGGCGTCATTTTGGCGCGGACCTCTAAAATAATTCAAGAACTCGGCTATCTTCTGTAAAGTGGTGGGCTTGAAGCGTGGCGAGGATAGTCAAGAGGACCGTAGGTGGCCGGTTAAGCATACCCACCCGCTGGAATCGGCCTTCACTCAACGCTTTCCCCAGACCGTATTGGATCACGCCTCCAGATGTGTCTGTCGGCTGGCTCACCACAATATCGCCTAGTCGAATGTCTACCTTCTTGCTTGGCACACCTCCACCGATACCGACCATCAGACCGAACTGGATAGAGTAGAAGCTCGACCGCAACTGCATCGCCACTGTGGCAGCTGATACGTTTCCATATGCACCGCTTGGTAAACTGGCAATAACGATGTTGTGATCCCCAATATTTCCTAGAATATATGTATTTTGATCTGTCCGTAGGCGGGGTAGACCCGGATGTATTGCGTCCAACATTAACTTTGCGGCTGCCATCTCCAGGGGTAAAGCGCATATCCATCCGACCGTGTAGTCGTCATGACACAAAGAGGAGCTGGCTGCCATAGTTTAATACAGGATTGTTGGCTTTCGATGCTGGATAGCTTGTTATGAGTCCATGGAAAATCTGGGGTAACAAAAATGTTGCGGAGCTCAAATCTTGGAATGGAAGTCGGTCTGTGAGAGGGGTGGGGTTAGGTGGTGAGGCTGAGGCTGAGGCGAGGCACAGTGCGCTCACAACCAATCACTTTTTGTGGTGGAGAAGGAAATTGTTAACAGATGTCCTGTTTCAGGGATGCCATGTTTGCTCGGTTTGTATCGAAGCTTCTGGTCGCCTATGCCTTGTATCTTCCATACCAGTCATTCATCACTTAGCTATAAATAGACAGGCTATCCATACCTGGATTAATGTACCCCGTAAAAGGCGTTGTAGGGGCCCCTCCATGTTCAAATCATTCGTTGAATCATTTATCACATGATGCACTAATCCAGATGTGGTTACAGCTGTATCTGAGATCCTTGTTCCGAAGCTGGAAGGTATGTACCGTAAAAAGCGAAATGGGAAAGCACGAGGTGGAGGAACGCCCACCATGACATTCTTGCAACGCAAATATCCCAGCTTCGGTTCACCAACGTCCTGACCTACCGCACGATGGCACGAAACCTCCAGGCTTGGCAGCGGAAACTAATTGTTCATATGACACTCAGCAAAAAAAGACTAAGTATCTCAAAGATGGCGGGGGTGGCCAAGTGTAGTGAGCGTTTGGTCACTAACATCCGCAGAAACATACGGGTGTTTGGCTACTCCAGATCCCCCCCAGTCCCTGCCGGCCAGCCGCCAATCATAAGCCCTGTGATGCTAGACGCCCTTTGTGACCACCTCGCTGAAAAGCCTGGCCTATACATTGAAGAGATGGCCCTGTTTCTTTGGGATGAGTTTGAGGTGTTGCCTTCATCATCAAGCGTTAAACGTGCCCTTACGCGGGCTGGCTGGTCAAAAAAGAAAGCCCAACAGAGAGCAAAGGAACAGAATCCTCAACTACGGGATTTCTACCAGCATCAGTTATCGGAATTCAGTTCGTATCATCTGGTCTTTGTTGATGAATCGGGATGTGATAAACGGGTGGGATATCGGCGGACTGGCTGGTGACCACTGGGTGTGACACCAGTGCAATTATCTAAATTTCACCGGGGTCAACGCTACCAGATACTGCCAGCCTATACACAGGATGGCGTTATGTTGTCTCGTATCTTCAAAGGATCAACTGATGCTCGCTTCTTTGAATCGTTTATTGAGCAACTTCTCCAGCATTGGGGAAGATGGCCGGAACCCAAATCCGTGCTTGTTATGGATAATGCCTCATTCTACCATTCAGATCGGATCAAACAGTTATGCTCTGACGCGGGGGTCAAATTATTGTACCTGCTGCCTTATTCGCCGGATTTCGACCCCATCGAAGAATTCTTTGTCGAGCTAAAAGCGTACGTTAAGAAGACTTGGTCGACGTATGAAGAGAATCCTGACCAGAGCTTTCATGTTTTCCTCCGCCGGTGTGTGCATGACGTTGGTGCGAAGCAGCAGAGTGCTGAGGGACATTTTCGACATGCTGGTATAACCGTCGAAAAGGCATGAGCTTTTACAGTACTGTTTCGGATAAGGATGTTTGACGTCCGCGAGATTCGGGCGATCTGCCAATACCTTTAACTAAGTGATTGACTTACTTTTATGGGCCGAGTGTTCTCCATTGGAAGGGGAAGTTTTTGTTTATATGATGCGCCATAACTTGAGATCAGTATCCGTGTTGTGAACAATGCACTTAATCATTTAAAATTTTAAACAAAAACCAATACCAATATATATTCAACGGCTTCGACCCACAAAAACTCCATTTCGTTGAACCCTTACGGAGCCAGCCATAGTGGGGTAAGATAACGTTTCATTCGGCACAGCAGACAATTCCAACAGTAGTCTGATCAAGTCCGTTTGGTTTCATCACAGTAGCCCATTCGTTGATATCGCGCAGGAAACGACGAGCTGTTCCAATTTGAATCCCTCGCTCAACGAAAAAGCTAGAGTCTGGGTCCTCAAGAATCAGTTCAAGATCTAGCTGATTTTCCAAGGTCACTTGGCATATTTTGCGGAAACCAGCTTTGTACGCCTCATCGGTGGCGCGTGATTCTAACCATTGCCAATAATCTCTCACAGCCACTTCACGAGGCCCAGGGATAATCAAGTGTTCATCAGATGAAGGATTGTGTAGAGAGGAACTGACTATCGGGGTACTGCCTTTTTTGCCGGCAGAACATTAATGATGGTCGAGGGATATGATGGTCCGTTTGTCACGTCAGTCTTTCTCGATTTCCTTCCTTTCTGACTCTCCAGGATGAGGTCTCGACGGATATCGTTAGGGACATCATCATAGGTGTCTAGGCAGCCACCACCATCAACGAAGTCAATCAGTCGTTCCAGATGTGGGGCCCGTAGCTTATAGTGTTTCTTGTCCTGAGGGTCCTCCCAGCACCAATCGCACTTGTGTGGACATGACCGGACATCACATCTCATCAAGCCATAAACAAGATCCCAAGTTGCAGGTCGTTGAGTTATATCTTCTTCAATATCAATGCATCTCCGGCGCTCTGCCAACATTCTGCTTGTTGCTGACACACGGCCTCTCTTTTCGACTTTCTGCGGCACTTCATCGTCGCCTCTATAATGAAACACAAAGTCAATGGTGAGTGCTTTGCCCATGCGGACTAAATTGCTCCATTTACGTAACTGCTTCTCCACCGACTTCCAGTCAATGGTAGCAGCACAAAATAGTTCCAGATTTTGCTGAGACCGGTCGCCCGCTTTGACAGTGACAGCTGTGCCTTCAGATCGCACTCGCTGGCCATTTTTCTTTTTCATTTGCAGCATTTCTTCAACAGCTGGTTTCAAAGCCTTGGCCCAATAATCGCGAGGAGATATAACCAATCCCTTCTCGGTCACGCTGCCTACCTTCTTACGGTTGAGCATAAGCTTCCACGCAATCGCGTAGCGGATATATCCCGGAGATAGCTCGTCATAGTCGATGTCTTCATCCCATTCGGCAAGTGGGAGGAAACTAAGCTGGTCTGATTGGACCGGATCGGTGACACAAACCGGGGCAGGGCTAGTAGAAAATACGGATGGCGTTCGACTAAAGTGACCAGGCGTGGGGGCATATTGTGAATCTTCGTCCCATGTTCGGGGTTGATAAGCATCGCCGCTACAAATGCTAATGGCCATCGTCGAAGTGGGGGAGGGGAGCCTAAGCAGATTGAACCGGAAGCGATTAGCAAACATCTCTGGCGTCCAATAAGATCCGAAAGGATGGCATCATGAGGGACAGTGGCGGGGATTACAAATAGGCTTACCGTACGCCGAGTCAACACAGCAACCTGGTCCCGGACAAACAGGTAGAAAACCCCCAGGTGCTCTGCAGTAATGAGACTGAAGATACAAAGAGGGATTGTTGACAGATTGCCCATTCAACGACTGTTATGTTTGCAGGGTTTGCATGGAATCTTCCAGCCTGAAAGATCGGGGTAAATGACTGTATATTTCATACTTGTATTTTAAGGCTGTGGTATAGATTACCTGGTCAGCTACAAAACGGATCAATTACATACTACCCATATCTGGATTAGCGGATCACATGATTAGGGTTTGAAACAGCTTCTCTACATATTCGACATGGAAGGCGAAAGCGGTCGCTACTGTACTATACCCAAACAATCTATCGGGGTATCAATCTTATCACCAGATATATGTTGAGTTTCTGCGCAATTCGAGTGGTGTCCCCATGGATCTGGCTCCGTAAAACGCATTGCATCATCGAGGCAAAGCGGGTTTATTTCCCATAACACACACGATCGTTGTAAAGTATATTAGCTGCGAGGACCAGGATAAGATTGAGACTGTTAACGGGTGAGAAGTGTAGAAGATACAGTAGCAAAATCTATGGATATAGACGGAACAGCTCTCTCTTACCAGGTTTAGTTCTTCTATGACGTTTGCATAGTTTGTTGTACTATGACTGGCGGGTGAAAACGATGATTGTGTTGTATATGGGAAGCTAGCTGGCGCTCTGAAAAACATTTCTAAGTGGTTCCATGTGATTTTACGGTACTGTGACGATGACTCATTTCTAGAAATACAATTATTATAGTAATAGTTCTGCTATAGTTATGTGGCGGTGATTCAAGCTGGCCTAGCGCCTGTTGGAATTAGTTTCTCTGAATCAAGATGAAAGAGTTTGGAGGTATGTATAGCTGATTTCGAAATGTACTGTAATTGGTATCTGAAAAGACAAATGTTTGTATCGGGAATAAGCATAAGGAGGTTTCAAGCTTCCCGGCTTTATATATGTTAGAGAGTACATTTATTGCACTTTTTGTATAGTATTGGATTGGTGTATCTTTTAGAAAATTGAAAATCAGCCTTACAAAGTCGATGGTTTTCTATATTGATTCATTATGAGCTAATCAAGTATGAAACTCTTGCTTAATTTATCAAGCTTCTAATATACTGTGGTATGGTGATGTTTAAATAGGGGATGCCTCTACCCTGTCTTTAAATATTGTTAAAAAATGGTCTACGTATTATTTGACGGACGTAGTTTTTTAAATCCTCAATTAGCAGTTGGACTGTATTAGTGTTCAATTCTCTCAAAAACCTTTATTATATTTCTTTTCGAATTAACGATATCTGATTTTTTAGAATATTAATTGCTATTAGAGAGGCCAAGATTATAGAATAGTCCGTTTCTTTGTCTCTTCCTTGCTTAAATTTCCTTTAATTCACAACCACAATGTCAAGACATATCTTGAGGTATTATGGTGGTAATAAACTCTTTGTAGCGATCCTTTTTGAAGAGAAAATTAATGTGATAAAAACAATGTCGTTGTAAATCTAATTTGATGAAGAAAGTGTGTGAATATAGTAGGATGTAGACTTCGGCACAACCCACTCTAACCCGGACCCAACCCAACCCAACCCAACCCAAAATGGGTTTTGGGTCCATTGCTTCGACCCAACGATGGGTTTTGGGTTATAGCTCATAACCCAAAACCCATTGGGTAACCCATTGGGGCCCCAATATAGTGTAAACCAGACAAACAGACTTCTAGCGTATAACTGCATAATTAATGCATTTTTTGCTTGTAATATTGAGTATTTTACTTACAGCGCTCTTCTAGAAAAAATGGAGAATAAATCAAATAATTGAACCAGGATGTATTTCTCTAATATTGCTCAAAATCATCATCTGCCCTGCTCTTACGCTTCCTCCCTGAGGCCCGTCTCTGAGTTGCAGTCTCTGGTAACTCTGGCTCTGTCACCTCTATATCTATATCTATTAAATGAGGAGATGTCTCTCGCAGTCTATTATCTACTCCTTCTTCCTCTTCATTATCACTAATCAGGTCAAGCTCAGCATCCTCTATATATTCATCGTTCTGCTCCTTCGCTGACTCAATCTCAGCTAGTGTAAAGAACTGCTCAAGCTGCTTTGCCTCAGCATCCTTAATATTGAATCTTGTTGCACATAGAAACAACATAAGCTCCTCGATTGTTTCGGACTTCAGACGACCACGGCGGTAGTGACAAACATCCCGAGCAGTATTGAAGAGCCGTTCGACACCAGCACCAGTTGCTGGAATAGAGAGAATATCGCGAGCAAGTAACGCGATCGCAGGGAAACGAGATTGGTTCTCACGCCAGAATTGAAGAGGTTCAATATCAATTAGATCTAGTAGTATAAATATATTAGTATTATCCTATATAGGGAAGAAATAGATCATAAACATACCACTATCGAGATATTGAGTCATCTCATCACCAGCTGGTTTTGCGGATATCTTGTTACTCTTTAGCATCATGTTCAGTCTAGAACTAGATGATGCTATTGTTGGAGTATTAGTCGATCCTTGATTTATTGTAAGGCGCTCTTGATACGGAATCAATAATTCCTGGAATGATTTCCGGTAGGTATCACGCCAGTGAGGCTCCCAATTATCAGATTGAAAGAACTGAAATCTGCTGTCAGGTGCCAGCATTGTCCCAACTGCATAGATATGTCCTTTGAGATTGTCGGTTTGAGAGTAGTACTCATCAAGTTTCAAGCGACCAGCTATGAGTGCTTTGAGCATGTCTGATTTCCATGGAACACGCTTGCGTTTAAGCAGCGCCTCTGCTTCAAAAAAGTGATCAAAGAGGGCATTGTAAATCTTAAAGACAAGATGTGTGGTGACCTCCTTTGTCTTCGAGAGCTCTGTTGTGTAGTCAAAGAATGGCCGAGTGATTTGTAGAAGATAGTCAATTTGACGCCATTCTTGAGTATCAAGCAACATCTCCTCACAGTCATACTCCTCACAGAAGGGCTGGAAGAAACTACGTAGTCTCTTTGCACGACGAAGCATCAAGAAGGTAGAATTCCACCGAGTCCTTACGTCCTGGATTGGAACAAGCTGGGATCCCTTTTCTTGAAGTCGGAGAAAGGCCGCCTGGCGTTGCGGACTTGCATGGATATACACAGCAAGATAACGGACCTTGTTTAAGGTGTATGAGATCCTCTGTGTCTGGTGCTGAGCATTTGCCTTTGCTGCAGATGA